GTGTGAAGTTTTTGCCGTTATCTGGCGAGTCGATCGCCTACCGTATGCCGAATGGGAGTCAGCGGCACAGATGAAAGCCTAATTAACACTCGCCACCTAATGCGAGTTCGTCGCGGTTTCGAACCCCCCACTTCCCGTTCATCCGTGTTTACAAACACACGCCTGTCACTCGACTTGTCGACCCCCCAGGCATGCTTCTTCTTTTTTTCTTTTTCTCCTTTTTTGGACGAGAGGGGCCTGGCCACCCTTTATTTTTTTATGGACCTATTCATGCAATGAAAAAAATAAAAAAATCATTTTTTTTTCATCATCAAAAATTACAAAAAATTGACGCGATATATCGTAATTCTTCGCTATTTATTTTTAAAGGCGCATGCGAAAAGTTGCGCGGGTCACGTCGCGAAGTCGGTTCTGTAATTTTTTAATGTCTGTTTTTTTTCGATTTTTTTATTTTTTGAGCGTTTAAAACTTTTTTTTTTGGAAATCTGTAGAAGTATTTTATTTAATAAACGCTGAAAATTCATCAAAAAGCGAAGACTGCATCAAATTAACACAAATATCACGATTTTTCATAAAAATTGCTATCTAAATGACGAAAAGTAGACAAATATTGTCGAATTAGGAGTAATTATACCAACAATAATTGATTTTACTCGTTCCATTACTCATTTTCTCTTCGAAGTTTTTGAAAAATACGGAAAAATAGCACATAGAATGAAAAATAAAAAATTACAGTACCGACTTCGCGACGTGACCCGCGCCAACTTTTCGCATGCGCCTTTAAAAAAAAATAGCGGAGAATTACGATATATCGCGTCAATTTTTTGTTATTTTCGACGTGCGTGCCAGGGCTGTGCGGCAATGGAATTGCCGATTGCCGAAATTGCCGATTTTTCAAATTGCCGAATTGCCGAAATTTTGATTTTCGGCAATTTGATATCAAAAAAAAATCGGCGAAACAAAAATCAATGTCCATTGAATAATTTGGGATACCGTGAAAATTCGGTATTTATATTTCGAATTATCGTTGAAAACATTTAATAGCCGAAATTTTTATTTTCGGCAAATTGCCGAATTGCCGAAATGCCGAAATTTCCGATTGCCGCACAGCCCTGGTGCGTGCATAGGGAATTCAAATGAAAAAAAAAAAAGATTTTATTTTATTTTTTTTTCATTGCATGAATAGGTCCATTAAAAATCGATTTTTGAAAATTCGAAATTGTTGAAAAAAAAAAACGAAAATCCCCGTCAGTTTTTCGCTGATAAGTTCGTTTTTATAAAATTTTGATCGAAAATTCGAGATTTGGAACTTTTTTGTTTGCAAAAAAATTTTTTTTGGCTGCATTCTGAAATTCAAGCGAGCAAGCGAGATACCGTAATCCGCGAATTAAAAAAAATTTTTTTGATTCAAAATCATCCGATTTAAATTCTATACTTAGCTTTTAAAAAGTATAACTTAAATTTATTTTTGGCAAAAATTTGAAAATTGAAATTTTTTGATTTTGATTTTACTCTCAAATTGCAATTTTCATAAAATCGCCAATCATGGATGGTAGATCAAAACAAAATTATCGGCTTGATCGTCTTTTTGCATTGGGAAATGACGAAAAAAAATTAAAAAAATATATCATTTTTATTTTTTTTTTGAATTTTTCATTTTTTATACAGGGTGGTCCATAATTATGGAGCTGGCGCATTTTTCGCGCATCAATTTTATTTTTTATTTTTCAGCATGTTTTAACTACCATTTTAGGAATGGAATTGAGATCTCCTCAAACGAATTTTGATGTCAGCGTCATAGTAAATTAGCATCGAGGGTTCGTGTCCGCTCCGTGCGGTTTTAGATTTTATTTCATTTTTTTTATTTTTTAAATCTCAAAATCTGAAAATTGAGTTTCATGTACAAAATTCGATGAAGAAAAAATCGATTTTGCGAAATTTGCAAATTTTGAAACGCGCTGTCTGCGTCTCCTTCCATTGCACACTCTCTCTCCCTCTCTCGATGTCTGGGCACTCTCTCGACTGCGCACACTATTTCGTAGGTCCAGAGTATCGTCGCTATCATTCCCAAATCAAATCGCTGAAATTGTGCGATCTGAAAATTGCGGTTTCGCATTTTTTTCTATTAAATGGTCCGTTTTACCATGGACCATGTAAACCTCGAAGCCCGCCGGAAACAAGGACCCACTGAATAATGAACATTCTCTTTTTTATTATTTGAAGGGATCATTGCAGAAAAAATAATATTTTTTGAAAATAATTGAAAAATAATTTGAATTGAAGATTTCAGATTTGTTTGCGAAAGAGAGAGGGAGAGTGTGCGCAATGTAAGGAGACGCAGACAGCGCGTCTCAAAATTTGCAAATTTCGCAAAATCGATTTTTTCTTCATCGAATTTTGTACATGAAACTCAATTTTCAGATTTTGAGATTTAAAAAATTGAAAAAATGAAATAAAATCTAAAACCGCACGGAGCGGACACGAACCCTCGATGCTAATTTACTATGATGCTGACATCAAAATTCGTTTGAGGAGATCTCAATTACGAAAAAATTCAAAAAATTCAAAAAAAGAGAATAAAAAAATGATTTAAAACATAATTGCTGATAATTTTTTGATCTACCATTTATAGGCAAAAGCTAAAAAAAAATCAAATTGCATTTTTTTTTCAAAATTTCCACAAATTTGAAATGGGTCTTGAAAGGAAACAACCAATAATCGAAAAAAAATTGAAAACGAATGCAAAAAAATTGGACGCGGGGCGGTCTCGAACCCAGCACGTCAAAATATTTAGGCGTCAATTAAAATGCAAGTCCGCAATTTGAAACATTGCGGACTTTTCATTTTAAATTTTCTATCAAATTTCAAGCACTAATGTCATTTTTTTTCAAATAAAATGTGTGCAAATTTGAATTTTGGTGAAATTTTGGAGAAAAATCGAAAAAAATCGAGTGGTACGTCTGAAAAATGAATTGTCGCCGCAAGACCCAATTGATTTTTACACGCTATGCGCCTTTAATCAGTTGGATTTTCATATTGAAAAAAACCGCGGGCACTTATTGAAACTGAGCACTTATTGAAAATTCCCACTAAATATTTCATCCGGACACGGTACTTAAAGGCGCAGGCCGAATTTCGCGTTGGGTCTCCCAGCGATCGCTTCATTTTTGTAGAAACGAAAAGAAATTGGAATAAAAATTTAATGGACCATTGAGATAAAAGGGTAGAAGATTCGAAAAAGGTCGAATTTTGAAAAATGAAAAATTCCAGAAAAAAACGAAAAATTGCAAAAAAAAATCCGGAAAAATTCAATTTTTTGTGAAAATTCGAAAAAAAAGAAAATTTTGAGTCGGAAAAATTCCAACAAAAAAAGCGATTTGAATTGCCGCCCAATTTCGACATCAATTTTTGATGTTTGATGTTTGATCCGAATAACAGATTATTCGCAGTTTGAAAAATCTGGAAAAAATTGAAGAACGAGAAAATGTGTGCAAACACCGCGACGCAAATATCACAGAAAAATTCCCCTCAATTTTTATCGATCGGTTTTTTTTGCAGAAAACTAAAAACAATCATTAGAATTAATTTTAAAGGCGCATCGAGTTTTAGGAGGGGGGTCTCTTTGAAAAGCTTTAACAGCCATGTCCAATTTGATGAAATCGCTAAGGCCGTGTCGTGGGATTCTGCGTATTGTACGCAATACACCGAGCAAGCGAGATACCGTAATCCGCGAATTAAAAAATTTTTTTTTGATTCAAAATCATCCGATTTAAATTCTATAGCTTTTAAAAAGTATAACTTAAATTTATTTTTGGCAAAAATTTGAAAATTGAAAATTTTCGATTTTGATTTTACTCTCAAATTGCAATTTTCTTAAAATCGCCAATCATGGATGGTAGATCAAAACAAAATTATCGGCTTGATCGTCTTTTTGCATTGGGAAATGACGAAAAAAACTAAAAAAGTATTCCATTATTTTATACAGGGTGGTCCATAATTATAGAGCTGGCGCATTTTTCGTGCATCAATTTTATTTTTTATTTTTCAGCATGTTTTAACTACCATTTTAGGAATGGAATTGAGATCTCCTCAAACGAATTTTGATGTCAGCGTCATAGTAAATTAGCATCGAGGGTTCGTGTCCGCTCCGTGCGGTTTTAGATTTTATTTCATTTTTTCAATTTTTTAAATCTCAAAATCTGAAAATTGAGTTTCATGTACAAAATTCGATGAAGAAAAAATCGATTTTGCGAAATTTGCAAATTTTGAGACGCGCTGTCTGCGTCTCCTTCCATTGCACACACTCTCTCTCAATCTCTCGGTGTCTGGGCACGCTCTCGATTGCGCACACTATTTCGTAGGTCCAGAGTATCGTCGCTATCATTCCCAAATCAAATCGCTGAAATTGTGCGATCTGAAAATTCGAACGTGGCCGCGTGGCCGTGCAAAAAAAAAAAACTAGGCCACGCCGATGAAAATTCCTTCGCATTATTTTTTTTTGAAAAAAACATCACCATCGACAATTTATTCCAATTTTCCATTAAAAAAAAAGAAGAATTTAAAAAAAAAAAAAAAAAAAAAACAACAATTTTTGCTCGGATATGTGTGTGAAAATGGAATATTCTCGCACAAAACATGACAACAAAATTGACTGAACAATTACAGACAAAAAAAAAATTTTTCTCGGAACTCTTGGGGAAGGGGGAGGGGGAGAGGAAGCGCGGGGGAATTAGAGAGGAGATCGGGGGAAGAAAAATGGAAGCCCAAAAGGAGAAATGTGTGTGTGTGTTTTATTTTGTGGCAAAGAAAAAAAAATTTAAAAAAAAATTTGGAAAGAAAAATAATCATTGAGAGAACCCGTTGAAAAGGTCCTCCGACCGCCCCAATTTGAAATTTAACAAAAAAAAATGATGGGACCTTTTCAATTTTTAACCAAAAAGCGAAGGAAATCACCGAACAATTAGATGGAATCCACGAGAGGGTCCCCAAAATCAATATCCTTATGAGGAATTCGTCTCGTTCTGATCGTCTTGTGTCGATTCGGCGTCCGAATCATTGCCCAGCTCGCCTTTCGCCTCTTTTTTGTGCTTCATTCGACGATTTTGGAACCAAATTTTCACCTGAAACCCTTTTTTTAATGGTCCGTTAAAATTGCTAATGGTTTTTGCAGGAAAAATCGCATTTTTCGAAATTTTTAAATTGGCGCCAAATTTTTGAATTTGTCATTTTTTAGCAAAATTGGAAAAAAATTGTATTTCCCGGACCTTCAATAATTATAATGGTCCGTTAAAATTGCTGATGGTTTGTGCAAGAAAAATCGCATTTTTCGAAATTTTTAAATTGGCGCCAAATTTTTGAATTTGTCATTTTTTAGCAAAATTGGAAAAAAATTGTATTTCCCGGACCTTCAATAATTATAATGGTCCGTTAAAATTGCTGATGGTTTGTGCAAGAAGAATCGCATTTTTTGAAATTTTAAAATTGGCGCCAAATTTTTGAATTTGTGATTTTTGAAAAAAATTTGGGAAAAAGTATTGTTTTCCAATTTTTTATTACCGTGTCAACAATTATAATGGTCCGTTAAAATTGGTGCTTTTTTTTGAGGAAAAATTTCAATTTTTTGAATTTTTGAAAAATATTCGAAATTGGCGCCAAATTTAAATGCGGTATTTTCAACCAAAAATTTTTTTCAATAATTTTTATTTAATAAAATTTTTTTAACGTCAATAATTCAAGTGGTCCGTTAAAATTGTTGGTGGTTTTTGCGCGAAAAATCGCATTTTTTGAATATTTGAAATTGGCGCCAAATTTGAATTCGTCATTTTTAAGGAAAATTCGGGAAAAAAATTTTCCGGACCTTGAATAATTATAATGGTCCGTTAAGTGTGCCTCAAAATCGTTCACTATACCTTTTTTTGTTGAAAAATCACATTTTTGAATATAATTTGATTATTTGGAACAATTTAAAATTGGCGCGAAATTCAAATTTAACATAATTTTCAAATATAATTCTCAAACATTTTCTCATCGTCAATAATTATAATGGTCCGTTGAAATTGTCCACTATTGGAAAATTTTTGAAAATTTTAAAATTGGCGCGAAATTTAAATATATAGTTTAATTATCGTCAATAATTATAATGGTCCGTTAATTGGGGACCCAAAATTGTCCACAAATTGTTTTTCATGAAAAAAAATAATTTTTTAAGATACACGAATTAAAAAATATTTGAAAGTTGGCGCGAATTTCAAATTTGTAAAACCCAAAATTTGTCCGCAGCTCGATTTTCTTTTTTCCTTTCAATTTGGCTAATTACTCAACAAGCTCAATGCGGAAGATCGAACATCGAATTTTTTGAAAAATTAAAAATTGGCGCCAATTGAAAATTTTTAAAAATAAAATCAAATTTGCGATTCGCGCCAAAATGATTGAAAATCGGAAGATCGAACATTGTCACAAATTGACGCAAAATTGCACAAAACGAAAAATTCAAAATTTTCTAGCAAAAAAAAATTGCGAGAATTCGAATTTTCACATTTCCAACGCGTTTAAATTAATAAATCGCGATAAAAACCTGTCGTTCAGTGAGATGAAGGCTCTCGGAAATCTCCTGGCGGCGTTTCCGCGTCAAATATTTGTGATAATGAAACTCCTTCTCAAGTTCGAGCGTCTGACTCCTCGAGTACGTCTGTCGGGTGCGTTTCGACTCATTCCCCTTCGTGCCTGGAATGAACGACAAAAAAAATATAATTTTTTCGATTTATAATTTTTTTTTCGTCGGTGGCGGTGGTGGTGAATCTGACAGACAGGCTTGGGTTGATGCAGCAGCAAACGGCAGCAACCAACGATTTATGACTTGTAGCAGGTTGCGGTCGCATTATAAATCACACAACAAGGCCAGTGTGCTTTTCAACGCAACCAATTTTTCGAATTTTCGACACAAGAATTAGTGGTCGGCAAAAAAAACACACAGAGTAATAAAGTTGGGCGGCGGGCGCCTATACCGCGCTCACATCGCCTACCACTGATTAAGCGCGACGCAAGCATAATGGAAGCATTGTGGGAAATCTGTGGAACGGAAGCATAATGCTTCCATATAGGAAGCATAATGTAATTCTTAGTGGCTGTGGAAGAATTATGGGACGAATATGGATGGAATGAAAACGGGATGAATATGCTTCCGGTGTTTGCGAGCCGTGGAACAAATATGGATGGAATATGGATAAAATAATCATATGTCAATAAACATTATACAATTGGCGTCTGGACGGCAGACCAAGACAATTTCTAGAAAAATCAATACAAAAAACTTATGCTATCATATAAACAATGAAAATTTGAAAATTACATGATACACAACGGACGAAATTTAGCTTCTACCATTTAATGACTTATGCTACTCAGATTTATGTTAATTCAGTCAACTGTTCCTCACTTTGTTTAAAGATTGCCAACTACAATTTAGTCGTATTAATATATTTTTGCCGGTTTTTCCGAAATTGGCATCGCAAACTACTCACAATTTGCTCCAAACTGGTAGCAGACGCGCGTAGAAGAGGCGTGCCGCAGCATTGCAAAACCGTGCGCCGCTTTGCACAATGCGGCCACGCCTCACATTTTCGAAATTCGTTTTCAAATTATAATCTACTTATTACAGCGTCCCGCTCGATGTCAGTACTGACAATGATTCGAATAGTTCGGCAGTTGCCAGTAACTAATGGTTTGATTATATCTTAATTGAAATTCATTTCATTGTTGTTTTTTTTTTATTTTAAATTAAATAAATGTGTTAATATGAAATAAATTTTGAATACAGCAATCAAATTGTTTTCTTATTTGCCCATATGGAAGGCATACGGCTCATTCCATATACGAAACACGCGGTTCCGCAAAAAAATGCTTCCATTATGCTTCCATATAACTTGCATATAAGATTCCTATGATATCCACAGCCGTTCCACTATGCTTCCATTGTGCCTATGCCGCCGTTTATCTGTGACTTCAAGTGCGGCCGTGGTATACTGGTCCGCGCACGCGTTTTGTAGGAAACGCGCGCGGGTTCGACTCCCCCCCCACCACAAGCTTCAACGATTTTAAGCAACCAATTTGTCGCTTCGAATCAGTTGGCAAATCAGCGGCGTGTGCGTGAGAGGAAAAAAAAACGACGACGACGACAACAGTTGTTTGGTTGTCATCCTACGGTAATAAATAAGTATGAGTACGAAGTGGTGTTGTGGTAAACCCATAATTTGTCGATGAGCCGCCACCAACCCCCAACCCCGATGTTTCGCTTACCCCACCGAAAAAGCGAAAATGAGAAGAAAACGAAGGAGATGGAATGCGCGACGACAACCCGCCTCCCCCCTCCCCCTCCTCTTCCTCCATCTCTCTGCCACCCCCCGATAATATCATCACCTACCGTAATCCACCACCATCGTCTTTGTCTCAATTTTTCGTTTCGCATTTCTGCCTAATTTATTCCGAATCGACGTTTTTTTTTTCGTTTCTTCCTTAACAAAAAAGCAACAATTTGACGGATTACTGTAGGATGATAATTGAATGTGTGTTTCTCCAAAAAAAAAAAAATTTTTTTCATGTGTCCGAGCTAATCCCAATCGTGTGGCGGATAATCCGATCCGATCCGATCCGTGGATCTCGCGCTTGTGTCATCAGAATCCACGAAACGACACTACCGTAAATCAAAAGATTAGAGGGGAAAAGCCGCGCGCGCGTGCGCGTGCGAACAGCTGCGCTAGAGGACAACCACGTATAATTTACAACATGATGTGTGCCGACGACGACGAAGACGATGACGTCATGTGGGAGGTCGCAAATCGCTTGTCCAAATATTTTCATTGCGCACTACCGTAATCCCGTGTTGATGGTCCCGCGACGAACAGAGGTCTTGAGGGCATTCTGTGTAGTCCGCACGGACTATATTGTCTTTTTTTTTTGTTAATCGTCGGGTGCAATATTTTTTTCTAAATATTGTGTGTTTTTGGTCTTGAGGCGGGAAATGATGTTTTGTGTAGTCCACACGGACTACGATTTAATATTTGTGGTCTTGAGGCGAAATAATGGTGTTGTGTAGTTCATACGGATGAAGAAGCGTTGTCATTACTTGGCCTGTGTAGTCCACACGGACTATTTTATAATATTTGTGGTCTTGAGGCGAAACAATGGTGTTGTGTAGTCCACACGGATAATGAGGCGTTGACCTGTGTAGTCCACACGGGCAATATATGGTTTTGATGCGAATTTGTCGAAGGATGCAATAAAAAGTCACATGAATGGTCTTGAGGCGAAATAGACCTGTGTAGTCCACACGGACAACATGGAGATCAAAAGTGGCGTCTACATAATGAAGTGTTGATGGAGAGTCCACACGGACTACACAAATAAAAAATTCGTGTGTACTCCACACGGACAAAATTCCAACAGCTACAATAGAGCGCGATTTCGAGAACATCAAAAATTAATTTTTTCAGCGTGTCCAATTCGATTACGATTTTTTCTTAAAGGCGCATGCCGCTGAAAACCAGAATCCCCCTCAAACGCGTGTTTCTCATTTTTTTTTTCAGTCAACTTGTTGTCGAGTTGCAAAAGCGAGCCGCAAGCCAAAAGATGAGCGAAAAAAAAAGCATACATACATACACGCACATTTTTTTTGGAGGGGGTTGCGACAAAAAAAATCAAGAGAACCGCGAGAGAGTGACAGAGACGAGACTCGCGGCGCAAGCGGCGGCATCAAAGGCGATTTCGGACAAAATAAATGATAGCCGACGGCGGCGGCGGCGGCGGCACACGCGAGAACCCAACAAAATATTGGCCCATGAAGAAGAAGAAGAAGAAGAAATTGAGGTGGAAGCATGCTCGATCAAATATTGATTTTATTTTCGATTCAACCATTCAATTTCACAGATAAACGGCGGCATAGGCACAATGGAAGCATAGTGGAACGGCTGTGGATATCATAGGAATCTTATATGCAAGTTATATGGAAGCATAATGGAAGCATTTTTTTGCGGAACCGCGTGTTTCGTATATGGAATGAGCCGTATGCCTTCCATATGGGAAAATAAGAAAACAATTTGATTGCTGTATTCAAAATTTATTTCATATTAACACATTTATTTAATTTAAAATAAAAAAACAACAATGAAATGAATTTCAATTAAGATATAATCAAACCATTAGTTACTGGCAACTGCCGAACTATTCGAATCATTGTCAGTACTGACATCGAGCGGGACGCTGTAATAAGTAGATTATAATGGGCCTATTAATTTGAAAAACTTGTAAACCATTGTTACGTAAACTAAATTTTTCGAGAAAATAATTTTGAAAAAAATTCTTTAATTTTTGACAAAAAAAAACACAAAAAATCTTGAAAATTCATTGAGAAAAAGCAAAAGGACAAAAATTTTGAAAACGAATTTCGAAAATGTGAGGCGTGGCCGCATTGTGCAAAGCGGCGCACGGTTTTGCAATGCTGCGGCACGCCTCTTCTACGCGCGTCTGCTACCAGTTTGGAGCAAATTGTGAGTAGTTTGCGATGCCAATTTCGGAAAAACCGGCAAAAATATATTAATACGACTAAATTGTAGTTGGCAATCTTTAAACAAAGTGAGGAACAGTTGACTGAATTAACATAAATCTGAGTAACATAAGTCATTAAATGGTAGAAGCTAAATTTCGTATGTTGTGTATCATGTAATTTTCAAATTTTCATTGTTTATATGATAGCATAAGTTTTTTGTATTGATTTTTCTAGAAATTGTCTTGGTCTGCCGTCCAGACGCCAATTGTATAATGTTTATTGACATATGATTATTTTATCCATATTCCATCCATATTTGTTCCACGGCTCGCAAACACCGGAAGCATATTCATCCCGTTTTCATTCCATCCATATTCGTCCCATATTTCTTCCACAGCCACTAAGAATTACATTATGCTTCCTATATGGAAGCATTATGCTTCCGTTCCACAGATTTCCCACAATGCTTCCATTATGCTTGCGTCGCGCTTAATCAGTGAAAAACAAAATGAATCATGGTAGGAATCATGGTAGAAGAGCGCGCGCTCAAAAATTGTCCGCAGATGGTTGACAATATAAAAGGACCCCCTCGCGTGTTTTTTTTTTTTGGCAACACGACCACCCAAGTTTCGCACACTTTTTCGATTTTATCTCATATTCAACAACACAAGATCGTGTGGGCCGATCAACGTCGTCGTCGTCGTCGGCGTCGTCAAATATTTTTTCTCTCTTGATTTTTGATTTACGATAGACATTTACCACCATCATCATCATTCCATTCGTGTTTTTTTTTGTCCTCGCTCTCGCACCGCAAGGTGAATGTAACAAACCACCCAATGTGTGAACGCAGTCACCACCACCACCACCACCACCGCCAATTATGGCGCCCATCGCCATCGGCGATATTAATTGGCGCTCATAAAAGTTGATTTGACGCGTTAGGGTCACGTCAAAAAAATAAAATAAAATCCTCGTACCGCCCATTTTCATCCACGGGAACACGGGTTGCGGTAGCGGGAGGGTGGCGCGCGATTCGCCGAAATTCGCCGACGTCGCCTGAAGCGGATTGTAGGCGAATCTGAAAATCGATCATCACAAAACCAATTGGGCCCACCCCGCCCTACGGATTCGGATTGTCGATCCACTGGGCGGCCAGCATGTTCTTCATATTGTTCATATAGGACTGATTGTAGAGCTCGTAGGACTGCTGGAATTCCTGCAAAACAAAAAAAATAAGGAATCCGCCATTGCTGCTGGAAGCCAACCTTGAGATTTGTGGTGGTCGCCGACGACGAGTTGCTCGAGTTCGACGCCGACGAGGCGTTCGACGAGCCGCCGATCTGTTGGGTGGCGGCGGCGGCGACGGCGGCGCCCGCCGGCCAATACGTCGAGTCGTCGGCGGCGCTCGTGGCGCCACCCCACGTCGGGTACATGCTCATCGTCGCGTCTGGAAATGCCGGCGGTAGCGCATCGACAAAATAATTCGACATTGGCGATATATGGAGAAGGTTGAAACGGGGGAGGGGAAGGGGGGGGGGGAAGAGGGGGGGAAGTTGATCGAATCGAATGCCCGATTATCGGTGGGTGGAATCGGTTTCGCAACTGGATGGGAGGGCATTTTTTTTTGCGTGTCCCATTCTTGGTGAGTTCTTGAGTAGTCCTTCCAACCCACCATCATCATCACCTCGTTCGTTTCTAATTTATTGCCGATAGTTAGATTGATTGCGGGGCCGGCGATTGGCGGCGTCGGGCGCGCGCGCAAGGCGACAAACAATCGCTGATAACGATTCTTCTACCGTAATCTTATCGCGCCTTTTTTTTTGGGAGTTGCGTGAAAGCTCACCACCCCCCCCCTTTAAACAATTACATCGGTGTTTGCGGACTTTGGTATCATCATCATCATCCCCCTTTAAACAAAACTACTCGGTGTTTGCAGACATTTCGAGAAAGATACAGTAGGATGGGCATTTTATTTAGATTTTGCAGAATTTAATTCGGTGTTTACCCTCTTTTAGCAATATTTCGATTGACTCGGTGTTTGCGGACTTTTAAAGATAACTACAGTATGACGTAATATACTCTTTAAATGATTTAGCGATATTTCGATTGTCTCGGTGTTTGCGGACTATGAAAAAAAAAGCTACAGTAAGACATGATAACCTCTTTAAACAATTAATTAATATTTAGTTTGATTCGGTGTTTGCGGACTTTTCAAGATAGCTACAGTAAGATCTCTTACCATCTTTGAACAATTAATTAATATTTGTTTCGATTCAGTGTTTGCGGACTTTTCAAGATCGCTACCGTAAGACCGATTGCACCCTTTAAACGATTTAGCGATATTTCGATTGACTCGGTGTTTGCGGACTTTAAAAAATAGCTACAGTAAGACATGACACCCCCTTTAAACAATTAATTAATATTTGGTTCGATTCGGTATTTGCGGACTTTTTTCCCATATTGATACCCCTTTAAACGCGGGAACTACAGTAATTATCAAATGTTGAAATCATCGCGGTGTTTGCGGACATCATCTATCTACAGTACGATGTCCTTTAATAGAGTTGAAACCTACACAAATCGAACTCATACAGTAACCCAAAAAGCGGCACCCCTTTTAAACCGGCAGCAGCGAAAGAGAGAAACTACAATAGTAATAATAATTCATTCAATTTCGTCGGACCCCCCCCCCATCCCCCTTTAAACAAAAAAAGCGAATGCGGAAGGCGATCATAAAAGTGTGCCGATAATAATAATAATAATAGTAATATTAAAAAAGGGGTTTAATAGTCCGAAACGCGGAACAAACAAAGCCCCTACAGTAATCCTACAGTAATCGGTTTGGTGATAAGCGGAATTGGTGGCAATTATCGGTCGGGCGCAATAAAAATCAAAAAACGAGAGACACGTACATAATGAGGTGACGACAATTCAAAATTCGACAGTTAATTGAGATATTAACGCGAAAAATAATGGGGTCCTCGATCGGCGATGGGGGGGGGGCCGACGGCTGGGTTTCAAATTATTCTGATGAACACACACACACACACACAGTGAAACAAAAAAATGGATGAGGAGAGAGAGAGAGGGAGGGATGAAGAGAGGAAGCAGAGCAGAGGATGAAGGGGGGGACCCAATGTGAAATATGTTGGGCGCCTGATGAAATATTGGCTTGTGGACGGCGGCCAGAAGGGAGGGGGCGGGCGCGGTGGGCGTGGCCAGCCAATCAGCGCGCGCCTCTTTGATGTTGTGCCGCGGCGGCTGTAAATCGCCGCGCGCGCGCGGATATTTATGCGACCCCCCATGACTTGAAAGAAGACGGAGGAATGAACAAGAGATAAACTAATATTTATGAGTTTTGGGTGATGATTTGGACGAAATCCGAGACAATGCGCCTTTAAAATTGGGAACAAAAAAAACATACAAAAATTCTCGATTTTTTTTTCGAAAATCTTTATTTTTGTCATTCTTCAATAATAGTGGGCAGCTGGACAATTATGATAATGGGACCCCCCACCCATGCGTTGGTTAATAAATTATCAAATGGTGACCGAACGAGGGAATGGGGGATGGGTTTCAAAAAATGAAAAAAATACACACACCCAGAAGCCTAGGTGCTCATTATTCTCGACGACGACGACAATGAACGTGACGAATGATTGAGAAATGGGTTTTTTGGTGGGTGCCAATTGGCTCCCTCGGAATGATACCCTCCGATGAGGCTCTCCCCCCTCATTCGCTATCGCCGCAATATTACATAATAATAATTCGGCGATACGAGGTGTCATAAAATCAGGCGATTTTTTTTTCGAGGGGGGGGGGTCGCATTTTTTGCGCCCTTATACGGGCGCCGGGCGATCGCGGCGTTTTTGATGTTGTTCGCCGGCCGGCGCGCGAAAAATTGGGTGGCCGTTTCTTTTTTGCTGCTTCTTTCAACCAACTTTCTTGTTTGCTTTCATCTTTGCCGCCACGGCCGATCCATTAATTCGAATATTAATAAATGCGGTAGGGTTTGGGAAAATTGGGCGCCGGTGTGAATTTTTTCTCGTGTGCGGCCCCTCTTTTCTTGTTGCACAGTTTAATGAAATCGTGCTGCGGACAACTCGCTGGGTTTAGACAACCTAACAGAGATTTGGGACACAACAGAAACTTATCGAAATCGTGCTGCGGACAACTCGCTGGGTTCAGAGACCTAACAGAGATTTGGGACTCAGCAGCAGCTTATCAAAAATCGTGCTGCGGACGACTCACTGGAATTTTCACTTGGCAGAAGACATTAGAACGATTTCAATTTTTTTAGCAAGTTAACTAATTTGAGCTGCGGACAACTCACGGGGATTGGAAATAGAGCAGTTTTGGAACTCAACAACCAATACTTTCGCAACTCATCAATATTGTGCTGCGGACAACTCACAGGTTTCCACATGCTTGCGAATCCGAGAGTTTTTAGAGTCTTTTCTTTTCACATATTCGTTCTGCGGACAACTCACGGGCAATCTCACTTTGCAGAAGTCATTAGAAAACTTCCAATTCTTATGCAAATTAACTGAATCGTGCTGCGGGCGTCTCACGGGGTTCATAGATTGAGCAGATATTCAGAACTCACGAGTTGAGTTTGTCGGAACTTATCAAAATCGTGCTGCGGACAACTCACGGCCAATCTGATTTCGGAGAACTCATTAAAACGACTCCAATTCATTTGAAAAAATTAAATGAAAATTGTGCTGCGGACAACTCACGGGATTCGGCAACACAGTGAGAACACTGCCAACTTTTTACACTTTGTCGGTTGACTATTAAAAAATTTTTATTTCATTTTACAGCTTATCGAAACCGTGCTGCGGACATTCTACAGGTTACTACGACTTTCTGAATATTGAGAATTTTAAAAGAAAGAATTAATAAGGATAGCCATCAACTAATTTGTAGTATAACTAAATTGTGCTGCGGACAATTCACAGGTTACTGTTTGACAATTAGAACGCGCTCAGTTGGCAGCATAGTGAAAATCATGCTGCGGACATCATACCGGTTTTCGCTCATTTGCTTATTCCATGGGAACCCTGAGACTTTCTGCGGACATTTTTATAGGTTTACAAGTTATTCGAACGTGCTGCGGACAACTCTCCGGTTTTCGCGCATTGGGAGGGGGAATTCAAAGAGAGCGACGATTGCATTGAATTTTTTTTCGAGAATCGCGGGGCTTCGAACCCAATCGGGTCCTGACGCGAAAATAAATAATACAAATGATAATCACATAAATGCGGTGCGATTTCGTCGCGGGAGACATCGGCCGGTCATAAAATCCGCCGGGCGGTGACTCATAAGAGGGCGTTTATGGACTTGACCCGCCCGCATTTTGTCACTCGTCGTTCTGATTTGATACACTCAATCTTGTTTCTCCGCAACACCAATCTTACACACATCGTTTTCATATTAAACGGGCGGACCATTAAAATCGTTGATTGATTTTATGTGGTCCTCCCCCCCCCATCTCGTTTCTATCAAAATATTTGCCAGTGAGCCTAACAACCAACCTTGTTGCTTGTTGTCCGTGCGGACTACACCCTTCCGGTTTTTGGCGAGCGATTATTATCGGTAGATCAAATTTTGATTAAAACAATGCGGGTGGCGTGGGGTACGGTAGTTAGTTGCTTTATTCAAATTGCAACGATTATAGCTCGATAATTATAACCTTGCTGCGGACAACTCACGGGTGCCTCATTCATACTTGTTTTAGCTTGTAGAAATAAAATTTTCAAATAATAAAAACCATTACAACCTTGTCGAATTATATAAAAATCATGCTGCGGACAATTCACAGGATTTAGAATCTTAACCTGTTGAAATTCTAGATTACAGCTCATTTTCTGTAATGCAAAAATCAAGCTGCGGACAACTCACGGGTTTAAATCCCGAACCAGTATAATTCTAGCAAATGCGCAATTTCTTCTAATAGAAAAAATAACCAACTGCGGACAACTCACAGGTTCGACCTCTCTCCTAAAATCCTACCAAAATATTAAAAAAACATTGCCGAATGGTATAAAAATCATGCTGCGGACAATTCACAGAATTGAATCTTTACAAAATTTAATTCTATCTCACAAGCACTTTCTATTGTGTAAAAAACGAGCTGCAGACAACTCACGGGTTTCAATTTCGAAGGAGTATAATTCTAGCAAATGCGTATTTCATTGCATCAAATATAAAAATTAAGCTGCGGACAACTCACTGGTTTGAATCTCAAGCCATTATACTTCTAACTAATGCGCATTTCATTTCATCGAATATAAAATCCAAGCTGCGGACAACTCACTGGTTTCAATCTTGAAGGAGTATAATTCTAACTAATGCGCATTTCATTGCATCAAATATAAAATCCAAGCTGCGGACAACTCACTGGTTTGAATCTCAAGCCATTATACTTCTAACTAATGCGCATTTCATTTCATCGAATATAAAATCCAAGCTGCGGACAACTCACTGGTTTCAATCTTGAAGGAGTATAATTCTAACTAATGCGCATTTCATTGCATCAAATATAAAATCCAAGCTGCGGACAACTCACTGGTTTGAACTTCAGCCAACTATAAACCCAGCCGACGCGCATTTCATCGAATATAAAATCCAAGCTGCGGACAACTCACTGGTTTGGTTTGCGATCAGCCGACTCGTGTTCGCTCGTCGCATCGCACATATTTATGGTGGTGCTCCGAGCGAGCCCCCCCCCCCCGTCGTATAGGTGTCACTCGATAATTTACAATCATTGTCTCTCAATCACTCGCGCGCTGCTTACAACACACGTGTTTTATGACAGTGTGTGCGAATTTAAAGGCGCGGACTACGGTAGAACATCGAAATTCGACGAATTCAAAAATTGTCGAGAGTGCGCGGCGGCGGCGGCCCGGCCGGGACGAGACGGGCGGCAAACATCAAACGCCGAAACTGATTTATAGCAAAAATGCGCCGCCGCTGCCGTCACACAAATCTGCATATGTACATTATAGGCGTTGTAATCGGGCCAACCCAAAACCAACCCGTCGGTTCTCTTCCAAAAAAAATATGTATGATGGTGGAAATTTGAATTTGAATAGGATGGATATCGCATATGGCCATCCGAGGGGATCAGCTCTTTAAAGGCGCACACCGCTATTCATTCTTCTAGAGCCTGCCTAATTGTTTAAAGGCGCATGCCACTATTCAATTTATTTAGGCTAACTGTTTAAAGGCGCATCACATGAATTATTTTTTTAGTCTAACTGTTTAAAGGCGCATAGCGCTTTTCATTTTACTCTCGCCTTACTATTTAAAGGCACATCGCTATTCATTTTTCTTTAGCCTATTCTAGCCTATCGCTTTAAAGGCGCATATTCATTCTTTTATAGTCTAACTGTTTAAAGGTATTTATTTAAAGCCTATCTCTTTAAAGGAGCATAGCGCTTTTCATTTTACTCTTGCCTAACTATTTAAAAGCACAGCGCAATTTTTTTTAGGCTAGCTGTTTAAAGGCACATACCACTATTAATTTTTTAAAGCCTATCTCTTTAAAGGAGCATAGCTCTATTCATTTAATCGCTTTAAAGGCGCGCATACTGGTTTTTTAGCATTTTATTCCGATATTCTGCTTTCAATAAATCCATTCTACCGTACGATTCTAAGTTGTTTCAATTTAAAGGAGCACGCACTCAACCTCCCAACCCGAAAATTGCATTTTTGAATTTCAATCGAAACCCAACGAGTGCTCTGAGTTTAAAGGCGCACGCTTTTAGGCACTGTAGACTATTCCATTGAGCTTCATCTCAAAAAATTGCCGACTAAACCTACAGTAACCAAATTTTCGCTGCAAGATTGTTTAAAGGCGCATTTCAATAATTTCACTAGCCGTCGTCTTGATTTGTTTTCGCTGGCGTTCTTCGCCTCAAGACCCAACAATGGCATTTTTGATCTACCCATCGATCAATTCGACAATTCATCAATATTTGAGGATGGGCGAAAAAAAAAAAAACAAAAAACGATGATGAAGAAGAAGAAGAAGAAGAAGGAGAAGAAGAAGAGGAAGACGAGAACATTAAAACCCCATAAATTATCAATTAGAGAGTGTTTAGTGAGGTGGTGGCGAGAGATAACGCGTTTCGCGGAGGCGCCGACGAGAGAAAATTTTTGAGAGTGGGGGAAAGGGGGGAAGGGGGGGAGGTTACGGTAGATGGAGGGGAAGGGGTCGGGTGTTCCCCAATGAATTTCAAATTGACAGCGTGCGCCTACCCGCCGGCAGCGAGCGGATTACGGTAGGAAGGAGAATAAGGGACCAAGATAAATGGGCGTTGTACAGGTGGGCCGACACACGTCCGCCTTTAATTTGTGGTCCCGCCACGCGAATCGAAATTGAGGGGGGTGGGGGATTTCGTAGCGAGACCCACACACATGTGTTTTCGATTTTTTTTGTTTTGGGGGAAGAGCGAGAAGCGAGAATCACATTGTTAATTGGTTGCCTCCTTGGTTTTCGTCTTTCACAAAAAAATTTTTTTTCGAAGAAACGGGTCCCACCGCGATGTGGGACCCGTTTGTTTGGGTCCCACCGCGATGTGGATGATTACTGTAACTAAAGTTGGGTCTCGTGACGATTGAGAAGCAATATTGGTGGGACCCTAATGCAAATATTTAGACAACATAAAATAACATAGCAAACCCATTTAGCATCATCATTATCGCGCCGATTATGTGGTCGGGCGAACGCGAGCGGATGGGCGTGGCCTGGGCCTACAGTAGTCGTCGGACGAGTTAGCCGCTGGCGGCCGCCGATCGATTCCACCGCGCCACCTCCCCTCCATACTGCCTTATTAGGAAACCGGAAATTGGCGATGGCTTTTGCCAATTTTTTGCGATTTTGGCTCATTCCGTTTAGTTTGGCTGGCTTTTTTTTTCTCACTTTGAAGATTTGCTAATCGAAAAACGATTGGAGAAAATTTCGCTTTGGGACCTTTTTTTTCTTGGAAATTCTAAAAATTCTCACTATCCCATGAGTCGTCCAACGCGCACTTCTACGCTATCACAATATCATTGACGGTGGGCACGAGTGGCGCAGTCGGTTAGACGCGCGATTTACAATTTTGGTTTTGCTGGTTCGGGCCCCCATTCAACAAAAAATAATTGCGTTTCAGATTTTCAAATTAAATTTCATTTATTTGTGTCTACGAATTGCTATTTTTCAAAAAAAAAGGACAGACGCTGGCTATTTCATAAATTACAGAAAGTTTTCGAGGAGAAGCTTGTGCTGGCTCTCGGAACAATTGGCAATTTGCCAAAAATAATATTTTGCAAATTTTTGTTAAAATCGGGTCTCGGGTAGTCTTAGCGTCGTCGCGTTGAGACATTCGCTACGCTAAAATCGACGGTTGCGAGACCGTTTGAACAAAATATTTAAAGGCGCATGACGATTTTGGGGTCTTGTGGCGATTGTATCCGGAAAAAGGCACGATAGTCAATTTTAAAAAATTATGTATAAATTATTAAAATCCATCCGAGTACGGTAGACGACTCGATTAGCGAATTGCGTACAATGCGCAATAATCGACGAGCACGCGCGTGCACAATTCAAAAACGAGGTTCGCGTGTGTGCCGCTGCCACGGACGACTCCATCCGAGTCGTCGTCGTGACGAATGAAATATGACTGAGAATTTCAATTCGAATCGGTGTTCACCGAATTTTCAACATTCATTTGGGGGGGGGGGCAGCCGAGGTGCTTCTGACGCGACGGGCCGGCCATTCAGCCAATTAAGATCGATATCGAAACGAAAACTGTTGGGTTACGGTAGCGATGGGCCACCCAGAATGGCACAAAAGAAGAAGAAATATGTGCGGGCGTCGAGGGCCACCATGAAAGTTTTTTTTGGCGTGGCCGAAAAGAGAAAGTTCAAAGGAATTCCGCCGCGCACGACGAAGATTCAAATAAATTTCTCACGGGTCTGCCTCTGGGTACTTTATTTCATTTTGACAAAACATTTTCAAAAAAAGAAGAAGAATAAGAAGTGGGCCGAATGACAAAAAAAATTGCGCATGTGTAAAACTTGTTGGTTATTATATAATTAGATGTCGATTAGTTATGCGGAATCGTCGTCTGCTGATCGAATGGGACGACGGCGGCGCAGTCGTCTTCATCGGCGGCGGTTCGACGTCGTCGGAACACCGATGAGAACCATTGCCTGGAATGAGGGGGGATCGATGAGAAGAAGGCATCGGTGGGGATTACATGACACAGCAGCCTTGCTCGGCGGCCTGACGACGCTTCGCCTTGCTCTTCTGCATTCGCTGTTCGAACACCTCGGCGACAACGTCGCCGGGCATCTCGCTGAACGCGAGACGCGACAAATCTTCGGCTTTGATGCCGGCGAGTTTGTCGACGAGAACCGACATCGTCGAGCTGTTCGGATCGCATTGCGACATCGCGCACGTCACCTGCAATTTTTTGGATTTTTGTGGATCTCGATGAGTGGGTCCCCACCTGGAAAAGCTTATTTTTATCGCGGCAAATCGTGTTGGCGTTGAGCGCGATGAATTGCTCGCAACGCGCTTGCACCGGCTTCATGTCGAACCGGTTCGCGAATCGCAAAACCAGCGAAACGTTTTTAACTGGAAAATTGTTGCGGTCGATTTATGTTGGCGTCTGAAAAAACGCGCTCGAATACCTGACAATGGCTTTCGCATCGGACAAAACGTGATGCATCTGAGGAACTCGAGCACCTCGGTTGGTGTGGCCTCGTCGAAAATGAACTTGCGCTGCGGCGGTTTTCGCACGAAAATGATCTCGGCAAAATAGGGCGAGAGTTCGGCAAGCCAGCCGGCGTTCACGTAGCTGAAAACAAAAACCATTTTCAATAAAATTAATCAAGCTTTAAAATTGATTGGTTACAAGGTCCGTTCACCGGCGACAAGCTCGTAGGTTCGCCACGGCGTCGGCTGCGAGAAATCATCAAAGTTGGAGCGAGCGATGACCACCTCGTCGGTTGTATCCTTGTTCGTCATGTGTAGAATTTTGTTCCAGCGAGCTGAGAGGTTGTCTGACATCTATTTTTTGTAAATGAATTAAACGGCGACTCGATCAATACAGTGTCTAACAAATGATAATAAAAACATTCAGAGTAATTGAAATTCAAAAATTAACTTTTCGTGAAAATAACTGAAATTTTAGAAAATTTCTCGATGATTTATAAGGAAATAGCTGAAATATTAATTTTTATTGAAATTATTTTTAATTGAAGCGAAAAAAATGGTCAAACAGCTTGAAAAATCGAAAAAATTGGAGAGGGAAAAAGGTATCGAAAAATAATTCATTACCGTAGTACGTTAAAGGCACATACTGTAATTCAATGCGGATCTCGCAGCGAAATATTAATTTTTCTTTTTCTATGGGTTGAAAATTGACTTTTTTGTTATTTTATGATCAATTCAGACATATTTTCTTTATTAAATTTATTAAAAATCAAAACCATGACAGCGATGCATTCAATTTTATCGAATATTGTGCGTGAAGGTCGCATTTTCCGCTAAAAAATTATACTGATTTTATTTTGTCTTATTTTTTGCGGATTTTTGACGAATTAGTGTAGTTTTTTTGCAGAATATCTTTTCAATCTTTCTTCATTGTTCGAATTAATTCTGCTGTCTGAAAAAAACGAAAGGTGAGGAGAATTTAATTATTTATTTTTTCGTAAAATGACGTACTTATAAGGCGTTAAGAAAAATCCGATTTTTTCCCGAAGAATTGAGATAATTTTTAAATTTGCTTTATATTATCTGACAATCGATGAGAATTCAAATAACCAAAAAAATTTATTTCGCTCTGAGAGACAATATTAATTCCTAGCCTACATGATTTTTTCCACAATCGAAAATTTGTGTGCAAAATTTGCAAAAAGAAAATCTAAAAAATTCTCCCAAATTAAATATTCGTGAAAAAAATAATTTATGAAGTGCACAAAAATTGTATAATAAATCTAACAAAAATAAATCACAGTTGGAAATCGAAAAAAAAATAATAATTTCAATGAATTTCGACGATATTTTAAAGCTGCTGATACGTATATGGGATGCTAATGAAGATTATCACAAAAAATACTGAGGGGAATGGTAAAAATTCTAACAAGAAAACATATAATGACTACGAGATCAACTAACAGGCCAACATTTTCTACAAATTCGGATTAATCCGGTTTTCGGCATCGTTTTTTGAGGGTCTCTTTCGGAAAACAGAGGTTCAACATCATATTCAAATTGATTTCGTCCTCTTTTGACCTGAAAATTTTGTTTTCTTCAGTGACGACGAGCAACCAAAAAATTACATGGTGTCGACGAATGGGATGATCTCCGCGTCGGGATGGTCCTTCTTGAAGTGGCCGTTGCACAAATCCTGACGACTGAAGAATTTGTAGCAAACCGCGCATTTCAAACTGCAAAATCCAATGGTTTGTTGGCACCTTTTTTTCGGTTTCAAAAATTTACGTCTTATAGCCGAGATGGGTGATCGCGTGTCGTCGACGATGCGTCGTTACCAGGGAAACTTCACGGAAGCACACCTGAATTATTCAAAACAATATACTTTGAGGCGATCGTATTGAGGTATGGGTTGCCAAATTTTTATTCAAATGGTCGATTAAAAAAATATATATATAGTCAAGAAAAATTATTGTGAAAAAAAATTAGAGTAGAGGTCTAAGTGCGCCTTTAACCCTCATTATGGATTGGCTCGTAAATCTACACTTTTAGTTTTGCGCCAAGACCACTGTCAAATTTTCAGAGTCTCACGACGTCGACAATACCGTAAAAAATTGCATCCGCAAAATGTCAGCAGATGGATTTTTATTTCACGAGCGCTTTTGAAATGCCAAACTGTTTGGTTTTATGAGGTTTTTCTTTTGGTGTTTCTCGCAATTTTCATTCTCTTCGATAATATAGGCTCAATTTGCAGCAGCTCACCTGACAAACGCCGCGTTTCGTCGACGCATACGTGGCCTTGTATCGCGCGGCCGGCGAATCCGACACCTTATCGGCCATCGATTCGTCGATATCATCGGTCGCCTCGATCGCGTCCGGATCTTGCTGTAAGATTTTCCACATTTTCGTTTTAAAGGACACTTGATAAAAATCGCGGCGAGAAAAAAAAAGAAGAAAAAGAAGAGAGATCGAATTCCAACCTTGAGCCTCGAGAATAGCGCCTGCATCAATTGCGATTGAATCAGCTCGTTCGACGCCTCATCGTCATCGGCTTCATCGGCGTTCTCCTCGACGATGCTCGCCGTGAAATTTTGCGGCTTCGTCTCGGGCGGACCCTCCGACGAGGTGGCCGATGAGCTCGGCGAGCCGCCGCCACCACCGGCGCCGCATTCGTCGATGAGCCGCGCCTTTTTCCGCGCCACTCGCTCGTGATCGGTTTGCGTCGAGCTCTCGCGCTTCTCCGGCACCACTGTAGAAATGGGATTGCGAAAAACAATTTTTTTTCTTTTTTTACCATTTTTATCGCACAATTTTGATATTCGATCCGTCACCGAGAATGTTATTGATCGTTGTGTCTGCAAAAAGAAAAAAAAAGTACAAAATTGGGTCCCGGACGCAAATTTTTTTTTCTCGATGTCCCTCCTATTTACTTGACAGCCGCCACACACTAATTGAGTCCGATGGGACGAAATGGGTCTCTTTGCGCACAACAACAACAACGGAGAAAAAAAAATAAACGCGCGCACTACATGGTGGCCGACGAATCCGAGAATGAGAGAGAAAAGAAAAAAAATTCTAAATTGGTTCAGGTGAAATATTGCCGGCCGGCCGACACACCATTTTCCAAAATTAGAGAACCAATCGAAATTTGAATTACCGCCTCAATGTGGGGTTTTTTAAATTGAGAATTGGCATGCGCCTTTAAGCTGTGTTAATTGGAAATTCTCAAGACCATTGGGGTTTTTGTTGTTTCGAAGACAAAAATAAATTGGGTGTCGAGTGGATTAGCCGCGTAAATCGACACCGTCAGTGTGTCGTTGTGTTTTTTTTTGGTGTTTTGTTGTGTGCCCAACCCGTTGAATTCCAAAATCCCAATTTTTGCAACCCTACCACCACCACCACCACCACTCTCTCACCATGAACGCCATCAGCTCATTGAGTAGATCGCCGGCGTCGATGTTGATGACAACGAGCATGCCTGAAAATTTGTTCGGATTCTTTTTTTTTTGGTATTCTGATTGTGGGGTTGAGTGGGCAGAAAAATAAAAGTAGTCAGGTCTCATGGATGGCTGGATGCAAAAAGGTGGATGTGAATGGATGAAGAGGGGGAGAGAGAGAAGTGGGGGGGGGAAGGGGAAGATGGGGAGGGTGGGGTGGTGGTTGAGAACTGGCCCACCCCTCTTCCCCTCCTATGGATGGAGTGTGTTGAGTGGAGTGGAGTGTTGTTGTTGTTTTTTTTTTGCGTGTATGTGTGTCTCCTCTATGGCCTGGCCCTGGCCCTGGCCCTGGCCACGCCAGGCCCATTCGCCTCGTCCCTCTTGGTAGCCAGCGCTCTATGCAGGAGTGGAGGTCTGCGCGCTCGCTCGCGCGCAACAGCCGCAGCATCGCCGCGGGTTTTTGGTTGGTATGGGTCTTCTCGGGCGTCGAGGAGATGGAGAACACAACGCAAATAGCCCCACACATGTGGGACACTTTATAGTTGTCGGCCGTCGTATTGCATGCATGCGACCAAGGCCGGCCGGCCGGCCACTCGCTCGCTCGCTCCGCACACATTCTCATACATGCCCGGCGAGAAAGAGAGATATGGGACGAGGTTGAGAGGGTGCAGTACACCATCACCACCACCACCACACACCATGGTAACCACCATCAACGAATGCCCAAAATAACGCATTTATTCGAGGCACAAAAAAAAAACAAGAAAATTGATTCAACAATTCGATTCATTGCGCGATTGTCGATGAGAATATCGTCTCCATTATTTTCGGCAACTCGTCGGTGTCGCGTAACGCGAACGCTTTACCCGTTGGCAGCTCGGCGAGCAGTCTGCAACAATAAGGAGAAAAAAATTAACAAAAGGGATTATGGCGACGAAGGCGAAGACGCGTTATCAAATGACTAATGGATTTGTGCAGCGGGCGCGCGAGTTGAAAAGCGAGATATTTGCAGATTAGCAGCATTTCGTCTCTCTCTCCCCCCCCCCCATTTCTATATATGTATATGTATATATGAGTTTGTCGTGAATAATCCCAAAAATTTTTGCGACTCAATATCCGCTAATTGCGAGCGCGCGGGCGGTCGGGAGAGCGAAGCCAAGGGACGAGACACTTGACCCATTTTTTATTGCGCGCGAGAAATTTGGGGGGAAGTATACGATGATTCTCATTGACCCATTTGGTTGGGGTACCAATCAAATTGCAAGTGGTCCCTTTGCATCGAGATTTTTTAAACATCGCCGCTTGATTTCAACAATGCGAACATTGACTCAAAACGACAATTTGTCCCCAAAAAAGAATGAAGCAAAACTAGTATTCAAGAGTCTCTGAAAGAATCAAAAAACAGACTTACTCTTCGGCTTGTGTTCCGAGCGATCCGATGAATATCACAAAACAATTGACACTCGTCTCTTTGGTCATTTCGCGTCGCAACTCGGCCGGCGCGATGCCGTACCGTTCGAGATTCGCGTCCGACACCAATATCACCACCTTCTCGTCGTAATCATCTTTTGGCGCCAACTCTTTGACGGCCAACTGCATACACTCGACGGTGTTGTCGCCGCTCATGCAATACTACACCAAATTGGTGTTGATTATATTGTGTTGAGCGAACCTGCGTGTGCGCGAGCATCTTCTTCAAAACATTCAGACGCTCTTTGTTGTTCTTCGGATACGACTCTTTGTCGACGAACGCGACTCTCGGCGAATCGCCCGAATGACCGACGATGTCGTACTGAAACGTCGCACGTTTTTCTTCGGATTCACACCGAATCCGAATGCCCTACCTCAACCTTATCGGTTTTCCCTTCAAGTGACGCCATCATCATTAGTGCGGCCTCAAGTGTCTTCTGAAGGCGTTTATCGTAGCCGTTGAATCGGTACATCGAGCCGGAGCAGTCGAAGCACAACTTCAATCGTTTCGGTTTCGTTTGCGGCGCGCCCGCGTCTGGCGCCTTATCGATTCGCCGCCGATAGATGTTGTGTTCGCCGATGACGCCCTCGATGAGTTTCGCGTCGTCAAGATCGCCGCTCGTCTGATGTTTCGCCCATTCGCGCTCTTTTCGCTTCGCTTCGAGCTGCTCGATGACGGCGCTCAACTTTTTGCTGTTCGCCGACACACTTCTCCAAATTTTGTCGTACTGTTCGGCGTCGTACTCGCTCATGTTGATCTCCTGCAAAACGAAATCAACCAAAACCGACTCTCCTTTCTTCCCCCTTCACGTTTTGGTCTACGTTTCGACGAACCCTCAACTTTTTCGAATATTCCTGTTTGGCGATCTCTCGCGCCTTCTTCAAAATGTGCTCGGGCACTTGTTGCTTGGCAAACTCGGGCATCTGATGAACATCGTGTCCGGCGTCCAAACGAAACGGTCCGCCGATTCCGCCGAGTCCCGCCGTGTTGTAGCCGCCGGTGCCGCCCATCCATTGATTGCCGCCGTGATGCGGCGCATTGTTCGGATCGATTCTAGACATATTAGAGATTATCGCTCCGACTAGACGCCCCCCCCCTCCTCCCTACTTTCCGAGTTTCGGCTCATCGAGCTTCGACAAATCCACTTTGTCCTCGTCGCGCTCAAACTCCATCCTCAAATTCTCGTCGCCTTTCGACGTCATTCGCTTCCATTCTTGAAACGAGCTGATCATTGAGCTCATGAGAAGCTCGTAGGATCGAATCTCGCCGCCGCTGCTCACCGTCAACACCTTGTCGTCGCTCCACGGCACCAACACGAATCCCGTCTTGGTGATTGAGCCGATCCAATCGCTTAAATCGATTATGGCCACCATTCACGTCGGACACACCTACTCGTTGTAATTCCTCACGTTCGGCATCGGCACCGGCACATAGCAAACCTGTTTGGCTTCGGTGTCGACGGCCTCCAGAAAACCGGCGATTCGTCCCGACGCCATGTCGGGTTTGAGCGCGTCGCTCGGCACATTCCATTTCGGTTGACTTCGGATGATCGTCTTGCCGGTGAACACGATCTCCCTTCCCGGATCAATATTGACGGCGGTCTTCTCGTCCGACAAATAATAGGGTCGGCGATGGTCGACGACCTTGTCCGCCGTTTTCCGTGGATATCCGCTGACGGAAGCTCGCTGGAACTCATGGCTCAACGCGAATCGTGTCGTTGCTCATCGCTCACCTCATCGTCGAAATAGTCACCTTGAATGTAGTAATAGGCGTCCGAAGCAAGAATCATTTGTTTGTCGAATGATTTCGCCGATATCGGATCGATGGGCACATCATTCGCCATTGTCTCCATTATTATTTGGTCGCCGACACGACGAATTGCAAAGTTCTCATTGTCGGCTGTCACCAGGATCCAGTGATCCTCGCCTCCGACTGGCACGATCCGTTTAATTCGAAATGGCACTTGACCATTGTTCACTTTGAGTTGGCCGTTATCCATGTGATAAATGTTGATGCAATTGCCGCCTCTACAAAAAAGAAGATATAATGAGAAATGTTGGAAGGATGCGATTCAGGCCCACTTTTCGTATAACACTGCCGATTTTCGGTTCGACGGCGCCATTCTCCAGCCGGTCTTCTCATCGACAACGAACACTGGAATCCGAATATTAGGAAATTATTCGGATTTGCAGACCTACTGGCTTTGAAGTGTTCGGCTAGCGATTTCTCGTGAACCTGGAACCCTCGATGATTGTTGAGGTTGTAAAGAATCAAACGATTGCTCTGAAATTTCAACATTGGTCTGATTAGATTGAAATTCGAGTTACGAATTCATCATGGATTAATATTGTGCTCTCATCAATAGGTGATATCTTCAGATTCGGTCGGTAGCCATAATTGAATCGTTTCGTTAGCGATGGAAGAAGTGTTGCGATATCGATATGCTCAATCTAGAATCGAGCCACTACACTGACACAATTGGACGCGATTAATCGAACCTGCTGCGATTCGACGAGATCTTTGGCGTGAATCAGGCTCACCGGATTCACGGTGATCGCGACGAGACCACCGTCGCCGAATCGGCACGCGTCCGACACGATGTTGTCGTCGATCAACGGCAATTTCCATTGGCAAACGAGCTCCGAAAACACGCGATTCCTCATGTGCATTTTGTCGAGCTCTTTGGTCTTGCGACGAACGCGTTCGCCGAATTTCTAGAGTTTGCGCACGATTTCGACGATCGCAATCATGATATACCAACCATTTCGACATCGCGTGCCTCGCCGAAACCGAAATGCTCGGGAAACGCGTAGCGCTTCAGTCGCCATTCGCCGAGTTGTCGCAGGTCGCCGAGAGCGAATCGTTCGGCGATGGCGATTCGCTCGCCGGCGGCGGCGGCGGCGCCACGCGAAACACCTACAGATGAGAATCGATTTATTGAGAACGCAAATACCATCGATTGATGACTACGGCAAAATAATTAACTAGCCTAGCGGAATTCCGTGCTTCTGGAACACGCTCTCGATCGTCGCTATCGTGTCGTCGTTGTAGACGTCAAAATCGAAGACGTTGCGCGCGACTTCCGGTAGTGGATCGTCGGGAAAATCCTTGAACAAAGAGAAAATAATCGGCTGCGATGGATCGTTCACTTACGTTACAGTGCCTCACAATATTTACAAGTTCTCTAGTCGAGTAGGGGTACTGTAGTAGGCCTTGATCGGTCTTGTCGCGAAGCTCATTGAAAATTGTCAACAACTTATTGAGAATTGACTCGTCGACGTCTGAAAAAAGAAACGCAACGAAGTCGGATGATCAATGCGCGAATTCCAGATCACTTGGCCCGTATTTTCGGATCATCTCGAGTTCACTCGATCGACTCGGATGATCAATCATATGAATCGCGAAGAGATCGCCGAGCACCGCGAACAAATTGTTGCCGAGAAACGGAAAGCCGGGCCGATTCGCGAGCATGATGATGCGAAACGCCGAATGAATCGGCACCACGCCGGCGTCGTTGCGATCCGCCTCGCTGAGCCGATTCGACGGCTTCAACGTTCGACCGTCGCCGAGAACGAGACAACCGGTGTCGAGAAGATTTTTGAGAATCGCGACGACGTGAAGCGGCGCTTTGTCGGCCTCGTCGATCACAAGAATCTGGCCGCTTCGGGCGGCTTTCACCAGCGCGCTGTCCTCTTGCCGAATCACACCGTTCTCGACGACGGTTTGCATTGTGAGCGTCTGCACAGTCGTGTCCCTTGAAAAGACGAGTCGTTGCGAGAGACGAAACCGACCGATACCTATGAAGCTGCATGTATTGCCTCGGTCGATTGATCAGATGTAGGAAGCGATCGGTGAGCTTGTTCTTGCCGACACCCTGATTGCCGATGAGCAACAAATGGCTGCCGAGGTACATATCGCGAGCCATGTCCTCGAGAATTTCGGTGTGCTTAAATTTCGCGTTCGAAACATTTTCGCACAGCAAAAATTCGCCAACAACACAAACCTGCTCGTTGTCATGGAACACCACGTTCGGTATGAGGGCCTCGTCTTCGGCTCGTCGAGTCTCGGCGCGAATCAAACCCAAATAGCTCGTCGCGTTGGCGTCGCGTCGGCGTTCGTCGTTCACAATTTGCGCACGATCGAGCTCGTTGTCGAACGTCTCTTTCGTGAGCGGCGGCAAAAATTTCGCGAGCGCCGCTTTTTCGACGAGCTCCCTCAAATGGCCGGATTCAATTGTGTCGCGTCGCGCGATATGAATGAGGCGGCGAAGTGAGAGCGACGCGGCGGCGTTGCGCAACTGCAAAAAGCGAAAAAAAAAATGGTATTCGGCTTGAACAAAAAAATGATTGTCGCTTACACCGGTGTCGTGCGACGTCTTGAGTTTCTGGACGAATTTCGCCAATTTCGCCAACGAGTCGGTGTTGGTGTCGCCCGTGATTCTCGTGATGATCTCGAGTTGCTCGCCGATTGTGAGATTCGGCACCGCCAAAATTGGCAGCAACGAGAGCACACTCTCATTGAGCCATCGATGCTCTTTCGTTTGCGATTCGCCGACGAACACCAGACGGAATGTCGCGGGAATTTTGAAGAGACCGCGATTGTTGAGCTCGCGCTCGTCGAGCGCATCGCGCTTCTGAATGCGCGCAAACTCGTCGTCGCCGACTAGGCGATTGCCGTTCGGCAAATCGAATCGGCGATGATAGATGAGCTGCGCGAGCGACATCAGAACACTCGGATGGACCGTTTCGACGCCGTCGAGAATACAAACGTCGCCGTCGCGTGCCGCCTTCACGAGTTGACTGTCCTCCCAGACGGTGTCGCCGTTGTCTTTGATGTGCCTTCGCTGCACCAACTCGCGCGTGTTCATGTCCTGATGAAGGACCATCGAAACCGCGTTGAAGTTGAGGCGTTTCGAGAGCTCGTTGAGAATTCGCGATTTTCCCGATCCTTTTGAGCCGATGAGAACGAAATCGCCTTGCGAGAACGCGATGGCCAGATCGGCCAGAAGGGTCTCTTGTGTCTTCGTTGGAATCCAGGTTGAGGTCACTTGCGACGAGTTCGGAGGCGTTGGGATCTCGAGATCGATTCCGGCGATTTTTACACGAGTCTTTCCATTTCTCGACGAGCTTTCATCGATGACATGCTCGGTTCGATGATCGGATAGTTCGAACTTCGTCTTGAACTGCTCCATGAGCTCCTTCTCGCTGTCGGTGAGCACCTCTTTCGCCGGATAGCACATGTTGACGATTTGCGACGCCGAATATGTTGGATTCCGATTCCAGACATGAAGGCAATGCTCGACGACGGAGACGGCGATTCGCGGTCTTGAGTTTGAGGATTCGGAATTGAACGCGTAAACCAGCGATATGAGATCATTGATATCGTTCTGCTCGACGTTCGGAGCAATTTGATAGGCTTGCTCGAGAAATGTCTGCAAAATTGTTGAATTTATTCATTTTAATTGTGTTTCTTGGCAATTCTGACGTCAAACGTGTAATCATCGGTGTTCCGACACTGGAATCGACTTCGAAACGGCGGATCCAAAGAATTGCCGGGGAATCGCGGAACCGGCAAACCGAGAGCGATGACATGGAAATTCTCGGAGACCCTCTCGATTCCCATTTTTGTCAACGTCTCTTTATTGTACTTCTGAAACGAGGAACAAGAAGCGATGAGTGTTGAAATATTTAGACCCCCCCCCCCAAAAAAAAATAGGAACCTTCATCAACTCGTCGTATTTGTCATGCTTCATTAAGAATCGGCCATCGTCGAGCTGCATTTCTCTAGAAGAATTTTTTTTGTGTATGAATCGATTGCCACGAGACCGTGTGCCTTTAATTGATGGATCCAAAAAATCAATATTTTTCGAATTTAAAAAACACGCCATCTCGACAATTTCTTTTTGTCTGTTTTTCAGACTATTTCGAAATTTTAATGAGAATATTGAAATTCGACAAATAAAAAAAGCCAACCGATTCTCGAGAAGATTGTTGAGAATTGGAAGAACGTTTCTTTCGGCGCGCTCGACGCCGTCGATCACAAGAACTCGGCCGGATAACGCCGCTCGAACGGCACACTGGAAAAATGTTTTTCCGACAAAAACAAAGAAATCGAACCAGATCTGTATAAAAAGCAGTTCCATTCCGAATCTCTCTTCTTTGCTTTATGTCGGCTTCGGTTGTGTCGCGCGTAATCGAGAGATACTCGAATTCTCGATTTGTAAGCTCCAGATAGCGGAGGACGAGTTCGAGGCGAAGTTTTCCTGGAGTGCCGAGCAGAAAAACGTCCTGTTTGAGTAGATCTTTTTGAATTAGCCATTTCAAATGGCCGAGAAGGTCCTTTGGCGGTTGGCTTTCAGGTCCTGAAACGGAATTTGAATTTTTGATTTTTTTTAATTAACGTTGGAGCGCGTTTGCCCGCATTTTGACAATAAAATATGGCAATTTTATTAGAGTGCGAATATCCAGCAGGATTTTAAATCCGAAAATAAAACTTTAAAAAAATGGAAATGTTGAAAATTCACCATAAAATGCGGGAACAAAATCGGAATTCTGAGCGTGTTTGCGTTTGACGCGTACGCCGCCGATTCGAACGAAACCGTTTGAGAATTGCCGTGAACACGTGAGAATTTGGCGTAGATTGGCCCGTATAATCATAAAGAAATGAAGAAGCTGTAAAAATGAATTAATAATGATTGTAAAAAAAAAATTTTTCGATTTTTTTTTAAACAAAACGCTTGCCCACGCGGAGGCGACGGAGAAAGATAGGCACCTCGGCTATAATGTAGCCGATGTGGTGTGTGATCTTCTATCATTAATTTGATGAGTGAGAATATTGCGATTTTGAGAGAAAAAAAAATAATTTGGATGGAAAAAAATGGAATGGGCTGAAAATTGCGATGGAGCGCACTTGCGGAATTGTTAAAATTTTTTGCTTCTGATTAATTTTTGATTGTTTCAATTTGGATTTTTTTAAATTTCAGGAACCATGAGCCGAATTTGACGAAAAATGGAATTATTTTGCAACCTGCTACCCATTGGTGAGAATTTGTTTAATAAAAATTTATATTCTAACTCAGAATTTTGAAGAATTTGAATCGCGGCAGGATGTTATTTAATTTTTGCCCTAAAATAAAATGAGCTCCGTCAATATGGGGCACTTTTGTGCGGATTACTAGAAAATCGTGCTCTTTCAGACAAAATTCGTCCCTAAGATTTCTTTCCACTCGAGACCCAAATGGTAAATCAAACGCAATCAAAATTCGTTTCCCCGTAAAAAAATATTTTGAAAATTTCCAATTGTATAGGTGATTCGAAATTTCTTGAAATCCTCGCCCATTTCGCCCACCTTTTGATTTTCAAAGTTTTTGCGTCGAAGAGCAAATGATCAATCATTGTTGATCTTGCCGCGAAATATGTATGCTCCTTGAATGAGCAATTTCTGAAAGAATTGTGCGAGAAATTTTTCGAACGTTGATTACCCTAGATGTTTAAAGGTACACGAAGAGAATCGTTATAAAATATTTCAAAGAAAAATGAGATTCGTTCATTTTATGTACAGTAGCTTTTTTTAAATAGGGTTTTCAAAAAATTATTTGGTCCGATGTAAAATGCGCTCAAATTCCGTCTTGTGGCACTTTAAAAAATCACCAAAAATTGTGATCTTTCGCATTATGATGGTTAAATAAAACGTTTTTTTTCCATACGGGACCCAAAGGCGGCAATTCAAATGATACCGTAGTCGTACCCGGATTTACAAGGAAAAAATGTGATTTTTTTCATTTTTCTGCAATAATCCCAAAAAGGAAGGTAAAGTAGATCAAATTGTTCCATTTTTTTGTTGCTGAAATTTTTTTCTCCTGACATATTGCCGTAGTGTTATACACATACATACCAACGCAAATATTTCGAGCCGATCGAGCCGCCGTGCTTCTTGTGGGGGGTGCGTGCGCGAGCGAGCTGTTTGCCGAAGCGCGCAAAAACCGTCGACGAGATTTGAGAAAAGAAAAACGAAAGGAGGGGGGGGGGGCGAACAAATTTGTGCAAACTGAGTCAAGCCGTGCGGCACACACACACACCCATGTTTCAAAATTTTCCCACCCCCCTCCTCAATGTGAATTGCCATTTTCAACCGTGACTTCTTACAGCAAATACTTGAGAATAATGGGAGGCGGCGATGGTGGTCCGAGAGTTCGAATCGATGTTGTCGATCAACAAAGGTGTGTGTTTGCCGATTTGTTCATGATCGTTTGCCAAAATTTTTTTTTCCAGCGACAATCGATTGCAGCGCGCGCAGAGCCACGGATCCGACACGGCCACCATCAATTTTGTGACCGACGACAGAATGCAGGTGGGGTTATTCATTATGTGTCGAGAAACTGGTATTTGATTTCGATTTTTGATTATTTGAACACTTGAATGAATGGGATGGGATGGGGGGGCTCTTGAAAATTTTCACCGCTCGACGCCTTGATCATTTTGTCTTCTTCTTCTTCTTCTTCTCCTTCGTTTTTTTTTCAATCAGCGCCCATTTTTCTTTCTTTTTGGGACCCATCTAATCAGTTTGAACGAGAAAATTCAATTTGTTTCAGCCACCTTTTTTCTTCGACTCTCCTCTTCTTTTTGGATTCCTTCTTTTTGCACACATTTTTTTTCATTTTTATTCCCGAATTTCGAAAAAAAAGACACATATTGGGAAATTTCGAGAGAAATTTGGATTCGAATTTTCATTTTAAAGGCGCTTACTGGAAATAGCAATCTTCCCTTTAAGGCACCTCCTTTAAAGCGCTCTTGAAAATTTGAATTTTGCAGATTTTTGCGATATTCTTGCATTTCGAACCTTCAATACAAATGACTCTACTAGAATTTTTTAATGCCAAAGATTTTCAGACTTTTTTGTTGCCCCTTGAAATTGCATTATTTAACTACGCGCTCTGAAAAATTTTTTTTGAAAAATCCACAATAGCAAATTTTAGGGGAAAATTGTTTGAATCAAGCGCGTCATTTGATGAATTTTTGTGAGAAATTTTCTCGCATTAGTTTTTTTTCTTCTTAAAAATGGTCCTTCGCCTCAATTAATCATACGTTCGCCGCGAAAGTCATTCGCATCCAAAGTTTTTTTTAAATGTGTATGTTTCGGGCGTCTCTCGCCGTTTTTGCCTCCATTTCGTCCATCCTTCGCCTTCTTATTCAACCGCGCCGGTTTTGCCCTAGTCGATGAGCTCTCGCCCTCTCTTTTTTTTTTCGTTTTCTCGTTGATTTGCACTAAACTCGAAGAGTTTACTACCAGAGCATGAGCAAAACGTCGTGGTTTTGTCTGTTTCGTTTTGCTTGTTTTTTTTTTGTTTGTTTGCCGATTTGATTATTTGCCAGCTTCAAGCGCCAGCGAGCGCTCCCCACATTGTTCTCAATGTCTCTCTCGTTCCGGTTTTGCGTTTTTGTTTTAACAAATTTCGCCTCATTATCAGAGACCCCCTATGGTATATTTTTTGTGTGAGCAATTTGAAGGGTTACTGTAGTTTCGAAATTTGGGCAAACGCCGTTTGAAATGGTCGTCATGAGAGCCGTCTATTTTGAAATTTAAGAAAATTGGCGAAATTCCGTTTTTTTTCCCGAATTCGATTAAAGGCGCATAACGCTGAGATTAAGTTGGGTCTTGTGGCGAACAGATTCAAAGAAATTACATTTAATTTTTGTGTGAAAAATTCAAAAATTGAGATTTGTTGTTTTGAAATGAAAAGTCTATTTGAATTTAGGCTACTGTAACGCGAAACGTTGTGCAAACACCGTGACGCGAATTTTGGCGGACTAATTTATGGTTTTTCTTTTGTCTAGACAAAAAACTTCGAATGATGCAGAAAAAATGGAGAAATTGGACCTTAAAAAAAATAAAATTGAATTCTGATTACTGTAGCTCTGAATTATGTGCAAACACTTTTTTTGAAAAGTTTGGCGAAATTCGGATTTGGTTTAAATAAAAAGAGAAAGATTTTACTACTTCTCCCCCATCCATCCATCTTTTTGTGTTGTTTTTTTTTGAAAAAAAAAATGGCTAGGAGCACGAAAAAATGGAGAAGAAATAGTCGGTTGGTGGGGCGTAGAAAGACGGATTTTCTGTGTTTTTCGTCGCCTTCTCGATTGCCCGAAAATAGTGTGCGCGAGACGATGAGAGCGACGCGAGAGCCAACGCATGCAGATTTTTGTGGTTCATGTTTTCGTTAGTGTTTGCAGGAGGACCACGAAGAGTACAACGCGTACAAGGAGGCGTACGAAGAGGAAGAACGACGCGAGTACGTTATCGTCAACGGTGAGAAGCGGCTCGTCAATCAGCATTACGATTCGAGGGGCTACTCGTCGTCGGCTCGAGGTTTTCTATTTGTTTTTTTTTCTCTCTTGTTCTCAACAAAAATTTCTGATGGTCCCATTGATTGGGAATCACAATTTTGATGAAATTTGGATTTTTATTTTCCATTTTAAGATATATTGATTTTTTCCTGATTTTGGTTTTATGGATTTTTTTGATTAAAAAAATGTTTGTTTCCTTCAAAATGTATGTGCTTTTTTTTTAATGAATTTCTCCATTTTTCCCAGAAAATTTTCGATTTTTTCGTTCGAAATTACGGAAAATTGAATTTTTAAGGGTTTTTGTGGCAGATAATTGAATTTTTTCCAAAAAAAAAAATTGAATTTAAGACGAAGATTTGAGTTTTGACGATTTCTTTTCAATGGAAATGAAAAAAATTGGAATTTTCTTTTTTTTTTTGATGAAAATCGTCAAAAAAATTGGATTTCTCTAAATGTTTTACATTTTTGTTTCAGGAAACCGCGGACATTCTGAACACCAACGACGCCGAAATATGGCCGTTGATTATTCTTGTAAGTCGAAGAAAAAAAAAAAGAAGAAGCATTTGACGGTGTTATTGCAGCCAATGATTTTCGCCAATCGCTTGCCGCGATCGATCAGGCGTCGCGCGAGGGCGCCATATCACGCGAGGGCGGCGATGGTGGTGTACGAGTGCGCCAAATTGGCGACACGACAATAATGACGGAACACCGCGATCCGTACTCGTTCTATTGGCAACTCGATCAGGCGCGCCGCGAGTCGGAGAGTCCGCCGCGTCCGCGGCCGCCAACCGACTACGTCATCGACGAGGAGGAGGTCGTCGACACGGTGTTGTCGCCGGAATCGCACGACTCGGGCATCGTCTATGAGAATCAGTATAGTCGGCCGCATCGGGTGCCGCTGCCGCCGCCACCGCCGCCGATGCTCGACGAGGAGCCGCGCGATCTTCCGCCGGGATGGGAGAAGCATCAGGACCCGCAAGGCTACTCGTATTATTGGCACGTCGACAGCGGCACAATTCAGCGTCAGCCGCCGCCGCCAGTGGTTAGTGAGAATTGCCTTTTTGTTGTGTGGTGAACTTATGCCTTGTGTTCTGCAGCGTGAAGTCACACCACCACCACCACCCGCTCGAAGTCCCACACCACCGGTCTACTCGGTCACCACCAGTGTACGTGCATGCGATGATTTGTTTTTGTTCCTTGAGTCATTTCATTGATATTGATTGGACGACTTATTTTTTGCTTTTTAGAATCGCGAGGTTCAAGTCGACGCGCCGCCACCGCAGATCATTCAACTTCCGCCGCAACAGCCGGTCATCGAGGAGCACGCGTTCAAGCAGACGACGACGAAGCGTCGCATCGAGCAGGATGAGATGAGCGAAGAAGGTCCGGAGGAATTGGGCGACGGCTATCAGAAGGTATGAGGCATTCTCGCCAGTCAGAGGAGTCACTTGATGATTTCAGCCGGTCCGATTTGCGGTTCGATCGCTTGGCTGGACGGAGATTGCTGAGGATGAGCTGACGGCTGAGAAGAGCTCGAGAGCTGTCAACAGGTTTTTTTTTGTGTTCATTCTTCATTTTGCCTTCATAGCGCTCATTTTGTTTCAGAGCCATTGTTGATCTCTCCACTGGACGCAATGATTTGATGGATAATATCGCCAAATGGGGAGATGTAAGCAATTTTCTTAATGATCATTTTTCTCACAACCATCATAATTTAGGGACGCGAATTGATCATGGAGCTCGATGACAATGAATTGTCGCTTATCGATCCCGACACGATGAATGTGATCCATTCGGAGAGGATCCAGGCGATTCGCGTTTGGGGTGTCGGACGCGACAATGGAAGGTAGGCGGGGTTTGTCGAAAATGTCTAATTTCGAATTTTCATGGTTGTGTGCGTTTTAGAGATCGGTGAGTTTAAGAAGTGTTGTGATGGTTATTGAATGTTGTGTGTGTGTGTTTTTGGGGGGGGAGCTCGATTTTTGGTCTAAAATCCATTTTTTTTTGTTTCTTCCAGAGACTTTGCCTATGTGGCCCGCGATCGCAGCACACGTCGATTCATGTGCCATGTGTTCCGTTGCGATACGCCGGCGAAAGCGATCGCGAACGCGCTTCGCGACATCTGCAAACGAATCATGCTTCATCGTCGGCCGTCGAGTCTCAACGCGATCGAGATGGGCGAGAAGCGAATCGTCAAAACCGAGGGTCTCAGCACGCCGATCGACGAGCCGCGAAAAGTGATTCGTTGCCATTTTCTCGGTGTCACCCAAGTGCCGAAAGCCACCGGCATCGAGATCCTCAACGAAGCTGTCGATCGTCTTGTGTCGCAGGTGCGACCCGAACGATGGATTCTGGCTGATGTCTCGATCGCGCCGTCGACAATCAATATTGTGGAAGTGAACGGCCAGCAGATTGCCGAGTGTCGCGTCAGATACTTGTCGTTTCTGGGAATCGGAAGGGATGTCAAGTAAGCGGAATTGAGGATGAGCTCATCGGATTCCTTGTTTTTTTTTTTTTCATTGAAGGCATTGCGCGTTCATCATGCACACCTCGTCGGAAAGCTTTTTGTGCTACGTGTTCCACGTGGAGCCGAGCGCGGCGGCAATGGCGAAGACGATTGAAGCGGCGTGTAAGCTGAGATATCAGAAGGTTTGAAATTTTTTCATTTTTCAAAATTTAAAAAAAAAGCAAGCATGTAGCAGATTTTGAGGGGATTTTGTCGCGAAAATTTCAGAAAAAAAATGTAATTAGCGTTATTTTAGGTGCTTGACGCTCATGCGTCGCGCAATCACTCATCGGCCTCGTCGATTCATCACGGACCACCGCCGCCGCCGGCGAGCAGCTCATATCACGGCAAGGTTTTCGATTTTTCGACATTTTCCCCCGGAATTTTGTAGGCGATCTAACCGTTTTTCCCCGGAGATTTGCTTGAGTCGAAACTCAAAAGAGGCAAATCTCATAACACAATTTGGTTTTTTTTTTGTTGATCCATATTTTTTTGTCTGAATACCAAAAAAAATTGAATAGAAATATTTTAGGGATGGACTGACACTTTTCGCGATGCTTTTGGATCAATGACGCAGCGAATCGCCCCGTCGCGCTCATCTCATCGAATATAATCCAATTATTTTTTTTTGTTCAATTTTTACGAGCTTTTATTCTTTCTTGTTTTCATTTCGTTTTTTTTTTCATTCTTTCATGTGTGATCCCAATATGGTTTGTGCTGTATGTCCGTGTCCTTAAGTGCTGAAATGTATAATAAAGTTTAGCTTTTATACTAGATTACACATAAAATATGACTTGAGGTGGCCTGGAACTGGCGGGCAAAGAAATTCTAGGCCACAAGCGATTTTTGAGGTTTGGAAATAATTTATGTAATATTTATATTATAATTATAAGTATTAATATATAATAAAAATAGAATAATGAATATAATGAAGAATTTTTGAAGACATTTATGGGGTGTGGCCGAATTTCCTCGATGCCGGCCACGGCCATCTTAAAGAAAAGGCTCTTCTGTTGTAATTCTTGTAGTTAATTCGAAATAAAAGTGAATCAATGATTAGAATACTATTTTTGAGGTTCAACACAATTCTAAATATGGAAATTGAATGAGGCTGGGTCCCGTCGCGACGGATTTTGGTAGCCAATTTCTTCTTCGGAAAAAAACCTCGATATAAATAGTTTAGTTAGTTTTTCTATTCGACAATGTTGCCTCGAGACCTCTTATGTCAATATTGACAAGTACGAAATCCGCCGAAACGGCGAGCACACCTCTCTGCCAAGGTCTCGTATCGATTGGGTCTCGAAAAAGTCACAATGGTCTATCCAGATGATCATCCGCTTCCTCCGTATCCGCAACCGGTGAAAATCGTCAAATATGTGCCAAAAGTAAGTCGTTTTTTTGGATTTTCGGCATTTTTTCAAAAATTGTTCGCTTCTAGGAGACCTCAATCAGCTCGCCATATTTGGATTATTGCCCCGGATGCCAGTCAACGATCATGACGCGCTGCGAATCGCACCTCGGCGTGTGCTGGTGGATCATCTGCTTCGTCGGCTTCTTCCTCTTCTGTTGGCCGATTCTATTCTTCCTGTGCTGCGACTGCTCGAAAGACATCGACCATCGTTGCCCGAATTGCGGTCTTTTGTTGGCGACGTCGAAAAAAGCGGGCTTCTGACGACATCGGGTCAATTTTTCTGCCTCATTCCACGAATAAAATCAATTATTTTTTTTTCATTGATAAGATAACAGACCGCACGGACACGAAAAAATCGATTGAATAAAAAAATTTTGAATGATGCTTCGCGTTTTCCAAAAAAAAATTTTTTTCTGAATAAATAGAAACACAAAAATCAATAATACCAACTAGTGGTATTTATAGGCGTTTGTTTCGTTCGTTCGTTTTGGTTGAGGCTTTTTTTTGTTGGTGCTGATCGTATAGTTGCCAGTTTTGCCTCTCCGCTGTCGGCGCACACTCGCTCGGCACCATTTTTGAGCCGTTTGCTTTCGACACCTGCAACACACAAAAAATTGCAACACATTTTTTTTTTCATTATTCGTTTAGAAATGAAATATTCTTCCCAGCGCGAAGAAGAAGAAAAGAATGAGGAGAAATCGACGAAAAATTGTGAGTTTTTTAAATGTTTTGCAATTTGGGCTACGGTAGATTTTGAATCTGTGCCACACGTGACGCACAGTTACACCATTTGTTTTTGAATTTATTGATTTTCAAAAATCCCTGCGTTTTTTTTATCTGTTCTTGTTTTTCTGCGAGTAATAGCGAATTTTTGAAATTCTCGGAAAAAATTCTATTTTTGCGCTACGGTAATTTGAAATAGTGCATTGCCGCCAACGAAAAAGTGCACACAAATTCAAATTGTCATCTCTTGCTTCCAGCTTGCCGAATTTCCCTTTTTAAATGCATTTCGCGTTTTTTTTCCTCCAAAATGTCATCCTCGCATCAAATCTGCCATTGTGAAATCGAATTAAACTGTTTTCAAGTTGCGCGAATCCAATCAACTTTCACTGGAAGTTGTTCGCGACGCCTATCCGTCGGGATCATTGGAAGCGAAAGTAAAATCGCTCGGTTGCGCGCTTGCGCGATTCGGACGCTAATCCGGCCAACAAACACCGAGGAACACTGATACGCGAGGTGTTCAAGGCTACCACCAGCTGTACCACCACCACATGTGTTGCATAGTTAGGTCAAACGGGGGGTGGAGGAGGCGCGTGGCATTAGTAGTCTCTCAAGTGCCACTCGTCGACCAATTTTCACTTTTCCTATTATGTCAATTTTTTAGGAACACCCAATGTTCTTTTATTTACTACAACTACTACTACTGCGTACCATGAAATTTGATGCCCCCATATGTTTCCTGGCGAAGCGATTTTATAAACATTCGGCCTTGTTTTGCACGCTCAATTCGCTCGACGACCTCCTTTATTTGGTATTGTTGTTTGGTGATAAAAAGCGATGTCATCTCTCTCTCTCTCTCTCTTTTTTTTGGCGATCCATTTCATTTCACGCACGTCGTCCTTGAAGTTCATCATCTTTAGAGTAGACTATAGCAATTAATTTTGGCGAGCGGGGTCCCCTCGTAATCATCGCCAACTACAAAGCGAAGGGTCTCATCTTGTTGAAAATCGTTTATTGTATTTTTCTTCTTACAACGGAACTGTTCTAAAAATTTGGCTTATTTTTTTTAATTCTTAAAAACATTTTTTTAAAGTTTCCGTTTGCAAATTTTTGTTTAAAAAATTTTGTTCAACTAAAGTTAAGGAGTTTTGTTGAAAGGACTCGAAAAATTTGGTTTTAAAAATATTGAGATTTAATTATATTAAAACTCATGTCCAGTTTTATTGAATTTCAAGCCAATTCGGTTGAAATTGTTAAAATTTTAATCTTTTTTTGATTTTTGTTAGAAAACTCGAATTTTTCTCACATAATTGATGTTTTAAATATTTTTTTCCTTTAACTTTTTTTTTAGAAAAACAATTAGATTTTGAAGAAAATTGAAAAAAAAGTGAAATTTTGATATTTAAATTTAAAAAAAATTAATTTTTGTTAATTAGTTTCCCTTCCTACTTTTCAATTTTTGTCTCAAATGAAAACCGCAATCCAATTTTCTCAGATTTCCGTCGTCCAATGAAATTTCCTTATATGTCGCGTTTGTATACAACTGACCGACCAGAAGAAGAAAGGGCGGCGGGCGAGGAAAAAAAAAATTGGGAAAAGAAAAAGAAGAAGCTCGTGTCGGCAGGCATACATACGCGCACTCTTGCGCTCTCCTCGAGCTAAAATTGAGCAAAATTGATCATTTTTGGACCTTTTTTGGTTGGGTTTTGAATGAAAACCGCCGAAGCCAATTTGTATAGTAATTTGGAATCGATTCGAATACATTACACCTCCCATTCGCCCGCCGCCCGTTTTGCCACCATATATTATTATTATTATTATTATTATGACATGTATAATAATAATCATTTATTATGCGTTGCATTTTTGATTTGCCTCGCTGCCCTTTTGTTTTGCCGGTTCCCAACGCACATAAATGAAGTCGTCGAAAATTGGGTTCTTTTTGGAATTTCTTTGAAAATTGCGCATTTTTGAAATAAAATATGAGAGAATTTGGAAGTTTCTTTGAAAAAATCGAAAAATTTTGTTGAAATTAGTTGTAATTAAAGTTTGAATTGCAAATTTTCTCATTTTTATTCTAAATCATGTTTTTTTTTACAATTTTAAAAATAAATTTTCGAAAATTGAAAATGTTTTATTTTTTGACACTTTTCAACTAAATTTTCAATTTTAATTGACAAATCCTCAATTATTTCCAAAATTTTGAATTTTTCTATTAAAAATTGAAATTTTTTTGCGAATTTCGCTCACTTTTCCGTAATTTTACGCAAGACTTTGTTTATTTCGATTTCACTTTCCCGCTTTTTCCGGTTGGCGTAGTACACCATATGGCGTCGCAGCGGCGATGGTGAGCAGTAAATTTAAATTGCAAGCCACGCCCCCCATTTTTGGTGAACAATGAATAATTTATGTGTGTAAGTGCGTGCTTGAATATTTTTTCCTCCTTCAATTTTACTGAAATAATCATATTTTCAATATTTGTTCAATTCGAGCTATTTGAAACTTAAAAAGACCTGAATTTCGATCTATTAAAAAAAAATGAGAATTTTTGTCAAATTTTTACCAAAAAAATGGAGGGAAACATGAAAAAATGCGTTTTTTTTTTTCAAGTTTCGCTGAAAATTATTTATTTTTTGCAAATTTCTTTTTTTTTATTGAGTTTTTTTTGTCAAAATTTGCTCTTGTGTTGTAGGAATTCCAACAAAAAAAATTGACTTTGTGCCGATTTTTTTTGGCAGATGAGATTTTTACACAAAACGCCGTCGTAATTGATCGATCGTATTTATAAGCCGCTCGGCGTCGGCTGTGTGCCATCGCGTCCGTTCCGACGGCCTGTCGGGTGCCGGTCACTCATTATCTTGCTCGGTTCGTTGCCTTCTGCTCTCCTTTTTCTTTTTCTTCTTCATTCTATTTTTTCTTGGCATTTCCGAATTCCCACAAGAATAGACCAAAAAACGAGTGATTTATTGGTCGCCAACTACTGTTTTTTTTTATTTGTTCGAAATAGTGAAACGAGCTTCGATGCATTTCTGAATACGCGTTTTCCAATGCACAAAAAAAAATGGTGGGAAAATTTGGTGATTTTTTGGCGAATTTGCGATTTTAGAAGTGCATTTTTGGCGATTTTTGGGTTTGAAACTTGAAATTTCCATTTTCGAATTGCATTTTTCACTTCGAACTTTTTGAGTTTTCCATAAAATTTTTCTGAAATTACGAAATTGCCGAATTTTCGCTGAAATCATTGGACCTCATTGTCCATCGATTCTGTTTTCTGTTTTATTCTGTTCAATTTTCCCCGAAATTCTTCAAAATTTGAATGTTTGCAACTCGGAAATTCGGCATTTTTTGGTTTTGATCCAATTTTCTTAATTTTCTATGAAATCTCTTAAAATTGCTTTCAAAAAACCTTAAAAATTTAATTTTTTTTTCCTCGAAATTTCAATTTTTTCCAAAATTTTCAAGAATTTTGAAATTTTTTCCTTTTTTTTGCTCCAAAAAAAGGTTTGTTTTGAAATTATCAAGCTCCCCAAAATTTGAACCCTCGAACAATTTTTTGTTGTGTTCTGATTATTCCCATTGCAATTATGGTGTTAGAAACGATTGGCCTGAGGCGGATTTCAAAAATAGCTGACGATCCGCGGCGCCGGCGCCAGACGAGACAGTACGCCATGTATGAGAGAGCCCAGAGTCGGGGGGGGGGGGTGTCGACAGGTGAGACCCGATCAACCTTGATTGTCTTGTTCGACGATGCGCGAGCGTCGCCACTCCAAATTTGATGTTCTCTCTGCCCCTCTCTCGTTGTGGTTCGAAATGAGTCATCGGTTACCTGTTGAGAAATTCAATATCAAAATAATCCAAAAACTTTTACCTGTCGATTTCGAAATTTTTGATGGTCACTTGATCATTTTATATTTACCAAGCGAACAATTTTTTCCGACGCGGCATCCTTCTACTAATGCGCCTTTAAATTCTACCGTACCTGAAGTATTATTAATGGGTGGTCCGATGACTAAGAGATCAGCTGTTTGCTTCCTCTCGTTTTTTTTCCTGCCGCTGTTGACCGACCTCGCGACGTCAGTTCTGATTTTTTTTCTCTCGAAAAGAATTCGCTTTGAGACCCGAAAGCTTGTGAAATTGCTATGAGATTAAAGGCGCATTCGCTCGCAACATTTTGGTTGCGCGCGCATAAATTGAATTTTTGATGGATTTGCTTAATTGGTGTGTCGCTCCCTACACCCTGCACACCCTCGTTCTCACCATCAATCATTCGCCATCATAATTTGTTTGGGTGGTGGCCGGCGGGCCACGATTAGCACCTGTTTTTCAATGCGCTTTAAAAAAAATTATGAATTTTTGAAATTTTTCAGCATTTTTCGCGAGAAATTCGTTTCGTCGGACACTTGGCGCGGCGAAACAGCAGCGACGCGAAAAGCCCGGTGAGTTTGGTGCCAAAAAAATATTTATTTATTGAAATTTTGTTGAATTTGAACAGCTGATGCCTTTTTCTTTGTGTACGACTAATCCTTTTATGGGCATTTCTGAAATTTTTTCTAAAATAACTCTAATATTTTAAAAAATGTATCAAGAATTCAGAAATATTAAAAGAAAAAAGTTATTGAGATTAAAAAAAACATGATTTTCTATTATCGACGTCGCAAAAATTGGTTAAATTGAAAAAAATTGAAAAAGGGGTCTCGATACGTGCGGTGTGCACCTTTAACCTATCGGTATGTAAATCTACAATTTAGTTTTGCGCCAAGAAAAGTTATTGGGAAAATTCGCGCCAATTTAAAGAACTTTTTTTTCAATTTATTTATTTTCAACAAAGCAATGCTTGTTAATTAATTAATTAATTTTTTTATAGTTGAGTGTGATCACGTAAAATTAAAATTTGTCAAAATTGACGCCATTATTTTGATTTTTTTCTGAAATTATTACATTCGCAAAAAAACGAGCACTTTGCGCCGATTTACGGTAATTTTGGATCGGAATTGCCCCAGTTTGAAATTTGAATTTGAATTACCGCCTGGAAAAAGTGAAATGGTCCACAATTTGTAAAAGTGCTATTTTTTTGCGATGGTAATATGTTTTTTTAGAGAATTCATAAAATTAATCAAATGTGTGCAATTTTGCGTGCGTGTGTACACGCGGACAGCGCATTTTTTGAATATTGAGCTTCAGCTATTCTGTTTGTGATTTTTTTTTTCAAAATTTTGCGCTTTCCAGGATTCTCATCGATCCGTCGCTCGAAATCGACATCGGCCAAGGTTCGCGACGATCGAATGGCGCTGATGGGTCCCGCGCAGAAATCGGTGCCGCCGATGCCGGCACAAGAGCAACTCGAGAAAATGTTTGACGATGTTCTGGTTGGTGACATTTTTTTTTGAAGCACAAGAGAAAAAGCAAACAATAGACGGACGCGTTTCGGTTTTTCAGAAACACATGGACCTACCCGTCGATAAAATCCGAATATTGCGAAGTTATGATAATGAGAAGAAATGGAAGTTGATCAATGATCAGCAAATGCAAGTGGCGAATAAGCCGATCACACCGCCGGCGAAATATCTCGAAAAATTGGCGTATTTTCTGGATAAAAAAATGCTCAAAAAAGCGCTCAAAAGCAAAGAGGTTGGCGATTTTTGTTTTTTTCAAATTGAAATTTCATATTATTTTTTTTCAGATTTTGGCCGATGAGACGTCGACAAGCGTTTTGAGGCACATCGAAATCAGTTTGCGAACGAATAGCGTTGAGTAGGAATTTTTGATGTTTTCGAAATGAAATATTATTTGGGGGGTTTTCCAGTTGGGTTTTCGAATTTCTCGAGGCGCCGAATCACGGATTGCAGAAGCTCGTCGATTACATGAGGCATTTGTTGGCGGATTGCGCGTCGGTGCCGTCGACGTCGAATGGTGGGTAGAGCGTTTTTTTTTTGGATTCTGTAAAAAATTGGGGAAAACGCGAACCGCAACGCGCTTGACAACATTGGCGACTCGCTTTTTTTTGTGTTTTTTTTTCTCGTCATCGCGAATTTAGCGAAATTGTCTGTGTACTCCACACGGACCATCCCAGCGGATCGCGATTATATCACTTTTTCTGAGCAAAAAAAAAGTGCAAGAAGTTTGAATTGATGAAAAATTGATTATTTCAGGTCTTCCGACAACATCTGGCAACAATTCTGTCCATGAATCGCCATCGCATAACTCGTCGTCAGACGTCAGCGCGAATGCCTCATCAATATTCGGTTCGAGTTTCGACGCCACGGCGAATTTGCTCAAAAAAGGTGGTGTTGTTTTGTTCGTCGTTACCGTAATCCAATGATTATCGCTTCAGGACCCCTTACGATATCGAAAGGGAAAATTAGCAAGAGTGTCGGTGAAGCTGAAGACGACATTCATATATGTATGATGTGTCTAAGAGCGATTATGAACAACAAGGTGAGAATTTACTCGATGGGGCAGAATTTTTACACTGGGAAAACATTTTCAGAATGGATTCCAACAAGTTTTTGCTCACACTGAAGCGATTTACTGCATTGTTCGCAGTATTTTGCACCAGAATTTGAGGTTTCATTTTTTTTTTCTTGCTGAAAAAATTCTCGAAAATCGAGTTTTTAGAACGAAAACACTTGTTATTCAAATGCTTTCGTCGATTTGTATGGTCCAAGGCGGTCAGGAGATTGTCAGCGACGCGTTCGATCGATTCGAGAAGGATTTCCGCGAGCCGAGGCGATTTTGGACGCTGATGCAATTCGTCAAAAGTCCGCCAGGCAAGCGATTTGTTTTCTCGCGAGTTGGCCTCTCAAAATCGCGTTTTTCCAGAATTCCATGTTGAATTTTTGTCATCTGCCGTACAATTTTTCGACTATTTCGTCAATAATGTCGATGATTTGAATTTTCGCGTTCATTTACAATATGAGATGACACTTTTGGGTTTGGATAAATATATTGAGGTGAGTGTGAGATCGATCGATTTTATTGATGCCTTCGAAATGCTGGAAAAAAATTGCGGTTTAGCAAATGGCTGATTGTGAGTCGGACGAGCTGCAAGAGCGAATGATTAGCTATGCGAATAGTGCGATCGACGTTGCGCAATTATTGGATGACTCGAATCAGAAGAATGAGCTGCTCGACGAGCGCGAGAATCTCAAGAATCGTTTGTCGGCGGCGAACGAGCGCGTTCAGGAGGTGGAGGCGAAATGGATCACCGACAAGGCGGCGCTCGATCGGCGACTATTGGATTTGGTGATGGAACGCGATCGGATGGAGAAGGATTATGTGGAGCAGAAGGGAACGTGGACGAAGACGATGAGTAGGCCCAAATTTGTTTTTGGATCGGATTCGATGTTTTTATTTTATTGTTTCAGATGAGAAGGATCGGCAAGCTCGCGAGGACCGCAAACGGCTTGAGCAGAGGATTGCCGAGCTTGAAGCGATTCAGAAGACGATGCAAGCTGGATTGCAGGTTCAGCAGCAACAGCAGGAGAAGAGCAAATCGCCGCTAACACCACCTCCGCCAGCTCCCGGACCGCATAAGGAGAGGAGGTCGAGCTCGAAGGAAGCGTCGCCGAAGCCGCCTGGTTCGAATATTCCGCCGCCGCCGCCGATTGCCGGGTTGGTGGCGGCGAATGGGGCGAGTGTGCCGATTCCGCCACCGCCACCGCCGCCGATGATTGGAAGTGGTCCACCGCCACCCCCACCGCCACCGCCACCTCCGGGCATTGGCGGAGGACCACCACCGCCGCCGCCACCGCCTGGCGGATTTGCGCCGCCTAGCAATGATTGTAAGACGATCAAAAAGATCTATCAGACGAAGAACAAATTGCCGCAATTGAATTGGACGGCGATGAAGCCGAATCAGGCGAAGAACACGGTGTTCGAGAAATTGAACGATGAGCTCATTATTGAGAAGCTCGATTTTACGAAACTGGAGGAGATGTTCAAAATGACGCCGGCGGTTTTGATTGAGCCGAAGAATGATTCAACGACGATCGGGCAGATTAGTCCGGCGTCGACGGGTAGCTCGACGACGTCGTCGGCGAGAAAGAACACGCTGTTAGACACTAAGCGGCTGCAGAATGTTGGTAGGATCGCTGATGTCCTTCGTTTTTAGATCTGCTCTTGTTTTTCTCATTTCAGCGATCACTAGAAGGAAGGTGGCGATGGATTCGAAGTCGATAATGGCAGCGGTGCATCAGTTGGATCTCAAGAGTCTTCCTCCCGAGAAGGTTGACATTCTCTCTCGGATTTTGCCGACCGATGAGGAGCGCAAAATGTATGCCGATAAGGCGGGCGAGTTGGATGGACTATCGGATGAGGTTTGGTTTTTGTTTTTAATAATTTTGTTTTATTCGATTTTTTTGTTTATTTATTTTTCATTCTACAGGATTTGTTCTTGGCGAATTTGTGCGAGATTGAGCGTCTTGAGCACAAACTCACCATCATGAGGGTGATGGCCGAGTTTGACGAGACCGCCGCGCTTTTGGAGCCACAATTGAGGCATGTGACGGCGGCGTCGAAATGCGCGAGAGACGCCACCGAGTTTCATGGTGTTCTCGAGGTGATCCTCGCGTTCGGCAACTATATGAACAGCGGCAAACGCGGTGGAGCCTATGGATTCAAACTCGCCTCGCTGGATTCGGTGAGGATAGCACGGGGGCGACGTGTGCTCAATTATTGTTGTTGTTGTTGTTTTCAGCTCGCCATTCTCAAATCGCCCACCGATCGAACGTTGACACTTCTTCACATGATTGTCGAGTCGATCGAGAAATGTTTGCCGGAGTTGAGGAATTTCGCGCAACAACTCAAATTTGTCGACAAAGCGACGACGGTTCAATGGGATAGTGTGGCGGCGGACGTGAAGGAATTGGAGAGTGGATTCAAGGTTTGAGTTTTATCATTTTTTCTTCTTAATTCTTTTCTCTTTCTTTTTCAAGACTGCTGAGAAGGAGCGAGCTCTTAAAGGAGCAGATTGTCCGCCGAGTTTGGTCGAGTTTTTGGAATCGCACAAAGAGAAGATGGAGCAGCTTCAGAATGCGTTCCGATTGGCTCAGGTACCTCATCTCTCATTCAACTTTGATTTGCGTTCTGCTTTTTTTTTTCTAGAAAACCTTTTCGGAATGTGTCGAATTCTACGGCGAGAATCCGCAATCGACGGCGCCGAACGTGTTCTTCCAGAAGTTGTCGCATTTCGTTGGCAATTATGCGAAATGTCGGCAGGAGAACGAAGCGCGCGCGGCCGCCGAGCGACGCCAGAAAGAGGAGGCGGAGAGGCGAGCGCGAGCGGCGACGGCGGCGTCGCAGAAGCCCGCCGATCAGGCCGAGTTGATGCTTGAGTTGGCTGAGAGGGTCGGACGAGGTCCGAGGCGGCAGCGGGAGAAGATTGAGAGCACACGAATGGATCATGGCGATTTCGAGAAGTTGATGAATGGTGAGAGGCTATGGCTATGGTGTCGAACGCGTTACGGTCGGCGTGCGGTTGTGTGGTCCCCATGGGAATAGAATTTTGTCTCAGAAAACTCTCGGAAATTTCAGTTGAAATTCTTTACGCGAAATTAAGAATTATTTACATACTGTATGTTTTGTGTATTTATGTGATACGCAGTCAATTCATATAATATTGAAAGTCATATGTCTTCGATGAGAAAACTCATGACCGCACGCGAACCGCAACGCGCTTGACGACATTGGAATTCAAAACGTGAAACCCTCAATGCTGATCATTTTAGGCCTGAAACATACTGGAATCACGACGCCGAATCGGCGGAAGGTGTCGAAATCGCCGTCGCCGGCACCGCGGAATAGCGTGCCGCCGCCGGTGGCGCCGAAAACTCGCGTGCTGAGCGTCGACCGTGATCGACAGTAGAATGGAATGGAGTACGAATGAAACGAATGAGTCATCAGAAATTGTATATGTGTATTCGATACGGGGGATTCTCATTTGAGATTGCTTGCATTTTAATTTCTCTGTTTCTTTTTTTTTGGCCGGTGTACACTGGGGCATTGATTTTTGGCTTCCCTTGAAAGGAAATTGCGTTTTTTTTTCGAGTGTGTGTGATTCTTTGGTGCCTATTCTGTATGCTTTTTTTCTTTTGTGACTAATAAAGATATAGATTTTTTAATGGAAAATATTTTTTTTTTCTTTGAAACCTGTTTGTGTGCCATTTGCAGGGATTTTATTTGATTTTTGACAAGACATATTTATTTTGACGATTTTCAAAGTGTAAACTCGAATGATAAGGCAAATGATATAATGTTCTGGCAAAAAATCGGTTTTCGCTTCAAAAGCCTAGTGAAAATAATTGCGATGATCCTTTAATTCGGATTACTGTAGTTTGATTAATTTTTTGGAGGTACAGTAATTAAAGGCGCATTGCGTTGAAGCGATACCAGCGGCATTTCAATTCGATAATTTGCGTAGAAATCGAGAATTTGTTGAACATCCAGTTTTAAGAGTCCCATTAATGACCAATGCCTATAGAGATTGAGAGACGGCAGACGGTTAGAGAAATTCCGCTCGCTGGGTTCATTTTGACACACATGCCTATCGATTCCTCGGCGTTTCGTTCTTCTTTTTTTTTTCATTTCGGCCGATAACGCGCCGCAATTGATAAGAACCCGATCATGATGCAAATTTTCAGTTTCGATCGTACTTTGCTTGCTCGCCGCCGCCGCTTCGTCAAAAAATGCCGCAGGTATGATTTTGTGAATTTTGATTGTTTCGAATGAATTCATTCAGTACGTTTTCGAAATGGGAATGACGTGCTCGGGATGTGCGAACGCCGCGCGCAAGGTGCTCGGAAAACTTGGAGGTAAAATTGGTTAATCGAAAAAACATCAGAAAATTCGTAATTAGAAGACAAACTGAAAATTGATGATATCAATGTGGAGACGAAGATGATTACGGTCACCACGGAGCTCACCGCGGACGTGGTTTGTTTTTGAGCATCGCGGCGAGACCCGACTTTCGTTGTTTTAGGTCCTTGAAGCTCTCAAGAAGACTGGAAAAGAGGTAAAACTTGTTCAATAGCATTTCAATCTGGTTGTGAGGGTTGACATATCATGAGTCGCCGATAATCGAATGTACTTATATGAGCATAAATTATATATTTATATTAGTCAGTGAAAATTTTGACAAATTTTGTCGTCGTTGTCGCCGGCGACGAATCGCGCGGGTTTGATGAGGAATTTGTCGTAGCGACCGTCGCGAACGATGTCCTCCGGAGCTCGTCGAGAATAGTTCTAGAATGAATTTTCGATTTTTTGTCTTACTTGGACAATATCGATTGTTTTTTTTTTGTGTTGTACCTTGATGTAGTCGATGACCTCATTGTCGTCGACGTGATTCATTTCAAGACGCGATCCCCAACCGACGAGCGCCAACGGGCGGTCTGGCGATAATTGCGCGTAGGGCGTGATGACGTGGCGATAGATGCACGCGGTGACGATGGCGCGCAACTTTTCGACCTCGTCGTCGTCGGCGCACGGATGGTAGAGGAGCACGATGGAGCCGTGCTCGAGGTTGTGCAGCCAGCGTTGAGGCGGCGCGTAGAGATACTCGCCGAAGCGCGCCCAGTTCGGACGGTGATCGCCTCTGGAATTTGAGAATGCCGATTGCTTTTTTGGAATTTTGAATTGCCGCCCAGCCCATTTTCAGCGCGCGCTTTTAGACGGAACGAATTTGGGAATTGGGTCTCGCATGGAACAGCTTTTAGAAGCGAGTAGTGCGAAAGAGGAAAATTTTAGTGAGTTTTAAGTATTCTGGTAATTATAGCAAAAAATTGAAAGGTAGCGCGCGAAATTCAAAATTATAATTTGCTAACAATATTGCAGATAATTGACTTGGATAATTATGAAAATTTCGAATTTTTACCTAACTGGAATCGGATCCTTGTATTCGATTGCCTTGTCCATGCATTGATGATAGACTTCGTCATTTTTTGGATCGAATTTCGGATTCTCTTTGACTAAATCGAATAGAATCGAGTCGACGTTCTTCAAAAACAAATTTTATTTCGTTTGTATCTTCGAAATCCCAATCGCAACGAGACCCAGATTCTTTATTTGGTTTTAATTTTCCACTAAAATTGTGTTTTTTAGCAGAAAATTCAAATAATGCGAATTGGCGGCGGGGTTTTAAAATTAAAATTTGATTTTTTCGAAAATTTCAACAATGCCAAACAAAAATTTGACGGTAAAATATATTGGGTCTCGCGACGAACAATAACGAATATCGTAAATCGATTAAAATATTTTGAGATTCTTTGAGAAACTATCGTGTCTCTATAATATTTTAGATTTTTCTCAATCAAATTTAGAAATTATTTAAAGATTTTAGAATTTATTGAGATAATTTAGAAGTTTCTCAATAAATTTTAGAAATTATTATAAGATTTAAAAAAAATATTTTTAAGTTTAGAGATTCTCAATAAGTTTTAGAAAGTATCAACAGACTTTAGAATTTCTCATAATTTTTTAGAGTTTATTATTGAATATTTGATTCTCAAAATATTTTATTTGATTTGCCTGAGAAAATACAATTAGAATATACCTGCTGAACGGCGAACGGCATTGAATTTGAGCATGTGAACACACTATAGTCTTTCGGGTCCCAATCGAGTTCCAAATTTGTCTAGAAATGGTTTCGAATGAAAATATACGTTTCACATTCGTTTTTACATTCGCATCATCGCACTCGGTGAGTTTGCCCATCATTGCGCCCTTATAAGCGGCAACATTCGAAATTGTGAGCACGGCGAGCAGTTGGTGTCGCATTTTCAGGCGGAACTCTGAAATCGCGACGAAACGAGGAAATAAAATCGACGAATTGGCATTTTTACGAGAATCTCAGTTTCGAGACCCCACAATTTTTTAATGCTTTCGGGTTTTATGGCGAAATGGGGGTTTCGTGGCAAAAAAAATTTTGATGGTAAGAGTCAATTGGTCAGGCTAAACAAACGCGCACGCACGCGCAGGGAAATATGAAAGATGAAGAAGAACAGACCGGTCTCGGGGCACTCATTGATCCGCACGCTCTCTTTTTAGCGATTCCACGACAATTAGCAGATTTATTAAGAAAACTACAACAACAACAACAACGTTTTTTGGGGGATAACAATTCGAAAACAAAAATCAACAACAAAAATAAAAAATGAAAAAATGACATATTTTTCGAATTCAAAAAATGAAAAAAAAACGCACAATCACAATTCATTTTTTTATTCGCTGACAATCGCCTGCACACTCATTTTATTGTTCAATATCGCCGCTGTCATTTCGGTGCCAAATGTGTTCTCCATTCGGATGCGATCGTATTTGCACACCAGAAGGACGGCGAGCAATCGCTGACTGGTGTCCGCCTCTGACATGTTGATAAACTCCGAGTAAAACAGCGGATGCGATGGAAGCTGGTAGAATACGACGCGATGAACACCCTGAAATGCGAATTTTTTTGATTTTTGCACATATCCAAAATGGTGGTGTGAAATTGCGTCGCGGTGTATCGCACTGAACTTCAGCTACAGTATCCCACAACAAAAAAAAAAACAAAGCAAAAATTACCGTTAGCTGGCGACGATTGAAGAAATACCAACGCTCGGTGACAAGAAGATAGCTTTTCCGCTGATGGAAGAACATCTCGCGGGCTCTGTCGATTTTGCTGCGCGACGCGTATTCGTTGCAGGACACAAAACTCTCATCGGCGCGTTTAAAATGATTTCGGATGCGCACAAAATCGAAATACGACGGAATCACGATGAGCGTTCGCGGCACTAGTGTGGAAATAATCTAAAATTTCAGAGTTTCAGAGTTGTGCGTCGACAAAAAAAATGAAAACCTTATCTGCAAAATATTTGAATCGAATGTCCGACAATTCGCCGACATCGCGCACCTCGAATTTGTGGATTTCTTGGCATAGTGGAATTTCGATCTGAAATTTCTCGAAAAAAATTTAAAAAATTCATTTCAATTGTTCTTTTTTTTACGTTTTTCAAAGTGCCTTGCTGCTTCGGCTTCGACATCACCAATCCGCGATGATTCTCGCTGTTCTGCATTGTGAGACTCGTGAAAAGCTCGTGCGAATATCTCGCGAACACGAGAAGCTGCGAGAAGTGTCGAGAATGACCGTCGAAAAATTTCGATGTTGTTTTTAAACTCGTTGAATTCGTCACCTACCCAAATAGCATTTTCGGACCCTCGAAATGTCGGTATCGATTTTTGCCGGCTGCGTGTTGAGTTGCGAGAAGATCAATTGCACATTTTCCCAATTCTGTTGAAGCATCAAGTCCGCCTGAAATTCCAGAACAAATTTTCATCGCCACAAGACCGCCCCCCCATGAGTCTCTCATCAAATTTTGATTTAAGCCAAAAGCAAAAGCGTTTACCCTATCGACAACCACAATATTCATGCTGCTCAGCAAATGCGCCTCATTGCCGTCGTCGCCGTTCAGAATCATTCGCAATCCCAACGGCGAGCACAACAGAATGTCGGCTTTCTCAAATTTCTCGAAAAGCTTGAGCGATTTTTTCGACAACGCGACGCCGATGCGAAATGCGTCGTCGTTGTTGCCGACGAGCAATTCCTGAAATCGATGCGGTTCGGATAGAAAAGCGAATTCGGTTCGATACCAGATGGTCTTTGGGAAAATCGACGCGACTCGGCGGCGGCTCGGACGGACCACTATACTCGTCCTCGAATCGATTCTTGTTCCAAACATCGCCTTCGTCCTCACCATAGATTAGTCGAATCAATTTGTGCACAATGTCGTACGCGTCTTTTTTAAAGGCACACAGAATGAGTACGGTGGGTCGGACGAAGCCGGTGTCTCGACACGATTCGATCAATTGCTCGCTGGCGCCGCTCGCCGCGTTCGCCATCTCCAACTTCTTCTTGTTGCCGATGATGAGATTCTTGTTGGAAATGAGATGAGCGACGATGTGAGCGCAATAAATCGCCTGAAATCGGTGTGTCGAGCACACAATTGCGCATTTCGTACCCGATAGCCGTTTTGATCGTCGGAAATCGCTTGAAAATCGAGATAATTCGAGATAATCTCGACAAATGTTCGACGCGACGCGTCGAGCTCCAAAATTGACGTCAAATTGTCGAAAAGCGACGAATTCCAGCCGATTTTTGAGGCGTCCAGCGCACTCGACGACGACGATGGCATCTGGAATTGTTCAATGAGCAACTCACTTCAATTCTGATTCGATTACCGAGACTTGGTGCAAACCTTGATAGAACACTGAATTGCCCAAACCAGGCAATTCGAGCTTTTTCGATTTTTTTGTGCGCTCCTTCAAAAAAATTATTATTTTCGACAAATTTTTTGCCAAACCTTGATATCTTTTAATTTCGCGCTTGCCACTGAATCGATATCGACGTTGAAAAAGCTTGAGAATTTATCCTGTTCGATTTTCGCCTCTTTCAACGCTTCTTCGTCATTTTTTGAAGTTGCCGCTCGTTTGCGAAGCTTTTTGAGACCTGACATCCTGAAAATCTCGCCAAAATTTTTGATTCTCGATTTTTTTCGATGGAGATATTTCAATGTTTTTCCAACATTTCAATAAAGAAATTGAATAATAGCCAATTGCACACGAATTTATGACATATTTGGTAATATGCCTGGTCACCATTATAAAACAATAGTAAATGAAAACATGGAAATGTATATATATGTATAAATAGAACACTGATGGAGATCAAGAATTTATTCGGCGGCCGGTTGCTCGACTGGTAGATTCATTTGTGGAGGCTTCGAGACGGGCGTGATGTCGACGCCGGTGTCTTCGCCTTTGATGACGAGGCCGATGATCGCCGGCGCTTCGGGCTTCGCGTTGCTCACTGTGTAGCCGGACTCGGCTAGTGTGAGATTGTCTTGAAGAAGGAAACGCGTGCCGTCTTCTTTGGTGCCCCACAACTCGAAATCGTGAGTTCGCCGCTGAAAAACGAAAGCGAAATGAAAGCGAAGTCGAGAAGGAAATCACCTTGAGAATGCCTTCGAGCATGAATTTGAGATCCAACACGCACGCGGTGGCTTTCGTGTCGAGATAGATGTGCGTCTTGCCGCGACAAACCTCGAAATAGAAATCCTGCGGCATTTTTGCGGCTGGAAATGGCGAGAATTGAGAAAAAACGCGGAAAAAATGACAAGAAAAAATGAAAATTGAAAGTAGGTGGCAGCAAGTACGCTCCACAGAACAGTTCCAATATTCACTTTTTGGCCATTTTCGCCTATTTTTTTCATTTCCTTTGTCAATTTTTTGAATTTCTTGCCCTAAGTTGTTTAGAATGATTAATTAGAGTATGAAATAGGCATTTATTGCAAAAAGATTTAGCGAAAATGATTTTGCGTGACAAGAATTAGCATTTTTTAATTATTTTATTTTCGCAACAGAGATTCTCATTAGTTGCTGTATTTTTCAGGCAATCATGAGCCGGAAAGGGCCAATGTCTAAAGAAACGGAGTCGGACGTTCCGCTTCGTATAGCCATCGTCGAAAAGGATCGGTGTAAACCGAAGAACTGCGGACTGGCGTGTAAACGGTCATGCCCGGTGAATCGGCAGGGAAAACAGTGCATCGTTGTCGAAGCGACATCAACGATCAGTCAGATTTCTGAAGTTTTGTGTATCGGTTGCGGTATTTGCGTCAAAAAATGCCCCTATGATGCGATTAAGGTGAACAAATTGAGATGCTCATTGAAAAAATCGAATTTCGCATTTTTTTAGATTATCAATTTGCCATCAAATTTGGCGAATGAGACGACGCATCGTTACTCGCAAAACTCGTTCAAACTTCATCGTTTGCCAACACCAAGATGCGGTGAGGTGCTCGGTCTCGTCGGCACCAACGGTATCGGCAAATCGACGGCGCTGAAAATTCTCGCCGGCAAACAGAAGCCGAATTTGGGAAATTACGCGAAAGAGCAAGAATGGACGACGATCATCAATCATTTTCGCGGCTCCGAACTTCAGAATTATTTCACGCGCATCGTTGAAGACACCCTCAAGTGTGTCATCAAACCGCAATACGTCGATCAGATTCCGAGAGCCGCGAAAGGACAAGTCGAGGTGATTCTGAAGAAGAAGCACGATAACGAGAATCTTTATAGTGTCATTGATCAAATGGGTGTGTTTTGAAGAAATTATTGAAGATTGAGAATTATGAGGGGTTGCAGAGCTTCGAGGCCTTCTTACTCGTACCATCGATCAACTCTCCGGCGGTGAGCTTCAGCGATTCGCGATTGCGATGTGCTGCATTCAGAAGTCGGACGTCTACATGTTCGATGAGCCATCGTCGTATTTGGATGTCAAGCAGCGTTTGAAGGCTGCCGCCATTATTCGAGAGCGTGTCAGCGATTCAAAGTAGATTTTTCTAGAATGATTGCTTAAAATTGATATTTTCAGCTATGTGGTTGTTGTTGAGCACGATCTTGCTGTTCTTGACTACTTGTCCGACTTCATCTGCTGCTTGTACGGCGTTCCAGGTGTCTATGGAGTTGTGACCCTTCCATCCGGTGTCCGAGAAGGAATCAATATGTTCCTCGATGGTTTCATTCGTACTGAAAATATGCGATTCCGGTAGGCCGTTCAAGCCGCTTCATATTCATTCCACAAACTTTTCTTTTCAGTGAATCGAAATTATCGTTCAAGTCATCGGAACTGCAAGAGGAAGTCAAGCGGACTGGAAACATCACCTATCCGGCGATGTCCAAAACACTTGGCAATTTCAAACTTCACGTTGAAGCCGGCGACTTCTCGGACTCGGAGATCATCGTGATGCTCGGCGAGAACGGAACCGGAAAAACGACGATGATCCGAATGATGGCCGGTTCGTTGAAGCCGGAAGATGAGGACACCGAGTTGCCGCACGTCAGCATCTCGTACAAACCGCAAAAGATCAGCCCTAAGTCGGAGACGACCGTTCGCTACATGTTGCACGAGAAGATTCAGAATATGTACACGCATCCGCAATTCAAGACCGATGTCATGAATCCGCTTATGATGGAGCAATTGTTGGATAGAAATGTGAGTTTTATTATGGTACTATGAAGATTTTCGAAGAAAAAAAAGCATTAGAAAATTTTTTCGAAGATGTAAAATTAGCAAAATGACAAAAAAAATTCCAGTGGTCTCTTCAAAAATAAAAGTGGGGGTCCATAGGTTAAAGTCACACCGCCGCGGTCCTTACTAATTTTTTTTCTATATATCATAAAAATCGGTGATTCATTTTCTAGGTCAACGAACTTTCCGGTGGAGAACTCCAACGTGTCGCTTTGGCCCTTTGTCTCGGAAAAACGGCGAGCTTGTATCTGATCGACGAGCCGTCGGCGTATTTGGATTCCGAGCAGCGTTTGCACGCGGCCAAAGTCATCAAGAGGTTGGAATGCCAACAGAGACGAATGGCATTGAAATAATGGAGATTTAGATTCATTATGCACGCCAAGAAAACGGCGTTCGTCGTCGAGCACGACTTCATTATGGCCACTTATCTAGCGGATCGCGTTATTGTTTTTGAAGGACAACCGTCGGTTGAAACCACTGCGTGCAAGTGAGTTGGTGTTGTTTTTGTTTGGCGAATTGAGAAGAATCTCTGTGAGACCCACAAACATAATTGAAGGTTCTCATGGTGCTATTCATATATTTAGAGTCTAAAAATAATTGAAATTTGCAGCTTCTTAAAAAAACTAATTTTTTTCGCGAAATCTGCATAGTATCTTATTAGAAATGAACGGTTTTATTCAAAACTTGTGTTTGAAGATACCGTAATTAAAGGCGCATCGCTACAATGTTCAAAGTTCTATCGCAATTGACCCTATTGATGGACACTTTGGACTATTGTCAACAGTTTAAATATATTTTGAATTTGAAACGAGCACGCTGGTTACTGTAGTTTATAAATTTCTATTGTATTAAATTTTTTGGTCCGTTTTTTTTTCATTGCGATAAAGAATGGATTTTCAGACCTCAATCGCTTCTCGAGGGAATGAACAAATTCTTGAAAATGCTCGACATCACGTTCCGGCGAGATCAGGAGACGTACCGGCCGCGCATCAACAAAAAAGAATCCGTGAAGGATGTGGAGCAGAAGAAAAGTGGCCATTTCTTCTTCCTCGATGAGAATTAGAATTGAAATTGATCGGCTTTCGTTTTGTTTTGTTTTTTCATATCTATCTAGGCTCCGCCCCCCTCCCCTCTCCTTTTTCCCCCAGTTTTCAATTGCTTCTTGTTGGGTTATTTGTTGGTTTTTCTTTATTTATAATTAATCTATATTATAATATAATATGCAACGTATAAAGTATCTTTTGTTTGGGGTTTTCGTTGCCCGAAAGTTTTTTCTTTTTGATGGTCTAGCAGCTGCAGCACCAATTGTCAAAACATATTTTTTATCCTTTTTTTTTGTTTGGTTATTTTCTTTTTCGAAAAATAGTATATGTTTTTTTTACAAGAAAAAACATTAAATCGTTTTGGTAGCCTTGGAGACTTGCTTGTCGAAGAAATTTTTGGATTTGAATCGGAATTTTTATTTTTGCACAAAACGCCAGTTTTGGTGAAAAAAAAATGGATTTTTACTTCTTTTTGTGGAAATTTTAAGAGAAATTTTAAAATTTGTTGGTTTTTTCTTTTTGAAATTTCCCGATAAGCCCGAATATTGGAATTTTTCCCCTGAAAATTTGAGCCAATCATATAATATATCCAAAAATTTGATCCAAAGGAATTGATCCAAATTTGCTTTGAAAATCGAAATATTCTTCCGAAAAGTGCCATAGATGTCAATTTTTGGTGGAAAATTTCAAAAATTGCCCAGAAAACAATTTTCTTTTGAGCAAGTCGAAAATTTGCCGCTGCGAGACCCAAGGTGGGGGGAATTCGAAAAAAATTTCGCTATCGTCTGATTCGAAAAAGAAAAAAACAACGGACGATCAGCGATTTTAATGCGTATATTCGCATACATAATAAAAGATGAAATTAGGTTGATTAGGGTGTTTGTTGATGTCGTCGATTCGTTTTTTTTTCTCCATCTTCGCGAATTCGACCTTCATGCCCCGTTCCGGCCTCCTTCACTCAATCCCCACCCTTCAATTGTCGCCCTCGTTTCCTTTATTATCTCTCATGCCAATCATGCTGCGCCTTTAAATTGATCGTTTTAGGACCTCTGGCTTTATTTGACGCAATTTTTTGGAATTTGCTCGATGCAATTGTCTTCTAGATGGGTATTAATCGAAATGGTCCCGAAGTTATGGGGGGGAGAGGTTTTAAATTGAAAATTTTGAAATCCATTTAAAAATTTGAATTGTCATTATTCTTGCTAAAAATTAGGTTGTGCTAAATTTGTTTTTTCTTTTCAAAAATATTTTTGTGTCTTTTAAATCATCAAAATGGTCCCGCAACGATAGGACGGCGTCTATGCGCCTTTAAACGGACAATTTTTGAAATCCTGTTGAAAATGTAACTTATCTTTATTTTAAAGGCACATAGCGGGATTTAAAAATAATTCCAATTGATTCTCAAATTTCTTTAATCAGAATGGTCCCGCAGCGAATTGGGGGTCAGTGCGCCTTTAAATTGAAAAGTTTTTGTGCTGACAATTTAAATATTCGTCATTTTAAAAGCGAATTTGGCCATTTCAAAAATGAAAAGGTCCCGCAACGATCTTCATTATTGTTTGGATCAATTCTAATTATCGCGAGAGGGGGGGGGGGGGTCACCGGCTACTCTCATTTCGGCTCCCTTCCGCTCACAGCAAGCATCTCAAAGAAGAATTGTCAATATTTGCAAAAATTTTTGACCGACCGACTCACACCTTTTCGATCGGCGCCGAGAGAGTGTTGGAATTGGCGAGACGCCGACACTGACCGGCAGCATCATTTCAATTGTTTGCGATTTACCTTTTTCCGGCCGCTTTTCATAAGGTTTTTGACCGATTTTTCCTTTTTTTTTGTCCTCCTCCCCATCTTTTCCATCACGATTGTTTCGAAATTGCGCAAAAATGCAATTTATTTTATCCGCGAGATTGCTGCCATTAATTGAAGCCACATTTATTGGACACTTTTTTGTTGCTGTCGATTTTTTCAAAATTTTCGCGCTCGAAATTGTGATTTTTCAAGAATCTTGGCAAAATCCATTCGAAATTGATGAGCTTATCACTTTCCCATTTTTATTTGTTGAGCAAATTGTACAATTTTGGAATGCGAATGTGTGTTTGCACACTTGAGCTGATGGTTTCTTTTTGGCGAAATTTGATAGTTTCGAAAATTGTCCGCAGATGGATTTCATTTTCAATAATCGATGTCTCACGCCGTCGAGAAAGCGAATTTGCTGAAATTGAAAAGATGCGGCTGAGAAATTCGCTTCGAGACCTCCTAGTGTAAACCAAACGCGATTGTATCGATTGCGCCTTTAAATTGTTTCAATTGTACTCTATTGTTCGCGGCTCCGCCCACTACGATGAACTTTGTTTGAATTGTCTGTCTGTGTGCGTGTGTGTTTGTGCGCGAGAGCGGAACGGGTCATCATCATGATCAACAAACCGTAATTTTATCGATTTTTGTTGCTTTTCGGGTCTCGTCGCGAAAATTTGCTCGCTTCCTTTTTATGTTTTTGTGATTGATGGCTTAATGGAAACTTGAATGATCGCGAAATCGATTTTCGGTGTTGCCAGCCGTCCGCCGGATTTATGAGGCTATTAAACGCGTCGTCGTTATGCTTGATTTTTTTTTTGCGATTCGATAGCTGCGGACGTTGGCCGGGTTGCCGTCGTTGAAATGTCTGCCGCATCGTTTTTGGTATCATTTTGGAGGAAAAGAAAAAATCCACGCGGCTGCAACGTTTTGTAACGTTTTTTGTTTTTGATTACAAAAATGAATCGTCGTTTTGTTTTTTCTCATTCGTTTTTTTTTTTGATGCAGCGAACACGTGGCCCATATTTTAGAATTGCGTCCACAATTTGCCAAAAAAAAATTGAAAATGTGATTTTTTTGTCTAGGAAGGTCCTTTTTCGCCTAACCTTGTAACTTGACCTTCCTTATTCTTTGGCAGATGGGTTGGAAGGGGGGGGGTGTCCGAATTGTCTTATAGGTAGGTCCTCAAATAATTATTCAATAGACGCTTTCGGTGTTCGTTCGTTGTTTTTTTTTTTCTTCTTCTTCTACGCACGCTCGTCAACGATAATTTGGTGTCTAATTGGGGGTTCGAACGAGAGAGAGAAAAAGAGAAAAAAATTATTTGTTTCCGCCCAGCTGACAAACCGCAATAATTCTTGTTTGGTGAGAACGCGATGGGCGGGGCGGCGCTGACGTGGAATTTCGACGCCGCCGCCGCTTATCTTGCCGTATTTGGCCGTGTGGTGTATCGATTTCAATCGATTTGCGCTCTTCATACAATAAATTATATGGTATAATTAGCATAATAAGGCTGACGGAGTCTCGTTTCGATTCCATTATTCATTCATTCGTCGTCGTCGATTCTCGTTTTTTTTTCTCCCCCCCCCCCCGATATTGGATTTTCGAGAAAATATGCGATTTTTAGATTTTTGGGCCCAAAAAAAATTTTTCGAAAAATTTACGTTTCGCACGACATGTGCATTTCGCCACGTGGTGGTTTGGCGACATAAACAAATTGGCAGAGGGTGTCGAAATGTTGCCAATATCGATTTGAAGTTTTGCGTTTTGTCGAATTTTTTGTTGAAAAATTCGACAAAATCGTGAAATGTTTCACTGAAAAATTGACAAAATTTGGATTTTTCGCGTTTTTGTTTTTAGGTTTCAGCGAATTTTTATTTCAAATTTGGCGAAAATTGCGATTTTTTGGACATTTTTCACATAAAAATTGACAAAGTTTGGATTTTTCGCGACTTTTTTTGTTGCAACGAATTTTTATTTCAACTTTGACGAAAATTGCGATTTTTTGGACATTTTTCACATAAAAATTGACAAAGTTTGGATTTTTCGCGACTTTTTTTGTTGCAGCGACTTTTTAGCTTGAAATTTGGCGAAGTTTGAAATTTTGTTGACATTTTTCACAAAAAAATTGACAAAATTGGAATTATTGCAAAGAAATTGAACAAATTTAGAGATTTTTGCGAGTTTTTAAAATAAAATTTCGAAAATTGACAATTTTTGCCGAAATTTTGAAATTCTCATAAAAAATTTTGATTCGAATCAAATTTTCGCTAAAATTTGTAATTTTTAATCGATTTTTAGGGAGTTTGTGGCCAAAATTTTCTTTTACAATTTTTTTTGTCGAAATCGAATTCTCGATTTCTACTTGAGGCAATTTTGCTGGTTTTATTTTTTTTTCGTAATTTTCGGGGTGCCATTCAGAAAAGAATGAATAATTTATGAAATTAAGACGAAAAAAAAACCGCGCGAGCTTCTTCTTCTTCTCCATCTCATTTTCGTTTATTTTTTTTTCCCAATTTTCCTCGAAATTTTTGCTTTTTTCTTTCAGCTTTTGCCGTTTTTGTTGGTCAGTCGTCGACGAAACGAACCGAAAACGGCACAACTCGACGGGTCGCACCGGAAATGGTGTTCATGAAGAAGAAGGCGGTGCTCAAATTGCTTCTGCTTGTGCCGGTCGTCTGGTTTTGCTCGCTGATCTACTTTGCCGCCACGAATAATGTGAGTTTCATGGATTTTTTTAAAATTAAAAATGCTCTTTTTTTTGCGCAATGCTATAAAAATCACATGCAAATTGCTGAAAAATGACTTTTCGCTTGATTTTTCTTTTCGAAATCTACAAAATTGCCTTTTTTTGGGGGACGATTTGCGAAGAAAAATGTCGAAATTTTATTAGAATTTCGATCTGCGGACCATTTTTTTTAATGTGTGAAACCGGAAAATTGTCCGCAGATGACAAGATCTCCGAAAAGCTTTGGATGTGTGGGATCGGAGAATCGAAATTGGAATTTTTTCTGGACCGTTGCTATGAAACCCGTAAAAGTGTCCGCAGATAGAGAATGTGGAATTTCAGGACAAAAGCTATGATCCGGTGGCGAATCATCCGAAGAATCCATTAGTTAACAATGATCTCCCAACACCGAAGGTAGCATTTTGTTTTTTTTTGCCTCAAAATGGGCATTTGATTTGATAGTTTCAGCTAATCCAGGGATTCGGGAAGCCGATTGCACCGGCGGCTTCCGATGATCAGTCGTCGTTGAGCAATCATGTTGAAGACGACGGCGCCAACAATTTGCCGAAGCCCAAATTCATTGTGGATCCGAATGATCCGATTTATCGAAGAGGCGATCCGAAGCAGGCCGGCGAGAATGGCAAAGCAGTGGTTATTGACAAGTCGGTAAGCGTTTTTTTTTTAGCAAAATTGCCTAAAAACCTGGTTTTTTTCTGGAATTTTTGATGGTTTTTTGAAGTTTCAACGTCTGAAATTGCGATTTTCTCGATTTTTTCAAGAAAAAAAACACTGAAAATCATTGATTTTGGATTTTTTTTTGTAATTTGCGCCGATTTTGATATTTCAGAACAGTTGCAATGAAAAATTTCAATTTTTGTATATTTTGTTTTGTAAAATTCTTGAAAAAACTTTGATTTTTGAAATTTGCCGGTTGATTTTTGAACAAAAATTTACGTTTTTTGATATTTTGAAAAAAAGCTTTGCTGAAAATCTCGAAAACCTTTTCAATGAAAAAAAAACATGTTTGATTTTTGAATTTTCAGAAATTATCTCCAGAAGAGAAAAAGAAATTTGACAAAGGAATGACGAATAATGCGTTCAATCAGTATGCTTCCGACATGATTTCGATTCATCGCAGTTTGCCGTCGAATATTGACGAAGAGTAAGCTTTCTCGACAAAATAAAACCGCCAGTGGCCTAGAATTGATGGCCGAAAGAAAAAATCTAGGTCATGATCGATTTTTAGATGTAAAACGGAAAAATATTCGGAGAATTTGCCGGCCACCTCCGTTATCATCTGTTTTCATAATGAGGCGTGGTCGGTTCTGCTGCGGACAGTTCACTCGGTTGTCGAGCGCACGCCGGACCATCTTTTGGAGGAGGTGATTCTCGTCGATGATTTTTCCGATATGGACCACACGAAAGGTGCGTTGTTTTGCGTTGAAAAGTGGATTTTTGAAAAAGCAACAAGAAAAAAAAATAATTTCTAGGACCCCTTGAGGAGTACATGTCGCAGTTTAACGGAAAAGTCAAAATTTTGAGAATGGAGAAACGAGAGGGACTGATTCGAGCGCGTCTTCGAGGCGCCGCGATCGCCAAAGGAGATGTTTTGACATATCTCGACTCGCATTGCGAATGTATGGAAGGTAGGCGAACGATTTTTGGCCAGAATTTGGCAAAATTGTGAAATTTGCTAAGAAAATTTGGCAAAAATTGATATTTTTTCGATGAAAACTGTCAAAAATGTGTGGACCATTGACAATTTGGCCGAAAAAAAATGGTAATTGTTCGTCGAGAGATTGCTCAAAAAATTGAGAAATGTTATCAAAAAAGGAAATGAATTTGCTAAAAAATTGAGAGCAATTGGCGATTTTTTGTTTGAAAATGAGATTTGTTGGCGAAAAAAAAAGTCGAGGAAACTGTGCGAGAATTTGCGAGTTTCAGGATGGATCGAGCCGCTTTTGGATCGGATCAAACGCGATCCGACGACTGTTGTGTGTCCGGTGATTGATGTGATCGATGACAACACGTTTGAATATCATTATTCGAAGGTTTGTATGCTTTTTCTTTTGTGGTGTTGATTATCGCCAAAAAAATGCGGTAAAAATTCAATTTTTGGTTGAAAATTGAGAAAATGTCATATTTTTGCCGAAATTTGCCAAAAACTGTTGAAAAGCAATGCGAAATTTGATGAAAATTGAAATTAATCGAAAATTGGCAAAAATTGAACATTTCTGTCGAAATATTGAGAAAACAGTATGAAAATTTTCAAAATTGGTTTGAAATTGTTGAAAATTGGCAAAAATTGGAATTTTTTGTTCGAAATTTCGGGAAATTGTGAAAATTTTCTGGAATTGGTCCCTAAAATTTGAGAAGAATAAAAAAAAAACAAAAATGAGATAACAGAATACATTTGTAGGCGTATTTCACGAACGTCGGCGGATTCGATTGGGGCCTTCAATTCAATTGGCATTCGATACCGGAACGCGATCGGAAGAATCGAACGCGCGCGATCGATCCGGTTCGATCGCCGACGATGGCCGGCGGATTGTTTTCGATCGATCGCAAATACTTTGAGAAGCTCGGAACCTACGATCCCGGCTTCGATATTTGGGGCGGCGAGAATCTCGAATTGTCGTTTAAGGTTGCTTTTTTTTTTCCTGGATTTGAGCTATTGCATTTTTGCGAAAAACAAATTCGTTCGCGTCAAGACCATTTTTGGTGTTTTTCAATTTCTCCACGAAATTTTCAACATCTATTTCGTGTTTTTTTCGGCTAGGAAGACACAATTCGCTGCGAGACCCGAAATTCCGTGCACCTTTAAATAGGGGCGAGAAAAGCAAAAAAAAAAAAGAAAAACACTTTGAAATTTTTGATAATTGATTAAAGGCGCGGTATTTGTGGAGTCTTGATTCGAAAAAAAAAATGATTGATAAGCTTTTTGATGGTGCTTAAAGTTTTCTCACAACGAAAAGGGTACTGTAGACGATTTCAATTGTTTTCAAAATTTTGACTGAAAAAAACATGCCCAAATTAGATTTTATTAATTTCGAAAAAAATCGATAAATTTGAGAACAGAAAAAATTGAAAATTGGAAAAAAAGAAACGAAAACGATGTGAATTTTTTTCGAATTTTGATAGGGTACGGTAGTTTCATGTAAGATGGTCTCGAGACGACGGGTAGTGCCACCCCCCCCCCCAAAACTTGTACGCCGGGTCTCGGCGCGAAATATCGATTATTCATTTTTTTGGCTGCATTTTGTTTGTCTTCATAATCAATTTTTTTGTGGCAGATTTGGATGTGCGGAGGCACGTTGGAGATTGTGCCGTGCTCGCACGTCGGCCATGTCTTCCGGAAACGATCGCCGTACAAATGGCGAACCGGTGTGAATGTGCTCAAGAGGAACTCGATTCGTTTGGCTGAAGTGTGGCTCGATGATTACAAGCAGTATTATTATGAGAGGATTAATAACCAGCTGGTGAGCGCGGATGGCTTTTTGTTTTTTTTTTGCAAAAAAAAGTGAAAATCTGAAATATTGTTTTTTTTTTTTGAGTTTTTTTATGGCCGTGGCCGATGAAATTAGTTAGGCCGCCGGGTTTTGGAAGTGGAATTTTTCGAGATTTTCTTTTCATTTTTTCCATCATAATCTTTTTATTTTAATGTGAATTATTTGAAAATGCTTTTTTTCTAAATTTTTTTCTTTTAGAATATTAATTTTCAAAAAAAGATGTTTTAAAATTGAATTTTTTCGAGCTATTTTTTTGAATTTTTTTCCAAGAGCGACAAAAATGTTTAAAATTTTCTTAATAATCAAATTTTTGTTCAGGGCGATTTCGGCGATGTGTCGTCGCGAAAAAAATTGCGCGAGAATCTCGGGTGTAAATCGTTCAAATGGTACCTCGACAACATATTTCCGGAGCTTTTCGTTCCCGGCGAATCGATTGCGAAAGGCGAGGTGAGTCGAATTTTGGAAAATGAAAAAAAATAGAAAAACAATCATTTTTTTTTTGAAAGAAAAATTTTTGGAAAATTTTATTCGCCTTCTCTTACCTATGTTTTTTTTTGGGCTTTTTCTAACAAATTGAAAAAAAAATGTTTTTTTTTTTCGGGAAAATTGCAAATAATCAATATTTGAAGCTTTTACTGATGGCCGCCCAAATTTTTGGTTATTTTTTTGATCTATGATCCTCCCGTCACGCCGGTTTTTCCTCTACGTGTCTGCCCGAACTGCCACGTGGTTTTTTGTTTGTTTTTTTTTGCATGCTCGTCTGCGTCTCTTCTAATATGCTTGTTCCTTCCTACTAACGAATTTCTCGACACGAAAAAAACAATAATGCATGATTGCCTTTAAAGAAACAACATTTTTTTTTTTGATTTTTTTGATTTTCTTGATTTACCAAAAAGAAAAAGACTTCTATCAACTTTTATGAAATTGTTTCTTTCATTTCTTTTTGTATGTGTCGTTGTGAATTTTGAAGGTGCGCAACGGCGCCGTGAAACCCGCACGATGTCTCGATAGCATGGTGGGCAGACACGAGAAAAACCGGCCGGTCGGCACGTATCAGTGTCACGGTCAGGGCGGCAATCAGGTGAGCGAAGCGAGCACACGACGAATCGAATTTCAGCTGCGCAACACGCGCACCCTGCAATGTCTCGATAGCGCCGTCGGCGACGAGGTCGAATCGAAACAGATCTCGCCGTATCCGTGTCACGAGCAGGGCGGCAATCAGGTGTCACACAGAATCGGCCGACACACGGAGGAGCACTGTTTGGTGGCTCGAAGTCGGATGGCGATTTCGGGGTGGGGGGCGGTGGGACCACACTAATACAGATATCTCGTTTTGCACCAGACAAGAATGATTGTTAAATGTCGGAAATAGTCTGCACAAAAAGAAAAGATTTGGTTTATTTGGGGATTTTGCGCGGGAAAAAATGTGGCTGAAATGCGAGAAATCGAAATTTTTTTTTTTGGGCGGGGGTTTTGAAATTCATTGAAGAAAAAAATTTGTATAAAATCCAGTTTTTTCGCTTTGGGATATTTTGAATTTTTTTTTACCTGTGGACCTTTTAAAGACAATTTACAATGACAAATTTTCTTAAAATCATTTTAATTGTCGCAATTTGCTTGAATTGTCCGTGTGGAGTACACACACTGACGCGCTCGTCTCGTCGCCACACCAGTCTTGAAATGTCGAAATTTTTTTTTTTTTGGATTTGTCGAAAAATTTGCAGAACAAAAAAATTATGCAGACATCTGAAAATTTGGTTGAATTGCATTAAAAAAATTTTTTTTGCAGAAAAAATTTCAAAAATAATCAAGAAAAAAATTCACTATTTGTCGATTAATTTTAATTGCGTTATTATTTGTTTTATGTTTGTTCTAAAAATTCGTCGTCGCCTCACAATTTTGTATGTCTGCACAATTTCATTTTTTGTTTCATTTTTTTCCGGATCACGGCGAATTCAAAATTTGGCATTTTTCCAACAAATTGAAAAATAGAAAAATTATTTTCCAAGGGCCAATAGAAGAAAAAACCAAAGGAATCGAAATCAAGCCTGTTTGAGTTCCTTTGGCTTTTTTCTTCTCCGGTTTTGGCATTGTCAAATATGAATTTGAAAAAAATTGAAAAAAATAAAAAAAATAAAATAGTGGCTTGCCAGCTTCGAAATGTGGGCGGCGGGAATCGACAATGCGTCGACTACTCGTCGGCGTCGGCCAAGAAGAAATTTGGAATGTATGAATGTCATGAGCAAGGCGGAAATCAGGTTTGATCTACCCTCCCCTCCCCACCCCATTTAGCGGAAATTTTGAAAATTTGCCACCCAGTGCTCCTCGCGGTAAGAAATTTCGATTGATTTTGGATTTTTTTGGCCGTTTTTTTTTTGAATTTTTCGCCGCCCGTCTTAATTTGGCAATGTTTAGTATTGGATGATGTCGAAAGACGGCGAAATTCGACGAGATGAGTCTTGTGTGGATTATGCGGGAAATGATGTGATGATATTTCCGTGTCATGGGATGAAAGGCAATCAGGAATGGAGGTACAATGATGATGTGAGTTTTTTTTGCGAGGTTTTCTTTGTTTTTTCTTTTTTGTTTGGAAAATTTGAGAAATTTTGACAGATTCTAAGAGATTTTTGTTTGAGGTACGTTTTTTTTGGAAAAATTGGCTGAAAATCGAAAATTCCACGAGTAGATCAAATGTTTTGGTTGGAAAAATGGTTGGAATTGGAAATTTTCGAACCGAAATATTATTTTTCTTTTTAATTTATAGATGAAATTTTAAAATTTTTGAGTTGAAGAATTTTTTTCTCATTTTTTCCCGCGTAATTTGCGCGGGAATTAAAAGCGAAATTTGAATTTTGGCGATTTTTTGAAACGATTTTTTTTTCAAATTTTCCAAAATCGAAAATTTGCAAAAATTGGCGCGAAATTTGAATTTTTGGCGAATTTTCAAACGATTCTCCGTTGATTTCAAGGCTGGCTGAATTTTTGTTGCGAGAAAAATTAATTTAAAAAGTAAAAAACGATTTGGAATTTGAAAAATCGGGCGCAAAATTGAAATTTTGGCGATTTTTTGCCGATTTTTTCAGGTTTTCCAAAAATTGGCGCGAAATTCAAATTTTGGCGAGTTTAAAACGATTTCTTTCTTAATTTTTCCAAAAATTGAAATTTAGAAAAATTGGTGCGAAATTTGATTTTTTTTTTGAATTTTTAAAACGATTTTTTTTTCAGTTTTTCCAAAATTTAAAATTTGCAAAAATTGGAGGAAATTTGAAATTTTTTTTTGAATTTTTAAAACGATTTTTTTCAGTTTTTCCAAAATTTAAAATTTGCAAAAATTGGAGGAAATTTGAAATTTTTTTTGAATTTTTAAAACGATTTTTTTCAGTTTTTCCAAAATTTAAAATTTGCAAAAATTGGAGGAAATTTGAAATTTTTTTTTGAATTATTAAAACGATTTTTTTCAGTTTTTCCAAAATTTAAAATTTGCAAAAATTGGAGGAAATTTGAAATTTTTTTTTGAATTTTTAAAACGATTTTTTTCAGTTTTTCCAAAATTTAAAATTTGCAAAAATTGGAGGAAATTTGAATTTTTTTTCAGAAAACTTAAAATGTAGCACATTTCGTTTCGTATCATTTTTTTTCCAGACGGGCCGCTTACAACACGTCGTTTCGCAAAAATGTTTGGGAATGACGAAAGACGGCGCGAAATTGACAATGACGATGTGCAATTACGACGATCCGTATCAGCACTGGAAATTCAAAGAATATAATGCGTCGAAGGCGAAAGAGCACGGCGTACAGTTGCCGGTGTAGAGAGATTCGTGAATTAAAAAAAAAGAAGCTTCAAATTTTATTTATTTTTCTTTTTCCCCTGGGTGATTTTCTCACAATTGTGTCTTTTTCTTGTCGAAATTTTGTTTTTTTTTTTGAATTTTATGCTATCGAATTGATTATGGGTACTGAGAACAGAAAAATCAATTATTTTCAGTTGCGCCAAACCGTGGTTGTTTTTTTCTTTGTGATCTATTTGCTTTACATTTTTTTTCTCCCGTTTTTTGACCTCCGTTTTTTTGTGATATTCCTCCTCTTCCTCTCCCTCCCCCACTCGTTTTACGTTCACTTTCAAATTTTTTTTCTCTTTTTCTTTTTTTCTAATAATTTTTGTGATACTGGGTTATCCTCTCTACAGAGTGTTTTTTTTTAGAATTATGGAATGAAAATTTAGAATTGAAGGTGTATTTTTGGCGGTGGCAAAAATTGTCAGTTTTATCTTTGAAATATTGAAAATCACCATTTTTTTGAATATTTTTAAATGAAAAATTGATTTGTTGTCGACAGGAATGGCCTAGAAATTTATAGGCGTGAAATTCTAGTCCAGCTGTTAGGAAGAACCAATCAGAGAGTAGGTGGGCGTGGCCAATTATTGGCATGCATTTTTTGGCGATATTTTGACGAAGCTGTGAAAAATTTGCGCGTAAGATAAAATGCCAAGTACGCAGACACGTTTCTTTTTTCGTTAAATACTTTATTGGTACTTTTTTTGGTGTTGTTAGTGCAAATTTTTGCGAATGCGCACCTCGCGCACAATGCAACAGCCGAACGCGACGCACACGGTGAGGATGAAGAGCAGACAGGCGCCGCCGGCGACGAACGCGAACGCGAACGCGAGCCAATAGGCCGTCCAGTGGCAGTCGAGCGGCGAGCCGAACGTGCCGATCATCCAGAAGCAGCCGACGGCGATCCTGGAACGCGCGATTGAAACGAGAACTGCGAGTGGCGCCTACCAAATGAATTTGACGAAGAGAATGGCGGCGACGGCGAGATAGGGTCCGACGAAGGCGTTGGGAATGTGAGCGACCCAGCGATTGCGACGAGCCTCGGCCTCGTCGGGAGTGTCGTGCTCCGCAGGATGCTTTTGTTGTGGTATCGCACCTTGGAAATTGATGGATTGTGTTTTATGGTCCGGTCGGCAAAAAGAAAAAAATTGTTGCTCTCACCAATTTGCCGAGAATTTTGAGGGAGGCGCTGGTGACGAGCATGAGCGCGCCGAACACGATGAGCCACACCGGTATCATCGGCTCGGCGTCGCATCGATCGCGATTCGTGTAGCCGATGATGATGACGATGATGGGAAACGCGAGCGTCGAGATGGTGATGATGATGTTGCCGAAGATGAGCGCGGCGAGCGAGACGGTGTCGCGAAGCTGTTTGAGCGAGCTGCTCGTCGCCGCGTCGGCGGCGGCTCGCTCGGCGCTCGGCACGTCTTGGTATTGATTCGTCATTCTGGAAGGTGATTTTCGAGACATTGGCGTGAGAGCGAGACAGAAGCACAATTATTGGGACGAGGATTTGTCGGCAATTTTTGGGCGTTCGCGGCGAGACCTCGAACATCGAGTGGCTGGGTCTTGAGAGGAAAAATGCGAAAATTACCATCTAGAAGAATTTTTTCGAAATTATTTTTGGCGTTCGCTTTGAGACCCCAAAGTTGGAGTGACGTGACCTTGAGAGAAAAATGCGCAAATTTTCATCTAGACGAATTTGTTTGCCAATTTTTGGACTTCGCTGCGAGACCCGGAAATTTGAGTGGCGACTGTTTTGAGAGAAAAAAAAACAATTAATTCTTGGCGTTTTTTTTGGGTTTGAATTTCGCGGCAATTTGAAATTTGTTGGCTTTTTTTGTTGGCAATTATCCAAAATTGAAAAAAATCGACAAGAATTGGCGAAAATTGCGAGCGAGAGAAATCACGAACAGAATGTGACCTTCGCCGACGCGGAAGTAGACGAATCACCCAATAAAAGAAATGAAATGATCAATTGGATTCTTGATCTACTACGACGCAAGCTCCGCCCACTTTTCTCTCTTTCTCTCCGTCTCTCTCTCTCTCTCTCTCTCTGTGGTTGTCGACGACGACGACAAAAATGGACAATTGGATTTATTTCTCATCATCGCAACGATTTTTTGACGATTCGACCGAGAACGTAGCACGCGAGGCACGTCGCCGACAGAACGACGACGGCGGTGAGGAAGGCGAACACGAGCGTCAGCCAATAGGGAGCCCAATGGCATCGGAGATTGTCGACGTCGAACGTGTCGATGATCCAGAAGCAGCCGAGGGCGATCCTGGAACGATGGGGAGTTTTGGAGCGTTTTCCGTGCGGGACCCCAAAACGAGGAAATTCTCCAAAAATGTGTGATTGTTGAGAATTTTTTTCTTTTTTTTTTTTGGTTTTCCACGCGGGACCCAAAATTTGCGGTTTTGAGGATTTTGAAAAATTGCCCTACAAAAAAAACGTAGGGCAGTTTTTTTTGTTGATTTTCGAATTTTCGGGTCTTGACGCGAACATTCCAATGTTTTGCGATTTTTGCGTCAAAATTTCGAGTTTCCATACGGGACCCAAAAGGCGTTTCGATCAACGTTAGTAGTATGTAAAAAAGGTGACGCTGGTGCACCTTTTTGGCCCAAATCGATCATTTTCATGATTTTCAGCTTTTTCAGGACAATCTTCTCTGAAATTTATCCTGTTCTCTCTGAAAACCAGACGTGTTTGGAAAAAAAACACCAAAAAAGTTGCACCATTCTTCCAAACCCGGAATTCACGCTTTAAAATAATTTCCAAAAAAAAACTCCAAAAAGAGGTCCAGCGGAAACAGTCGAAACGCAAAAATTGGTGCTCTCATGTCGATCAGCAGGAGGGTGTCTTCTTCACAAAAATCCGTGAATCCAGAATGTGCCGTTGTTTGTAATCTTTTGAACTTGCCACCTTCTCGGTGAATCACATCGGCGTCCGCGAATTTTCGATCATCGGCCCAACGTCGCCCAACGTTTTTGCCATTTTTGTTTTACTTATTATTTTGATTTTCGCAATCGCACAATGCCAAAAAGTGAAAAATAAAATAGTTGTCGACACATAGAACGAGTTTTGAAGTTTTGGCTATTATTGACTACTCTTAGCTTCCGAAAAGACCTACCAAGTTTATCTAATTTTGACCTGATCGAAAATTCGCGGACGCCGAGCAGACAGTAGCGTCAGAGCGGACGCCGATGTGATTAACCGAGAAGGTGGCAAGTTCAAAAGATTACAAACAACGGCACATTCTGGATTCACGGATTTTTGTGAAGAAGACACCCTCCTTCTGATCGACATGAGAGCACCAATTTTTGTGTTTCGACTATTCCGCTAGACTTCTTTTTGTAGTTTTTTTTTTTGAAAATTATTTTAAAGCGTGAATTCCGGCGTGTGAGCGAAATTGATTTTTCAAACACGTCTGGTTTTCAGAGAGAACCGGAGCAATTTCAGAGAAAATTGCCCTGAAAAAGCTCTGAAAATCATGAAAATGACCAAAAAGGTGCACTTTTTACATCTTTCTAACGCCTTCATGAAATTCGAAAGTTCGGGTCTCGACGCGAAAAAAAAACAATCCAATAGTTTCCGATTTTGCCAGAATTTTTCCCGGGTTTTGGCGGAAATTTGAATTTTTGGGGAATTCCGCACAAAAAAAAAACGTCGGGGGGTCTCAAAATTCTCCACACGGCGTCTAAAAAAGCGTGGATGCGATGAAAAATAAAAATGTTACCAGATGAGTTGGACCACCAAAAATGGGATGAGCAATGCGTCGAGGACGAAGACGATCGTCGGCGTTTCGTCGACGATGATTTGTTTGCGCGCTCGCGCCTCGTCGGGCGTCTCGCGCGTCGGCTCCGGATGCTTCTCGGCGGCGTGTCGCCTCTGAGCAATGAAATTGACAACACAATTGGATGAGCGGCTCACCAGACGATCGGCGACGAACGCGTTGAGCTCGGCGAGCAGCACGCCGACGGCGAACACGATCAACCACACCGGCAGCATCGGCGCGTCGGGGCACTCGTCGCGTTCGACGACGCCGACGGCGACGAGCGTCATCGGAAGCGCGACGGCGACGATGAGGCGACACGCGTCGCCGTAGAGCGACTCGACGAACGAGAACGCGTGCGCGAAGACGACGCGGCGATCGTCGGCGTTGGCGGCGTTCTCGAGATCGATGGCGAATTGGCTGTATTGCGAGCGCATCGCTGAAAATGAGTTTAAGCAGGGAGAGGGGCCGTCCTCGAAGGTTGTCCGCAACACGAGAAAAATGAATAGCAATGAGGAGGCAACACCAATTGTCATTTGTTGCGCCCTCATTTCTTTTTTTTTTTTTTGATTGAAAAGTACAAAACCCGGATGGTCTATCAGCATACTATACACAGATGGAATGAAACGACCATTGATGAGACACAATGGGCAAAATTGACAAATGAATGAATCCTATTCGGCTGTTTGTGTTTTTGATTTATCGCTTTGACGTCTTCTTCTCCTTCTTCTTTTTTTGTTGATGATAACAATTTGAAATGCAAGTTTTTTTATTGAGAATGTTCATTTATTTTTGTCAAAAATCAACTGCACAATGCCATTGCGGAAATAGCGTGTCGGTGTGAGAGAGTGCGAGACAGCGAGGCCGTGGCCGCGGCAATTTATTCAATTCGAATCGCCAGCCATTACTCTGATTGCTATTTCATTTTATTGTTTGTTTTAACTTTATTCTCGTTGAGTTTTTGCTTCGATGAACTTCTAGAAACTATTTCAGTTTATTTTCTAGGTGATTTATGGCAAAATGAGCGATTTTAAAAGGACAAATTTTTTGCAAATCTGGATTTTTTCAAAAAATTCAAATTTTTTCTTATTGTGTTTGCTTGAATTTTTAGCTTGAGTTTCAAACTTAATTTCAGATCGTCTGAAAGTGATTTATGGCAAAACCGATTTCAAAATGCTCAATTTTCGTCAAAAGTGAGTTTTTTGCGCAAAATCCAATTTCCATTATGACTCTTTCAGATTTATTTCAAATTGCTGGAAAAATTGACAGTTTCTAGAAGGAATTTCCGATTTCAAGAGTGTGTAGACACCGTGTCGCCAATTTGCGTACGTTTTTCAAAATTTTTTTTCTCCCAAATTCCCGAACATCCATTGTTCCAAAAATTGACCCTCAATTGTTCGCGTTCGAATTTGTGCAGCTTGTATTTGTGCAAACGTGCATTTGAAAAAAAAACGATATATTATATCATAATAGTTTTTTTATAAGGAGTCGAAAATACGCTAATAATTTCTATGGTGTACGGTAGACATTGCGGTGTAAACACAAACATATGAGTTGACGCGCATTCACGGAGTTTTTAGTTGGAGGCTGGGGTAATAGCGAAATTAGATTTTTTTGTTGCATTTTTGTACTTTCTATTTTTTTCGTTCTAAGCTATCAATTGCCGATTACGGACCACTCAAATTTCTATTTGTTTTTATACAATACGTGATTAAGCTGCAGAAGACTGTGTGCCACTGTTATATCCGTCTTATAGAGCGCGCGGCGCGTGGTGGAGCAATAGCGCAGTGGCGAAATTTTTGGTCTCATAAACCGTTTAGATGGTGGGTTCGATTCCGCTCCGGGGCACAGTGTTTCGACGCTCGCTGACTGCGTCTCCTTCCACCGCGCGCTCTCTCAAACCGCAAGCATCGATGATCTACGCTGGTACGTTATATACAAAAGGTTTATTGGGAAATTTAAAGGCGCACGACAATGTCGATTTCGGGAAAATTCTCGTCGGCGATCATTTCGAGATCGAGAATTTGGCGCACACACTCGTCGCACCGAAAATCGGCGCCCGAATTTTCGGCGACAAATTTTCGGCGATCAGCGACGATCGCTTCGAGGCCGCTCTCGAGCGCACTTTTCGCCATTCTCGTCGATTCTGCAAAAAAGTTTGCCGTCTTGTTGTTGGTGTCGTGCTCACACCCACCATTGTCGATCTCGACGCCTTCGAGAATATTGGCGAGGCGTAGAAGGCGTTGAATTGCCATCAGATGATAGGGCCGATTGATGAGGCTGACCATTTCGAAGCTTCGAATGACCACCTCGAGAAGCTTCTCGACATTCTCGTCGACACACTTGCCCTGACGCTGTCGGATTCTGAATAGGCGCTCCAAGGCGATCGCTTCATAATCGAGAAGCTCGATCTTCTCGTGATGCGCTCGGCCGGCTTCTACCGAATCTGCAAACGACGTCGTCTGCGCTTCGCTTCCCTCAGAAGCTCACCTAGAAACTCGGCCCACCAGGTGGCGAATTTGACGGCGTCGTCGGACGACGCGTCGGCGGCGTTGACCATTTCGGCGTACGAGTGATGCGCCAACGAGATGAGGCACATTTCGACGGGCGACTCGCGATTCGCCGTCTCGACGATTCGAACGCATCGCGAATAGATTTGGCGATCGTAGGCGTCGGCGGCCTCCTCGTAGACGGTGTCGGTGGCGTTGAACGAGTTGTCGGGTGCCGCTGCAAAAATTGAGACGGCGTTTGACTTTAAAGGCGCATGCCCGACTCACAATAGATGCTCGCCCCCGATGACGACGCCGAATGCGGCGGTGTCAGCGATCGATCGCAGTCGCGTCGGAGCAGTGTGAGCTTCTGCAATTTGATCGACCTGTTGATTCGATTAGTCAACCCTTCGCCCCCTTCGCATTTTCCAAAAATGGCGAGTTCAAGAGGGCGCTAATCTTCGCACAAGACGATTGTACACCCTTTCGAGTATTTATTTGTTTGGGCGGTGCGAGTATGGAATTGTGTAGCCAACTAGTGACGGTGCAATTTGGCGTCGAATTCGATGTTCCCTCTCGCTGAAGAAAAAACATCGAAAAGTTGTGGAACACCGAATTTGACGCGAAATTGCAGAGAATCGGATTTGACGCTAACAAGCCCCGCCCACCAATGCTCTTTCAATGTTCACTCCCTAATAATTATTGTATGGATCCCCATTTAAACTATTTTTTTTGGGTCTCGTTTTTTTCCCACCTGAATAATGTCCTGTGCGACGGCGTTCCACTCATCGCACTGTTCGAGATGATTCTCGAAATCCTCGAGACATTTGAGATGGTCGCGAATCTCCTGAATCCGCTTCATGTCTGTAATCGAGATATATGATGAGAGAGCCAACCGAAGGTGACACAATTGAAACAACGCGGTCAACAAACAGGCAGCCGTTGTGGCGGCGGCCGCCTCGGTGCTCTTTATCCGGTTTTTGCGACGGGTTTTCAAAAAATGATCGAGAGATTAACCATCACAACACGAGAAATTTCATTTTAAACATCTGCGGACAATTTCGCGGGCCACGCCATCGTCGCGGTGGCGGCGGCGATTATCTTGAGCTCGGTTTTTAGCGAAATATTGCCGATTGCATAGGACTGATTTTTGTTCGAGCATCTGCGGACAATTTCGCGGGCCACGCCACCATCGCCAGTTTGTAACAGTGGCGGCAATTCAAAAACACACCGGAACGGATTTGTCGATGATTGAATGGAATTGAATGGATTGGAACACGGGGGCAAGTGAGGCGGAGCACATGTTTGGGTGGTTCGAGCCGGTGTGCTTAGTGCAAACACGCAAGCCCCTCGCGCAAACACGTGTAATTGACGACGATAATGAACATGAAATGCGAGACGATGGTGGGCGGGGCGGGCCGGTTTCGACGCGAATTCTCTCAAACAAATATCAATAATATACAATGGAACATTTTTGGAAAAAAAAACAATATTGAGTTGTTTGAAAAATCGCGAGCGTGCTCCTTTAAAAAATGGCTTTTTATGGGACAATTTTTTGGTTTTTAAATTTTAATTCGATTAAAAAAAATTGGCATTTTTGATTTATTTTTTTTATACTACATATTCTAAGAAAAATTGCCATTTTTGGATTTCTTTTAAAATTTCCTTTTTTTCGAATTTTTGTCATGAATATTAAATGCGCGTACGATGAAATGCCAAGTACGCAAACACGCGGCGTTTTGTGTAGGCAATGGTTTCTTTCTGATAAAAATCAGAATTTTAATTTTGAAAAAAAAATGGATTGACGAAATTTTGCATTTTTCTCGACGAAAATTGTTCGCCCCCATAAATTCTCAATTATGGAATGGAAAAAAATTCGCATGCACCTTTAAACATAATTTTCTTGCCATTAAAGGCGCACGTGACAAAAATTGAACGATTCCTGCAGCGATTTAATAAGTATAACTGTGGTACTACTGTAGGCAATCTCGCCGTGGCTGAATTTTTCAAAATTTTGTTTAGTACATTTTAAAAAGCGATTTTAAGGGGTTCTTTTTTAAATCAAAGTTAAAAATTGATTTTTAAAAAGTTTTTTTTTTCCGCAAAATTCTGAGAAATGGTTTAAAACCCGCGTTGACCTCGGCGAATATTTGCATTAAGATTATTTTTTGAGTCATCTTATAAAAAACCGGCTTTTTGTTTATTTGTTTTGCAATTTTTTTTTCCAAAACTGTTATAAAACTCGACCAATTAGTTAGATGAGAGGAGATGATTCGAAAATTGGCTGAAAATCAAAGTGTCGAAAAGTGAAAATGAGGCGATTCGAACACACAATGAATTGATATAAGTGGCGGAGAGGATATCGAACCGAAAAAAATTGTATTCGTTCCTTTTCATTCATTTTTCTTATCCATATTTGGGGTGGAGGGGCCCCGCCCCGCCCCGCGTCGTTCGCTTTCTCAAGCATTGTTGCGACTGGTTTTTTCATTGATGACGGATTATCCGACAATTTGAGACGATCAGCGGTTTCGCGAAAATCGCGACCTGTAAAATGCGATGCGTGCTGCGGACAATTTTTGAGGCGATTTTGAATTAATTGCGGCGGCTAACAAAAAAAATTATTTTTTGAGAGCAAAATTATTTTGAGCAATTACTGTAGCGCGTGGAGTTGTGCAAACACCGCGACGCAATTATGAGGAAATTTATTCCCACAGCACTTTTGTGTAGAAAATTCAAATTTTATTGGAACAACGGTGATAATTATTGCATAGTAGAGACAAAAACGAATTGAGGAAAATCAACTGCAAAGATGTCTTCATTTTTGGGGAGTGTCGTCCTGTTTTGTCCTCCTCCTCCTCATTCGCCTTCGCTTCATCAACATCGTCGCTCGTGTTGTTAACAATGAATGCAATTTTCTTTGTGATGATGTATGAATAATGATTGCTTTTCTTTCGCCCTCATAATTGCCTTAAATCATCATCGAGGTCAACAGCTGTCGTTTTACTGCGAGATTTTGACGACTTTTGACGAATCGAACGACGCGCCGCCGTGAAATCGCCCGCGATTTATCGTAAATAGTTCGGTGGGCATGTGTGTAGTGTTGCGTTGCGGTGTACTGCGGACATTGCTCGAAATTCATCCTCGTTCAAATTTTTCAGTGTTTTCCTGATTTTTTTTTGACAATTGCTATTTATTTCAACGATTTTCGATGGGTATTTATTTTTGGAAAAGCTCAATATAACTATGTTGTTCAATTTTTCTGAAAAACGCGAAAACTTGTTCAGACTATAGTGATTTATTTCAGCTTATCTTCATCTTGCTTCGTCTACACGTCAGAACAATATGAGAGGAATTTGTGGATGTTGTAAGTCGGAAAACTCGAATTACAATTTAAACTTTATCTAAAGTAAGCGTTAGACAACAATAACGAACGAAGCGCAATTTAATTAGTTAACGGATAACAATAATGGCTAGTCGGGGGAATGGATAGTATGTGAATACAAATAATAATGAAGCAGCACGGTAGGAAAATATAAACAACAGCGAAAACCAATCAAGTAACTCGGGTCCGGGCCTAAAACAATCCAACAACTCAACTTCGTGTATTTGCGCGCCAACTCTGGTGTGTGTGTAAACACCGTGATATTCACCGTAACCGCAGGATTTAAATTGCTAATATCTTTCTTCATATTTTCTTGCTCCTCGCAACATCTCCCCCGACAAAAGAAATTGGGGCATCCTTGCTTGGTGTTGGCGTTGATGACGTCGATGATATGACGATATAGCGACTGTGCACAATGACCGTTGACTGGTTGCTGACTGATAACTATGGCTGCTGACTGATATAAGTTGGGTCTTCATTGTGGACTGGGATCAAATCGTACGATGGGTTTCCGAACTCTTGCACTGCGTCGTAACCTGACTTCTGGAGCGTCCTGGTTCCGCTTTAGAATGCTTGCGGGTACGTCCTTGGCACGATCCTCAGGGCCTGCCTGGGTGTTCGGTTCAATCTTGGGTTTAACACACACCGTACGCTGGCTACCTAGCGCGTCACATACATTTGACATAGATCTACTATCCTCAGGGGGACCTATACAAGGGGAAATATTTTGTCTCTGACCTTTTGTACGTGTTGATCCTGCTGACTCCTTTGCGATTGCTACTGGTATTTGACTGTGACGATGTTTTGAACTTGAGGGTTGACTTTGTCCATGGCAAGACTTCTGGTTGGAATGTTCGTTTGACTTTGGCTTGTCCGGTGGCGAATGGGTATTGTCGTTGTCACTGCTTGAACTCGACTGATTGGTGCACAGATCATTCACTGGATTTCCTGAAATTATCTCATGTGATACGGGTAACATGAAAATATCAGTCATTGTCTCAAACCACCTCTCTTCTGGACTCTTTACCAATCTATTTGGTCTCATTTGATTGGCGTGGAACTTTTTTATGTGTCCTTCATGATCCACCATGTAGATCACTGGTCCCACCACCTTCGTCACTATACCTTCTTCCCAAGTCCATCGATTTCGACGATAGATTTTTACGAAAACTCGATCATTTACCTGGAAGTGTTTCTCTTTAACCCCCCTCCCGTCAAAATGTTCCTTCATGATCCTTTGTTTGTCCGACAAGTTTTGTTGGGACTTTCCTTGATCATTCCCTGGTAACATTAGTGAGAGCTTAGTCTTTAATTTTCGACCTAAATGTAATTCTGCTGGTGAGATACCTCCAATTGAATCCATCGGTGTTGAGCGATAGTATAATAGAAATTTGTCCAGTGTTTCCTGTGATGTGATCCCTTCACCCTTCAACTTCCTGAGTCCGCGTTTGAGGGTATCCACAAATCTTTCTGCCAAGCCATTACTTTGTGGATGATACGTTGGTGTCTTGATATGTTCTATGCCATTCTCCAGGCACATTCGTGTAAATAATTCTGAAACAAACTGGGTTCCATTGTCTGATACTATTGTATCTGGCAATCCATTTCTAGCAAACATTTGTTTCAACAATGCGACTGTTGTGGAAGCTGCAATCGATTTTGTGATCGATACCTCAGGCCATTTAGACAATGCATCTACTGCTACGAGATACCAAACTCCATTTTCTGGTCCCGCAAAATCGATGTGGATGCGGCTCCACGCTCGATTCGGCTTTGGCCATGGTTCCAACGGAACTTTCACCGACGTCTTCTGGTTTTCTTGGCATTTCCGACATCTGTTTACCGTTTCGGTGCATGCTTCATCGATCTTTGGCCAATATACGCATGTTCGGGCTAATTGCTTCATCCTCTCGATACCTGGATGATTCTCATGAAGTTGCTTCAATACCTGGTTTCGCAATAATTCTGGGATGACAACTCTATGTTTCCATAACACACATCCTTCAGTGACTGCGATATCATCTTTCCTCGTGATAAACGGTCTTATCGTTTCATCGACTTGATTACTTCTTGGCCAATTATTCGATTTCCAGTATTTGATGACGGTTTTCAACACCTTATCCGTAGCTGTCGCTTCCTGAATATCGGACACTGTTAATGGTAATTTTCTTACCCCTTCAGCCAAATAATCCACATTTAACACCTTGACTTCGGCGATTACGATGTCTTCGTCCTGAATTTGTGCTTTCTGCATCATCCTGGATAGTCCATCCGCTTGACCGAACCTGTCGGTTTTTACATATTCAATAGAAAAATCATACCCCATCAACATCGTTGCCCATCGAACCAATCTGTTTTGTGAGTAAATCGGCAAATCCCGCTTTTTTCCAAATATGGCCAGCAACGGTTTGTGATCTGTCCTTAAAATGAATTTTCTACCAAAAATATACCTGTGGAATCGTTTGATTGCAAAAACTAAGCCAAGTGCTTCCTTTTCGATTTGAGCGTAATTCTTTTCGGCTCCTGCTAGTGATCTGGCAGCATGCGCAATCGGTTTCTCCGATCCATCTGGCATCCTGTGTGAGATCACTCCACCAATTCCATATTCTGACGCATCGGCCGCCACAATGATTGGTAGTTGTGGATCGAAGTGGGTGAGATTTAAATCTGATCCTAAAATATCCTTTAGTTCATCAAACTTACTCTGTTCCACATCGGTCCATTTCCAAGGAGTGTCTTTCTGTAAAAGACGATCCAGTGGACCTCTCAATTCTTTCATCTTTGGGATGAAGGCACTATAGTATGTGATCATTCCCATGAATGATTGTAACTTCTTTTTGTTGTCGGGCGGTAGCATTTCTCGAATGACTTTTGTTTTTGATGGGTTTGGCCGTCTGCCGTCGCTATCTAATAGAAATCCCAGGAATTCTATCTGTGGTTTTCCGAATGTGCACTTTTCCATTCTTACTCGAAATCCATACTCCTGGATTCGTTGGAACAATTCTGTTAGATTTTTACTGTGCTCTTCTTCGGTTTTTCCGACGATGATTACATCATCAAGATACGCCGCTACTCCATTTAGACCTGTGATCATTTTGTCGACCACTTGCTGAAAAATTGCTGGGGCCGTTTTCACTCCGAATGGCAGTCTGTTGTATTTGAAAAGACCCAGGTGTGTATTTATTACACACAATTTCTTCGACTCCTCATCCAATTCGATCTGTAAATACGCATCTGCCAGATCGATTTGGGAAAAGATCCTTCCACCATTCAGACGTGTGAAAATGTCTTGTGGAGTGGGTAGCGGGTGCTTATCTTCTTCAAGATTATTATTTAATCCTGTTTTGAAATCGGCGCACATTCGAGTTTTACCGTTGGCCTTTTTAATAATAACCGTCGGTGCGGCCCATTGACTGTGTGCGATTTTCTCAATGACTCCCAATCCGACGAGTCTTTCGATTTCTGTAGTAGCGGCTTCTAGCGAACCATAGGAGACCGGTCTGGCCTTCTTGAACACCGGGGTTACCCCTTCTTTCACTTCCAGGTGGGCCTTCTCCTTGACACAAGTTCCCAGCTCTTCCTGGAACACGGTTGGGAATCTTGTTTGTAATTCTTTGGCCCAATCCTTTTTTACAGATTCGACCTGGCTTACCATTCGCTCCATATGGTACGCCATATGTTCGGATTGATTGATAAAATCTAATCCAAGCAGGTTTCCTTCTTTTCGAACATATATCCAACCTTGACCGGTGGATCCTTTTAGTTCAAAATCAGTATGGAATCGACCGTCTATTTCCATTGTGGATCCATTTGCACATATGACTTTGGCGTCAGCTGTTTCCAAAGTTGGTTTTCCCAACTTTTCCCACTCGACTCTACCGATCAAGGTAATGTCGGCTCCGGTATCCACTTGGAAATCGATCCACTGGCCCTTTACCCTTACCGGTAAGAACTTCCTAATAGTGTTTATCGTGCAGCTCGATACGACGCTAAACGTCCTTTTGGGTTTTGCAGCGGATTTACGACATTCCTTCTTGAAATGCCCTGTTTCACCACAGTTCCAGCATTCCCTGGTCTTCGATACCTTTCTTTGTTGCCGACTCCTGCTCCGATTTTTCTGCTTTGTTCGCTGGTCTCCACCTTTCCACTCGGGCCTCGAGGTTCTTTTGTGAACTTGGCTTACCTCTGCCATAGACCTCCTTTCGATTTCTTCCGAGTCTTTTTTTAGGCTTAAGATCCTCATCCACTCAGCGAATAAGTCCTTTATTGTCGTTGGCTTCTGTTCCGTGGTCCTTCGTTCCATGAAATGCAGAAAATGAGTCCGCATTTTCTCGTCGGCGGGGCGATCCAACCCTTTTATAAAGAAAAAGACCTTCCAGTCCTCAGCGCTTAACTCTTCCAGTCTCGCTTTTTCACACATTTCGTTCACTCTGTTAGCGTACTCCGTAGGCGTTTCTTCTGCTTTGGATATTTGCAAACATGCGAACCGATATGCAAAAAGAGACCGTTTAATGTCGAATATGTTCGACAAAGTTTCCGTGAGCTCCTCAAAACTTAGCTCAATGCATCTTTTCGGTCTTAGCGCAGCCACCAGTTGCTCATAGCAGGGTTCAGACAGCTTCTCCAATAGCAGTTGGCGCTTCCCGTCTTCCGATAATCCTTTTAACATTTCTGAATAACGATTATACCATTTCGGAAACGTGCGATTATCCTCAAGATTGAAATCGAATGTTGGTATCCGCTCAGCTAATGATGCTATAATGGAAGCCTCGCTAACCTCTACCTTTTCCAACTTTGTTGACTGTTGCGCGTTTCCGGACAATCGCTCCACCAACTCCGCAAACTTTGCCGTTTGCTTCCTCCCTTCCTCCGCCTGAATCCTCGTTAACTCCATTTGCTCTTGCAGCAATTTCATCATTTGCAACATCGCCGTGTCTTTGTTATCTCCCATTTTACGATTATCCCTTTTTTGTTCTTGTTCCTGATCGCCACTGTTGTAAGTCGGAAAACTCGAATTACAATTTAAACTTTATCTAAAGTAAGCGTTAGACAACAATAACGAACGAAGCGCAATTTAATTAGTTAACGGATAATAATAACAATAATGGCTAGTCGGGGGAATGGATAGTATGTGAATACAAATAATAATGAAGCAGCACGGTAGGAAAATATAAACAACAGCGAAAACCAATCAAGTAACTCGGGTCCGGGCCTAAAACAATCCAACAACTCAACTTCGTGTATTTGCGCGCCAACTCTGGTGTGTGTGTAAACACCGTGATATTCACCGTAACCGCAGGATTTAAATTGCTAATATCTTTCTTCATATTTTCTTGCTCCTCGCAACAGTGGAATTTGGCGACACATATTATTCCAAATACATTGGATGTGAAGAATTAGGTTGATTGAAAAAATTGAAATGTTTCTCGAATTTTTCTGAAATTTGAAATCAATTTTGATTTAAAAAAAAATAGGGAGATAGAAAAACTCAATTAAATAGCCATCAATTCTCAGGGATAAGCGTATATCGATTTTTTTCTATTCCGTTTCTTTTTTAATCTCGATTCAGATTTTTTTGGTGAATCTTCTTTTCGGTCACATCATCTTGCCATGTATTCAGCTTCTAGATCGCCTCGAACCATCACTGAGCATTGGCAAAGCGGATTTAGAAGAAGATTTTCTAAAAAAAAAGGATTCCTATGCAAAATGTCGAGCAAAAATTGTTGTGAATCTTCGGAGAAGTTCAATTTTCTAAAAAAAAATTGTGAAATTGACCTTCTCAGCGGTGAAAATTCGTGAAAAATTAAAAAATTAGTTTAATGTTTACTTCCTTCTTCATAGGAAAGTTTTTTCTCTTCTTTCTTCCAGAATTATTGTTTCACAGCAAATTAAACAGTTTTTTTTTTTAAATTTCATTTTGAGGGAAAAAACATTCAAAAAAAAATGGAAAATCACAACACTATTGTAGAATAATTGATTTTACGTGTAAAAACTATCAATTTTTATTTTATTTGATTATTAATTCGAACAAAGAATGGCTAGATTAATTGCAACGAATTTAATGCTCTTATCAGGAGTTCGAGCCTTCGAAATTCTATCGGTTAATATCATTTTTTTTTTCCAATTTTTTAAAAGTATTTTATAGGCTAGCGATGAGGAATGTTTGTCGGAAAGCTTCTTCTTTTATTGGAAGGCACCTGAAACAGCGCGCGCAATTATTAATCCGAGAGAATGCGATTTTCATATGCAGGTTCCCTTTATTGAGAGCTCTCCCCATATTTGTAATTTTCAACGTTTAGAAATGGTTCTTTATTTTCCTATTCTTTGCGTTTTTTATTTGGATGACGATTATTCTGAAATCTATTGGTGAATGCATCGAGCCGACGAACAGACGAAAGCGCAAATAAATCCTGTTAACAAATTTTTGAATAATTCATTGATAAAACTTCCATTTTCCTGTTTTTCCGTGAAAAAAATTGAAATTTTTCCAACAATGCTCCGCGTTTTGCCCGCAGTTTATCTTAAATCACCAACGCGTCCGCAAACATTGCGTTTCGGTGAATGCAGAATTTTCGCGTTCAATTTTTTGAATTTTTAAAATCACTATCGATTCTTCTGCATTTTTCTGAATTTTTGATTTAAGATCGCAGAAGCACAATGGAAGACGCTGAAAAAACAGAAGTGGCCAAGTAAAATCGTGATATTTCGTTTCAAAATTGAAAAATTTCCTTGTCTAGGCCGCCGGAGGAGCCGACATCGTCGACAGAGAAACCAAAGCTAGACATCGATGGTATGATCACGGATTTGTGCGAATTGTTGCGCGATCCGAATGCTCAAATGAAGAAGAAGGTCGTCAATATCATGACGCTACCGCAAATTCTTTCGGTAATTCGCAAAATTGTTCGTAATTCAAATTTGTCGCGTTTCCTAAGATCGGCGACATGAATCAGGAGCGTTGTCAGCGAATCTTCGAGAGTTTATCGCCCGACGTTCTCGACGCGATAATTTCGAACAAAAATGAGGAATTGTTAGAGTATTGGTGGAGAAGCCGCAAAATTAAAATCGCCGTGTGTTCAGATCGTGCGGCATTGTCGCCAACATCCTCTCGTTTTGCGTTCAAGCGACGAGTCCCGACGTCTACGCAAAATTCAAGAAGCTCGTGCCGGGCCTCGTTGCGCTTCTACCGAAACAGAAGATTTTTCTCAGTTCGACACTCAACGACATCGCCATAATCGTAACCTATATGCCTTTTGAAGTTGGCGAAAACAAAAATGGAATAAAATGAACCACGCGATTTGTTTTTCCAGAAATCGGAAATCTCAATAATCTTCGAAACTCTTCGCCAGCTAACCACCTACTATGTGAAACAATCGAATAATCTCGAAGTCTCGTCATTCCTATCAGTCATTCGCCTAGTGTTCTCCAAACTCTTCTCATTGATCTCAACCGGTGATAATGGTATAATTCGCAATTTTAAGATTGATCATATCGCGCTTTTAGAATCGATCATCGATTCGCGCGGCTGGACCGTCGGCATCCTCTCGATCGTTCGCGGATTGCTCAAAGAGCGACCGGAGAAGCTCAGCGAGAAAGTGCGCGTCGGGATGTGGGACGTGATCGGCTCGGTGGCTCGTCTCATCGGACCGTCGTGGTTCGCGTTGGATCAGTCGTTCGGCAAACTCGTCGCTCAATTGAACATCGTCGAGATTCAAATGATTCTCACCAATCCGACGGAGGTCGACGCCATTGCCCTTTCAAGGCATTTGCGCATTTTGGAGGTGGAAATGAATTTTTCTTCTTTTTTTTTTTCATATTTCAAAAATCTATTCAGATGTTCATTTGTGCTGTTCACGACGACGAGACATTCGCAAAATCCACATATATTAACGATGTGCTAATTGCGGTAAATTTGAATTTCTGAAAAATCCCATAAAAATTTTTTTGGCAGATCGGATCCGGTATCAAATATGTGCTGAAATTCTGGGCGGACGCCGCCGACGCCAACATCGAGCTCGATTTTCAAGTCAAAATCAATTTGTTCACGTTTGCCGTGTTCCTTCTGGCGCGCAACGAGTTTGAGATCATCGACAAGGACGTTCAGAAGAAGGTGGGAGTGCACAAATTGCGAAATCATCAAAAAAGACGAGGCGTTCAGATTGGTCCGTTGATGGTCGAGCAGGGAATCGCGGTGATCGATGAGACGACGGAAATCCAATTGCACACGGAAGTGAGTCGAATGTATTTCGAGTTCATCGAGAGCATGTCGGAGATGTTGACGCTCGGCGAGTGTGTGCCGATACTCGTCGCGAAATTCATCGCCAAACTCAACGCGAGCACCGAATACAATCGTTGGCAGCTATCGGTCATCGAGGTTGGTTGGGTGGCGGTCGCGAATCATAAATAAATCATAAACGTCGCGACGAGACGAGGCGGCGATCGTAAAACGTTTCAGGTGACGGTGAGCATTTCAAATTTTCGCGGACGCGTTGACTGGTATAGTCAGAAGACGCTCGACGAGGCGCGTCGAATTTTGCGCGCGCTCGGCGAGCCCCAACAAAACGATCTCGACGAGATGTACAAGATATTCGCGAATTTGCCGCGCGTCCGCTGAAACTCGAACGAATTCACGGGTTGATCATTTCGTTTTTTTTTTCTTTCTCGGCACATTCGCACCGAATTGCACTATCGTCGCAACATTATCAAACATGTGTGCGTTCCCCTTATCTACTATCTATCAATATATAATATTTCTCCTCTCCCCGGTCCCTCCAAATTCGAGTGAGTCAACCAAAAACATACAAATATGGAGCAATTCTGGTTGCGTTTGTTTCGTTTTTTTTTTCTCTTTTTTGAAACAATTTTTTGCGAATATGCATTTATTTATCTGACAATCATTCCAATAAAAAATAACTCTGAGCATTAAGTTTTTGTTTCCTACCGGCTCTCAACCCTCATCACCGAATGGTCTCGCCGTCATGACCGCGTCGAAACACTTGCGAAATATTCTTATTATAATTTTGATCGTGATTATGGGTTTGTGGCAATTGTTGGAATTGTGCTTGATTTGTGGAATCTAAGGGTATGTCCATTGGACGTTGATGCGCATAACTTTGGATGTCGAGTGCGTCATTAGCGAGAGAAGCTCGGGTAATATATTGTCTTACCAATGTGCTCCTTTAATTTTGTGATGGCTTCTGTAATTAAAGGAGTATGACGCGTTTAATTTTTCTCTTTCACGCAAAAAAAAACTGATTATTTAATTGCAATGACTACAGTAATCGAATTTCGCCACGGGAGCCATGAGACAACTAAAGAGCCGATAGTGGGAAAATTTAACAATAAAAACGCAAAATTGCACGCAATGGGTAATAAAATTGAATGATGAAGAGACCCATGAGACAATTTGATGGTCTTCTTTTCAATGTTACGGTAAAATTTTTTGTTGACCATAATTGTTAATTATTCTGCTAAATTCAAAACGCAAATAACCGAAGTGATATGATTATTGAGAGAAAGTAAAATAAAATTTCATAAAATAAAGGGAAAAAACTAGGAAATTGAAATCCAACAAATAAAAATGAAAGGACGCAAGGCATCAAATGGTCACATGGGTCTCGCCGATTTCTTCATTATTGAACTACAGTACCCATTGCATTTTTTTTGCATCGCGTTGAACTAATGTGCAATTTTTTACAATAAATACCCATTATGCAAATTTTTCTATTTTTTTAAATATTTACATAAATTTATGTTTAAAAAAAGAGATTGGAATAAAAATAATTAATACCCTCAGGTAAATCGAACAAAATATTTTGAGATTCATTGAGAAACTAACGCTCTGGTAACTCAAAATCATCGTATTCGACAAAATTCGGCTCTAGAATTAACCTTGTCCGATTGGAAATTCTACGAATAAGATTGTAAAATTGTCGTATCCGATTGGTTTTTTTTTGGGTATTTTCGTATCCGATTGGTAATTTGTCGTATCCGATTAGATTTTCTTTGAATCTGATTGGTAAATATTCCAATCCGTTTTGTTTTAATATTGCAATTCGAATCGGATTCGACAAAAAACCAATCTTATCCGTAGAATTACCAATCGGATACGAAAATACCAAAAAAACCAATCGGATACGACAATTTTACAATCTTATTCGTAGAATTTCCAATCGGAAAAGGTTAATTCTAGAGCCGAATTTTGTCGAAACCGATTGGTTTTGAGTTACCAGAGCGTGTTTCTATAATAGATTTTAGATTTTTCATAAAATAAAATATTTTTAAGTTTGTCGAGTCTCAATAAGTTTTCGAAAGTATCACTTAAATTTTAGAATTTCTCAAAATATTTAAGAGTTTATTATTGAATATTTGATTCTCAAAATATTTTATTTGATTTGCCTGAGAAAAAAAAGGCGCAAAGCGAAAAATCATTTTAAAGGTCTCGCGGTGTAATTAATTTACTGTAGGCATCGCATTTGTTCTAAATATCGAAAAAAATTTGAATTTTTTTTCATTTTTATGTGATTATTTTTTTTAAAATATAACATTCGCGAAATAAAAACGATTGCCGATGTACGGTGAGTTTGATTCGCAGGCTATTCATAGTACGGTAGGCAAACTTTTTTCACAGTTCAAAATTTAAATTTGAATTACCGCCTTAACAAATTGTGATGGTCCACAATTGGTAATAGAAGGTATATGTAGTATAATATTGAAATTTTAGAAAATCTTTTGGTTCCATCTCATGATAATGGCGATGATTATCGATTAACGTAAGTAATCGCTGCGAGACGCATTCATTTTTTGCTATTTTTCAAGATTTCTCAACAAATCCGACGAATTTCAATGGAAAATCCGGCCGACGACGTCGGAATGCGACGCGCGCGTTGAATTCCTCGTGTTGATCGCCTCGAATCCGCGCGCGTTCTCACGCCGTCTCGTCCTTCGCGAAACATGGATCAATTCGAGTCGATTGATCGAGGTGTCGATGAGGAAAAAAAAAACAAGAATTGAGTAAACCCGCGATCAAAATTTGCAGAACGGAATAATGAAAGTGTTGTTCGTTTTGGGAGACTCGGCGAATGAGAAAATCAACAAAATGGTTCAAGTCGAAGCGGATCTTCACGACGACATCATCCAGGCCTCATTTCTAGACAATTATCAAAATTTGACATATAAGGTGACGAGTTCAATTGGTGCTTTTTTTTTCCCCCAACAGAAATTGATCATTTCAGTCATTTACCGGTCTTTTATACGCCACGTCGAAATGCAGAAATTTCAAATTTGTCGTCAAAATCGATGAGGACGTCATTTTCTTTCCGGATGCCTTATATGAGCGCTATATCAGAGGGCATCTTGATCCGGATCGCGATGCGATCTACGGTGGAATTCACGAAGCCGGTGTGGCGGTCTCAAGGACGGGAAAATGGTGAGAAGACCGAAAATTCTGGTTGCTTGTTTGAAATTCGCAAATTCGACAGGAAAATTGAGCGTGACGACTACAAATGCGAAAATTTTCCGACGTACGTGTCGGGAACCATGTATATAATGACGAAGATGACGGCGGTGGCGATTTTGCGAGAATCGAGGCATCGGAAATTCATAACAGTAAGCGAAACAATGGAAATTTTTTGACATTTTTTTGTTTTCAAATAAAATGCCGTGTAGACACGCTGACAGCAACTCTGCGGACTTGCATTTTAATTGACGCTTTAAAACGGTTAAACGATTTCGAGAGTTCATAGCGGAGTTGGGCGGAATTCCGCAAAAAAAAATTGCTTATAAAATTATTTGTCAACGAAGATTCTGAAAATTTTCGCCAAATTTCGCGATGTGTTTCGACGCGTTGCGTATGCGTCGCGGTCAGCGTTAGTTGTAATCAAATTGCGTAAAAAACGAAATAAATAGCAACATATCGTTTTTTTAATGATTTTAAGATTTTTTTGTAATTATTTAACACAAAGTGGGTGGGTGGGGGCGGGCCGGAAAGACAAATTGGGACCGTTGCTTGAAATTTTTAGAAATTTAAAATTTGGATCCCCCTAGGACCCCTTCTGGCCGAAATTGGCCACATCTGAAAATAATAATCAAATGAACCACGTTATCCAGTTTAAGTAGAAAACTCTAATTTAAGTTTAGCCGTTTTTCTTGTTAGCCATTTTTTAAGGCACCGGTTAGCTGAATGATGAAATGAAGCACATGGTCGGTTCGTGTTTTCATCGAACTGTTCCGTGCTTTTTATTGAACTGGTCCGTGTTCTGATCGAACTGGTTCGTGTTCTGATCGAGCTGGTCCGTGTTCTGATCGATTGAACCGGTTTTGCAATATATTTGCAAGCTCCTTCTCCCCCCCTCCCTTCTCGATTCGATCAATCCAAAAACTAAATTCTGAAGGTCGAGGACGTGCTCATCACCGGCTTGTTGGCATTCGACGTGGGTGCCGTAATCTACGAGTTGGACGATTTCTATCCGCTTCAAGAATTCGTGAGACGGGGAAAAAACATCAACAACGCGAAAAATTTTTTTCCATTTTTGTACAGATCCCATCAATCGGCGAAATACTCGGTTGTCACTGGACACTAAGCGACGATGAGTATCGCGAAAAATTTTTCGAATTTCGTCGAAAAAGATGCACCGCCTGCAAAAGCAGCGAAATTAAAGAGATGGAAATTCTTGATATGCCGACTCGGCAACGTCGAAGACCATCAAACCCGCGTCGAACTTAATTACTGTTGCCATTTCTTATTTCGAGTCAACCCGTCGAAACATGCAATTATTTCAATTTCGTAGAAAAATCCCATCTGTTGTTCTATTTGTTGGTAATATTTTCAAGTTTCAAACTAGGAAATGGGAAAGTGCGCTCCGCCGAGTTCTGTGTGCGTACACCGGACGCAAGTTTGCACACACTGAAATTTCCTACATTCGCGCATTTTTCCATTTTTGTTTTGAATAATTCAATAAATCGTTTTACTGTTTTGCAGTTGGCAGTTATTTTTGTATTCAGCAAATCTATTTAACGCTACAAGAAATTGCCTTGTGGAATTGTATTCAATCCGAATTCTATTCGAGTATAAGTGGCGATTATTAATTAAGATCATTAATTAATTCCAGACACCACCAATCCAATTACCACGGATTTAGGCAATTTCTACATTTTAAGGTAATATGAAAATTTGAATGAAAATGAGTTGATTTGAAAATGTTCAGTTTTTTCGATGTCTACGACACGTTCAAATGGGAAATCGTACCGAATCGCACGATTTGCCCGCCGGAAACCCGGCTAATCGTTCTAATCAACACTCGGCCGGACGCATTCTCGAATCGTCATGCGTTTCGAAAAACGTGGATGAATTCGGCGAATAGTCGAGCGAAAAAAGGTTTTTTTCTCTCGAAATTTTCCAATTTTTTTTTACAACATTTCAGGAAAATCGATTTCAAGCGTTTTTCATGATTGGTAAATCGAAATCGCCGACGGTTCAAAAGCTAGTGCACGAGGAATCGAAATTATACGACGATATTATCCTAGCGGACTTCAAAGACGCCTATCGAAATTTGACATATAAGGTAAATTTATTTATCATTGTTTTTCTTTTTCAATTTTTGACCATCTAGACGATAACGTCGTTCGTGTTCGCCGTCCACAAATGCAAAACCGCCGATTATTTTCTGAAGCTCGACGACGACGTCATTTTCTTTCCCGACCAGCTATTCGACGCCATCGACAAAGGGGCGATCAACGCAAATGAGTTGGCGTTTTACGGGAATTTTCTGAGTACCACCAGCAATATGGCCATCGAGGTTGACGATAAATGGTAGGCAATCTGGAAAAGTGTGTTTTCAATTTTTCGCAAATTATCGACTCTTTTTGCAAAACAATTTAAAAATGTTGAGAAAGGTCTTGTTTGCGCCTTTAGCTTCGCGCCAGGACCTATTTCAAAGTGTAATTTTCAATTTTTATTCAGGTACGTACCTTCATCGTCTTACTCGTGCTCATTGTACCCTCCATACCAAATGGGGATGTTCTACATTATGCGGATGGAAGTGGCTCGTCATGTTCTGAATGCAACTCGCCATCGGAAGCATATGACGGTTGAGGATGCTCTTATCACTGGCCTTTATGCCTATGATATCGGCATTAAGAACTACCATTGGGAAAGCGTCTATTTGCGGGTATATTCATTTTATTTCGTTTTGTTTCAAAAATGTGAAAAATCGCCATTTTTGTTTAGTTTAGAGTTGTTGAAGATGCCTCGATCATCGCAATGCTTGCCCCTCGCAAATATGCGAACTACTCGCAATTGTTCTACGAATTAATGAAGAATAATTGTCCGGCTTGTAAGGTTGACAATACTACAAAATTGAGCACCTAATAAACTGGAAGAGCAATGACAATTGCAACAATTTATAAAATCCGACGAATTGGAAATCAAATTTAATTTCTGTATCCTGGATTGCTGTTGACGGCCGAATTGGCGTTGCGCTGTGGGCACGGGCAGTACTGGGCGTCCTGTCCCGGCTCTCCCTCCTCTCCGGGGCTTCCGGCAGCTCCATTCGGTCCGTCGTCTCCCTTGTCGCCTTGCGGTCCGCGCTCTCCCGGTGGTCCGGCGATTCCCGTCGCGCCGCGATCTCCCTGCTCGCCCTGATCGCCCTGCTCTCCCGGTGGCCCCGGGATTCCCTTGGCGCCCGGAAGTCCGATCTGGTGTTCGACGTCGGCTCCCGGCTCTCCGGTGGGTCCCTCCTCGCCGGCGGCTCCTGGTGGTCCGACGGGTCCGAGCGATCCCGGCATTCCCGGTGATCCGTCGCGTCCCGGCATCGCCGCCTGTCCGCGCGCTCCACGCATTCCGCGCGATCCCGGCTTTCCTGGTGGTCCTGGTGGTCCTTGTGGTCCGGCTGGGCACTGGAAGCATCCCTCGTACTGTTGGGTTTGCGCTTTCGCGTCGTCGGCGTCCTGTCCGTCGATTCCCGGCACTCCCGGAATTCCGTCGGGACCATCGTGTCCCGGCACACCTTTGGGTCCTGGTGGTCCTGCTGGGCACGAGTTGTCCGCGTTGCAATTGCACTTGTCGTTGGGTCCGGCCGACGGTGATCCGTCCGGATTGATCGGACTGCCTCCCGGATGATTGACCGATGGTGGAATTCCAATGATTCCCGGCAAGTTGGGCTGGTTCGGCGACGATCCACCCGGGAATCCGCCGTTCGGCGGTTGTGGTCCACCCGGGAAGCTGTTGGGTCCTGTTGGTGGGCTTCCGCCGGATCCATAGCCACCATAACCACCATAGCCACCGGCCTGACGGCGAATTCTTCCGTAGCGCTGCATGTCGGTGTACAACGCGTCCGATTGGCTCTGCAATGAAGCAATTGGGACCATCGACATTTGGAGAGCGCCTACCTTCCACGCGTCCATTTCGGTGGCGAGCTCGACGCGAACCTGCTCGATCTGCATGAGGACGGTCGGCACGGCGACGAGGCACATGAGAATCGCGAACGCGCCTAGCGCACAGGCCGAATAGCCCGTCGTCAGCGACATTCTGCAATTATTCGACAATTAGGTAACTGAGGCGAATGCGACGATCCACACGGATCGACCATCGCCTTTTATAAGACCAACGCCCGCCCCATCTGATATGCAAATGCGTTATCTCCGCGCCGAATCGCGAATGACCTGAATATCAGGTTCTCTAATCAAACAGTGGCGAACAATAATAATAATAATTCGGATTTATTCGAGACATTCAATTTTGCATTATTTTCTCGGCGCTCTCGATTCATCCGGTTTCTCCGATGACGACGAAGCGGCAAATGATCCAATGTAGCCACTAAAAAAGAATCGATGAGTCGCAAAAACTGAATCGCCGAAAATACGTTTGCTCGTACGGCTCGTCATTGCTGAAATCCTGCGAATAGCTATAGTTGTAATCAGCACCATATTCGCCAGTCTGATTGTAGTAATCGTCATAGCTGAAATTATTTTGAGCTCATCTCTGAATCTCGAAGCACAACCGTACCCTTGATCCTGATACTGATAGCTCGCGTCGTAAGCTTCATCATAGCCTTCAGCATATTGAGGATATCTGAAAATCAACAAATTTTCACATTCGCTTCGAGATCCACTTCAAATCACCCTTCAGAATAACCCGCATATTCATCATATTCATTATAGCGATAATCATCATTCGGCGCCCAACGACTTTGGTCCCTATATGTCGGCCTTCGGTCCCGTTTTGATGGCGGCGGTCTCGAATCGAAGCGTCGTCGGTCTTTCTCTTAAAATGAAAATTGAAGAGAATTAAAGTTTTCCGGAGACAACCTTTCATTCTATTTTTCACGCCACCTCGCTTCCGCTTCGACACCGGTGGTCCAGCTGCTGAAGAAGAACAAACAATTCGCAAAATTTCAACAACAACAACAAAGATCCTACGTGGTCGATCGATTCCCGGAATTCCGCCGTCATTCACTTCCCGATGCCGCCTGCTGATGTCGTTTCGAGACGGCTCTTCCGTCTCCGGAAATTCGCGGCACTGCGCTTCAATCTGAATCAGGAAGCTGAATAATCACCAAAGAAAGTCGTCCCCGAAACCTCTTCCATCGCTTCTTCCAAAGACATTCCAGTCTCCTTGACGAGTTGTCGAGCGTGATATCTGGAAAGAACCGTAACAGAAGTCAATTGCTCAATGTTCACACGAGAATTTCCACCAACCGCTTCACCGCCAATGGTGAGTTTCTGTGCAATTTCGCCATCGATGCGTTGGCGCCATGCAGCGGTTCGGATTTGAGCTGCTTCGCGAGCTCCTTTTGCTGTTTTACCTAGAAAAATTAGCGCTCAAAAAATGTTGAAATCTATATGCAAAAATTTGGTACAATTTCATCCTTGAATTCGAGCAGCGTGTTGACCATCGCCTTGTTCAACTCCTTCTTCTCATCCTCCGTTCTCTTCTTAATCTTTGTCGGATATGGTAGCCGCACGTTCATGCGCTCAATTTCCTGTTAAAATACCAACGAATTGATTTCGTCAAGGTTTTTCTTCGAGCCCTACCGTATAAGCGGCGTCGTCCTCATCGCCGCTATCGCGCGTCGCACCGTTCGTGTCGCGCTCGCGGAGCCAAAGTCGGCGTGGTCGAGCGCCGGCCAATTTCAGAGTTCGCCGTTTCGGTGGAGCTGCAAAAATCAATTAAGAAAAATATTTTGACAAGTTGAGAAAAAAAAAACATTCGAATAACTCACGAGGCGACGGCGATTTCGGTCGGGGTCTCATTTCACTAAAAATTCAAATTCAAATTTCAAATACACCCAGGAATCAAGCTTACGGCGGTAAAAGAGCTTCGGGAATCGGCGGAACCTTTTGCGCTTTCTTTTTCCTAAAAAAGAAATGAGTTTCATAAATGAATCGCCCAAAAAAGCGTCGTACTCATAATTTAGAAGGTCTTCGGAGATGGGCGCAATTTTCTTCGGCGCCTCCATCGTTACAGTTGGCACAATGGTGGCTGTCACCACTGGTGGCGGAACATTGAAAACTGGCGGAACGAATCCAGCCGGATTGGCGATGATCGTCGTCGGCGGCGGCACGTGAACATTTATCGGAAACGCCGGCGGCGGTTCGCTGGTTGATGGCGGAAGTTGGCTCGAGACCGTCGTGACAATATCGATACCCGTAGCTGATCGAAGAGCATTCGCGAGATTCGCCGTCACAATTCCGCGGGCCTTCTGCTCCTTTTCCAATTTTCTGCAAAAAATTGGACTATATTTGAATTTACGAAAAAGAAATTGATTGCTCTCCGCCTCGAGACCCTAAACGGTTTTTTTTGCGGCAAATCAAACCTCGCCGCTTTTTCCTCATTGATTCTCGATTCGACCATCGCTTGAACTTCGAGACGATCTTTCTCCAAAACCTCGTCATCGCTCATAAATTCGCGAAGCGCCTCTAAGCAATCGCCTAAAATGGAAATTATTCTTCATTGGGGAGAATGAAAACAATCGTACGGATTTTCTGCGCATTTTTAAACAACTCCAGAAATCTCATTTTGCGTATCAACGATTTCTCAATGGCGGCTTCGCATTCTAAAAAATTAATTTTCTAATATATATATATATATATATATATATATATATATATATATATATATATATATATATATATATATATATATATATATATATATATATATATATATAATTGTTTAAAAAAAAGAAATACCAGCTTCTGCAGCATCCAAATCAACGTCAAGCTCATCGGCATTTTGTTCGCCTTCATCCACAATTTTCAACTTCTCCTCCGCGTCAGCTTCTTCCAAATTCCGATTACTACTACTAGGGCTATCCTCTTCAATCACTAATCGAGACGGATCGTCGACATCCATCCTAAAAACGACAAAAATCAATAGAGAAATATGCGTATTAAATCGGATAGTCGTCGTAAATCGACAGCGTCGACTGCATGAAATGTCCAATGGAGCGCGTTTACAGCAGCGCACGAAATAGACGAATTTGAATTTGAGAAGTATATCGCTTTTGCGAGATGCTTCAAGCCAAAGGTTCGATTTTTCTTTTTTTTAAATAATATTTATAAGTTGAGTTTTTTTTTTAAGATTTCGGACGAAGCTGCTGCCGAACTCGTTCGCGAGTATAAAAAGCTTCGTATGTCGGATACCAATAATGCGGCAACTTCGTCATGGATAAACACTATTCGACAACTTGAATCGCTTGTGCGACTCTCCGAGGCTCTTGCGAGGCTTCATTGCGGTCGCGAGGTGAAAGCTGAGCATGTGAATCAGGCGGCGAAACCGATTTTGTTAAAGATTCACAATTGTGGAATTTAGATCGACCCAGCCAAACTGAAATTAAAATATGAGGATTACAAGAAAATGTCGGATGTGCTCATTCTTCATATGAGAGCCGACGAAGACAAACTCGGCGATGAGGATTATGGAGGTGTGAAGCAGAGCGAGCTGGTCGATTGGTATTTCAACACGATTGAGGAAGACCTTGGTTCGGAAGAGGATTACCTCGTGCAGAAGACGGTCTTTGCAATTGATATTTTGTATAAATTAATTAGCGTTTATTGTGATTTTGTTTTTTTTACTATGTACGACAAGTTTTAAAGTCTTGATATTTATGCTTCCTATCTTATTCATTGATGATAGTCTTGAATGTATATTGTCGGTTTCAAATGATTGATTGATGGAGGGAAATTCAATTTTGCAAAATCAGTGACGCGGTCAATTATTAAATGCGCGTACGGTAAAATGCCGTGTACGCAAACACTCGCACAACCAAAATGCCAAGCGCAGATTCGAAATCGTTGATTTTTTGTATGTATTTTTGATCTCGAATTGTCATTATCGATCGATGTTTTGATGTCTGCGTCTCTTGCAAATTCAGTTTCCAACAATAATCCTCGGGTAAATAGAATAAAATATTTTGAGATTCTTTGAGAAACTAACGTGTCTCTATAATATTTTAGATTTTTCTCAATCAATTTTAGAAATTATTATAAGATTTTAGAATTTATTGAGATAATTTAGAATTTGCTCAATACATTTTAGAAAATATTATATGATTTTTAAAAAAGTATTTTTAAGTTTATCGAGTCTCAATAAGTTTTCGAAAGTACACTTAAATTTTAGAATTTCTCAAAATATTTTAGAGTTTATCATTGAATATTTGATTCTCAAAATATTTCATTTGATTTGTCTGAGTCGGCTTTGGCAATTATTGTGTATTTTAATGATTTATTTTCGCGTCCTTCGTAATTTCTTGCTCACTTTCCGTTCAGAAAACATTCTTGAATGACTTAAACCGCTTTATTTATTGTATTTTGTGCCGTTTTCTTCTCACAGGATTGAGATAATGGCTCGACAACTTTTCTTATTATTCTGTAATTCAGCCACACTGTCTCTGTGGCTTTCAGATGTCTTCTCTTCCTTATGAACAAGCCAAAACCTCTGTATTCTCAGGTAAATCGAAAAAGATATTTTGAGATTCATTGAGAAACTAACGTGTCTCTATGATATTTTAGAATTTATTGAAATAATTTAGAATTTGCTCAATAAATTTTAGAAAAACTTATAAGATTTTAAAAAGTATTTTTAAGTTTGTCGAGTCTCAATAAGTTTTCGAAAGTATCACTTAAATTTTAGAATTTCTCAAAATATTTTAGAATTTTTTATTGAATATTTGATTCTCAAAATATTTTATTTGATTTGCCTGAGATGCTCGGCTCGCATTGGCTCTTCCGTTAATTCCACCAGCGATCCTACATTGCGAGAACCGGTGCTTAGTGGGATCGTGATTCCGGTTTTCTGGTTTGTTGGGCCGTCCATTTTCTCATTCAATTGAGCTTTGGTGTTTTGAATACGTTCTACCAGCGGTGAATTCTCAGGCTCCGCTGGAATGCTTGCGAGTGGCCGCTTCCCTTGGTACACATGGGAGACTTTGATTGAGTTGCTACCCTAGCTTAACCAGGAGACCAATTATTACCAAGCTGGTTGGTAAGCAGAGGTATTAGTCTCGAGAGTGTTATGTTCTATGTTTTCGCGTCCTTTTTTTTGCTCACTTTTCGTTTAGGAAACATTCTTGAATGACCTAACCCGTTTTATTTATTGTATTTAGTACTGTTCTTTTCTGACAATACTTTTCCTTTTTCAGGTAGTGCCTCTACAAGTTTTCCGTGGCGATGGCACTGATGGTTCCCTGTGGAGTGTCGAAGGTTCGTTAATATTTCAAAATTTAGACAATAAATTTATTTTTTAGAACTTTTGAAACAATATGAAACCAATTCGTCATGGGTTGTAGACGCAAAAACTTAGAAGGTGAGATAATAAAAATTTAAACATTTTTTGAATATCTGGCATTTTCAGAGTTTGCAGCGGCAGGAAGCGGCTTGATCGGTAGCACATCATTTGGCTCCTCGGATTTCCCTGGTCGTCTCCGAATCTCTTTGCTTTTTCCCGAGTCAAAATCCAAGAAAAACGTGATGCACAAAACAGCTGAAAAAAATGACCCCGTAATTTTTGACCATTTTTGCTCTTTTTGAATGTTGTTCGATTTTGCCAAACGATGACATTCGCTACGGGAATCGTTTTATTTCGAATGATTCGAGTTTTGAGTAATTAAAGTAATTAGGGATAACATTTAGGAAATAAATGGTGGGATTTTAAAAGGGGTTCGGTTTTGGCAAATTTTAAAATTAAATGCTTCTCAGGTAAAAATAGTTCGAGGGTTTATTAGAATTGGGTTCTTCGATTGAGATCTAATGGTCATTCTTAGAAGGGAAAAAGCAATAAGGACTAAGGAAAGGATTGGTAAGATTATCATCTGGGTTGTGCTAGCTTACTGGTTTTTATTTTGTGTCGGGGGTTATATTAATAATTTCTCGAAGGTGGCAGAGAAAATTTTAAAAAATGAAGAAAAGAAACTTTTTTTTCTTTCGATCTGCAATGAAATTTTGTCAATTTTTTCTTTTTTAATTTTGAGTTTTCTTAAAATAATTTTGAAGGTGTATTTTTTTAGTTTTACTAGAGTTCTAATCTAAACGGCTAATTTTACAATTCCAAAAAATCACTATAAATAATTCATATAAGACATTCCAATGGTTAAAAAAATACTTTTTCAACCAAACGCGTTTTTATAAGTCTGGTTAATTTTTCTAATTGATTGGATGATTTAGGTGTTTAATTGCTGTTTAATATTAGGATATTTTTAGAATTAAGGTTTTTTGGCTTCTTGAGAAAAGCGGGTATTTAGAATTTCGATGGTTTTCGGGCTATTGCGATAATTTATTCATTATTTTTGCAAAAGATACTCATAAATTTTAATTAAAAATAATCTACTTTCCTTTCCCTCAAATCACAATATTTTTTCTTATTGAAATTTAAAAAAAACGCAATTGCCCTTATGGACCTATTCATGCAATGAAAAAAATAAAAAAAAAAAACAATTTTTTTCATTTGAATTCCCTATGCACGCACGTCGAAAATTACAAAAAATTGACGCGATATATCGTAATTCTCCGCTATTTATTTTCAAAGGCGCACGCGAAAAGTTGTGCGAGTCACGTTGCGAAGTCGGTACTGTATTTTTTAATTTCCGTTTTTTTTTTTCGAATTTTTGATTTTTTTGAGCGTTTAAAACGTTTTCTTTTGGAAATCTATAAAAGTATATTGTTTAATTAACACTAAAGGTTCATTGGAAGCGGCATCGAGCAAAGTCGTGCATAGGGAATTCGAATGAAAAAAATTGTTTTTTTTTTTATTTTTTTCATTGTATGAATAGGTCCATTATAATACGAATTTTTATGGGAATCGAGAGTTGGGGTGAGGGAGTACAGGTAATTAATTTAGTGGTCCGTGAATGGGTTCAGATTCCAGTGACAGACAGCCGCCAATCAAATTTGTAAAGAAATTATTCAGCTTATATTTTTTTTGGTAAAATTGACCAAAACGGGGAATTTTTGAACCCCGCCCAATTTTTTTTAATTTTAAACGATTTTATGCATTTTCTTTTTAATCTTCATTTTAAAAAATCAGAATTTCGCTCAATACGAATCGCAAACAATTTATTTTCAATCCCAAAATTTCCACAGTGATTGGCGTGCTTCGATAATTCTTCATAATTGTCAAATTGAGTTTAGAGTATCTCATTTGTCGGCAATTTATGTATTTTTCACTATTTCAGTCAATTTTTTTTCAACTTGTCGTCGATTGAGATGTTCTAGAAGGTCGTTTGTAGCTTAGCGGGTAGTTCTAATTTGTAGTGTTGCTGGGTAGATCGTAGATCAAAACTTGTGGTTGCCTGTCGCACGCTCATCTGAGAGAACGGGTCTCGTAGCGAAGGTCAATGAGAAGTTCGTAGTTTGATTTCTTGGTCGAAGGTTTTTAAGCTTGTATTTCAGTTGACGTAATGGTTTGAGAGCGATTACTGTAAAGGCCATCACGGCCCACTTACAGTATTCCTGATCAGTCCGTAAAATTGCGTCGACTGTTGTGCAATTCTTATTGACAACCGGCTGAGAGGTCATAAAAACTACGAATTTCTATTTTTGGCAAAATCGAACAAAATTCAAATTGCGCAAAAATGGTCAAAAATAGGGCGATTTTTCGGCTGTTTTGTGCATTACGTTTTTTTGCGATTTTGGCTCGGGAAACGAGGGGTGGAGGAGACGACGAAAAAATTCGAGGAGCCGCTAAGTGGAAGAGACGGTCATTTCGCGAAATTTCGAAAAAAAGTAATCAGATCCCCCTTGTTTCTTTCTTCGAATGCGCGCCCTCTACCCATCTTTAGCCCCAACTCCGCCCTGCCACCCCTTTCATTTCCGAATTCTGTGTTTTCCCTTGTGCTCCCCGATTCTCCATGACTTGGACGACGAACTCGCCCAACTCCCCTCATAAGGGAGGTCATTTTAGGTGTCATTGGCGATTTTTCTCTAAATTCTCTCTTATAATAATCTACGAAATATTTTCTCTCGACCGGTGTTATCCGCTTCATTTTTATGCGGGTTCGACTCCTCTCAACTTCAATTTTTGCGATCATTATTTTTTTACTTTTATTGTGAAACTAAAAAATTAAAAAAAAATTACAATTTCCATGTTGTTGTTTGGCCTATACATTTTACCCCATTTTAGTAGCCCACTATTCACATTTGTATTAATGAAACTAGACAATGACCTACAGATGAAAATGAAATAAATTCTTGTTTCTTTGTTTACTACGATTGTTCTAATAGAGTATGCACAAAAGTCAAAAGTTCGAAATTTTGACAATTGAAATTATTATCAATTTTTTGACTAATTGATTAATTTTCAGCAAAAAAGATTAACATGTAGCTTTAGTGAATGAATAATGATCGCAAAAAATCTGAAGTTGGGAGGGGTCGAACCCGCATAAAATTGTAGCGGATAAAACCAGTCGATAGAAAATTTATCGTAGATTATTATAAGAGAAAATTTAGAGAAAAATCGCCAATGACACCCAAAATGATCTCCCTTATGATGCCCCTTCCTTTTCACGACCGTTTTCTCAAATTTGCCTTCATTTATTGTTGACTTTTTGCAATAAATAGTTTTGATTCACTGACATCCTGGAAACTGTATAAATTTTTTGGCAAAATTTCCGACTTCAAAACAAAAAGCTTTGAGATCAAAAAATAGGATTGCTGTGGAAGTCGGAAGAGGTCTCGAAAAGAAACATGTCCAAGTTTTTCAATTTTGCGAAATTTGCAACCACTAGCACAAATCTACAGTAATCCAATTTGATCTCGCCATTTCAAGTATACCATTCTACAAGCTATCCCATCAACAATTAATTAATTTGCTAATTACTGATTAGTTAGTGAACAAAACACACCGAGATTCTAGAGGTTGATTTATTTTTTAAAGCTAAAACTAGAAACTATCAAAATTAGTTTCAAATTTAGCTTAAATTACATAATTTGTGATTAGCATAACCCAAAATTCGCTTAATTATCCTAATTAACTAAATTATCAGCGTTAAATTGCCTAAATTCTTTATCTATACGACAAAAACAACGAAACGTTCTGAAATTCGAAAATTTCGCAGAAATTCAACTTTCAAAATTGGTATAAGCCAAATGATTGAAGTTGTACTGTAGAGAAAGAGACGCCATCTGGCATGTTCTCGCAGATTCCGCGTATTGATATGCACCAGAGTTGTCGGATAGCCGAAATTTTTTTGACAATTTGTTACCAAAAAATAAGAACCGCCAATCTTACGAAATTTCTGTTGAATAAAACATTCTTCAAAATAAAAAAAAACTGTAATTAATTTTATGTGAACTGTTAGATTTTTTTGAACGTGAACGAATTCAAAACGTATGAAAAATTTGCCCAATTGGGGTCCGTTTGGTCTCGCACCGAAACTCTCTTAAACAAATTTTCGTTTTCTAACTTTAATATGTAACACCAGAATAAAAAAAAATAAATTCAAGTACAAATGAAAAACTTTAAAAAAAAAACCCAAATTAAGAGAAGTCGGTTCTCTCGCATTCAAAAAAAAACCTGTTGGCAAACTTTATGACATTCGTCCCAAAATTCTTTCAAGTTCGCCGAAATCGGATCAGAAAAAAATTTTGGCGCCGTGCCGCCCAATTAGGCACTGCACATCGCCGCATATTAAATGGCGACGTCACCGACAAAACAATCGAATTAGGATATGAGAGAGGGGGTAAAAAGAAGAAGACAAAAATCAATAGAGAAATACGCGTATTAAATAAAATCAGAAAAAAATAGTCGTCGTAAATCGACAGCAGCGTCGACTGCTAGAAATGTCCAATGGAGCGCGTTGGCAGCGCACTGGAAAAATCAAAGCGAAATTTTTGCCGGCGAAATCTCCATTAGACCGTAAAAAATAAATAGACGAATTGAAATATGAGATTTTGTTTGTCAAAATTGCAATCCAATAACAATAAAAGCAAATTCGAAAGAATAAAAATATGCGGACTACGAAATAATACTGAAAACCCCTTACAATCGAATTTTTTACCAGTCTTTTTTCTACATATTGTAAAATTTCAACGTTTTGTATTTATTGCGCCTTTAAACTATATCATAACATCTATTTTTCAATATTCTGAACGCGATTTTAATGCTCAAATTATTATTTAAATGAAAAATATTGGGCATTTTGCAAATTTTCGAAAATAACTCAAAGCAGAAAAAAAGTTATTCTCCAAAAATGGGCATTCAAACGAGGGCCTTTTCAGAAAAATTAATTCGTCTTTAAGAAGTACCATTTAAAGGCGCATCGAATTTTTCTTTTGAACAAGCCTTCGTTTGAAGCGATGACATGAAAAATCTCATAGCTTGTTTAGCCGGCGTCCGGCGACGTGCATGCGCCTTCGCTGTGGTCTCGCACGGACTAATTGGTTAATTTGCATTTTAGAAGGGTTTCCCGTTAATTTTTAACTTTAGTGAAAGTATTTACGGAAATAATATACTCATCTTGAAAATTTCGAAATAAGCTTTCGCACCCCGTAAATCTATCCGCGTACATCAGTCGTCGGACGCCGACTATACCATTTTCATAAAATGCCCAAAAATAGACTCTCTCTCTCTCTCTCTCGGAAAAACCTCTAAAATGCACTTTCACTAGACGCGTGATATAGAGAGAAATAAAAATTGTGAACACGGTTCTCTCGCATTCAAAAAAGAAAAAAAACCTGTTCGCAAACTTTATGACATTCGTCCCAAAATTCTTTCAAGTTCGCCGAAATCGGATCAGCGCCAGAAACTTAAAAAAAAAAATTTGTCGCCGTGCCGCCCTATTAGGCACTGCTCATCGCCGCATATTAAATGGTGTCGTCACCGACAAAACAATCGAATTAGGATATGGGAGGGAAGCAATGTCAACTTGCGCGTCTTTCAAAACTCATTTTCCTCAATTCTCCGGAGAGCTCTTCATCCTTTTATGTAGTTTTTTTTTCGGCTCCCCCCCCCACGACGACGACGACAACGAAAAACGTATATTTCGTCGTACTAGTGCTCGACGAGTACAAATTGGGCTAGCTAGCAGCGTATGCGTGTTCGCGGGGCGGGCCGAAGCCAAGCCAATTTGTTCATTCGCCTCCGCCGCCAATTCGAAAAAGTTTCGCCTAGTTGGGTGGTCCCAATTATGGGCCATACGCGGGCGCACATTATTCGGCTTCTTCCGCATATTTTCATTCGCGCCACTCATGCACTAGTATTTACACATGTTTTCCGGAAAGATTTCTTCGCTTTATGTGAAAATCGCCGCCACTTGAGCGTAAGAGCACCCACCGATATTTCATCGCGGAATTTCCAATCATTGCCAATTTTTCGGTTCTGAAAAAAACGATTTTTAAAATCTAGGCAATAATATAACATCTAGGCAAACATTAAAAAAAATAACTAGGAATAGTGCAAAAAATGTTTTTTTAATGGATGAATGAGAATATCTATATTTCATTCAATTTAAAACCATTTTTGTCCTTTTCCAGTTACAGTGAGACTTGAAAACATTAAAAAAATGAAAAGTTTCCACTTACTGTCAATAATTTCAAAAAGAAACGCTCATAGTGCGATTAATTCAAAATTCGGTGCAAACACGCCGGCATCAACTCTGCGGACTTGCTTTGTAATTTACGACGAAATAAAATAATTTCCGCAAGATTTTCGGCGAAAATCTCTTTTCGTTTTTTCTTTCTCTCTCGCAACAACAAAAAAAAAACAACAACAATTGTTTCAATTCGATCGCGCCGCACTAATCTTCTCGCGATGTTTTTGCTTGATAATCTTCTCGTTTGTTTTTCGTCTTCTTTGGATTTCCCCCAACCAGAAGAAAAGAGACGAAGCGTTTCATTTGAATAATCGATGCATTGTTAATTATGTGATTCGCGCGGTGCCTTCGTTTTTCTTCCTTCCTTCCTTTTTTTCCCCCATCGAAACCGATCAAATAAAGGTTTTATGAGGCGCGAAACGTCGGCGGTTTGAGACAAAAATACGCTGACAAAACACCCATTTTTATTACTAGACAAATATTTCAAATTATTCGTTTTTTTTTTAATAAGTCGCTTAAAAAATTGAGACAATCTCTCCCAAAAAAAAATCCCCCACGGGAAATGTTGGGGGCAAAAAAATTCAATTAAACCAATCAGATTTGGAGAAGTTGGAACGAAAAAAGATTTTTCCCCCCCCCCCCAAAAAAAAACCATTCGAATTCAAACCCTAATAACAATGCCATTAAAATCGCGCAATTGTTACAACCAGTCCAATTTAAGCGATCTCGATACCCGACAGATGGTTTCCTGCAGATCCCCCCCCCCATGTTTAAACTTTAATGACTCGCCAAACCCCATTTATGGTCCTATCGAGAATAATCATCGACTCTGCTCGACACGAGCTCACCTGCCGATGGGATCTCTCTCCTCATATTCGCTCCTCTCGTTTCCTCTCTCTCTCTCCTCCCCACTTCCCCCACCGCCTCTTATCAATAAGCGATAAAGTCGAGCATGAGCCGTGTCTCGCAATGAGATGTTGACCCGAGGGTGGTGACCACTCGAAAAATCATTATTTTATTTTTTCTGCCGAAAACCTCATTCGCCATAATCGTATAGTGGGCGTTTTTTGGCGGATGGCGAAAATAATAATAAAAAATTTCGCCTTTTGTCTTTCACTTTTTTTTTCGAGGCGAGAGTAACTGCGGTCAATTCGCATTATATTCAATGCTCCTTGAAAGAAAAAAAAAGAAAGCCACCGATGGGAATATTATTTTTTATTGCAATTAATTTTGATAATTGAATGGTATTGTGCAAACACCGCGACGTACTAATGCACACCAAAAAAGTGGCCATCAAAAAATTTGAAATTTTCTCTATTATCATCGTATTTCTAAACATTTTCACATTTGTTTTGCCAAAAAAAGGAAAATTTCTGTCCTTACTTATTACATAACTTGTCGCACACACACACATCATGAGTCATCGTGAATTCTGCCATCATCCTTATCATTCTCCCAACCAAGGTCTTCTTCTTCTTCATCACCTCCGTTCCATCATTAAAACCGTCCAAATTCAATTATCCAACAACTGTAATAATAATAATGAAAATAAACACGCATGAGCGACTAATTGAGTCCCCTCTCTCTCTCTCTCGAATTACTGTACATATGCGTTTTGCCCATTTGTTTGTTTGTTCGTTTGTTTATGTTCGCCTATTCGCGCGATTTCACACTCTACTTGAACAAGTGGAAGGGTCCTTGCGTGTGAATTCACTCCATATGCCAATTATCTCGATATTATTATATATTATTATATTATGCGTCTTGTGGGTCGTCGATGGAAAGTGAAATTCCGATCGGCGAACACCACCTCTTATCATCCGATTCAATTGATTTGAGGGGGGGGGCGGGGGCACAAAAATGCAACAACATGATTAATCACACCGAGAAACCCAATTTTGCCTTATTGGGACGAGACAGAGAGAGAGAGAGTGAGAAACTCTTTTCGGTCCGTCTCGGTTCCACACGTTTTATGTGTGAGAATATCTAACTGTCGCCTAGGCAAACATGTTCATTTTTTTCTGTGGCGATACCGCTCGCGCCCATTTTTATTCCCTCATATTGTCGTATTGCGTTCAATTTCGCTCTAGATAGCTCCAAATTTGTCCGAAATTTACAATTTCAAAACAATAGGGGGTGGCGCCAATTAAAATGCAAGTCCGCAGAGTTGCGTGAGTGTGCCTACACACCGATATGTGATTTTTTGTTTTGAAAACTCGAAACTCAAGTAAATTGAATAACATATTTTGAGATTCATTGAGAAACTAGCGCGTCTATAATATTTTAGATTTTTCTCAATGAACTTTAGAAAATCTTATAAGATTTAAGAAAAAATACTTTTAAGTTTAGCGATTCTCATAAAGTTTTAGGAAGTATCAATAAACTTTCGAATTTCTCAAAAAATTTTAGAGAGTTTATTATTAAATATTTGATTCTCAAAATATTTTATTTGATTTGGAATTCTCTTCAATTTTTCTCCGGAACCTCTTCTTCCAAACCAAAAAACCAAAGGCGATTCAACTCGTTCGCCGCTAATCCCGTTTATGACTCGAAACAAACAAAAAACTACCGCGCCCAGCCGCTTTCAAACCCATAATGATCGCTGCTCCTCATCAAGCCATCTGTCATAAGCAGTCATTCTAACCAACTAACTAACTAACTAACTCATGTAATCCAAATCCGCGCAGTGTGTTTGCACATTTCATTGTTCGTCGTTTTCTCGAGTTACGCGCCACCCCCCGTCTTTTATCCCCGCTTATTGCCTCTCATATGACATATGACATTTATGCACTTGCGCATCCTTTTTCAATTTATTACAAGCCGTCCGTCTGCTGCCAGTGTTGGTTGTCCATCACAATTTTCCGTTTGATTTATGCCACGGCTCCGATGCTCTTTCAAGTTTTGTTGCACGACGAAAAATCTCTATTCCCTAAACTAATTTCGTCGAGACAAAACCGAAAACGCGAAGGGCAAAATCAACCAGAGAGAAAAAATAAATAAATAAATTGCGTTTTTCATCTCGTCAAAGATTGATGATTTAGCCGTCAAAATCTCGATTCCTATTATTTATTGAATCGCCTTCATCTCATTATTTCAGAGTCGGCACGAAAATGCGGCGAAATGCGTGACCAACGTCGAGTTGCCAATTTCGAGCGCGTCGAAACGCTCGCCGCGTTTCGCGCCTGGTTCACCGGATGCGGCCAATCGTTGGGGATCGTCGGCGCCGCGCAATCCGGCAAAACGTTTCTCGCGCGTCAGCTCGCCGAGCTGCCCGAATGCGTCGCCGCGCATTTTTGCCGCTGCAACGAGCCGCAAACGTCCGAATCAGCGACGTTCATCCAATCGATCGGCGAGCAGCTCAGTCGTCGATTCCCCAATCTTGTGCTTCCGCGCTTATCGACAACCACATTTCTCGCCGAGCCGCGCGTCGCCATCGAGCACTACCTTCAAATGCCGCTCGACGCGATGCCGATCCCGTCGAAGCCGGTATTCATCGTATTGGACAACATGATGAACAACGAGCTATTGGAAATGCTTCGGACAATTCTCCCAAGATGGATTCGATTAGTATGGACGTCAAGAAAAGTGGATTATAAGGACGTTCACATTCTTCGAATCGATTTGATCGATCTCGAGCGCTTTATTAAAGTTCGATTACCTCATTGTAGTTTCGCCGACATCTTAAAATCATCTCAGGTAGTCCAACTCCAAAAAGCTTCTCCTAGAATCGAATGTTCAGGGTTCCTGGCTTTATGTTGATCTACTCTCACGGGCAATAGACTTCAATATTCTATTCAATATTCCAAAATCCATTACCGATCTGCTAGCCGATGTCGTCTCGAATCTTCCCAAATCGTTCACCGATGTTCTCAAGCTGGTCAAGGCAAGCGACATCATTGTCAAACGCAACTCACATTCAATTCTCTAGGCAAGTCGCAATTCGCCGACACGCCAACAACTCCTCGCCGTTGCTCAAATGCTTGTCCACGAGGAAGTGTCGATATTGGAAGTCGAATTGAATCTGATCCACGATGTCGTTTGCGACGAGGAGCCGTCGAAATTCGAAATCCCTTTCGCGTGGCTCGAGCTCATTGACGATTTGAATCTTGCCCGATATCATTCCGCGTGGGCCGAGCATTTCAAAACGAAACGCAAGAAGACAGCGCAAGACATCATCGAACTGGCTTATCATTTAGCGCATTCTGGTAATTCTTTTAAGAATCTTATCTTTTTTTCATTGAATTACTCTTGAAGACGTGCCCAGTACGAATGCCGTCAAAACACTGCAAAGTATCGGCGCTTCGCAACTTCTACTCAAGTGCTCTGTCATTGACGTGCTCACCACCAAGCTTCTCACACTGGCCGGCGCCAAATATCAGGATCATGTGAACGATGTGGTGTTCGCGTGCTCGACGGGCAACATCGACGAGCTGAAGGCGATGATCGGCGAGGCGCGACCGAGCAGCGCGGTAAGCGATTCATACAATGATCTCGATCTTCTGAAAAGCCTCTCTCGAATTTAGGAGATCTGCATGGGCCTTCTTATCGCCTCGGCGCGCGGCAATCTCGCGATGTGTCGATTCATCGTCGACGCGTTTCCGCACGTCGCCATTTCGTCGTGTTGCGGCGAGTGGAACGCGCTCCGAAGCGCCGCGTGCAACGGCCAACTCGGCGTTCTCGAGTTGCTCCTCTCGAAAGGCGTTCACGTCGATGAGTGCGGCAACAGCGATCGAACGGCGTTGCGCGCCGCCGCGTGGGCCGGACAATTGGCCGCCGTTCAATTATTGCTTCAAGCCGGCGCCGATGTCGATCGACGGGATTCGGAGAATCGCACCGCGCTAATGGCCGCCGCGTTCATGGACCATAAGCCCGTCGTGCAGGTCATTCTTCAATACGGCGCTGACATCAATGCCGTTGATAAATCGGGAGCCACCGCGTTTCATTTGAATCTTTCCAATGGTTCGAAGGGACCACAACACCAAGAGACCACTCAGCTTCTTCTCGAACGTAAGCGATTCCGATTTGCTCACTATTAGCTTTCACTGATTCCAGACGGTGCACTTTGCACAATCGAAGACGGCAACGGTAGAGTTGTTCTCCATCTGGCCGCTTATCATGGCGACGCGTCGCTTCCCGAAATTCTGAAGCAGTCGACGTCGGTTGATGTTCAGGACTCGATGGGACAAACACCGTTGATACTTGCCGCCAGTCAAGGCCAATTGGAATCGGTACGATTGCTCGTCGAGTCCAATGCCGACGTCGATTGCATCGATCACAACGGCCGAACCGCACTTCAATGGGCGGCGATCAACGGCCACACCGACACGGTGCGCTATTTGTGCGGCGTCGGCTCCGACGAGCTCCACAAAGACAACGACGGCGCAATCTCGCTGCATTACGCGGTCGCTCATGATAACGTCGACCTCGTTCGCATATTGATCAATGAGCAGACGATCAACGCCGCCGATCGATATGGTCAACATCCGCTGATTGTGGCGTGCGGCCACGGCAACGTCAACGTGATTCGAGAGTTGTTGGCGAACGGCGCGCCGCGCAATCTCGCCGCCCACGACGGACGAACACCGCTGACGGTGGCCGCGTTGGCGGGCCACACCGAAATCATCGAGCTGCTCGCGCCGGGCATTTGCGATTGGAATCAGTTGGATCAAGACGGCACACCGCTCGTGCACACGTTGATCGTTTCCAAGCTGATCTACACCGCCGAGATTTTGCTCAAATCGGGCGCCTCGCCAACGGCGAAAGACGCGCATGGAAGAACGTGCGCGCATGTGGTAGGTGGTCGATTGCGATGCTTCAACTAACATCGTTACATCCTCAGGTGGCGTCGACGAACGATCTGAACGCGGCCGCAATGCTGCGAACACTCGGCGCCTCGTTCGAAGTCACCGACGCCGCTGGCCGAACGCCGTTGATGACAGCCGTCTGGGCGAAACATTATCAAATTGTGTTCTATTTGCTGGAGACGTGCGGCGTTGAGCCGAATCGTGTCGATCATCAGGTAGCATATTAATCGAGCTTCGCGATTTGAGTTCGAAATGGTTTCTTCTTCAGGGTGCGTCGGCACTATCGATTGCCGCCCAAATCGGCGATCGCGATCTCGTCACACTTCTGCTGAAGTTCGGCGCCGACGCGACAATTCGCGATTCGATGGCGCGCACGCCAATCGACGTCGCGCGTCTCTCCGGCCACGAATCGATAGCAGCACTTCTGAAGGCCGCCAACGGCTCGTCGGATTCGTCAGGCATTGGCAGCAGTGTGCCGAACAGCCCGCTAGACGGCGGCGGCAAGTCGCGATGCCGCCGCGCGACGCAATCGCTTCGCGCCAGAATCTTGAACACCTAGCGCTCGCAAATTGAACAATGTGATCGATCTCGTCTTCCGAGTACAACGAGAATCAATATTGAAGATTACCGGTGAAGAAAATAAGTCAATTTTTTTTTGAATAAACGCATTTCTCTCCTTTCTTTCTTTTTTTTGTCCGCCCAACAAAATCATATTTGCGCGTGAGGCCTTCACAAAACAATGATGAAAGGCGGAGTGTGGCGAAAACCCCGAGTTAAATCTCGTTTGACACTCGTCCTCTATATATTTTTTTTCGTTCATTTTCCTACATGCCGTGGCTCGATCGGCCGTCGACACATCGGATCGTCTGGATCGCCGCCTACGCTCTAATCATCGTACTGCTTCTGATTGCCACCGGCGTCGTCAACATGTGTCTGACGCCGCGTCTCGCCGGCATTTGCGATTTTCACGACAAGTATTAATGAATGGCGAAATCCAAACCAATTTGTAAACGCGGCAGGAAGTCGGCGAGCAACGACACGATTGGCGCACTTCATACGAAATGCGATCCGCAGCGACGCGCGACACTGCTATTCATAACCTATTGCCTCGTTCGACTCATTTCCAATAAATTCGAGGCGCATTTGGGAAGTCGGTTGTAAGCGGCGCGTGGGGGGGGGAGAAATTCGATCACAAAAAAATTGCAAAAAGTTCACCGCCAACACAAAAATATTTTAGCAATTTAGCAAACCACCAGCTCGACTGTCCGCAGATGCGGAAACATGTTTTGAAAAGAAAATTTTGAAACTCACAAATTGTAGAATGAAGCAGTGCGGTGTTCGCAACGCGTTTCCCGGAAGCCATTTCGGAGCGGCGTTAGGTTTTCCCTATCTTACCAGGTAAAAGTTTCCGTTTCAGCCGATTAGCGTGGTCCCAAATTGATAGGTCGCTTTCCGCCAGCATTCAACTCACCTCCTCCTCATTGTTGTTCATCGTCATCATTTTCGCGTCGACCTCGATCGCGTTCTATCCATACGTCAAAGATTTCGCCAAATTGTGCAAGTAATTTTGAAGCAATTGCGTTTTTTTCCTTAATATGATGATTAAATAATTTTTAAAACTGTCGAAAAACTCTAAAAAACCCTATACAGATTGCTAGATTTCTTTCAAAAATCTTTTTCTTTTTGGAATTTCACCATCAAATTCCAGATTGATCTACAACGCAATTCAACGACGCCACTATACGCAGAGCTACTCGCTAATATTCGCCCTCATAAGCCTCTATTTATACTTTACCGTGATTTTTGTAAGTTTCAAAAAAAAATCTTTGAAATTCGAGAAAGGCGAGTCACGGTTTGCTTTCGCTATAGATTAGACGCTTCTTTCAAAAATCGCAAAACGAAAAACTCTGCTTGTTAGTTCTACTTAACTAAATTAACAAATCTATCAAAGTAACTGTTGGAGCCGTGGCCTCGACACGTCACGTGACACACTTCGTGGCACACGTTTCATAGGAGCGATATAAAAACCCCTTTTTACGCTCAATAATCTGTTATTTAGACACAATAAGAATATGTAACCAAGCTATAAAAGGGAGGTGGCGGCCGACAAAATGTCTGGCCCACGACAATATGTCTAGGCCGCATCAATGCGATCATTCGGAAACTGTTTTTCCGATCCAAACATCTGTGAAATTTTGTTTTTGTTTGATTTTTATAATTTTCAGTTTACTTTTTTTCACTAAAAAAGATATTGGAACGTAATGACGAAAAAAAAATACAAATGAAATCCTATCAAATATTTTGAAAACGACTTTTCGCTTCTTAATATCTCAAGGGTTTTAACCGTGTACCTTTAAAATGTACAGTAACCTTTGTTTGAAGAAAAACATTTTTTGAGAAAAATAGGTTCGACTCCTCCCAGCTCACCGCAACGCACGTGTGGCTTAGAAAAAATGTCATCAAAAATTAAGTTCGGCCATAGCCACACCTGATGAATTAGTTAATTTAATTATTAAATTCTCAAATTCAAAAACGGTCGCCCTGCGCCGATTTATGGTGAGCCAGATTATCACTGTTCAAATTAAATGTTGACTTACCGCTTCGAAAAAGTGCGATGGTCCACAATAAAGCAAGGCGCTCGTTTCTTGGTTGCGATGTTAACAAGTAGAACTAAATAAACATATATTTACATATATTTTTTTCAAAAACAAAATATCAAAATATGAACAGCTTCGTGGAAATAAAAGAAAAAGAGGCATGTTTCTCACATCTCTGATTTTGTGTCGTGGGATTCTGCGTTTTGTACGCAATGCGATGAGCCAGTTACCGTAATCCTCGCAGCGATTTACGAGGGCTTTTTTAAATTTCGTATTTTCATTTTTTTTTATTTTTTCGCTCAATTTTCGTATTTCCCTTCGAAATTTTGTTGTTTAAATTTTGCAGAAACCGAGTTTAATAATTTATTTAGCAAAATAAACACTTTTAAACGGTATTTTTTTGGTAAAAACAGCAGAGATTTAAAAGAAAACATTTTTGTCGTTATTAAAATTATTTATTCGTGTTTGGCTTTTGTACGCGTTTCTATTATCTTGTTTTTTTTTGTATTCTGCATTTTCAAAATAATTTTTAGAGCGTCAAAATCTTCACAATAATTCCCAATTCAACTGGACAAATGGAAAAGTGCATATTCTGAAAAATAAATAATTAAACTCGGTTTCTACAGGTTTTAAATAAAAGATTTCTAAAGAAAATAAGAAAATAGAGCAAAAAAATTGAAAGAAAATTAAAAAAAAACTCGATGCGAGGATTACGGTAACTGGCTCAAAGGTCTCACCACGCGTGAACGCTTATTTTGCCGTTTCCACGTGAACTGCTTCATTTTTCTTGAAGAGTTTTGCATTTCCTTGAATTTCCAACGTCATTTGATTGAAAAATTATCGAAATGGCCCATAAAATTTGAAATAACCTGTTGGTCCTTATGAGACCATTTCGAAAGACGCATCCCCGTAAATCTACCCGCGTACAGCAGTCGCGTCCGGATGCCGACTATATTTCTTCGCTTATTTAAGTGCTCAATTCGCCATATTAGAAAATTCCGAATTTGTCGCATAAAGTGGTGTATTTGCAGATTGAGATTCTCGATGTCTCATTCGGCGCCTATTGCCCGCAGAGCATTTTCGGTTTGCCGATCCTCTTCCCGAACGTCAATTTTCCATTGGTCCTCTACATTTTCCACATGACAATTCTGAGTCAGCACAAAGTGATGCCGGCGATCATTTACGAGGTTTTTTTTTCGTCTTTTTTATTATTTTTGGTCGTACAACAATTCTCTACAGGTCAACAATGATGATTGCTTCATTCAACTCAACCGGATGAGGTGTATCACGAACAAGGATTGCCCAGAAAGGTAACAAAACAATTGGGTTCCAACCTCTCGATTCTAATCGATTCAATATTTTCCGATCAACCGCATTTCCGCTCGACGCGATCCCATCGAGAACCACCACCATTCAGCGTCGCGCGCTAGAAGGCCGAATCGTCCAAGTTCGGAGTATTCGTGATCTCGATGATATTGTTCCCTGCAAAATCTCGACAATTGTCCGCAAGACGTCATTGGCAGTGATGAGCATGAAATGAACACGCGCAATGAATATATCATTCGATGTCGAGAGTGCGACATGCATCGGTTGAATTGAATTACGTTCCAATTAATAATTTACTCTATTATTCTTGGCAAGGCAACAATTAAGTAGACAAGTAATAAACCACCCGGTAGATAAATGAATAACAATTTGGGAAAATATTAATAAATAAATGCACTTAGAGTGTCGTCCAGACATCCTTGGAAAGAATCGGCGACAAGTTCGGCGCGTCTCTCGGCTCGGGTCCGACGCCCAAATCGCCGACGAATCGCTCGTGGTCGGAAATTCTGAGGCCGCACGGCCGACGAAACTCGTTGCCCTTCTCATGAATCCATTTGTTCGACACCCACTTGATGCCGACGAGCACCGGACACGCCGCGTGTCGGGTGTCCACGTTTCCGTCGCCCTGCCGATGAAGGTTGTACCAGAAGAGCGCGTCGTTTCTCGTCGGCAAATTCGTTGTTTTCACCTCGGTGAATACCGTACCACCGCCATATTTCGGTTGCGACATCTAGACACACTCTTTGATCAGCTCAAAACAAAAAATGAATGGCTTACATAGAAGAGGACGGTGGCGATTCGGTTTCCGGTTCCAAGCGACTCGAACGACTTCGACTCCTCCTTCTTGGCATGATCAAAGTGCGGATCATAATGCCCGCCGATTCCATAATTGGCAATCTGGAGCTCTTCGGCCGTCTCCATTTCGAGATTCGTCATCATGTCGATTCGCTTGTTGACGCGCTCGACAACCTCGTGCTCCCATCCTTTGAGCCACGCGCTTTTGCTGATGCGATACGTCGCCGTCACAAGTTTGCCAGTCGCCGAGTCGTGAACGGTGGCGCGCGCCAATTTCGGCTTCGCCAACTCCTGAATCACCTCGATCTCCGAATCGCTGATGACATCCTTGAAGAGGACCGCCAACGGTTTGAATCGTTTGATCTCGACCTTGATCGGCGCGTACACCAAAAACGGACGATCGCGTTTGTAATAGCAATAAAGCTTCGACACGTCTTTGACACTCTGAAGAAGTCAACGAAACAATTTTTGCGCCAATTTTCATTCATCATACCACGGGCACCTCATTCCGGCAAAGAGCCTCATACATCGTTCTCTCCTCGTTGCCAAGAACACTATCGGGTCGGCGATTCACAATGGGCGGAAGGTTTTTTCGCATGTCGCTTCGTCGAACCCCCTCCTGTTCCAAAAGGTCCTCGTACCATTTGACGTTGCCCTTGGCGCGCGGATGATTCGGATCTGAACAACACCGTTGCTTCCGCAATTCCCACATCAAATCAACTCACTTCGTTTGAACAACTCCTCGGTGAGCTTGAGCGCGTGCTTCAGATTTCCCTGCTTGTAAAGGGCAAACGCAAGATATTCGAGAATCTGAAAAACTCAATTCTTGTTCTCCTTCTTCTTCTTCCATCGAAACTCACGTCGTCCAAATCGGCAGTCGGCTCGTCCTCTTGCCCCAATCGCCTCTGCGCCTCCTGCATCCACATGACGGTGTGATAGAAGTCGTGCTCATTGTATGCAGCTTTCGCGATTTCAAAACAATCGCGCGCTGAAAAACGAAACAAACTCCATTGAGAGAAATCTTCGAAAAAAAAAACCTGAGAACGTATAATTGCCCTGCTCCTGATAGATTTTCCCATCGGCCAAATCCTTGGCGTCGAGTCGATAGGTGTCCTGAAGGCGGAGAAGTCCCATCGCCGAGCCGGCAAGATCCTCCGACGTCGGATATCGCACACCATAGTTGTCATCGGCCAACGATTGCACCAAACCGCCGGCCTTGTTCGCGTTCATTTTCGCCTCAATGTTCTTCCAATCGAAAATTTTCTTTTTAATCAATAGGAACGCGTTGATCGGATTCGTGATATCCTTGAGGCCCGTCTCAATCGATTTCTCGTTGGTTTTCGCGTACTCCTCCGACAATCTAAAAAAAAAAGAACAATTCTGGCAATTTTCCAAAATCGCCTCCCACTTTTTCAATTCGGCCAATCTCTGCTCCTCCTGAGCAATATACTTGAAAAGCACTTTTGGGATGTTCTTCTCGGTCTCCAACAAACTCTGCATGTCGGCGATCGACGTGAACAAATCGGCGTTGGAGGCGCCGATGAAGACGGCGAGCACAAATAGTGCACAAATGCACTTCATGGTCCTACCTGGAAAGAAAAAAAAAGAAATTGTCAAACAATAATAATGACGATGAGGAAATGGCGACGGTACGTGACTATTTATACGGAAGACGTTTGATGAAGACACGTTGCCTAAACCGTGTTGCGACCCGTCCCACTCACCACACACACACGATACGAAAGAACAACATTGGAGGGTGTGATACGCAGTCGCGCAATAACGCACCGTTGACTTGGCGAAAATGGTGTAATAATTTTCGATGAGGCAAATCGTAGAAATTTTTCAAATTAATCCTTGTTCATTGAAATATTGTGAGGTGCTCAATGATCAATAGAATTGACGATTTTGGTCTCGTGTGGAAAAAACCGACACTAACAAAAATGCCAAATTGCGGAGTATGAGAATATTCAGACTATTTGCGGGACCAATTGATTGAGAAGCCCGCGAAATTCAAATCTTGCAATTCGATTTAAAAAAAAAAGAACTTCCTGAATGCCGGCAAACATTTTGTTGGTGTTGTTGCCTTGAAAATGTCAAGGTCGACTTGGGCCCCTCACCTCGCATTCATCCAGAATTCAGGTTTTAATTGCAAAAATTTTGAAAGCGATTTTCAAAACAAAACGAATCTATTGGAAAAAAAGAGACGCTTAGGCAATTTATAAATGAGATCGCATAGGAAAAGTGGACGAAATAAGAATGCAAGCAAGCAAGCTTCTGACCTCATCGATGCGAAACCGAATCGCACCGATTCGTGAAGCTTTTTTTCGGCACGCAACCACAAACCCGAGGAAGTAGAATGAAACAAATGTCGAAATTGAAAAGAAATATTTGAATATGCGTGTGAGCGGGGTGGGCGAGGGGGGCAGAAGGGTTCCCAGGGCGAGAGTGACCCATTGATCGAGGGCAACAGAAACTAGGACCCGTTCTTCTTCTCGCCCTCTCTGACGACGACGAGATAGTCTCGGGTTTGCAGAGACGGAAGGGCCACGTTGGAAGTTGGCCGAACTGCGGCTGTTGGTGCCTGCTGCTGCTGCTGTCGCTGCTTTGGATAAGGATTTTTTCGGACGTTCGGCACGTTATTATCAAGATTTGATATTGGTTTTTTTTTGATAAATCGCTGGCGAATAGAAATTTTTAAAATATAAAATAATCGAAAATTTTGGATGTTTATATTTTTGCTTCTCTAGAATTTTGTTTATTTATATAATACATAAATAAATAAAATATTGAAAATCTTACCTTGAGTCACGATTTTCTTGGAAATTATTGAACCATAATTCGCAGAAATTCAAAATGTTATCAGAAATCTTGAAGGAACCGATTGCTTCGTGCCTGCGACATCATCCAGCATTTATCTGAAATAAAAATGAAAATTAATAATTTAATTGCCGAATTTACAATTAAATCCACGCCGCAAATTTAGGAGTGATGCATTTGTGCATGAAATTGAACGCATTTTTTCACATTCTCGGAAAACTCATGGGAAAAAATAAGAGTTTTTTTATCATGTTCGACGAAACAACGAAAAATTTTAGGAGAAAACGATGAAAAATAGAGTTGTCGTCTTCCAAACCTGCGTGGCACTTATTCAAGCTTATTTCAGAAAATACAACTGCAAAATATGAAATTAAATAAGTAACAAATAAAGAATGACATTTAAAACACTGACAAATAAATAATAGTAGACAATATTTTTGTCGTTTTTGGAAGATTTTTGATGTTGTAAACTGCTAGTTTTATGCATGTTGCACATCAAAGTATGAAAAGTCGATTAGTGATTAGAAGATCTTTAAAAAAAAAGCTCGCAATTTCGTTTTTATAATATGAAAAAAAAATGAATTTCTAACCTGTCACGGTACTGTACGCAGAAAAAATGTGCATACACCTTTCGAAAAACTGCACCACTCAAAAAGTGTGTGGATTTAATTGTAAGTTCGAATTGAAACCAATTAAAATCTAATAATTTTCTACTTTATAATTTTTTTTCCTCTTTCAATTCTTCATTTTTACATTGATAATTCTAAAATGATTTTCTCGATTTTTAACCAATTATATGGGCTAGCTGTAACTTGTGGATTTATTCATGCAATAAAAAAAAAATAACGAACCATTTAAAAAAATCTGATGGCCTTAAAGAGGGCCGTTGGAATTCGTGTGCCGATTAGCCCGACTCGACATCCCCCTGAAGGAGTGTCGAGTCAGTTGATCTCCTTCGCCACGTAGAGGCTCGGCACTTGAAGGAGAGGCTCACCAGCATCAGAGAACCTGATGTGGGTCATCGCCGATCCCACCATGGGGATCACCCAAGGACATCCCACAACTATCATCCGAGGATAATAGAAGTAGAAGTGGTTGGGCAAGCCACGTCTGGCTGGGCCCCGGGTCTACTGGTGATTCTGTAATGTGGTTTTTGTGTTCTTAGCACAGAAGCTTACTACTAAGTAGTAGCAAGCCACTACAAAGTAGCAAGCTACTATGCCAAGAAGCACGGTCCATGTGCACCCGAAAGGCTGGACATATTGACATAGCTGGCCAATCCACGTCAATATAGGTCTGGGCCAGATGCCATCCTGACTAGTATGGAGGACACCCGGTGAAGCAAAGTTCTAAAGCATAACCATCCATAACGCCCAATAGCAGTTTCCAAGTACTCGAGAGTACTTGAAACGAGGGCGTTTGGGTAGGGTTCGATTCCCGGCTACGGAATCAGGGCTGAAGGGCTTGCCAGGCCAATCACCCGAATTTAGGATATAGCGGATAAGCCGCCATCCAGCCAACGCCTCGGCACTAAGGGGGGATCAGGAAGCTTTGGCGTTGGGGGGAATGGCCGACTACGGCCCTAATATAGCCGACTACGGCGGATTAAGTAGAAAATAAATAGAGGACCTTAGTATGGGTTATGCTTAATGGGGGGGGGTGGATTGTGACGGTGAATCGTTTCACCGACAGGGTCCTTCCATCGGGAGCAGCAGCAGCATCGACGATACCTAAACACCTAAACACCTAAATTTATATGAAGAATAGATTTAATAAAATAATAAAACAAATAATATAATACGGAAGGGGGAAGCCAGTCATTAGTGGAATGACTGGCATGGCCGTAAGTGGTACGACTTTCCCCGGAAAAGACGAAGAAGTGGATGGTCCCAAACGGTAGGACCGGAAAGAAGAAAGTGGTGGTGGTAGAGTGAGAGGGAAAGAAGCCGCAAGTGGTACGGCAGGGGGGAATCAGTCGACTGATAGAGAGAGGGGACAGTCGTAAGTGGTACGACTGGTGGAAGTGAGAAGCCGCAAGTGGTACGGCAGGAAGAGGATGGGGAAGCCGGCTTTCCCCAAAAAAGATAGGATGGTCCCAAACGGTAGGACCAGGAGGAAGTACAGACGTAAGTGGTACGAATGTACGGAAAGAAGGGAGGAATCCCAAGTGGTGGGATAGAGAGGGGGAAGCCGTAAGTGGTACGGCTGGTGCAAGTGAGTAATAAAAAAAAATAAAAAAAAATAAGGCCCGGGCCAAAAACTACCGTGATCCGCGGATCAAATACATCTTGTTTGTGTCCTTCCTCGTCGCTTCCTCCAGTTATCTTCTCTCGATCCACAAATCGAAAAACCTGCAATGATTCGAATTACTCTGATCGATTGCTGCTTCTTCGTTACCATTTAAATCCGCTTCCTCGTTCTGCTCGACGCCCCGGGCAGCATCGACCTTTCGTCGCCTCTCCATCTCTTCCTTCATCACCTCGATGCCTCAGTGTAGGTTTAGCGTCACCTCGAACCAACACTGCAGCACGCCCATTGAAGGGTGAGCACTGACTAACGGAGCCGGTCGAGGCGAGAATCCCTCACACCTTGAACACTTCTGATCCGAAGGTGTCGATGGAGAATCGACTGTGGCTCATATCGGATCTGCAAAAAGAGGAAATCAGGAAAAGCGACGGCAATGAATGCGACATACCTGGTGGATCCTTGGCCACAACGAGCCCGCAGGAGATGCGGGCTGCCCGCAAGTTGTGCGGGGGCACGTGGAGCCCGCAGGTTATGCGGGACACGTGGAGCCCGCAGGTTATGCGGGACACGAGGAGCCCGCTGGCGGGTTGCTCGCAACTCGGAGAGCTTCGAGAATGACCAAATTCCTCATTCCGTCGGCCTTTTATAGTGCCACTGGGCGTCGGTACGAGATTTGCAATAGAGCGCGTTTTGACAAAAAGAACTGCAAATTGACGCCAAGTGTTGGCACATTCTCTCATGTTAGCACACTCTCTGCTCACCGACGCGCTTTCCCGATCGACGCTGTATTGCGCTAGAGCGCATTTGCCTAATGAAACAAACGCTGGGGGCGGAGTTTAGATTGCGCATTCATAACTACCACAAGGCTATTTCCACCCGAATAACATTAAATAAATCTAGAAATTCAATTTATAGAAATCGTTATCAAAAATCAGATTTTGAACGAGAAATTCGCAATTCGTTGAAATCGCGGTACGTGCTTCGAGAATTTTTTTCCGAATTCTTCATACTTGCCGTGTGTGCTTCAGAATTATCAGAAATACTACCAAAATTTGATAAATTGATGTCTTTTACATCTTCGTTTGGCGATTGCTGTATGTGAGTAGATTTAAGGGTATTTAAGCTTTCTCTTGGTCTCGCGTAGACTAACTGGTTATTCTAGATTTTGTGGGTCAGTTCCATAATTTTTTAAAATCCAATGACGTTGGAAATTCAACGCAATGCGAATCTCCTCAAGAAAAAAAAACAACCGTTCACGCGAAATCAACTTAATAAGGGTTCACACGCGACGAGACCATTTCGAAAGGCGCTCACGTAAATCTACCCGAGTGCATCAGTCTCCGGACTCCGAATTATAGCCTAGTGAATTGTGAATATATGACAACACATTTTGAATAATTCTGAATCTAGCTGTTTATACGGAATATCCAAAAATTAGTGATTATTAGACAACTTTAATTTTAAGAAAACTTGATTGGAGACTGCCGTGTAGATTTATTTGTAAGTCTGCAATTCGAATAATTTTCACACTCTCTGCTCACCAACGCGCTTTCCCGATCGACGCTGTATTGCGCTAGAGCGCAATTGTCTCATGAAAAAAACGCTGAGGGCGGCGTTTAATTCATGGTCTGTGCGTCGACAATGAATTAAACGTGAGCTTCAAAATTTCGCATTATCAGAAATACTATATAATTTGATAAATTTATCAAATTATATAGTATTTCTGATAATGCGAAAAATTGGTCTCTTGTTAATTTTTCAACTCATTTCCAAAATTCAAAATCATTTTTTATTATTTTTTTTCTTTTGCATATCTTTCAGTTGTCTTTCCAGCGATTTCTCCTTTTTGTCATCATTCATCGCAATCTGCGTTTCCGTCTCAGCTTTCACCATCATCGATCTCGCCATCGGCAGCGTTTTCGGCTTTTTAATCACCAAGTCAAGTATGATAATTACCTACAATTATTATTTTTAATGGTACTAATCAGATTTCGAAAAATTCTTCAAATTGGCCACGGTCAGGTTTTAATAAATCGCTGCGAGATTCCTGAAATATCACGTGCGCCTTTAACCGTTTCTATAATTTTTTTTAATTCTACTCGAAGCGATTCAATAAAAATCTGGTCGTGCTCGTTTTATAGTTCTTTGTTTTCAATTAATTGGAAATCATCACTAACCAATCCATTCAATATAATAGTTAACGTATATCCAATAAGCATAAAATAATAATCCAGATTCACTCGTTTATTGAAATCTTGCAAATTTTCATCGATTTGTTTTTCGACAATGGGCACCGCAATCTGGCCAACTTGTAACGCGAAATTTTTCGGGCGTCTCGTTTCATAAACAATTGGCATCTGCGTGTTGGGGGCTGAATTTCGATAATTTGCTCAATTTCAATTTTAAAATCAATTTCCCCATTAAAAAAAATACCTTCAGTCATTTGCGAAATAATTATAAACGTCTGATAGAAATCGTCTCGCGGACAGGCGATATAAGCTCTGAACACACCAACTAATTTTTGAATCTCATTTTCTCAAAAATGTCTTCACCTTATAAGGCTCTCATTCGAGTTGATAAACTTGCTGCAAATCTCCTCATCATCTCCCTCCGAATCCGATTTTAATGTACAAAGTTCTTTCGAATGTTGGCTGAAATTTTCCGATTGAAAAAAAAAACGACGAACAAAAAAATTGCGTTTGATACCAAAAATTGACTTTAAAATAATGGAACGCCTTTAATCCAATTATTTCGATTTTTGTAATGCACGAATCATACGATAGAACCGAAAATAAGCGGGTGTGTTCTGCAAAAAAAAATCGAATAGGGTGATTTTCTTTTTGTCGGCTTTTCCAATACCTTCCTGCGACGAATGATAAATTTGGACGCCGTCGGAGAATTCGAAGAGCTGCGCCGGCGACACGAGAGTCTCCTCTTCAATTCTCAAACCTTCATTTATTTCAAATTTCGGACAAGTTTCTGCAAAATATGAATACACACGATTTTTTCCATACATTGACTCTTCAACACTTGCCGATTTCAACACGAAACTCACACAACGCATAATTTATTGTTCTTAACAATATAATTATAAAGCAACATAACTCGGAATTCATTTTTTTTTTTTGGGAAATGAGGAATGGGATTTGACGCGCGCGAGCAAGTTTTCAGCTATCCGCGTCGTCTTTTTCGTCATCTTCTTGAAATTCTCGAATTATTGGCTCATCGGGAAGACTAATCTGTATCTCGAAATTGGCGATTTTCGGACCAAAATGCCCACGCCATTTGTTGTCATCGCATCCACGTGTAATTACGCTCAAATGTCGTAATCCCGAAGGATAATCAGCCATTTCGATGATCATCTCCTCCCAAATCACCGCTGAAAAATGTTGCACAAATTGTCGAGCCTTCTTCAAAGCGCTTACGCTGCTCGCCAACATTCCATTCATTCCTTATATGTTTGTATCGTTTGAAATCTCGAACCTCTTGAATCAACTCGGTGTCGTCTTCGGGCTCGTGCTTTATTTGTCGTGGCTTATAGTTCAACTCGGCGGCGAAGCTGAATTCAGCCGGACAATCGCGATGGTGGTTCACCAATTGGGAAATGCGGATTTTCGGGCGCACAAAGTCCATAACCCAATTCTAAATTCAACAAAATCAAGAAAAATGTCTCAAATTGAATCATTTACATCAATTCCCCATTCGGCCAAATCGACAAATACAGCGATTGTCGAGGGTACGTATGAAAACGCGAAGCACGTTTCAAGGGTCCGGCTCGCAAAAATTGCAATTATTTTCGACTTTAAGGCTGAAAATAGTTTGTTTGAAACTACAAAAAAAACAGCAACAATTTTCCAACTCTCACCCATCGCCTGTCGATCTCACAAACATTTTATATTTTTCCGCGTGCTGCTCGGGACTCAAATCGGGCTCAATCCGATATGGACGAACGGCTTTGTACCCTTTTCCTGATGAAACCTGAAATTCAACACTAGATTTAATTTAAATGAATTAAATATCAGCTCACAATTGCTTTATAATTGAACTTATGCCCGAAATCCTCGCGAAATGTCGCTTGTCGCCATTTCAGCGGTGGAAGCGATTCCTCATTATTTTCCAATATCGCTTTTTCAATCCAGAACGAGTAATCCTCAATTATGGATTTTAACGATTTCGATACCTAAAATTGATTAAATACTGTTTATTTTTCCCGATATAAAGATTTTTAATCACGTTCAGTATGAAAAAAAACGAAAACATTGGAAATTTAAAATGCGAAATGGACTAGGTATTCCACAGCCACGGCCATGTTATCTAGGCCACGGATGGTTTCCGCATATTTATTTTTGACGTACCTGCCGGCAATTCTTCAAAGTCTCGGGATCGACTCGTAAAAGAACATTTGTCCAAGCCTCCATGGCCTATAAATATTGAAAATTTGTATTAAATAAATTGTACACTTGAAATAAATAAATTAAATGTCCAGGAATCTCAAACATCAAAACGTCTTATCGAATGTTGATAAATTAAAATAAAGATATGTGCAAAATGATTTAGAATTGTATATTCAATTATATCACACCAGCTAACTGGATTCCATTGATTTAAAACAAAAATGCCAAAATTGAAGATCAATGGAATCAATTATAGCTGTTTTTGTTTTGAAAATTTTTAATGGGGGGGTCTCATTTTTAATGATTTTTTTCGATTCTCGTTAAAAAAATATTTCCTTTGGAATTTCTCAAAAACATTGAAATTCGAAAAATCGTCATTGACATTCAGACACACTCGATACACAATTCAAATCAAATAGTTCGGTGTCATTTTCAAATTCTCGCGTCAACATCTCAACAGAGCATCGATGTCGCCGATTTAAAAAAAAATATTGGCTACGTGCCAAGACGACTAGAAAGACCGCGTACATTGTATTTTAAGGTACGCTGCATTCAGTCAACGATCAATTTAAATCCACATCAATTTGGCTAATTAGAAGGCCACGCCTCCATTCTGTCTAACAATAAAAAACCGAAGGCATTTTCAAACGCGATTCGTGTGCTCTCACCATCTCTGCGCCCTCTTACACCCCCTCTCCGACCAATTCCAAGACGATGAATTTGCAAAAAAAAAACGAAAAGAAGATAGGAAATGAGTTCCGGCTAAAAGATCAGCCAATCCGACGAGACGAAAGATAGAGATCGTTTTGAGGTGTGGTGTGTGGTTTAAAATCCTTTATTATTATTATATATTGAATTATTATTAGTCTTTGGTGACAATGTTGATAACACAGCAAACGCATCCGAGGCAGCACAACGCCATACAGGCGACCATGAATCCGGCGAATGCGAACACGAATGCCAACGTGTACGGAGCCCAATGGCACACTTCTTTATCGCCAAACGTGCCCAAAACCCAAAGGAATCCGAAGAACATCCTAAAATTAGACGAACTATCAAAATGCATTCAAATTAATGTTACCAGACGAGCGAGAAGATTCCCAAAACGATTTGCGCGATTCCCAAGAGTCCGACGAATCCCGGAATGTCGGCGGCGATTTGCGTCCGACGCGCTTCCGCCTCCTCATCGGTCTCGTTGTCCGACGCCGGATGTCGCTTCTCGGCGCGCTTCTTCTGCAAACTCGGAGCGCGTTGCTAACCGACTCGCCGCGTTCGCACCTACCATTGCCGTGATGAACAATCCGATCAGTCGCTCGCCAACCATTGTGACGCCGAAGACGACGAGCCACGTCGGAATCTTCGCGTTCGACGGACAATCGTTGCGATAAATGTAGCCGACGGCGATGACGAGAAACGGCACGGTGAACGTGAATATCAGACTGCACACGATGCCGCACGTCGTGTCGAAAAAGCTCGCGCATTTTTGGCCCAATTCGAGCGTCTTCATGCCGCCGCCGCCGCCGCCGCCGTTGTTCGCCGCTTCCACATCGTTGTACTCGGTCATCGTCGTCTGAACGAGGACGGCGCGTGGGTGGCTGATGGAAACGATTTGAAAATGAACAACGCGGTCGGTTTCGACCTTGACGAGACGAGACTAGAGACACGAAGGCGATTCGAAAAGTTCATTTCATTTCCAATTGTATTAAAAACCGAACTCCACCAAAAAAAAAGAAAACGACACAAATAGAGAGAGTCGGGTTTGTTGACGAAAAATTCGGTGACATATATGGGTACAAAGTGGCGAGACACCAAACTAGATACAAACACACAAGTGCACTTTAAATCTCAGCGAATAGAAGAATGGGTCCCAAAGCGAAACGCTGAACATTTGGGCTATTTCAAAATAAGCGATTTGAACTCATGACGCTCTCGCACGAATGAATTGACGAACGCAAGCGACGACTGGTTGGGCGGAGAGTTGCGGTGTGTAATCGACGACACAACTTCCTCATTGCTTGATAACCCCATCCATTCTGTTTTTGAAAACGAAAACCAAAACGGATATTGTTGAATACAAATTTCAATGATCAAGCGCGTTTAATGAAATATTAATGTAGGTACACGAAGAAAAGGGAAATGAAGAAAAAAATAAATCGTCCCTTTTTGTGCATATGTGGGTACAAAGTGGCGAGACACCTAACTAGATACAAACACACAAGTGCATAAAATATATAAAAAAAAAATAATAAAAAAATAAAAAATATAATAAATAAATAAATTTTAATAAAAAAACATTACCAAAATTAAAATGAAAACACGAACCGCAACGCGGGCAAAGCGGAAAAATTAGAAAAATAAAAATTTTTCGCAGACTCCGATGACATAAGTGTCGAGCATTGTCCGTGTGGAGTACACAACGCGCGACAATATTTTATATTAATGATAAAAAAAAACTGCAACCGCAAAAAATAAGCGTATCATTTCAATCGTCTTTAATGTTTTTTTTTTTAAATTTTCCTCTGGTTTTCAATGAATTTCATAGTAGATCAAATGATTCCAAGACAAGCAAAAGGCCTCGTTCGTCCTTGACTGTAGATATTCGACACCGACAACCATAATAATACTCTTTATGGCGCAATATTAAAAAAATATATAATACGCATTCAGAAGATTTGAATCCGATGATTCTCGCGATCGGTGACAACGATCGCCCCATCCGATGTCACGCACACGTCTTCAACACCTTTCAATTGTCCAGCGCCACCACCCCACGTGCCAAACGATGAAATGAATTGACCTTGCGCGTCGAAAATCTACAAATCAATGTTTCTTCGTTTGGCGACAAATTGGTTGTGTACCTGTATTCGATTATTTCCCGAATCGGCCACAATCACATTCTCCTGCGAGTCGATGGCGATGCCGCGCGGGAATTTGAATTGTCCACCGTGGAAGCCCTCCTCGCCGAACGAGAATAAGTGAACACCGTGCGGATCGAACACGCTGATGCGGTGATTCGACGAATCCGACACATACACCTTGAATGAGACGATTGCGAATCGAAAGCGAGCGAGCTCGTACCTGATGAGTTACACGGCTAACAGCAATAAATAATGGACTATTGAGTTGTCCTTGAAGATGCCCGAATGATCCAAATTTCGCTATGAACTGCCCATTCTTATCAAACACTTGCACCCGGTGATTATCCTGAATTCAATTCACACATATCTTTGATACATTCGGAATCTCCAAGTCGACTACCTTATCCGCCACGTAAATGCTTCCGAGATCGTCGACCGCGACTCCCCACGGGTTGTTGAACTTGCCGTTGCCGGGACCGTGTCCGCCGAACGTGAACAAAAAGTCGCCTTCGAGTCCGAACACACAAATTCGATGGTTGTAGCGATCGGAGACGACGAGGCGCAGTTTGGCGCTGGCGAGACCCGCCGCCGAATCGAGTTGACCGTGACCGCAGCCGTAGCCGCCGAATTGTCGCACAAACTTGCCGTCTTTGTCGAAAACGCACACGCGATGATTCGACGAGTCGCACGTGGCGATGAGGCCGCCGGCGAGCGCGCACACACCGCGCGGCCAATTCAGCTCGCCTTCTTTGGCGCCTTTGCGGCCGAAGACCGCACGCGGCCTTCCGCGCGCACGCCACTCGCCGGCCTCGCGCGACGCCGATCGTCCGCGTCGCATCACCTGCAGCTTCTCCTCGTCCGTCGACGTCGACGAGTCTAAACGAGATGACATTCGTTCTTGACGCTCGGCGAGTAACTGTTGAACACGGGCGCTCGTGAACTGCGACTGCAGATCGGGATTGGTGCGTGAGCGCTGGAAACGCTGCCGACGGCGTTGCAGCCACGCCGGTATCACGTCCGGCTGATCGCCTTCCTCACCTGAGTAGTGCGTCACGGGTATCGACACCGGCTCCAGAGCGGTTTGTGTGATCTGAATCGGCGGTGTCGGCTCTTCTCGGTTCACCGACGCCGCGCGACACACAATCCGAATGCGTCCTCTCGGCTGCGGCACGATCGTTTCTTCGCCGTCCGAATCATCGCTCGACACCGCGCGAGAGGCGGCTTGCCGTTGTGCGTGCGCTCGTCGAATCACTTCCACCTTCTCATTCAATGATTCATCTTGACTTGATTGTTGTCGCGCGAGCACCGGCTTCGCCTCGACTTTCGGCTCAGGTGGGGAAGGCGGAGCGGGCGGTTTCGACGTCAAAGAAGCTTTCGTCTTCACCGGCTCCACACTCTTCGTCATTCGATCGGCAGACCAAGGACTTCTCGATTCGCTCAAAGTCGACGGCGTCACCGATGATGATGTCCGCAGCCGATTCCAAGCCTCCTCTTCGAGCTGTTGTCTACGTCGATACCTCAGCGACGACTCGTCCATCTCATTATGTCGATGGCTGCAATGAAAGTCAGAGAAAGAGATCCTGTGATCGACCCCCACTAATGAATATTCAAAAAAAAAAGTACCTATGTCGTGTGGAAGCGCGCTCATCGGCGGCCGGTTTCACCCGATAGTTATCGCTTTCCAACGGCAATCGGAATGGTCGCGGCAGATATGATTGCTCGAGTTGCATATATCGTCCGGAGAATTGTGGGACCAGCACGCAGAGTTCTCCAAAAGTGGCAATCGCCGCCGGAAGTTTCGCCGCGTCATCGCCGGCCGAGAATCGCAGCTTCCGATTGAACAGCTCGTCGGCGTCCGGCTGGAAGTTTCGCAGATATTCAAGCCCTTCGGTGAACGTGTTCTTCAGACGAACAAGCTCGGCATCCTCAATGGCACACTCGCCCTGAATATCAAATTTCATCATCAAGCACTTCAAAAATTTCGTACCTTGATCGCAGCGTCCAATCGAGCGACAGCCTCACTCATATTCGAGCTCTCAATCTCCAAAACATCTCGAAGATTCTTCATCAAGCGCGCTTCGTTCGCTTGGAAGATGTCGATCTCGGCGAGAAAGTTGTCCTCCTTCTTCTTGAGCTCCCTCTGATACCTGTGAAAGTATTCTTTGACTTCCGCTTTCGTCGTCTCGCAATTCATCGTCATCATGTCGACGCCCTTCGACAGATTGTCCGACGCTTCGGTGATGCGATTCGTCAGCCGTTTGACTTGATTCAATAATCGCGACATGTCGCGCCGAAGCATATCCATATGCGTTTGACGGCATTCTTTGCACGCCGATCGATCGCAATGCGCGCATGCCTCGCAATCCGCTTTTTCTCCACAAATTTTGCATTTCTCAAGATTGTACCGATGAATGTACTCCTCGATTTCGGCGGCGGTTTCCGGCGTCGATTGAAGATGAATCTCGAGGAAACCCGTTAGAGTGTAATTCGGCTGAAAAAAAACTTCGACTCCACATTTTTTTTCCAGTTTACCTGGAAAGATTTGACTCCATCATACGGAATATTGTGCTCAGCGCGACATTCAGGACATTTCAGCGTTCGGTGTAGGGTGTCGGCGCACGATTCCAAACAAGGATAGCAAAATGTGTGCTGGCACGGCAGAAGTTTCGGTTGTCTTCAAATAGATTTTATTGCAAGGAGAAAAATTTGAAAAACAAGAAAAACTCGAAACGAGCGTCTTGTCTGTGTACACTTTGACGCCATTTTACACACATAAATTCAAAATGCGTTTTTTTGGCAAAATTTTCCTCATAGAAAAAATGAAACACTTTCACATCTTAAAAATTAAAAAAAAAATAAATTATCGATGTGTTTCAAAAATACGCGCGCAATTCAAATGTTGGGGAGAAAATGCATGACCAAATTGCATATTATTTCTCTTGCTATCGCGCCAAATTTAAATTCTCAAATCCGAAACAAAAAAATGAATGGCAATTCAATGTGGGCAAACTCTCACGCAACGAGAAATGTGTAACAACATCGCTCGCGGCAAAACCGCCTCTCGCGTCTTGCAAAAAGTGTTCAGCGCAATAAATTGCGAGTTGTAAAAGTTGTCGACTATTCGAATATTTTCCGAAATCGCAAAAACGGTACAAAATGTCGAGTGACCACCTGTTGTTGCTGTCTTGTTTTTTCTTTTTTTTTTTTTTTGATTGTGTGGTTCTCGTGACGCAAAATCCATCAGCTGATAATGATGGTCAAGTGTCGCCTTGTTTATTTGTTTATATGAGCCATTTCTCGCCAAATAAACAATTTCGAACCCCCCCCCCCCACCATTTTTGTTCTATTACGAAATCTCCATGACGAGGGTCCCACCACGATATTACAAAACAGTGTAAAACTCTAGCGAGCGAGTTGCGAAACGCTCTACTTCTTTTTTTGCTGATCGCGAATTTTCAAATCACAAAACAAAAAGTCTTACTTGTATCGATCGAGACAAATCGGACAAGTGAGAAGCTGTTCGATTTTCTCCAGCGGATTCACAAAATCCGCGGGTCGACTCGACGGCGGTCGAGACATCAGCTCGCGCATCTGAAAATCGGGCAAAATTCAAGAATGACGGAGATGAGAAAATGTGGCCAACCTTCTCGCGAGCTTCAGCCTCATTCTGTGGTAGATTGTTGCTCATAAATAAATAGGGGAAGGGGGTGGGGAATTCAAAAAAATATTATAATAATAAATAAACGAGAGGGAATTGAATAAGTTGGAATATTTGAGTTTAGCGTCGAAATCAAATGCGCCTCCCGAGAGCTGGCTGACTAGCCGCGGCAGTGGGTGATGATGATGATGAGTCGAAGAAGCGAGAGGGCGAAAGAGATGAGTGAACGATAAGCTCGCTCTCGGGAGATGCGAGACACGGCGCGGATCCCCGCCGGCTCGCCCGCCCCCGAGAGCGAGATGAAGAACCGATCGGGCAAACATTTATTACTATTTGAACCTTTCGAGTGTCTTTGCCCCCTCTCGCGATTTCGATCCAGAAATGAAAGACGCGAATTCGCCTCCAAAGAAATTCATTTTGTCAAGGTAAATAGAGGGGGCGGCGATCCTGGAAACATGATCCTAAAAAAATTCTTTTTTCTTTTAATTTTTATCGGTCTACCTTAGGTGTTCCGCATTTTTCCTTGGTCTTCTATGAAACTGAAATAAATGTTCAATTTTAATTTTCTTGGTGTTTTTTGGCATAAAAATTATAACTGAAATCGAAAATTTCGGCTTCAACTTATCCGATCGGAAGAATCTCCGAATAAGATTTTCAGTTTTTGTCATCAATGGTAAAACCTTTTTTTCTGGGTCAGAAAACATATTAATTTTTGCAGAAATTCAAAATTCATAATTATTCCCATCTGTCAATAATATTAAATTGCCATTTAATATAATAATAATGGAATAATGAAATAATGAATTTTGCAGAAAATAAAATTTTGAATAAAATATCGTCTGCAATAATGCGCGACAGTGGCTACACATAAAACGCTACCGTAACCTAAAATAATTATTTTCAAAAAAAAATATTTTCAAACCTGAATTTTTGCATCAAATTCACGCAATTATAATTTTTTCAAAACTTTTACATATATTCGTTTTTTATTTCCTCGCCATCATTTTATTTCACCTCGTTTTTCTTCCATCTACGGTTTATGACGTCATTGCGCCAAAATATTTCCTGTTTCAAGAAAAAGGCGAAAAATCGTAAATGTTCGGTGAAACAGAATTATCGATCGATCCGTTTACAACAAGACTTGTCTATAAGGCAAAACCGTCATCACTTTATACCGCCCGTCTATTGCTCTACCCGTTCTGCACTCATAGTGCAAACCAAAGTTCGTCGATTTTGTCTCCGACCCTCTCGGGTTCAATTCTCCCCGTCATCTTCATTCTGGTGGCAGCCCATCTGTTCTCCGGGAGTCATTGACGGCAAATTCTCTCGATCAGCTTCTACACACACGTGTGAGCTCCCTCATAAAAGGAGCTCATACATCAATGGAGAAATCGATAAATTTCTCTTTTTTCGATATCAAATAATTTACTCCACGAAATATCAATACCAAATGAAGCAAACGAAGGAGAGTAGAAATAGAAGAAGAGAAAAAAGAAGAAAGGAAATGTGTAAATACGAAAAACAAAATGATATTGAAACAAAGAGAAAAAAGCGGGTTTGTCTTTTAAGGGATTGCCGAGCGCGAACACTCGGCGCAATAATGAATAATAAATATTATAAATTACAAACCCCGTTTGATTGGGTTTTTTCATGTTGTTTTGCGGTTGTTGTTGCTGCTGCTGCGGATTCGTAGTGGACAAAAAGTGATAGCCAATAATATCTAAGACCTATTCTTGAGCTGGTTGCTAAGCCAGTCAAGTCCTTCATAGAGTCCGTCTCCGGAAGTGGCACACGTAGCCTGAAATTTCAAATATTGCAAATTCAATCCAAACGATCCAATCCATACCTGGATGTACCACGATCGGTTTCTTAGTGTATGAAGTCCAAGCTTATCAGTAACCTCAGCAGCATTCATCGCATTCGGCAAATCCTACAAAACGAATCGATAATTTCTCATTTCCGAGACGTTCGCAAAAACCTGCTTGTTGGCGAACACCAGCAAAACCGCGTCGCGAAGCTCGTCCTCGGCGAGCATTCTCATGAGCTCCTCGCGCGCTTCACCAACACGCTCGCGATCGTTCGAGTCGACGACAAAAATGAGTCCTGCAAAACGAAACATGACCAAAAAATCGTCGAGGAAAATATACCTTGAGTATTCTGGAAATAATGCCTCCACAATGGACGAATCTTGTCCTGACCTCCGACGTCCCAAACGGTGAACGAGATGTTCTTGTATTCAACAGTTTCGACATTGAATCCTAGAAAAAAATGAAACGCATATTTTTTGGCCAAAAAATCTACGCAAATTACCAATGGTTGGAATGGTGGTGACAATCTCGCCAAGTTTGAGCTTGTACAAAATCGTCGTTTTACCGGCGGCATCCAATCCGACCATCAGGATGCGCATCTCCTTTTTGCCGAATAGGCCTTTGAACAAATTTCCGAACACGTTTCCCATACTGCAATTAATTGAAATTTATGTTAAAAAAAAAACACCGATGAATTAGGATGAATTTTGTGCGATATCGCACAGAATCCGGCGAGCGACGCGCAAAAATGGGATGAAAATGAAGAAATCACAAAAATTCCACGACAAAAGATGAATATCTTATGGCGAAAAACGAGGCATTTACGTGTCATCATCGCCGCGCCGCCAACCATTGCCCCGTTTCATCAGCCAGGCGACGACCAAGCGCTCTCGCTCTGCGTTCACTGCTTCGCTGGAGCGCGGCGGTCGCGTCGCGGTCAAACGTTGGGGTGCACTTGCGCGCTCCTCTCACTCTCTCGCTCCCCTCACGCTTCGGTCGGCGCACCGTAATCATAGTGCACTTTCGGATGGAACGAAACATTGATTGATTTTTTTGTTCTTTTCAATTTGCTGAACAAAAATGATAAACTTGACGCATCGTAGGTCAAACGATTGCGATTTCGAGACCAATTAGAAAATTCAACTTTTTTTCTTGGGCAACTAAATTGGAAACGTCAATATCCATGCATTTCATAGCTTTTGAATTTCGCCAATATTGCAGATTTCACTAAATCTCGAAAAAACATAACACCTACAACAAAAATTGAACGAAACAAATGTAAAAACATTCAAGCGTTTCAACAAAACGCATAAAATCACCAATATCAAAACAATTCAAAATAAGAGAGAAACCGTTTATTCACCAGCCGAGCGTTGCGCAAAAACCCGTTGAGAAGAAAAAACACAAAAAAAATGACAAAAGTGCAAAAAAAAAACACCCGAATAATAAATTGTTTTAGGCTCTTCAATTCGTTCCCGTTTCTTTTCAATGTATATTTTTTGGTGGCCCGTAATCAATTACACGAAATTATTCAATTTATATATATATATATATATAGATTTTTTATTTCTTCAATTCTGGAGCTATTGCTCTCTTTTCTATCCTTTTCTCTTTTTTATCGTCATTTCCTTCTTTTTTTCGTCTTCTTTCGTATAATACATCGATTATAACAATAGTAATAATATAATAGAAATCTAACAATGACAAATGGGTGGGGGTCAGCGAAAAGAAAAGAAATCAAGTAATTCCTCCTGGTCAGATCTAACACAAAATTCGGCATAAAAGGCAATTACTATTCGATAGACAGATAAATAAATAAATAGCTGAGGTATTTTCAACGAAACTTAGATTTTGATTCGTAATGAACAATGGGGTGGGCAAAAAGAGAAATAATAATCAAAAAAATTGATTGGAAAGAATTAACAAGGATAAACATTTTTGGTAGCTACAAGTTTCTGTTTAAAACAATTAAGGTTTCCATTGTGAACCGGAGAGATCAAAAGCATCCGTCTTAGTCATTCAAAAGATCATCATCATCCGACTGAAAATCCTCGCCTTGGCGCCTTTTGGGGCAAAAATCAGTAAAATCTCTTACCTCAACGCCATTCGGAATTGAAGCCAACAACTCGTTCGCCGACATGTTCGAATCCGTCAACGGCACATCAAATTGCTCTTTCGTGAGAACCATGTCAAGCTCAACGCCATTAAAAATCTTGCCTTCGCTAATCGCCTTAAAACAACACATTTGATTCGAACAACTTCAATTTTTACTATTTACCTTCTGAGCATCCTCATTTCTTTTATAAGGAATCGTCGCCACAGCCAATCCATCATCAACTTTCACACTAGTGTCAAACGTTTCGCCAAACTTTTCCATATGATTCATCACATCAGTTACATCTTCCTCCTAAAAATAGCCACGTTAATTAGTATTACTATTCGATTTTCTCTACCATGATTCCTCGAATCACAACGACGCTCGACATTTTCGTTGAGCCTTCATCCTCCAATTCGGTCGATGCCCGTCGCTTCCGCGACTCGGGCGGTGTCACTTTCAACGCTTCCAATGCGGCCATCGCCTGATCAACAGCCATAGTTTTTTCCGATATCTGCATCAGAATTCCATCGACTTCTTCTTTACAAGCCTTGATCTTCTTATGGATTTGCTTCACAAGTTTCGTGGCATTTTTCTTCTCGTTTTCGTCAACAGAAGACCTCGCCTAGAATTTATTAATAGAAATATAAAAAATGAATTTGTTTTATTTAGAAAATTACCTTCACAAGAAGAGCCTTCTGTTTCTCCATCCATTTCTCCAACAGCGAGTTCTGCTTCTCTTGAAGATCAACCAATTTGGCTAGCTGCTCCTTCTCGCGAGTTAGCTTTTCTTTCGCCTCCTGCACCTGCTTCCGTTGATTTTGCACTTCGGCGCAAACGAACTTTGATTCCTTAACAGTTGCAATCTGTAATTGATATTATTTATATACATCAAGCCAAAAAAAACTCATTATGATTACCTTCGGCTTTTCTGTTGGAGCAGGAGGTGCCTGTGGCTGCTGTGGAGCCGCACCATTCTCTTCTCCGCCTTCTTGCGGTTTATGCCAAAACACCTTGATGAATCGATTATTAAGCACTGGTGTTGGTGATTTGTAGGCTTTAAACGCTTCATGTCGATTTGAGTAGGTGATCAGAGCAGATTCAGCATCGCCATTGTAGCGCACTTGAATGTTCTCAATATTTCCAAATTCGGCGAAATGCTCGTTTAGTTTGGCGATATTATTGAGCTCTGGTGGAATTTTCGCAACCTGCAAATATTTGCAAATTATTTCAAATCGGTGACATATTTCTCAATGGTCACCTGAAGAGTCGTAGAATCACGATTGACATTATTGACGAATCCACCGCGTCCACCACCTCGCCCGCCGCGACCTCCTCGAGCTCCACGCGCTCCTGAAGAACCGCGGAATGGCGGATTCTGAATGATCTGCGGAGCTGCTGGTGGCGGATAATAAGCACCGTTCTGCAAAAAACAGTTTTTTAAATCATGGAGATTCGAGAATCAACAAACTTGAGTAGGTTGTGGAACATAAGCCGTCGGCGCAGGATTTTGCCATGTCGGAGCCGCAATTGGCGGCGGTGGCACAGTGTACTGCGGAATAGTGAGAGCCGGCGTCTCGGGATTATATTCGGCGACTGGTGGGGGAACGAGAATTCCAACACCCGGTGGCGGCGGATTCACCGGATTATAACCAGGAGGCGGCAGTCTGAAAAAATTTAATCAGGCTATGATTTTCGTTTAGAGAAAAATTTCTTAATTTTTTTTTTTGATTAGCGTGAGGAACATAGAGAAAGAAAGAGAAAAGAAATGACGTACGAGAAATTAGTAGCAGGTTGGGGAATGCTAACAAGATTGCTCAAAGCGGTTTCATCGACTACCACCGGATCGGGACCGTGATAATAAGGACACTGTTCGCCACGCATGCAGAATCCGCGATCTTCAAACGCTTTGCAACGCCGGCGAACCTCATCAGCTCCACTTCGCGGTCCATTACGACGTCGTCGGGACGGCGGACTTCTCGAATCGCTTCGCGATCTGCAATTTGGGCAAACATTGATTTACGTTCTAACATCGGATATATAGATTAATCGAGAAACAAAAACAAAGCCCAACAAATATCAAAATAGGAATGTTGGTTAACAAATAAAGGATTTTTGGTGGGTTAATCACCTATCGGTTAATTTATAACGGGTAATAATTATCTTAATTATATGTAATTTTAAACGAGTTCTTATATCTCTACGCCCTTTTAAAAAAAAAGATCAATCTCACCTTGATCTTCTACGCTCTCCTCGATGCCGATCGCGCTCATTTGACGCCGATCTCCCATTTCTTCGTCGATCGCGACCAGGAGAACGCGATCGTCTTCTATCTCGCCCATTCTAAAAGTCATGAACAGTTTTTGAGCAATTTCCTGAAGATATCCTTACTCTATCGCGATTTTCTGGTGGTGGCGGGCTGATTCGTTTACGAACTGGCTTCGACGATCCATTTTCAGCGGTTCCGCGCGACGAAAATGGTTTCACCGGCGAATTTTCTTTAGCAACTCCATTCGATTCAGATCTTGATATATTTGTTCGTATATTCCGTCCAGTAGGCTCACTAAGTTTATCTGATAACGCTGTAGTGGGTTCGGCAACATTCTAAAAACGTTTTTATTCAATTTAAAAAGATATTCAAAATACCTCAACAGTTGCCGTATCAATGTTATCCTTTCGAATCTTCTTCTCCTCAATAGTCGCGTTCACATCAGCCGAATTGGAATCTGCATCGCTTGATGACGTTGAAGACAGGTAGGCCTTGCTCTTGAGCGCCGCAAACAATTTCTCAACAAATTTGGACGTCTCTGCAAGAAAAAAATGCCACCGTATTTCCTCAATTTTCGCAATCATGTGCTTACCTTTTCCAAGAAAAATATCCAATTGCTCTAAACTCAACGATTTCAACTCCTCTTCGTTTTTATTTGGCTTTTTTATCAATGCGAGCACATATTTAGCAAGTGCTTCAGGATCGGCGTCACAACTAAAAAAAATGATAGTTTTTAAATAAATTTTTTTTTTATCAAAAAATCTTACACTGGAGTAATCTCCTTGACAATCCATTTATTAAACTCCTCCAAATTCTCAATCTGCATAATATTCCAGGCTTCCAAGTAGCAAACCGCAGCTCAATCTGACGATATTTGCGATATCTGTGAAAACAACACAAATTCTACTCAAATACGAAGGCGACCACAAAAAAGAGACGAATGGAAAAGAAAACGACGAATTGTACATATGTATAAAAGCAAAGAAAATTACAACAAAGCAAAATTGTTCTGTTTGATAGAGATGAGAAAAAAGAAACAGGGAATAAGAGGAAATCGACGGCGGCTGCGCATACATTATATCGCTGGGTGAAAAAGGGAAGCGAGCGTTGCGCGGCGCGCGCGTCCCACAGTCGCGCCTCCTCGCAGACAGTCGAATCAACCGAAACTAGTCCTTCTCAACGCTATTCGGTGTCTATGTGCGTGTGTGTTTTTTTCCCGTTTTGCCCAAATGTTCGTCGTCAATCGATTTCTCAGGAGAAGGAAGTCAAAGATGGAATACGTCGATATCACCAACACCATAGATTGATTGGCGCGTCAAAATGAATAACGAGCAAAAAAATGCATCATGTTGGAAAGAAAAAAAACTTGAATATCGCTGGCCGTTTGCCAAACAACACGTTATCAGTTGAAAAGGAATAACGATAATTGGAAACTTTTTTTTTGAAAAGTGCGAAAGATCGAGTTGGAATTATCACGTGTTACTCACGTGAATATTCAAATTTCCAAATTAAGGGCAATGCAGAGAAATGTTTTAAATTTTTTTTCTTAATTGAAATTTCGTCTATTTTCTCTACTTTAACCCTTATGTTTTGTTTTACTATCCCGAAAATTCGAAAATAGCTTTTTTTCTTTCTTTTTTTCGCAGACAAATTGAGTTTTTTCTCTCATACTGAAAAAATGACGAATCTAAAATAACCAAAAAAAATTATTGAAAAAGGAAATTTGAATCGTTTTCGAGCAAACTAAAAAAAGTGGGCGCAAACAACAACAAAGAACATTTCGGAAAGACTAGAATGATGTGGAAATCTAATAAGTAATGTTTCGAAATGGAAACAACCAAAAAAACTTGAAAACAAATGCAAAAAAAAGAGGCATCGATAAGAAAAAGTCAAAAATAAACGAAATGAGTGTTTGTTGGGTGGAGGCGTAGGACGGGCGTAATGTTGCGAGCCGGCGACGAATTTGCGACGAGCAAAAACGCTCACGGCGACACGCACAAACGCTCACACCGAAAAAAACTCAACGCCTCATTTATCTCAGCGCCTGCCCCTATTTACATTCTCTCGTTTACAGTAGTTTTTTTGCATCGTCTGCCTACTCATCCTCGAAATGAATGAGGAGAGAGAAAGAGCTCCGCGAGGGCCGCCAACAAAATCCCACTTAACTTGTAAATTTCACAATGACGACAGTTTTTTTTTCTCGCTCTTGTGTTGAACTCTCTCGATTTCACACACAATATCCGCTTAGTTCTCAACCTTCTCGAAAATTTTCTCGCCTTTTGAGGATTCATAGGACAACTTCAGCAAATTCCTTGGAAACCAAATCGCTTTACAACGGAAAATCATTTATCTTGTTCCACTTGGAAGCTAATTCATTTTTTCACTCAAAATCTCAATTGTTCGGTTGAACTCTCAAAACCTCTTTAGTGACCTCCGATGAGACTTCAATAAAATAAAAATTTCGCGCCGAAACAATGACCACCGCTCCTCCAGTTTATCGACGACAGCGGCGATGTAGCTCGACATTTACCGATCCGAGTAATGTCCTGGCCATTCAAGAGCTTCGCTCAAGGTTGTTACAGGTACAATTTTCTTCTTTTTTTTTCAAAAGAAAAAATAATAATTCTAAGGACACGAATCTAACCAATAGGCAATCTGAGGAGGATATTCATCGAATTCGAAACGAGGATTGGTGGCTTAACCAATTTCTTTATACGGTTGATTACGATGTAGATATTGCCTATGCAATCGTACTTGAATGCCTTAAATGGCGAAAATCATTCGACGTTGAACGTAAATCGCTCAAAAACTGTTCCAATTCATCAATGAATTGAATTCAGGAATCAGTTTATTACAACTAAAACCGCTTCTCGACAATCAGCTAATGTATTTGCATGGAAAAGACTTGCAAAACCGCTATATGCGTTAGTACTCCGAGCAAATTCGCCGCAAATCCTCAAATTTCAGTTTGGATTAACATGAAGCACTACAGGAACGGCGACGACAACTTTGAGAGATTATTTTGTTTTTGGCTCGAACGGCATTACATGGAAAATCGTGGAACGCAGCCAATGACTCTATTTATAGACATGTCGGGAACCGGCCTCAAAAACATGAGCTTCGACGCGATGAAGTTTATCATTCATTCCAATCGCTACTATTATCCAAACGCCATAGAATCTATCCTAGTTTTCGACAATCCATCCATATTAAATGCTTCTTGGAAGGTAGAGAAGAGTATATGAAATTCAAGCGACACATTTGAAATTGAAGGTAATTGGATCCTGGTTGGATTCGTCTTCCAATATTCGAAACGACCTTCTCACCTTTGTCACAAAGGCTAGTGTATCACATTACGTGCCGAAGACCTATTTGCAGCAGCACCATGGCGGGACGGTAAGTCATTTTTCCTGGATGTCAGGTGGATCAAAGCACGACAAAAAATGTGTAATTCGTCATTTCATGGAGGGTTCGTTTACATCATCAGCGGGGTTGCACACACTATGATTCGGAAGAGTGTTTCGCGTATCTTCAAACTCATAGTGTAATACCCGCTGTCGCATAGCGTTAGCACAGCCTTTGACCAGTGCCATCCTTTCAACTTTTTTCCTCAACTTTTTACTCTTCAGGATTCGTTCAAGTTCACCATGGACGAGCTCGCCAAATGTCTACCACCACCGCCGCCGCCAAAACCGTCGCAAAAATTGGTGCAGGCGAAAATGCAGTCAATCGACGATACAACTAATAACAATAATATTGCGACCGACTTTGATTTTTCAGCGTTTCAAAAAAGAGTAAGCCAAAGAAAATCGGTAATTTCAACTGATAAAAGAATATATTTTTTGAGAATGTCAAATTTGACGAAGAATCTACAACACGCCGCGCAATGTCAATAAGCAGACGATCTAGCAAAGGCCCGAAAAACCGAAAACCGCATATTCCACCTTCTCTTCGACCCCTAATTGATAAACGAGTAAACGCGCCTACTGAAGAATGGGCTTCGAACGATTTCGTATCCGCTACGTACGCTTTTAAGAAAAAAAAATTATAAGACGCAACATATTGCAGGCCAAGGGATGAAATTCGTCTCAACAAATATGAGGGCGAAAATGATTTTGTCGACGTTATTCTTGTCAAAAACCTTTCGCCGGAAACTCCTTTAATGTTCAAGTTCAAAACAACTTCGCCAGAAAAGTTTCGAGTGCGGCCAAGTAGTGGAATTATCCCAGCGGGAGGCACAGAAATTATTCGAGTCTATTTACAATATGGTACGAATGAATATTTGAAAAAAAAAGAAAGACAAAATAAATGAAATATTTAGAATATCGTCACTCATGGAATAAAGAAAAATTCTTACTGTTGGCAATGGAATCAACGTCGGCTGATGTTGAAAACTTCACAGAGCTATTTAAAAATGCTGACAAAAAAGCCGAATACAAATTCAAGTGCAAAATGGCGGAAAATGTGACGTTGGACACGCCGGAAGAACGCCGAACAAGCTTCAATTTGCAAAATCAACAAATTCCATCAAAAACCGAATTAAATGTAAAATTGGAAATGTACCTTCCCCTTATTGTACTTGTACTTATCCTTTTTGTTATTTTCCAATTTATCTACATTCTACAAATGAGATCGGATAATGATGTACTGAGAGATACTATTTTGACATTGTCAAATCAGATGAAATTAGAGGCAACAAACGGTCAGAATATTGTTAAGGAAAATATGAATACGGCTGCTGAATTGTAATTTTGATTTACAGCTTTTTTCGAAGCATAATCATATTATCAAACAATTTTGCAGTTTCTTGTTTTGAATATTCGCACAGTCACTTCATAATACATGTTATTTACTTGTTAATAGCAATAAATGAATACCCAATAAATGCTCTGTTAAAAACAATACGAAAAAAAACATAATGGTCAATAATTAGTCAAATTGAGACATTAAAATTCACACAATTAATTTTTTGCGGCGGAACCACGAAAAATTCACACGCAATAAACGGCACAATGGACGCAAAAATTTGGTTTAACGCACGCTATTGATCGCCGTAAATCGTGCCAAGCAGTCGTGGTCTTGTCGCGATGTCCGCCTCCCTTTAACCGTTGACTGAGTATTAAACTTTAATGCACGTCTGCCTGCTGTCTTCACTCTCCGTTGGAGAATTTTTTCCATTTTTTTTTCATTTTTTGCGTTTCAAAATTATTTTTAAGTACGAATTTGAACGAATTATACTATTATGGCATGTATTAAAAGTATTCAACCAGCCTTTTTTGATAAAAATGTTGTTTAGACTAAAAATAGTCGGTTAGGATTTTTGATTATTTTTTCTTCGATTCTTTATTTTAATCAATTGTTTTTGTAAATTTTATTGTAACTTATAGGTAAAATGTCGAAGAGAGGACGCGGAGGAGCTTCTGGAGCCAAGTTCCGTATTTCACTTGGTCTCCCAGTCGGAGCCGTCATGAACTGCGCCGACAATACTGGAGCCAAGAACTTGTTCGTCATCTCTGTCTACGGAATCCGTGGACGTCTTAATAGACTTCCGAGCGCTGGAGTTGGTGACATGTTCGTCTGCTCCGTCAAGAAGGGAAAGCCAGAGCTTAGAAAGAAGGGTAATTTTTGTTTGAAGCATTTAATGAAAAAATTTTAAATTGAAACTGACTTTTTCTGCGTACTTGATAAAATGAATAAAGTCGAACAACTTTAAAATTATAAGTTATAAATGACAAAAAGATGTTTCAATACATAATTTGGCATTTTTTCAGTTCTCCAAGGAGTCGTTATCAGACAGCGCAAGCAATACCGCAGAAAGGATGGTACCTTCATCTACTTCGAAGACAACGCGGGAGTCATCGTTAACAACAAGGGAGAAATGAAGGGATCAGCCATTACCGGACCAGTCGCCAAGGAATGCGCCGACTTGTGGCCAAGAATTTCTGCTAACGCTGGATCCATCGCCTAAAATGTTGTTATTATTGTTGTTTCAAATGAATATTAATTCGTTAAATCATTGTTATCAGTTCAGCACCTGGGGACTTGTTTTAATCAATTTGCTGATATTTCCAAAGAATGCGTCGGTACAAGAAATCAATACAATACTATTTAGCTCAATGAGCGGATGGCTACGGCAAAACGTTGCCAAAAAGGGAGAAGAGGATGTAAGGAAAGAGTCTAGAGTAAAAACGTCTGAGTCGTGTTCAGGATTTCAAAGATCTCCTAGTATTCGGCTATTCATGTAGACTCTACCCCAACGACAGCCAAGCTGAATTCATCGCCGAAGAAAGACATATGCAGCCTTGCCATGGAGACACCTCAAATAGAGTGGATAGGTAAGGATGAAGAGGCGAAATCGAAAATGCCAAATATCGGGAAATCAGGCCTGAGGCCCTTTCAGGCGTTGCTGCACCCAATATGGAAATGGAAAATTGTGGCTAAATTTACAAAAAGGTGGGTTTTCATAATAAAAAAAATTGAAATTCGATTCCGTTTCAGAAACAAGAAGTTTGCTATAACCAATTTTACTATCCAAATTAATTTTTTCCGTATTTTAATAATAATTTTTTTTATTGAATAAAAATTAAGTTTCAAAAATATTTAGATTAAAATGGGAATTTTAGGTCGAGTTGGATGGAATTGGATGCATGATTTATCGAATCGTAAGTCGAAAACTCTAGTGAAATATTTTGAAAAAAAAAACCCATTATTATGTATTGAAAAAAACTGAATTTCATGAATTTCCATTTCAGATACGATTGTCGCCTTCTTTGCTCATCAATCGACAACCTGCTTCCATCAACACAGGACGAATCTGTCGAAGAATGCCCCGCAGAAGCTCTAGAAGAAGAATTATGCGAAGAGGAGAGATATTTGGATTTATATAAGGATATTGAGAGACAAAGTGGGAATTTTGTGGAATTTCTTATAATTTTCAACGAGGTTTTTTTTTTCAGAAGAAATTGAAGAGGAAGAGATGAAAAGGAAGAATTCAAAACAAAATTTTGTCTATAATTATGGAGAAGGGACATCAAAGGTATTTAGAAATTCTTAACATTGGTTTATTTTTTTGGAAGTTTTGCAGGATAATGAAGACGACGATGTGGCGAGTGAGGATGAAGCTTTTGAGCCGCCAGAAGGCGTCAAGTTTCCAGTCGGATTAGAATTAGTAATTTTCGCGAAAATTTTCACTAAATTCCATTGAAATGTTCAGCCTCCAAATATGAAATTATATCATATAATCGAGAAAACCGCCGGCTTCATCGTGGCTAACGGCGCACAAATGGAAATTGTGATCAAAGCGAAACAGCGAAACAACACCGAGCAGTTCGGATTCCTCGAATTCGATCATTCGCTTTATCCGTTCTATAAATACCTTCAAAAATTGATAAGAGAGAAGAAGTTAATACCGGGAGAACGGAAACGTAACGGAAATTTGCGAAAATTTACGAACAAAAATTCCGATTTCAGCTAAAAATGTCACCAAAAAGACGTCGTCGGAAGTTTCTGGAGCATTAGCGGCGATTGCGCAACGTCGGCGCCTAGTCTTTTTATCGCCAAAAATTCTCATTTTTTCAGAAAGCTGCTCAGATTCTGATCTTTCTGACGATGATTCCGATTGTGAACTACATCCATCGCTATTGCTCGGAAAAAAGAGCCAATCGCCGGAGAATTTGGTAATTTTGGTTTAAACGATTGAAAAACAAATAATAATTGGAGATAATTGGACCGAAAACGAAGCCGAAACCCGATTTTAGGCTTCCGCCGCCTAATGCTCGGCCAATTATAGATATTACACAGGTAATAAGCTCGATAATTAGTATAGATTGAACTGGTTCAATTAAGAGGAATGACGTTTACGCGTCATTATTCAAAAATCTCGCTCAAATCACCCGGCAGGCAAATGGGGTGGAAGAAGTGAAAATCGGAGAAGAGGCGACGCCGATAAGCTCGAGCGCGTCGACGACAACGGTGGATACGTACGATTCGATCCGATTCAAGCCGCCAACAATTTTTATTTCAGAGAGGGCCGCATCAATGATCCGGAATATCGGGAATGGTACCAGATGTTTTATAAAACGCCATGCCCCTGGATTGGTCCGAAGCCTTTGCTGCCACCAACTCCCGATTTAGAACCGATTCTCAATAGTTATGCTGATTATGTGGCTAGGAATGGCGCTGATTTCGAAAGATCGTTGTCAAGTAAAAATCAGCAACATTGAAGTGATTAGTATTTTCGAATTCAGCTCGTATGGACCTTCAGCTCCATTTTATGGACCCAAAGAGCCCGTATTACTCATATTATCATCATAAGGTCCGCTTTTTCTACATATTTCCGGAAAAAATATTCCGAATTTGTAGATTCGAACGATTCAATGGAAATTGACTCAGGAGATTGCGACATTCACACAAAACCCGCCGCCCAATTATATTCTGTATGAATCACCTATTCGCACCGCGGGACCATCGACGCCAGTGGCGATGGTTGCCGAGCCAACGCCAATCGCCGACGTCACCGCGTCAGATGCGCTGAATCGTCGCCAACGGCGAAGGCTTCAAGAAGCGACGAGAGGGTTTGGAGAGCCGCCGGTGAAAATCAATGAGCCTGGTGTTGTTGATCCGATTGCTTTGCGAACTGAGGTAGGGGAAGATTTTGAGGTGAGACGTCGTCGAATGGTTTCATTTTAGCTTCCTAAACCGACATCAACTCCAGCGAATCTTCAAAACGTGGAAAAGATTTCTTTCAATATTGAAATCCAGCCAAAAATTGAGGCGAAAATCGTCAATACGTTAGTTCTCCTTATTTAGCTTCGTTTTTTTTTTCGAAGAAGACAATTCAGAAATGCTCTCGAATCGGTTGCTTTTGATCCAGACATTGGAGATATAATCCAGAATGGTGTTGAGACGAAGAAGGAGACGGAAGTGTCGGAATTTGAGCCGCCGCCACCGCCGGCGATTCCGAACAACACCCAATTGGATCGAAAAGAGAAGGCTCGGATTTTCATGGAGAAGCTGCTCAATGAGAAGCGTCTAAAGAAGATGCAGGAAGAGGAGGAGAAGCGGAAAGAGGAGGAGAAGCTGAAGAAGGCTTCGTCGGAAATTGGCGAGCGTCCGAAAATCAGCAGCATTGATGAAATTATTCATAGGTTCGTTTTTAACTGAAATTAATAGCAATTCAATCAATGAGTCTTGAAAATTCTAGCCGAATTTCGAGCATATTCGCCGAATCGGGATTCAAAGAAGAGAAAGTGAAGAAAATTGAGAAAGACGAAAAAGAGGAGGAGCATCGAAAAAAGAAGAAGCACGTAAGAATTTGCTTGGGAAACTCCCCATTTTTGTTGTTGCAATTATCGGTTTAGCGCCATCGCAGCCGCTCGAACAGCCCGCATTCCGATGTCGATCGCAAAAAATCGCGAAGAGAGCATCGACGAAGATCGCGTACGCCGGAAAGGAGGCGACGGCGAAGTCGCGACTATCGACGATAATTGGAAATTTTTTAAATTAAATTGACATATCGCCATATTATTCATAAATACAACTAAGCTTTTCTTTTTTCAAATTCAACAATTTATTTTTTTTTTGATTGGCACACAATAATGTTAAGTAAAATTCCATACACCGTATTCCAATTATTAATATTCTTATTGTCGGCCCCGTGCGTCTGCGGAAAATTGACCAAAAATAAATAAAAACGACATGGGGTGCGCCTACAATTTTGTGGCAAGTCTTATTCCATTGCAAATGAATTTTTTTGCCGCACGACACCGACGATATTATTCTGAGCAACATCTAATATTATGGCTAGGAGTTGAAATGCTATATAACCGTAATTAGAAAGGATTACTGTAGACGCGATTGAGCCACCATATTCTGCATGTCTTCGATTATCGTACGCGCTACTTCTTCGGCGATTTCCTCTTCGCGCAACGTGCTTTTGTCCAAATATTTTCGAAGTGTCGATTTTAGTCTAAAAATTCGGTTTTCGTTTCAGAACCCTCGAGACACAATATTTTGAATTTTTTTTGCAAAAAATGAGAATTTTGAGAAAAATGGTCCACACCCCCCGCTCTCCTCCAAACCTTGTTGGAGCTTTTGGTGTATGCGTATGGGTGTCGTCGTACAACGCATGATATCTCCCGAGCTCGTCAATCTCCGCCAATCGGCTGCTCCTCGGCGTTTTCGGCGTCGACGTCTGACGCTTCGACGGGCTCGGTGTGGCCGTCGGCGTACGATCAATGTCGACGACCTTCTCGAAATGCTTCGTGAATGCTGTCGTCAGCGAGTCCGCCGATGAGTTGACGTCCGACGAGCTGCCAGCGCGATACGATCGATTTTTTCTAGGTAGTTCGATCTGTAAAAAATGACACGAATTGAGCAGAATTAAAAAAAAAAGATATATTCGAACCGTGTTATCAATGAAATTCGCGAGTTCGCCAAGATATCCATCATAGTGGGCGGAGCGAACAAAGTCAGAAAGGTATTTCTGAAAAAAATTGCATGACTGAAATTGTTCCAACGCTAGAAAAATTATTTCTAATTGTATTTTTAATGCTATTCTGTCGGTTACGGTAGTATCAAAGTCCGCAAACACTCAATATTAAGAAAAAATGAACATGATGTTTCTTTGATTTTCGAAATTTGCTTCCAGTTTACTATTTTAGATGGTAAAAAATTTGTCGTTTTTAAATTTTCAAAAAATTCAAGTTATGTGTAGCTCTGCCCCTAATTTCAAGAGGAACCTCTTACAAAGCCTTTAAAGGGGGCGGGGATTTCGAAAAAACATCAAGGAAACTAGAAAAAACACAAGTCCGCAATGATATTTTTATGATATTTGAAAGTTGCCCCAACCCCCCTTTAAAATTATCAAAACCTACATCTTGCAGCTTTATCTGGCAGGCGACTTTGGCGGTTTGAAAAGCTGATCGACTGGGCCGCCCGGACTCGTCGCAAATCAATGACTCGATTTCGGCTCGAATCGCCGGACCAAGATCGATCATATTAGTGGCCTGCATCGAGAAATACTTGTCATACAATGCCATCGCGTCATCTAATGCTTCCGAATCTTCCATCGAATCGAAATTCGCCTCAAAACTATCGCAACCCAACAGAAATTGCAGCATATTGTGGTCATCCTTGGATTTGATGAACTGGGACAAATTTTTTTTAGAATTCCGAATTTATTTTAGTTAAATACTTCGAGAAAAGCGAGAAGAAGCGGCTGAACTTTCAGAATATCAATCAAACTACAGCCGTTTGTCAACGCTTCAAGCTCGTGCTTTTTATAGTAGACGCTTAATTTGAATTCCTCGAAATATCTGAAAATTGCATTTCTTTTTTTTTCGTTGATTTCAATTCAATTACCTATATTCAAAGAGTTGTCTTACAAAATGCTGAGCATCATCGAAGCATGTCGAGCATATCGGGTTTTTCATCATTTGCTCATCGACATACTGGCGAATTTTTTTCGGCAAAACCAATGACGACGTCGAATTCTCATCGATATATTTGCCGTAGATGCGTTTGGCGTCTTTAAGCGACACTGCAAAACTCAAAATCATTCTTGAAATAAATGCGAAATGCTATTGTTCTACATTCATGAGCGGCTTGAACTCCCTCGGAAAAGCTGGCCTTGAACCCTTGAACGTGCATCCAAAACTTGATTAAATTCAGTTTTTCGCATGATTCGAGATATTGAATGAAATAGGAAAGCGCTGACGAATCGGAAAGCAGACGCTCAAGGGAATAAGCGAGTTGCGGCTTTTTACGAACTTGGACCCCTTCGTGATCGGACCCGCTTCCTGAAATTTTTTTTTCCGTTGAATTAATTGCAACTAATGCCAACCAATATCCGCCGGGGGTGGCTGAGGATGTGGAATGTAAATATGATCTGAATTTAGAGAATCTGCAGTAGAAAGAGTTGAGTCGCGTCGTTCGTCTGTAGAAATGACAAAGTTCAGCTTCTTTACCAGTCTTTATTATTAAAGTAGGCTATTCTTTTAAATTAATAATTTAGAAGCCTATTATAAATGAAATAAAATAAAAATCGGTAATATTTAAACAAAACAAGCGACAAAAATTGAAGTGGAAAGTGAATTTTGAATAATGTCCGTGAAAATTTGGCATGGTGCATACACATAATTGCATACAGTAGTACGCTTATGATTTCGTTTTTTTTTTGTTAAATAATTCGTCTTGTATTGAATTTGAATCCCTACCATTTTGAATTTCAGGCTTTTTCCGCCGAAATTTTCCAATAAAGCCGTTCATCTCACGCCATATTGTGCTAGCAATTCATCCAAACAATGAACAAATAAATAATTGGCAAAGGATGCAATAAATAAGGAGGAAAAAGTCGTTGACGACACGTCTTTTATCAATTCTTCGCGCACCACCGCACGCCCGTCTGCTTGTCTGCGCTCTCACTTGTCTCGCCCATCGTACCCTTTGAAAATATATTTATGTTTCTGTTTTTTTTTTTTCAAACCCCTCGACGAATGATTCACGTTTTATAATTTTTTTTTCAGAATATGACAGAGGGAGACGCAAATTCTTCAAAAGTTATAGTATTGCTGCAGCCGGTGGCAAACGCGCCAATTTTAAAACGAAAAAAGTTTGTCGTTGACCCTTCACGAGACATCGCCTGGTTCACCACGGTTAATAAAATGATGAAAATATTTTGAATTCGTCTTTTTCCTTCCAGACAATTCGGAAGATGCTTCAGCTGGCTCCCGATGAATCCCTATTCTTCTATATTTCTCAAACGTTCGCTCCATCTCCAGACCATACATTTGAAGTATTTTAGTGAAGAAATTGGATTTTTCTATTATTTGTACCATGTTCAGCTTCTTCGCGAATGCTATTCGGTGAAAAATGTCGACGCCAAAGACGAATGCCTCAATTTGCAGTACAGCACGACTCGCGCCTGGGGCTGATCAAACGCGTTTCGGGAAATTTTCGACAACCTACGGTCTCACATTAATTTCGATTTTATTGTATATAAATTCTTATGTGACTGTTCTCATGTTAATTCATCACAAAATTTGTCGCAATCTATCAACAATATATTTTCGCCCGCTGAAATTATGTTTTATGTCGAAATTCAAGATGTCACACATGATTCAAATCGATCACGATGAGGAAGATCGCGAGTCATCCGAATACGAGGAGATCGATGAGGATCAGGACGGTCCGAAATTCGATTTTAAGCAATTTAACAACATCTTTCTTTTTTAAGGCGATTTTGCGGAAAATTCGGAAATGCCGCTAGCCGATTATTTGAATGTCGGAGAGTTGCCGGAGAATTATCAATTCGAGAATATTGTAGTTGAGGAGGAGATTCTCGACACGCAATTGCCTTCGACATCAATGAATGGTGATGAAATGGAAAATTGGAAAATTAAAAAAATGTTCGTTTTCAGAATCATCCGATGTGATCTATCATTCAATTGTGGAAGGACCAGCATGCATCGTTTGCGGTCGTGGCGAATCGGAAAAAATTCGACTATTCCGCTGGCCGAAAAACCAGCGAATTCGCACCAATTGGATTCATTTCTTTCGGCTTCGTCCCGAAATTCTCCAAACCGGCGATGAATGTTTCATTTGCAGTTTTCATTTCGCCGCTGACACTTTTATAATGGTAACGCTTTCAATTCATTCGAATTCATCTCGATTCATATCGTCTTCTAGGTGTCGGGAAAAATCTACTGGAAAGCGACGCCGATGCCAAAATATCGAGCGCGGCGTCCATGCAACACCGAACCATTTCCGTGGGAGCAATCGGCCAAAGACAAACCGATTGCGGAAAAAGCTCAAAGCGAGCAGCCACAATACAAAATTCGATATCGAATGTCTTATAATAAGTATAAAAGTCGAAGTTCACATCCCGTCGCTGTCCTTTCGCCGGTGAATGAGCCTCATCTATTCTACGAGTTTCATTATAATCGGACTTCGACGAATAATACCAAATTCTATTCATGTTTGAATTGTAGAAGGGCAAAAGCGAAAAGTATGTTTACACGTTATTGCACTGAATGAATCGCAATTGAGCAGGCGGAATTCGAGACGTGATCCGAACGATCCATTTGGATAATTGCCGCCTTCTCAGCCAACACGATCCATTCTTAGGCCATCATTTCGCGTGTCGACCGCACAATGTCTATGATGATAGCAGCTCGTGGAGATCGATCAGCGATCGTCCGAATGATCAGCGATTTGTTGATGATGTGGTGTATGTCGATGAGCACGGCAATCCGATTCAATGGGAGAATTGCGAGCGGATTTCGTCGACAATGGAGTTCGAGCCAGCCGAAGATCCGCACGAGGTTTTCGCACTTGATGAGCATATTCTTGAGATGGATGCCGATTCCAAGGTTCGTTCAAATGAAATTTTTTGATCAGAAAAATATTATTTCGCTTTCAGTATTATTCTCACCAGCCAGAAGTCAAACAGAAGGGCGATCGAATAAAAAAGCTGAAATGCCATTTGTGTTTTCGACGGAGCTTTAATTCGACCAAGGAATTCGCCGATCATCTTCAATTCCATGTGATGAACGAGACCAATTGTAAGAAGTGTCAAAGTCGAATTTCGTGTGATGATCCGCCCCTTTTAACAAGACGCCAATTATGCAAAACTTGCTGGAAACATCGATAGGAGTTTAAATAATTTATTGAATAAAGTGCGAATTTTTAAGAAATGAAGACATTTTTTGACAATACTTGATGGGAAATACTAAATCACCCGCGGAAATTAGAATTCGGCAAAAAATTCTCGACGCACGGACCAAGAATTCAACGAATATCGAATTTCTCACTAAAAATCTTATTAAACGTTATACGCGTTGAAATTGTTCTTTTCTAGTCGGGAAATCACAATCCCATCGCCGCCCCCAGCGTTTGGAATAACTCGAATCATTGAAGGTTTTTCGATTTGTGGATCGAGAGAAGATAACTGGAGGAAGCGACGAGGAAGGACACAAACAAGATGTATTTGATCCGCGGATCATGGTAGTTTTTGGCCCGGGCCTTATTTTTTTTATTATTTTTGTTATTTATTTTTATAATTTGCGGTTTTCCCCCTTCTCTTCGTACATTCGTACCACTTACGTCTGTACTTCCTCCTGGTCTTACCGTTTGGGACCACCCCTTCTTTTTCTGGGGAAAGCCGGCTTTACCGGGTGTCCTCCATACTAGTCAGGATGGCATCTGGCCCAGACCTATATTGACGTGGATTGGCCAGCTATGTCAATATGTCCAGCCTTTCGGGTGCACATGGACCGTGCTTCTTGGCATAGTAGCTTGCTACTTTGTAGTGGCTTGCTACTACTTAGTAGTAAGCTTCTGTGCTAAGAACACAAAAACCACATTACCATATCACCAGTAGACCCGGGGCCCAGCCAGACGTGGCTTGCCCAACCACTTCTACTTCTATTATCCTCGGATGATAGTTGTGGGATGTCCTTGGGTGATCCCCATGGTGGGATCGGCGATGACCCACATCAGGTTCTCTGATGCTGGTGAGCCTATCCTTCAAGTGCCGAGCCTCTACGTGGCGAAGGAGATCAACTGATTCGACACTCCTTCAGGGGATGTCGAGTCAGGCTAATCGGCACACGAATTCCAACGGCCCTCTTTAAGGATATCATATTTTTTGTGGTTTGTTTTTTAATTAAATTTTTTTTTGCATGAGTAAATCCACAAGTTACAGCTAGCCCATATAATTGGTTAAAAATCGAGAAAATCATTTTAGAATTATCAATGTGAAAATGAAGAATTGAAAGAGGAAAAAAATGGAAAATTATAAAGTAGAAAATTATTAGAACTTAAACACGGCCAGGCCGACAAAAAGCCGGCCGCGGCCAGCCATATGTTGGAGGCCATTCTTCGCTTAGCTTAGCTTAGTCGCTTAGTCGGTTCGTCCTTCGCCTGTTGAGGCGCGAACCACAGCTTTCCAAGCTTTTCGGTCCTTGGCTTGGGTGGACCACGGGGTGATAACGGCTCCTTCAGCTGTTCTTGTAGTGATCTCCTTCCGAAGCGAGTCCGACCATCTCATGGGAGGCCTTCCTCTTGGCCGGGTCCAATTCCACGGCCGCCACTCCGTTAGAAGAGTAGTCCATCTTCCATCTGTTCTTCTAGCAACGTGTCCAGCCCAGGTCATCTTCCTCTTCGTGATGTGGTGTAGGGGGTCCCGAACTTTAGACATGTTGCGGATGTCCTCTCGATGAAGATCTTGTTCACGTTGTTGTGATAACGTGAGGCCATCCAATCTTCGCTCAAGCGCAGCGTGACTTATTCGGACTCTCTCGGACTCATTCAAAACTTCAAATATTTTTCAGGCGAACATCTAAGAAAAGATTTCAAAAAATTATTTTGCTGCGTTACAAGTTTTAATGGCAACAAAATATATAAGTTAGCCGAAGATTGCTCGCAGTTTTTTTTTTCAAATCAATAAAATTTATTTGATTCTATTGCTAAAGTTCAATGGTGGATGGTGGATCTGGTTTAGTAGCATCGATCAATCTGAAATTCCAAATTTCAATCTCAAAATGCGCTCAACTCGCGAACCGTTTCTCGAATTTGAACACCTCGGCGTCGCCGATCGGCTCGCGCGCTTTCATCGAGCTCAAAACCAACACTTTTTTCTTGTCAAGAGATCGATATGTTTTGTGTTTGACAAATGACTGCAGTTTTCTTGCGTTCACACCTTTTAGCGAACAATTTGGCGATTTTGCTGGCGAGCAATTCACTTCAACATCATCCTCATTCTTCTTCACTGAATTATCTGAAGGAAGGACCATGAGCATCAAAGGACCCTTTTAAATCAAAACCCGAGACTAAATAGCAATATCAAGTGGTAGCTGCTCTTATAGGGACCATGATATTAGCTTAGTAGCTTACCCGTTCGATATTGTCTCAAATGCGATTCGGCCGTAATCAGCAACTCATCAACTTTTTGCATTATAGAAGCGTATGCGTCATCAGCACCTTGACAAATCATCATGCGCCTTTAAAATCTCTTTTTTGAGAGCTTCAATTTAAAATCAAAACAAAAAACCGAATCGATCACTTAGAAATGCGGTTTTCGAAATGTGTACGAGAAAAACACTTGAAAACGTGTTCGCGTTTGAATATAAATAAAAATTGGCGCCAAAAAAAACGTCTTAATAATTATGATCAACAATTTTGCGCTAATTGTTCTCATATCTCGCTACCAATTTCTCGAGTGTGTCAAACACTCTCATCCGTGGCTGACACCACAATTTCGGTATCGGTTTTTTTTTCAGCATTCCTTTTTTGTCGATCTTTTTTCAGGCTTAACGATATTCAAAAAACCGCCGACGCTGATAATTTAACACAATGGAAAGAGAATTTCGCGTTTCGGAAGGTCTCGTCAACGAATAATCTGTTTTGCAAGGTTCGACTTATTTTATTTATTTTTTGCGTGCCTACTGTAATTCTGCAAATTGTGCAATCACCGACACGCCGATTTTCAGATATATGGCTACTGTAGAGAATACGAAATGGGACTTTCGGTGATTAATATTTTGACAAAATGGAAGAACATGGGCCTCATTTATCCGTATAAGGTATTTCGATTTTTTTGCCAGTTTTCCAGCAATAATTTTTCAGAAATACGACGGCCGCGCGGATCCGAATTTTCCCTATTCGAAATTGCAATCATTCGTCAGCACAATGCGTCAGAAAAACAATTTTTATTGATAAAAATTGCAAAATATACAGAAAAAAATTGGATTCGGCGTGGGACCCGAGACGATAATTTATTATTGGCGGTTTTGTGGAGGGCCCGTCGATTATCGACGCGTGCCGTCCTCGAAGAACACGCCGCCGTCGAGCGCGCAATACTTCGGGCAGATTCCTCGTTCTCCTTGTGGTCCCGGCTGTCCCGGCGGTCCCGGTGGTCCCGCCTGTCCCAGGTTTCCTTGTTGTCCGGCGGGTCCCGGTGGCCCCTGCGGTCCAGGCGCTCCATCGTTTCCTGGCCGACCCGGTTGTCCTTGATCTCCTGGCAGTCCTGGCGGTCCCGGCTCTCCCGGTGCTCCTGGATCTCCGGGAAGCGCTGGCGTCGAGATGGCCGGTCGTCCGGGCTCGCCGCGTGGTCCGTCGCGTCCCGGCTCGCCGTTGTTTCCCGGCGGTCCCGGTGGTCCTTGTGGTCCGGCGCCTCCGTCGTTTCCGTTTCGTCCCGGATGTCCCGGCTGTCCCGGATTGCCAGCCTCTCCTGGCGGTCCCGGCGGTCCCGGCTCGCCAGGCGGACACGGCGTGCACGGCGGCTCGGTGACCTCCTCGCACACCGCCGGCGGACGTCCTGGGAATCCGGGCGCTCCCGGCGCGCCCGGCCGTCCCGGCGCTCCATTCTTGCCCGGTGGTCCGTCGGGTCCGGGCAGACCTGGCAGACAGCAGCCCTGGCATCCGCCGGCCTGCCGTTTGAGACGATGCGCGGTCTCATTCGACGAGCGCCGCAAAAAAAACGGCAAATTCTTTTGCGGTGTCGCGCGGAAATTGTGCATCTCCATCATCACATCGCGTGCCGACAACTAGAAACGAGAAAATGAACAGAATTGTTTTAAAGGGAGATAGCGCACACAAAACCTTGCAGAATTGCATCTCATCGTGCACACGCAAATGCACCGAATGGATGTAGTTGTTGACGAGCGGAAGAGTCACGAAAACGCTGATCAACGCGATCAACGAGAACGAGACCGCCGAGTAGGCGACGAACCGAAAAGCCTTCTCCCTGGAATCCTCTTCCATCTGGAAAAAATCGAGAATTGAAAAAAAAAGAATAATGAGAGTGAGAGGAAAGTAAAATTGCGAGCATCGATATTTTGAGGAGTAAAATAATATAATCGAATTTGATTTTATAAATAGTTTGGCTAGGTTTGTGTTGCATAACCGGCACACTTATATATTTGGCATTGAAACACAATAGGTGGGGCTTGGGAGGCGAACGAAGCGCTCGAAAAAAAGTGAAATGGGCGGCGCGAAGCTAGTTTTAAAGGCGCATTGTGTAATCCGCTGAATTCGGTGACCCGAGGTGGCGGCAGCGGCAGCCGCGCTGAAAAAAAAGTGAAGAGATCGTCTCGGTCGCGCGACCGCGACTGCTTCGCGCGGAAGGATATTGCGCAGTATTCTAATTGGTGAACATTCGTGTCGAAGGGAAGAATTCCATTATACTGTTAGATTTGAAAAAAAAAAATTGGAAAACACATTTCAGATGTGAAATTGTATTACAATAGTTTTACATAGTTAGTTCCGCAAGCATTTTGGACCAATTGGTGAAGTACAGAAAATGCAATTAAAATGTACAGAAAAAAATTATTTATTTTTTACATTTTTCATTGCATTTATGAAAAACGAATTGAAAAAATGTTGAGGTTACTGTAGTGTTAAAGGCGCATGATAACATTATTACTGAAGATTCTTGACGCGAAAATTTCAATGCTCATTTTCTGCGATTTTTTTTGAGTTTCTCACAGTTTTTCAAGCGAATCATGCGTCCTCCTGAAACAATTTGTTTGTTTTTGTGAAACAATCGATATATGCGGTTACACCTAAGCAAACATTGCGCTCTGCTCGCCGCACTATTGTATAATTTCCCCTCTGCGCTCTCTTTTTCTTCGTCGATCATATGGCAGACCCGTTAGGGTGCCTAAGGGCTGCAACAATTGCAATTGCGATCTGGAATATCGTAGGAAGCTTTAAATATTTTTAAAATTACAAAAAATCATTATTTTTTCAGATTTATTGCTTCATTCAATTCGGTATTCTCGGCTGGCAATTCCAAGTTGTCAAGGACATTATCGCCGAGTACGAAAACCGGCAATTGCCGGCCACCGGCGCCATCGATGGATTTCAGGCGCGATTTCCCGGATTGTATCAAATTTACACGGAGACGCCTGAGAGGCGACGTGCGAATGGTTGGTGTACATTTGGAATTGATGACGTCATGAATATTTACAGCGATGTATGTCATAATCATCGTGTGTATTATATTTGCCATCGCCAATCTTCTCACTTCTTGCGTTCTTCTATACGCGGCTATCAAGGTGGGGAGGCGGCGGAATTGATTTATATGGCTGGGTTACTGTAGCTCGCCACTGTGTGCATGTTCACCGAGGCGACAAATTGCACGCATCACTTTCATGTTTCCTAAAAATCTGTTTTTTTAGTACATAAAACTCCTAGTTTGGCCATGGTTTGCTACGTCTGTTCCACTTTGCATAATGACAACCGCCTACGCTGTCCTCTGGTGGTCTGGAGACGTTTTCAACGAGCAGCTGACCATGTCGATATTCGAATTTGTAATGTCAGTGGCAATCAACGTGAGCTCTTCGAATTGCATCAAGTATTCTAATTAACATTTACGTTTCCAGTCAATAACAATTATTGTTGTGATTGTGTTCTTCTCGCGCCTCACCGGCTCCCTGGTGTCCACGCGACCAAAAAGAATGAAACGACGACGGAAGAAGCATATCCAGAGGCTCTATTTGGAGCCGCCTCGAGTTGCGTCGCCCGGTCACGCTGCCCCCTATCTACCAGTCGATTCTGCCGCGCTTTTCACCCCAAAGCCAAAAGGCGACGTTCGGCCGGACACGATTCCAGATTGGAGTAGGGAATGGCCATCGGTGCCCGATGTTCAACTTCAACGCAAATTGAATCGTCAACGAAAAGAGGATTTGCGACGAAGGGGATACAATGTGGGAGCCGAGATGTCGCCAACGCAACGATTGGATTTCTACGCACCCGAGCCCGACGATCCCGAATTCCCATGGAAGGTTCGGACGCTGGAGAGAAATTTAAGAGAACGAAAGGAGACGCAACAGGAGAAAATGGCAAAGTGGCTAAGTTTTTCGAAATTCTCCTAAAAAAAAATTTTTAATTTCAGACTTTACTACGAAAAATATCCCGAAGAGCTACCGAACATGCCATGGGAAATGCGAAGACGTCTTCAAGAGGAGCGCGAAAAAGCCGAAATTCAGGCGAATAAATCGAAAATCAGGGGATATCGGAATGTTTAGCACATTTTTCGACGTTGCCATATCCAAATGTGATCTCTTTATATGTATAAATCGACGCAATAAATGTTTGGTGTGTTTTTTTTTTCTATCATTTGTTGGTGGATCCCGTGCCCTTTTATCTATAAGTTCTCTTCAAATCTCGCTATTCTCGTTCCCAACGTTTGTTTTACTCGTTTTTTCTTCTGATGGCACGAAAAGCGGCGGAGGCAGCATTCCGCAAATGCATCGAGGCTGTAGATCCGAGGACAAGTGTGGCAAAGGTAATCGAATTCATTTTTAACTATTCAAATTTGGTACTGTAGGTGCGCGAATTGTGCAAACACCGCGGCGGTGCAATGAACTCCGAAATTCGAATAATTCCAGGCGATTCGCATCTCAAATCATCGGTTGGTGATCGAAAACTCGACGCAGGTGCCGCTCACCGATGCCCACCGCCTAGTGCTCATCGGATTCGGCAAAGCGGTGATCGGAATGATGCGCGGCGCGCAAGAAGCGCTCGGCGGCGCGCATCCCGCATTTCTCATCGCGCCGAAACAATTCGACAACGCCGACATCGACGCGACAGCGTTCTACGCGGCCGCCGGCAATCTTCCCGATGACGATTCAGTGACAGCGACAAATTTCATCGTGCGCCAAATCGACGAATTCGATTCACGCGACACCGTCTTCGTGTTCCTGGTTTCCGGCGGCGGCTCGGCGTTGCTGTGCGCGCCGATCGACGGCATCGAGCTGCGCGACAAATTGGCAACCATCAAATTGTTGACGTCGAAAGGCGCCACAATTCAACAATTGAATCGCATTCGCCAGAAATTGTCAAAAGTCAAAGGCGGCCGACTTCTCGGCCATATCAAGCAAGGCAAAGTGAGAGCAAACTTGATTCTCATTTACACAAAATATTCAACATTTTTTAGGCGGTCTCATTAATCATCTCCGATGTGATTGGCGATAATCTCGAATTGATCGCCAGCGGTTCGACGGTGCCCCGAAAACACAATCTCGATCCTTTGGAATTATTCGAAATCTTGAAATCGTGCGACATCGAAAAAACTGAACTGAATCCAAACATTTTGCGAAAACTCGAAGAAATCGAAAATGTGCCAAATACAACGAGCTGCGAGACGTTCAATTACATCATTTCGAGCAATCGCGTCGCCGTTGAAGCCGTCAAAAAATCGTTGACCAATTCGGGCTACGAGGCCCACGTCATCACGTCAAATCTCGTCGGAAATGCCACACAACTCGGAAAAATGTTCGCAAATCTCATAAAAGGCAATCGTGAAACGCTTGAAGAGAGGCTATCTCAAATCTGTTCAAACCATCCAAAGATCGATTCAAGTTCCAACAAAATTGCTCTAATTTTTGGCGGTGAAACTACAGTAATTCTAAAAGGAAACGGTAATTCCAACATTGTTAAAAATAATCCAAAAATTGTTTTTTTTAAGGAAAAGGCGGCCGAAACCAGGAGATGGTCCTCTCCTGCTTCAATGAGCTTCGGGACCATTCCAACTTCGCATGGGACTTCACCTTTCTCAGCGCCGGCACCGACGGTCAAGATGGTCCGACCGACGCGGCAGGCGCTATAATTTCGTCGCAGGACCTTCAAAGTGTCGAACCAAACCCTATCGAATTCCTAAACAACTCCGATTCTTATACATTTTGGTCGAAATTCCGCAACGGCGCAAATCACATCATCTCGGGTTCAACCGGCACCAACGTCATGGATGTCCAATTAGTTCTTCTAGATAAACGATAAGTTTTATACATTCACCCAGAATAAATAGTATTGGTTAATTTTTAAATGAAAACGGCATCACAATACGATTCGACTTATAAATTAGCGTCAATAAATGGGGGGAAAATGAGGGAAATGGAAAACAAAACTTAAACAATTTCAAAGTTATCGGCAACAAATGAGGTTTCCGCCGAGAACACCGCCGGCGATCCATCCGATTTTGTCACCTCGGCGACCGTAATCGGAACAAACAAGTCTTCCGTGTTGAATCCAACCGATACCGGGAAGAAATGGTCCGAATGACCATTGGGAACCGTGAACTCAAGAGTTCCCGACGAGTTGGAGCTCTCAATTACTGGAATCGTCCAAACGATGATATTGCGAGTTTTCTGGTACTCATAGTTTCCTTCGCATTCGCTAACAACCGGAGAAGTTGCGGCTCTGAAACAAAAATACAACAACTATGAATTCTTATCCAATCGGAAATGGGCGTGGCTTACGGTAGTGGTACGACGATTCGAACATTATGCAGGGTGATGTCTTCTCGTTGAAGCGTGTATTCAATGTTCACTTGGCATCCGTCTGATGATTCCTGCGGCCAGCAGTTCACTTAAAAAAAAAAACATTTTTTTTTTGATACATCATTCTCAATTCCCTACATGCAATCGGAAGTTGCTCCTCCTCGGTGAGCACCATTTTCCACTTCAATATTCCGACGTCATTATTCACCGGATACGGTTTGCCATTGGTTTTGAGTTTGAGCACCGAGCTCGTCTGCCATTCCTTTTTGTCGAGATTCGGATGCACCTGAAGTTGGGTGCCGGCGACCGACGCGTTGTTCATTCGCAGCGACACGCCATTGAATTCCGGCGAGGCGACGCACAACGAGACGGTGGCGAGCACCTCGCCCGACTCCAAACCACCGTCGCGGCTGACGCGCGCGTTGATCTTCTCGTCGGTTCGCACGTGGATCGGTTCGCGCTTAACGCGTGACGCTGGAGCCGCCTGAGCGGCAGCAGTCGATGAGCCTCCGATGCTCTAAAACAATTCCAAATATAGAAATGACACGGAAATTAGTTTGATTACCGTCTTCTCAACTGGAGCAATAGATTGTCCCTGTTGTCGCAATTGGTTCAGGAACGCGTCTTCATCGTTCGTCTTTCCGCCGAGCTTGAGCGCTTTTCCACCTCCAATTGGTCCGCGAGTCTTCGACACCGGCGTGAAGGTGCTCGTCTTAGGAACCTCGGAAACCACCGTCGGCGCTGTCGATGACGACGAGATGCCCGTCGACGATTGATAGCTTCCCGATTTCAGACCCCTGCTAAGCGCCTCCTTCTGTTGTCGCTTGAGCTCTTTGGCCTTTTCAGCCATCGCCTGCTTCGCCGCCTTCTCCTGAGCTTCTTTGATCTGCATGAAAACGCGCTCCTCGTGCGAGTCCATTTCAGTGAAGGTTCGAATTTGGGCGAGATTGACGCTCTCGCGATAGCCAAGTGTCACAACCTCATCGAACGCGAATATCAAGTCGAAATCATGCGCGAGAATCTCTTTCTCGTCATTTGAACGGCAATATTCGGGAATGACGCGTGAAAAGAGCCGTAATGTCTCGAGATCCTCCAAAATGTTCGAGTTTTTCGTGGTGATGAGAACAACGTAGATATTATCGAGCGGATGATACACGTATCGGACGCTTTCAGTTTCCACGAAAGTGTGTTGGCGGCTGGCTGCAATTTAGCAATTTCAGAAAAGAAAATAATTGATTGAAACACATTTTAATTAAAAAAAATTATAATAAACTTACAAGCATCTTTATCATTGCCGATAAGCTTCGGAAAAGCGTCGAGTAGTCCTTCGAGTCGAGCCCTCGTCATATCGGTAACGAATTGTCGAGCGACGAGCGCCTTTCCCGATTTTGAGAATACCCCAGCGGCGATTAAAACCATTGCCTAAAATAAGAAATAAAATAATAATTTTAGGGCGATGAAAAATCGCGTTGACAAAAAAGAAATAATAGAATGGAAAAACGAGGATAAACGTGGCGAGAGGCGTCGAATGTGTGCAAACACCGCGACGCCGCAACACACACCGAACACCGTCGGCGAATGTCAACCGTATCATAGTGAAAATAGGAAGAAAAAAGAATCAAAATTGAACGAAAGTGAAAAAAAAATGTTGAGAAATTAATTTACATAGCAGAATCATAAAATTTTCGACGATGAAGAAGCCATATTCAATGAAAACCCGAAATTTCTCGGAAAATCCCAAAAATCCTTTCATTTTCCTTTTGCAACCCTTTCAAATATTCCGCGCTGAAATCCAATTCTCTAAGCGCGGAGACCAAAACGCATTCGGAACCCTCGCACAAATTTTCTTCTTGTTCTTCTATTTTTCCGTGTATAAACGTCCGCCTACACATTGTGCGTGTAGGGCAACGAAGAAAAAGAAGAAGAAGAAGAAGAAGGAAAAAATGCCTCAGCTCTCTTCAACATTATTTTTTCGTCTCCCTCCACCGCGTCGCCTTCATCCCATCGATTTGAGCAGAGAAAGGGAGAGAGTAGAAGAAGAAGAAGGAGAAGGGAGCTCAGCGAGCGCTCAACGTCTCCTATATATGTATATACGCGAGTCTGATGTCAGTCAGTCGGTGCTGCGCGCGTTTTTCGTCACACGCCAAAGCTTTTTCTTCTTCCTACCTACCTTTTATCGACTTTCTCAATCGACGCTTTTCATTCTGAACTATGATCATCATTTGTTTTTCTTGGCAAAATTTAAGCGTCCTTTTCACACTGGAACCCCCCTATCCTCCCTTTTTAATTCGAAATGACTTCTCTAAAAGGTTTGAAATTGACACTTCAAGGTTGTCGTCATCGTAAAAACTATCAAATTTCTTGGAAACCAGAAAAAAAGGGCAATCGCGTAATGTTCTAGGTATGGAGAACCATGTTGGCGAGCGGACCGTCAACATATTCGGACGTGTGTTCCCGCGCGACGCCTTCATCTGCCGCCTATTCTATCTCGCCTTCTTCGCCAGCTTCGGCAGTCTGTTTCCATTGCTCGCCGTCTACTTCAAACAGCTCGGAATGACGGCGGCGCAGGCCGGCTTTCTGCTTGGCTGTCGGCCGATCGTCGAATTTCTGTCGGGACCGTTCTGGAGCCAATTCGCGAGTCGCTTCCGCAAACAGAAGCTCCTTTTGCTCTTCTCGCTTGGCAGCTTGATCGTGTTCACGCTGGCCGTCGGACTCGTCCAGCCGGTCACCCCATACTGCATTGTCTATATGCCAGGTTCGTTCCCGGCCCTCTCAATGTTGCCAAAAGCGTCCCGTGATTGAATTGCGCATCCCGGAAAATGTCCGCAGATGTTTTTAATTAAATAATTTTTGTTAATATCCAAAGTAATCATGCCCCCCTTCATTTTGATAACTAGACCGGCCGTTTCAAATTCATTCGAGAATGTTGCAGAAGGCAACAAGACGTGTCAAACGATGCTGGCACCCGCCGGAAACGTGATCCGCGGCGGCGCCCTCGGAATGCTCAAAGCCGCCGTCGTCGGCAATGATGGTCCGAAGCGGCATCGGCGACAAGCCCAATCGCGTAAGTCGCATTCAAGTGGGACTCCAACGAAGCGCTCGATTTCAGCGATCGTCGAGAAGATCATCGATCTGAGCTCGTTCGACAGCGACGAGGACACCATCGCCGGCATTGCGCCCGAATACATAACGAAAGAGCGCGTGTGCAACTACGACGAGGACCTCTACGGAATTCTCGTGTCGCCGCCGCACTCGACGCGCGTCTACCGTCAGCCGGCCGTCGAGCAGGCCTTCATGCTCCTCCTCATTCTCATTTGCCTCTGCGAGTTCTTCTCGTCGCCGGCGCTCGCGCTAGCCGACGCCGCCACACTCAACGCCGTCAAGGACAATCCGCAAGAGTTCGGCAAGATCCGTCTGATGGCGTCGGTCGGTTGGGGTCTCGCCATGTTCGTGATGGGCGTCGGACTCGACTATTCGGACACGTTCCGCAATCATCCGTGTCCCGCCGAGAACACCACCGAGAAGAACTACACGCTGTGTTTTGTGATGTGCTCGGTGTTCATGCTCATCGCGATGATGCTCGCCACCAAGTTCAAGTTCGACGACGACGTCGCCGCGCCCGGCGAAGTTCCGGGCCTCGTCATGGACACGCGCGAATCAGAAGTGTCGCACGTCGTCGCCGAGAAGGCGCGCGCTCGTCACCTTCAATCGGACGCCGGCGGCGAGAACACGCTGTGGAACGCGCTCAAATCATTGGCCAGCATGCACATGCTGCTCTTCTTCGTCTCCGTCGTCGTCATGGGCATCGGCGCCGGCCTCGTCTTCTCGTTCCTCTTCTGGCATCTTCAGGATCTCGGCGGCTCGCCGGTCCTCTTCGGAATCCTCTCGGTAGTCAATCACGCCTCGGAAATCGTCGCCTACTTCTATGTGTTTCGTCTCATCAACAAGGTTGGTTGCTCTCGTGGCCGAACTCCAATTCATCCACTTCTTCCAGTACGGCCACGTCCGCGTGATGTACCTGTGTCTCGCCATCAACGTCTTCCGCTTCTTGATGCTCAGCGTGTTCGACAATCCGTGGATGGTGCTTCCACTTCAGGTGCTTCAGGGTTGCTGCCTGGCAACTGTCTGGACGACCGCCTCATCATACATCTCGCTGATTGCGCCGCCGCACGCCAAACAGCACGCGCAATACGCTCTTCAAGTCGGATACCATGGAATCGGAAAAGGAATCGGTGGAATCGTCGGCGGATCGGTTATCACAATGATCGGTAGGCAACGAGAAATGAGAAAACAAAATTATATTTTCGCCGCGAGACCCAACTCATTATTTAACGCCTTCAATCAATTACTTATTCAATTTTACATATTGCCGGTGTCAAACGACTTGACGAAATTTAAAAAATAATTGGCTGTGTGCCAATGTGTCTCGAGAAAGGCCCCGCCTCCCTTCAGTCGTTTGACGCCGACAATACAAAATAATAATGATCATGAATTGAAAAAAAATTAAAATAGAAATTTTGAAACACAAAAAAAACGTTTTTGAAGTTCGAAAATTTTTTCTTTCGGATACGGTAGTTAAAGACGCATTCAATTTTTTGTGCTGTGTCTCGCAACGATCGATTCTGTCATCAGCCTTTTTTTAGTGAAAAATAAAGAAAAAATAAATATTCTTCCTTTTTTTGCTGCAAAAACGGGTTAAAAATAATTTGACCAGACCACAATGCGCACGCATCGTCTCGATTTATATTCAAACCGATCATTCAATTTCAAGGCTCTCGCAGCACGTTCGTGCTCTACGCTCTCCTCTGCCTGGTGACATGCGCCGGAAGTTTCGGTCTCAACAAACTTTTCAAGTACGAGGGCATCAAATACGGCGCCGGAAATTTCGAGGAGGAGGACATGGACTTCATGGGTTCGTATAGAGTTGTCTAAAAAAATGGTGGGGGGGTGGGTTGGAAACATCTGCCGACAATTTTCCGGGTTACGCCACCATTCGAACAACATTGGCCTTTTTTGGAAAACGAAAAAAAACGGGGTGAAGAATACTATTGCAGCTCCACAAGGTGTTCCAATGGCTCGCGACGGCAAACTCACCGACGCATTCAGCTCCAACACCGTCGTCAACGCCAATTACGGCGCCATCAACCAAGAGGATCCAACCCAAGACGCCTACGATCGCTACGTGAGCACGACTCGGTAGTCCAAACTCCAAACTTCTCTCTTTCTTCACTTAAATCCCTTCAATTAATTTATATTCTGCTTTCTTTAGTGATCTCTCTAGATTCTCATCCTTTACTGTTCCTAACTATATCGTCAATAGGATCAAATTCTTATAATAATAATAATAATTGCTGTGCAATAGTTTCCACCCAAAGAGCAATAATAACTTATTTTTCTTCAATAAATCTTAATTTTTCATGATTTATACGAATTTCAACAAGAAACAAAACAAAAATTAACAACAAACGATAAACAATTCGGCGTTTAACTCGAAGTCGCCTCGGCCGCTTTCGCCAATTTCGCTTTGCGCTTCAACTTGAGCGCATCGTTGCGATTTCTCTTGAACTGCGTCTTCATACTGTGGTACACGCGCTGGTGTTTCTTCGAGATCATCAATTCGCGCAGCTTCGTCTCATTACCCTACAAAATAAACAATCAAATTATATTAAAATAGGCTCAAAGATACCTTTTCAACAGCTTCATGGAACTTCTCCTTGCTCTTTTTGTGCATTTTACCGAGTTCAACACGAATTCCCTTCTTCGGCTCCTCCTTCACCTCCTTCTTCCTCTTCGGCAACTCGTCTTCCGTCTTTGGAATCGCAGCTTCAAGCTCACGAACGTCTTTGCCCATGTTGCGCAACTCTTCCAATCGTTCATATGGAATGTAGTCTCCAGGCTTTTCAGAAGTGAACGGCGAAAAGTGAGGCGGAAGGCTAGTTCCTGGCAGGTACCTGAAAGAAAAATTTGCTAGGTTTATAAAGTTTTCCGGTTTTTAGTAATATCCATTTAATGCGATTCGGAAGTATGTCAGTTATTCAACGGATCCAAAAACATCGAACATTTGAAATTTCTTACTTTTCTGTTGGAAGCTTTCTGCGGGCGTTCAGACAATCAAAAACCCATTGCGGCTGAATATACTGTCTACCAATAGTCATTGCATCAAATGGTCGATCGACAATGTGATGGGTAATGGACTGAAAACCAACAAATAAAATCATTAGAGCTCACAAATTCTCAATACCTTGCTTTTGGAGTCAATATTCGTCGGACCATTTTCCCATCCAACAATTCCTCCGCAATTCCTAGAAATTGTGAAACTTTAAAATATTAATAACTCAAAAAAATACCTGATAATGAAAGTGAGTGCTTCTTTGGGGCATTCACGATTCAAATAAAATACACAACCTTTGAACAGATTTTTAATAGCCTTGGCTTCCTTCATCTTTTGTGCTAAAGCATCTGAATCTTCTCCAAGTAAATCCAAAGGCTCCTAAATAGAACAATTAGTGCGAAATTGCTCCTCATTAATTTACATCATCATCAGCGTTAGAAAAATCTGGTCGTTTCGCTAATGGTTTCGCCAAACTGTACACTTTCTCTCTGTATTCTTCTGAATCCATTTCTAAAAGAAATAATGATAATTTCTTGGTCATAAAATACGGACGCACCTTCTGAATCCGTTTGATTACTATGAATTTGTGGTGGGTAATGCAAGCCAATGGTCTGATAGAGTTTGTAGTTAACGAATCCAAGCATTGCAATGTAAAATTCTACGAATGTCACCAAAACTGTGAAGTCGACGTCGTTGACGTGTGGGAGGCCACGCTCGTGTGGAACAATCCATGTGATCTTCTCGCCATGAATTTCCGCTTGATAATAAATGCCCTTGATCGAAATGAATGTGTTTCGAAGTGATTGCGACTCAATAATATAGTGCATAAATTCAGTTGTCAATCGCCGGCAAGAATTAATCATATCCTCTTTCAAAACTTCTGTGTGTGGAAGCATTGCGAATGTGAAACACAGAGATAAAGCATCATCTAAATCGCGAAGAGCTGATCCAAATGTCGGATATCTTTCCTTCACAATTGGATCAAGAGAATACGTCGGCTTGTTCTGGTACAAATTTTCGATCTTATCGTTCTCACGTTTCGCTTTGTAGTGATTCAATTTTCGGAAGAACACCTAATTAGTTTAATATTATAAACAGTTATTTTTTTTATTATTCAACAAACCTTATTTTCCCTAAATTTGTTGATGATCGGCTCATGCGCCAAAAAATTAATATCTTTGCGATAGTAGAAGACCTTGTTCGCGGTGGAACCCTTGTTTGCCTGCTTCTTATGTGCCGGCTCGTGCGGATAAATGCCCTAGAAACAAAATAAGACATTGTCTCATACGAAAATTGTTACCTTAATAATACACAAGCGACGGAAATCTCTCAATGGAAGCTGCAGTTTCTTCAATGCCTGCTTTCTGGAGATGTAAGCTACGGCTGCTCCAGCAGTGTATTTCTGTTTAAACTTGTCCTTCATACTGCTGAAAATGAAATTTACTTATTACTAGCAAAAAATCACATTATGAAAATAAAACCGTAAAACGAAAGACTTAAACGGAATGTAGAAAAAATGGAACGCGGCATGAAAAAGTAGGCGGGGTACATCCTGCAAGTAACGCACGTTGTTTATCAACTGTGTTCGTCAACTGCGTATCGACTCAGTAAGCTATTTGCGATACGCAGCGAAGGCAATGAAAATTTTTTCAATTTTATCCATCTTTCCCGTAGTCTAACATTCATTGTGCTCATATTCTAGTGTTTTTTAAAGCTTTTGCTATCCACATCATATTGCAAATAAAATCTTTTAAATTATTTAATGCAAGTAAATTGCAAGTTATTAGCTGTTTTAGGCAAAATCAAAATCTTTATTTTTGTTTCTTCGTTTTCTATTCCGGGGTTTTATCAAATTAATTACTCTTATTTTTATCATTATAGGTAATCCCGGAAGATCATGAGGCTGATCGAGTCCAACGATACTGTTGTGTTCCCAGAGAATGTGACGTTCACCGTCAAGAACCGCATCGTCCACGTTACCGGACCACGCGGAACCATCCGCAAGGATTTCCGTCATCTTCATATGGAGGTTCGTATAATTAATACGAAAAAAGTTGATTATGAAATATATATTTAGATGGAACGCGTTGGAAAAAACACCCTCCGTGTCCGCAAGTGGTTCGGAGTCCGTAAGGAGCTTGCCGCCATCCGCACTGTCTGCTCCCACATCCAGAACATGATCAAGGGAGTCACTCTCGGATACCGCTATAAGATGCGCTCCGTATATGCCCATTTCCCCATTAACGTTACCCTTCAAGACAACAACAGAACCGTTGAGGTAATATCGTTTACCATGTTTCATTTTTATTCCCATTTTTCAGATCCGTAACTTCTTGGGAGAAAAGATCATCCGCCGTGTTCCACTTCCGGAAGGAGTCGTCGCCGTCATCTCGACCGCCCAGAAAGACGAAATCATCGTCGAAGGAAACGATATCCAGGCCGTTTCTCAAGCCGCTGCTCGCATCCAACAATCGACATCCGTTAAAGAGAAGGATATCCGTAAGTTCCTTGACGGAATCTACGTGTCGGAGAAAACCACCATCGTCCAGGCCGATTAAATTGTTATCACAAATTTTTTGTTGATAAATTGTTATAAGATACTATTTATTTCTTAGACAAACTATTTATGAAATTAGAAGCAATGTTCCGTGTTTTGCAAGTTGACATAAACCGCCTTAACCTGGCTATAAGCGCGAAGCGTGTCAACACAGTTTTCTCGGCCATGTCCAGAGTTCTTAAATCCTCCAAATGGAACGTTAACTTCGGTGTCGTTGTAAGTGTTGACAAAAACAGTTCCCGCTTGAAGTTTGGCAGCAATTCGATGACCGCGAGCCAGGTCCCTAAAAAACAATGCGACAATTCATCATGAAGCAATCATCTCAAACCCAGAGAAAACGCCAGCGGCAAGTCCGAACGACGTGTTGTTGGCACGAGCAATCACTTCCTCTTCGGTGTCAAACGGAAGGATCAGCATGCAAGCACCAAAGATTTCCTCACGAACCGCCTTCGCGTCATCCTTAAATTTCATATATTTCGAAAAATTAAAAGTATAATTAAGTGAATACATTCAATCCCAAAATAATCGCCGGATCAAAGTAATATCCATTCTCAACGCCCTTTGGATGAACACGAACACCACCGCGAAGGATTTTGCCGCCTTCCTGCTTCGCGCTCTCGACATAGCCGAGAATTCGGTTGAGGTGCAACTCGTTGATATTCGCGCCGACGCGTGTGTCCTCATGAAGCGGATCGCCAACTTTGAGTTTCGCGTTCGCCTCGTTGACGACGGCGTCGACGAACGCGTCAAGAATGCCGCGTTGGACGAACACGCGTGTCGCGTTCGTGCACACTTGGCCCTGATTGAGGAAGTTGGCGAGCATCGCGGTGGCGACGGCGCTCTCCAAATGCGAGTCGTCGAATATGATCAACGCCGATTTGCCGCCGAGCTCCAGCGTCACCGGTTTGACGTTCTTGCGCGCGCATTGCTGCTGAATGAGCTCGCCGGTGGCGACCGAGCCGGTGAACGAGACCTTGGCGACGAGCGTGTGCTCGCACAACGCGACGCCCGTCGCCGTCTCGCCCTGCACAACGTTGTAGATGCCGTCGGGCGCGCCGGCGGCGGCGAGAATCTCGCCGAGAACGACGGGCGAGGCGGGCGCGAACGGCGACGGCTTATAAACGACCGAGTTGCCGGCGGCGAGCGCTGGCGCCACCTTCCACACGCACGTCTGGAACGGATAGTTCCACGCGCCGACGAGACCGACGACGCCGAACGCCTCGCGTCGCGTATAGCATAGGCGGCTCGTCGGGCCGCCGGGCAACTCGAGGCAATCGCCCTGAAGCGCCGCCGTCGCGATGCCGCCGAAAAAGTCGAACGTGTCGGCGGAGCTGGCGAGATCGACGCGCGCCTCGTAGATCGGTTTGCCATTCGCCTTCACCTCAAGAATCGCGAGCGCTTCAAGATTCTCCTAGAATTCGAAAATTGCGGTATTCAAAAAGAAATGTTGATTGATTGAAGCTACCCGAATGATGTCGGCGACTCGACGCAACACTTTTCCGCGATCCAACGCCGTCGTCTCGGCCCACGCGGGTTGCGCGGCCGCCGCAATCCGCACCACACGATCCACAACATCCGAATCGGCTTTCGGGCATCGCGCGACGACTTCGCCGATTCGCGGCTCGATCACGTCGAACGCCTCCGAACCGTCGATTGTCGTCCGTTTGCCATTAATGAAATAAAGTCCTCCGGCGAGGTCTTTCGGTGGTTGGAATTGCGACATCACGTGCGAATGGCAAGACGAAATGTCAGTAAAGATGAAATATTTGAGACAACGCAACAATTGTTGTGTCGAGTTTGTTATCAGTGTGACCCTCGCGTCAATGGCTCGCTGTCTATTTATTGCGATGATGAGGCGAACGATCGTAGATCAAAACTACACACACACACACAAAGAAAAAGTCAATTAGCGTTGTTTCTTCATTCGCTTTTGCGCCTCGCCGACAACCTGTCGTAGTCCGTCGGCGTCGAGTTCGTCCAAAAGTACCGACACCGCCGACATGATTTTCGAGAGACGCACGTCCTGCAATCACGGCGATTATTCGTTTAGTGTAGATTTGATGGGTCTCGAGTGGATTTAAAAAAAATCGCTACTTTAAATTTGATTAAATTCTAGAAACACATTAGCGAATCGACCAATTTTCTAATCGGGTGATTCCAAAAAAAATTTGAGAAACTGGTAGGTAATAGTTTGTGTGTAGTTCGTGTCGAGACCCAACGCACAAATTCATATACTTTAAATTTTGTTGGGAAATGCAGAGAAAATAAAAATAACAAAAACTGGGGAACATTTTATGCTGAAAGAAATTTTTTTTCGTTTAATTTTTCTTTGCATTGATCCATTATAAGGTCTTGGCGCAATAAAAGAAACCATTTTTTTACACAGAAAAATTGTTATTGCGTCAGGACCGAATCTCACCCGAGCTGGGCTTGTCGAATTCGCTCTACCGGTGATTCGCCGCCTCGGCATGCTCACACTCCTCCCATTCGTCGTCGGCCTTCGAGAATCGCCCGATAGCATCATCATCCCTTCGTGCATACTCTGATACATTCGTTGCGGCGCAATTGGCATCGGGCGGTCTTCTTCGATACTAAACCATTCTTTTTTTTGGGTTTTTTGCCAATAAAATGATGATTTCACCTAAAATCATTCCATTCATCATCGCCATCGACGGAGCTCGGCTTCTCCAAAAGTGTGCCATACATCGATTGACTCATTATATTATTTCGATGGTCCGTTGGTTCCTGGTTTCATGAATTAAAAAAATGTTCCAGAGTTGTCAAAATAAACGGGCTCGTGTTTGAATTGCCGCCATCGCCAGGAGGCGATTGCAGCGTATCCCGGAAAAATGTCCGCAGATGTTTACAATGCCCCCATTTTGACAACCCTGAATTTGCAAAAAAAAATACCGGCACTCCGGGGACTTCCAAAGAATATTTGGCCGGCGGTTTCTCATCATCCGAAATGTCGCCTAAATGCAACAATTGAGGCTGCACGATTCGTTCGAAAATTTGCGGACCATGCGAATGCGAAACTGAATTTTTCAGCTAATCAAAAAATAGTTGGCAGCTTCTCCTTTACCGTACATAGACCTTGTGATGAGATCCGAGCTTCCCGACCTGGAACGATTCGATCGTGCGCTGTAGACGGACGCGTGCATATCGCATTCTGGGACACTGTCGTCGATAACAGTCGGCGTTGTGTCGGCTGACGTTACCGCTGAAATATCGAACTGCTGAAAATTTGAAGACGGCATTTCCATACGCTTATCATCAAGTTTCGTCAATTGGGGAAGAATTTCGAGAATTTTCCGACGATAGCTCTCTGGCCCGAGACCGTCAACACAGGGATTCTCGTCAATCCAAAGAACTCGTAAATTTTTGAGACCTTTCAGATGGTTCAGCTCGTCAAGACTCTGAATCTCATTCTTCCTTAGATAGAGCTCTCTGAGATTGTGACAATGTTTTAAAGGCTCCAGACTTCGGACCTGATTCACACTGAAATTTTGTAAATCAATTATAGTCATAAAAATTTTAGGAAAACCTTAATGAGAGAACTTCAAGCGCTTGCATTTTCTCGCAAATGCTTATATCGTCGATGCAGCAACCCCTGAACTCAATATTCCCAACTCAAAAAGCAATTTTCGTTTGAAAACTCACCAAAGATTCAATTTTTTCACATTTTCAATACTACTTTTAGTGCGAATATAAACAGCGGATTCGGTTAATTTGACCATTTATTCAATCTGTAATTGATTATTATTAAAATAATCGCGGATTCGGTGGCTAACAATCCGATATTAAATGCAACAGAAAAGAGGACACGCTGAAATCAATAAGGGTTCATGAGGAGGCCCTCATTGTGTGTGTGTGTTTTTTTTTGCGCCACTGGGGGCCCGAATTGATGGTGGCTCTCTTCCAACACTTTCTCCATCTTCTCCTTTTCTTTCCATCTTTTTTCTCAAATGGAAATTGGCTAGAAGAAGGAAATGAGGAGGGCTAATGCAATTGGTAACAATGAGAAAAATTGCGAAGCTTTACACGGTTCAACACGAGTTATAAATTTATAGAAATGGTCCCAGAGGTTGCGATCCTGAATGCAGAGAGCGCCGCCGCCGCGGGCGAGTTGAGATTTCTAAAATTCGCTTTTGATTTTTACTAATTATTTTCTCATTAAAATACCTGACGGTTCAAATCACCAAAGCATACAATAGGATTGTTGACGTTTGACGAAACTGCGAATTTTGAGTGGTCCTTGGAACTCGAAAATTTCTCACCGACAACCGACATCTCCGTGACATCATGTGTCTAAAATAATGAATATTAAAATAACTCCTTGAAAAACGCGGTAAAATTTCAGATTCTCGAAGCATTCTGAAAATATTTTAAAATTTTTGTGTGTTGTGTGCACTCACCGACACGCAAATATGCAGATTATGACCACAGTATTCAAAATTTTAATTCGATTGTCATATTTTTTATTTTTTTTTTCTAATATTGCACCACTTGCCTGGCTAATTTTGGTGCAAGTCGTTCGAAGATCCTCTCCGCTACCATTTAACCAACTCTCCACAGCCAATGTCATTTGATTTTCACGAGAAATTATGTCATTCCAAATATCTATAGCAATTTTTGAATAAAATTAAAAAATAATTAATTCACCTCCATTGAACTTTTTATGTTTTGCATAGGACATTAGGGTGATACCACGTATCGTTTTAATTGGCCTTGACGTCCAAAACCGTGTGGCTGACCGCGGCAGCGATTGTCTCGCCAGCACATTGCGAAGCGTCGGGAAACGCAGCAAAAAATCCTGGGGACCATTCTGCGCGTACGGCGATGCTTGAATAAATCGCCAATGGTCCGCAATGACTTCAAGATAATTTGTGTCGAGTGAAACGCAGAAGAACGTTTGACCATATTTCTCGGCGGTGATCGGATAGGCGTAGCCTTCAACAATTCGTTGAAATTCGAAAAAATACAATTTCAATTAAACTTTTCGACGAAGGAAAATTTGGAACGCTGTGAATCAGCCAGAAGCCCGTATTTTTGTCGAAAAGAGCCACACCTTTGGCATGGCCGCGATACGAATCTGCCGAGCCAATCGGATCATCATCACTATACATTAAATAGAAATCGTTCTAAATATTATATATTTAAACGTTTCGCATTTTTTAAATACCGGTTTTGATGAATAAACTTGACTAATTGTGGCTCCAACGGCACCTTTCGGGTCATTTATGTCTCCCGCTTTAACCCAATCGAGATTTTCATTGTCAATGTACACGAATTCTTTTCCACTAGTCGTTGAGCGCAATTTTGGAAGTTTGTAGACCACAAACCTGAACAACAATTCTAATTTAGAGCATTTCTCAGTCTTACCAATCTACTGGTTTTCCTAATAAATTTTTGCATTGATATTTGCAAAAAACTTCAAAACGCAATAAAATAAATAAAATAATGACTATATTTGGAATCATCGTGACCCTTGACAATCGATTCTTTTCATGCTTTTATTTCTTCCCGTCGAGAATCTCGAGAAACATACATTTTCTCTTTGCATGACCGAATTATTAAAACAATGGCCGTGGCTGAGTTCACCGCGGCCACCATAATTTTAATCTTTTATTCCTAATTTTTTTCGGCATTTTTTAATGGATATTCGCATTTTCTGGCAAATCCACTTTGTTTGCAGAATGAGTAAAGTGAATAAATCCTCAAAAGCCGGACCGAAACTAACGCTAGCGTCCATCGAGAGTATTCCAGGCCAAATCGGTTTCATCGTTTGCAAGGGAAATCAAATTGTGAGTCATTCGTTTGGAATTATCGATTTCAGTTTGATTTTCAGGTGCACAACACAATCCCAAAATCCGAAAATCCATTGCAAATCGCGTTCAACGGAATGAAGTTGGCAGCGCGAACAAAAGGCGCCGAATTCGAAGGCCACGAGCCGCACACAATTCAAGTGCAATTCAATCGATTCATGTTCGAAATGTTCCAAGCCGGCCCATATTTCATCATTGTGAAGAAGAGAATCGACGACAACGACGCCTAATTTGCAAAATTTGAATTAATTCATTATATTATTCAGGTGTAAATAGTTCAATTTTTATATTAACAATGAAAACAACGAAAACAAAAATTTCTAAACTATTTCTACAAATCAAATTCTTAACGACGCTTCCAAATCCATTTCGCTCGAGCTCCCGGCTGATTAACTTTGCTCCTTTCCTTTTTCCTCGGGTCAAGTGTCAATAATCCAGCTGAAATTGAAAAAAAATACTAATTTTCTTGAATTTCGCCTCTACCTAATCTCAATAATTCCGTTTTTTCGGGCAACAGCGCAGCTACACAAAGTGAAGTTCCGTGACGAACCGCCCGCGGTAAACTACTCTGTCCGCCAGAGCGCATCCTAAATTCCAAAAATTCTTTAAAAATTCCTTCAACTTTTCCATCGGCTTACAATGGTTTTCGGTTTGGCGATTCTGGAAGAAGTGTCGAAATGCATACAGATGAAGCCTCAACGTCGAATCTGCCAAGGGTCGAAGAGACAATAAATGGAGCTAGAAGGATTTCGCGGGCCTGAAGATGCCGGAAGTCGGCGAGCCCCAATCCATCGATGTCGAATCTGCCTTTTCCGGCGTCGGTGACTTTCACATTCACTCTTGTGTCTTTGCAATGCGTCCTGAAAATCATAAAATGATTATTCTTTAAAAAACACACACAAATTTCTAACGTGACTGTGGCGAATCTTTTGTTGGTTTCCGCACAAATTTGAACATTGGGAATTGATGGTCCGAATAATTTCGATCCGGTGGAAGCTGTGAGCGGCTCGCGGAACTCCATCAGAAATTTCTGCTCGATTGATGAACCTGGCAGCGAGGCGAGATTTTCAAAAGCGATTAATACTTGTTGGTACTAAAAATTATTTTTAAATAATTTTTTTCAAAAATTTTACCAATTCCGGCGAGAATTTCTCCATGAGCTTTTTGCGAAGCTTCTCCTGTGAGATCCATTGAGACCCGCTCAGATTTCTGCAATCACCAATTCTTCCTCCATTTTGTTTTGTTTAAAAATGATAAAATTTACGCCGGCTCAAGATCTGCTTTATTAACCGCTCTGCTCCCGTAATGCTGATCGTAGAATTTCATAACCGCGTGCGTTTTGATTCCAATATCCGATAATAATCCATAAATTTTTGGATTCAATGTGAAGAATCTCGAGCCTTCTGGTCGGCCTTCCTCGTCGAATGAGAATCGTTGGAATCTAGAAAGCGTATTCAATTTAAAAAATTGAATAATAAATTTTACCGAGGCAGAATCTCGTCAGGCGGTCGCATAACCGGTCGAGCTTTTGGGTCGGTTAGTCCCGAAGGGAAAAGATATGCAATAGCCCTGAAAAAAATCAAAAATTGATTAAAATCATTCTAATATTGATCACCGATCGATAGCTTCTTGGTCAAGCTCATGAATATCGAGGCCCATCATTTTCGCCAAATGCCTTCTTCCGATTTCGAATTCGGCGCGATGCTTCTCCATCATCGCCACATGCTGTTGACTGTGCTTCAAATATGTTTCCAGCGCTTTGCCGATTTTTCTCGCCGGATTTTCAGCATCGAATTCCGGCTGAGAAGCCGCCGAGCAGCTCGCCGATGAGGTCGAAAGATTTCGACAGGATCTTCCGAAAATTACCCGCAGCATTCTAAAAAAGCATAATAATTTTTAAAACAAATTAGTATTCATAAAACATTAAATAGTGCAAAATTTAATTTGTTAAAATTTTAAAAGCATTTCATATTCGTTTTCGTGGCTAAAAACGAGGGGAAAAGAGAAAAATGCAAAACGAAAAATAGAAATTTCGCAATGGCCGTGGCCGAGGTTTTTTGCGCAATTCGCCGGTCTTTTAAAAATAATTTTTTGAAGAAAACTGAACAAAGTGATACAATTTACCCGCAAAATCCTTATTTCCATTATCAGATTAAATTTAAGAATATAAAGAAATTAATTTTTTCAGATTAGTTTATTAGAAATTTTCGAAAGATACAGTTACCTGAAGAAGCGCGAATGTTGTTATTTATCGCTTCCAGACAGTATCATTTTAGCAATAACAATAACAATAATATTTACGTCTACGAAAATAATCAACGGTGGCTATATAAAGCAAAAAATAGTTTATTATTGATAGTGCTGGGCTATTCTCTGACTTCCATTCGAATAGAATGATTTTATTCACAATTATATTAAACCGCCCATTTGAAAATATATTCTCTCTCAAGTCATTTTTGATTCGAAATTTGTACAACAAATTTCCAGTTGACTTTAAGCAATTTTAAGCGCAACCAGTAATATTTTCTGTGAACACTTATCGAAAATATTATTCCAATATACAGAATTACTGCAGAATTTGTTTTGAAGCTTCTCCAGTTCTGTAATAAACAACAATTTGCTCGATAATATTATTGACTGGAAATTTCCTTCTTCGACTACTTTAAAACGTCTCTCCTTGATGAATGGCATAAAGAGCGAGAATGGTTCCATGGCGCTCTCATCTCTGATCGAATTCACCATTTCTCAAGGCTGCCTCAAACTCGCTAACGACTATTTTTCCTTAAGCATGCAACTGTATCAACACGATTCAACCGGATAGACAGAATTACTGTGGAATTTGTTTTTTTTTTTTTCGATTTGTGAGAAAACAAAAATATTATTGCAACAATGAAGTTAATTCTGTGCCAGGCATCTGTAATGGACAATAATATTTTTGTGAGGTGCTCAAAACACGGAAATTCTAGCTTTCTTTGGGGGTAAACATCGAAAATTCTGTTGAAGACGAGGGCAGAGCTTCTGTGGCGAAACCCGGAACAATGTCCGCAGACGCGTGAAATGAAATTTCTCTTTTTATTGGAGGAATTTCCCTAACTTTGGGAAGATTAGTCATGGAATACATGTTATCCATGTTTTTTTTTAAATTTAAAAATAGGTTTTTAATAGAAAATAAATATGGAGAGAAGCGAGCCATATAGATTTTTTTTCTTCATCGAGAAGCCATCCGTATACTATATCACATCACGAAGAGGAAGACAACATGGGCTGGACACGTTGCTAGAAGAACAGATTGAAGATGGACTACTCTTCTAACGGAGCGGCTGCCGTGGAATTGGATCCGGCCAAGAGGAAAGTCTCCCAGAGATGGTCGGACTCGCTTCGGAAGGAGATCACCACAAGAACAGCTGAACGAGCTGTTATCACCCCGTGGTCCACATAAATATGGCGAGAAGCGAGAAAAATCGAAAATGTGTTGAATTCGTCACCAAATCGCTGTGAAATTTTCATAATTATTATTACACAATGTCTGCGTCTCCGTTCACCGCACGTTCTCTCGTTGACTGTACTCTCTCGTCGCCTGAACTCTCTCTATTATAAGCACTATCTCAGTTACTAGATTTTGTACCAGTTTTTTCTCTAGAAATACGTCAACCCAGCATATAAAGGCGCGCTCTTTGTGCTTGATTTTTTCTGCTCCTCCAAGTTCAAAAAAAACTCTAATTACTCAATTACGTGCTGTCGCGGACCATGCCACTCCTCAACACCTCAACTCTTCTTATGCTCCATCTGAATTTATGCTTCGAAATAAGGGAATATCGCAAAACTCGGATTTGTGCGAGCCGGAGTCGAACCAGAATCGTAATATTAAGGTTGTGAAGCAGGGCTGTGCGGCAATCGGAAATTTCGGCAATTCGGCAATTCGGCAAATTGCCAAAAATAAAAATTTCGGCTATTAAATTTTTTCCACGATAATTCGAAATATAAATACCGAATTTTCACGGTATCCCAAATTATTCAATGGACATTTCTTTTTGTTTCGCCGATTTTTTTTTGACACCAAATTGCCGAAAATATAAATTTCGGCAAATTGCCGATCGAACGCTCTCTTCGGCAATTCGGCAATTCGGCAATTTGAAAAATCGGCAATTTCGGCAATCGGCAATTCCATTGCCGCACAGCCCTGTTGTGAAGCCGAAAAAGAAGGAATAATCGATTTTCAGCAAAATGCACACATCCCATTCATATTCGAGTCATTCTTTCCCGATGTCTTCGTCAAAACACTTCGCTTCGCCACCCTATCTCGACAAGCCCCGCCCACCATTCCTATAAAAGAACAAAATCACCGGCAACAATTCATTTTGACGCCACGCCTCACGTCGCGATGCAACAACGCCTATTTCTTAAAATGCTCGTGCACATCATTCTGCTCGTCTATCACATGGCGCCGATCAGTTCACGATGTGCGATGAGCGGCGAATGCGATCGACACACGAATCTCGCCGGCACTCCTCACGCCTACAGTGTGCCGCAAGGTTGCGATGATACCCAAAACGATCGATGATCGCTTTCGATTCCAGATCCATTGGACTACGTGCCTGCTTTGGGCTATGAGCAACTCTTCCGCTATTGCCCGTACCTCGACGGCTTTTCATCGCTGTGCTGCACACCGAATCAAGCGTCGGAACTTCACACTCAGTTGGGCGTCGTTAAATCGATAATCGGTCGCTGTCCGAGTTGTTTCTACAATTTCGCGCGCATCTGGTGCGATTTTGTGTGCTCGCCGAATCAATCCGATTTCATTTCGGTCAGTCAGTCGGCGCGAGTTTTTAGCACCTCGCCATCTTTCAGATGACGCACAACGTCGATCACGTCGACGGCCGATCGTGCGCCGACGTCGTCCGCTACAACATCTCGCGCGAGTTCGCCGAAGCCGCGTTCGATGCGTGCAAAGACGTGCGTCTGAGCAGCGACAAAGCCCTCGCTTTGATGATCGGCACCCGCAACATCACACTCGCCAACTTCTACAGTTTCATCGGTCGTCGAAACATCAACTATGGCGCCGTTCTTCAAATCAATTTCTCATTAACGGACACAGATGTAAGACGAGTCCCGATCTCCAATGATGGACAGCCAATCTTGCAATTCCAGCCACCGCCGTATCTCAAATGCTTCGAGCCGGCTGGTCCCGACGAGCCGGCGTGTAGTGTTCTCGATTGCAAAAAGAATCTCAATCAATCATTCTTCATCACTGCCGAACTTGGCGACGTGAGATTGCGTCTCCAGATTCCGTTGATGTTTGAATTTCAGCTCGACCTCTCGTCGGTCGGCTTCAACGATTTGTCGATCGACTGGTTTCTCAAAGCCGGCGCGTCAATCTTCTTCATCTTCATCGTACTCGTCTTCTTGAAAATCGTGCTACGCAAAACAAGCGTCAAAAAAAGGAAGAAGAAGAAGAAGAAGAAAAATGCGATTGGAATGAATTGCGACGAGCCGGCCGTCTTCGACGGATTTTGCAGATTCTTCTCATCGGTAATCGAAATTCATTGTCAGAGGGGAGTGGTGGGACCATTTTGCGAATTTCAGCTCGTAGCCCGTTTCCCGAAAATCCTAATGATGATTGGAGGCATCATCGCGATCATAGCCTGCCTCGGCAACATCTACTTCACACGACAGCTCGAGATCTCGGATGCCTGGTCGACGAACACCTCGACGACGCGGCTCAATCGTTTGGCGTTCGAGCGCCTCTTCGGAAAATTGATGCGATACGAGCAGATCATCATCAAAGCGTTCTCACGCGGCACCGAGGCGTTCTATTTGAGCGGCGGTATTTTCAAGGATCAAATTTATCGAGACGTCCTCAATCCTTCACATCTGCTTCTCCAATCACATTCCACATTTTCAGATGTTCGATTTGATTGAGCGCATTAAGAATCTGAAGACGAAGGAGCACGGAGTGACTCTTGGCGATATCTGCTATCGGCCATTCGGCGTCTCGCACGATTGCGTGATTATGAGCCCCACGAATTATTTCCAGGTTTTCCTTCTTCGTTTTTTCTTCTTGAATAACCCACCAACTTATCTTTTCAGAACAATTTGACCAAGTATGAGACGGCGCAGATTCTGAATGAGGATGACGACATCGACTTCTTCACCACTCTTCCGAAATGGAAGCATCTGGAGAATTGCATCTCGTGAGTTGGAAGATCATATCGCTAACGTTGATTATTCATTTAGGGAACCATTTATGACAAACACCAGCGTTGGCTACACATGCTTTGGAAGTTTCGGAGGGCCGATTGAGCCGAAATATGTGTTCAGCGATATTCCGGCGAGCGCGACGTCGCATTACAAGGTGACGACGACGACCTTCAACCATCTGCCCATGACACAGCTCATAGAATTGTTACAGTATGCTTTGGCGAATGTCGCGATTATCACAATTCCGGTGGTCGGCAACGCCGAACACGCTGTCGAATGGGAGGGCGCGTTCATCGAGACGATGCGCGCGTTCAACTCGTCGCTCGTCGACGTGAGCTTCATGGCCGAATCGTCGATAGGCGACGAATTGCGTCGCGAGGGCATCAACGACATACCGGTGGTTATCATCGCGTGCGCTTCGGTCTTGACTTGGCTGCTCGTCGCATTGGGATGTGGAGGAACCTCGACGATGACCCGTCTAGACTTACGATCGAAATGCACTCTTGGGTTTCTCACGATTTTCGCGAGTGTTGTCAGCGTTTGGTGGTATGTCGTTCGTCGAGAGTCGCCACCCATTGGCAGCCAGCCATCCAAATTGTTTGCAGCACAATCGGCGTCTTCTCGTTCAACAACGTCCACGCCGCCGACAATGTGATTCTGGTGATCTTCTTCGTTGTGACGTGCGTTGGCATCAACAAAATCTTTCTGACCGTTGGCAAATTCCAAGAGCAGACGATGTATGAGAAAATCTCGTTGTCAAATTTGAATCAACGCGTTTTTTCAGCATGTCGGACGACATCATCAAGAATCGGCTGATCCACGTGATGGCAGAAATGATTCCCGTGATTCTGACGACGTCACTTATCAGCTCGTTGTGCTTCCTTCTCGGCACCGGCGCGCCATTCCTTCCCATCGACATGCCATTGGTGGAGAACTTGGCGCGCCACATGAGCGTCGCCATCATCTTCGACATGATCTTCTACCATTTGGTGATTCTTCCAATCTTCTATATCGACACCATGAGAAGTTTTGTAAGAATAATCCCGTCGTTCTGACGATGGATATCTTCTTTTTTCCAGAAGACCAATGAGAGGCGCATGACGTTGTTGAGAGACTTGACCCCTGGAAACGATGCGACTGAGATTGGACGAATCGCGAGACTGGCGAGACTCATTCGCGCGACGATCCATTGGATATTGAGGAGCCCACGATTCCGCAGATTCTTGGTATTACCGTTCCATAAGTGAATCGTAATCAATCTGATTCCAGTGCGGCACCTACTTCCTCATCACCGCAGTATCAGCATGGCTCGCCTTTCAAGTGGAGCCCTCGTTCGATCAATCCTCGACATTCTCCTCATCCAGCTATCTCAGCAAATACTTCTCGTATCTCGACCACTACGGCCCCACTGGTCCGCAAGTCTACTTTGTCGTCGACGGCCTTCTCGATTGGTCCAATAGAACGATCCAGGTGAGATCCATTCTAATTCCATCCTCTCATGTGGCCTCGAATCGTTCAGAACCGTTTGTGCACCCTTCCCGGATGTTCGGACTACTCGATCGGCAACATTCTTGCTGGCTTCGGCGATCGCAACACGTCGCCATTAAGCGGCGACGTCACCAACTTCATCGACAACTATCTGCAATTCCTCTATCCGGACACCAGGTGTTGCCTCGTCAATGAGACCGACGGTTCGTATTGTATGCCAGGAGCGATAGATTGCGCGACGTGTTTGATCGCGAAGCATCCGACGTCCGATGAATTCCACGCCCACTTTCACCACTTCCTCAACGTCGTCCCGTCGAAACTCTGTCCGTTTGGGTAACCATGCTTGATCACGCGCTCTCAGTCGAACTCCAATTTTCAGCGGTCTTCCCGACGCTCCATCAATTTCTCTTGATGGCGACCTCATAAAGGGCGCTTACTTCATGACGTTCTTCAATAAGCTCGATCTCTCCAACACCACTTCGATGTACCGTGAGTCACCACTTCGTCGCTTACAGATCCGATTGAATCGATTGATTTAGGAGCGATGGCTTCGGCGAATCTTGTCGCCGACAAGCTTCAGCGAATCCTCAACGTCGACGGGGTGCGCGTGTTCGCCTACAGCAGCTTCTTCCCCTACTACGAGCAATTCATGACAACCGGCAGCACTCTGATATCGCTTCTTCTCATCGTCTTGCTCGTTCTTCTCATCACCGTCGCGATTTTCCACAAGGCCGGAATTTGCGGATGCGTGATTTCCGTCGTCGTCCTCTTCGGCTCATTCGTCCACCTCATTCTTTGGATGCACCTATTCGGAATCGGACTGAACGTTCTTTCGATCAACAACATTGCAATGGTTGGCGAGTGCGATTGCCAGAGATAATTTTCGTATAATTTCAGTCGCTGGGAATCGTCGTCGATATTATCATTCCCGTCCTTCACGCCTTCTACAATTCGCGGAAGACGCAAAGTCTCGATCGCGCCATTGAAGCCGTCGATATCGCTGGAGCGGCAGTAATAATCAAAAGACAATTCCGAATTCAAGTATTAATTCAGATTCTCTCTGGAATTATTGCAACGGTTCTCATTGGCACTGGCGTTCTGCTATTCGCTGGTTTGCCGATCTTGAAGGTTCGACGCCTCGAACGAATTTCTAAAGAAATTCCTCCTTTCCCGATTTTCAGATGTACTATTGTCATCAACTTCTTGGAATTTCCGCCGTTGGTACGATTAATGGCATCATTATTCTTCCGGCCCTTCTCAGTGAAACGCCGAATGTTGCGATCGCGTTCGAGGAGTTGTCGCACTCAGGCGTCAAGCTCATCGATGAGAACAGCGAGTCGAGCCAGCAATAATTGTATTCGATAATCAATCCATATTCATCTAATTAATCAAGTGTGAAATTTAATCTATTCTTTCTATTTATGATATCCGCAATTATTGATAAGTTGAATAAATTTAATAATCATTGTGATTGAGCTTTTATTTTTCCAGCCTGAATTATTTTGAAAAAGAGCAAACATTGAAGGACTTGGCACTGTCTATGAAATACTAATTTCATATGAATTGAGTTTTTAACTGATTATATTCAAGTTGGTATATAAGAAATTTAATTTTTTTCAGTTCAAATTTCTATTCTTCGTTATTAATTCATTGCACCGCAAAAGCGCCCAGCTAGTGAGGTTGGCGCATTTGTAGTTCAATCGTTGACTCAAAATGTGATATTTTAAATTTTTCTTCAAATTTCGATTTTTCTGTTTAGTTTGCGTCCAATTGTGATGTTTTATATGAAATATAAATATTATTAGATTTATTATGAGCATGGAATGGACGAAAAAACGGAAGAAACCGACTGCGGATGAAGAAGCGGAATTAAACGACGCTCTTCTAGAATTTCAAGCAGACTTTGGGCAGACCTCAGCTGTCGCTAGTGGTCCGAAAACGTTTGTTCGTGGCGATGTTGTGGAAGGAAATAAGAAAAGTAATTTTAATACAATTTTATTTGGGGAAATTTATTTTTCAGTTGCTGACACTTCCGGAAGTCTCTATGTCCCAAAAGTTTCAATAAATCTTTCAAAAACATCAAATGTTGGATCAAAAGATTTCGATGAAGCTCGAAAATTGGCGGCGGCAAAAGCTCGCCGAATGCTTGAAGATGCGGCTCGTACGAAAAACTTGAATGTCGTGCCGAAGGTCGTGGTCCCTTCATCGAAGCCGCTAAGCCGTCCACCGAAGCCGGGATCATTGAAAGCAAAACAGGACAAACCGAAAATGAGCAATCTGGAAATGTTCAAGCAGGAGTTGCAGAGAGTTCAAGAAGATCGAGAAAAACGAAAAGATCTTCGTGATCAGTTGGAAAAGGTTGGAATGGATGTGTCAGTGGTGAATCGGCTCGCACCGAAGCTGAATACGCCATTCACCGGATTCTGTAGCGGCGATTTCGATAACGATCCCTATACCACAAATCTATATGTTTCCAATGTTCCGCATAATGTCACTGAAGAGGATCTCCTATTCACTTTCGGATCTTTCGGACCACTGGCGGCGTTGAAAATTCTGTATCCAAGGAATGAGGAGGAGCGAAGAAGGCCACATATCTGCGCGTTTGTCGCTTACATGTATCAATTTGTATAAAACATTGGGAAAAAAACTTATAATTTTCAGGTCTCGCGACGATTTAGATCGATTTACGTCAGAAGTAAAGCTGATGATTATTCGAGACGAGCCGATCCGATTTTCGTACGCCCGACCAGTGGTAATTCCGCCGACACCGTACTACATCCCCCCGCAATTATTGCAACTTCAATGCCCGGACCCACTGTCCGGTTTGCCGTTCAACGCGCAACCCGTGAAAAAAGACGCCGACGAATTTTTGAAGAAATATAAAACATTTCCGCCGATTAATATGCTTCCAAATAAGGATCATCCCGCTTTTGAGGACTATATGAATGTAATTTCTCGACAATTTGTATAATTTTGAAGGATGAACTTGTTCAGCTTATTCGGAATGCGGTGATCCGCGTTGTGATTCCGCCGGACCGCGCGACACTACGCCTTATCAATCGCACGGCGATTTTTGTCGTCACCGAGGGCTCACATTTCGAGGCGATGATTTGCTCTCGGGAATTTCAAAATCCCGCGTTTCAGTGTGTTATTCGCACCAATGTTTTGAGTGATGTCTGGAAATTCCAGATTCCTTTGGGATAACACTAGCGCGTGCCATGTCTATTATCGCTGGCGGATCTATTCGCTTCTACAAGGCGATTCGCCGCACGAGTGGCGTCGCGAGAAGTTCCGGATGTTCGAGAACGGCTCGTGGTGGATTCCGCCGTTTTCGACCGCCGAACTCAACAAATCGATGCCAAAATGTTTGCACGAATCGAATTGTGTGAAAACGCATCCGGAGAGATGGCTCAAAGTCAAAAATGTGAAAGTGGTGAGCGCGAAAATGGAAAACGATAATTATTTTGGACCCCGCGATATTGTTTTAGGGACGCGAAGTGACGCCGGAACGCGGCGGCGGCGGCTCTGGCAGTCGACGACGTGAAGCCGCTGAAAGAATGGAGAAGCAGCTTCAGGCGGAAGAAGAGGCTCGAAAAGCGGCGCGAAAAGAGCGAATGTCGAGCAAGAAGCGCGATAAGCTGGAAAAAATGCTACGTGAGCTCACACCCGAACAATTGTCGGTTGGTGAAACGATGGTTTGGTGTGTTGAGAATGCGGTGCATTCGAAGGAGATTTGCGAATGCATTTTTGAGAGCCTGACGTTTGATGAAACGCCGTTGCACAAGAAAATTGCTAGGTTTTTTTTCTTGAAATTTTTTTCCGTTTCATTAATTCACCAATTTTTAAGGGTCTATCTTATAAATGATATATTGGCGAATTGTGTTCAACGATCGGTTCGAGACGTTTCGTATTATCGAAGTCATTTCGAGAATCTTCTGGAAAAAGTATGAGATTGTTTATTGTTTTGCGCAAAAAAAACAATTGATCTCAGATTTTTGCGACTCTTGGCAAGACTTATAAGAATATCGCGTCGAGAATCAAGCAGGAGCAATTCAAGCAGAGAATCATGAACGTGTTCCGTCATTGGGAGGAGACGGCGCTTTATCCGGTTGATCGGCTCATTCATAACCAGAACATATTTTTGGGATTGGTTGAAATTTCGCCTGAGCGAAAAAGTGCGAATGAGCCGAAGGCGGAGGAGGAAGAGGAGGAGGAGGATTTGGACGGAATGCCGATTGACGAATCGATTATTCCGACGTCGTCGTCGGCGATCAATGTTGATGATTATGATGAGAATATCGATGGAATTCCGCTGGACAATGTGCCGGAAATTGACGTGAAGCCGACGTTTTCCAGAAATTTCAAGCCGGTTTTACAGCAAGCTTCACCGGTGGTACGATTTTTGTGCATTTTTTTTAAAATTTGTTGTCGGTCTAACCGCGAATTATCAATGTTTTTAGAGAAAAACGTCGCCATTGTTCGCATCGAAATGGGATGATTTGAATTTGGCGCGAAAATCGGCTGAAGAGGATGAAGATGACATTGATGGGATTGCGATAGGCGAGCCGGAAAATCGCAGTGGTAGCTTGTCGCCGGGAGAAATTAAAGATGACTCTAAAAGGTTGGACGAAATTTTAGAGTTTTTCGAAATTTTGCGGTATTCCAGAAGTTCGTCGTCGTCGCATCACGATGATGAGAAGCGTAGGAAGCTGATACGCGATGTTGAAGTGCGAGCGATGACGATGCTTGATGATCTTGAAGCTGATAGGGATCCGCGTGCTAAGCAGAAGGTTGACGCTTTTCGAAAAGCGGAAATGGAAAAAGTTGAAAAGTTGTTAAAAGAGGAGACGGAGAAGCGCAAAGATCGAAGATCGAGTAGGAAGGAGAGGAGAAGGAGCAGGTTTGGTGTTTTTTTTTTCAAAGATTTCTAGTTTTTTATTTAAATAATTTTTTTAGAAGTCGGACGAGATCACGAAGTAGATCCAGGGATCGCCGGGATCGAGATCGACGGGATCGCGAGAGAAAACGAGACAGGTAGGCTGAAATAGAAAATTTGTAAATTAAATGATTGATTTCAATTTTTCTCGCCAATGAAATAAACCTTACTTTGTTTCAAGAGTTGAGTTTTTGCTAATCGATTCCTCATATTTTAGATCCTCAGATCGCAATCGGGATCGAGATCGAAGGCATCGAAATTGATTTTTGTTTTGCCCTTTGTAATTTATTAAAAGAATTCTATGATTTGTTATTGAATAAATGTGGCTATTCAATATTTTCGGAACGCAAATCAATCAATTGACAAAACGAAAAACATATGTGAAGTAGCAAAATGGATGACAGCTATGCGAACTAAACACTTGTATGATTTATTGGAAAATTGGGGAGCAGAGTTGCTTGGAGAAAAAAGAAATACTAAAAAAAAATCGAATTTGAACGAATGTGTGTGATTTTTCGTCATTTACTACACCCTCTATCGAGCTACAGTAACCAAAACCAAGAAATGGTTTGGTGGTGTGAATTTGCGGCAAGGGCTATACACAGTTTTCTCTTTTACAGTACCCTTGGAAAGAAAATGCATAAATTTTTAAATGATTTTGCTGCTATTCTCTCTTATCTTTTCAACTTTTTTTTGCTGAAAATCCCTGTCACGACAATTAGGCGATTTTGAGTGTTGCTGCCGCAGGAAATGTGCACACATTTTGATGACACCCGCCAATAAATCTAAAATCTCGTTGGGTCGTCAGCGACGAAGAGCGGCGCACCGCCAATAAATCGATCGTAAAGTTTTGGCAGCAACGGCGACGACTACGGTAGTGAGCACACGGCGGAAGGGTGGGTTGGACGTCTGGTGGGCGTTGTCTTCACAAAATTCGGTACCATATGCGAGAACATGTGGAAATCGTCGCAGTTTTTCCGCGAGCCCGTCGTCGATCTGCAATTATGTGCGATTTCTCGATCGAGGCGATTCTCGCGAAGCCGACACGCAACGCACCGTGGACATTTGAGGATGACGGCGACATTTCGAATTGCGATCCGTCCGGCGTTCACGTTCTTCTGCAGACGTCCGGATTGTGGCGACGATTCCACGCGTTGGGCACCGAGATGATTGTCACCAAGAGTGGAAGGTTTGCGGCGGAAGATCTCTGGTAACTCAAAACCAATCGGATCCGACAAATTTCGGCTCCGAAATTAACCTTATCCGATTAGATTTTCTTCGTATCCGATTGGTAATTATTCGAATCCGTTTTGTTTTAATATTTCAATTCGAATCGGATTCGACAAAAAAATCAATCTTATCCGTAGAATTACCAATCGGATAAGGTTAATTTCGGAGTCGAATTTTGTCGGATCCGATTGGTTTTGAGTTACCAGAGATTTTCAATTCGATATTTTAAAAGCAATATTTGAATTCATTATTTTTAGACGAATGTTTCCAACACTTTCCATTATCATCAATGGGCTCGATCCTCTCAAGAGCTATGTGATCATGGTGGACTTGGAATGTATTGAACAGAAGAGGTTTCGATACTCGTTCCATCAAAGCAAGTGGATCGCGACAGGACCCGGTAGGCGTTTTTACATTGATGATTATTCTTGAACATTTTTCTGAAGCTCTCAGATGAAAATGCACACCTTTTTGTTAAAAGTCAATATTTTGTGCAAACACGCTGAATTAACTCTGCGTACTTGCATTTTAATCAACGCATAAATATCTCAAAATGCGACGAATGTCGTTGCTTCGAATTTCGTTCAGCGTAGGTGCAAAATGTCAAAGAATCCGTGCTCATATTTAAAGGCGCATGCTAGAATAAAACGCATCGAGACGAAATTTCAAGACATTCTGAAGCGGTGTTTCAGGTGAGAGCGAACTTCCCAGCAGAATGTTCGTCCACCCAGATAGTCCTTCAAGCGGTGCTCACTGGATGCGAGCCCCGGTGAGCTTTGACAAAATGAAGCTCACCAACAATCAATTGGATAATAATGGACACGTAGGCCGCTTTTCGTCCATTCGATTTTTTTCTGGTCCTTGTTTTTTCAGATAATTGTAAACTCGATGCACAAGTACCGCCCACGTGTGCACATCATCGACCAATCCACCAATCGGACGCACGTTTTCGCGTTTGACGAGACCGAATTCATCGCGGTGACTGCTTATCAGAACCATCGGATCACCTCGCTGAAAATCGAGTCGAATCCGTTCGCCAAAGGATTTCGCGAATGCGAAGTTCAGGAGGCGAAATTGACGTCGGTTCAATCGATTTTTCCGTTCATTTACCCATTTTTGCTTCCAAATTTGAATTCGAATAAGTAGTTGCTTGATTTTTTCACTTTCATTAAAGCCTTGAAATAAATTTTCAATTTTTTGTAAGTTAACAAAAAATTGCAAAATTAACAGGCTCCGCCCATTTTATGTATTATGTCATCGTTAATGCCAATATATATTTGTTAAAAGCTAGAAAATTGAAATAAATTTTTTCAGTCTTTTCAGAAAGAAACAATGTTTGTCGTAATTTATAATGTATGTCTGCAACTTGAAAGGATGCGTGTTTGCACAAATATCGTCGCTTATTTTTTATTTATTTAAACTTACATTAGCTTTTTATTTTTATATTAAATTGACCAGGTAAATTTTTTTTGCATTTTTCAATCTTAAGAATAAAAAAATTCAGATAAAATGATGTTCAATGATATTTTTTCACAATTGAGCGAGGATGACAGCGACGATTTAACATTTGCTAATGAGATTCCAATAAATTCCAAAGAAGAGATTGTAGAAACTAGCCCGTCATGTAGTTCTGTTCGATTTATGATGAATCCAGGTAACAAAATGGTTTTATATGGAAATAAATTGATTTTCAGTTCGAATAGGAATTGAGCAGCCACCGCCAAACCTGAGGCCAAACCCAATTGCATATCCGGTGAAATGCTTCAAGCGCGATACGTCAAACTGCAAAATTTGGCGTGCAAGTCGGCCTAGAAGTAATCAAACGATGTCAAGTCACGCAATGACCACCTATAGTAGCGAAAAAGTCGTTCGATTTTGATAATTGGATCCGAATTTCAGATCGAGTAAAAAAAATAATGCATTCGGATAATGTAAACGTGATAAGTCTTGGTAAAGAAGTGGCGCACGGTGTCAAAACTCGGGTAATGACATATGCGAGGAGTACGGATGTGAGAAATAGTCCAAAAATAAAATAATTTTTCCAAATAATTTTTCAGAGAAGCTTAATCAAAGCCGCTGAAAATAGCCATTCACTTATCGATATGAACGCTCTTGTAAATTCGTTGGATTGCCCTGGCTACTCAATTGGATACGGTTACGCAATTCTAGGAAATTGTTTAATGGTCTAATATCATTTTTGCGAATTTTCCATAATTTTCCGATATTTCAGTGGGATTTATTGAAAAATGAAATGCAAAACGTGAACCAGACAATGTCGCGATGTCAAAGTCAGAGCTTCATTCTACCGGAACACTTGAGCGCCATTGAATTGTGCTTGAGCAATTTGGACGATGATCATTCGCAATATTACACCCCGGAAATTGAGCCGTTCATTTCTGTGTGCCTTCGGACCACATTTGAGAGTCTCGAATTCAAGGATGACATGAAATTGTTGAATAAAGCCAAACTTTTTCTTAAAACATATTTTAAAAAGGTTTTCTTGATTTGGCGCCCAATTTGAAATATTTGTTGATTTTTTTTAGGCGTGCCGCCCGCGATTCCTTATATGGCGATATACACTTCGTCGGACTAAAACCACTCACAAGAAGACTATCGAAGACTTGCCGCCCGAAATTCTCCAAACTATTTTAAGTGCGAAAATTTGCTTTTCAATTTTACACTTTAAAATTCCAGAATTTTTCATTGATTTATCCGGATTGGGACGATTTGAGAAGCCTTTTGCCGAAGTTGATAAAAACCACGAGTAATTGGTCTCCATTAATTAGTCATTCGTTTTTCATTGTTGCAGTTTTTATTATACCCTCGGCGATACTGATGAAATCCGCTGCCTCACATACGTGCGCGTTCGCGAAATGCGCGACTCGCTCGTTCAATTCTTCAAAGAAGCCATAATTGATGTGCTGTGAGTGCATAATTAGCTAATTACCATCTAATTATGTGTTTTGTTTTTTTTTAGGAATGAGATTCGAGAAATGCCGTTCTGCCCGAAACTCGGCATAATGTTTGTGGCCCAAAAAATTTACCAACAAAAATCTTTTTTTTTTTCGAAATTTTCAGACGACATTTACAGCGAAGCGCTGAAAAAGAGAATATGGTGACGTGGAAGACGTATGAGAAGCTGATTCGGAACGAAATAGAAGATCCGAGACCGGAGAATGTTCACGCGAGGGTGGCGTTTGAGTATGCTAATTTTTTTGTGAATCTTTTGAAGCAAAAAAGTAACTTTTGAAGGAATAAACTCGACGATCCGGAAAACGAAGAACCGGTCTAGGTCAGGCCGCAATATTTGCTCATTTTGACCTCTTAAGTCAATAAAATATCGACGCTCAAACTTTTTTTTTGTTTCGTTCCTCAAATCTTATTTTGGGTTATTCCCTGACATTATTTGAAAAAGAAATTTCAAAGGAAACACTCAAATTTGTTGTTTCCAGATTATGCTCAATTTTTGCGTTTTTGTTAGTTTATTTATTGTTTCGTCGATTTCTGCGGGTCCGGCGTCGTCTTACGAGTGTGGAGGTTCGGTTGATTTAGAGAAAAAGAAAACTGTCAAGACCCAATTTCTCATTTCTAGCATGCTCCTTATTAATTGCGCAATTTGAGCACAAAATTGCTGGCGTTGATTCGAAGAAGAAAATCCACGTGGGAAGTTTTCGCGTGAGCCCCGATGGCAATCAGAAGGGGCTTAAAGAGGTGTGCGATTGCGCATCGCGGTGATTGCACTGAAACAACGATTGATTGCAGATTCAATACTCGAGAAGTGAAACGCATTTGTCGGAGGTTTTGGAAAGCGTTTGCGATGAAGCGAAGAACTACAAATTAGTGGTACCCGATCGAGTGTGATTCATTGCTAATTGCTCGTCCGAATTAAGGTGAACCCGAATACGGGAAAAGCCGTGTTTGTGCACAAAGACAGCACGTATCTGAAAGGGGACGAGTCGAGTCGAACTCGCGCGAAACTTCAAGGAGCCTGCAATGATTTTGTCGATTCGCACGAGGATGAGATTATGCGATTTTTGAAGCATGAGCACCCGCAACCGGTGTTCGAGTTTTGCCATCAACAAATTTGTGAGAATTGCTTTTTTTTTTGAATTATATTAATGATGAAGTTTTCAGCGGTTTGCACTTCTGTCGATCTTGCTCCTCTTCCAGAGAATGAGCCGAAACAAGAGGAAGCAATGACTTTGGATGATATTCCTGACGATGAAGTCGATAGAGAATTATAAGCGTGTTTAAAATAAATATTTATTTGTCTTTTTATTTTGTGGTTTTTTTTGTTTTTTTTTTTCACAAAAAGCCTAGAAATTGCTATTTTTTTCTTCAAAATAATACCCCGTTGAAAATTTTGAAAAATTGCTAGAATGGAGGATATTCGGCCGATTGGAGGATTGGAGGAGCTTTTGAGGTGGACGAAACCTGAAACGCCGTTTAAAACTGAGCCATTGGGAAATTATAAGTGAAGAAAATATAATTATCAAAAAGAAAAATTATTTTTGAAATAATTTAGAAGGAAAAATGGCGCTGAGGTTTTGCTTTGTCATGATATGATGGGAGGGTATTTGGATGAAGAAAAGTTTGTTTTTTTTTTCCTAAAAAGCGAGATAGTTTTTTTTATTTTGATGATTTTTTTTAGAAATGACGGAAAAGTGTATGAAGCTGATGAGTATCCGTATATATTCCTTAATTGGTGGAATATTGATATTTTCAATTATTTTTCGCACAATTTTGTGACAATTCCTCCAGAAGGCTACACGAAAATCGCCCATCAGCATGGTTGTTTTTTTTTTTTTTGAAGAAATGTTGAAATCGAATTTTGATGCAGGCGTTCTTTCTCTTGGGACATTCATCACTGAATGGACGGGCGGCGCTTTAATTTGCCACGAGATTTTGAACAACGAGGAGATTCTTGAAAAAGTCGCCGATGCTCTTGTGCAAATCGCTGATTATTATGGATTCGATGGATATTTGATAAATGTTGAAAATCCGGTGTCGGTAAAAATTTTAAATTGATTTTTTTTGGCTCGTGTGTACTGTAATGGCACAATGCGTGTGCGCTTGCTGTTACGCAAAAATGCAGACACAATTTTCGAATTTTTCAGCCAGTTGGAGTTTACAATCTTTTGTATTTTCTTCAACTTCTTACATCGAAAATTCATGCTTCGAATGAAAATTCGAGAATTATTTGGTACGATTCGGTTTTGACCAATGGAAAACTGCACTGGCAAAATGCGCTTAACGAGCATAACAGGTGAAATGACCAAAAAACGCCAATAATATGAATTTTCAATGAAATATTTATTTTCAGTGAATTTTATAATGCCTGCGATGGAATTTACTTGAATTATAATTGGAATTATCAAAATCTTCTCGACTCCGCCGATTATGGGCGAATTGAGAAAATTTTTGTGGGAATCGACGTATTTGGTCGTGGATGCGTTGGTAGAAGAGAAAAAAAAACCAAAATACTGCTAATGGAAAGGTAATTTAAGCGCGTTTATTTTTCAGGCGGCTTTAATTGTTATAAATCATTTGCTGAAGCGAAATTGTTGAGAATGTCGATTGCGCTTTTCGCGCCTGGTTGGATTCATGAGAAATTCCCGAAAACCAATCAGATCACCATGGGTATTGGGTAGGAAATTCGAATTGGCCGCCAATTATTTTTGAACACAGCTTCTGGCAACGATTATATCCCTATATTTCGACTAGAAAACTAACAAATGCCAATTTTAAAACAGATTTTTGCTGTGGGATGACGATTGAGTCGGAAAATGTGAGCTCTTCCTATTTATTTTTGTTCTCTGAAAATTTTTTGAAAATATTGCAGACGTGGCGATTCCGACTTCAAGACATTGCAATTCAGCCGCAATGTCTTAACAAATTTTGCTATTATGCGGTTGGCGAGGGTCTTAAATTCACACAACCCGGATCTTATGATATTTTCAATTTTGATGATTTACAATTAAGAAATCTCAAAGTTATTTGCGATCTCGAAATTTCGATTAATCGAAATCCCGCCGAAAAATGCGATTCCAATTATTATTTCGCCGCAAATCTCACCCTTCAATCAATTCAAATTATCATCAAAACGCCAACCGTTTTGAAATCGTTCGAGATTATTTCCGAATAAACAATGACCATTTATCCGTATCAGTAAATTAAAAATAATTGATTCAACATGAAAGCGAAGACCGGTGAAAACGAAGCGACTAATAATAGGGGGGGGGGGGTGGGGTTCTATGAAAATATTTACAAAAAATGAATCGGTTGGTCCCTAACCGATGGCGGATGAGTAAATACATAAGTGAAAATATAGAAATTCATTTTTTGACATCCTGAGTGGCGAAGAATGGCTTCGAATCTCTGAAATTGCGAAATTCTCTTTGAATTCTCAATCAATTTTTCTTACGGGTTGAGCAATGTGTGACACACGTGGCACACGTTCGCCGGCCTTTGATTCGGACCACTTTTGACGACTTGATTCAAGCAATTAGTGCAGAATATTTTTCCGCAATGCATACAGTGTGGCCTTGGCTTCAATTTTACAACAGATGTCTCACATCCTGTGCATTTTTCAACGTCCTCGTCCCATTGCCATCGAACCTCCTTTAAATGAGTATACTTTATAACTACGAAGTTGTAGGACCGCGGAAAATTGGCTAAATGCCCACAAAGACTTCTACTCTAATTTTTCTGGTATTTCACGACGCCGACAATAAATATTTAGACTTGTTGAATATTTAAATTTCCGCCTTTTCGATACACGCTTACCTGCTCGGATTGTCGAATCTTCTCCAATTCGATTTGTAGACTTTGCGAAAGTTTCACAAAATCTTTTTGCACAATTTCGGACGTCTCGAGCTCGTTTTGAAGATTCGCGCAGCGTTGCTTGTAGTTTTGCGCGGTCATCTCGACAGCGGCTCTCTCGTTCTGCACTTGCTTCACCTGGTCCTCCAGCTCGCCGATCGTCGTTTGCAAATCGTGAATTTGTCGACGCATGGCGTCATGTTGGGCGAGAGCGTTCGCCGTTGACGAGATCTGAACAAAATTGTTCAATTTTTGGGTTTTCTTTTTTTTTTAAATTAACCTTGCTATTCGCCACTCCCAAACTCGTCTGAAGTCCATTGATCTGCTCCATGTAATCTCTATCGCTCGCCTGTCGAGCAGCTCGCTCCTCTTTTAGCTGTTCTCTAGAGAGAGAGAGAGAGAGAAATGAATTATTGATTCCAATTTTCAAGGCGCCTACCGTAACATTGCCACTTCATCGGTCAACGTCTGCTCGAGATGCTCTTTCGCCGATTTCTCCTGAATCAGCTCTTCTCGCGTTTTCAGACAAATGAATTGAAGCTGCTCAACGTCGGCGGGCAGCTCGATCTCCTCGGTGCTCATTTGGTTCGCCGATTTTTTGTTGACGCCCAACAATTTTTGGTATTTCTCGAAGAACTCGGCGAACTCGCACTCGCGATCTTTTATTGTTAAATGCGCGTTGTTGAGTTGATCGGTGAACGCTTCAACGGCTTTCTCGTGCTGAAAATATTGTGTTTTTATTGAAAATTCTGTTATTTGGCTGATAATTGCTATTTACTTTGGCTTTTAATTCGCTCAACTTTTGCTCCAACTGGAAATTGAGCTTGACCGCCTCATTGACTTTATCGTTGGTTTGTGCGGATAGCTGAATGAAAGAATTGTAGCAATAAATATTATACGAAACACCCCACTTCCGACATTTTTCTCTCCATCTCTTTTCGATATTCGCGCTCTTTTGATAAATCCGATTCATAGCGTTCGGTTAATTGTCGAGCCGCATTTAATTCCTCCTTGATTTTTCTCTCATCGTTCTGCAATTAAAAATTTAGTATGAGTTTGTCAAAAAAAAAATAATTGCCCACCTGAAGATTTGTTAAATTGATCTCATAATTTTGGCACATTTCACATGATAGCGCTGGATTTGGCGATTTTCCAATCGGAACATCCTCAAATAAGCATATTCGATTTTAAAGTCATTCTTTGAAATTTTAAACTTACCGCTTCGGTTTCGGTTTGTGACATTAGACGAAAGGAATTTTTTGCTGCAATTTGCGATATTATTGGCAAAATGATACGCCGGGCGAGAATTGGAGAAGCAAGCGATGGCCTAGTTTTTGAAATCCAGCCACGGGGATGGCATTTAGGTGCAATAATATCGTTTGTTGTAAATTCCGAAATTTTAACTTGAAATTTGAAAATTTGTGAAAATTCGTGCGCGATATTGCATAAAACCATGCGTTAATTGCAAACAATTTTTAATTTTAATTTCTTGGCACCGCCCATTTTTATCAGTCCCACAGTTTTCTGCTCAACTTTCGTGTTTTTTCCAACTTCTTTAACCATTTTTGATAATTTTGGGTTCGAAATTATTTTGTATATACATATATGGAATTTAAAAAAGGCTTCTCCCCACAATTATTTATCAGCGTTATCAATTCCAATAAAATTACAAATTGTTGCAAATTTGAAGCATTGTTTGCAGATCCAACTATTCTGCTGATTCAGTAACCTTGATAACCCACTTATCACCGCCAACCGCATTTGTTTGCATTGGTTCCAACTACTTGTTTTATGGCCAAATTAAAAATTCGAGCAAATTTAAATGAGGTCCGCAATTTTTGGTTGTTATCTCATAGTTCCAAGTCACCTATAAAACGCGACGAAGAATTGTTTCGTTATCGACTCGTCGCGATGAAATATCAAAGCTCATCGAAAAATTCTCGCAAACTCTCGCAGCGCTTAAAAGCAATCTGCCGTTGTGTTGTTCCCTGTACCGCCACTGATTATTCATCATCGTATTGTAAATCAAAGGTGCTTGCTTGTAAATTTCTTGCCCCTTGATAATTTTGCGTTCAATTCTCTCCGCAATTGGCAGCACTACCCGAGGATTTCTCAATTTTCCAGATGGCGCTGAAACCCTCTTCCCCGGAAATCATCAAGGCTGCTCAAGAGTTTGTGTCCTACTTGAACAAGGCAGTTACACCATTCCATGGTAAAATTCCAGTAGCTATTCCAAAAATAATCTTCAACGTGATTTTTATCTATTGATAAGATGGGAAAATTCATTTCAATGATACCGATAATGAAACTGGTTTAATTTCAGCGGTTCAAGAAGTCAAGAAGCGTCTGGTGAACGCTGGATTCCAGGAGCTGCCTGAATCAGGAAGCTGGAATATTCAGCCGAAAAATAAGTATTTTGTCACCAAGTATGTAAAAAAAAATTGGGCAAAACTCTTGAAATGTTGTTTTTCAGAAATCGATCGGCAATCCTTGCATTCGCTGTTGGCGGTGGCTACAAACCGGGCAATGGATTCTCGATCGTCGTCGGCCACACAGACAGTCCGTGCCTTCGCGTGAAGCCGATCTCAAAGCAGAAGGGCGAGAAGTTTTTGCAAGTCGGTGTTACCACCTACGGCGGCGGCATCTGGAGAACCTGGTTTGATCGTGACCTCTCGGTCGCCGGTCTTGTTGTTGTCAGAAGCGACAAGGGATTGACGCACAAGTTGATCGACGTGAAGAAGCCGATCCTGTTTGTGCCGAACTTGGCGATTCACTTGGAAACCGATCGCGCCACGTTCAAGCCGAACCTTGAAGTTGAAATTCGACCGATTCTTGAGACGTTCGTCGCCGCTGAGATCAACGCGTGCAAGAAAGAATGCAATTCGGATGAGCCGACCGATCCGAGATCTGTCGTCAACTGCCATCATCCGCAATTCTTGGAGATCATTGCTAAAGAAGCGGGATGCAAACCCGAAGAAATTGTGGATTTGGATTTGTATCTTTATGACGTCAATCCAGCGGTATGATTAAGATTTGACAGAATGCAATGAAGGTTTTCAGGCGATTGTTGGAGCGAAGGAGGAGTTCATCGCCGGCGCTCGACTCGACAATCAAGTGGGAACCTATACCGCGGTCACCGGCCTTCTCGAGTCGCTTGCCGACGACAGTTGGCTGACGGACGCGCAGGTCAGAATTGCCGCCTGCTACGATAACGAGGAGGTTGGATCGGCGTCGGCTCAAGGGGCTGGATCCTCGTTCACCGAGTACGTGATGCGCCGATTGGCTGCCGGAGGTTTGCGTTGATCATTTCGCACTTATTTCAAATCGAACTTGATTAGGATCGAGTACGGCGTTTGAGGAAGCGATCGGCAAGAGTTTGTTGGTGTCTGCCGATCAGGCGCATGCGGCTCATCCGAATTATCCAGCCAAGCATGAGGTAGGAATACTTAAAGGGATTATTCTGACACGATCGGATACTCCAGGAAAACCATCGTCCTGCATTCCATGGTGGAATCGTCGTCAAGGTCAATGTGAATCAGAGATACGCGACAACCTCGACGACCCATTCTGTTTTGAAGCAAGTCGCCTTAGAAGCTCAGGTGCCGCTTCAGGTTGGTCAATAAAAATAAGCATTGTTCAAACTCTCAATTTTTAGATCAACGTCGTCCGAAATGACTCTCCTTGTGGATCTACTGTTGGTCCGATCCTCTCAACTCGCCTTGGACTTCAGACTGTTGATGTTGGAGGCGCTCAACTCGCCATGCATTCAATCAGGTGCCGAATGTACCAACAAATTGATTGATTTGTTTATTTTTCAGAGAATTCGCCGACACTTCCGGTATCTACCATGCTACGAAGCTCTACGCGGTAAGAATCGATTCCAGCCATCCAACCTGTTTCCAAACACATTTTTTGTTGCAGAAATTCTTCCAACGCCTTCCGGCAATTTTGGACAGCATGGAATAGATGTGATAGATATTTATTGCATACGCGCTCAAACATATATATTTAACCAATGTGATAAAATTTAATTCTGTCCTGGCAACGGATTGACAATTTGAATCTGAATATGTGGTATTTGTTTGAATTTTAAAGTGAATAAGTGAATAACCTTCGAGGTGATTGATGGCTGAATTCCGACGGACGTGGTTAGGAAGTAGAATGCGGCTTCGGTGCTTTCTTTGACAACATTCCCGTTTCGATAGCCGTGACCCTCGCCGTCGAACAACATGAGAGCGGTTGTGATGCCGCGGTTGCGCAACTTCTCATACATGCTCACCGATTGCTGCATCGGAACAACGGTATCATCTTTGCCGTGCGTGAACGCCACCGGCACGTTGATCTTCTCGATATGATTGATCGGGTTACGCTGTCGGTAGACCTCAGCGTCTTTGCCAAGGAGAATTTGATTGTAGCACTTTTCGAATTTGTGCGTGTCCTCGTCGAGCGCTGCAAAAAAAATTGACGAAATTGAAATAACGATTCGAATTTGACGAAATTGCCTTGAAGATCGGCGACACCGTAATGAGAAACGGCGGCTTTGATCACATTTTCCGGCGAGATCAAACAGCTGAGCAACAAAAATCTGCAAAAAGTGGATCATCAGCGTGTTGACTGATCGTGTCATCGATTACCCTCCCGACGAGCTGCCCATCATCAGAATTTTGTTCTCGTCGACTCGTCCTTGTTCGATTAGTGTTTTCGCGCCATTCAGAATGTCGTTGCGATCGGCGATGCCGTAGTTTTCGTAAAGTCTAGATTTGGTGAATTTTGGTAAGGGTGGTGAAAAAACGAAACAAATTGCGTTACGATCGTCGAAATTCGCGTCCGAAGCCGGTCGATCCGCGATAGTTCACGTCGAATACGGCAATTCCGCGTGACGTGAAGAACTGCTTCTTCATATCGAGACAATTCTGCGCGATCGCTGTCGGCCCGCCGTGTCCGATGAGCAGAACGGGCGGCAGAGTGCCGGCAGGCGCCGCGTACTGCGAATTCTGAAAACCGTCTCATTCAACATTCGTTTTCTTTTTGCCTTCAGAACAACAACCACCACCTTTGGCGGATAGAAGTGTCCGTAGACGTCGACGCCGTCGGACTCGAAGCATATTTCTTCGGGCGTCGAGATGTCCAATTTCTCGATGTCGTTGGCGGCGCGCGCCTCGCGAATCACATGCATCGGATAGGAGGGATTCGATAAACGCACGACGATGATGGACGACGAGCGTTTCGGTCCCGACGCGATGCACACGATATAATCGTTGAAAATTGAGATGTGCGAGAAGACGGTGTAGCCGGGCGTCGGAATCTCGTGAATCTCATCGTCTTTGCGCATATGAAGGCGATCGCCGACGATCATCGCCTAAAGACGATTTTGAATTCGGCAATCGCGTCGAGCGATTCGTTTACCATAACATTCGAACGAGCATTATAGGCATAATTGCGGAAGCCCAATTGCCATAGCGGATAGCCGATTTCGCGATCGATCGGATTAAGGTTGTACATGGCTTCTGGAATTTTTGTCAAATTTCGAAAAATCGTTTGTTTTTAAACGAACGCCTTCTAATGTGATATTTGTAGACGTTCCAGAATCCCGACTCATCGCTTATCAAATTAATCGTGTCTTCATCAATCCACGACGGCTCGGAATAATTGATCGTTTTGTCGACACCGGAAAACAATACGCGATAATTCAACGCGCCGCCCTCGTCGTCGAGATCGGCAACACAAATTGACGTCTCGTCCCACGGCATGTTCGGCCTGTTCCATTCCATCCACACCAAACGGTTGCCGTTGGGCGACACTCGCGGATACGCGTAGAAGTCGGCGCCCGACGCCACCACTTTCAGCTCTTTTGTGCTGAAATTGATCGCGACGATTTGATTCACCGGCTCGTTCGGTTGACCGGCGATGTGATCCTCGTTGACGCAAAACAAATGGGTGGCGTTCGAGGAGAAGTCCGAGAATCTTCAAAAAAAAATTCCGATTCATTCACGATTCGCTGAATTTCGAGCAAATCCGCGCACCTCAATTTGTTTCCTTTCGAATCGATCAGCTTATCCTCGCCGATTCCGTTCAAATCCTTCTTATAGACACCGTCTTTCGTTGAAAAGATGAACGTCGTCTCGTTTGGGGTATGAATCGCATTTCCACCGTACTCGTGAACTACAAAATCAATCGTTATTTATCGACGACGAAAAAACTCTGCTTCGATGTTTGAAATAATCTCCCATCATGCGCCTTTAAATTTCTACAGTAGCCAACATTTTTTGTTTTCGCTGATTTTTCATCCTACTCGATGGGCCAATTAGCGATTAGGTGGGCGTGGTTTATTTGTTTCTAGGGACTCTCTCGTTTTCCTGCACTATTTCATGATCAAACTCAAACCGATTTGAATTATTTTCTCGTTTGTGCGCCTTTAAATTTCTACAGTGGCCGACATTTTTTTTGCGACCAATTGAATATTCAAAGTAGCCTCCAAGCGGCACACCATCGTTTTTCTCAATTCAACACATTTACTTGAGCTCAATATCGTATAGCTCGGAATCCATTGCTGCTCGCCGTGCTCCATCGCCATCGTGAGCTTCTTCGAATACACTTCGCGTTTGCCGGTGATCAAATTCTGTTCGACCCAAAAAACGTGGGCTAGAAAAGACAAAATTAGGGTTCGTTTTGAATTTTTGTTCGCCTCTGTCACTCACGTCCCGCCAATTGAAACTCGCAAATGCTTTTGCAATTGCCGGCGACGAATTGGTCCGTCGTGATCGCGCTTTTCCATGAACCGTATGGTGCAATCGTCGCCATGTTCCGAAACAATTGCCGAATAATCTATATTTTCTGCCATTTGCGTTTTTTTGGTTTGAGATTTCCATAATGATAGTAATTTTCTGGTGTTAATACCAAGCAAATCAATGCAAATTTTGGTCAAGTCTCCCTATTTATTTTTAAGATTCAAAAAAATTAAAAAAAAAAACAATGCATTATATAAATATTAGACAATTATTCAAATTTGATTCCCTGCGCTAACGGCAATTCCTTCGAGAAGTTGATTGTGCAAGTCGAGCTGAAAAATGAAAATTGAGCAAAACCATTTAGAAAAATTAATTTTAAAAACCGTCTCATGTATTGTCTCCACGAATCGCTTCCAGATTCGCGACCACCTCCAGTTTCCTTCTCTCCTCCAAATGCACCTCCAATTTCTGCTCCAGATGTCGGAATGTTGACGTTTACAATTCCACAATCGCTTCCCTTTGGCCTAAAATTCGAAAATGCGTCCCTTATAATCTCTATTATAAATTACCCCATCCATTTGAAGACGTTCTGGATGTTGGTGGTGAACAACGATGAGCTCAAGCCTTGTCCAACCTCATTGTTAATCTTGATCGCCTCATCGAGTGTCGAGAATTTAAGGACATAGAGGATCGGGGCGAAGGTCTCGCGAAGAATCACTGGCGCGTCATGCTTCAAACCGGTGACGATCGTCGGCAACACAAAGTTTCCGTCCCTCTCCAAAACTTTGCCACCGTATTCGATTTTTCCGCCTGATGCGATTGCTTCAGCAACAGAGGCTTTGTACTTTCCAACAGCCTGCTGGTTGTGCAATGGTCCGATGATCGTGTTGGCATCCAATGGGCATCCGATTCTCGACTCGAATTGAGCATAGGCCTTTTTGAGTCTCTCAACGACTTGATCGTACAGCTTCTCGTGCACCAACAAGCGTCTCGTCGTTGTGCAACGTTGACCGGCGGTTCCGACAGCGGCGAACACTGTCGCCGGCACCACCATGTTCAAATCGGCGTCGTCGTTGACAATGATCGCGTTGTTGCCGCCGAGTTCGAGAAGAAGTTTTCCGAAGCGTGCCTGCACCTGCTGGCCGACGATTCTTCCGACTTCCGTGGAACCGGTGAACGAGACAAGATCGACACGCTTGTCCTTCACGAGCGCTTGTCCGACGTCGCCTTCGCCGCAGACGAGAGAACAAAGGGCTGGGTTGACGTTGTTCGCTTTGAGAACCTCCTCGACAAGCCTAAAATTGAAAAATTCGTAAATTGTTTGTGAGAAACCAAAAAGAATTGAATTCTCACTTGGTAACAGCAATGGCTGTGAGTGGCGTCGATGGGGCCGGTTTCCAGACGACCGCATTTCCAGTGACCAACGCCAATGCATTATTCCATCCGTATACGGCGCATGGGAAGTTGAAGGCGGAGATGACGCCGACGACACCGAGTGGATTCCATTGCTCTAAAAGAGCGTGTCCGGGCCTCTCGGATGGGAATATTTTGCCCTCGAGCGAGCGAGAAAGTCCGGTCGCGTAATCGCAAATGTCGACGTATTCTTGAACTTCGCCGACGCCTTCCGCCGAAATTTTACCCATTTCCAACGAGACGAGTTTGCCGAGGTTTTGGAGTTGGGTGCGAAGTTTGTCGCCAATTTGGCGGACAATTTCACCGCGGCGTGGCGCCGGCACTTCACACCAGTCCTCATAGGCTTTGCGCGCCTCGGTGATTGAAATCTCGTAGTCGGCGACGGTGCCGTTTTGCACCTGAAATTTGAGATTTCAATGTTCAAACGTTCAAAAATAGAAATCACATTGGCAATTGGAAGATTGTTGGCGGGTGCGACCGATTGCACGACTTGTCCGCTAGCCGCCCATTTTCCGTGAAACACTCCCGAATTGTTCTCGCCGAGTCCGAGCTCTTTGAGAAAAGCGTACTTTGAATCATTGATGAGCAAATTGGACGCCATTCTGCGAGAATAGAAGTGTGCGTTCACAACACCAAACGATAATAGACGATTCATCTGTAACGTTGCGTACAAGCGAGGGGAGAAACACACGGACAAGCGGATATTAAGCGCCACCAAAAATTGTATGTAGGTCACGGCGAATTTTTTTTCTCGTCAATTTCGAAATTTGTTGCCTTTTTTTCTTCTGCGAAAACGTCGGACAAAACAGAGATTAGTAAAGTTGCGGTGAATTGAGACTCAAGAGAAAATGGCGAATGATTTCGGGCCGGCACGTTGCGGGAATGATATGAGATTGTAAAAAAGTGTGGGCGTGGCGTTCGCAATATCATTTCCAAGGTCGTTTATCAAATCAAACAATCTCGTGGACTTTATTGATTTAAAATGGTCATCATAGTCGAAACAAAGATCATAAATATTACCTTTTTTGGGAATATTGCTGCACATTTTGAGATGATTTATTATCAATTGATTTATGGCCGGACTGCGAGGATATCTGAAAAATCTGTATAGGATAGGGTTGTAAACATTTTTCTATCTTACAAGCGACATTGGTTAAAGAACAAAGGAAAACCATTTCGATAAATGAAAAAATAGATCCATTTCAAGTTTTTTTGTTTTTTATTTAAATAAATAAAATTATTTTCCCTATGAAATATTTTTCTTTTAGCTAATTTCATCAAAAACTTTGAATTTCATTCAAATTTCAAAACTTTTCCATTGACGACTGGTTAAATTGTACGCAATGTGTCTCTTCGCGGCGAGATATCGCCGTTTAAAAATGTGTGCGCCTTTGATTCGAATTTATTTTCTAGACGAATCCGCCATATTTATCCGTTTTTCATGCGAATTTTCCAAAAATTTTTGAGAAATTCATGTTCATATCTTGAAAATCATTAAATATACAACACTCTGCAAAAGAATAGTACTTTAGTTTGATATTTTACACTTTAAATTAGTGAGAAATAATGTTAATAATTTATGAAAAAATTTTTCTAGAACATTTCACATTCTTTTCTAGTTTTTCCACTTTTATTCTTTCAAATATCTTTCTTATTGTCATTTATTGGATAAATATTTTTTTTTAGTAATGGCATCGATTCAATGCTTGAATCCTAAAGCGGAATTGGCCCGGCATGCCGCCGCATTGGAGCTCAACATCAGCGGAGCTCGTGGACTTCAAGAGGTGATGCGTTCCAACCTTGGTCCAAAAGGAACATTAAAGATGTGGGGATTTTTATACGGCTAATTAAAAATTACTGAAATTGTTTAGGCTTGTTTCTGGTGCCGGTGATATCAAGTTGACGAAAGACGGAAATGTTCTTCTTCATGAAATGGTAAATAAATAAATCAACCGCGGTATTAAATAAAAAATTGAAGGCTATTCAACATCCAACGGCTTCAATGATAGCCAAGGCTTCTACGGCTCAAGATGATGTGACTGGCGATGGAACTACTTCCACCGTTCTTCTCATTGGAGAACTTCTCAAGCAAGCCGAGACCCTTGTCCTCGAAGGTGTTCATCCACGATTGGTTACCGAAGGATTTGAATGGGCTAACGACAAGACTCTTGAGCTTCTCGAGAAGTTCAAGAAGTCGGTCAATGTCGATCGAGCGGTTTTGATCGAAGTTGCACGCACGGCCCTCCGCACCAAACTGCACCAAAAACTTGCCGATCATATCACTGAATGTGTTGTTGATGCTGTTTTGGCGATTCGCAAAGGAGACGAAGAACCCGATTTGCATATGGTTGAACGCATGGAGATGCACCATGATACCGACATGGACACCAAGCTTGTTAGGTATTTTTTGAAAGCAAACTTTTAGAAGTTTGTACTTAATTTTGCAGAGGTCTTGTCCTTGATCATGGATCCCGTCATCCAGACATGCCGAAGCATGTCACCGATGCCTACATTTTGACCTGCAACGTTTCTCTTGAATATGAAAAGACGTGAGTATAAAGAAATATAAAAAATCAACTTTGAAAAGTTTTTTAGTGAAGTTAACTCTGGACTTTTCTACAAAACTGCCGCTGAACGCGAAAAGCTTTTGGCTGCTGAACGCGAGTTCATCACTCGTCGCGTTCACAAAATTATTGAGCTCAAGAAGCAAGTCGTCGATAACAGTGCCGATGGAAAGAAGAAGGGATTTGTTATTATCAACCAGAAGGGAATTGATCCACCATCTTTGGATCTTTTGGCTGCTGAAGGTGCATTTAATTAAAATTTATTAGAAAAAATGTTCTTTTTCAAGGAATTCTTGCTCTTCGTCGCGCCAAACGAAGAAATATGGAACGCCTTCAGCTCGCTGTTGGAGGAGAAGCCGTCAATTCGGTTGATGATCTTACTCCAGAAGTTCTTGGATGGGCTGGACTTGTGTATGAGCACACTTTGGTAGTTTTTTTCCTAATTTGCCAAAAATTAAATAGTAAATTATAGGGAGAGGAGAAGTACACTTTTGTTGAGGAATGCAAGGACCCAAAATCGGTTACTTTGTTGATTAAGGGTCCTAACAAGCATACTATTAATCAAATCAAGGATGCCATTCACGATGGAATGAGAGCTGTTTTCAATACTATTGTTGATAGTATGAATCTAAATTTAAAAATGGAAAATCTTGTAATTTTCTTCAGAAGCTGTTTTGCCGGGAGCTGCTTCTTTCGAAATCGCCGCCCATGTTCATATTAAAAAACAATTGGAAGCGTTGAAAGGAAGAGCGAAACTTGGAGCTCAGGTTTTGGAATTTATACTATTTTTAAAATTAAAATAATTATTTTCAGGCTTATGCCAACGCCCTTCTCGTTATTCCGAAAACGTTGGCTGTGAACTCGGGATATGATGCGCATGAGACATTGGTGAAACTCGTCGAGGAAAAAGAGGCTGCTGGAGATGATTTGGCTGTTGGAATTGATCTTGAGACTGGTGGAGCCGCAGAGCCAAACGTATTGCCATTCTAAATATATCGATGTTTTTTTTTCGAAATGTGTCTTGCAGGGAATTTGGGATAATGTGACTGTGAAGAAGAACAGCATCGCGTCGGCTTGCGTTTTGGCTTGCAATTTGCTCCTTGTCGATGAGGTAATGCGAGCAGGAATGACGAATTTGAAGACACCGCAGCCAGAATAATTTTACTCGCCAATATTCTACCGAGTGTGCGCTTTTTTTTTTGATAATCGAACGCCCAAAATCTCAAAATTGTTATTTCTTCATTCTTTTTGTTTTCGAAAACCATTTTTTGCATCAACCATTTTTTTGTTTTTTTTTTCGAGATCTTCGTATTTTTCTTGTTGCTGCATGTTGTTTAATCACCCCGTTCTCCTATAAATGCTTTATGTGCTTCATTTGTGCTATTCGAGTTGAAATGATGAATTTGTGTGTGCGAAAATCGAATAATTACTTTAAATTTGTGTTGTTTTACTTTTGGCAAAGATGAAAATGTCTTTTTTTCGAAAGATGGCGGCCGAACCACCATCTCTTGAGGAAATTTTGGAAAAGAAAAAGCGAGAGGAAGAAGAAATGGCCAAGGTTTGATCGAGATGAATCAATTTTAGATACGTTTGTTGTTGAAAATTTCAGCCGAAATTCCTCACAAAAGCTGAACGCGCGCAAATTGCGCTTAAAAAACGTGAAGAAGAGGTTGCACGAATGCGAGAAGCGCAGAAAAAAGCAGAAGAAGCTCGAAAGGCGTTTTTGAATGGCGCGAAAAAAGGTATTTCCATTTTTCGTTTGAAAAGTTCAAATTGTTCGGTGGAGCGCACTTGCAACAATGAGAATTTTGGGAAATTTGGTCCTAAAATTTTTAGAATTGTTTCCACCAAAAATGCATTATTTCAGACGAGCGCAAACCGGAACGAGAACGTGAACGCGATCGAGATCGAGATAGAGATAGAGATAGAGATAGAGAACGTGATAAGGATAGAGGTAGTTGCTCATTTTTAATGGAAAAATGAAAACTGCGAGTTTTAGACCGCGATCGTGATCGTCGGCGTGATCGGCGGGAAAGAAGTAGATCTCGGGAGCGAAGAAGAAGTCGAAGCCGCGATAGAGAACGAGATCGAAGGCGTGAGAGAAGTCGGAGTAAAGAGCGAAAAGACCGCAAAAAAGAGGAAAGCGATGAGGAAATTGTCGATATCAGTAAAATGCAGGACGCGGTGAAAAGCCGATATTTAGGACAGCAGAAGGTTTTCTAAATAAATACCAAAATTTATTCTAATTGGCGCGATATAGGAAAAACGAAAACGGGGTCGAAGATTGCACGAGAGGAAATTCGTGTTTGACTGGGATGCTGGTGAGGACACTTCGCAGGATTACAACAAGCTTTATCAGGAGAGACATGAGGTTTCTAGCGTCGTTGGTTTTGGGGCATTTCTCAATTTTTGATTGGGTTCAGATTCAATTTTATGGGCGTGGCTCGATTGCTGGCATGGACGTGAACTCACAGAAGATGGAGAAGGGATCGTTCTATCAGAAAATCATGGAGCAACGACGAACCGAGGATGAGAAGGAGCAAGAGAAGAATCGGGTGGAGAAGGAGAAGAAGAAGGAGCGCAAAGTTGCGCATGATGATCGGCATTGGCGAATGAAGGAGCTTCACGAGATGACGGAACGAGATTGGAGAATTTTCCGAGAAGATTTCAATATTACAATTAAAGTATTTCATTTTAATTTAAAAAAAAAATGAAAATTTTTGTAATTTTAGGGTGGAAAAGTGCCAAGGCCGCTTAGAAATTGGGAAGAAGCTGAATTACCACCGGAAGTTTATCGTGCTATCCAGGAGGTTCTTTTTATTCTTTTTCTTAAAATTAAAAAAGTCATTTAGGTTGGATACACTGAGCCAACGCCAATTCAGAGGCAAGCCATCCCAATCGGTCTTCAGAATCGCGACGTCATCGGTGTCGCCGAAACGGGATCGGGTAAAACCGCCGCGTTCCTTTTGCCGCTTTTGGTGTGGATTACAAGTTTGCCGAAAATGGAGCGACAAGAGCATTGCGACAATGGACCGTACGCCATCATTATGGCACCGACGAGAGAATTGGCGCAACAAATTGAGGAGGAAACGAACAAATTTGGCAAACTGCTTGGAATCAAGACGATCTCGGTGATTGGAGGCGCGAATCGCGAAGAGCAAGGATTCAAACTTCGACTCGGTGTTGAGGTGGTCATCGCCACTCCAGGTCGTCTTCTCGATGTTCTTGAGAATCGCTACCTTCTCCTGAATCAGTGTACTTATGTGATTCTCGATGAAGCCGATCGTATGCTTGACATGGGTTTCGAGCCTGATGTCCAGAAGGTTCTTGAATATTTGCCGGCGACCAACTTGAAGCCCGACACGGAAGAGTTTGATAACGAAGAGGCTCTGATGAAGGGTTTCACGACGAGAGAGAAGTATCGGCAAACAGTGATGTTCACGGCGACGATGTCGCCGGCGATCGAGCGACTCGCTCGGCAATACTTGAGAAGGCCCGCCGTTGTTCACATTGGATCGATTGGAAAGCCAACGGAACGCGTTGAGCAGGTATGAATGATTCACTGGAATGAATAGGCTGATTGGAAAGTTTTCAGGTGGTCTATCTGCTTCCGGAGGATAGAAAACGAAAGAAACTTGTTGAAGTTCTTGAACAAGAATTCCAGCCGCCTATTATTATCTTTGTCAATCAGAAGAAGGTTTTCAATTTTTTCTTTGCTCAGTTGAAACGTGATTTGTAAATTTTGCATTGTTTTAGGGTGCCGATCTTCTCGCCAAAGGTCTTCTTAAACTTGGATTTAATCCTACAGTGCTTCATGGTGGAAAAGGTCAAGATGCAAGAGAGTATGCTCTGCAGGCTCTGAAAGACGGATCCAGTGATATTCTGGTGGCCACCGATGTTGCGGGAAGAGGTAGCTCATGCTGAAAATCGGATTTTGACGAAACGAGCTATATTTAGGTATTGACGTAAAAGACGTTTCGCTTGTTCTCAATTATGACATGGCGAAGACAATTGAGGATTATACCCATCGAATCGGAAGAACCGGTGAGTTCATGGCCGTGCACTTTGCGTTTCAGATGAATTTGCGAGGTTGCCTTGCGATGCGTGTCTGCGTCGCTTGTTTTTCTATGCTCTCTCGCGAGGCCGCGCTCTTTTTCCACCTCTTTCAAGGTCCATCATTGTGCCTCGTTGAAGTACACACGATTTTTTTTTGAAAAAAAAAGAATTTTTTCAATTTTTTTCGCACTGGTGGGAAATCGCGCGTGTACACAGACGCGCGCGCGCACACACACACGCACACACATATGCGCTTTTCGGTTCTCCGTCTGGCATTTTTGAGTAGTCTTCTTTATATTCCCACTTTTTCTGTCCTTTCAGTAGAATACATTTTGGTTGGGTTCAAGGTGGGAAATTGCTTGATTATTTTTTTTTCTTCATTTTTTTGACGCAAATAAAGAGGATTAAGATGAATTTATTTTGGGTAAGCTGCTCGCGATGATCTTGGCGCATTATTTGCATTTAGAGTAGATATATGTTAAATTTTTGAAATTATTCAAGTTTTTGTTTAATGGTCCAGACAAATTTTCCAATTTTTTATATGCGAAGAAAAAAAGTTAAATTTTCGCCCATTGCGATATTTTTTGCACTCTTATCGTAATTTTCAAGGCGTTTTCGATTCAACCGCTTGAAATAAAAATGAGAAATTTGGTGAGCTTTAATACGAGAGAAATATGGGCTTGCTACCTGCTGAGCCGCTGCCTGGCCTATTAATCTCGAAATTAATCGAATTTGGTCGTTGGGCGTATACGTATGGCGGAATTTTGAGGCGGTGTCTGTGTATGTGTGTTGCGTTGTTAATTCTCTCGCCCATTTCCAATCGGTTTGACGTCTTCGTCGGCTGCGCTGCGAAGCTCCTGCTTTTGCGGGTTGTTCGCGATTGGTTCTCATATGCCTTTAATCATCATCCTACGGCTGCACCCCCTCTATTATTAAATGCAATAATGAGAAGCTATTCATTTTAATTAATTGGGTGGCGATGGACCGACGCACACAAAATGAGAGCAGACGAGTGAAATTTTCCCTGGTGTTTCTTTTTGCGCAACTCGCCTCAAAAAAGTATATCAAAATTGTTGATTTCTCACAATGCGTCCTTATAATCACATGACAGTAGTTAAATGGCGCTGATGTTAATTTTGTTTGTTTCACTTCCTGTCTATCTCTGACGGCCGCCGTGAACGATTTCCATACAAATTTTTTTCCTCTTCTGGAATTCCGATCGCATTTTGACCTCCATCCCTCGATTCGCGGGTGGCTGCCGTCGAATTTTTTTTGGTGCAGTTTTGATCGTTCTGTTTAAATATTGACTTGACAAATATTGTTACCCGTTTTGGGAATTCGCTCTCATTTATTATAAAAGTGCACATTCTCGATGCGCGTCTTCGCTATCGTCGTCTTCTTCGCACTTGCTCATGTATTTTTTGTTTTCAAGAGAGAGAGAGAGAGAGAGAGAGAGAATGTGTGCTTCCGTGCATTTTTATTCAACACTAATGATGCAATTGAAATTTTTAGTTTTTTTTTTGCCTGATTGCCTTCGCGAATGTTCGCCATATTTGGAAGGGGAGAGGTGTACGGTAACTGATATGACGGCGCGTGCGTGGTTATCGCTTGCTATCGATCGCGGAAATTGCCCATCGTTATGGGTGTGTGTGTGTGGTGTGTTTTATTGAATTTTCTTTTTTTTTTCCCTGAACACCTCTGTCTCCCTCTCGTTTCCCCCTCCGAAGAATATACAATTTTTGGAATTTGTGTTTTCTTGTTGCGGGGTTTTTGGAAACACACCGTTTCGGTTCGGAGGGCCTTGTTTGAACAGCATTTGGCGCCGCGAGTTGTCTGCATACACGGAGCACCCAGTCAGCCAACCCCTCTCCTGTTCCCGTCGAAACGAGAATTGTGCTGGCTACCGTGAGACCACACAGACAGTATAATCTCCCCCCCCCTTCTCATCCCGCCGTCTTCAATTTTTTCGTTTTCCTCTGTAATTTTTTAATGGTTAAAAGCCGGACAGATTTCTCTTATCGCATCTCGCGCGACGACACTCGATGTTTCGCATCGATGACCATAAAGTTTCATGACCTGCTGCTGCCTGTATGCGAATTGGGGCCCGAATCGAGGGAGAATTGCAATAGTTTTGATTATATCAAAATGTTGAGGTCTGATGTTTCTTTAAGTCAATTTTTCGCTGAAATTCGTTGCCCAGCTGGTACCAGGTAGCGCTCGCTTATATGTGTTTCGCATAATATCTTCAATCCCTCTCAACGAACTTTATTTTGCTCAAATTGTGCAACATATGTGTGTGTGTATGAATGTGCGGGTTGCCTGGAGACGCGATTTTACGCAATTAACGGTCCTTAATTAGCACCTGTTGTTGCTCTCGGAGGTGAACTTCGTGCGCGCGCTCGCTCGCTCGCGCACCCGTCTCGCGGCATATACTTGTGTTTCTTTTTGCAGTGTTGAACAACTTCTAGACAAACAAATAGAGAGGGAGAGAGAGAGAGAGAGACCACCTCTTCGACATGTGTACTTATTCGCGTGACTATGTCGATGGTGCGCGTACTGTTTGGAAACCCGTTTTTTCCTTCTTCATCTCCTTCTTCGTCGTCGTCGGCGTCAATCGGGCCTCTTCATATATATGAGAAAGAACATCATATATAATTATAATTGGGAACAAGCAAGTGGATGTCGTCCTCAGCCCTTCTTCGTCCGACATCCGTCGACGGAAATTGGCTCTTCGCCCCGTCGTCATACTTCTCCTCCTCATCAACTTGTCCTACTGTAGCCGCCTAGTACGAATATCAGCTGGACTAATCAGGCTCAGATGCGGATTAATCGGAAATGCCCATCCCCCCACGCATTAGAAATAATTAGAACGGAAGTGCTATTCATTCACCCCTTGGGCATGATATGGAATTTGGAAAATCAATTATTTTTCTTTTCTTTTTTTTTTGGCTGGAACATTCTTGTCCTCGTGGGCTGAGGGCAGCTGTCGTCTGTCGTCAATCAGCTTGTTGTGTCAAACTTTGCACTTTTTATTTCATTATTTTGCTAATTTATCCACATTTCGCCTTTTAGAAACCTTGAGAGAGAAAAATGAGACGAAATTGCAATGAATGTACTCACTTGACCTGTCATTGTCGGCGACCTAGTAGATTTCCTTTATTCTTCTACTAAATTCTTGCTTATGTGTGTGTGTTTTTTTTTCTTCGCATTTCGGCACCTGCGTCTCCGTCATGAGTTTAGTGGCGGTGTTGGTGGTGATGATGGTGGCGGCGGCAGCAGCAGCAGCGGCAGCAGCGGTGGTGGTGGTGGTAGTTAGTTGCCGAAGGCTGAGCGGTCGCCGCTCTCGTCGGCCTATCGTCTCTCATCGTCGTCGTTGTTGTTCGTCTCATTTTGAGAAGAAAGAAAGAACGGAGATAGCAGGAGAGTGTGAGAGGCGTCGAGAATTAGAGAAAGAGAGAGAGAGAGACATACAAACACTCGGGCCCACATACACCTAAAGTTTCAATATTGTCAACCCATCGATCTTTTTCCGTTTTTTTTTGTGTATATGTATGTGTATTGCCTTTGCCGTCTAGGCGTCGCCGCTTTTTTTTTTCGTGGTAGCTGCTGTTGCTGCTGCTGCTGCTCCTGCCCGCCTCAGGCCTTCACCCTCCTCCTCGTGCTCCTCGTGCATGTGTTGCTATGCTATGTAGTTTTTTTTCTCGACAAGCACTCACACAAATTTTGATTGTACCCTCCTCTGTCGCCGTATTTTATTTTTTGCTCAGTTCATATTTTCTGCAAATTTTCAGTTTCGTTTCGCCATCCTTCGTTCCTAAAAAAACAAAAAAAATTGGTTGAGTGGTAGTGACCTTGCAAATTTTGGGGACAGTCAGCATTCGAAAAATTGTTGTAATCGGTTTTGTGTGCGCTAAGGCCAAAAATTGCAGTTCTTGTTGCGAGAGGCAGAGATTAGCGTGCGGGGTTGTAAACGATATCGCCCACGCTTTTGAATGACCCTATCAATGAGTAGACAATGGAATGATATGATGATAGTTATTCGAAACAGAAACATACGTTGTTGATTTGTTTGTTGGTTTATTTGTTTCTTGGCGATGTCCCCACCTTTGAGGTTGATTGCATCGTCGTCTCTGCGCTCTTCTGCTTTCGCCAATTCGGAATCACCAAAAATTGATAAGACGATTGCGAAGTAAGCGAGCGATAACGCAAAATATCTCCTTTCTTGTTCACGTTTCCTCCTCCTCATTCTTTAATACGTTTGTTTGAAAAGGACACCAAAATGATTGTTGTTTATGGCGGTTGCTAGGTTTTTTGCATTAATGAAAGGGCACTAAATGATAAGTGATTATTAAATGCTGAAAAACACCGCTTTTTAAACTTTCTTTCGATTGTTCTGCGATTTTTTTAAATTGAATTAATCATTCTAATTCTGTTGGGAATTTGATTCTTTTTATGGAATTTGGTTTCTGGGAGCCTGTGAGCGCGCGATAATAAATCAAAAAGTGTTTTTGAGAGAGAGAGAAGAGAGCGAAAAGATGTGCGATGACGATTGGCGGGGGATGAGAAGGTTGCATTGATTTTCTATCCGATAATCGCTGATTTCTATCCTGTGACACGCCGGCACCACTTTTCCTTCTTCTTCTTCTTCTCCTTCTATTCCTTCTAATTCTACTTCGTCGCCTTCTTTCTCATTCGTCTTCTTTTTCGCTTTTTGCCCTTTTTTTCCGCATCGCGCGATGATTCGGATCCGCTTTCCAAGAGAAAAAACGCTTATCTTTTTTTTTCAGGACGCGCCGGAAAACATGGAAAAGCCATCACGTTCCTGACGCCGGAGGACAGTGCGGTGTTTTACGATCTTAAGCAGGTAGATTTTATTCATGAAAGAAACCCAATGTTAATATTGATTTTTTGAAGATTCTCATTGAATCTCCATGTTCGACGTGTCCTCCGGAGTTGGCGAACCATCCTGAAGCGCAGAATAAGCCTGGAACTTTTGCGCCGAAAAAGCGCCAAGACGAGACTTTGTTTTTAAAATGATCTTTTTGTTTTGTGTCCCATATATATTTATTTTGTTTTCAACAATTATTTAACCCTTATTTATTTCGATTTTTTATCATAAATTTTGAGCATCTCGTAACTCCGTCTCGATTTACCATTTGTGTTTCCTCATTTCTCCTAATCAAACGTCTCATAACGTTATCTTGACATTTTTATTGCTCAATTTTTTCTTTTCTTTTTTTCCCCTTTCGACTAACTCGAAAATTCCCTTAACGAATCGTTTATAGAAAACTTGGGCAATACCGCCGCTAAAAAATTTTCCCCTCTTTCTATATTTGATTATTTGTTGAGGTCTTGTTCAGGTCACGTTGACGTCGACAACAGCCCACGCGCCCGCTTCTCCAACATCATCGAAGAAGAACCGAAAAATGGCTGACGAGGATTGGCCATCGGTGAAGTTTCGCGAGCACGTCATCAATCGGCTGTAAGCGATTGTCTCACAACTTTCGCCACATAACTAATGCTTTGTTCTTTTTTCCAGAGAACCTGAACTTGCCAGAAATCGACAGAATGCACCGAACCTGCCGGTGCCTGGCGACGCGCGACAAGTCGAAGAATATGTGTTCGCAAAATGTATGTCGAAAGATGAGTATATGAGAACGATTGCCAAGGTTGGTTTTTTTTTATTTTTAAGAGCTTTTTCTGATTTTCACCACTTTTAAAGGTTATCAATGCGATCAATTGTAATAGCAAATCGGCGGCGGTTCCTCCCGCGTTGCAGTCCAACAATTTCCACAGCCCGCCGTGCACAACCGGAAGTAAGGGTTTATTTAATTTTTAAAATAATTACCCCATTTTTTTTTTACCCATTTCATTATTTTTCATTCACTTATTTATTAGTGAACAATACCCCGGTTTGCTCAACGCCGAGTTATCGTGCTGCAGTGCCACCGGATCCGCAACCGACGGCGTCGCAGACGCGCAATTCGTCGACAACGAGCGCCGCCGCGGCCGCCGCTGTTGCTGCCGCCGCCAGCACCACCACGAATTCGCTGCAGCCGATTCACAACACGACGGTTGGATTCAATGCGGCCGGCGCCGGCGGAGCGTCGTCGTTCAATGGCGGTCCGGCGATGGGACAACCGCCACCGCAGATGGCAGGACCCGGCGCTTATGGACAGTATGGCATGATGAATAGCAACGGCGGGTACGATCAGATGATGAAGCAGCCGAAAATGGAATCGCGGCCGTGGGAGCTTGGAAATATGTACGGGCCGCCCGGACAGCAGCCGCCGCCACCGCAGCAGCAGCAACAGCAGTCATGGTCGCAGCACGGAATGCCACCACCGCCACAACAGAGCCAGCAGCACTTCAATGGATCCACGGCTTCGTCGGTTGGATCGTCGTCGTCGTCATCGGTATTGGAATCGTTGATCAATCAGCCGTACACGATGGGATCGTCGTCGTCGTCATCATCATCGTCATCACAGCAACAACATCAGTCATCGCAGCAACAGGTGCCGCAATCATCGCAGCAGCACCAACAGCAACAGCAGCAGCAGAGTCGCGAGCCGACTATGATGACTCCTGAGGAGCAAGTGGTGTATAATAACAAATTACGAATGTTGAAACATAATTGCGAGAGCTTAAGGTAAATGCTTGTTTTTGTGAAATTCCCATTGAAAATTTGTGAATTTTGTTTAGAATGCGTGCTCGCCAATGCCACACCGAAGGCAATCATGAGGCTGCTCATAAGCTTGAAGTGATGCTTGGCGTTCTTGAAGGAAAACGCGTCGTGAGTTTGGAGTATTTGAATCATTTGGAGTCGTGGATCCACAAGAAGGCCGACTTTTTGGCGGCGGCGATCAATCATCAACCGATGCGGCCGCCGATGAACGATGGAATGGGCGGCGATCCGCACGCGGCTCCGAATATTGGGGTTCCGAACGGGCATATGCAAATGGGCGGCCCCCCGATGAATCCGTATGGTGGACCGCCGAATCCGTACGTTCAACAATGGCAGCCGAATGGAATGCACCAGCAGCAAATGTGGCATCCGCATCAGCAATCGCAGCGGATGATGCCGCAGGAGATGATGATGCCGGGTGGGCCGCCGATGGGGCCGGTTGGCGTTGGTGGTCCGATGCATGGCATGTACAGAGAGCACGATCAGCTCACCTCGCCGGTCGGAAGCCATCGACATCAGCCGTATCAGACGCCGACGATGCGCAACAACATGCGAACGATGTCGTCGTCGAGCAGCGGATCGATGCGTGATCGCAACTCGATGAATGGAATGCCGACGACGCCGTCGTCGAGCACGATGATGACGCCGACGCGGCCCGGCATGATGGGACCAATGCGTGAGTTTCTGGAATTATTTCGAACGGGTTTTATGAAAATTTGCATAATTTTCAGCTGGTTTTGAGGATTTGAGCTACGACGAATTCTTGTCGCCAAGTTTGGATCAGATGCATCCGAGTGTGACACCGCAGAAGCAGCCGCCAATGATGAACGTAGGATTTTCTATTCATCGATTTTTTTAAAATTTTTGTCGAATTTTAGAACCAAATGCGGCCAGTTCTTAACGATACTGCTCGACGGGAGCTGATGGCTCTTGAGAATCGATTCGAGATTAATCCGAATATTGAGAAGCACGATGCGAATCATAATATGGTTGTATGCAAAATACGTGAGTGTTTCTTTTCCATCATGACGAACGAATTGGCTTCGTGTTCAGGCGGTCAGCCATTCCCGCCGCTTCGTCTCGTCGTGCCGAACTCGTATCCAGTGGGACAAGTTTCGGTTGATCGCGCGGCGATAGACTTGGGTAAGCGATTCGTGATCAAAATGTTGATTCTGATTGGTTTTGCTGTTTGTAGATGCTTATTTATATGATGATCTCCAAAATGTAGTTCATGAGCGGCTTGCGCAACCTGGTTTGACATCGCTCACCGACTATCTCAACGCTTGGGTAGGTGTTTCTTCTTTTTTTTAATCAATAATTGGTTTGATTTCCAAAAAATGTTGATTTTTATTTTCAGGAGGAGCAAGTCAATCAATATTGTCAGAATCAGAATCATGGTAACAATTTCGATGCGACATTCGGCAACGATTTCCTCAATTATGATGGTCTAAATTTGTAAGTTTTTTTTGCTTCGAGGGACGGTTTTTGTCGAAGACGAAAAAACCCGATAAGCGGGCGCAATCGGAACACTGGCTTGGGTCTTGACGCGAAGAAACATATGACTGTCACACGGTTGACTTTCACTCTGTCACCTTGAATGAATGGAATGTACTGAGAGAACGAAAAAGAGCGATTTTGTATTTGTGGGGACCAAATTGAATTTATTTCTTTTTTTTGCAGATCGACAGGCTTTTAATCTGAAACATTGTACAGTAATCATCTAGTTGTAGACAACACGCTGTGTTCTTGCCGAGCCTTTGAAACAGAAATTCCCCCCCCCCGCCACATAATATGCTTTTTTTTTCTCATTGTTGTTAAATATCCTCTTCGTTTTTCGTTTTTCTTCTCTATTGCTCGTCTATCTCGCCGAATTTTCCGTTTTGGAACTAGTCTCCCAGCCTATTTTTGTGTTGTTCAATTTGAGAAAAATATTACAAAATCAGATACAAAATGATAACAGAAGCAGATTGTGAAGTACGGTTTGAATGTGTAGTCGACCCTCTTTTTTGGCCCATTGTTTATATATGATACATACATTTTTTTTTACTTACATTGAAGTCCTCTCTTTCTCATGTAGTCGTTATGTTCATGTGATAATTTTTATTCGGTAGTACCTCCCATAGATATTTGTTTTATACATATATATATATATATATATTTTTTATGCGTTTTTCTTTTTCACAAATTATTTTATCTCTTTTTATCATCTCCTCCTTTCATTATTGGTTTAGAATTGATTTGATTTGAATGTGTAATCAGGGATCCACAAAAATACATATTAGAAATCAATGTAGACCCCCCCCCTTTGCCAGCCACTTGAAAAATCCTACCGATTTTCTGATTTTCTTCCCTTTTCTGTGATTACGCTTTTATATTAAAGTTATTTTTTCTTCATTTGATCACTCATTTTTGTTTCTGAATTCTGGAAAACTCTGGTTTTTCTTCCCGATCCAATTTTTTTTTGAAATTTTTATTGTTTGGCACGATTTGTTCTTCTCATAATAATAAGAATTTGTGTCTTACAGAGCAGAAATTGATATGAGGGGTTTTTATGTTTGTGAGTTATTGTGAAGAGCGAGATATCAGCAGGAATCGGCTTCATATATGGCGAGCCTGAAACGAATCTATATGTTTTTTTTATTGAAGGTAATCAAATAGTATTCAGAGAACTCATAAAAGCGGGCGAAGGCTCACAAGAATAATAAACAAAAAATTTGCTTACGTTTTTTTTTTGACGAATCAGCGGCATTGAAAGCAGAGGGCAAAGAATGCGCCGGCGATGAATCCGACAAATGCGATGCTGGCAGGACTGCAAAAATTGGGGATCAAATTGAAGAAAAGATGAAGAAAAAATGGAAAAAATTCAAATTTCTGCGTTTTTCGATGATAAAAATCGTAGTTTTTGACCAAAAATGGGAAAAACCACAAAAATCCAAAAATGGATTGATCATCGTTATAAAAAAATAACTTAATAATTTTTTTCACTATTTCAATTTATTTTCGAAAAGTTAACAATTGGTCTCAAAAATTACTCACTAGACCCAATATCGCAGTTTGTTACAGCATTCGTTTTCGCAGCAAGCGGCGTATGAGAAGAAACTGTCCGCAGATGGATCGATGCATCTGAAATAGTTTTAGAATTTTTAGAAGAAAAAGAAAAAACCCGAATTTTGTGTAAATGCCAGATTTTTGGGGTTTTCCGAGTTGCGAAGCGGAAACGCGCATGTTCGGATGGCAAGAAATTGAATTACGCGCGGGCCGACAGGCGCACAATATGCATCATTATTATTATTATTAGTTTGGAACATTTGAATAATTTGATTGATGATGGGCGGTCACCAATGTGAAGTTCAAAAATTACTTTCTTATAAATAAGTTAAAATTGAAAATCGAGAGATTTTCCGGAAAACCCGCAAAAATTGAATTTAAACTTATTTCTGTGTGATTTTCAACCTCGGTGTTTGCGGATGTCATCAAGCTACCGTACCCCACAAATTTATTTCAATGGATTTTTTTTTCAAATTTTCCGCTTTTTTTTCAATTTATTCGCGCTGAAAATTGTTTTGTTGAAAATTTGTTTACATATTTCTTTACTAAACGCGATTTGCATAATTTTCGAGCCCACTGCCGACACGTCCACTATCCCATTCATTGCTAATGCCGAGTTAATTGCGAAAGTCGCGACGTCGGTCGTCTCGAGTTCACCATCATATTTTTGCGCGTTCATTATGCGCAATAATCATTATCTATGCGAAGCCCGACATATTAATGTGCGATTATGTGTATAGTTTTGTTTTTAACGATGAGTTTAAAAACCACAAGAGTTCATATAGAATTGTGCTATTTTTGTTGATGACGGATGACCAAAAAAAAACGCTCCCCGAAAAATAAAATATAGCGCGCGTGAGCCCGATTCTTCGCTTTTCCGGTTAACAAAATAGGCATTGTGTGGCGAGTAGCGCGATCGTTCCGACGACGACGACGATGATGATGATGATGATGATGAGGCGAGACACGACAACACCACAACCAAAAAAAAACCCGAAAGAGAAGAAGGCGAAGAAAATGGGTAATTCGACCAACACCATCACACCATGCCCTTGGGGAAACTCGCGAGAAAAGAAAATGTTGAGCAAAAGACGAAGTGAGTGCTTTTTTTGTAGATTTTCGAGTAATTTGATTAATTTAATCATCGTTTGGGTACTGTAGAATTGCATTTGTGTGTGCTCGTCACAACGCGCAAATGCACCATCAATTTCGAAGTGTAGTTTTAATTGGACAAATTATTTTTTCCTTCTGCTTCTTCCCGTTGCTTCCCCCCCCCCCTATTTCCTATTAGTGTCGTTTACTCATCGCTGCTTTTTGTCGTGCCCTCACAATCTTCTTTTCATTACGAAGGGCACACATATGCACACACACACACTCATACATACACGACGACGGCGATGCTTCATTGAAAACATATACATATGAAAAATGGCGGGGTTGCTTCTGTTTTTTTAGTAGAAGAAGAAGAAGAAAAAAAAATTAATGAATGCCCTAACTAGAAGAAGATGTTTCGCGGGTGGTGCGGGTTTTTGGTGTCTCTCTCTCTCTCGAATAATCGAAAACGACGAGCAGCTCGTTTTTGTAACCGACGAGGCGAACTTGCAAATTGGATTTTTGGGGAAAATCTTTTAGAAATCATAAGCGGCGGGGGTCTCTTTTCCTTCTTTTTTGTTGTCGCAATACAAAAATTTCCAGGAAGAAAAAGTGCGTTTAAGAGAGAAAGAAAAAAATGATTTATGTATCGCGTTTTGAAAATAGATATTGCCGCCTTTTTTGTTTTGCCGCCGTTGAAGTAGTATATAAATCGTGCTTTATGGTCCCCACGCGAGAAAACGGGGATGGGGTGACTTACTAGGTAACCCCTTCCCATGTAGGCTTTTGAAGCAACACAATGGAGTTGGGCTTGGTGGAATTCTATGCATTTTACAGTTTGCCTCATCATCATCAGAAGCATTGGAAAGGATTTGAAGGGTCCTTGAGCGAAAATAATTTCGTCCCTCCCCCCCCCCCACCCCCCGCCCCACGGCTCAACTTGAAAAACATACATGTCCGCGTAGCATCCGACATCCGACGATTCGGTGGCGGCGATTCGTTGCGAGACCAACGCGATGCTCAGAAGCGCGGCGATGAGGAGATTACGAGAAACACCATTTGGGACCATCGAGCCATACCCAGGAGGAGGTTGCCTGAAACGCGTTAAAGATGACGGACCCAAAATCATCGGACGAAATGAGAAGCAGCCGGCAGTGGCGACGGCGGCGGCATGTGTTTGGGTGAGGGGAGAGGGACCCTCAAACCCCGCCCACTTTTTTTTGCGAACGCGAAAACAGGAAAAAATTAGGGTGCACATATTTATTTTTATATGCGTATTTATGTTGGGCGGGTTTTTTTTTCTCTTTTCCGTTTTGAAAGAAGCAGGCAGGTACTACTCGATTCGAAAAAAAAAACAATTCGAGAAGAACTTGCGGCGGCCGAAGAAAAAAAAATGAGAATGATGATGATGATGATGATGATGATGAGAAGGAGGACGAGAAGAAAAATATGGGGGGACGACGACGACGACGAAAATAAATGTGCGCGCGGATTGTTATGTTAGACGCGGCGGCTCATTCGTCGTCGTCACCTCGCCCCTCTCCTCCAATTCCTCGCCGCCTTCCCCGCTTAATATCCTAACTACTAATATGGCTCATTATTTGAAGACGATGCCCCTTCAATACATGTTAGTGAAGATGGGCGAAATGAGAAGAAGAAGAAGCGGTCGGCGAAAAATAAACATGGCTGGAAGTGGTCGTCGTCGTCGTTGTCGGTTTTGACACGAAAATTGCTGCCCGACGAGTTGGCCAAACTTGACACACGAATGTTTATTATTCTTTTTTTTCCGGGCTCCGAGCATTTGATTTAATTGAAATTTTGAGGTTTGGTTACTGTAGATTGGTATATGGTGCATGGCGTCGACGCGAGAATTCACACCATGTTTGAAAGGCGAATTTTTAGCATTGATTTTTCTTTAGCGAATATCTAATTTTTTCGAATTTTTATAAAAATTTCAAAAAAATGGTTTGACAACATTTTATTTTCATTTCTTTTTGGCATTTTTGTCTTGGAAAAATTTGAGAATTTTTAATACCATTAAAAATTCCCAGATTTTTTGTTTCACTTTTGAATTAGACAATTTTTTCTTCAATGTATCATTTTTGGCTACTAATTACTCAAAAAAAAAAGAGAAAATTTGAGTTGAAAAAATGGGCGAAAAATTGCCCGAATTTCCCGAAAAATATCCGGAGGAAGTTTTTCAAGCAATGAATACTGTAGATGTTTAAAGGCGCATGTGGTAAAATATTTTTTCAATATGTAATTTTCGTTTCGTTCATTTATGCCGCTTTATAATTTGAAAAAAAAATTGGATTTCGGTTGGCTAGTGTGTTTTTCGTTAGGTGTTTTGCAAAAAATTACCTGAAGCGCACATTTTTTGATTTTCCCGAAGGGACCTTCTTATAAACAGATTTCTTTGATATTAATATTTGAGGAAAAAGGGAAAATCGGAAGAATTTGAAGATTTTTAGATTTTTTGTTAGCATAAAAAGAATTACCTTAAAAATCGTTTTCCATTGCGTGTTGGTCTCGTCGCGACGTGTCCCCCTAGTATATAAATATAAGAAGTCGAGCGGGCGGGGCGTTTCTCATCAAATTTTGGCGGCCCACCACCACCACCACCACCACGACTCCTCTTCTCCCCCAAGAGGGCGATTATTCAACATCAAGTAGTTCATCAACTCTCGCTTCAAAACCGAAATCGTTGTGAGACGACATGATTGAATAATAATTGAGTCATAACGATTCATTGATTGTCATAGATGGTTCTAGAATGTTTGTCTATGGGAATATCGATTAGGTCATCATTGGTTTCGAAGTTTGGTGTCACGGGGCTACACAAGAAAATAATGAAGTTGTGATGGGATGTGATGGGGGGGGGGGGACCTCGAGAAAATATTAAATTAAAGAAGTGAAAATGAATAAATTATGATGATGATGAGGCGCGTTTTGACGGATTCGCTGGTGTGGCGGCGGCGGTTTTCTTGGGCAGCGATGTCAATCGCATGAGTGTCACCGAAAACGGATGCGAGATTTTCAAGTGCGAAACGTAGAGCTCGAATTTTTCCGAGGTGAAGCCGCACTCCTCGCACACGAACACCTAAATGTTTACAATTTCGATTGGAACCGGATTTTTCCATTTTAAAGGGAGGTGGGAGGGGGGGGGGAGTATCCTTTAATTGTATAAAAATGTGAATCGAAAAAATATTTAAAAAAAAGAACGAAAATTCGACGTGAATTCGTCGCTGATATCGTGATGTTAACAATTTTTGTGTATTGTCGTCAAATAAAATGCACAAGTCCGCAATGATTTCAATTTCGCCTCGGCAATTTCCCATTTGAAATTGGGCATTCAAAATGCTCAATCAGATGAAAATGACACGTTTGAATATACTAGCCGTCAAATAGAATGCATTTGGTGTAAACACGCAGAATGTTAATTTATGGATATTAGTTTTGTTTTGTCTCAAATGCCTATTCATTGTCTGTTAGTTAATGAATGACACACAAAAAATATGTGAAATGAGAAAATAAAGCTGAAAATGAAATTGCGGACTTGTGCATTTTATTTGACGACAATACACACATTGTCCAATTTGCGATCTTCTTTTTTTTTTATTTTGTCGATTTCTTAGTAGTTTTCTTGATATTTTTATACTTTTAAAGGTTACCTCTCCCCTTTAATCGGCTTGTGTCTTCCGAAATTTGGGACACGTATTGTCGGCGCGACCGCGGAAAATTGGTTGAATGTCATTAAAAAAAAACACTGACAGTGGTCTTGGCGCGAAACCAGGTGTAGATTTACGGGCTTACGTATACTGATTAATTAAATTATTGTCGGCGTCGCGCGACTTGAAATTCGCGAAATCAGTGTAGATTTAAATGTTTCGTTGACTGAATATTTTAAATGCGCGTACGCTATAATGCAATGTACGCAGTCTCGCAGTACTCTCTATTTTTTAAGTCGTTTGACGCCGACAATATGTCAGCCAATTTTCGGCATTCGCGACAATATGATAAAAGTTTGCATCGACTTTGCCTTATTTCGACGCTCTTTGTAGGCGTATTGATGCGAGATTCCGTGCACTTTGCGAAGGTGCGATTCGAGTGAGCAGCGTTGGGTGAACGACTTCTCGCAATGCTCGCATTTGTAGGGACGAACACCTGAAACGAGTTGAGATTGAGCTACTACGGTGGAATGAGGTGGGCAGGGCGCCTCGGGGGCGGAGCCGAGGCGTTTGTGTGTGTGTGTGTGTGGAGCGCATTTTTTTATTGGACCACTGAGAAAATTTGTGAGCACACTCTCCTACGTTGACGCGGGGAATTTGAATTTTAATCGATTTTGAGGGTTTTTTTTTTCTCGGCGAGACCCTTTGACTCTGGTAACCCAAAAACGAATCTCGTACAAAATATCGGTGGATCAGATTTTGAAATTGTTTCCATTTTTTTTTCGCCTCCGATTGGATTTGATTTACCAGAGTGCTCGTAAATCGATGTTTGAGCTGATATGTTATAGTCGCCGACTGACGAATTTGAGATAATTTATAGGCTATATTAGATTGAGCAAAATTTGCTCGTAATTTATTCCGTACGGATGGTTGAATGGTCTCGAGGCGAAGAGCTGAGACAGCTGCGTGAATTTTCCTCCGCTCGTAAATCGACACAAATTTTGCGAGACCCAAATCTAGAGCTCGCTATCGGCACTCGGCTGATTTCAACTATATTATTATCATCGATATGAATTTGTGGATCATTGAATTTTTTTCAAGAGCGGCAATTTAAATTTGAATTTAGACGGCGGCATTTAAATAGAAATTGTTGTTGAATATAGATAGACTGAGCTTGGCAATTGGGTAGATCAACGAATTTGAGTTGATACACTAAAATCTGTTGCGCCTTTAAAAACAGTTTTACGAAAAGTCGTACTCTTCATTAATGACTTCAGTCTGGTAGGATTAAAAAAACGAATTCTTCTGAAGGTTGGTCCCGTCGCGATTGATTACGGTCGAATCAATTCACAATCGTGTCATAATTGTGGCGCTAAACAAATATTCGTGTGAAAAATGGAAATGTTTGATTTTTTTTTGGGTCCCGTTGCGACAAATCAAAAAATGACGAAGAAGACGAAGGGAATTAGAATTCGCGAAAAATTGCGCGAAATGCGCAAATTACATTGTTTCGCGCGTCCGAAGGACGACAAGTCGCCCGGACCGGAGGACAATAACGGCGGCATCGCGGACTACGGTAATTTGTTCTGTCTTCTGTCTTCGTCTTCTTTTTTTTGCTTGCGTTCGTCTTGAGCGGCGAGGCGAACAAATTATGAAGAATTGATGGCGCTCCATGTATACATGTGTCCATTAGAGAATCAAACAAATTACCTGTATGCGTCCGCGTGTGTCGTTTCAAGTCGAAAGTGTCGTTGAAGCCCTTGCCGCAAAATGTGCATAAATAGCGCTTCAAATCGCTATGACATTTGACGTGGCGATTCAGAAGGCGTTGAAGGTTGAACTTCTGAAATTCGACCATGTTGCTCGCTGTGGTTTGTCATCGAACGTGTGTCACCTTGCCGCAAATATGGCATGATAGCGTTTCGGACTCATCGGAACTCGTCGCGTGATTGATCGATGGAATATCGATGGAATTGAGAAGCGGCGCCAGCGGGTTTTTGACGCCGTAGCCGCCGTTGACGAATTCTACCGAGCTTGATGGAATGATGGGCTGGAAGAGAAATGAGGTGATGGAATTGAAGATTGGATTATTGATGAATTACATTGGGTATGGCTGCCGGCTGAGGTGATACCGAAGGATTGTTGTCATCATCAAGGAATCGCTCGATAAGAAACTGAAAACAAAACGAAGAAATTGAAGGATGAAATCGTGTTGGCGAGATTCACACCTTCTTCGAGCTCGCCTCCTCTTTTCGCCGATTCGTTGAGTTGTTGTTGGTGAGAATCTGCAAAGAATCGAGGGTTTGATGAACTCGTCAGACGTCACTGGTAGCTCGAAGCCAATCGGACCATTGCAATCCGAATGGGGTTTTCGAGACGGCTAGAGATTTGGTCTCACTTGATTGAACTGATTGAGGAGCGAATTTTGATCGGCGATTCCGAGCAATGGCAGCCATACCCTCGAGTCCATTCAGTCGAGCCTGCAAAAAGCGGAAAATGGTAGAGAATGAGCCGAGAGCCCCTTCCCCCCCCCCTTTTCGGGCTGGAGCCAGAACGCGCACATAATGATAAGGTTTGCGACGGCGGCAATTCGAGGCAGACACATTAAACGAATGGATGATGATGCTGTGTGGTAGTTGGGGGGGGGGTGACAAAAAGCTGGCACGATGGTTACGGTAGCACTTGACGATGACAATATGGAAAACACTTGAACAGAAGTAATCGACACCAGAAACGAATGAAAGATGTCTTTTGGGGGTGGTGGGCGGCAGGAACGTCGAACGCGCTTTAGAGGAGTTGCGTAACGACCGCCGAACGAACCGGAACGTTTAATATCGGATGATCTTGGATTAGAAGGAGCAGCGGAAATCGAGTAATGACGCCTTTCGTTTTACAGTAAGCGGTTGCAGCCAGCAAACCTAATGGGGTGTTGAAACTGTGAATACGAATCGCCGGCCGTCTCTTCTGAAGGCACACCGTGCTGCATTTATGAAGCGTGACCACCAACAGGGGCCGACGATTGGCGAAGGCCTTTTGAGAAAAGAATCGATCCAGTTTTTTTTCGCCCTCGAAACGCGATGCAATTGATACGGGTGGCCTACCGTAATCTCTACCGTAATCGCAATTCAAAATCAGTTGCTGTTCGCGTTGGGGTTTTTTTTTGTTCGTCGAATGGGACAATGGCACACGACGGGTATATTTATTGCGGACTTTTGAGAATTGAATGGAATAATACACGAATTTTTGATGCTCCTTTAATCGAGTTACGGTAGTTTTGAACATTTTGCGAAATTGTTTTGCGTGTTCCTTTAAATCAAACAAGAAGAAGTATTGCTTATAATTTCGATGCTCTTTGGAATGGAATTCATTCTTGAAGCGATGGCCTCGATTTTTCTTCAAGAAGCCCAGGATAATTCAGCAGCAATATCGCGTTTAAAGGAGCTTATCGTAATTAAAGGAGCATTGACCTTCGGGAAATTTGTTGGACGACACACTATATTTGGACAAACGAATCGAGAGGCGGAGAAGGGGGGACGAACAATAAAAAAAAATGGAGGAACCGGATGGTTTTGCAATTCATCGAAGTAATCTACCGGAACGTGCGCGTCTAACATTTTTCATTACATAAATATATGGATGATATGGGAACGACATGACGAGGAAGCAAAAAAAATAGTTGAAGTCAGAAGTTTTCTTGAGGATGATGATGATGATGATGATGATGTCGATTTTCGGTGCAACTTGAACAAGGTCGATCGGTCGGTCGTCGTCTTTTTGTTCTTCCACCACACTAATTCTACAGTATATTTATAATATATACACGGTGGAGGAGGAGGAGGAGGAGTAGGCACCCGCAATTTATTCACAATAGATTGTCGGCCAAGTCGTCGCCTATTATTAAGTTTCACACGATTCCATTGCGACGACAAAACAACCAACGGCGAACTTTGAATCGGGTGGCGGAAAGAGAGAATCAACACGATGATGCCATTTATATTTTGATGATAGCAAAAATCAACAAATGAAATTTGGGATCTCCTCGTTTTCGGTGTATCGGTTGCGTTTGCGGCATAGACGTTTGAAGCGGGCGCTTTTCCTCAACTCCATTGATTTTTCGAAACGATCAACGTATTCGGAATATCTGGAAAATGTTTTTGTTTTTTTTTTGTTTTCAATTATTTTTAATTAGTAAATACATTCGCTCAAGAAGTTGTTCATCGGTTTCGTTGGGCTCCTGCGTGAAATACGGCAACTTGTGGTATTTAATATGCCTAAAAAATGCGGTTCTCTTTTTTTTGCGACAATACTCACTCATTTCCTCGCCGTTGCAACGCCGAAATGAATGTGCTAATCGCGTTGTTGAAAAATCGCACATGCTTGTGCTCTTCACCATTCATTTTTTCCTTAAAATTGTCGGATAATCGATTTCCTTATTTTTTTTTCTTTTGTTCGAATTTTCCACTAACCATTGGATCCGCCCAGCACCACGAGAACCAGTGGACGTTGACGTTTCTCGATTTGGTGATTTTTGCGACAAGCGCGATGCATCTGTCAACAATCAATATTTCCGAGACAATCGTTTATTGCGAACTAACGTTAGTACTGCTGGAATGGTGGCGTTTTGCGAGCCGCCGAACGCGAATGCGATGTGTTCGATGGTATTTTCGAAGCGCATCACCTCGTTGACGAAGAATTTCAAGGCGGTGCTGAAAAAATGCGGAAATTTTTGGAAATTGTGCAAAAAAAATGGCCAACAAGCAATCATCTCCGATGTCGATCGGCACCGCTTTCATTTCGAAATCGCAAAACGTTTTGGGCGAGAGAAACGCGAGACGCCAATCGTGGAAAACTAGCGCTTCTGGAATTTTTTTGCGCAATTTTCAATTCATTCTCTTTCGTGTCATACTCGACATCCTTCCCGAGAACTCGATGGTGTTTTGCAAATCCGCCGCCAATTCTTCCTCGATTTGAGCCAGCGTTCGCACGCCGCAGGTTTTCCCTTTTTGCTCTTCGAGCTCAAGCCGTTTGAGCGCGAGTTGCCTTGAATGAATCAATTATTCGGCAATCCGAATGTTTCGATTCATACTTGCCGATGGCCGTATCGAAAACTTCTCGTTTCTTCAAACCAACCTCCCTACTATAACCGGGTCGAAACGCCAATAAAATATGCTCCATTGATAACCACATTGCGGTAATAAACTTAAAAAAATATTCGTTTTCTTTGGAGAAATATGACAATGTTTCAACTCACATCGTCTTCTTTCAAATCGTCATGATACGGTGTGCATCGATCATTGCCATACGCGAATTTCCAGCCGAGACGGCCAGACGCCAATCGGGGAATATCCCCTAGAATAATTGAGATTTTGAATAACGAAAAAATTGAATCGAATCTACGTTTCATTGCGGCCAATTGGCAATATTTGACCGGTTCGCTTCGTTTCGGAATGTGGCTCGATTTTTTCAATCGAATCGGCGCCAAATATCCCAAACCCGAGATGATTTTCATTCCGCGCGCCAGCGAGGCGTCGAGAATCGCCAGTGTGCTTCCGTCGTCGCCTTGGGCGCAATAATGGTCGACGGCGTTGCAATAAATTCGCATTGTATTTCGGGGATCCTCGAAGTCTGGAAAAAAATATAATTTTTTTTGCGAATTTGTGGTCTTGACGCGATTTTTTGCTTTCTCAATTTTCTTACCAACAAAACGCACGCGTTTTCCGTCAAAATCAACGTCCATCGGCTCTTCTTTCACTAGTGGCTCGAGGCGCGGAATGGCTCTTTCATCCTCTCTTTGCGCGATTTTCAAAAAATAGCACTGTAATGATGTTTTGTTTGATATTGCTTCGAGAAAATCACACAAACAAATGGTGACTCATCGTCGGAACTATCAGAATCCGACGGCAACTCCATTAGTTTTCGTGGTCTTCTCTGAGTCGCCGTTCGTCGTCGTTGCTGCGGCGCCGCTTGCTCCTCTTGCCACACGTCTTCATCGCGCTTCACCACAATTGCCTGAGGCGACGTCGATGGTTTGAGGTACATGGCATCTAGTTCGCGTGTCAGCGCGTCCATCGTTTCGTCGCTCACGTAATTGCGAATGCGCGGTGGGCTCGTATCTCGAATTTCGCTGCTCAATCGCAATGAAGCGATCTAGAACGAAAAATTGTTAGGCTCCGAAACAATATCGAATATTTTACAGTGAGCTCGTTGGCCATTCTCTCGTCGCCATCTTCAATGTGCAATTTATTCTTGAGCAAATCGACAATTTCATCGTAAGTCTCTTTCTTTTTCTTCTCGTATTCTCTAGAAAAAAAAACCCAAATTTGAGTTCCCGCCAGCTGCTAAACATATTTTTTAATATTATTATTATTATTACAATTTTTCTTGTTCGAATAGCGACGGCATATCGCTGAAGAGATGGCGCCGCATATCAGTGTGATAGTCGATTGCTTCCACATAGGCCTCATCGAACGTGCGCTCATTGAGCACATTGTCGATTTTCAGCCAAATGCTGACGGCTTTGAAAATGTATTTCGAGTTTTCGACAAGAATCTGATGGATTTGGCGATTGCTCGCGTCGTTTTCGATTCGCTCAAATAGCGCGCGATGGCGTTGCTTGATGTGCTCTTTGACGTCGTCCAAATCTGAAAACCAATGGCTATTGTCAAAGTTGCGCGACTGTGAATGGCGCGGTCTACTGTCGATTTGGGTCTCGCAACACATGTGTCGATTTACGGGGATATTTACGCCGCGTTTTTAAGTGGATCATTGTCCGCATGAAGCACACAGTGCGCCTCGTCGTAGCGAGACCATGTCAGGCATTTTGCCAAAAAAATTCGACACACCGACACGACACCGAAATTCCCACCATTTCAATCGAAATTTGAATTGCCGCCCTCGAAAAAGTGCGATGGTCCACAATTATTCAAGGCGCTAGGAATATTTGATGATTGAAAAAAAAAACAATTTTTTGTGGATCGCTAAAATTCTTCTGGATTTTTGTATATGCAAATTTCTCACTTTCCCATTCGTCCATCATTTTTGCGAATTCGTTGTTCTCGCCGGCGAAATATTTGAAAATGATTTCTAAATAGTTTTCGTAGTCTTTGGCTTTCGCCTCGTCGCCGATTGTGTATTTTTGAACTCGAAGCATTTCACGAAATCCTTCTTTTAAGCAATTTTCTGGAAAAAAAATTATGAGATTTGATTATTACCCCCAAAACGAGTCACTGCTTCGCTTGGGCTCGATTCCATCGTCATCCCTATCGGATTCGAGTGTTCGATAGAATTTTCGTCGTCTTTCGATTTCTTCTTTTTTTCGCTGCTCGCGTTTCCTCTCGAGTTCCTCTTCATCCTCGGAGGACGATGATGGTAGATCCATAAGCATTTCTTTAAAAAAAATTTCGATTACGGTTTTTTTGTCAAATGAAACGCAAACATCAAACGAAATGGAACCGGTGGACCATTTTTTAGAAGAAAAAAAATATTTTAACAAATTTTATTTAAAAATTCGGGAAAAACAACATTATTCTTTTTGTTTCATTCAATAAATAATTAAACACAAAAAATCCTATAACAATTTTTCAAAAATGATCACATAATTGCCCTGTTCTTTCGCCACACTAATTAATTTGCAATTCGGAATCGCCGCGATCAATTCCTCAGCTTCACCCTCTCGAAAAACGTGATAATACCTATAATAATTGATTGAATCGTCGATTTGCTTTTCGAAAAAAAGAACGGACCTCAAATATGTCTCATTTTTCTGGTCGATAATCCAAGGGACCAACACGTCCTGCTGCTCGAAATCCTTTCCATCGTGCACTTTTAGGCGATCATTCTTCGCATTTTCGTTGGCAATTTCGTCCTAAAACGTCGAAATAATTGGACCAACGAAAAAACAAAAGTCGACCTTATTGCCGCGCATTTTGGCGTATTGCGATTGCGATTGATCCATCGACCAGACCGTCACACAAATTTTTCCGCCGGATTTTGTGACCTATATCAAGCGAAAAAAAATATTTGTCAATTGAAATCCACGCTAAATTTTGAAGAACCCTCAAAAGCTCGTCAATCATCCGCTTTCGTCGTTCGAACGTCGCGATGTGATGAAGGACGGCGATCGAGATGGCCGCGTCGGCCGACTCATCGCGGAATGGAAGATTGAGCGCGTCGCAGCGAAAAACGAGGCAACCCTTGAAAATTGGAAAATTGTTGAGGAAAAAATTGACCACAATCAAATATCACCTTTTTATTGGCAATTTCGCACAATCCTTGACACATGTCGCAACCAATCTATTGGGAGGAAAATAAATATCATATCAAGAAAAGCAAAATTCGAATTGAATAATTACCTTAATCAAATTGTCTTTCGCCACAAGATATTTGCCATTACCACAACCGACATCATAAACTACACTTCCTTTTGGAATCTCGTCGATAAATCTGAAATTGTTCGAATTTCCAAAACCGGTTTTCTTTTCGGCCTTCAATTGACCTTTGAACCGCCTTCCAATTCGAATGTCTCGTCTCGTCGAAATGCTCGGCGATGTTTTCATAAACATCGGAGACGTACGAGCCTTCCATTTTTCTCGCCAATTCCTCGTTTGATGGCACTTTCATTTCACCTGTGAGCGTGCGCCTTTAAACATGGTCCCAACACCACAAACTAAGCAGCATTAATCATTACCCCGCCTATCCCAATCGCAATACTCCTTCCACGCGCATTCGCAAGGTCTCGTGCGGATTTTTCGAAACGTTATCGAGATTCGCGGTTTTCGCGCCATCACTCGATCGGTGAGCGGATCAACGTCGAATTTGCGATTCACAATGCTGAAGCAAAAATTTTTTTGCGCGGAATTTGCCGTGTAAATGATACCCATGCTTCCAGCGATATCGCGCTTCACCCTGAATCAGACATAGCGAGCGCCGTTTGAGAAGCACTGGCACGATTCTTGCCGAATTCGCGCCGTCTTTGAATTCCATCACAACGTTGGATTCAAGACTGCAGAAAAAAAATGATTGAGAAAAAATGAATTTTCTGAAAGTACCTTAGGGACACTACGGGATCCTCAAATGCTGAATGCGTGTCGTAATGCGATGGTATTCCATGGCCTGGATCATACAAATTCGCAGTGATCTAGACATTTTTTGAATTTCCAATCTTGTTTAAATCGTTTTTTTTATTACTTGATCCGGTTTCTCCTTCATTATCCCATCCGTCATCATTCGTTCGATCAATTCCTCCAAAATTTCGGGAATCGGTTGAGCCGGCTTGAAACTGCTCGCCGAGTTCGTGTCATAGTCAAACTCGTTAGCGAAATGAACGACGGTTCGATGCTTTAAGAATTGCACTGCAATTATTTTGGTATAATTGAAATTGTTCAAAATATTTTTCAAACGATTCGCGTGATTCCGTATGAATTCGATGAGCGCCTTCTCCTGCTTCTCATCAACGTATTCTTCGTGAATTTCGAGATCGCCTGGTCGATAGTTTTCAACGAGTCGCTCGCGTGGCACTTAATTGATACCATATATAATTAAATGAACATAATCGTCTCACGATTTTTCACAAAAGTGATCACGAATGGCTGATGGGATTGTTTCAGCGACGGATGCACGAGTCCGTTCAACTCGTCGCGAATTTTCAGCGCTTTTTCCGCCGAGCTGCAATGCACAAACGAGTAGGAGCGTTTGCACGGGTAGACGATGAACTGGCACTCGGCGTCGAGCGGCAGGAATATGTGCTCGAGCTCCTCGAGCGACACACCGCACAAAACACTGCTGTTGCTCACCAGTAGGAACTTGAATGAAACAAAACGATTGTTAGTAGTGAATTTTTTTGCTGAATGGATGGCTCACGTTGGTTGGCTCGGCGGATGGTTCGACGTCGGGATCGTGTTTCTTCAGTTGCTCAATGCTTTTGTGCACCTAAACGCCAATTACGAGAATTGTATGAAATGGTGGAAATATTGAACGCCCTCTATTAGCAAAGCGCCCTCTATTAAAACCTTTTTCAACAGTTTTCCGCCCTCGAATCGCTGCCCGATTGGCTTCGGTTTCTCATTATTGAAATCTGAAATTGTTCAATAGGATTTGGATTCTTTTTTGGTGAAGCTCACACATTCCAGACGCTCTGAAATTATGAATATGTGTTTAGCAGAAAGCGAAGACCATAAAAGGAAATGTAGCTATAGAATGGAATTATGGGAGAATCCATGTCGAATGAAAAACGCGATTGAAAATTGTAACAAATTTATGGTTTCTTTTTTAAATCAACAAAAATGGGATCACTGAACAACAATGCGAGGTCGTCGTCGTTCCCGCTTCACTTGATGCGCTTCGTTATTGTTGGTCCATGGTCCGAGCGAGTCATTCGAATAGAAATCCATCGGCCAGAATTTGGTGGGCACCGGTATCTGAACGAATCAATGAGCAAAAATCAAAGCGGCTCGTTTTTACAGCATCCAAAGCCAATGCCAACTCGAAGGGATAGAGGAGGGGCTTCGGGAATTGGGATCCCCAGTCGATCGACAATCGCGGACACGCCACCTGTATCCAGCAATCGACGTCGGCGAACAACGCGAGTTTGTCGGGAATGATCTCCGAGAGGAGCACACGCGTGAAACTCTTGCCCTTCTCTTTGAGACGCCTCTCGAGATCGTCGAGAATTTTCGGATTGCCCTGTCGTCCCAATGTTCCTTGAATCAGACCGAACGTTTGGCAACGTTTCGCGATCTCGACAGCTTCTAGAAAAAATTCGTTTCATATCGGAAATGGGCAAACGTGCATTTGCGAATTGTATACCCAGCCGATTTTTGCGCATTTTCCCGTGATCGTAGTATTCTCGAGTGAGCTTCCTCGAATATGGATCATATTGGAATGCGGGAATGTCGGGATTGTGCATCATAATCGATTCGAGATGGAATCGGCCGTCACCGAGATAACTGAAAAAAAAAACAAAAAACATCAGTTATTCAATGGTATCAATGCGATTCACATTATCGAATCGATATTTTGGCCGTCGAGTTTTGGCGAAGTGCACCCAAGAATTTCACCAGGCGATAATGGTTTGCATTGTGGGATCACGATAGTTGTATCACTTTCAGCAAACGCGATTTTAACTGTCTAAAATATTTTTTTTCGAAATGATACTACAGAAAGGGGGCGGCGCCTTGGCGGGAAAAATGTGATAATTGACTTTTTATGAAATGCTCAGACGCAAAAAAATGTTGGCAAAATGTCAGAGATGGTCTCGAGGCGAGAAATTGTGTTTGTGCACTTCATTCAAACAACGCTGCGTAAATCGACACTCAATTTTGTGAGACCCAACTTTTTAAATAGAGCGCAACTCAAAATTAAATCAATCACTATTCATTTTTTTTTCAATGAATGAAGAGAACCTGTAGCGATGGGATGAATTGCACTGTGCTGACGACGGCAATTCGTTGACGTTGAAAATGCTGCCTGAAGCGAACTCAAATTTTCGACCAATTTAAAATGTTGCAGTCGACGAAATACCGTATACAATCGATGAAATGCGACAAATTGATGTCGATGTTGACGAAAACGTAAAGCATCGCGATTCCGTCGGTGTTTTGAATCGGCACCAGACAACTGTGTCCGTAATGGACAAGCAAATCGCAGCCTGAATCGCGACGGGACCCATTCGAGTCTCATTTAATGGGTTTTACCTATGGATTTCGCCGTGAAATCGTCGACACAACACGCGCCGTAGGTGACGTCGCCCATAATCACCGTATCGCAATTGGTGTACTTTTCCAGAATATCGGCAATAATGCAAGAATACATGATGAGACCTTCGGGGAATTGAAGAGCCACTGGAATTTTCGGTATTTGATGATTTTTTTTTCATTTCGAAAAATTTATTCACCATATTTGCTATCTGTGCTGCGAATCTTCCAAATTGTCTTCGCAATCTCGAAATTGTAATTGGCGGGAAGCTGAATTCAAACAAATTTTTGGTTGTCGAAATGGTTTTTTTAAAACCGATTTCAAATCCTCGATGAGATTCGGATCAGCGGCAATTTCTTCAATTTGCGTTGCAATTTTACCGCCGCGCTGCATCTGAACAACGAGAAGACGACGATGATTTTATTGAATGGTTTTTGAATCGAATCGATACACAAGATCGTTGTCAACGACTACAAATAACTGCTCCCAACAATAATATTTGAATCAATCATTGTTCAAAAACAGGAATAGTTTAAGAGATCGGTAGTAAAAATGGTTAAAATACGAGAATAGCATAATTAGTGAAAGTTATGAAAATATATATAGAAAATTATTAAAATGTCAACAATTAAACATCGGATTTCCAAAGTCGGACGACGGTGTCTGGCTCGAGTCCACCTGAAGCGATGATATTCTCCGATGGATGACAGTCGGTGGCGAGAACACAGGCTAAATATTCAATTTCTTATTTTTTCTATGGAAATTTGATTCTTACAATCGTGTCCTTCCAATTGCTGAACAACTTCTTTCGTTTGCAAATTCCAAATGAAGATTTTCTTGTTCTCCGAGCCGCTGATTATCCATTTTCCTCCGGTAACTGAGAAATTCGCGAAGATGCAATACTTGGTGTTCTCATGGCCCGAGTACTGTTTGAGACATTTGCCCTTTTGGAAATCCCACAATTTGAGTGTGCTGTCGAGATTTGAGGCGAGAATGTACTTTCCGTTTGGCGAGAACTTCACAAACGCCACCGGCGGATTGTCCTCGTCGACGAGCGTCTTGATGCATTGGCCGTTGGCGGTGTCCCAAATGCGGACGAGGCCGTCGTAGGAGCCGGAGCAAATGAGAGCTCCATCTCTGGAAATTTTCGAAATTTCCGCATTTATCAACATTGCAAAAAAATACCTGTTGAATGAAACCGCAGAAACTGGATCGGAGTGAGCCGGGAGAGTTTTTATACATACACCAGTTTTTACATCCCAAATTCGGACCGACTCATCGAATGAGCCTACAATCAAACCAGACGTCTGTCGTCATTTCAATTTGATTTATACCTGAGACGACGAGAGATGATTGTGGGTTGAAATTGCAGCAGAATGCATAATTTGAGTGACCTTTGAGAGTTTTCAAAACTTTTCCCGATGAGGCATCGAATATCTAAGCATTAGGTTGGCATGTATTGGAGTTTTTTTTTTTTTTGAAAATTACTTTGAGCGTTTTGTCGTCGGACGCGGACACGATGAATTTGCTGTCAGCGCTCCAGGAGATGTCGTTGATTCCAAGTTTGTGGCCGACGAGTTGTCGTTCGCATCGGGCGTCTTCGACGTGCCAAATGCGAATTGTTTTGTCAGCCGATGCTGTCGCGAGAAATTTGCCGCACGGCGAGAATTTTACCGATGACACCGATTTGGTGTGGCCTTCAAGCGAGCGAATCGGCTGATAATTGGGCCACTGAAACGCACAATCATGTCATTTTAACCGTAAAAAGCTTACATCCGCAGGCCTTTCGACCGTTTTCACGGGTGTCACCTGTGCAGTCGGCTTAAGTGCTCCGTCTTCGGTTTTGACCAGTGTCGCTTGTGCATTTTGAGCGTCGGAAGTCGTCTGTGACATCGCCCTACACAAAAATGATGGAGTTTGACTGAAAATGAGCACAATTTACGGAAAAGCGTCGAAAATAATCTGAACCACCACCAATTGCAAATTGGCGGTGGAGCGCGTTTGCGGTTGCGCGACGAATTTTAGGCCAACAAAAAATGTTTCAAACTTTGAAAGTTTCGAGGCGATTTTCGCGAATTTCAACATTTTCAAAATGAATTTAGATGTGAAAATCATTGACAATACTTATATAAAACTTGAAATACGATGTTGAACCAAGGGAAAGGCGCAAAAAAAAGAAAAGATAAAAAAATGAAGTTAGATTTTTTGAGTGTTCGAAAATTTGTGAAACGCGTTCATATCGGTTTCGATTCGACAAGAATCACCAAAGGAGTTAACTAACTCAAGAGTGTTTACTCTAGAGTAAACAATTAAGTGCGACCCTGTTTTACAATGCTTTTATGCCGCGAAAATATGACGAGAGGATGGTTAAGAGAAATAGACGCTCTAGAGAGTAATGAGTGACGATTTTTCATGCTTGGATTGTTTTTTTTCGCTGATTTGAAAATTAATTTTGTGTGTTTCGGGCTGAAAACGTAATTTTAATATGAATTTCAATTACAATTTTCAGTTTTTTTTTCTATTAATATTATTTTCAGGTCATCATCGCGGCGCTGATTTTCAAAAAATGGCTTCGTATGTTGAATTGAATTGAAATTTATATTCCTAGTTTTATTATTCAGATTTTTCGGTATTAAATCTTCCGATTATATGAATGTTCTTCTCGGAATTGATAAGAATCCGGAGTTGGAGAGCCAAATTCAATCTGTGAAAAAGAGATTTGAAGAATCCTATGCAACGTTGGTCAATAAAAGTTTTGATTTTGCAAATTTATTAATATTTCAGACGCGAATCTCCTGATAGTGCTGATAGTGACAACTTCGAAGCAGAAGAAGATGACACGGAAACAGACGAGGTTTGAAAATAGGAAAAATCAAAATTGAACAAATTAAATTGAAATTCTTCTAGAAAACTTCAAAACCTACAAAAGTCGTGTGTTCTGAAGCACCAAGGAAATTCGGAAAATCGATTGTTAGATTTCCAAGAAGGCGTTTTGCAATAGTAAGTAATTTTTCGTAAAAAAAATTAATTCAATTAATTTTAAATGTTTAGAATGAGGAACACGTGATGCATCAAAATCGCGATTCTTTTGATACTTGTTACTATCAGCGGCCATTTCCGAAAAGTTTTTCCGATAATGGAAATGATGGGCGGTACGGATCGGCATCGGCGATTCTGCAAAAAATGTTTCCAAAGTAGCTTCTTTTTTTTCGTTTAATTGATATTCATTAATTTTTTATTCAAATTTTAGTGTAAATTCGGAGAAGCCTTGGAGAGAATTCCCGGCTTACACGATGAACGAGGAGCTGAAAATCGCGAGAATTTCGAAGAAACACGCGTTGATTTTGAATAATCTTCAAGAAATTTGCGATTTGCTTTATCGCGATTATCGAGAAGAAAATGAATCGACAAATTCGAGGAAATTAATTTGTAATTATGTAAATAATGTATTTAAACCGTCACAACAATTAAATAGAGGTAATTAATGCAATTAGTCTAATGATTAATTTTTTGGTGTAATTTTCAGAATTTATTTCACTGATACCCAAAAATTCTTCTGAATTTTGCTCGGGATTCATGACGACGCGAACGTTTAGCGAAGCTTTACTACGACCGGTAATTATTGGTAATTATTAATCTCGTTTTTTGAGAATTTTTTAATATACCAATTTCAGATGGAATTTCTATTCACAGAGGGCTTAATCGAAGAAAAAAACCATTGGAAATATACCAAACTTGGCTATACTGTCAATTATTGATCGAGTTTATCACCGAAGGACATCAGACAACAATAGCTTTACCTGAACGAATACGGGAAGAATTTGAGAAAAAGACTTTAAAAGTGAATTTGGAAAAAAAATCATTAAAATAATTTTTTTAATTTTCAGGTTGACAATATCGATTGCTTCGAAACACTTGTGAAATTGGGACTGATTGAGTTTTTGAATTGCGAGAAGCGCGAAGGTTTAAAATCGTTGGTGAAAGAACGCGAAGCGATTCTTATCGCATTCACCAATAAGAATTACCGAAATACGGTAATTGAGTTCGAGTTTTGGAGCGATTTTCTGAAAATTGTCATTTTCAGGCGACTTCGGATGTGATAACGATAAGTCCGGTTTTTCGCGAAAACCCAAAAAATTGGACTATTGTGACGCCGTTGTGTTTTTCGTATTGGGATGAAGCCGAATGGAAATATGTCGAAATGTCGGCGGAGAGAATTAAATTCTACGACGAGGACACGACGAAATTGGAAAAGTGGAAATTGATGTCCCATCAGCTGTTTCTGGTCGAGCAGGTCCATCAAATCACGTGCCTGCTGAAATTCATTGTGCCGGAGTCTGTGAAATGCTGGCAGATCAAACAATTGTTGTATATTGTGAAGCGGCACTCGACAGGCATCGAATTGGGCGTCGGATTTCGGCAAGAGGACGTCGAGGAGCTGAATCGGATCAGGAAGTCTAGAGGCGCAGGTAGGTTGATGTTTCTCGAAACTTGCATAAAAATTCTAGATTTTTTAGTACATCCTGATCAAGTTGCAAAATTTTTCGACTTTTCCGATCTGCCTAATACCCGATTGGTACAGAAAGATTGGGTGAATGAGGCACAACTAATATTTGATGATGATTTTTAGACAAAAAAAATTGAATAATCTCAAAATAACTGTATTTATTTGTATTATTATTATATTAATTATGAGAATTGAATCAATTTCAATTAGTAAAAAACGATACAAAAAATTGTCGAAACAAAACAGGGCATTTGGAGAAGAAAGGCAGTTAAATAAGTAGGTATCACACGAGAGTTGTTTTTTTTTTCAAAAAAAGGCAAATATAGCAAAAAAGGAAATTTAGAAAAAAAAAACCGAATTAGGCGCCTATCGATTCTTGAGGCACACCTGGCATCTCGAGACGCGGTCTTTGAGACCACCGGCCTTGAGTGTCTGCGACATTGGTTTGCGGAATTGTTTGTCTTGGTCGACGATCGAGAGCCAGAAGCCGTGATTGGTAGCGTAGTAGTTGCACGTGCCGCGTCCGTGGCATTCGATGAACGGCACCGCGCGGAACTCTTCGAGGCACGAGCCCGGCGATTGAAGCGATTGTCCGGTGCCTTCAGCGCCGGCGGCGGTGTGCATCACAAACGAGTAGCCCGTCCACATGCCGGTCCAGCCTTGCGGGCATTGCGGAACGCTGATGTCTTGCGAATGGACGGCGATGATCTGCGTTGGGACCTCGCACACGGCGCATCGAGAGATGTAGGGTCGGATGGCGGTGCCGGAAACCTAGAAAAATTGATGATAGATGAATCTCATTGGGGCGTCGGGCTCACTGGATTCATCATTGGTGTCATTGGCTCCTCGGTCGACAGCCAGAATGAGTAGTCGTTGCGGCTCGACACGTGGCAAACGCTGTTCATGTTGCAGAACATGAATGGCATCGTGTTGAATTTGGAGAGGCACGAACCCGGCTGACCTGAAATCGCGTACGATTGTCTCGAGTCGGTCGAATCGACGACTTACCGAGATCCTGTCCGCTGGCGCGTCCGTTTCCTTGCACGTAGAGAAGCGAGTAGCCGTTCCAGAGCTGACTGGTGCCTGGTGGACATTGCGGCACCGTTGTGCTCTGCGAGTGTTTGGCGAACGTGAAACCGCGACTCGGCGCCCATGGTCCCGGTGTTCCCGGCGTTCCCGGATAGCCCGGTGGTCCTGGATGTCCGGGCCGTCCGAGGCCTCCTTGCGGTCCCGGCTCGCCGATGGTGCCTGGCACTCCTGGTGTTCCCGGCACTCCTGGGAGGCCGTCTTGTCCTGGTGCTCCTGGATAGCCGGCCTTTCCTGGCGGTCCTGGAAGTCCTGGCTCGCCCGGAACTCCCGGATATCCCTTTTCTCCTGGCACTCCGTTGTCTCCCGGGGGACCCGGCGGATTTGCGAGCACTTGAGCACGCGGTCCCGGTGGTCCTGGCAATCCTGGCCGTCCGGGAATGCCGTCGAGTCCGTCGCGTCCCGGAAGCCCGTCGTCTCCGCGTGGTCCCTTCTGTCCTGGCAATCCTGGTGCTCCAGGGTATCCGACTTCTCCCTGTCGTCCTGGAAGTCCTGGCAGTCCTGGAACACCGCGCTCTCCCGGCGTTCCTGGGGTTCCTGGTGGTCCCGGATATCCGGCCGGTCCTTCGTCACCGCAATCTCCTTCGACTCCTGGGACTCCATCGATTCCTGGCGCTCCCGGTGCTCCCGGTGCTCCGTCGTGTCCGCGCTTTCCGTCGATTCCCGGAAGACCCTGCTCTCCCGGATAGCCCGGCATTCCTGGCTCTCCGTGTTGTCCTGGTGGCCCTGGTGGTCCGAAGTAGCCCGGTGTTCCCTGCTCTCCTGGCAATCCTGGGGTGCCCGAAAGACCGTCGGCTCCTGGATATCCGTTATCTCCGGCTGGTCCTGGTGGTCCGTAAGCGTCAGTTCCTGGAAGACCCGGTTGTCCGTCGTCTCCTGGCGCTCCCATTGGTCCCGGGGTTCCATCGCGTCCATCAATTCCTGGAAGTCCAGCGTCTCCTGGCTCGCCACGAAGTCCTGGGCTTCCTTCGCGTCCTGGCAGTCCGTTGTCTCCGTTCTCACCCGGTGGTCCTGGATAGCCAACATCACCCATGGCTCCTGGAAGTCCCGGGGTTCCTGGGTATCCCGCTGGTCCCTCATTTCCGGCTTCTCCCTTGAGTCCCGGAGCTCCCGCTTGTCCTGGCGCTCCTGGGAATCCGCTCTCTCCCGGCAATCCCGGGTATCCCTTCTCACCCGGCTGTCCCGGAATTCCCGGCAATCCTGGTAGCCCTGGAAGTCCAGCTGGTCCTTCGTCTCCGCAATCTCCCTCGAGCCCTGGCGCTCCTGGGAGTCCGTCGTTTCCTTGACGTCCCGGCAATCCCGGCATTCCTCCTTCTCCCTTGAGTCCTGGCATACCAGTGGCTCCCGGATATCCCGGTGGTCCTGGGATTCCGTCGAGACCATCGTATCCGGCATCGCCTGGTGGTCCCTGAACTCCTGGCTGTCCTGGATAGCTGTCGCCAGGCTCTCCTGTTTCTCCGTTGAGTCCTGGAAGCCCGTCTGGCCCTGGAAGACCTGGTGGTCCGTCAGGTCCTGGATAACCAACCTAAAATTAATTGTTTCGTTACATTCAAAGAATCAATAGCTCTTACATCTCCTGGTGCTCCCGGGTAGGCTTGATTTCCCGGCTCTCCCGGTGCTCCTTTGTATCCTGGCAGTCCAGCGTCACCGACTTCTCCAGCGAATCCTGGGAGTCCGTCCTTTCCGCGAAGACCTGGCATTCCGTCGGCTCCTGTCTCTCCCGGATATCCCGGAAGTCCGTCTTGTCCGCGATCTCCCTCATCTCCGCATTCACCCTCGAGTCCCGGCAGTCCGCTGTCTCCTGGTGGTCCATTGAGTCCGGGGAATCCGATGAGTCCGTCCTCGCCCGGTGCTCCCGGAATTCCCGGAACACCCGGCGGTCCTTGCGCTCCCGGAATTCCTTGATCTCCCGGCTGTCCTGGATATCCGTCCATTCCGTTGGGTCCCGGCGATCCGCTCTCTCCGGGATATCCCGGCACTCCTGGATTTCCGTCTCGTCCCGGCGCTCCTGGACGTCCTCGCTTTGCATCCAATCCAGCGATTCCGCGCTCTCCAGCCGGTCCCGGAAGTCCTGGCGGTCCGTCTGGTCCGGCCATTCCCGGCTCTCCTGGATATCCAGGAGTTCCTGGGAGTCCGTCGCGTCCTGGATATCCGTCTGGTCCTGGCAAACCACTGTCTCCAGTGTCTCCCTTTGGTCCTGGGTATCCGACTTGTCCTGGGAATCCGTATCCGGTCTCTCCTTGTGCTCCCGGTAGACCTGGTTGTCCTGGATAACCATCAGCACCAGGTTCTCCGCAGTCTCCGTCGAGTCCGTTGAATCCGACTTCTCCTTGTGGTCCACGAAGTCCCGGCTCGCCATGAAGTCCGGGGAATCCTGGAAGTCCGTCCATTCCGCGTTCGCCTGGTATGCCAGGGATTCCGTCGGGTCCAACCGGTCCTGGAATTCCTGGAAGCCCGTCGGCTCCTCGATCTCCTGGAAGTCCTGGAACACCGTCAAGTCCCGGCAAACCAGCTTGCTGATTGATGATGCGCTGTGGCGCTGGGATTCCTGGCAATCCGGTGGCTCCTGGGAGTCCCGGAAGACCGTCTTCTCCGCGTGGTCCTTTTGGTCCTTGTGGTCCCGGCATTCCCGGAATCGAATCTCCGACTGGTCCTTGAAGTCCCGGAAGACCGAGCTAGAAAAAACAATTGAACCGCTAGAAATTGAAAAATGAGCAACTCACGTTTCCGTCGCGTCCACGTTTTCCCGGAATTCCTGGAAGGCCGACCTCACCCGGCAATCCCGGGAATCCGTCAGGTCCCTGACCGCCAGCTAATCCTGGAGCTCCTTCGCGACCCGGTTTTCCCGGAATTCCCGGAAGGCCGCGTTCTCCTTTGGCTCCGTCGACGCCTGGCGGATTCTCCATTGGTCCGATAATCTCTCCGGCTTCTCCCTTGAGACCTGGGTATCCTGGAATTCCCGGTAATCCAGGCGATCCCTGAAATTCGAGTACTAATTGAGTTTAGTGTAAAATCGAAACTTACTGGAAGTCCGTCTGGTCCCGGCATACCCGGCTTTCCTGGGATTCCCGGCTCTCCGCAATCACCGTGGTCTCCGTTCGGTCCTGGTGGTCCAGGATATCCGTCGACTCCCGGACTTCCGCTGTCTCCCTTCTCTCCCGGAGCGCCGTCCGGACAGTAGCCGCAGTCGTCTCCTCGTGGTCCCGGCTCTCCCGGCGCTCCCGGATAGCCGTCGATTCCGATGCGTCCTGGCGGTCCTGGCTCGCCCGGCAAACCGGTCATTCCCGGTGGTCCGACCTTGTTGACGCCGGTTCCTGGGAATCCCTTTTCACCCGGATTTCCCGGATCTCCGATGTCTCCCGGCATTCCCGGATAGCCGTCGCGTCCTGGTTGTCCGTCGAGTCCTGGTGGTCCTTGAATGTCATATCCGGGAAGGCCGTCCTCTCCGGGAAGACCGCAATCTCCTGGCTCTCCCGGCAGTCCCGGCTCTCCGGCGAATCCTGGATAGCCGTCATCTCCGCGATCTCCTTTCTCCGAATATCCTGGAAGTCCGTCAGGGCCTGGAACTCCTGGAAGTCCTGGCGCTCCAACAGGGCCGCGTGGTCCCACCGGTCCGGGAAGTCCGTTCTTTCCTGGCAATCCTTTGGGTCCTTGAACACCGTCGTATCCTTGTGGTCCTCTTGGTCCCGCATCTCCTTTGCCTTCTCCCAATTTTCCCTCGGGTCCACAGTCTCCCTCCTCTCCTGGCCGTCCTGGATATCCAGGCTCTCCAGCTTCTCCCTTAACTCCTGGATATCCTGAATTTCCCGGAAGTCCTTGTTCTCCTTGCGATCCCTTCTCTCCGTAGCTTCCAGGCACACCGTCTTTTCCGCGTTTTCCCTGAAATCGTTGGAATATTCGAGTGATCCTCCGAATCGACTTACTCGTTGTCCGGCGTCTCCCGGATCTCCCTTTTGTCCCTTCAATCCCGCGTATCCCGGAAGCCCGTCAACTCCGACGAATCCTGGTGGTCCGACTGGTCCCTCGCGTCCTTTTTCTCCTTTCACTCCTTCAAATTGAATAAATAATTGAATTCAGAATAGTAAATGATTTAAGCTTGCCTGGATTTCCGACTGGTCCTTGAAGGACTTCCATCTCGATCGGCTTCGAAGCCCACGGGTAGGATCCTGGTGGTCCGGGTGGTCCTGGTGGTCCGGCGAGACCCTTCTCTCCTTTGACTCCCGGCGTTCGCACACCCATGCGACCCTTCAATCCTGGTGGTCCCGGGAATCCCGGAAGGCCCATCGGTCCTGGATCTCCTTTCGCGCCCTTCAATCCGGGGAATCCCGGCTGTCCTGGCATGCCAGGGATTCCCGGCCGACCGGATTCTCCTTTCTCTCCTTTGCGTCCCGGCGAATTGATACCGCCCTCACCCGGTGGTCCGGGCAATCCCGGCCGTCCCGGATTACCGGGATTTCCGGGCAATCCCGGCGGTCCGGCGATACCCGGCAATCCGGGGAATCCGTCGGTTCCGTTACATCCGGGAATTCCCTCCTCGCCTTTCAGTCCTGGCAGTCCGTCGAGGCCTGGAAGACCCGGATGTCCTGGCGCACCAGGAAGTCCGCGGTCTCCGCGTGCTCCTTTCGGTCCAATGTCTCCGAAATCGCCTTCGGATCCTGTCATTCCCGGAGCGCCGATTGCTCCTTCAGGTCCGTCGAGACCTGGCGGTCCTGGATGTCCTGGCTCTCCAGGAAATCCCGGATTACCCTGAAAGATGGAATAAATCAGACGGTTGTGATTGGTGCAAAATCGATTACCCGTTCTCCTTTTGTTCCTGGGCACACACATGGTGGCGCACATCCTTTGCAAGCAGCAGCAGCATCAACTAGTAATCTTAAAGGCGCATACGCAAATGGATTAGTTGAATGTTATGACCTACCTATCGGGAAAATATGCCGCCAACACGATGGCGGTCGCCGCGAGAGCGAGAAGTGAGTGCGGCCGCGTCATGGCCACGAATCAGCTTCTCGTTCCACTGCTCAACCCCAAATCCGCGCGCGCGCACACTGCAATTTATAACGTTCGAGATTGACGGCAAATAATTTGTAATAAACTAGGCGAGGTGAACGCGAGGAACTCGGCGGGGGAAGCGAGAGGCGCGGTTGGCGAGAGTGGAAACAAGCGCAGTGTTTTTTTTTTCTCGCGGTTTTACAAAACATCTGGGGCGACAGACGTTTGGCACCTGTATGCGCTTCTACAGTAACCGTCGCGATGGGACCCGGCGATTAGTTTCGAAAAAATTGATCGCGCCCCTCCCCCTTATCCCAACTTTCATTGATCGATAGAATGCGATGTGTCATCGCTGGCTGACACAACAGATGCAGCATATGTTGGGTAGCAGCGAGAGGCAAGAGCTGGAGCAGCGTTGCGTATTATACGTTGAAGTTCGAGGACAACTGTGTGCGGGTCATTACGGGGCACCCGCTGCCAGTTGTCTTCATCTTCCTCTCTCGGGGTCACACAAACACTTTGGTTTCGTTTCGGTTTTGACTTGAACGATGAGGGGGGTGATGAGTGCAAAAAATGCGATGCACTTTATTTTTGGTTTGGTTGCATTGCGCGAGATTTTCGAGAAATATTGATGCTTTGGCTGTGAGCGAGCGGCAACTCGGCCGCTAGGTGTGCAATCTTATGATCTACCTAATCTATCTGATCCCAATGAATTGGGAAGAATTGCGTTGTGCCGAAGATCAAGAAGCTTAATATGCACAGAACAAATTTTTACGTTTTGTGGGAAATTTTTAAGCGAAACAATACGAAATTGAGTTCAATGAAACATGAAGGCTGAAATCGGAGGAAACACGGAAAAGCGAAACGTGGAGGAGGCGGCGGGGCATAATATCGAGCATCGGCGGCGGCGGCGAGTCGATGCGTCGCTTCTCTCAATAATATTACACACCGGTCGTCGTCCCGTCTTCATCGCTCGTCCCATCCCTCCTCCCCTTCTCCATCTGTATGATTTGAAGGCAAACGGCTACGGGGTGGAGATTCGAAAAGAGGGCTTTTGCGAACAGGCGTGTGTACTTCGGGCGTCTCCGCGATCGCGGTGCTCTTTTAGTAGAAAGAGGAAAAGGGGGCTCTCCGACGATCCGCAACATTTTAATGATGATGATGATCGATAATTTTAGCAATTGAAAAAAAAAACTGGATTTATGGGAGCACGGCGTCTTTTGATGGTGGCTCAATTGCGGTATGTAGGCCTGAAATTGTTTTTGAAAAAAAAATGTGTTACTGTAGCTCGACGGCTCGGTGTACGCACACTTGCGCTATAATTGACGACACTTTATTTGAATATTTTCGAAAAAGAATGTTTTCTTTTGTTTTCTATTTTCCTTTTTTTCTTCTTTCGTTTGCAGTTTCTTCAATTTTAAAGTGCAGCGTTGTTTACATTTTCATGCCATATGCTCAAATCCTCGCCGAAATGTTTATATTTATGGACAAGCGCGATTCGCGAAACTTGAAGAAATTTTATTTAACCATAAGCAATTATAAGAAAAAAAACTTAACAAAATCGAGATACTCGTAGATAAAAAAAACAGTCTAATTAGGTTTTAAATTGAATGAAAAAACGAGCTTCCATCAACGGGGTTAGGGAATCAAACGATTAATGTACAAAACCAAAATAAATTTCTATTCAACCGATTTTCTACGAAAATTAAAATTGAACTGATTAGCGATAAAAATTCTAAAACCGTATACTAAAAATTTGTAGTCAATAAATTGCGTAGATTTACGAGTATGTGAATTCGCAGAAGAAAACCTCGTGACCAGGATTTTCTCGTAAATCTACACCGACACAAGTGCCGAAAGAAACTAGTGAAACGTTATTTTCAATGATATTGATGTGTTTTGGTTCAATCAGCGTCGAGCAATTTTTTATGTAATGGTCTCGCCACGACTTCTACTGCTGAAGATTGTTGAGTTTGGAAAATCATCGGGAGAAATTTTGCATTTGCACATTTAACATTTCGATATTCGTGCATTTCCCAACAATTTTAAATAGTTTTGCAAAGTGACAAACTAAATTTTGGAAAAAAACGAAGACAAAAGAAAGTGAGTTTATAATTTCAGCCGATTTTCCATTCGCTGCCGCATTTGTTGTTGCTCTTTCATTCGGTTTTTGAGCACCAATCCAACAGGTAAAAGCTGAAAATTGAACATCAAATCCAATATCGCGATTTAATAATGGGAGATGTGTAACATTTTTTCTTTTGCGGCAATCACCTACCCTTGGATCGGTTTTTTGTGTGATATTGGTGACGCAAGACTTTGACGTCTTCTGACATCCATTAGTGAGAGCTCGTTGGGCCCATTCCGGCATTCCTTTATCCAATTTGATTAGTCGTGTCGGGTTCGTCGAGGCGGTGATCTCACCATTCCTGGTGATCACCTTTCTCACGATGTACCGCTTCACGGGAAGCAGTCCATTGTTGGTGCGTGGCGACGGCGGCGGCGACGCCGACGCTAGATTCTCCGGGCGAATGTTGTTCGGCAAAGGCCGCTTGTAGAATATTCGAACAAGACCATTCGCGCTTCTTCCGAAGAATGGAGTTCGCGCCGGCGGTGCCGCCGCCGTCGACGTTGGCGGCGGCGGCTGAGCGGCCACTGGACACGAGACGGCCGGCGGAGGCGACGGTTCGGCGGGCTGCGATTCCTCGGACGATATCTGCAAAATTTTGGAGAATTGCGACCAACCCCATTCATATTGTGTATTTTACCGTTATTTCCAAAGCCGGCTCGGGAACGTCGTGCTCAATCACACTGGAAGTCGGCTCGACGGGAGAATCCGTCTTGGTCGGGCTCGAGATGGTGGTCTCCAGGCACTTGATGACGCCCGCCGCCGAATACCGCGTCATGTTATCTTTTCGTTTCGCGTTCGAATTGTGCTGCTCCATTAGATACTTAAAAATGGCCTCCTGAGCGGAAAGCGCCGGATTCGACGAGATATCCATGTCCTCCGAGAACAAATCTTGTAGACCCTCGAGAACCGCTTCTCGTTTGACGTGCTCGACGTTGAAGTAATCGCGAATCCCTTTCCAAACCAATTGGCATTTTGCGTCCAGTTTTCCGATTGGGCAAGTTTCGAATAATCTCTTGTATTTTTCGAGGCAAGTTTTCCATATCTAAAATTGCAATTTTAGCGGTGTTGTTTCACAATTTTGTAGTCGGCGCCCGGCGACTACTCTACGCGGGTAGATTTACGCGCATGCGCCTTGAAATGGTCTCGTCGCGTGTGAACGCTTGTTCAGCTGATTTCACGTGAACGGTTATTTTTTTCTTGATGAGTTTTGTATTTCCTCGAATTTCCAACGTTAATCGATATAAAAATAATCGAACCGACCCATTAAATGCAAAATAAGAAGTTTATCCGCACGAGACCATAGCGAAGGCGCAAATTCACCCGTGTACAGCAGTCGCCGGACGCCGACTATAGCTCCTTACAATATTCTTCAAATCTTCTTTGCACTGCCGAAGCGCGATCACCTTCTTCTCCATATTAACCGCGGCGCAGTGTATTACATAACACTCGCGTTTCAATTCGGACCTCGTTAATCGTTGGAGTAGGCGACTTTTGGCCGACGCGAAATTTGTTCGCCCTTTTTGCTTTATCTGTAAAAGGCAAACAAAATACTATCAGTTTGACATTAAGAGAGGAAGTGATTGCTAACTTAAACGAAAAAAATATGAATGACTCACATATTCGTTTTTGGTTTTGATCAGCGTTTCGAATTCTTGTTTCAGCGCGTTGAATTCTTCCTTTAAAAAATTGAATAAGATATATATTTTTTTAAACATGTTTCCCACCTCGTAGGTATAAATAGGCGCATTCCATTCAATATTGTGGCAATCAATTTTTCGTCTTCGATATTCTTCAAACAAAATTTCAAAAATGTGCTTGATTGCTTATAAATACCTTCGAAAATTGGCTCCAAATCGGGAATTGATTGAACCTTCTCGCTTTCGCCGAACAACGCAATATTGATGACGTGAATCATTTCAATATTTTTTTGAATCGAAAAAAATTGAAATTCAGTTTGCGACATTAATTACAAAGAAAAAAATGGGCTTACTTGATCCTCGATATTGGTCCCATAATATTCATTGGCCTCGTAGCACAATCTCTCCAATTCCTTCCGCTCAATTTCCAATCGTTCGCGACAAAATGCGATTTCGAGTCGGTTCCTTTCTGTGTAGTTTCGCGAATTTCGCGAACTCTCCTCTCGTCGTTGTTCGAGACTCTGAAATCAAGAATGAATGTTGAAAATTCTGTTTTTTGCCCCACCACTGGCGATTTTCGTCGTTGGCATGTTCGCGGTTTTCGTTCGGCGTACTTTCTCGAGTTTTTGAACATTTCTCGAACGGTCTGTTCCTCCTTTAAATCGGCATCTTCAGATTCCTGCAAAAGTTGTTCTTCTTTGTTTTAACAAAATAAATTCTTAAAATATCACCCGACCTCCTTTTTTATCGAAATTTTACTTATTGACGAATCGACGCTAACCGGTGATATTGATTCTCGAGGTATGCTTCTTTCATAATCGTCAGATTTCTCTAAAAATGAAAAAATTTCAAAAAAGAAATTGAGAAATTTGTTGAGAAAATCTTATAAGATTTCCAAAAAATTCGAAAACTTCTCGATGAGTTTTTAAAATTTATTGTTTATTGATAAAAACTATTTTCAAAAGTCTTTGAAATATTTTAGATTGTTTTTTGTGGGCAAAAAAATAACAAAAATTAAAAAAATATTTGTTGCATTGCCCTTTTTTAAAAAAGAAGAGAAGGAAACTAACCGATCTCAACGGTCTTCAATTTTTTTTCGGCATTCCTCGAATTCCTCAAACATCGCGCCTTTTTCGCCGCCGGCATTTGTGCGTCTGAAATCAGGCGAATAGTATGAGCAATGCGAGAATTGCGTGTTGTGTCGACGGCTTTCGTCGCCTGAGTCGCGTCGGCTAGCGTACGCGTTTTCATTTGCCACGGCCCGTCTATCGATTAGTGAATGCGAAAACAGTGTGCGGCGGCGAGAGATTCCGACGACACACGGTAATTTCGATCTCAACTGAGCAATGGATGGACGATGTCGCGAAAAGTGAAATGAAAAATGAACGGTGTCTATATTTGAAGTTATTTGCTTAAAATGAGCAAGGCTTGATATTAAAAATGTATAGAATGAGGAATTTCAAAAAAAAAATTATCGATAAGAAGTTATCAGTGATCACGAAATAGTTGTCTGGTCGTCTGAGCGTATTTCCGCCAAATATTTTGCTTAGAATGGGAAATTTTCTTAATTTTAAATTTTTTTTAAAGAAATTTTAAAAGGTATGACAGTTCCTAGAAAGATGTGTTAAAAAAGAATGTTTCTTTTGAATTTAAAAAAAATTTCAAAACTATTTATTAATTAATTTTTGTAAAATCAGGATGATGAGGTGTTTTAAACTTGTTGAATGAAAAGGGATACACTTTGGGACGAGCGAAATTAATCTTGAAAATCTAAAAAAAATTTGGGCGAAAGATTGTTTGGTTGAAGGATACACCAGACAGTTAGACAAAGCTAGGCCTCTTTTTTTTTTCGAATGTCGGCCATTCGCGCCGCCGAGCAAAATTTTGAATTTTTTCGTTATTTTTGCGTTTCAGAATATGAATAACCTTGTTGCGAATTACGCGGATAGCGATGATGAGTCACCAAGACGACGATCGTCAAGTATAATCCATTTATTTTAATTTTGTATCAATGGAATTTTTGAATTTCCAGGTATGAAAGATGATGAGGAGGTTGTTGAGGAAAGGAAGCGCCGGAATTCCGAGGCGATGTTCGATGATGATGATGATGATGATGGGGTTCGTGGGGAATCTGCGAAGAATGGCAACTTCTCGTCGGATGATGATGATGAGTTTGCGGAACCGCCGCCGCCGAAACGACACGCCGACACACCGTCGCCGGGAAATGTTCGAACGCCGCAAAACGTAATGCCTCATGTAATATTGCTCAATATTTCGACATATTATTTTTATATTTTTTTTCTCAGACAAGTTCTCAAGCTTCATTAGTCTCGTATTCCGGCGATAACGATGATGAGCCAGAAGGTGCCCGAATATAAATGATGTGTTTAAAAAAAAATATTTTTGTTGTTGAAGAAAAACGAAAAATCGAGGAGGACACTCCGCAGCTATCGGAGCCGAAGCCGCCGGCGCGTGTGAGTCAGGACGAAGACACAGATGAGGAAGAGAGACTAATTGATTTGGCGTTGGAGGAAAGCAAGCAGGCGATTTCAAAGGTTTTTTTTTGCTTTTTTAAAATATTATACCACGTGGCGGTGACGCGTCCGCGCGCGTCGAAAAAAATGCGCACAGAAAAAAATTGTTGGGATTAGTTTCAGATGAATCAGGCGTTGTCGCCGGCGGGATCGGACACGCCGGCAAGAGAAAGTTCGGTGGAAAATGGGGATTTGGAAGACAAGTCCAAGGTATTTATTGGAATTGAGTTGTTTGTTGTGATTTGATTGGGAAATGTTTAGGCGCACGGCGACGCCGAGCCGGAATTCGCGCACGATGATGATATTCGAATACCGGCGCCGCCGGAAATCGACGTTGATGAGAGACTTCAGGCGAGATTTGAGGCGGCGTTTCGTCAGAAGGCGATGGGAATTAATTTGAATCAGCAAATCCAATCGCGCAAAGATTTTTGCAATCCGATGAGCTATGAGCAATTTATTGATCGATTTGATATTGATGAAAAAGGTTTGAAAACAACAATATTAAAAAAAATACTAGTTTTTGTGAGAATTTTAGGTACGAATTTTCCGTCCAATATTTTCGATCCTCATTGTATCCCGGAGAATTGTTTTTATGATAAAATTGGGGAAGAGCAGAGGAAGCTCATGGAGGCGCAGCAGACGGCAAATGCTAAGAAACTTGCAAAATGATTGATGAATAAATTTCTTGTAAAAATAATTTTTTGTTGATTTTCTTTTTTTCTGAAATAATCGTTGTCAAACGATTGACAATAATTAAAATTTTCTTTATTCAATCTTTTTTAATGAAAAAATTGTTAGATGCGCGGAAGTTATCATCCAGGGCATGGTCATCGAGAAGGTGGAAGAGCACATGAGCGACGGGGATTCAGGAAGCCGGGTAATTAATTAATTAACTTGGAAAATTGGTGATAGAAGAAGAAGAGGCATGTTTTTCTTTAGAAAATTTCGCCGAGCAGCCGCGAACGGGGCCGCTGGTTTTTGAGGAAAGACAACCGGAAGCGGCGACGACTTCTGGCGGAGATTTGCAAGTTTATAACAATCCGTATGCGTCTTTGAATATTCAACAGCAAAGGATTCGATTGCCGATTTTCAAGGTGCTCCCAATTTTAAATAATTCAATTTTTAAATAGCAAATGTCTATTTATTTAGAATCGCGCCCATATTCTATATCTTCTCGAGAGATATCGAACAGTGATTATTGTTGGTGAGACGGGTTGCGGCAAGAGTACGCAGGTGCCACAATTTCTGCTGGAAGCGGGCTGGGCCAGCGATGGAAGGCAGATTGTTGTGACGCAGCCGCGGCGAGTGGCGGTTGTGACGGTATATCGAGCCTTATTTGGTTTTGGGGGAGTTTAAATTGATTTTTTTTTCGATTCCAGCTTGCGACGAGAGTTGCTGAAGAAAAAGATTGCATTTTGGGCCATGATGTTGGGTATACTGTACGATTTGACGATGTTTCTGATAAAGACACTAAAATAAAAGTGAGGTCTTAAAAGTGATGAAATTTTAAAATTGAATTATTTTCAGTTTATAACTGATGGGCTACTTTTGAGAGAGCTTCTCGTTGATCCATTACTATCAAAATATAGGTTTGAAACTGTCGAATTCACAAATGAAATGCGGAATTTCAGTGTAATAATGATTGATGAAGCTCATGAGCGTTCTTGCAATACGGACATACTTCTTGGCCTTTTGAGGAAAGTGATGCAGGTTCGGAATGATCTTCGAATTATTGTTTCGTCGGCTACACTTGATGCTGAGGTGCGTTTTAATAACTAATTGAGAGTTTCATTATGAAATTTTGAGTTATTCAAAGAGTTTTTCGAAATGAATGAAACGGATAATCCGGAGAAAGACACTGCTTCCATTATTTCGGTTGAAGGCCGAACGCATCCGGTGGCGGTATATCACACGAAGACGTCGGTGCCGGATTATATTCAAGCTTCGGTGGATACGGTCATTCAGATTCACAAAACTGAAATGCACGGCGATGTGTTGGTGTTTTTGACCGGTCAGGATGAAGTTGAAGAGGTGATTTTATGAATACATATAAAGATTTTGAAAAAAAAAAGAAGTTTTTTTGAATTTTCCTATAATTTTTAAAGGGTGCATCTTTAACATTGTTGAGAAACTCATTATACCAATTTGACACTAAATTTTCAAATTTAATTTTATCTAAATTACGACCAATTTTTTTCATCTTGAAAAAATAAAAATAATGAAAGGAAGTAGGGAAAATTTCAAAAAAATCGATTTTTTTTCATTTTTTTGCATATGAACTACGCTTCATGGTTTTCTGGAATTTCTGCCAGTTTTTGGCAATCGTTCGACAAAAAAGGAAATTTTAGAGAATTAGATGAATTTCTGCTTTTGCCAGGTTTGCGACCGATTACGAGACGCTGTTGGCCGTTTGAAGAATGTCGGCAAATTGTGGATTGTGCCGTGCTACGGAGCGCTTCCGGCTCGCGAGCAGATGAAGGCGTTCGATTCGACGCCGCACGGCACACGCAAGGTGGTCGTGGCGACGAACATCGCCGAAGCGTCGGTGACGATTCCCGGAATTTGCTACGTCGTCGATTCGGGCTACGTGAAATTGCGCGCGTTGAACGCGAAAAACGGAATCGAATCGCTGATGCGTGTGGCGATCTCGCAAGCGTCGGCCGAACAGCGCGCGGGACGAGCTGGACGCATTCGGCCGGGCAAAGCGTTCAGATTGTATCCGGAAGCTGAATTCAAGAAGCTCATCGAAGGAACGGTGCCGGAAATTCAGCGATGCCACCTGGCGCCGGTGATTTTGCAGCTGAAAGCGCTCGGAATTCAAAATATTCATAAATTTCACTATCTATCGGTATTATTAAATTTTTTTTATTCTTGAATCATTGACTGCTTCCATTTTCAGCCGCCTCCCTCATGGGCAGTCATCAATGGGCTCGAGCTGCTCTACGCATTGGAAGCGATTGATGAGAAGTTGGCTGCAAAATTACATTTTCCTCTGAAATCGATCAAAATTTCCAGAGGTCTTCTCACGAATCCGCTGGGTGTTCAGATGGCCGAGTTTCCCCTACAACCGATGCACAGCAAATGTCTTCTGAAATCCGGCGAATTCGGTTGCAGCGAGGAGATTGTCACGATTGTCGCGATGATGCAGATTCAGGATGTTTTTGTGACGCCGTCGAGGTCGAGGCATCAAGCGGTAGAAATTTTCTCGATTTTTTTTCCAGTTCGAATTCGAATTTTTGTCTTCTAGGATGCGATTCGTCGGAAGTTCTCCGTTGAGGAAGGAGATCATATGACAATGCTTAATGTTTATACATTGTTTGTCGAGGTGATTTTTTTTGGAATTTGCCATTTTCCTTTATATGATATGAAATTTATAGAATGGGCGCAGCAAAAAATGGTGCTCGGATAATTTTGTGAATTATCGCGGACTCATGAGAGCCGACAACGTGCGAGCACAATTAATTCGGCTACTCAAACGATTTGGAATCCCGAAAGTTTCGTGCCGAGGATTAATTAGTGCGTTTTTAATTACTTTCACTGTTATATTGAGATTTTGGAGAAACAAACTGTGTTGTTTTCAAAATCTATTTACGACGTCACGCGACTGCGGATAATTGGCTAAATGTCAAAAGATTCGAAAATAGGTTGGTGTGTGGGGTGCACCTTTATATATCCTTATGCATTTTCCCGTAAATCTACACTTTTATTTTCTCCCCAAAGCCATTGGCATTGTTTTTTTTGGCATTTGGCCAATTTTCCGCGGTCGCGCAACGCCGACGATAAATTAGTATAATTCAATTTGTGCTTCAGACTGCTCGGAGAATATTCGAAGGTGCCTAGTTACGGGATTCTTCTCGCAGGCCGCACAGTATGCCCAATTTTGACATTTTCTTTTAACAATTTCTTTTTAGGTATCATTACACGGGAAAATATATGACGGTCAAGGAGAATTTCCCGTTCAATGTGTACAAAGGATCGTCGATAATGTTCAAAAAAGATTATCCGAAATGGTAGGCGGCAATGATTCTTTTTGAAATTTTTCGCTTATTTTTTACGCCAATTTGAAATCCAATGAAAATTTCAGGGTGATTTTCACAGAAGTAATGCAGGATTCGATTCGCGACATCACTGTCATCGAATCCGAATGGCTTTATGAATTGGCGCCGCATTATTATGAGTTCGGCACGGTATTGATCGGACGAGATCCTAACTAATTTATTAATTTATACAAAATTTTGAAGGAAGGCGAGCTGGCGCGGAAGCGACAGAAGACGTCCTAGAATCTCTCGGCGATCGCGATTGCTCCTTTACAGCCGGTTTGAATCACCCATTTGAGTGCTTCGAACGCGGGAGCCTTAATAACATTGTTTTATATTTCCATAATAAACTACATTTCTTATTCTCGCATGCCTTTTTCCCGTCGTGTGTTACACCGGTGTCGTGATGCTCCATTTCATCATCTCTAAGTTTTGTGAGAATTTTTAATAGCTCTTTATGCTCTTCAGGATCATCGGCGAGCAGTTCTGAAATTGGACGACGTTGAGGTAATTCATTTTCTAAAATCATTTTATATATCACCTTTTAATTGATCGTTGTAATGTTGGGTGATGAGCTCTTCGACGGCGATTGTGCACGCCATCGCGCCTTCTTTTCCCAACAAGGCGCTTCCAACTCCTAGATTTTGTTTTCAAATGAACTCAATAAAAAATCCCCAAAATTTAATCAATTTTACCGAGCGCGTAGCCGGCTAGACTAAAAACCGGCGATAATTTGGTGCGCGGCACATCGTACTTCAACGCGAGCTTCTCCATGATGTCGAGATGCTCCTTCTCCTCGTCCCACATTTTCTTGACGACAGAACCCACCGAAGATCCTAGGAATCGGAATTATTGAATTCAAATTTCGTGTGGAGTGATCCCGTTGTGGAAAAAAAAACAATTACATTTTTTGAATATTAAAAAAAAAAGAAACACCTTTTCTCATTGCTCCACGAGAAATTAGAATGGGGCAAACGATTAAACTGATATCTTTTGTATTATAGTCTTGCCCCTGTAAGATCTACCTTGTAAAACGGCCATTTGACCGGCGTAAATACGGTCGGCTCCCAATTCGCCGGCATGATCGACGCGAATGATCTTCTCGATCATCGCCTTCCTCGAATTGGTAGCGCATCGCACAACACTCCGGTACATTCCACCTTTCGAAACAATTTAAAAACGGCCACTCAGTTTTCATTCAAATATTGGAAGCAACCTTATATTGGGCTCGACTAGAACATGCGATATAAAAAAAGAAAATAAATTATTAAATGAAAGGCACGTTTTGTACACATAATTATGAAGAAATATCACAGAAAACAATCAATACTAGTTCTATTATTAGGAAATAGTAATAAATAAAGCCTTAATGATAAGTGACCCCGTCGTGTGAATGTCCGTGATGATTATTATGCCCATGATCGTGATGGTGTTCTGGAAGCGTGGCTTGAAAAAAGACGATATTAAATAAAAATTTACCTTCATCGTGAGAATGGTCGTGATCATGTGAATGTCCGTGATCATGACCGTGATCGTGCGAATGCCCATGGTCGTGGCTGTGACCGTGATTAGGAGCGGCGTGCGTGATTTGTGCGGGTTTTTGGTAGTGATCTGCACCGGTTGACCAAGCTGCGTCTTTCACAACCTAAAATTACACATTGATTAGTTTGATGTACTAGAAGAGGAACCTACCTGAACTGTTAAAACAGTAATCACTGAGGAAAGCTTTTCGGTGACTGATAAGAGAACACTTTGCTCATCGGCGTCACGTCGGACTCGAACGTCAATCGTTCCGACCTATACTAGATTCAATTTATTCGAGTTAACAGCTCAAGACTCACCAATTGATTGAAATCGAGCTGCCAGAATCTTCCACCCTTTAATTCGAGCACACCATCGATTGTAGACGCTTCTGAGATGCATCTAGAAATTAATTTTTCAATTTTAACGAGAGCTTAAGGGCATTCTTGCCTGTCGATTTGGTTTATTAGGTGTCGAGGTGTTGTTTGCAACAAAATCATTCCGGTGTAGGTGGAGAGCGGCCACATTGTCGAAAAAACAGCGACCGATAGGATCAGACAGCATACAGGATCGGCCCATTCGAAATCGTGCCTTTAAAACAAGTTGATTTTTTAAAGGTGAATTGAATCGAATACTTGAAATGCTCGCAGAGTAGTAGGAGTGATGAGGTCACGCTGGCCAACAGCACCATCGCGTTGATTCTTGGTAGAAGAAGTCTGGAAAGGCCGGGAATAATCCAGCAGATTGCGTGCGACAAATCGGCGGCGTGCTCTTGAAGGCTGGAGCTCGTTGCCGAAGTGAGCACATGTTGAAATGGTTGGTTCTTGTGGGTAAATGCGGCGAGCAGAAGACCAAGAGATGTTGAAACGGCGCCGACGAAGTAGGGCCATGATCCGATTTGATCGGACTCGTGCTCATGAGCTGGAGCATCGTGCGAGCCGTGATGATCGGGAGAAAGCAAATGCTCGAATGATTCTTTTGATAGGAAAATGGAGAAGAGTTGCGCAAGTACCTGAAATCGATTTTTCTTTGATAATGTTAATATCAAATTGTTAATAATACCGTTGAGCTGAACACAGCAAGCACTGGAGCTCGAGCTAATCCATAACTATATTTAGCGGTTGCCTTCGATGTAATCGACATGGAATAGAGAGAAGCTAGTTGCGAGCAGAATGCGAATATTGAGATCCACAGAGCTGACATGAGCACTAAAATCGGATTTTGATTCGTTTCCTTTATTTTTGTCAATTTATTTACGTATTGAGTGGCTCGCGGATGCACAATATCCCGTTGTTAGGACACATGCAAGACAACACACCGCCGAAATGAGCCCACGGTTGCCTTGTTGGTGTTGTAAGGCTATTGGCACCCACTTGAATGAGATCATCTGTAATTGATTCTTATTCTCCAATATTGAAAATATTGTTTTTCTATATTCTATTCTTTATTTGTATTTTTCACCGAAAAACGCATAAAAAGGCGAAAAAGTGCAAAATTTTTAATCTTGGCAACGTGTCAAGTTAAAGGCGCATGTGTTTATTGACACAGGTCTTGCCGCGATTTTCTCTGCTTTTCTCGAATTTTGAATTCCTTTGCCGCCGTCATTTTTTTCTTGCGGCCAGCGTGTTGCATTTATTAATTTCAGATTTATTTAAAACTTTTTTTCAAATCAGTTTTTTTTTCAAAAAGAATTTTAAACTGAGAGCACCCTTTAAATCGAGAAAACAACATTTAAATTGATTTTTGGGATCCCGATTTGGATTGTTTCATTTTGCTCCTATATTATACATTTCTCAATTAAAAATTATCAACTGTGTGAATATTTGAATGATATACTTGTGAACCCTCCTCGTTTGCACTTTTGGTATCCAATTTATATAATGACTGATGTTTCTTACAGAAAATGGCTAAGCAACCGCAAGTTCTATGGGCTCAGCGCGAGAACGTTCTATTCTTGACATTCGAAGTCGATGAAGCCAAAGTTGAATCATTGAAAGCTGAAGGCTCGAAACTTCACTTTGCGTAATCATAATTAATAGCGATTATGAAATAATACTATTTCTTTAGCGGTACTAGCAAGACCGACAAATATGAAACGACTTTGGAATTCTACGATGAGATTGACGTAATTGACATATTTAGAGAATTCGCAATTATATTTATTTTAGAATGAGTCGGTCCAACGTACTGGTGCAAGCACTCGCGTCGTCGAAGTGAGCATTAAAAAGAAGTCTGCAGCATGGTGGCCACGTCTATTGAAGCAGGCTGGAAAGGTATAAAACTTTGTAAAGTATTAATATTAATAGTAATATACAGGTTCACTGGCTCAAGGTCGATTTCTCCAAGTGGAAAGATGAGGATGATGATGAGGTTCCAGATGATCTTGGTGCGGCTGGTCTCGGAAACGGTTTTGACTTGAACCAGTACATGTCAAGTCTTGGAGGAGCTGGAGGAGCTCCAGACTTTGGAGGCCTCGAAGACGAGGACGAAGAAGGTATGTACGCTCGAAATAGCGTTTCCTCATTCCTTATTTTTAGACATGCCGGATCTCGAAGACAACGATGAGGGCGAGGAGAAACAACAAGTCAAGGCTTAAATTGGCCTCTCTTTGTCTCTTTTGCTCATTTACATTCTATCACCCACCATTTCTATTATCCCATTTTTTTTCCAATTTGTTCTTTTCTCTTTACAATCTCTCTCGTTTTCCCGCGTGTGAGCCTGAATCTCATTAGTTTGTCGTATTCTTATATAGACGAGATTTATCATTGAACGCGAATCTCGAAAGCATTCGTTTTTGATAATAACCCGCACCGTTTTGTCAATGAATAAATTATTTCACTAAAAGCTTTGAATATGCATAAGGAAAAGTCTAAAATTTCTTTTCTCTGTTATTTAATCGTAGGTGAAAAAGCGCTGTTGGTATTTATGTGAAATGTTTAAGGTAGATTCCAGATGGCAGAGTATTACTGCCCTTTATGTAGTGATACAATTGAAAAAAGTTCAACTCATTTTCTAAAGCATTTCAAATACAAGTAAGAGCGTAAATCGTTTGAAGATTTGTATTTAGTTAAATTAATTAAGAAAATATTCGTGCGGCGATGATAAGTGCGATTCTCGATTTTATACGGAAAATGATCGAAATGCGCATTGTGAGGAAAAGGGACACAAAAGGAGTTTTCAGGTAGTCGCGCAGAAAATTCGAAATGTTGCAATAAAAAATTCAGAAAGTTGTAAACCCTTATGTCGACATGCTCATCGAAATGCTGTTGAAGGATGTTGAGCTCATCAATCAGCATGATTTAGAGACTGTTGTGAATTTTAGGCTCGCTTCGCTTCAAACGACGTAGGCTGAAATTCGGTTTTCGTGAATTATTTGGTTATTTTAGGAAAAGAAAAACGCCCGGATCACCAATTAAGAAAAACACGGAGAAAAAGATTTCGTAAGAATTATTGTTATATTAATTTTTTGATCTATCTATTAAGGGCTAAAAAAACAAAAATTGTTAAAAAGGTCAGCACGAAGAAGAAGAAGAAAGTGGTTAGTGCGCGCGATGCGGATTCAACCACCCCACGTAATTCAACATTTTTTGTGATTTTTTTTATGAAATATCGAAGATTTTAGAATTATCTGAAGCTGCGACGTCGGATCCTCCGAAGAAAAAGAAGCGACGTTCGAAGATATCTGAACCTGCTGATTGTATTGAACTGGAAACTGTTGAAGAACCGCCGAAAAGTGTGGAAGAGCAGGTTTTTGAAAAAAAAAGAAGAAATTTTTCTATAATTTGAGATTCATTCTTTGAGGTCTCAACGAGTTTCTCGAAAGAAACTGAAATGCTGAGTCGAATAATAAACCAATGGCTGGGTGAATCGAATAAAGAAAGTACGACAGTGGTGTGTCAGAAATGCAAAAAAGATGTGAATATTGGATATTGTATGCGAGAATTTTAAATTCTTCTTTTTTATATTTTGAAATTTAGTAATTCGCAAAGATCATGTCGGAGCTGAACATCTCGGCGCGGATGTCGATGTTAATGATTATCAGCAAATTTTGACCGAAGCGGTAAGAAATTTGTTTGAAGCTTCGAAACGAATAAAATTGTGGTGATTTAGATGAATGAGTGTTTTCCCGAATTTCCAAATACGGATTTCGCGTGCCAACTTTGTATGACGGATGAGAAAATTCCCGAAAACCAGAGGTTTGTTAAAAAATGAATTTTTTTGCAATCATTCGAGATCCTTAAAATTTAGGCGAAAACACATTGAACAGAGGCACGGATTGAAATTGCCGGAGCTCAAATGCCCGTTTGAGGGATGCCATGGATTTTATACGAGAGAATGCGAGCTGAGAACGCATATGAAAGTGGTAAAAATAAATGTGAAGGTAATTACCGTAATTTTGGAATTATTAGACTCATAATATCACGATTGGTTCGTTTGGTGGTCAAGAATTCAAAGAAACTCGGCGTCGGCGAAATTTGATGATAATGACATTGACGCATGAATGCTTCCCGATTTCCAAGTTCACTTCAATCACTCGAAAAGCCAAGCAGATTGTAATTTAGAAATTTCATCAATTCCTAATTGCATTTTGAGATATTTAGGCGAAATCGGTTGCGGTGTCCGTGGGAGCTGAAGAAGGTTTGAGAATTGCTCAGGAGCGTGTGAATAATGCGGTGAAAAATGCGTTTGGTCCGGATGTTCGATTAAATAATACCATTGTAAATTTATATATATATATTTTTTTAAATCAGAAATGAAGTTTATGATTTTTAGGCGGCTCGTCGTGCTCCTGTGTATAATCAAGAATCCTCATCGTCTTCTGACGACGAAAATGGAACGCCGAGGCGTAAGAAGACAACGTCGATTGGTCAGAGATCGACCGACGATCAAACGATTAGCGATATTGATGAATTGCACGATGAGCTACTCGACGTAATTGGCGGTTATCCCTTCTCCTTTGTACTAATTTGTATTTTTTAGAACAAATTCGAGGATGACATAAAAGTGATTTATCAGTTTTGCAATTTGGAGCGCACGAATCGATTGAAGGAAATGAACGTTTCGATAAAAGGTGAAGCTACCGATGATTTTGAGGCTCGACAGACGTCGACGTCGCAGCCAAGCGACTCAAGTAGCGTTTGGCCTAAAGAAGTGCGGCGGGTTTGAATTTTACTTATTATTTTCGATTTTTTGTTGAAATTTTAGACTCCTGATATTAAACAAGAGATTCCCTTCAATCCCGAACCAAGAAGCGATTTTATCAATCGGCAGTTCTTCATTCGACATCCTTCGCAGCCGCCAAACGATGACTCGCGAAGTTTTTCGAGGCATTCTCGACGAAGTCCAAGCCGTCCGCGACGAGATTCGTCTTATGCGCCTCGTCATCGATCGGCGTATCGATCACCGCGACGTCCATCACGTCGTCGTTCGTCTAATCGACATTATCCGGATTCGGGCGAGCGACGTCCTTCGCGACCGAGTAATTATCGGGTGAGTGAGACGAGTTTCAGAAAATGTTTACCGAAATGTTTTTAGAGACGATGGAATTAGTATATGCTCAGAAATTGCGCGATCTTGTTGAATTCGTTATTCCATGTTGTTGATTATTTTCATAAAACTCACAATTTATTACACTTAATTATAGTAATAATCACATAAGTACCACGTATATCGAGTGTTTTTGGCAATATACAAAAATTCGACGAGATGCCGTCTAGCTAGACTATCAAATCTTCTACGTCCGAATTGGTGTCCAACAGTCTAAATAGGAAATTTAAAATTGTATGCTTTTTTTTCGCCTGGTTTCTTTCAATTTCTCACCTTCCCTTTTTGGATGTAATACTTGTTGTCGATCCGAGAAGTGAACCCATTTTTGAGGAGAGAACGGAGAGACGCGACGGCACGCGGAAAACCGCCGCGTCGTCGAGACCGCGGTGAACTCTCACCACGAACGAACCCGATTCGAGCATTTTGAGATGATGTTTAAAGCGCGTTGTATATAGTGACCCAAGTGTTGGCTTCCTAAAATATTCTAGTCTAGGTGAACGCGATTGTCGGATTGCTACCGGAATTGTTTAAGTAGTAATGATGATGTGACGACGGAGACGCTGCTCAGCGCCATCGCGGCGGCAGCCATCCATGGTTGCAAATAAAATCCGATGGGTCGGAAAACGCCTAATTTTGACGATTTTCAATAATTCTCCTCTTAAAAACTAACCAGCCGCAATAGGAATTCCGATCATATTATAGATCATTGCAAAAAGAAAATTGAGACGAATTCGTCTCGTCGTCTTTTTCGACAACTTTATCGCTCCGACGACGTCCAAAAGATCGTTGCGAACGAGCACGATGCCAGCCGATTCGATGGCGACGTCTGAGCCGGCGGCGATCGCGATGCCCACGTCGGCCTCGGCAAGTGCCGGCGAGTCGTTGACCCCATCGCCAACCATTGCCACTTTCACGCCATTGCTCTTAAAACGAATCGAATTTTTAAGTTTAGAGCAATTCATTTATACTTTGAGCTGCTTGATCTTCTCCTGCTTCTGATTCGGTAGAACCTCGGCGAACACTTCGTCGATACCGACTTGCTTCGCCGTCGATTCTGCCGTTTTTGCGTTGTCGCCGGTGAGCAAAACCACACGCAATCCCATTTCTCGTAGCGTATAAACCGCCAATTGCGCTTCTTTCTTCACTTTGTCGGCAATCGAGACAACAGCGACCACTTGTCCTAAAAAAGTTCTTCAATTTTCTTTAATTACTCAATTAATTACCGTTAATTGCGCAAATGATTGATATATTTCCACTAATCTGCTCTTCTGTCAGTCGCTTTTTGACTTTATCGGTGACTGGTATCGCATGCCTCATCATCATATTCTCGGTTCCGATGACAATGTCAGCAGAATCGAGATTCTCATTGAATTTCGCCACCTCATCCGTGGCCACTTGGAGCAAATTCGCCTCGGTTCCCGGAATATTCATCAAATCGCCACTCGCCAATTTGGCCATGTTCCGAAGCGACGACGAGATATTTAAAGACGCGTACGACATTCGAACGTTCTCAATTCGACACGAGACGCCGAAGCCGGCGGACACGTGGAATCGCGACGTCGTCGGCCAAACCGGATCGTTGAGGAGTTGTTTAGCGAACGCGGCGACCGCATTCCCAATCGGGTGCTCTGATAGGACTTCGGTAGCGCCGATGAGGAACGAAATGAGCTGAATGGACATTTGCGTCGGCGAAACGAACGAGGCTATCTGAATGACTCGCGGTCGACCTTCGGTGATCGTGCCGGTCTTGTCGAACACTATCGTCTCGACCTTGTGCATACTCTCCAATGGTTCGCCACCTTTGATAAGAATTCCATTGGCAGCGCCGACTCCTGTTCCAACCATTACCGCTGTCGGCGTGGCGAGACCCAAACTGCACGGACACGCAATCGCCAGCACGGTGATGGCGGCTTCGAAGGCGATTTTAAGCGCGCTCTCGAATCGCAAGTCGGGTGGCAACCTCGAATTTTTCGGCGATCGATATTCGAAATAGATCCACGTCATCAGTGTGAGAAGCGAAAGACCGATGACGCACGGCACAAAATAGCCGGCGATTGTGTCGGCGAGCTGCTGAATCGGCGCCTTGTTCGTTTGGGCGTCTTCGACGAGACGGACGATTTGCGCCAGTGTTGAATTCTTTCCGACATGCGTCGCCTTCACAATGAGAATTCCTTTTTGATTCACAGATCCGCCAATGACAGTACTTCCGACCTTCTTGACAACGGGCATCGATTCGCCAGTGATGAAGCTTTCATCAGCCGAACATTTGCCGTCGACAACGGTTCCATCGACGGGAATTTTCGCTCCGGGAACCACTTTGATCAAATCGCCTCGTTGAACCTGAAACGCAAAAATTTTCGGATTCGATTAGCCGAATCGCTGCCTACCAATTCGATATTGATACCTTTCTCCGATGTCAGCCGCCCATCATCATCCATCGTCACCAATGTCGCTTCTTTCGCTTGAAGCGACATGAGTTTCGACAACGCCTCGGAAGTTTTTCCCTGCAAACTGGCAACTGAATGAATTGTTGAATGCAATAGACTACTTTTGCTTTGTGTTCGAGCATTCGTCCCAGCGATATAAAAACGATGAGCATTGGCGGAACATCGAAGAACGTCATCGGCGAGGCAGGCCATTTGAGAAGAATCGCGAGCAGAAGAACAACAATCGAGTAGACGTATGAGATGGTGGTGGCGAGCACGATGAGCACATCCATGTTCGCATTCCCATGTTTCATTGCTTTCCATGACGCCGCGTAGAAGTATCGTCCTCCGAATACCTGGACAGGTGTGCAGAGTATCAGCAAGAGGAAATTGTCGAGCGAAAGCGCCGGCGTGAACACGGGCGTCTGCTTCTCCGGATGCATCGGCGTGTGAAGAATCCAATGGAATATGATCATGATGATCATCACCGGAACACCGCATATCAAACTAATCAAAAATGTGTTGCGCCATTTGATGACGTCCTCGGAATGGTCGAGCCGACGAATCTGCTCGTCTCTCGACGCCAACTCGGCGGTGTATCCAAGATTCTCGACGACTTGAATGATGTCGCGAGGGCCGATGAGTTGCGGCGAGAATTCGACGACTCCCAACGATGTCGCCAGCGAGACGTTGCACGAATCGACGCCGGTTTTCGATAGAACGTGCGATTCGATGCGACTCGCGTCGCTTTCGGTGTTCAATCCACCAATCTAATCACGAATTATTGATTTTCATATCGAACCTCACCCCCCCCCTCCCAATTTGTTTTTTTAAAAGCAACGTACAATAAATTGGATTTTCGACAAATTGTCATTCACGCCGGAGTCCAATAGTTTTGCGGTATAGCCGAGCTCATTGATTTGATCGCAAATTGCATCGGAAGACGTCAGTCGAGAATCGTAGGTGGCTTCGGCTTTTCCAGCGATTAGCGCAACGACAATCGAGTTAATGCCTAAAAAATGGATTATGTGAAAATTCGCACAAAAATCCGCACCAACCTTCCATTTTCGCCACATTCCGCTCAATGTATTGCACACACGAGGCGCATGTCATTCCTTCAACGCCAATTATGCACTTCTCAACGTGATCGGATGAAGCCTGGAATTCTCATAATTTCAAGTTCCCTACACCTTCAACAAACCCCCTTCTTGAATCGAACTCCGTTTATCTGCAATTCAACCGTATCCGAATTGCTTCGATCTTTTGTTGGAGTGATATTAATGATTTCCGGTTTCTTTGGAGCCGGCTCAGTTGAGCAATCTGAATTCCCAATTGCGATTAGGTTGCCATCAAATGTAATCAATTCCACCTCCTTCTTCTAATAATTTACAATCGAATCCCATATCATCAATAGCTTCAGCAAGTTGAGATCCATTGAATTTCGACGCATCGAATTCAATTTCACCTTTGGAGAGAGAGAGCAAATTTTAGTTATATTTCTTTCGCAATTTGCCACAATACCTTGCCTTTTCTCGAGGCTCACCACAATTTTAAATACACCATCCTTGCCGCCAATATTATCCTGAATATTGTTGACGCAAGCATGACAAGTCATTCCCTCGATCGAAACCGTCGCCTTCTTGCGTTTCGCCATCTCAGCCGCGGCGCACGCCACCAATGGTTGTTCAGTGAGCGGCGATGTTGAGATGATTTCTAGAAGCAATATTTAAAATTCAAAAAATAAAAATTCGCTTATGAATTTGTGCGAGCCCAATAATACGTTTTGATATGTTGAAACTGAATTTTGGTGTGTTTATTTACACAAGCGAGCTGATGTAGTCGGGTCTGTAGCTGAACGAAAGCGTCTCCCCGGAAAAAAAACATTTTATTGATTTTGTGCGACCAAAAATATAATAAAACTGATCATTTGAAGAGTACACAGATAATTGCACGTATTCACGTACAACTACCCATATCAGTGTCTATTAGAGTGTATAATGAGAATGATAAGAGCTAAAAAAAAAAAGAAATTCCCGAGATTATTGGAAAGATTATAAACAATTTGTATACTTTATTTTGATTATGAATTTTTTTCGTGAAATACCAAAAAATTGCATGTGTCACTTTTCTTTTTTTAATTTTTCTATCGTCCCATTATAACAATCACTTCGAATATTTTGAATACTCGAAGGTTTTTTAAAAATTCTCAAAATACCACAGGTCTTCAAAAAAAATGCCATTAAAGTGAGATACAGTAACCTTAGCTGCCCAATTTAGGAGTCCTTAACGAATTATTTCATTTTTTATCTCACGATAACTCACAATTTTCATAGAAACTTATTTTTAAAAAATGTTTTAAATTGCAAATTGGACAGAAAAATTGAAAATTTAAGGAATTTCGAAAATATTTCTTTTCCAATACGCTAATTAAACGCGCTCGCAGTTTTTGTGGCGCGTCTCGCAACGATCGATTCTAGTCACCTCCCTCTGTTTTTATTCCAGAAATCTTTCATTTGTACATTTCACATCGGCAAAATTTGGTTGGCAACTAACTTGAGCTGATAAGTTTACAATCGAAACCCATATCATCGATAGTCTCGGCAATTTTTTCGCCTGTCCATTTCGAAGAGTCGAATTGAATTTTTCCTAAAATTGATCAATTGGGTGGCCGATAATTAAAAAAAGAAGACAAATTTCAAACCTTGCTCATTTTTCAAATCGACCAACACTCGAAAAATGCCGGGTTTCGACGATAGATGGTCTTGAATGTTGTTTACACACGCATGACACGTCATTCCCCTACGAAATTTTGTATTTTTTGTGTATTTCTTTTTTTCGAATCGCATTTTACTTGATTGTCACAAACGCTTCGAGACGCGGCGCGTTCGACCGTTTTTTCGGATGGTCCGGCGGCGGCGGAATCGCATTTTGTTGTCGTGTTGGCAGTGGCGAGCCGTCGAGAAGGCTCACATTTTCAATATTCATTCGCGATTAGACCTTCAAACAAAAAAATTATTCATATACGATATGATGCAATTGCGCGAATGTGTATTCGGGATGAGTGACGTCATCGCGGCCGGATTTCGTAATTATTATACGCATAGTTAGGCCACAGGTTTTGCGCATTAGTAAAAATCGAAAAATTTTGCGTCAAAACGTGGCGAAATAAAATAATCCTTATCAATATACGGTTTATGACACCTCTCTATTTTATCAAAACTGATTTAAAAAAAAACAAAAACGTACATTAGTGAAAAATCAAGGCTATTTTAAAGTTGTAAAATATGTGTAATGGTTTGCGAAACCAGTTCAACTTGACCGTTTCTCTGTTGTAGTAGTAATTACAACAACGTTGACGTCCGCTCCTTTTTACAATTAATGATGAGCAACACCGTTCTTTTTATTGTTAAAGTCGACTCTTTTCAAAAAAAAAAGTAGAAGAAAATAAACAACCGAATGCCAAACAACAACAAAGGAGGCGTAGTTTCAATGTGAAAACACGCAAAACAAGAAACAATTGAAAAGTAAATCCTCTTGGAAAGACAACAACTGAAACGAAACTTGCGGAGACAGTTGAAACACGTAACAAGAGGAGAGCAATAATCGGTTAAGGCGGACAAGTATCGCAAAGAACTAGAAAATTGAAAAGAATTAACGCTCTTTGGCGACGGCGGCTCGGCCGTCCAAATTGTGATCGATTTGTTTCCTCAAATGTTCCTTGAACGAGAAGATATCACCAGGCCATTTTTGGATTCCTTGGTTATCGCAAACCCAAACTTGCTCGGCGACCTGTATTATGTAAATATCCACTAATTACATTAAGCTACAAATTTGTTTACCTGAGAGACGAGACGGAAATCGTGAGAAACGAGAATCATTCCTCCAGCAAAACAATTAATCGCTTCAGCGAGAGCATCAATCGATTCCATATCCAAATGATTTGTAGGTTCGTCAAGAAGAAGCAAATGTGGTTGTTGCCATGCGAGCCATGCGAAAGAGACACGACATCTTTGACCATCGGACAGCTGTTTCATTGGACACACCTAGACGATTCAAGGTTTCTTTTTTCAATTTTTTAAATACGGATTACCTGTTCACGACCAGTGATGCCATATCTTCCAACGATCTTCCGCATTTCTTCCTTTTCTTTAACATCTGGGAATTCCCTCATCATGAATTCAAGAGCTGAAAGCTCTAGCGGCAGTTCTTCGTGAAGATGCTAGAATTTATGGCATATAATGTGGTACACTGTGCCGCTAGGATTCAAAAGAAACTTGTTTATTAATCTCTAACGACCAATAAGGAGAAGAAGAACTAAAGCGATCAGAAGGTAAATCAGCCATTTCATTTCCTCATTCGGATCATCAATATAATCATCGGCCGGATAAGCCGGAGTTGTTGGAGAATTAGTCGCAGCTCTACACATGATTTTAAATTGACTCTAATTGATCATCTAATTACCCAGTAACACCAGCATCTTTTCCGACAGCGTCAAGAAGAAGCTGCTCAATGGGAGGACTATCCGGATCGCATTTTTTCGAGGTGCTCACTCTTGCCATTAGCCTAGTATTAGTTGGAGTCTCTTCTGTAGAAGGAGTAGCACCATTTTGTAAGAAATACGTCGACAGTAACATTTTTGGCATCGCGACATCTTTCCAACTATGCGCATCTTTCGAATTCATTTTCCAATTCAACAAAATTCTCATTTGCGATTTTGGAGCAATATGTCCAGAGCTAGTAGGCAACGCCTATTAATTGAGATTTAATTTTTTACAAAACTATACAACACTTATACCGTGACATTTGAGTTCGAGTTACACTTCAACTTAACGAAAATATCCCTATCGGATATATTACACAACAAGAGTTGCACACGAGCAAGGTCGGGACGATTTCTAACTTCTTGGAATGTTAACATAGTCGCCTAGAATTAATAATACGACATTTCCGTAGCTATACGCTACCTGCAAGTTCTCTGACTTTGCGTTTCCGCGAAGAGAACGGCGAACCGACATCGACATTTTCGACGAGCTACTTTTTACCGAGCCTATAAGTTGAGCACAACAATTTCGCCATTGAAATCATAGTGGTTACTTCGTTTCGAGCTAGTTTTGTCCGTTGTTTGAGGTTTGTCGTTAGACTCTGATCCCTTAGAATCCGTCAGACTACTTTCGTCAGTCTTATTTGATACGCTGCATGAATTCATTTGAACGTGAACAATGGCTCCCATAACAAAACCTCATTATGCTTCTCACAGTACTAATAAAATGCTAATTGCTAAATAATGCCTAACAATTTCTAGAGTACACGTTAAAATATTTTTTGTATAGAAAAACAAACAAATAATAACAAACCTGATGGTATCTTCCAATTTTACAATGCGAATGCCTTCTGATTAATCCGTCAGTTGGCATAACATCTCCACAAAGAAGCTTCAATAATGTTGATTTACCAGCTCCGTTTGGTCCGACCAACGCGATTCTAGTATCTAAATCGATTCCGAAATCGATATTTTTGTAGATCCACGGCTAAAAATGATTATTTATTTATGAAAACTTATAAGCCCACCGTTGTCTCGTTATATCTAAATGACACGTGTTGCACCATAATAACTGGTGGAGGAATTTCTCCTGCGTCGAAGAAATAGAATTGCTTGACAGTTTCCGTCACCGCTTTTTCTGTCAATCCGCCAGCGATCATCTTCGCCATTGTCTTTTCTTTAGACTGAGCCTGTCTCGCCAATTTTGCGGAACCGTGGCCGAAACGAGCAACATAATCCTTCATGTTTTGGAGTTGCGCTTGCTCCCAATTGTATCGTTTCTGTTGGTTTTCCAGCAACTCAAGCCTTGTTTTCACGAATTGATCGTAGTTTCCCTATAAGGTGAAAGATTAATTTTTTTCTGTTTGGCTTTCTTACTCCATAATACACTAATTGCTTCTGGAACAAATGAATAATATTAGTACAGACTCCATTCATGAAATCTTGAGAGTGAGAAACGATAAGCAAAGTTCTTTTGTATTGTTTAAGTTCTTCTTCAAGCCACACACAAGCTTCCAAATCAAGATGATTTGTTGGCTCATCAAGTAATAAAATACTAGGCTTTAAGTAAAGTGCTCTAGCCAAAGCAATTCGCATTCTCCATCCTCCTAGAATGATTGAATTGAAATAACAAATATTTTCAATAGAAACATACCCGAAAAGTCTTTGCACTTCTTCATTTGCATTGTTTTAGTGAAGCCGAGACCATGTAAAATTTCGGCAGCTCGCTTCTCAGCCAATTCGGCGTCCATTTCATCAAGACGATCATAAACATCCATAAGTTTCTCTTGGCTTTCTAAATTATTCTGTTTTAAGAATTGTGAAAATAATTAATATTATTATACCATCATCAGGCATACTAGCGAGCGTGTCGGCCAAGTGTTCTAATTCTTTTCGCGCGGCGTCGACATCCACAACAGCTTGAAGAGCAGTCATTTCACTAGCAGGCATTTCTCGAGACACCTAAAAAATTCTTTTCGAATGTTTTGATTGAAATTCTATGCGAACCAAGTACATATCGACAGAATCTGGGATAGGCATTTCCTTGTTGTAAATAGCTTGAAGAATCGTTGATTTTCCACTACCGTTTAATCCGATCAGACCATATCTACGTCCTCTGTTCAGTTCCAGCTTCGTGTCGACGACGATTTCGCGACCATGGAAAGTGATCTAAAATTCATAGTATACATATTTCGAAAACTTTAAAATAATTTACCGTTAAACTTTCCACTTTGTGATCAAGACCTTTTGGATTTGATGTCAAAGCTCCAGCAACTGATCTCGCTTGAGCATTTTCTAATTCGATCTTTTTTAAAAGAGCAGCGGCCTGGTCGATCTCTAAAAAAATAATTTAAAGAAAATTTGAGAGAAAAACGGTACAAACCCTCATCAATTTCTGTTCCGTTGGCTTGAGCAGCTGGAGCATCAGAGGCAGTTTTTGTTTCAACCTAGAACGCATCAACTCAAAAAATTTTCTCTGATTAGTTATTTCCACCTTTTTCTTTCCTCCTTTTGACGCCTTAGCGGCGGCTTTCTTTGCAGCGTCTCTTGCTTTTTTAGCGTCGGATGGCATTTTTCGGCGCTTATGGGGTACCCTAAATTGTGTTATTTATTCATCTCTTTCTAACGGTTACACAATAAAAGAACGAAGAAAAATAAAGGATAAATGAAGAATAAGACTATCGAAGCGTTATAAGAGACAATCAGGAAGATAACGAATTATCTATTTAAGAGCAGCGAAAGCTTTTGGCATGGCGCATTCATCAAGATGGTGGACGTAGTCGGTCATCTCCTGATGGCAAGTTTCTTCGGTTTGAGTGCGGCTAGTAACGCGTTCGTTGCATTCGTCGAGAATATTCTTCAAATCAACGACGTGATCGGCACAGCGCTCGCGGAATTGAGTAAGCTGGTCAACACCTTCCTCCAATGGTTCAGTATTGTGGCTTGGCATCTCTACCTCAAGAGAAACATTGTAGAAAACATTGATAGGAAATCGTTTGGTTTAATAGCGGGAATAATGGAAACACATGCATTATACTCATGAATATTTATTTCGTTCTTTCTGTTTCAGTTCCGACTATAAATTTGACGTATTCGCTATAAGAAATATTCTGAGTATTTCGAAATATTTAACACGGAGGACATATTTCATCGTTAAAATTCTGCAATTGGTAATTGCAACATAATCAAAATATTTGGTATTTTTTCAAACTCAAATTAGAGAAAAATGTTATTTTTTAAAAATATATTTCCATCATAAAAAGGATTATACTTTTTTAGGATTGTCATTAACAGTCAATAAATAACGAAAAAAAATATTTTTCAAAACGGCATTATTTTTCGCAAATTATTAAGAAACATTATTACTTTTGAGAAAACAACATCGATAAAAAATCTATAATAGTTAAAAAAAAATTTAGATAAAATTCAAACTTTCAACGAATTAATAATCAACGAATTTCTTCAAAAATAAAAGGTACGGAAGAAAACGTCCTAAAACTGGGCGGTTTACGAAACAAGTGTTTGAATCGCCGCTTCGCCACAACCGTAGTCATGTTCGTTACAAGACCCGCATTTTCAAATGGGCAGTGCAGGTTCGATGGGCGGCCATCGTTACCGCTCCTTCTCTATTGCTCTTGGCAAGCACCGACCACTGAGGCCGTTTCACCATGTCGAATGAAAAGTCCTTCGATATCAAGAAGTTCCTTATTGATCTCGCCTCCGGAGGTAAGGATTTTTAGATTTTATCGCTCGCAATTACCGAGAAAAATTGTTACCTTTTTTTACAAAATTATAAATTCTTCAGCCCAAACTAATAATTGAAACTATTTTCAATAATTTCTTTCTTTTTAGGTACCGCTGCTGCCGTCTCCAAGACCGCTGTTGCCCCAATTGAGCGTGTCAAGCTTCTACTCCAGGTTCAAGATGCCTCGAAGACCATCGCTGTTGACAAGAGATACAAGGGTATCATGGACGTCTTAGTCCGTGTGCCAAAGGAGCAAGGAGTTGCTGCTCTCTGGAGAGGAAATCTCGCTAACGTCATCAGATATTTCCCAACTCAGGCCCTCAACTTCGCCTTCAAGGATACCTACAAAAAGATTTTCCTTGAGGGACTCGATAAGAAGAAGGATTTCTGGAAGTGAGTTCAGTATTTTTTTGGCATTTGAAACAATTATGAATTTAGGTTCTTTGCCGGAAACTTGGCCTCTGGAGGAGCTGCTGGAGCCACCTCCCTCTGCTTCGTCTACCCACTTGACTTCGCCCGTACACGTCTTGCCGCTGATGTTGGAAAGGGAGCTGGCCGTGAATTCAAGGGTCTTGCTGACTGCTTGGTGAAGATCGTCAAATCTGACGGACCGATCGGACTCTACAGAGGATTCTTCGTCTCCGTTCAAGGAATCATCATCTACCGTGCCGCTTACTTCGGAATGTTCGACACCGCTAAGATGGTCTTCACTGGAGAAGGACAGAAACTCAACTTCTTCGCCGCGTGGGCTGTTGCCCAGGTTGTCACCGTTGGATCCGGTATTCTTTCTTATCCATGGGACACTGTTCGTCGTCGTATGATGATGCAGTCCGGACGCAAGGATATCCTCTACAAGAACACATTAGACTGTGCCAAGAAGATCATCCAGAACGAAGGAATGGGAGCTATGTTCAAGGTAATTCTTTTATATATTAATTCTAAACCAATTATATTTTTCTAGGGAGCCCTCTCGAACGTCTTCCGTGGAACCGGAGGAGCCCTCGTTTTGGCCATCTACGACGAGATCCAGAAGTTCCTTTAAATTTAATAAGTTTTTTACCTTGTCAATTTTTCATGAAAATCTCGTTATGTAGTTCGTTTTATTGAAGTAGACCTAGATAGCTACTTTGTTGCAATTTCGATATAAAGCGAGCCACATAAACATTTTTTACACTTATAATTGAATTTTATCGCATTGAGCTTGATCATGCTGGACATTATTTCTTATAGGATAAAACTCGATTAGAATTTTTCAATACTACGTACATGTTTGATCTTCAAATAAGCACCGTGTGAATCGAATAAATGGTGATCCCTTTATTCTTTATTGGGTGTTGCAAGCATGATACACGAAAACGCGAGTGGAGATCAAAGCATGAGAAATTCTACGAAATATTATGAGATGATTAATGTATTCTGGTAGGTTGTCAAGGTGCGAATGAGATACGAACAACTGGATACATTAGCATCAGTTCCCACACGTATCATGTCAGAAGCCGGTAGATTAAACGTCACTTATGTCCACAAAATACGAATGTCGCAATGCGGCGTCAGCGTCTATCCGGCCGCTCGGATTACAAACGAGGAGCTTCTGAAATATCATTTTTAATCTCTCGGGCGAATAGTTTCACAGACTTGTAGTAAATCTCTTCCTTTACTATTCAAGTTCGGTACGATTTGACTCCAAGTTAACGACGGATGATAAATCGGATAAGGCTGAAAATACTACATTGAACAGCTGTCTGTTTGCTCTTTCATTGCCGTCACAAGATAACAACGTCAGGGAGAGAGATCGTTTTTTTGTCTTTAGTTCTTTGCAGTCTTGAGTTTTTTGTTATCAGCCGTGGGTTTACACCATTTGCCGGCGATATGACCGAGTTTTTCTGATCGATCAATGAATTTTCGGGCCAACGAATAACCTTGTAATCGGGCAGCTGCGAAATTGAAGGCCATGTCTCTTCCGTCGGTGTCCCGAGTTGTTTGAAGATTCGCTTCAATTGATCATCGACGTCAGCACCGGGAAATAAAGGTCGTCCGGCGTTTGAGATTTCTGACGAATTGCCTAATTACACTTTGTTCCCTTATCAAAATCAAACCTGCAAATATGCATCCGGCTGACCACATATCAATGGAAGTGTTGTATAATTTCGCTCCAAACAAGACGTCGGGCGGACGATACCATAAAGTGACGACTTCGGCGCTGAAGCAGCGAACAGGAACCCCGAAAGCTCTCGCTAAACCGAAATCAGCAAGTTTTAGGGTTCCGTTTGTATTGATTAGAAGATTTTGCGGTTTGAGATCGCGATGAAGAACATGGTGGGTGTGGCAGAATGATAATCCGCGTAGTAGTTGGATCATCAACGAGCGAGCGGTCTTAAAATTGTGAGTTGTACTCAATTTTTTCAATTAATACCAACTCACCTGTGGATCCATGAAGCCATTCAAAGAATCGAAGAACTTTTTTAAATCCTGATCGCAGTATTCGAAAACGAGTGTCAACTTATTTTCCGAGTGAACAACGTCGTAAAGACGGACGACATTTCGGTGTTTTAATTCTCGAAGAATGCAGATTTCGCGAAGAGCCGAACTCGGAACGCCCTAGAATTCTTCAAAAATATTAAACACTGAATTAAAAAAACCTCATCATCGTCGTCCAATCTCACTCTTTTCAATGCTACGATTTCTCCGGAATCTTTGTTTCTCGCTTTGAACACTGTCCCGTAGGTCCCTGCAGAAATAATATGAATTTGACGTCATAAATTAATTCGATTACTACCTTCTCCAATTTTTTCCATTTTATCATAGCGAAACATTGTTGGAATTGGCTAGAAATGGAAAATTAAAAATATTCGATATTCTCCTGGCCAAGTTTGCGCAAAGTAACGAGTGTTGACGTAAATTGCAACGTTGGCGCAAAACGAGAGAGCTTGACATTTGCATATTTTTTTGCTAAACTTTTTTTTTTCTTTAAAAATGTACAAAAAATTTCAGAGCGTTGATGAGGGAATTTATTTTTGGATGTACAAATTTTCCAAAACCTTATAATACAATTTCTCTATGTACCGAAGAAGATGATGATAGTGTTAAAGTGAATGTTTCAGATGCGTTTTTCAAAAAAGTTTGTTTTAAACGAGATATTAGCGTTGTTGTCGAAATTTTTAGATATATAAAAACTTCAACGATTTACGATCGAAATGTCAACTCTGTGATACGGTTTTAATAGTGGAAAATAGGAGATTAAGCGCACATAAAGTGGTGTTGGCCGCCGCAATTCCATATTTCAATGGAATGTTTACATGTCATATGATTGAAGAAAAATTAACGGAAATTTCATTACCATGTAAGTGTTAATTGGACATGAGCCTTTAAAATATTGAAATTTTAGATATGCAATACGATGTCGTCGAGAAACTAGTTAATTTCGTATATACGGGAGAATTAGCAATAACCACTAGTAATACTTTTATTGGTTAATTATTCTAAATTGCACAATTATTTAGATAATGTACAATCTTTAATGATGGGTGCAAGTTTCTTTCAATTAATGCAGGTCGTCAAAGAATGCTCAAGATTTTTAGTGCAGCGCCTTCACCATACGAATTGTCTTTCAATTTACGAATTTTTCAAATTAATGGGTGCTCCGAAATGGGCAATTACAAAAGCGGTTTCGCATGTCATAGTGAGTTGATTTATTTGAAAAAAAATCGGTCCAACAACATTGAATCCAAATTTAGAAATATTTCTTGGTGGTCTCAAGAGATGAGGAGTTCTTGAAGACTCCGTTAGAAACGATTCTAGATCTTTTATCTTATGACGGATTATACGTGGATTCAGAAGAGGACGTGTTTTTAGTTGCGATTAATTGGCTAGAAGCAGATGAATCGCGACACGGCGATGCGGCCAAGTAAAATTTTTAACTTACTTGAATTATAAGGATATTTTTTTGTAGAGTTCTTTCAAGACTTCGACTTCCCCTCCTGCGTCCTTGCTTTTTAGCAGATATGGCCGAGCATCCAATTTTAAAAAATGATCCAGAGTGCCAAAAGCAAATCGAACTTGTAAGAGAAGCCATGCTTCACCCTGAGCGTCGAAAGCTTCTTCCTCCGCATTTGTCAGTGGAGAGAACGTGTTATAATGTGCCGTCTATGATTGTTGTTTTAGGTATATTCATATTTATGAATATTTTTCACATAACATTTTTTAGGGGGATTAATGCCAGCTGAAGGCTCAAAATCATCGGTGGAAATATTCGAGCCATCGGAAAAAATGTGGAAAGCTGTGAAGGAGATGGTCACGTTACGATCTCGAATTGGAGTTGCTGTTCATAAACGACAAGTTTATACGATTGGCGGATTCGATGGGCAAGATCGTTTGACAGTAGTCGAAGTATTTGATTACGATACGAGCACCTGGTTTTCGGTATGCATTGTCGAATAGTATTGTCCTTTTGAATATTGGCCTTCAGCTTCCTCCATTAAAACATAAACGATCTGCTCTTGGTGCAGCATTCCTCGAGAAAAAACTGTATGTTTGCGGTGGCTATGACGGCATCGAAAGTTTGCGATCGGTTGAGGTTTGCACAACGTTTAATTGAGTTTGCCGCAAAAAAATTGGATTGCAGGTTTACGATCTTGAGCAAGGTTATTGGAAAGACGGCGTAGACATGTACAAACAGAGAAGCGCTGCTGGCGTTGCCGTGTTGCATGGCGAACTCTACGGTTTGCTGAAAATTTTTGCGTAAAATGAATCTATAATTATCATCATTTAGTGTGCGGAGGACATGATGGATTTCAAGTGTCGAATTCGGTTGAGAAGTATAATCCAATACTTGATAAATGGATTCCGATTCCTGGAATGAAGGTGGAACGAGCTCGTTTAGGAGCAGCAACTTATAAAGGGAAACTTTATGTTGCTGGAGGGTAAGAAGAAGAGGAAGAAGTAAACATTTTATCATGGTTTTTTTCTGTAGATTCAATGGAAACGAGTTTCTTCGGAGTGTTGAAGTCTATGATCCAAGAACGGGTAGCTGGTCGTTTGTGGAATCGATGAAAATGAAGCGAAGTCGGGTGGCGTTGGTCGCCAATGTCGATGGACTCTATGCGATTGGCGGATTCGACGGCTCAACCAATTTGTGTAGCGTCGAGAAGTATGATGTTGAAAAGGACACGTGGACGATAGAACCCTCAATGGCGACACATGAAGGCGGTGTCGGCGTTGGAATGATTCCCATCCCCCCTCATTTGCTATCCTGATTTCTCTCGGTGCACAATTTTCTTCTCCTTTTTGCTCAGATGTTGTAAAAAAAATTGTATTTAGAAATTGTCAGGTTCTAAACCAATCATTAATTCCCAATTGTTCATGTTCACGCCAACACTAATAATTTGAAGATTTGTATTTACATTTGAACTAACGCATAAAATGTGATTGATTAAACAAGTCGCGAACGTCTTTGCTCACATGGCTTTTTGCACCATTCGAGTTGTTTTGTTTTCGAATTATGCCGAAGACCGTAGGAGCACGTCGAGAACACTCGGCAGCACTCGTTCAGGCGACATTTGAAGCCCTCTCTTCGGATTTTGTCTTTGACTTGCGCGATTTCTTCGCGTGTTGGAATGCCTTCAAAATCGAATGATTGTGAATTTTTAGGAAGAACGACTTCGACTTACGATCTTCGGGCTTCTTTTCAACACAATCCCGCATCTCTTCTGCACAATCTTCGACTTTCTAAAAGTAATGCATCAACTCATCTTGGTATCTTTTAATTTTTTGTGGAGGACGGACGAATTTGAAAATTTTAAATTTGGCGCGCTGTCTTTTACTTTTACTCCCGAAAATTCAAAATTCGAAAATTTTTTTCAAATCGTAAAACAATTTCGTCCTAAATTCGTCCGGTCGAACCAAATTCAAACGCGCATTTCTGTGGATGCTCAAAGCGAAATTGGCCTTACATTCATATTTGTGCAGCTTCTTCTTCTCGTTTGTTTTCCATCGACACAATCAGACCATGTTTCCCATCTGGCGCCTTGCAACTCATCGCTATTTTGCGCTAGTTCGATCTTCTCGCCGCCCATTTCCCCGACTTCTGAAATTCAACAAAAAATTCTGTTTTGCCATTTGGACTTCCACACAATTTACCATAGTTTTTCACGCCGGCCAATATCCTACTTGATTTTCTCGCACCACACTCGACTTCAAAATAATCGACAATGTCGGTATTCTCGTCGGTGAACAAATCCTTTTGAGTTTGGCGATTTTCCGAGTTCAAAATGCAATTGAGTTGGGTTTCTTCAAAATAATACATTCCCGATGTGCAATTGAAGCCGAATAATTGGAAACTATTGAGACAAGTGTCGAAGCATTGCTCGAACGTTGAAGCATCGGTCACAGATTCGGCGAATCCCACGAGAATCATTTGAGGATGACGCGAGAAGAATGGGGAGGAGCACTGGCTGCAATTTGAGAAAAAAAAAATTAATCATAAATGAAGTGTGCTTTTGAAATCAACGAACTCGACGAATCTTGAGGTGATGCAAATTTTTTCGTTATAGAATGTCTCGTCCTTTTGCTTCAGTTGCCCATTTCCAACTGGAACAGCCGCTTCCGAGCTGAAATAGCACGTTGAAGTGGCTGAGTCGTAATCGAACGATTTGCAATCGATGTCTCTTTCGTTTACCTAGAAAACAGTAAGCGTTTATAAATTTTTTAAATGAATTTCTGAATTGTTTCAATGAATTTCTTTCTTGGTATTTGCCTGCCTGCGTAGATTTACGGCGAGTTTGATTCGTAGGTTATCCGTACTACGGTACTCTAATATAAATTTGAATAGCCGCTCCGTAACACTACGATGGTCCACACGTAAGACCAATAAAAAATAGGAAGCTTCAATGCAGAATAAGTAGAAAATAGAAAATAATAATTTTTTTCAAATCCTATCAAGAGTGCTCATTTTTGTTCGTTATGAAAATAATTTTTTTTTCATACCCTGTTTGAAATGCATAGCTCGGCGCATTCAGAAGGCTCTCGCGCAGAATATTGTTCATCGTCATTTTTGAAAAGTTCGAATCCTTCGGTTCGCAGGAATCTATATGAGATCTCATCAAATTATCGAAAAACAAATTATTACGTTGGCGATTTGCCGAAAGGGCATTGCGTGAATTTCGAGGGTGATGGGGTTGTGGTGAACTCCGAAATTGTCTGCTCGTCACGGGCCACATTTTGAGTCGTTAGCGGCAATTCTTCAGCTATGTAAAAAAAATTTTATCAGGATCTTTGAAATAATGAGGCGTAGATTAAAATGCAATATTGCGTAGTATTTGATTCGTGTGCAATCACATTGTATGATGTCTGCGGAGTTGCATTTAAATCGACGTCTCGATATTTCGAAAACTTCTAAAATTCTGTCTTACTCTGCGATACTTCCGGAATTGGCGGACTCGGCGGCGCGACAAACTCGTCTGCCGATTTTTGCGCAACGGCGAGACATTGATAAGCGTCGGTTGGCTCGAAATAATCGCGAGTTTGGAATTTGAGCAAACGAGCCGGTGCTTGATCGCCAACGTGAGCGAAAAGGTCGCAAACCTTGAAAAAATGCTCATTCCACTTTGATTTAATGTATTTTTTCTTGTTTACTTGATTAATATTATCGTAGACAAACGAGCGACACGAATAAATTCCAGATTGGCTGTTCAAGCAATGCGATTTGCAATGAAGAAGGCCGATAGAAGACCGTCGCTCATAGGGCTGAGCATTCACTATAATGCTATTTTCATAGCGACGAAAGCATGGATCAGCTAGAAGTTTGTAATGTAAGAATTGATTTCAATCAAATCTTTGTCCAACTCAGATCGGGAATTCCGGCGACAGTTTGTCGGTTTTCAATGTCTTCGTCTTTGGCCTTCAAAACGCGATTCGATGTATTCGCGTCGCCGCGTTTACTAGTATATGATGAGGATGATGGGGCATTTAATAGGTCCTATAGGTCAAGTTGAGGATTTTGTTCTTTTATTCGAAACAATTTTACCCTTTCATGGAAAATCTGCGATTTCGACGAGTCGCGAACCTAAAAATCGAAAGTAAATGCATTTTTGGTATGAAAAAAACCAGAATTTACATTTTTAAAAGGAGTTGTTACTATTGAAGGTGGTGTGGGAAACCTAAAAATTAATTTATTTGGATTTCGAAATAAATTTTCATACGTAGGCACATGCTCCTCGGAGGAATTGTCTTCGAGGAAGTTGCTCGCTTTCACAGCTCTTCCGAATAGCAGTGCGATGATATAATAGTAACTCAGCATTAGAAGAAACTGAATGTAATAATAATAATAATGTGTTTCGAAGTCTCGAAACCAAGTCGAATAGAAAATTAGGTTGTGGGGGGGGGGGGGCGTCGAACCGCGTTTGATAGATTCGTCGGCTGGTCGCGGCCCGACAATTACGGCATCGCTCACTGTCTTTAGAGACTCGGGAAGAGGAAAATGGGCGACGAGACGTCGCTGACGGATTACCCTAGATGGTTTTCGCTAAAAGCTTACAAGTCACTCTAATCCGACGATGACTTTGTTTTTCGAAAAGTACGAACTCGTTTCAACAGTGAGTGAGGAGAACGAATTATGTACGCATCGTCCAATCGGCTCTATAGATGTTTTTGAGGTTTCGTTGCGTCTTCGATCCACTAGAGTTCGCTCGATTTTGACGCTAGGTTCGATCACACATTTCTGAAATTAATCCATTGAAATCACAAAAGAATTAAAAGACTAGTTGAAGAAAATAACCAGCAATCTTTATTCAACGACAAAAACAATTATCCGATGGTCCTAAAGAGGGCCGATGGGATTCATGTGCCGATTAGCCTGACTCGACATCCCCTGAAGGAGTGTCGAGTCAGTTGATCTCCTTCGCCACGTAGAGGCTCGGCACTTGAAGGAGAGGCTCACCAGCATCAGAGAACCTGATGTGGGTCATCGCCGATCCCACCATGGGGATCACCCAAGGACATCCCACAACTATCATCCGAGGATAATAGAAGTAGAAGTGGTTGGGCAAGCCACGTCTGGCTGGGCCCCGGGTCTACTGGTGATATGGTAATGTGTTTTTTGTCTTCATAGCAAAGTAGCACGCTACTGAAGCACTGGTCCATTATGGCACCCCCGCGGGAGGCTGGACATATTGACATAGCTGGCCAATCCACGTCAATATAGGTCTGGGCCAGATGCCATCCTGACTAGTATGGAGGACACCCGGTGAAGCAATGTTCTAAAGCATAACCATCCATAACGCCCAATAGCAGTTTCCAAGTACTCGAGAGTACTTGAAACGGGCGTTTGGGTAGGGTTCGATTCCCGGCTACGGAATCAGGGCTGAAGGGCTTGCCAGGCCAATCACCCGAATTTAGGATACAGCGGATAAGCCGCCATCCAGCCAACGCCTCGGCACTAAGGGGGGATCAGGAAGCTTTGGCGTTTGGGGGAATGACCGACTACGGCCCTAAGTAGTAGACTAGAGAGGCTTAGGGATATATACTTAGTGTGTGGTGGGGAATACCTAGGTTTGGTGATCAGTCGATTCACCAGCCGGGCATCATAGCTAAGTAGCACGCTATGATGCCCAGGTTCGTAGTGCGACCGGAAGTCATCCTACTAGCATGGATGACATCCGGATGATGCAAAAAATGAGGCATAGCCATCCATGAGGCCAGTAGCAGTTTCCAAGTAAACGTACTCGAAACGAATGTTGCAGTTTCCAAGTACGATTACCCGAAACGGGCATCTGGGTAGGCTTTGATTCCCGGCTACGGAATCAGGATGAATGGTTTGCCAGACCAATCATCCGACTTTAGGGATCGGCGGATAAGCCACCTCACCCAGCCAATCTGAGCATCACAGCTAAGTAGCACGCTATGATGTCCAGGTTCGATGACCGGAAGTCATCCTACTAGCATGGATGACATCCGGATGATGCAAAAAATGAGGCATAGCCATCCATGAGGCCAGTAGCAGTTTCCAAGTAAACGTACTCGAAACGAATGTTGCAGTTTCCAAGTACGATTACCCGAAACGGGCATCTGGGTTGGCTTCGATTCCCGGCTACGGAATCAGGATGAATGGTTTGCCAGACCAATCATCCGACTTTAGGGATCGGCGGATAAGCCACCTCACCCAGCCAATCTGTGCATCACAGCTGAGTAGCACGCTATGATGCCCAGGTTCGTAGTGCGACCGGAAGTCATCCTAGTAGCATGGATGACATCCGGATGATACAAAAAATGAGGCATAGCCATCCATGAGGCCAGTAGCAGTTTCCAAGTAAACGTACTCGAAACGAATGTTGCAGTTTCCAAGTACGATTACCCGAAACGGGCATCTGGGTTGGCTTCGATTCCCGGCTACGGAATCAGGGCTGAAGGGCTTGCCAGGCCAATCACCCGAATTTAGGATTCAGCGGATAAGCCGCCATCCAGCCAACGCCTCGGCACTAAAGGGGGATCAGGAAGCTTTGGCGTTTGGGGGAATGGCCGACTACGGCGGATTAAGTAGAAAATAAATAGGGGACCTTAGTATGGGTTATGCTTAATGGTGGGTGGATTGTGACGGTGAATCGTTTCACCGACAGAGTCCTTCCATCGGCAGCAGCAGCATCGACGATACCTAAACACCTAAATTTATACGAAGAATAGATTTAATAAAATAATAAAACAAATAATATAATACGGAAGGGGGAAGCCAGTCATTAGTGGAATGACTGGCATGGCCGTAAGTGGTACGACTTTCCCCGGAAAAGACGAAGAAGTGGATGGTCCCAAACGGTAGGACCGGAAAGAAGAAAGTGGTGGTGGTAGAGTGAGTGAGTGAGTGAGAGGGAAAGAAGCCGCTAGTGGTACGGCAGGGGGGAATCAGTCGACTGATAGAGAGAGGGGACAGTCGTAAGTGGTACGACTGGTGGAAGGGAGAAGCCGCAAGTGGTACGGCAGGGGGAATCAGTCGACTGATAGAGAGAGGGGACAGCCGTAAGTGGTACGACTGGTGGAAGGGAGAAGCCGCAAGTGGTACGGCAGGGGGAATCAGTCGACTGATAGAGATAGGGGACAGTCGTAAGTGGTACGACTGGTGGAAGGGAGAAGCCGCAAGTGGTACGGCAGGGGGAATCAGTCGACTGATAGAGATAGGGGACAGTCGTAAGTGGTACGACTGGTGGAAGGGAGAAGCCGCAAGTGGTACGGCAGTGGGAATCAGTCGACTGATAGAGAGAGGGGACAGTCGTAAGTGGTACGACTGGTGGAAGGGAGAAGCCGCAAGTGGTACGGCAGTGGGAATCAGTCGACTGATAGAGAGAGGGGACAGTCGTAAGTGGTACGACTGGTGGAAGGGAGAAGCCGCAAGTGGTACGGCAGGGGGAATCAGTCGACTGATAGAGAGAGGGGACAGCCGTAAGTGGTACGACTGGTGGAAGGGAGAAGCCGCAAGTGGTACGGCAGTGGGAATCAGTCGACTGATAGAGAGAGGGGACAGTCGTAAGTGGTACGACTGGTGGAAGGGAGAAGCCGCAAGTGGTACGGCAGTGGGAATCAGTCGACTGATAGAGAGAGGGGACAGTCGTAAGTGGTACGACTGGTGGAAGGGAGAAGCCGCAAGTGGTACGGCAGAGGGAATCAGTCGACTGATAGAGATAGGGGACAGTCGTAAGTGGTACGACTGGTGGAAGGGAGAAGCCGCAAGTGGTACGGCAGTGGGAATCAGTCGACTGATAGAGAGAGGGGACAGTCGTAAGTGGTACGACTGGTGGAAGGGAGAAGCCGCAAGTGGTACGGCAGTGGGAATCAGTCGACTGATAGAGAGAGGGGACAGTCGTAAGTGGTACGACTGGTGGAAGGGAGAAGCCGCAAGTGGTACGGCAGTGGGAATCAGTCGACTGATAGAGAGAGGGGACAGTCGTAAGTGGTACGACTGGTGGAAGGGAGAAGCCGCAAGTGGTACGGCAGGGGGAATCAGTCGACTGATAGAGGGAGGGGACAGCCGTAAGTGGTACGACTGGTGGAAGGGAGAAGCCGCAAGTGGTACGGCAGTGGGAATCAGTCGACTGATAGAGAGAGGGGACAGTCGTAAGTGGTACGACTGGTGGAAGGGAGAAGCCGCAAGTGGTACGGCAGGGGGAATCAGTCGACTGATAGAGATAGGGGACAGTCGTAAGTGGTACGACTGGTGGAAGGGAGAAGCCGCAAGTGGTACGGCAGTGGGAATCAGTCGACTGATAGAGAGAGGGGACAGTCGTAAGTGGTACGACTGGTGGAAGGGAGAAGCCGCAAGTGGTACGGCAGGGGGAATCAGTCGACTGATAGAGAGAGGGGACAGCCGTAAGTGGTACGACTGGTGGAAGGGAGAAGCCGCAAGTGGTACGGCAGGGGGAATCAGTCGACTGATAGAGAGAGGGGACAGTCGTAAGTGGTACGACTGGTGGAAGGGAGAAGCCGCAAGTGGTACGGCAGGGGGAATCAGTCGACTGATAGAGAGAGGGGACAGTCGTAAGTGGTACGACTGGTGGAAGGGAGAAGCCGCAAGTGGTACGGCAGGAAGAGGGATGGGGAAGCCGGCTTTCCCCAGAAAAAGAAGGGGTGGTCCCAAACGGTAGGACCAGGAGGAAGTACAGACGTAAGTGGTACGAATGTACGGAGAGAAGGGAATCCCAAGTGGTGGGATAGAGAGGGGAAAGCCGTAAGTGGTACGGCTGGTGCAAGTGAGTAATAAAAAAAAATAAAAATAAATGAGGCCCGGGCCAAAAACTACCATGATCCGCGGATCAAATACCTCTTGTTTGTGTCCTTCCTCGTCGCTTCCTCCAGTTATCTTCTCTCGATCCACAAATCGAAAAACCTGCAATGATTCGAATTACTCTGATCGATTGCTGCTTCTTCGTTACCATTTAAATCCGCTTCCTCGCTCTGCTCGACGCCCCGGGCAGCATCGACCTTTCGTCGCCTCTCCATCTCTTCCTTCATCACCTCGATGCCTCAGTGTAGGTTTAGCGTCACCTCGAACCAACACTGCAGCACGCCCATTGAAGGGTGAGCACTGACTAACGGAGCCGGTCGAGGCGAGAATCCCTCACACCTTGAACACTTCTGATCCGAAGGTGTCGATGGAGAATCGACTGTGGCTCATATCGGATCTGCAAAAAGAGGAAATCAGGAAAAGCGACGGCGATGAATGCGACATACCTGGTGGATCCTTGGCCACAGCGAGCCCGCAGGAGATGCGGGCTGCCCGCAAGTTGTGCGGGGGCACGTGGAGCCCGCAGGTTATGCGGGACACGAGGAGCCCGCAGGCGGGTTGCTCGCAACTCGGAGAGCTTCGAGAATGACCAAATTCCTCATTCCGCCGGCCTTTTATAGTGCCACTGGGCGTCGCTACGAGATTTGCGATAGAGCGCGTTTTGACGAAAAGAACTGCAAATTGACGCCAAGCGTTATTCTTATTCTCTCATGTTAGCACACTCTCTGCTCACCGACGCGCTTTCCCGATCGTCGCTGTATTGCGCTAGAGCGCATTTGCCTAATGAAACAAACGCTGGGGGCGGAGTTTAGATTGCGTATTCATGACTACCACAGAGAAATTTCAACGCGAATAACTTTTAATAAATCTAGAAATTCAATTTACGGAAATCTTTATTAGAAATCAGATTTTGAACGAGAAATTCGAAATTCGTTGAATTCATGCGTCCTTCTCTTGGTCTCGCGAAGACTAACTGGTTATTCTTGTGGGTTTCGATTGCGAATTCCCGACTACTATGAACCAATTTCAAAACGTATAACATTTAATTCAATTTATGGAATCGTTATCACAATTCAGCTTTTCCAGTTAATTTTTCTCTATTTTCGTTGAATTCACTTCTTTCTTTCCTCAATGAACCCTGAAATTGGACCAGATTGAATGAGAAATGAGAACTTCGTTTAATTTTTAGTTCGTTCGTCAAGAATTTTTTGCCGAATTCTGATTTCCGCGTGTGCTTTAGAATGTTTTAATATCAGAAATACTAATTAATTTGATAAATTGGTCTCTTCTATGTTTTTTTTTTATTAGAAGAAAATGTGTTCGGTGAAATTCTGAATATAACTGAGTGCACTGAAAATCCAAAAAGAACTGTTCATTTCTGTTATTCTATCACAAACATGAAAATCTTAAAAAGATGCTCTCTCGTTTTCACCATGTATCGTTGATTTTTTGTAAAATTTGACCAATTTTTTTTTCTTTTAATTTTATGGCCGAAACACATGGCCGACATTTTCCGCGGTCATGCTCTATTTATGCAATTTGATATTTTCATCCTTTTTTTTGTTCGCTACTTAAACATGCTAAAATTATCTGAAAAAAAAATGGGAAATAAATTTGCAGATGGGTGCTGAACGGCTGGAAAACGCAAATCCGACGATATTTTCGCAAAAAGTGCGCTCGAGAGCTCCAACAGCGAGCGAACTGTGAGTTGAAAGTTTTAATGAAACATTGCCAATCAATTAAGATTCAGTGACGACAGCGTTGTTGATCCAATTAATGCGAATGAAATTTTCGAGCTGATTCGCGATATTAATGATCCCGAACATCCGTACACCTTGGAGCAGCTCAACGTTGTCCAGGAGGAATTAATCAAAGTTTCCGATAATGACGAGCAAATTTTTGTGAATGTGAACTTCACGCCGACAATTCCACACTGCTCGATGGCGACGTTGATTGGTTTATCGATTCGTGTGAAGCTTTTGAGGTCATTGGCGAAGAATATTAAAGTACGAGTACAGATAACACCGGGATCTCATAACATGGAAGAATCAATCAACCGTCAATTGGCTGACAAAGTAATTAAACATTTTGATTTATTAAAATTAATATTAAATTTTCAGGAGCGTGTGGCTGCTGCATTGGAGAATCAAGGCTTAATGTCGGCTGTCAATCAGTGTTTAGCTGTTCGTGATTATTAGATTTAGTTGTTTCAGGAATGTGTACATAAACGGTTACTTCAAAACTAGAAAATTCTTTTAAAACATGGTTTTTCTCTTTTGAAATATTTTAAGCCAAAGTTTTCAGTGTGAAAAATGTTGTTTTTAATATAGATGGTGTCTAGGATATGTATGAGATTTTTCTCGACCAAGAAGGAGGCGACTAAAAGGTACCAAATTAATAATTAATTTTGAACCAAAAATGCTCTGAATTTCAGATACATTGTTAGGCAAACTACTGATGAATTCTCGAATCGAGCTCGTGAGCACAATTTTCGAGCAAGAAGCGCTTTCAAACTGATGGAAATCGATGATAAATTCAAATTTTTGAAAGAAGGAAAAGTGGTATTGGATGTTGGATGTGCTCCTGGCTCATGGCTTCAAGTTGTTGCTCAAAGGTGTAATCTGAAGAATCCGGGAACTCAGGGATATGCGATTGGAGTTGATTTACAAGTATGGATTGACATAATTCAGTGGATAATCCAAATTTTCAGAATGTGTTGCCAATTCAAGGAGTTGATATTCTTTCATTGAGCGATATTACGGATAAAAATGTTCAATTTAAAATCGAGAAAAAGCTTAAATGTCGGCCTGTTGATGTTGTTCTGAGCGATATGGCTCCAAATCCAACAGGAGATAATGCGACCGATCATTTGCGACTAATTGAGCTCTGCAGAAAAGTCTTTGGATTGTTTGCTTCAGAAGAAGATAGGATATTGAATTTGTCAAAAAACGGAGTATTTTTGTGCAAAGTAAGGAAAAAATATTTAAATATTATGACTAAAATCGATTTTATTTTTGAAGATATGGGATGGTCAGCATCGCTCGGAATTTGTTACCGAACTTCAGAAGAAATTTGGATTTGTGAAGACGTTGAAGCCGATGGCGTGTAGAGATAACAGTGCGGAAATGTACATATTTTGTAGAAATTATAATAAATAAAATTTTGATTTTTTTTTCTGCTGAAATGTTTTTGTTCAAGGTTTGAACCCGTTTATATTTAGCTTTCTATTTTTCTATTTGGTTATTACATGTTTTTAAAGAAATGCCTTGGCGGACAGCGGTAAAAGTGGCACTCGCTGCTGGAGAAGCGCTGGCAAAAGCTGTGACCCGAGCAGTTAGAGATGAAATTAGGCGTATGATCCTTGAAATTCGCGTTGAGACCAACAATGTATTGGTTGTTTTTTTTTTCAGAAACGCAACATGCCGCACAACGGCATGCGACGGCCACCGGCCAAACCCAGAGTGAGGCGAAAGAAAATGCGAATGCGAATGCAAAATTGGGAATTTCTTTAGAGGTGGAAACTAGATATTTAGATTAGAATTTGTAAACAGTTAAAAACCTCTGAATAGCTTATGAGCAGTCTGTGGGTTCGAAAAGATCGATTAATCCTTATACTATCGAGCGGGATCGATTTTTTGCCGATTTTGAGATCGAACGCACATACTTCTTATGAGTCATTATGAAAATTTCACTGTGACAAAGAAGAAAAAAAAATGGAAAACAAATTTTCTTACAGGAGTCGCTGCAAATTTTGAATGTGAAGCCGCCGATTGATCGAGAGGAGGTTGAGAAACGATTTCAGCATCTTTTTAGCATTAACGATAAAACTAAAGGAGGATCTTTTTATTTGCAATCTAAGGTTTTATTTCAATTTGAACCCAATATTCATTTTTGAACCCAATATTTCAAGGTTTACCGCGCTAAAGAACGAATAGATGAAGAATTGGCGAGACTGGAACAGAAAAACGAAGAATCTGCAGAGAATTCGAAATAAGTGTGTTTTTTTGTTTTAAACATTTCAGCCAATGGGTATTTTCATAGAGTTTCTTGTGTTTTTTCTCTAGGTCTTAGATTTTTTGGAAATTAATAAATTTATTGTTTTCTTTATTGTGTGTGTTTTTTTTTCTGTTTATCGAGTTTAACCAACAGTTATATCTAGTTTGTTTCCTTGCTCTTTGGGAATGATGAATTTTAAGCTCAGAATTATGGAAGATGCTTTAAAATTCATTTCAACGGCGGAAGTTGACGAAGGATTTGCGGACGAAGCTGCCCGGAAGCTTCTACTGTCGGGAGAAGGTTTGATTTGGTTTTTTGGGCAAATTTTCCCTTTAAGTGTTCGAATTGAACATATTTTTCTTGTGCCTGTGATATATTGTCGGAGTCAAACGACTGAAGGGAGGCGGGGCCTTCAAATTCGCGAAATCTGTGTAGATTTAAATTAATCGTTGATTGAATATTAAATGCGCGTACGTTATAATGCAATGTACGTAGTCTCGCAAACTTCTCGCTGCCTCGAGACACATTGGCACATAGCCAATTAATTTTTAAATTTCGTCCAATAATTTGTTTGCGACAAGTCTAATGCGTTTTATAATATGTGGATCAAATTAAAATGATGGCGCCAAAATTTCAATCAAAATCCAACCCTCTTCGCGGGTCCCTCGATTATATGAAATATTTGGATTTATTTTTACTTTCTAGGAAATGATCAAAAAACGAGAATCATTTGGAAGTTGCTTGTCCTTGGAGCGAGGAAATCGATGAGTGTTGAAGAGTTTAGGGCGTTGTTAGGAGCGTCGACGTCTGCGGAATCCATTGGCAATGCTTTTGAGGTTTATTTGAACCCGGATTTTTCATTTTGTTAATATTGATTTAGAAATATCGGGAAAAAATCATTGAAAATCTGAAAACTATTCGATGGGAGTACGATGATTTGATGGATGTTGATTGGAGTGTCGCAAAAGTTCATCAGGTTTTAAATAGTCAATTTCTGCATTCTTCCATTTTTTATTTTAGAGCTCCTTATTAGGAAGCAACGCTGAAGGAGAGATGCAAGCCAGCTTTTGCCTGAAAACCGCTCCAGCTGGTGGTCTCGCCACGAGAACCATCGACGTGACGTTTGACGACACACAACTCCACGCGTTCCTCTATAATCTGAAAGAAGCGCAGAATATGATGGAGGCTTCCCGAAAATGACTTCACCATTTTATTATTCGCGTTTGTATATGTTTTTCATACTCTCTTATTTCTTGCTCTCCCCCCGTTGCGATGCATATTCGAATAAATCTTGAGCGTCCATGGAAACTCGGCGGTCGGCGACGAATTGCATTCCATCGCGCTTATTTTTCGCATTCCTTGAAAGAATCGCCTCGGGATATGTCGATTATCTTCAAAGGCGGATTGCCGTCGGAATGCGCTTGTCCGATTTGCGAGCAGGCGCTTCGCGAGCCGATCAAACTTAATTGCGATCATCACATGTGCAAAATTTGCTATGAATCGCCGGAAAGGTAATTTTCAGTAATTAATTAACTAATTGAGTTGGTTTAAGATCTCAAAATTGCCCGATATGCCAGACAATCATTCAGCCAGAGCTCTGCCAGTATGATAAGGAGCAGCATAAACAGGTGATTAGTGAGGTGCTCTTGATATGAGAAATCTAGTCTTAGATTCAATTGCTTCCTGTCGTCTGCTCGTTTGAACCATATGGATGCCAATGGCAAGGAATGCTAAAGGATTTGCAGGTTGGAAAAATTATTAATATATGTTATATTTTGTCAAAATTTCATATTAAAGGAACACCTTGGAAGTTGTGAATTTAAAGCGCAAAAGTGTCCGAATTGCCAGCGAGCGTTTAGCGCGCAAAAGTTGCCGATTCACATGGAGAAATGCACTGATCAGAGGACGACGTGCAGTTTTTGCTCGAAAATTGTGCGCATTTCGGATTTGGAACGTCATGTCAAATCGTGCCCGCTCGTGATCATCAGTTGCCCATTTCAATGCGGTTTGACGGATCGGACGCGTCAGGAGGTTGAGTTTCGTTTGGTTGTTTTTTCGAACGAGAGAGATTATTTAGATCGAAGAGCATCGGCCGAATTGCCCGAACGTTGAGAACGTGTGCCCGTTTGTTCCCTATGGTTGCACGTTTGCCGGCGATCGAGCAGCGATTCAGAAACATTTGAGCGACGAGCCGGTTCGACATTTGATGCTCCTTTGCGACGAGATCACCGACTTGAAGACGACCTACGGTATCATGGAGAAGGACATGGAGAACTTCAACGAACGACAACATCGGATTCTCGAGAAGGCCGAAACTTGCAACGAGATGTTCGGCCCCCAATTGGTCTGGAAAATCGACAATATTCAGCAGAGGACGAATGAGGCGAAGGTGGGTGTCTGATTGACGATTGACGAATGAACCGTGCGTATTTGATTCATTGAAGTCCGGCGCGTGCACGACAATCTTTTCGGAGCCATTCATGTCGCATCGTCATGGATACAAAATGATGGCATGCGCGTGTCTCTTCGGCGACGGAACAAGTTTAGAGAATTTTCGCGAAAATTGAGACTCGAATAAATTTTGAGGTACTGGCAAAGCGTTGTCGTTGTACGTGTTAATCCTCCGCGGTGAATACGACGCCACACTCGAATGGCCGTTCAGTCGAATCGTGAAGATCACACTATTGGATCAGAATCCGAATCCGGAAGAGCGTGTCGACATTACCTATGTGATCGACCCGCGAAAATTGCGAGCCAATGGGCAATTCTTGGCGAGACCCAAAGGCGATCGAAACGCCGCGTTCGGATCGCAATCGTTTTGCTCGTTGTCGATTCTTCAAAGCTTCATCAAAGACGACTCGATTTATGTGAAGGTTGATGTCGATCGTTGCCCGACCACCGAAGCGGTGTTGGCGGTTCGTGAAACCCAGAAGGTTGAATGGTCCCAAGACGAAAGAGCTGACCTGCCATTTTTCAGATGAAGACGATGGAGCAGCTTCGAAATGAGGAAACACCAATTGAGATTGTTCGCGCGACGTCGGTTTCTCTCAGCGAAGTGTGATGATCAATAATAACAACAATAATAATAATAAACCAGTGTTGAATATTAAATGAGGAACAAAAATATTGAGCAAATATTTGTTGAAGAATTTTTAATCACTGTTTATAATGTATATTTAAAGTGGGCCTTCAGAGATTCGCCCGAAACCATTTCTATTACACACTTTGTGATTTGGCGCTAGCCAGTTTGCCGCATTTCCCCACACGTATCAACATCGTGTTTGATTTCGACGCCAACAATGAACATCCTTTTATTGATTCTGCTTCATTTTATGATAGATGTTGTCAATTCGGAGGTAATTTTCGAAAAAGAATTCTTAATTTGCGTCTGCTTCAGAAGTGCCCGTCGAACGCGTTTTGTGAGGCGAAATGGCCGGACGCGGAATGTGTGCGTGGAAGGTGTGCGTATTTATTCGTCGAAACGCAACATTTATCCAGTTTTTCGGCTTCTCTTAAAGTCCTTCGATTTTCAGATGTCGATGTCCCATCAACACGTTGCGCAAAAAGAGTAAATCCCGAGAGTTTGTGTGTCTCGCAACGAATGAAGCTTGTAAGTGATGATTTAAAGGCGCACGCAGTTGTTGCGCTCTCCCTCTAGTAAAATCGAATGAATTGTAACACGCCCGAAATTCCAGTGGGCAACGCTGGACCACCGTTGACATGCCCGACACCACAAGGCGCCGGTCATCAAGTGATTTTGCGGGAAAACGGCGAAATTGTGAAGTGCTCTTCGAAGAAGAAGCCTGACACGTGTCCGGAAGGCTATGAGTGCATTCAAGGATTATCCATATTAGGTGCTTTGGATGGAGTCTGCTGTCCTGATCAAGGTATTCTTATATCGGTCATCACATTCAGCTCGTTGTCGATGTTCAGCAAAGACGTGCAGCCATCCGATTTTCGATCACGATGACGATGACGGCTATTTGGAGCGATGGGGATTCAACGGACAGGAATGCGTCGCGTTCAAATGGAATCCTGAGCGGCCGTCGTCGGCCAACAATTTCAAAACTCGCCAACATTGTGAAGATTACTGTATAAACAACGTGTCTTCCTATGCGAACGCCAATTTCAAGAGTTAATTTATGCCAATAATAAATACAAATACACTTGATCACAATTGGGACGACGGTGGTAATAATTTAGTGCGACAAATTTCTAGGCACTGGTCTCGGCGGCGATTCGATCGAATTCGTTCTCCTTGGCAATATAGTCGATGGTCCATGGATGAGAAGCGTGGTCGTGTTTGAGAAGGGAAATGAAACGGTCCGAAACCTTTAAAATTGTAAATATGCGTTTTATATAAAGATTTTTTTATAATTTTTACATCGTCATCTTTTTCCAAACATTGTGAAACCACAAGAGTGTTAATAAGAACATCAGCATCCTTGCTATCTCTTTCCAAAGCGTTCTGTAATTAAAATACTATTTTTGCTTTATTTTTTATTATATAAAATATTACGCTCAAAAGCTCGTCGGCTGAGGTATAATCCTGGGTGAGAATCGAGACGACAGCTTGATGCATTTCCAAATCCGACGTTTTTCCGTATTTGTCAGCCATTTCGCTATAAATATAAAGAGCGTCTTTAACTTTGCCGGTTGCCTAAAATATGTTATTTATATAATCATTAAATTAAATCGCAAATACCGCAAACGAAGTGACGAGAGCATTGGCGAGTTGAGAAAGTGTCGCATCCTCGTCGATCGCATTCATTTTTTTGACTTCGGCCCTGAAAATGTGCAAATTATTTCAAGATTCTCCCATTTTTTTTTGTTATTCTTACATCGCCAACTTCTTCTTATTCATTTTGATAAGAGTGAAAACTTTGACGGCTCGCGGCTCCAATCCTTCGAAACGGGAAACTGCGCGGAAGGCGTCCTCTGGGTTCTTAAGACAATTGATTATGCAATTTTTATTTCAAGAACATTTTACATTTGTCTCGTTCAAAATAGTTGCGGCCAAGACTGCGCCGATTTCGGTTTTGATCGATCTTGAGGCGACTTCGTCCTTGATTTCTTGGAGCACGCGTTGTCTTGAAAATATATTATTTTTTTTTTGGTTTGAAATTATTTTGTTCTACTTTGCTCTTGGATCGCTGACGAATTCAGCATACCGGCGAACGGCGAGAAGTTCTGGTGATTTGGTGCTTGATGGAATCTGAGAATTTTTAAAATCAATTAATTTTTAAATCAAAATATTCAATTTTCATACCTCTTTGAGTGGAATGAAAGCTTGACCCTGAGCGATGTAGGCTCTGTACAGATAAATATCTTTTTCAAGTTTCTCCTCCTCGTTTTTTGAAGAGAATTTCTACAAAAACACAAAAAACGATATTAAAATTGGAATAAATTTTACCAAAGCCTCGCCAATGCATGATTGATAACTTCCCAAAAAGAAATAATTGCGAATAGCGAATAATTTATCAGCCATTTCTAAAAAAAATGAAAGATTTTCAGCGATGAGCGAAGAGGCTGGGAAAACACGTCACGAGCGGTGTTTGCGGACTTGGTGTTTGCACAGACTTTGCGGCAACAGTGAGTGAATTTTATTTTAAAAAATTGGAATTTGACAAAATTAATGGAATATGGGGCAGTAAATTGAAATATCATTCATAATTATAATATCAAAATATATAAATCAGTTTTATGCGTGATACTTTCATTTCCACATTTTGAGCCTGGCAGCATAAGTCAGATTTACAGAAAGTGAAGCAATTTGTAAGAATTTAAATTCATTTCTAAATATATAACGTAATAAGAAAAAAACTACACGAGATGACGCATTTTATAGAAAAACATAATTATGACACAAAATATTTAGAACTTTTTTCGACTGAGTCCGGCCCCTTTAAAGCCGACAAACCGGAAAGTGTTGATCGTTACAGTATTCTCAGTTTCAATCACAGATAGAGGAGAGTCCTGAATATGAGAAAAATATTTAACTTTCAATTAAATATTTTTAAATCTCACAATTTTTGGTGTTTTCTCTTCAGAATCTTTCTTCGCGATTTCCTCAGTTTTAATAAACGCCGGCCTTCGGAAAGGATTTGAAACACTAGGTGATCTGAATTTGTGCGAAACTTTCAAATTTATATGATTCAATGTTGATTTACCCAGTGTTTTTGGCGAAAAATCGACTTTGACTGACAATTTTTGGTTTTGATGGCACAATTGATTCGGAATTTCTCGTAGTAAGTATGGGTGACTGGAATTTTTTGATGTTTGACGACGTTGGAGATGATTTTGTCTTTCTTAGAGCAATCGGTGATGGCTTCAGAGCCGGCTCCTCTTTCTCAATTGAATAGTCAATTTTAGTCATTTCAGGTTGCGAAGATGATGGCTGTGTGGTGAATTCTGAAATATGAAAAATGAATGGAAGGCCAAATTGGGATCTTATGCCGAAAATCGCATCGTCGACTTCAGGTTCGTCGATTTTTGGTTTTTTCGCAAACTTCGCCAACATTTCCTCTGCTGAATAGTCGATGTCTGGAGCATTTTTGCGCTTCTTCGCGGCATTTTTGACGTCGTCCATGAAATTCTGAACAATGTCGTCTTCATCATCGAGACAAAATTTCATTCGCTTTTTCGAGCTCTCCGAATCGTTTGACTTTTTGACGCGTTTCAAACTCGGCGGATCAAGCTGAATTTTGCATTGAAATTATTTTTTGTTGAGAAATTGCCTGCAAATTCCACCTTGAACGCGCCGCCGTCCCAAATTTGCGGTTTTTCTCGTTCCTTCTTCTCCATTTCTTGAATTTTTCCTTTGCTTTGAAATCTGAAATCGAAAAAAATGCGAATTTTCACTGGCGCTTTCCAATGATACTTGTCCGACCAAACACTCCAACTCGGATTCGAATCATTTGGCAGAAATTTATCATCGAGGCAAGACCCATTGGCCTTTAAATTAGAAAAATTTGAATAGAATTTTGAAAAACTACATATGTACCGAGTTGCCCAACGCGAGTCTTGTTGAAATATTGGCATTTAATACATCACCGGCGTAGTGGAATTTATTGGATTCTTGACTATCGGCTCCACCGAGCTCTATGATGTCATTGTCGAGTTCGGGATAAGGATTCAACGGTTTTTGGCATCGTTCTCTCGGATCAAATACCACCCGAAAAAAAATAGTTTGATTTTCTCTCCTCCGTCTAACAAAATTGGATTGCCTCACCTGATACTCGAACGTATTTTCAGCCTTGATGAAATTTGCAATAAATTCCGGTGTAATATAGTTTTTAAGTTTCCCATTGTTCAAATATGAGGGGAGTTTTTTCAAGAGCTGCAATTTTTGAAGTGTGATCCTTTGAAAGAAAAAAAAATGTAGAATTTTTACTGTTGGAATGTGCGTTATTGAAGTTTTTCCGAAAAATTTCACCGCCGTTGTCAAACCGACGCCGGGAACACCGGATTGGAGGTAGTCACATCCGGAAATGATGCAGATTCTCCGGAATTTCACAAAGTCGAACTTGTCGCCGCCTAGTTCACCGGTGAAACACTTTGGGAGGTTCTTCTTCTCGTAAACAGTGCATTCGCCGCTTCCCGATTGCCATTTGAAATAGATCTTCAATTGGTTTTTCAAAATTTCAATTTTTCCCGATTTTTACGGTTTCGCAGCCGAAAACAATCAAATCCGAGTCTTCCGTGATGACGGCGTCGACTAGTTCGGCCTTCATCAGATACGCCAATTGCGCGTCGGCTTCATACGGCGCCACGACGATGTCGACATTTTTCCAATTTCGAAAATGCTGAAAATTGCAAAGACACACACGCACGCACATATTTTTGTTGGTATTTTTCGACGAACCGCAATCGTTGTCTCGACGACGTTTGACGAGATTTTTGTTGCTAGACGAAATTTGTCGCGAGCTTGTTTCTCTTGGCCTTTTGCCAAAAGTAGCTCGGCGTGCTCGATATTCTTCTCCCTTCGTTCTCTTCGATCATCGTTGGTTTGTTTTTTTGAAGGAAGCGGCCGACCGTCGAACACCATCACAATATGACAATCATATGATAAAAGCTCTTTGATGTATTTCTCCACGTAATAGACATAACTAAATTGCATAAATTATGGTTAATTTGAAATATTCATACTCAAATTACCTTGTGGTATCTTCGCCCATATGAATTTTGTCCATACATCCAGTGAGACCTCGATGAAGAAGGCAACTCACATCAACCGCTACAGATTTTCCTTTTAATTCAATAATATTACCCTAAAAATTTATTAATTTGAGTGAAATCATTAAAAAAAAATTACCGCTCTGCACGCATTTTTGACAAATGGAAGTAATCCAGAAATTCCCATCGAATTTATTCAACTTTTTGAATTAAATTAGAAAAATTAATAAAAAAAATTAATTGCTACAGTACGTTAAAGGTACAATCAGATTTTTTCTATGTGTCTCGAAGAGGAATACAAAATATAATTGTGATTTCGAATTTATTCAGAATTTTGTATTAAAATTGAAAAATTTTGAATTGCGCGCCTTCAGCAGAGCAGGTTTCCAACACAAATCATGAAATAATTTCTTTTCGACATATTTTGGCTGTGAATTATCATATGAAAACAGAAAATCGTTGAAAAATTATTACGATGAATAGTGGTTGAATTTCGCAAAACAAAAAAAGCTGGTCGAAGTTTTGAAACGAATTGACTAAATCGGCCTATTTTTGGTGTTTCTATATTGATAACAGATGTTTGTGATATAATTCTGCTTATGAATCAAAATCAGAACAGATTCATAAGAGATGATTTCCCAAATTTTCGTGATAGTCGTCAAACGACACTGTTCATTAGAAAATGAATGAAATTGGGAATTTGGCAGAGCAGTTTTTCTTCACTATTAATCAATAGATCGACTTTTCATCCACTTTCCAACGTTTCCAAGTTAAGTATTCTATCTTATTTGGAAATTTTTGATTTGCATGAGTTCTGCGAAAATTGTTCATATTTTTTTGGTTAAAATGAAGTTTTATTGGCTCATAGTGTGAAAATTTTCAATTTTTTGTTACAATAGCTCTCAGAAATCTGTCTTTGAAAAACGAAAATTTTTAAAGTCTGCGATCATGATCGAATTCGGAAGAATTCACAACTTTTCAAAATGAATTAAAATACAATTTTTAATAAACGAACAATACAAATATCTGATGACCATTGAAATCGCAAAAGAATTAAAAGACTAGTTGAAGAAAAAAAGCAATATTCGTTATTGTTGGCCCTAAAGAGGGCCAACAATGGATTCATGTGCCGATTAGCCTGACTCGACATCCCCCTGAAGGAGTGTCGAGTCAGTTGATCTCCTTCGCCACGTAGAGGCTCGGCACTTGAAGGAGAGGCTCACCAGCATCAGAGAACCTGATGTGGGTCATCGCCGATCCCACCATGGGGATCACCCAAGGACATCCCACAACTATCATCCGAGGATAATAGAAGTAGAAGTGGTTGGGCAAGCCACGTCTGGCTGGGCCCCGGGTCTACTGGTGATATGGTAATGTGTTTTTTGTCTTCATAGCAAAGTAGCACGCTACTGAAGCACTGGTCCATTATGGCACCCCCGCGGGAGGCTGGACATATTGACATAGCTGGCCAATCCACGTCAATATAGGTCTGGGCCAGATGCCATCCTGACTAGTATGGAGGACACCCGGTGAAGCAATGTTCTAAAGCATAACCATCCATAACGCCCAATAGCAGTTTCCAAGTACTCGAGAGTACTTGAAACGGGCGTTTGGGTAGGGTTCGATTCCCGGCTACGGAATCAGGGCTGAAGGGCTTGCCAGGCCAATCACCCGAATTTAGGATACAGCGGATAAGCCGCCATCCAGCCAACGCCTCGGCACTAAGGGGGGATCAGGAAGCTTTGGCGTTTGGGGGAATGACCGACTACGGCCCTAAGTAGTAGACTAGAGAGGCTTAGGGATATATACTTAGTGTGTGGTGGGGAATACCTAGGTTTGGTGATCAGTCGATTCACCAGCCGGGCATCATAACTAAGTAGCACGCTATGATGTCCAGGTTCGATGACCGGAAGTCATCCTACTAGCATGGATGACATCCGGATGATGCAAAAAATGAGGCATAGCCATCCATGAGGCCAGTAGCAGTTTCCAAGTAAACGTACTCGAAACGAATGTTGCAGTTTCCAAGTACGATTACCCGAAACGGGCATCTGGGTAGGCTTTGATTCCCGGCTACGGAATCAGGATGAATGGTTTGCCAGACCAATCATCCGACTTTAGGGATCGGCGGATAAGCCACCTCACCCAGCCAACGCCTTCGCACTAAGGGGTGGGGGGAAGAAGTGGGGAAACAGGAAGCTTTGGCGTTTTTGGGAGGGATAGCTGACTAAAGCTGGCCGACTACGGCAGATTAAGAAATTAGGAAATAGACACTTAGGTACTTATACTTAGTCGTGGTGAATACCTGTGTGGTGGTGCATCAATTCAACAGCGGGGTCCTTCCATCGGCGGCAGCGGCGATTCCTAAACATACACACGCACACACAAATTAATAATTAAAATTATTAAAATAAAAAAAAATATTAAAAAAATATATAATATAAAAAGTCCCAAGTGGTGGGACTGGAAAAAAACAAAAAACAAAACACCTAAATTTATACGAAGAATAGATTTAATAAAATAATAAAACAAATAATATAATACGGAAGGGGGAAGCCAGTCATTAGTGGAATGACTGGCATGGCCGTAAGTGGTACGACTTTCCCCGGAAAAGACGAAGAAGTGGATGGTCCCAAACGGTAGGACCGGAAAGAAGAAAGTGGTGGTGGTAGAGTGAGTGAGTGAGAGGGAAAGAAGCCGCTAGTGGTACGGCAGGGGGGAATCAGTCGACTGATAGAGAGAGGGGACAGTCGTAAGTGGTACGACTGGTGGAAGGGAGAAGCCGCAAGTGGTACGGCAGGAAGAGGGATGGGGAAGCCGGCTTTCCCCAGAAAAAGAAGGGGTGGTCCCAAACGGTAGGACCAGGAGGAAGTACAGACGTAAGTGGTACGAATGTACGGAGAGAAGGGGGGAATCCCAAGTGGTGGGATAGAGAGGGGAAAGCCGTAAGTGGTACGGCTGGTGCAAGTGAGTAATAAAAAAAATAAAAATAAATAAGGCCCGGGCCAAAAACTACCATGATCCGCGGATCAAATACCTCTTGTTTGTGTCCTTCCTCGTCACTTCCTCCAGTTATCTTCTCTCGATCCACAAATCGAAAAACCTGCAATGATTCGAATTACTCTGATCGATTGCTGCTTCTTCGTTACCATTTAAATCCGCTTCCTCGCTCTGCTCGACGCCCCGGGCAGCATCGACCTTTCGTCGCCTCTCCATCTCTTCCTTCATCACCTCGATGCCTCAGTGTAGGTTTAGCGTCACCTCGAACCAACACTGCAGCACGCCCATTGAAGGGTGAGCACTGACTAACGGAGCCGGTCGAGGCGAGAATCCCTCACACCTTGAACACTTCTGATCCGAAGGTGTCGATGGAGAATCGACTGTGGCTCATATCGGATCTGCAAAAAGAGGAAATCAGGAAAAGCGACGGCGATGAATGCGACATACCTTGTGGATCCTTGGCCACGGCGAGCCCGCAGGAGATGCGGGCTGCCCGCAAGTTGTGCGGGGGCACGTGGAGCCCGCAGGTTATGCGGGACACGAGGAGCCCGCTGGCGGGTTGCTCGCAACTCGGAGAGCTGCGAGAATGACCAAATTCCTCAATCAGCCGGGCTTTTATAGTGCCTCTGGGCGTCGCTACGAGATTTGCAATAGAGCGCGTTTTGACGAAAAGAACTGCAAATTGACGCCAAGCGTTATTCTTATTCTCTCATGTTAGCACACTCTCTGCTCACCGACGCGCTTTCCCGATCGTCGCTGTATTGCGCTAGAGCGCATTTGCCTAATGAAACAAACGCTGGGGGCGGCGTTTAGATTGCGCATTCATGACTACCACAAGGCTATTTCAACCCGAATAACATTAAATAAATATAGAAATTCAATTTATAGAAATCGTTATCAAAAATCAGATTTTGAACGAGAAATTCGCAATTCGTTGAATTCGCGGTACGTGATTCGAGAATTTTTTTCCGAATGCTACTTACTTCAAAATGTGCTTCAAAGTGTGCTTCAGAATTATCAGAAATACCAAAATTTGATAAATTGATGTCTTTTACATCTTCGTTTGGCGATTGCTGTATGTGAGTAGATTTAAGGGTATTTAAGCTTTCTCTTGGTCTCGCGTAGACTAACTGGTTATTCTAGATTTTGTGGGTCAGTTCCATAATTTTTAAAAATCTAATGACGTTGGAAATTCAACGCAATGCGAATCTCCTCAAGAAAAAACAACCGTTCACGTGTAATCAACTTAATAAGGGTTCACACGCGACGAGACCATTTCGAAAGGCGCTCACGTAAATCTACCCGAGTACATCAGTCTCCGGACTCCGAATTATAGCCTTGCAAATCGTGAATATATGACAATACATTTTGAATAATTCTGAATCTAGCTGTTTATACGGAATATCCAAAAATTAGTGATTATTAGACAACTTTAATTTTAAGAAAACTTGATTGGTGTCTGCCGTGTAGATTTATTTGTAAGTTTGTAATTCGACGACGATCAGTATTTCACTATTTTATTGTCGGAGTCAAATGACTTGACGAAATTTAAGAATCGTTAATTATGTGCCAATGTGTCTCGAGGCAGCGTGAAGTGCGAGAGACTGCGTACATTACATTATAGTGTACTCGCATTTAATATAATCAACGATTAATTGAAATCTACACTGATTTAGCGAAATTCAAGGCACCGCCTCCATTCAATCGTTTGATGTCGACAATATTCAAAGGCAAGCGAAGAAAAAAACAATTCTCTTTATTAAACGGACCATAAAATATCTGATAGCCCTAAAGAGGGCCGTTAGAATTCGCAGTATTTTGAGGTGTAAAATTTTTATTTTATGCGCTTTAAACCACTATGATTTTTTTAAATCCCAATTTTTTTCTATTGGATTCGCTATTATTTAATGTTCTAATTAAAGGCGCGTACAATAAAAATTTTTTGATTCTTGCAACGATCTCATTATAGAAAACTGTGGTATCGTAAATTTCGAAAACCGTAGATTTTTTTTTACTTTTTTTCCCACAAATCTGCATAGTATCATCAAATAGGCAAATTTTTAGTAATAAGCAAGTTTTTACTATCGAATGAATTCGCTAAAATTCGCCGATCAGACTGCAAAATTGTCGAAGCCTGTTGGTTTTTTCGACATTTTTCTAGCAGTTTGAAAAATTTGTTCAATTCGATTCCCATTGGATTTGAGTTTTTCAGATGATCCAAATTATTCAAATTTTCAAATGTTGTCCGTCTTTATCAATATTTTTTTCAACAATTTGGTTAATAATCATTCATCATCAATTATGGAATATTGATCCTCTTAAAATTTTTTCGCACAGAATTAGTCTGATTTCAAGGAACTCGCGGGAAAATATATTTGACTTATAAATATGTCAAATTCATTTATTGAAACAAAAAAAAACGATAATTAAAAAAAACGATAATTTGTTTTTTCACTGTGAAAGTTTTTCATAATATCTCATTTTTAATGTTCGCATTTTAAAAATGTATTTTTTTTGCGTGAAATGAAATGTGTTCAAAATTGCGTCATTGTGTAGGCAGATAAAATCCGAATCCGCCCCGTTAAACATGTTTCCTTTTTTGTTATCATTTTTTCTTTAGATGAATTTTAATCATTTATTAATTGAAATAGCTTTTTTGGGGTTTACAAAAAGAGAAGGATTAGATGTTGGCGAAACGAGAGATTATTTGGATGTTAACTGATTTAAGTGAAAACGATTTGAAGTTGTCGGAATTCAGATGGAATCGTTGTCGCTGTCCTGATCTTCAACGTAGACTCTTGGTAGTGGTTGTTTGCTGAAAGCTCGGCGAGCATCAAGAATGCGAAGCGCTTCGGTTTCAAGAGTAGCTGACTGTAGAGATAGAGTTTTTGAAAATTTCATGCTAAAAAAATAAACAACCTGTTGACTCAAATTCCTCAAATTGTTGACGGTTGCGTATTGCATGTTGCACAAATCGGTAATGTAGGATTCTTGGTTGAGCGACTTCTTCTGAAGATCACGACGAAGATTCGAGAGCTCCTCGGCGCGCACTTTGTTGATGTGCACCTCGGCGGTGAGTTGGCCCGACGCTTCGGCCATTTGCTCGGTGAGCGCGTCGAAGTCGCTTCGAAGCTCGTTGAGTTGCCGTTCGGCCTTCATTCGAAGTTTGCGCTCCTCGAGAAGATCCTCTTCGAGCTCCTCGATTCGCGCGATGCATCGCCGAAGGCTCGATTGCAATTTTGCGATGAGGTTCGCGTCGGCGGCGGCTTTTCGCTTCCATTCGCCGACTTCGGTTTCACGCCTGTAAATTTCAGAAATAGAAAATCCTAAAGTATGATTCCATTTGTTTTTTGCTTCACTTTCTACAATCCACATCGAACTCATGCTTCTCCTTGAGCGCCAATTCCAATTGAACTTGAATTTGCTTCATTTGGCTTTCAAGTTTCTTATTATCTAAATTGCGTTTATATTTAATTTTAAAGAATTCCCAATATTGTAAACGAGCACCATGAGTATTTGTGGACTATCGCACTTTTTTTTTTCGAGGCGGCAATTCAAATTTTTAATTCAGCGTAAATCGACGCAAGGTGCTCGTTTTTCATTTTTTTGCGTTTGTATATAATAATTTGTATTTTTTTCTTCTTACGCTTCTGCAATTCATTATTTTGACGTTTTTCAGCCGCCAATTTGTCGTCCAACGCATCATAGTCCTCGCGGAGTTTGTTCTTCTGCTCTTCGGCACGATCCGATTTTTGTTTGAGAAGCGCCACCTCGTCGATGAGCTCCGCGTTCGCTTGCTCCTTTAAAGGTATTTCATTTTGTTTGTCGCCTATTATTCAATTATTGCTAATGCAACTCATACTTGCGCTTTTCGCTGCGCTTGAAGTTTGTCCTGCTCGATTTGAAGTTGGCTTAGTTGATCCTTGAGCTTCTCATTTTGAGTCCGATGATTGTTCGCCTCGTTCTCGGCCTCCATTTGCATTCGACGCTCCTTCTCCTCGAACTCTTTGCGCTCCTTCTCGCGAAGTTTCTCGACTTCGGCGAGCTTCTTCGCGTTCTCATAATTCGCTTCCGATTCGGCTTTGAGATTCCGATTGAGCTCCTTTAATTTGTTTGTGAAAAATCTTGTCGCCATCAAAACCTCAAATCAATTTACCTCAATTTCTTTATTTCGACTCTCAAGCATCATTCGATCGCGTTCCAATTGCGCCTTCGTCTCCTCATACTGCTCGATTTTCTGACGCAACTCGTCGGCGTACTTCTTTCGCGCTTCCTCCTCGCGTTTGTGGTTCTCCTCGAGCTCTTTGCATTTTTTCTCGAGCGCCTCGATTTCGGCGTTCGACTTCATCCCTTTGAGCATCGGCTTGAGACGCGAGAACAATCGATACCACGGCCACGATCTGCAACAAATCTCGTCGCACACGATTTTTTTTTTGGTTTTCAGCTCAAACCGTAATTTGATCCAGGCTCGCACGTTTTCTTGAATGATCGGATAGGCGTCCTCGCGATCGATTCGACGCTTGTAGTCGCACTGGAAAAAATTGTTGAAGCTTTTATTCGGGCGGTGGCCGCCTACGCGCAGCCGCGAATTAGTCGGCCGTGACATATTTCACGACCGTCTTTATTTCGAAAATTGTTAAGTTTTACGAGTTTTTTGTTAGAATGTTTTGCCGATTTCTTTTAAAAACACATTTAATACATGAAAAAATAAAAATTAATTTTTTTAGATGAAATTTTTAAAAGTGGGAAGGATGTTGTTGCTTGCGGACGGATGAATTTGAATTTTAAATCGTTAGCAATCAATACGGTCTCAACAATCAATCAACGCATTTAAATTTTTCTAAGATCTTATACTTTTTTATATTATGTCCTTAAAAATCGCAAAAACAACGTTAAAGGATCTTTTCCACACGAGACTCAAGGCGGGAATTCAAAAATTTGAAAAAGGCGCATTTTTGTCGTCCGAATGAAAGCCGTAGACAAAAAAAAAATGGGGAAAAAAACAATAATTGGCGAGTTTTGATCAAATATTGCGCGAAAATCGATTGGATCCGCGCAAAAAATGTCTCGCGTCTCCAAAATGTTTCATTGTTTGAGGGGAAGGAGGCGCGCGCGCGAGTGAGCGCGAGTTTTTATCACCTCCCATCCATATCCTTGCAGCCTCCCCCCTGAGGAAGGTGGGAGGGGGGGGGTCTCAAGAGCTTTATCGCGTTCGCCTCCCTAGTTTAGTCTTCTCCGGGATTGTCGCGCAGACTACTCTTATTAGACACTGCGCAAAGCCTTAAGCAGAGTCTATGCGTCGGCCCAAGTTTGTTTTTTTTTGATTTTCTAAAAAACGAAAAAAATCTTACCATTGCTAGATAATGTCGAGCAGCGCATTGGAATTTGAGAATGACGGCGCTGAGCGCCTCGTCTCGAAGCTCTTCAAGACGAGCCAACATTCCGGCTCTGAAGAAAACCTACAAAAGGAAACGAATTGAAATAAAAATCGCTCCTCCCTTTTTTCTCTCTCTCTCTCTCTCTCACTTTTGTGCTTCCAACTTTGAAATTGTCGACATTCAACTGATTGGATTTGCTCAATTTGCGAAGCATAGCCTTCGCCGCTTTCGACGCGTCCTTCTCGGTGGCCTCGTCGGCGGCGAGAATCGCGTAGCGATAGCGAAAATCGGCGAACATCATTCGATTCGGGAACCCTTTGCGGCAAATTCGGATGCCCTCGAGTACGCCGTTGCACGTTAGCTGAATTTGCGAATGCGCTAGTTGAATGGATGAATGGTGGCGGGGATCACCTGATTCAACACCAGCGGAGCATCAATAAGACCACTCGTCTTTTTCTCATTGGGAATGATACATCTGCAATTTGTGGTGAGTTGTTGATTCTCGACTTGTCGATTGTACCTGATGAAGTGCGGATGAGTTGTGTGAAGCATTCCCATTAGAGAATTGAGCGACTCGCGGTACATTGTGGAGACCGTCAAGAACGACGCCGATTTTCCCTTCTTCTTCGTTTGCGGTCCCTTTCCGCGCTTCTCGTTCTCCTCGCGATCGACGTCGGTCTGATAGTCCTCGAACAGCTGATAGAGCACACCGGTGTGATCGCTGCTCTTCAACACCGCCACCGCCGAATCATTGAGCGGATCTTTGTTTTTGTCGAGCCACTGCTCGGCGTTGTAGCGAACGGTGCCCGCGTAGTGGACGATGGCGAAATGCGCTTCGGCTTGTTTGCCCTTTGGCGGTTTGGCCTTTTGGAAGTTTGGATGCTTGCCGAGATGTTGGCTGAGAAGCTTGTCGACGTACGTCATGTCGGTGGCTTTCGGCACAATGCACTCCTCATCGAGCATCGACACGATTCCGAGCGGCTAAACACGATCTACTCATTGTTTTGTGGTCATTCATTTTTGTTGGGGGGCACCTTTTCGATAAGCTCAATGCATGACTGCAAATCGAGACCGAAATCGATGAACGTCCACTCGATTCCCTCTCGTTTGTATTCTTCCTGCTCCAACACGAACATGTGATGATTGAAGAATTGTTGCAGTTTCTCGTTGACGAAATTGATCCAGAGTTGCTCGAACGAATTGCGCTGCAAAAAAAATTCCAGACATTCTTTGCATTTCGATTCAGGCTAGCAGTTTACATCGAAAATTTCGAAGCCGGCGATGTCGAGAACGCCGATGTAATAGACCATGTCTTCTGGCGACGCTTGAAGCGTCTTATTGATTCTCTTGATGAGCCAATTAAACATTCGCGCGTAGATTGCCTTCGACAACGCGCCAACCGCCCAGTCGACCTGTTGCACATTCTGGCCCTTGTTGACCCATTCGACTCCGACCTTGATTCTTGGACGCGTCAACGCGCTGATGAACTGCTCGACGTCCACGTTGAACAGTTTGCACGCGTTGTTGAGACCGAGCGCGTCGTCGACTTCTGCCTGCTCGTCGCGCGGTTTTTGTTTGAACGTCGCATTGCCGATGTGCATGATGGCCGCGCACAGTTTGTAGAGCTCGTCCTTCTCGCTCGCGTTGAAGTTCATCACGTCGAAAGCTTTCTGAAATTGTGGAATGCTTATGACTAGCTTGAGCCATCATCATCATCATCATACGTCGGTGATCTCAAACTCTTCTTTGTCGTTCATTCCCGGCACGCTAATTTCGGCCTGCGAGACGAATTTGTATTGGCGAATGTCATCGAGAAGGTTGAATTTTTCTGGAAATTTGAGATTCGCCCTTCTCAAATTGACACATTTCCCGACCTTTGAGCCCCTTTTGCGTCATGATTTGATAGAAGATGTGATAGGAACGCTCGCCGGGCGCTTGTTTGATCACTCGCGATTTTTCGAGAAGATCTGGAATTGAATTCAATTTTCAGAAAAAAATGATCAACCAATAATTAATCGTGGGCATACAATGCTCGATGTCTCCGCCGACGAGTCGGCCTTTCCGATCGAAATGAATTCGAATGAATTTGCCGTAGCGCGACGAGTTGTAGTTTCGCGTCGTCGCGCCGTTGCCGAACGCCTCGATCGCCGGATTCGCCTGCACGACTTGGTCTTCCAGCGAGCTCCTCTCGGCGCACTTGTCGCTTTTCGGTGACGCGCCGATCATCGCGAAATAGGCGATGACCTTTTTGGTGTTCTCGGTTTTGCCGGCGCCCGACTCGCCAGTGATCAACATCGATTGGTTCTCTTTGTCTGTAATTCAACAACGTTGAACCGAACCGATGCGCATGATGTCCGCCTACCGCTCATCATATTGCGGAACGCCTCGTCGGAAACGGCGAACAGATGCGGCGGCATTTCGGCGCGACGCTTGTTCACGTACATATTGGCAACCGAGTCGGTGTAGATTGGAAGCATTTTGTAGGGGTTGACGAACACGCAGAACAATCCCGAGTATGTCTGCAAATTGTATCTCATTGTTTTAGTCTTTCGCCGCCTACGTAGATCATCATTGAATAGTAGCGTTGACGGAGATTGTGGAGCACCGACGCCTCGTTCAAAAACGTGAGATTCGACATGTCTTCGGTCTTCTCGAATTTGGCCGGATTGATCTCTTGCACGTCAGCTTTCGTCGCCTTCTTCTGACTGCCATCGGGAAGTGTCAGCGTGTAATTGTCGCCCTCTTGAACACTGATGGCGGCGACGACGAAGCCCTCGGCGGGGTCCGGCAGCCAGCAGTGCGTTTTGTTGTCGAACCGTCGAGCGGCTTGCTCCTTTAAATATTGATTATTGTTGCGTTTTTCTTTCGGGGGATTTTATAGTAATCGCTAAAAATTTTGTCAACTAGGTCTCGAAGCGACGTTGAAACCAAAAGCCAGAAATTGGTTTGACCGATCTACAATTATTCTTTGGGTCTTGACGCGACTCAAAAAATGTGGCTATTTATTAAAATCATTAAAAACGATCTTGACGGGTTTTATTCAAAGGTTATCGGTAGTACGGTAGCACTAATTCCCGCAGTTTAAATTAAAATTTAAATTCCCGCCTCGAAAAAGTGCGATGGTCCACAGTTAATCGAGTTGCTCGTTTTTTATAGGGTTTTCTCTCAATTATTGGAATTGTTTCTTGCGAATCGCTCGCTTATCTTGTGCCGCCTTCGCAAAAAGTTGCGCAGATCTCGGAAAGCTGGCAAATATTGACAGTTGTGTGGAAGAATGCCAAAAGTTTTGCGATTCTTCTCTCTCTCTCTCTCTCTCTTTTTTGTCATAGATTTTATTTTTTTTTCGGCTCCGTCAAAACTGAAACCAAAAATTGGATGAAGTGTGTTTGGGGTGGAAAAAAAGGAATTTCGACAAATGTGCTATGAAAGAAAAAAATTTCACCTTGATCGCCTCGTCTTGCGCCTGCCGCAAATACTTCCAGCCGGGATCCATCATCATATCGACGGTCGCCATTTCTTCGGATGTGTGAAGTTTTGGTGAATTTCGAGTCAAAAATTGAGCGGATTCCGATGGCGACGAAGTGAAAATCGAGGATGCCGCGTGCGGTGATGCGTTTTTTTTGTCGCGACGAGATTCAAGAAGTGTGGTGCTGCTCGGGGGGCGGTGGGGGGGATGTTGTCGAGGGCAGGAGAGCGACATTTCTCGACGCTCGCCGAATCGTGCGCTATTCGCGCGCGGCTCTCAAGTCATTTTGACTGCCGATTTTTATTTACTATTGTATAATCCATCACACTGATTTTGTTCGATGGGAGAAGCTTATCGTTGTCGTGCTTTTTTTTCGTATTGAAACCAATACATTGTTTTATTTGAATTATGGCAACATTGAGATCAAATTGAGGCCTAATTAATCAATTAGCGAGTCTGATATTCTGGAGGCGCGTTTTCTTGTGGAGGTTGAAGATGGCCTTCAGAAGAAGAAGATGAAGGCGTTGTTATTGTAGCAATTAGATCTGAAAATGATAGTTTCGATTTTTTGTCGAACCTTTGAGTTGGATTTACTTTGTGCTCCTTGAGCCGTGTACCTATGCGCGCATTGCTGAGCGTGGGTCAATATGTTGGCGGCGACATTTTCCATGTCCATAGATTCTGACAATGTTGGTGTTGGACTGCAAGTGTTGTTCTTGTTGATTGATTTTGATGGATTCGAATCGACTTACTGATCGAGATTCTCGACGGAGAGCATCGACATACTTCGCGCCGATTGCTCGTAGCTCGGTGGATTCGCCGAAGTGGATTCACCCCTCTTGAATAGTTGCTCATATCGCGGCGGTGGATCGGTGAAGCCGAAATTCTGATTCGCCTGACTCACAGTTTCTTCTAGAGTGTTTCCAAGATTCATGGCTAGAGGGAGAATGCGCTTACCTATCGTTGGCGGATAGAATATGTCGGTTTCCGATTGTGTGCGCCGAAATTGCTGCTCTCTTCTGAATCCGATTTCACAGCTTGAGCTTTCATTATGGCACTATGCGGATTTCGCAAAAAAGAACCATTAAAAAACCTCTTAAAAATCATTATGCAGATTTCAAAAAAAAACCTCTTTTTATTAAATCGCTGCAAGAATTAGGAAATTTTATAATTTTTTTTTTTAATTTTTTTAATCCAAATTTTTCTATTGCTGTTAAGAGCGCTTATATTGAATATGCATGATTCTTGCAACGATTTAATTTTAAAAAATCTGTATTTTTGAAAAAAAAATGGCCGTGGCCGAGATTTCCGTATTATTTTTCTGCCATCTGCATGACGATTTTTAGGGGGTTTCTTTTTTTCCAGCTTCTTGCAAAATCTGCATAGTATGAAAGTGTACCGACGCGCGAAGCAGAATAGTGCGAATAGAAAGTAGCACATGATTTTAGCAACCAACAGAAAAAAATCGATGGTATTTATGAGTTTTGTTCGAGTTGATAAGAAGGCAAAAATATCGCACGCGGTCGGGCATTTTTGTGATACAAAAAACACACACGGACAGAAGGGAACGAGATGCCGATTCGACTTACCGAATGCACCGTCGGATGAGGAATTGGACCAGCAGGCGGATCAGGCATGAGAAGAAAATAGCGCCGAGGACGATGTAGGCGATCATGATCGCGGCGAATGCGTTGCACGGTGTGCCATTTTGCTCAAATTGCTCATTATTTTCTCTCACTACAGTAATTTGGGTCTCCACACGCAATTTTGTAATTGTTTTCATAGTTTTGGGTCTCGTCGCGATTTGAAAAATTTCAATGTTTTCGCGTGAGGATGATCTCGTTGCGTAAATATCCACACGCGTCAATCGACGTGTGATGTTGCGAGACCCGATTCTACAATAGAGCACACTTACCCCGCATGTTGAATTTTGGGCGACGTAGTGAATTGATGGCATTTTTTGAGGAATATTTTGTGAATATTATTTTTTTAAATAATTGTCGAAGCGCGATTATGACGGAATTTTTCTGTTGGCCGAATGATGACGAGGTTGATGATAATCGAAATTGTTATCTTTTAACAGGGGGTGGAAGAAGCGGGGCGGCGGCTCGTTACCTCGGCGGTTTTTTTGTTTGGTGTATTAGTCAATAACTGAAAGTTTTGAAAATTATCGTAGTTTACGTCGATCGAAATTTGGCAAGTTCGTGAAATTTCGGTATGACAAGCTAGAACTCGTGATTGATAATAATAATATTAATAAATCGAATTATAATAAAATGTACATTTTTTTCGCCGTATTGGGAGCGCCGTTTCAGACGTTCTAGATTGATATGGTTGTTCAAATAGTTGGCGAATTTGTTTGCTTTGCCCTCAACGCGATGTTTTTCAACACGCGCATTACGCGCCCGCTAACTCTTCTATGCCACTGCGACGAAACGCCGTCGGGCAGTCATGTCCGAGTGGTTAAGGAGATTGACTAGAAATCAATTGGGCTCTGCCCGCGTAGGTTCGAATCCTGCTGACTGCGATAAACTTTTTCTCAAATTCGTTTTTCATTTGACGCTATTTATTTTGTTTTTTTACAAAGTAAATTAGATCTTATGTTAGAGAAATTCCAGTGTACAAAATGAGATCATCACAATAGTTGAACGTTAATATCTGAAATTTAAGATAAAAAAAAGTGATTCAAGAGAATAAATTACCATTAGTATCCTTATCCGTATAAACTTTGAGGCCAATTCCGTTTTGAATTCGAATTTGCCGATAAACTTCGTCTTTCAGCTTGGGATTCTTGTTAAGAATCTCATCCAACGGCATCGTTCGGTTTGGTTGTCTGTGAAGAGTGGTCCAAAGGTAGACAAGAGACGCTTTTCGAAGAGAAATAAGCTCTACAATACAGTTTCGGTCTCCGGCGCCAAAAGAGCAAAAAAATGAGAGGTCACCTCGATTGCGTTCGCGTTTCGCCGCATATTCATCGCCGCGTCCTTGTTTCTGCATCCAGCACATTGTAATTGATTCGAGCCGGCGATCGGGTATCAACGCGTTGAAAAACGTATGGCAGTAGGGGCAATTGTCGGAAATGTTTCGGCATTCTTCGATGCAAATCCGGCAAAATGTGTGACCGCATTGAATGATTTGCGGCTGAACGAGTTTTTTTTTTATTAATGGGAATTTGATGGGGGCGAACAGACCTCGATGAGAATGTCGAGACAAATCGAGCAGCTGAAGTCTTCATCGTGCATTTGGTCCTCTTCTTTTTTGTGGGTTCTAGTTGTATTACACTTGAAACGAACGTTTATTACACAAATCAGATTATTATCGACAAATTAGTTGAAAGCGATCGATCACGTGTTGGGGGCGGGCCGATGGATTCATGTTTTTGAAGGAATGGCGGCGAGTAAAAAAAAAAGAAAAATGAGAGGTAGGCGAAAAGAAAATCAGCGAAGCGGAATGATAGAGGATTTGCGAGTGCCAATGTGATGATGGGCGTTGTTGGTGATTTTTTTTTTGATTCGAAGGAAGCGAATAATTAAATTAAACCAACGCCAAACGCACTGCGAACAAGTTTATGACGGCGAACGAGCGATGAGAAAATGAGCTATAGTGGTGTCACCTGAGCCGGCGCAGCGAGTGGATGAGAGCAAAATGAAGGCGGGGGGTTGCTTTTGGCAACTATTGATTCGACCCCCCTTTAATGACATTATGAAGGAATTGTGTTGTACGGCAGCAAGACAATGGTCTTGCTAGTACTATTACTACTACTCCTCCTCCTCCATCTTCGGGAAGAAATATGTAGCGGTGTGAGTGAGTGTGTGATTTTTTTTCTTGTGGAAGCGAAAGTTGACATTTTCTAGTAGCGATTTGTCAGGCAAAGAAGAGAAAAAAAAGCGGATTGAAGGTTTGGATCAAAATTTGAGGGAGTCGATCTTGCGAAAATTGGTGGATTTCGAGCTGTTGGAACAAAAAAACTTTGAGAAAATCTTGTCAACAAAATTTAATCGTCGCAAAAATTGACGAAAAAAAATAATGACTTGTTTTTATAAAAGAATTGTAACGAATTGGATTGATAATAAGTGATAAGATAATACATTTTTTTTGAAAACATAATTATCGTTACTCGAATTTTAGAAAACAAGAAAAAAAATTAGCGGCTTCTGAAAAATGCAACGGCTACCAGAATCAATCCGCACAAGACCCAACTCATTTTTCGTGTAATGAGCTTTTAATCAATTATTTCATTTTTTTAACAATTTGCGCTTTCTTAATTTTTTTAAAATTTTTACTTATTCGAATATGAAAAAAATGAAAAAATAAAAGGAAGTGCGTTTCCAAAAAAAAAAACGGGATACTGTAATTATTCTATGTCGTCGGACGCGTGCGGCTCGCGTGCGCTTCCATTTATTTTTTCAATTTTCTCTTTCTTTCTCTCTCGTAAATGCGAACCGCAACGCGTCCGAACTACCAGGTCTTGCAGCAAAAAATCCACTAAAAAATTTTTTCTGAACATTTTTATTTGAATACGGTAGTTAAAGGCGCATCCAGTTTTGGTGCAGACAATTTGATTCCGGTAGTCGCTATTTTTTGTTTTTATAAAAACAGACTTCAAATTTTTCTGATTTAATTATGAATGCCTGTAAAAGTGCAATTCGTTTTGTTGTCGTTTTTTGTTCATCTCTCTTCCTTCTTCATCCGTCGGCACTCTCGTCAGGTTCCCCCCATCCTCCTCCTCCTCCTCAACATCATCACCCTTTCACCCCTTCCCGTCGCCCATATACATATTTCGAGCCGGGGTCCGGAGAGCCCTTTTCCGAGCATTTTTACTCTTTGCGAGCCCTGTTGGCGAGGCGGGCGACCAGAATAATTAATCTCGAACGTCTCTTCGAGTTTTGCACCCTTTTTCCTCCCATCCCCCATTGTTTTTCGAATATGGATGAGCCGAAGAATGGGCTCGAAAATTGAAGTAAATTTTCTTGAAAAAATGTGTTTTTCTTTTTTTTTTTTTTTTGAAGAAGCTTCTCCGTGGCCTTCAGATCCCGACGATGATACGATGCTTCAATTCTTTGACAGATTGCAGAGATGCTGCGAATCGCTGGAGCATGCGAGTCGATGCCTTCAAACCGACTGCGGTCGATTGCCGTGCTTCAAGCTGAAGCTCGTCATGGCGCACATGCGGGCTTCCGAGAACCGATCGCTGCTCGTGTACCTCGTCTGTCGCCAGTTCCTTTCGTTGTGCTGCTATCACGCCAAAGGGTGTTTGGTTGAGCAATTCGCGGTGCCCTACTGTCTCACACTTCGCCCGCGTATGCCGAACATGGAATTGGTTGCTCTGCGGTCGAGAAACGATGTTGAGAATTTTCCGAGAGCCAGGTAATATTGCTTCGAAGTTATTCGACAAATGGATGATTTGAATTTCAGATTTGACCCGGTGCCCGTTCTTGAGAATCTTGCCGCCGATGAGGAATGATTCGATGGTCCCCCCCCGCCCAATTTATTTATTTATTTCTGCCGCCCAATTATTAGACCACTCATTACCAAATAAACTAATTTATATCGACGCAATGATTTTAATAATCGGTATTCATATAACCTATATATTTTAAATGCTGCTGAGTTTTGGTACGCAGTACACCGAGCGAGTTACCGTAATCATCCTGGTTATAAACAGAAATAGTTTACTTGGATTACCACTGGTCATATCAAAATTTTTAGTACGACACTCCAGTTACATACCGCCCTCAATTTAGCGTATCGGCTAGCTAGACGATTTTTCGTTTCGGCTGATTCGAATTTTAATAGTTTGCAGCAAAAACGACCACGATTTGTCTCCAACAAATCCATAAGAATCCGCGAGTATTTTCGCATGTTCACAACTATCCAATTCGCTTTGTGTTTTTTATTCGCTTTGTGTTTAAGTTGTTTTTTTTTTTTATTTTGCGCTGCTTCACATATCATCTTTTAACTATTTTCCAATAGAAAATGACGAAGAAATTAAGAATATAAAGTTTAAAATGCCATAAAGATCGGAATGGTGGTGAAAATTGCGAAAATTAAAAAACTCATAAAGGATTACGGTAAGCCGATCGGTGTACTGCGTACCAAAAAACGCAGGATCCTACGACACTTTCATTTATTCACCATCAGCAGTAAGCGTACCGAATGTCTTTTTTTCTTCGTTGGTGTTCTACAGATTCCCGTTTTTCTGTCAGGTATCATTTTTTTCTAATGGAACTCCTCCCAAAACAGTTCCCCATAGGGCCAAGTCTAACAAATTTTGTAAACTCATGAATTTTATTTCCGAACTAATAAACGTGATGAAATTTCCATAAATCGTGGCAAACGAGATCTTCAGTGGAAGTACCCTAAATAATTTAGCCAATTTCGGTAATAAATGTTTAATGAATTTTTTTACATTATCGTCCAGTGACTTGACAAAAATGTAGATATTGAATTTTGGAATCGACGTGCTCATCCGCATCGCAATATCCTGGATTCGATAGTCAGCCATTCTTCAATCAAATTTAATAATTTGTGCAATTTTCGCTTACGATGGACTCAATAGAAGGCGGAAAATGTTTTCCGGGTCCGGCGTTTGCATAAATTCGATTTTGGGCCGATCCCATTTGACATCATATATTGAGCAGTACACGTAGAATGAGAATCTGTTCTTTCTGCACTACTATAATTAGATTTTCGATTTCGATTAGCTCGTTTACATTTTCTTTGATATTCTGTCAAGCCCGAATTGTATCGCCTGTCGAAGCGGACCATCGCAAGGCACTTCGGTGCTTCCAACTCGCTGGAAGCTGATTTTTGATCGATGCGATTGTCTAAAGCATTTACGCGTTGCTGAAAATAGATGTGAACCGGCACCGCGGTGCGCAGTAGAGAAGTTTCAACGCATGTCGAAGTGTCCGGCGACGTCGCGTGTGGTGTTATCGGCGCCTCGATGTCCTTCAATGAAGCCTTCGGACTTAATCGATATGATTTTTTTTTGAAATTTCGCGATTTTTGCATTTTTTCCAATAATGGACGGTCTTCTGACGGCACCGGTGTGAACGATGTTGGAAGGCCTCTAGAAATTTGTTCGATTGATTTTCGTGCAATTCCAGAATCAACCTTTCGGCTTTCTTGATCTCAATCTTCTTTCCGTCCAATTCAATAGTTCCCATTGCGCTGTGACTTCTAGAATATTCCGAATCGCGAATTTTAATTGATTATGAACGGCTACCCATTAACAATTCCCGAAATTACCATATGATCGTGTTCGCGGAACATTTTTGCCAATTCATCGACTTCAACAACCCGAGCCATTTTATGTTATACCTGTTAATTTACACAAAGCTAGGAATAATAAGCGATACGTTTGGTAAAACGTGAGGTTTATTTAAATATTTAATTTTGACGGATTATATTTTATTCATTTTTAAAAAATCGAAATGTCTGACATTTATGAGACTAATTCCACGTTTCTTTTGGCTTTTTGTCTAATAATTGCCCAGGTATTTCGAATTTTCACTTATTTTAAAAACATTATTCGAGATTTTTTGCGCGATTTTTTCATATCCTTACGTAGCAGAATGGATTCAAACATTTTGCAACAGTTTTACTACGGATTATACGGTTTGCATTTTTATTTTTCATTTTCTTTCGACTTGTTGAAAATGCATATGGCCTAATAACGAAGGACGTGGACGAGAAAAAAGTGTCGTCCGACACTTGTTTTTAATTTTTGAGAAATTCCGAAAAAATAAAATAAAATAAAAATTTTTTCAAGCAATATTAAATAATTTAATTTTTTTTTTAAGTTAAACCCTCTGAAGAAAGTTCATAATAACTCATTTTATATTTTGGATTACAATCAATTTTTTAAAATTTCAGACTTACCCAATTATCACTCCTTTAGCCCCAGAATTGCTGGTATCATGAAGGTTATCAATCGTATCAATATGTATATTTCGTTTAGGAGATACCGGACTATATTAAGAATGAGTGTGTTTTTGTCTTAAAAGCAAATGAGTATGATAAGAAGTTGGCAAAGAAGCCGAATGAAGCTCAAGCAATTAATTATTATGGTATTTTTTTTTTAGTTTCTTAATGGTTCTTTTTGAATTTAATTTTAAAATTTAGTTGAAAGTGGTGACGAGTCTGACGACGAATCAGAGTTGATCGAGAATCGAGCAATTCGAACAAGAGCGCGGTTTGACGAGGAATTCATCACAAAACAGAAGTAAAACTGGCGCACCCGTTTGATGGTCCCGAGACGAACACGAACATTTTTAGCTTCAAAGCGTGGATTGGCGAAAGAATGGTGAGAAAAGAGAAAAATGAGAAAACCGGCAAAATCGAGACGCAATTGCGACGTCGGTTCAGCACGATACCGGCGAAAAAATGAGCGAAATAAAAACCATATATTTATTTCGAATAAGTAGTCAAATATGGAATGTTGCAAACAATGATATCACCAAAAGTGCTTTAGGAGAATGTATGGAACAACGCCAATAATTATGCCGATTAGAATGCGATAAGCGTATGGCTGCCAAGATTTGTCAAGATCGGCAATTATTGCTTTTGTCTGCAAAAAAAGCAATAATAGGGTTGCGCGTTTTCTTCGAATTGCTCCAACCTTATCCCGCAACTCGTCAATATTCCCGTTATTGTCTATCAAAATCGTCGCCTTTTTCTTTTTCACCTCGATGTCCATTTGAGCGTTGATTCGCGATTCGGCGTCTTCCCGACTCAGCTTATCGCGAAGCATCATTCTTTCGATTTCCTTGTCGCGATCGCTGAAATCTTCCAAAGTTAGCTTTTGTTGAATTTCGATTGATTTACCACCAAACCACAATAGTCGTCCCAATCCATTTGTCATAGCCGGCTTCGAACAAAAGCGGGGTGTCAAAGACGATGTACCTTTAAAAAACGCTATTAACCTTATCGACTTGAACTTTCTACCTTGTTCCGGTCATTAGAAAATAGAGGAATTGCTTGAACATCTCCCAACGAATCGCCGGATGGGTGATGTTGTTGAGCTTCTTTCTTTTCTAAATATAGACATATCAATTGGCGTTGCGATCGTTTTTTCTCGTTAACCTCGGGATCATTGAACACCAATTTTCCCAATTTTTCTCGTCGCAAGATTCCGCCATGATCATCGTCGAAGAATTCGTCGCCGAACGTTTGGCGGAGTTTTTTGTATGTCGAGGTTCCCGGCACGACAACTACATAAGAATCGATTGGGCGAATCAATGATGATGATGATTCTTACCTTGTCTTGCCACCAAATCGGCATCGATGATCGGCACACCATGGCTGCGAAACACGTTCGAGACCGTACTTTTGCCGGTGGCCACACCACCGCTGAGTCCGACGACGAGCATAGTCTAGAATGATCGGCAAAGTTTGTGAAAGACGACGCAGAGTAGGCGCACGCGCGCGCGCGCGCGAGCTCAGTACGATTGCTATAGCAACAAGCCGAATCACCTGCTAGGTATCATTGCAAGCATCGACAAGCTTTAGACGTGCGGTAAAATTTAACAGCGGAGAGGCAGAGAAAACGAGACTTTATGAATCCAATAAATACATGGCAACCGTAGAATAGAATTAAAACGCTAATGGCACTAGATGGATATGAAGTCGAGCGATTTACTCGGACTTCCAGGTTGGCTTTCTCTTCTCGGCAAACGCGGTCATTCCTTCCTGAAATTTAGATACCAGAAATAATTGATTGGCTATTTGATTACCTTTCTATCCTTAGTGGCGAAGGTCGCATGGAAGAGGCGGCGCTCGAAGTGGAGTCCTTCAGCGAGCGTCAATTCGTAAGCCTTGTTGACGGCTTCTTTCGCCATTTGAACAATCAGTGGGCTTTGTTGCGCGATTTTCTCTCCGAGCTTCACCGCTTCGCCGACAACCTAACAAGCATTAAAAATTTGTTTTTTGTTCTTGTGAAGAATTTACCTGATCGGCTGGGAAAACCTTGCTTACAATTCCGACCTCTTTCGCTTCTTGCGCCGATACGCGATTTCCAGTGAGGCAAACCTCCATGGCGAAAGATTTGCCGGCGGCGCGAGTCCATCTCTGAGTACCGCCGGCTCCCGGAATCGTTCCGATGTTGATTTCCGGCTGACCGAATTGAGCCTTGTCTCCGGCGTAGATGATGTCGCACATCATGGCGAGTTCGTTGCCACCTCCCAAAGCGAATCCGTTGACGGCGGCGATCACCGGCTTTTTGACGTCGGAAACGGCGGTCCAGTTGGAGAGGAAGCTTCCGCTGAACGTTTGGGCGAATTCGTTGTTGATCTAACCATCAAATTATATCATTCTTGATTTCAGAGGGCTTATTTTTTTACCATCTCCTTAATATCGGCTCCGGCAGCAAACGCTCTCTCGTTGCCAGTGATAACAATGGCACCTACGGATTTATCCTGATCCAATTTTCCCAATGCTTCCGAAAGTTCTCCCATAAGCTGATTGCAAAGAGCATTCAGGGCTAAAAATCGCAGATTTTATCTCCCTCTAATAGAAACGAAAGAATTGTTACCTTTTGGACGGTTCAAAGTGACGAGAGCAACGTTCTTTTGCTCTCCGACCTTCTCGACTTTGATCATCTCGGGAGCTTTCGTCGAGAACGCAGCGAGCTGCATTTGGTTGACGTTTGAGCACAATTTTGCATTGCGTACAAGCATTGAAGAGAAACGCATCATCTTAAAATTGACAATTTGTGGTTTTTTTTGGAATGCGACAAATATTGAATGAGCGAACATTGATTGAAATAGGGCGTTACGTTTCAATATTAAATTAAACTTTATAATTAATTAATTAGTAATAGCGCATTTAACATGAAATAAATAAATCCAGACCCCAAGCTATGTACAGAATAAACGACAAAGTGACCAGATCGACATAATATATATATAGGAGAGAGATAGCAGAGACGCAGACGTTGAAGGATTCATTTTGTGATAATTGATGTTTGGAGTTCGATCATCAATTGGAGTTCACAGTGTGCGTTTTACGAGCCTCTCGAATCGCTTCAATTTATCAATGGACGATGTGACGGTTTGATCGGAAAGCCCATCGGCGGCCATTGAGACGACCGCGTTGAACGCTTCCGATACTGATGTCGCGCTGCCGACTGCCGGTAGCGCACCGCCAACTAATCTCGACGTCAAACTTGTTGTTGCGATTTCGGCGCTGGAATCCACTCCAATCTTTTGTCTAAATTGCGAACATAAGCCGGATTCGTGATGCGTTGTACCTGTAGGCGTTAAGAATAGCGGCGTGATCTTGACGCTTGACACCCTTCATCTCCAACACCTTCTGGAGTTCGGTTACATCGGACATTGGCAGAAGTTTGCAATACTGCTCAACAAAGTCGTCGACGGTTTCCAAGCTGCACATGACCACCTAGATGAGCGAGATTCAACTTTGGGGAAATGAGCTTATAAAGGGAAAACCTTCAAAATCATTTCCGCTTTTGTCAACGCCGAATTCACACTAGTCACATAGGCAATCGGCGGTTTCAGCGAAATTACGCTGTCTATTGAAGGAACGCCCAACAAAAACGTTTTCAACGAGTGAGTGTCGAGAAGAAGTTGCTCAGCTCCTTAAAAAAATACACATTTGTTAATTATACAAAATTCCAAGAATCAATTAACCATGGGTGCTTATTGCACGACATCGGAACAATGCGCCGACGAATTTGTGAGCCAGCTGAGTTGCGAGTTTCAAGCAGAAATGCGCGAAATACTTGCGGCGATCATCGGTGAGCATATCGCGGATCAACGGAACCGCTTGTCGAAGATGCGAACGCATCGCGCCGATGAACGGCGACTCATCGCCAACCGAATCGACGGCACTCCAACTGCAATGAGCGTAATGGGGAGGGGTTTCAAAATTTAGCCAAATGTGTAGATCAAATCATACTTGACTTTATTGATTGATTGAAGTGCCGCGTCGCATGTCGATTCAACATCTTGCACAATTACATTGAGTGATTGATTTGTGATCGAGTAGAATGCTTCAGTTTCTTGCGAAATGTCAGCGCCCTTAAATTTTTTGCTTTTAAAATTTAAAAAATTTCTTTGAATCATACCGGAATTCTCTCGGCAAGCTTCTCTTGAAGCTTAATCGATGTTTCTGCGCACCAATCGGCAGTCGCGAGAATACAACAAACTAGGAATTGTTGGTCAGGTGTAAGTCGAACGTATGTGGTTTCTTCTCGTATCAAGCTGAACAGATTGACGGTTCCTGATTGTTGAGATCCTCCTAGAGTGGGTAGAAAACCGGTGAGACAGGATGAAGCGTAACCACGTAGGCATACACGAACAACTCCGATTATATCCCTAAAAATCATTAAAAGGTTATTTTTAATAAAAGAAAATTCTATACTTGATAAGGGCGTCTGGTTCGCTTCCAAGACTACTTGATTCCATGATCACCTTCTTCAATAATAGGAACATATCCGCTGACGATGGAAACGGGACAGCGTACTTCGACGCTTCGCGAGATGGTCGATCTTCGCCGCTTCGAATTTTGTTTGCGCATTCATCAATGAAATCATTTAGAGTTTTTTCTTGCGCATTTATGAACACGTCCAAGAATGGATCAAATACGCTCCAGATTGCCTTGAATTGAGGATGCGGATAGGATTTTTGAAAAAAAAAAAAATAAAATGCAAACTCTTGAATACCTTATCAAAATTGTATCCATCTTTTTCGGGGAACATTTTCATTAGAAGCTTCTCAAACTTTTTCGTATGCTGAATGGCATGATTTAACATTTTCCAGTCGAGATCCTGCCGACGACGCGTCATCATTCGGTACAATATATCCCTATAGTGAGGTTGTAGAGACATTCGTTGAAAAAAAAATCCAAACCTTGTAACAGTGCAATATTCCATGGTGAGTCTTCGACCCATATTCCAATCGGGCGGGAATATTTTTGCGAGACCCGCTCTTTCGAAATCCGCCAGTTTTCTTGCGAACCATTTATAGCGATCCTCGATTTTGTCGATCCACGCGTTTGCTTCGGTGTCGGCGTAAACAACAACATATTCGGTGAGTTGTTGCTCGATGAACCTGAAATCCGACTCTGATCTCAATTTTTTTCCTCATAGTTGTCTCACCATTTACAGAAGCTTTCTTTCACGTTTCCTTCAAGAGCAGCGGCGACTCGACACATATCGGTGACTCTTTCACTCAACTGCCCTGTTTGAAATGCGCCTTTTAGATCAGCAGCGAGTTGAATCGTCAGCGAACTCTTCAGATGATCCAACTTCGACGACAAGCTCGCAATTTGCTCGAACTCTTTATAAGCATCGAACAACTGCAGTACGTTGAGAATGGCGGGAAGTTGGCGTGCAATCGACGAATAGTCCTTCTTGTCGACCCACGCACCCAGCGATTCAACGCCATTCAGAAGAATGTGCAAGTGGTGAAGGGTGGTGATGGAAGCGGTCAAATTCCTCTTGGCTACATCGAGTTGCTTTATATCGCGCGTCATTTCGCGAACAATCTCATCCGACGATTTGGTGCTCTCACGAATATTGCCGATGCTCTTCTCGAGTTCCTCCATCGCCGATTGTGCTTCGCGTAGCGCGTCTTCGGCGCGCTCGCTCACATTCGCGTTGGATTCGACGAGATAAGCTAGCTCGTGATCGAGATCGTTAATTTCGCCCTATAAAGCAAAAAAAATTAACACGATTTGAGGGATGATATCGATTGTTTTCGCGTGAACCGAATGGCCAACACATAATGTCAAAAAAACATTTTCGCGATATTAATTTCTGGTATCATCTGGTTTCGAAACAAGTTTCAAATGAGCGGTTCGACTTTTCTTTTAAACATTCTCAAATTCAGGATAATGCCCATTTTAGACGCAATGGTGACACAATTTATCATGCTTACCCTAACCGTAGCCATTTCGTTTTTGTGTAGGCGAAATGCGACAACGCCTCAATAGTGCGCCTCATTTCAGTTGTTTCAACATTATGCGGCGGAAAGAAGAAGCCGCAAGGCAAAAAGGGCGAAACCGGTCCCAGCAGCAAATCGCAACTCAATCCGTCGCCAGCGCCAGCGCCCGCTCAACCAGCACCAGCGGCGGCGGCTGCCGCGCCAGCTCCGGAGAAGAAGGACGAAGAGAAGAAGGACGAGGAGAAGAAGGAAGAGAAGAAGGAGGAGAAGAAGTCGGAGAAGGGAGGAGATGAGAAGAAGGATGATGAGAAGAAAGAGGATGAGAAGAAGGATGAAAAGAAGGAGGATGACGAGAAGGATGACAAGAAGGATGAAAAGAAGGATGACGAGAAGAAGAAGGAGACGAAGCCGAAGGAGGAGATCAAACCGAAGGAGATCGCGAAGAATGCCAAAGAGGAAAAGATCGCGAAGGGCGAGAAGAGAAATAAGGGCGACTATCCAACGTTCAATGATGTTGAGAGCGATTGGGACTCGGCGAAGGATAAGGACAAGAAGAAAAAGAAGGAAGATGGTGCTGGCGGCAAGTCGAAAGAGAAGGAGGCGAAATCGAAGAGAAAGGACGAGAAGGAGAAATCAGTTGGGATTTGACTTTTGCGGGAAAACCGTTGAAGTTTTGATTTTGTGATTTTAGAAGAAGGATGATAAGAAGGAAGAGAAGAAGGAGGATGAGAAAAAGGAGGAGAAGAAAGAGGAGAAGAAAGAGGAGAAAGAGGAAAAGAAGGAGGTTTGATTCGTTTGATGATTCGAATCAGGCCCTTTTAAGGATGAGAAGAAGGACGAGGAAAAGAAGGAAGACGAGAAAAAAGAGGAGGACAAGGTTAATTTTTTTTTCGACAATTTCCAAATTTTAGCATTTTGTAAAATCATCGTTTCAGAAAGAGTAGAAGATTTTTGGCGATCGACACTCTTTTTTATTTATTTTATTCATTGATTCTCGGCACTTCGTCATTTTTTCTCTCTATTTTTTGCAGTATAAAATATTTTAATTTAAATTCAACCTCGACGGCGGCGATGACGGCGTCGAGTTGCGTTAGGGATTGCTCGGTGGGAAAGAGCTCGTTGATTTGCGCGATGAGATCCATGTCAGGCTTGCAATATTCGGTTCGGCACATTTCTGCATCATTTTTTGTTGGAGGGGAATTTAAAAAAAATATACCCTTTATCTCGTCCTCAACTGCTTGAGACATTTTTAGATCGGGCTCTTTTTGAACTGTAGGCGATGACATCTATAATTGATTTCGATTAGGGCGAAGCTTGTTTCTTTTTAGGAGGTATTAATATTTGTGACAGCGACAAATTTAACATTATAAAAAACTTAAAAATGAAAGAAAATGAATTTATTGCAATGAACAAACACCCGGAAAAGTTATTACTAAGGCAGGTTAGGTATATCACATAACAAGCAATAGATAAATTACAGTAAGTACACATCTATGAGGACCATCCGGTTAAGTAGGACGACCATCCAGTTGTTGTCGCCGAGTTTATGTGATCTAAAAATTTGCAATATTGTTTTGATCTACGAAGTTTTGGGGGTTTTTTGCACGATTTGATCGATTTTTTCTCACCAGCGGCTTTTTTCAAAACATCGACCTCTTGTGGCGAAAGGTGTAACACCCTTTGGAGCACAATTATTAGCTGCGCTCGCTCAGCTTGACCACACTGATGTTTCATGAACTGAAAATTAGTGTCTTATTTTTAAAATTATTGCCTTTGTATTTTTTTTTTCTCGCCTGAATTATGCAATTCTTCAAGTACTCCATGTTCTTCTCGTTTGATAGCTCTTCTTCTCGTCCTTCTTTTCGCTCGAGCCTTCGAATTTCCTCTTTGAGCAGTGTATTTTGACTTACTAGTCGCCCGTTTGCCGATTCGGCTTCGCTTAGAAGTTCGCTGATGTGCGAATTGGATAGACGTAGATTCTCGAGCTCCGTCTTCAGCGCTTCAATTCGATCCTTGTCGGATTCTAGTGTACCGTATTCTGAAAATTTCCTTTTTTAGATGATTTGCTGGCTAACCCACTGTATGGGTCCTCGATTTCTCCGTATAAAATGTCTTCAAGTGATCGATCCGGCTGCGTCATTTCGTCGTGACAAGATATCGAGTCGGACATCGCCGGTGCGAGTATTCGATGAGCCTCAACGGTGGCAGCTTGTTGCGGAATAACAGCGGCGATTGCCTTATGCTGCGGGGTGATGCTGGCGCGAGCTTCAGTCTCGGCGCGAAGATCAACGAGCTCTTTCTGAAGTCGTTCGAGCTCGCTGCTGGCTGTCTCGAGTTTTCTTTTCAATGATTGGTTCTCGAACTCGGATTTTTGGCGTTCAACGACTAGTAAATGATCGAGCTTCTCCTTCCCGATTTCCAATTCTTTGCACTTCTTCTCGGCGATGTTGCGAGAAGATTTCACCATGAGAAGGTCATCTTCGAGCCGTTTCACTACCACCGAATTGCTCATTCTTACGTCGTCCAAAGCTTTCAAATGATTTTTCTCGGTTTCGGCATTTGCTATTTTGATCGCTTGAAGCTCTTTTTGCACGCGAGCATGATTATCATTGGCGATTGAGAGCTCGTCAAGAATTTTAATGTGTCGTTCTCTAGAAAAGAAACATTTATTGTTGAAACTCTGAATTGGATTACTTCAATTCTTCCAGCGAGGATTCAAGTTGACAAATCGTTTGATTTGCCTTCTCGATTTGCTCCATCGCTTCCTTGTCATCGTCTTCTTCTTTTACCTTTTTTTCCAGAACAAAACGGGCCTTATTCTGAGCAAATTTTTTGTGGTTTGGGTAAAATTTGAAATCCGTCCTACCTTAAATTCCGCATATTCCTTTTGCAATTGATGTAAACTTGATGAAGCTTCTTCAGCTTCTTGCTTCAACTTGATATTTTCGCTGCGTAAAACATCAACGGCCTCTTCTAACCTTAAAATTTCTAATAATTCCTATTGATATCTTAAAGGGGTACAATCTCGAGCGATTTTCGCATTCCGCCATTTGTCTGGCCAGTCCAAGCTTCTCACAACCTTCTTTTTCTTTCGAATCGGCCATCTTCGATTCTGCTTCTTTCAATTGTTTCTCGAGTGAGATTGTTTTATGAATTTCGACTAAAAAAAGGAAAATGTTGAAAATTTAGGTGAATTTGCGTCTACCTTTTAATTTCTCGCCAATTGTTTTATTTTCAGCAACCAAATTTTCCAACTGTGAAGTTTTTGAAGATGAATCGTTTCTGAAATTCATATTTTTCGAGTTAAAATTGCTCGAACTACCGCAATTCAATAATTTTCGCATCGTTTTCCGAAATCACATCGTGAGCTTTAACTAATGCTTCAGTTTTCTCGCGAAGTCCTCTGGTTAGCGTGTCAACCTTGAAATGTGTTAAGGTTTTTCAAATTTTTTATTTATTTCCATACTTGTGTTTCTAAATCTCGCAGCTCGAGCGAGAGCATATCTGATTTCGTCGCTTTTTCCTTCAATTCTTCCATTTGTTTTTCCAATTCTATGAGCCTTTCACTCTCTTTTATACATTCGGTGCATTCTGTTGGATTATTCTAAAAGATGAATAATTAAAAAACGAACGAGTTTCTGGTTTTACTTCAACATTTTCTGCATGCTTTAATGCCAGCTTTTCGTTTACGAATTTCAAGTTTTCCGCTTCCTTTTTTAATTCTTCAAATTCTTCATTTCTCGACTTCTAATCAGAATTAATTATTTTTTGTCGCGCTATTTTTAAATATATTTTTACCAGTTTTTTAACAAGTGCTTCTTGATTTTTCTTCAACTCCGTCACATTTATCACTTGCTTTTTCGCAAATTTGATTAAATCTTCTTTCGACAAGCTATCAAGCTAAAATGATTTAAATAGTATATTTCGGCATAATTATTTTAATTTTACCTTATTTCCACTACTCGCTGGCTGTGGAGTGGGTGATTTTGCCGGCTCGCCCATCTAAAATGAATGAAAATTGAGATTAATCGAAATCGCCACGCATTTGTGGCCGGCTAAATTGTACTCTGTTATTCTCGTCCACGTCCAGACAATTTTCCAAATGAATTTTGGAAATTGGTTTTATGCACATATTCATGAAAGGAAAACTTGAAAAATTCGAATTTTTAGAATGCAGGAATATTTTTTTAAAAACGGTAATTTTGTTATATTGTATATTTATATTATTTCATGAATAGTTCCATTAAAAATTTATATTAAATGAAGCTGGTACGATTCTTAAATAAAATCACATGGAATATATATATATGTAAGTCTTTAAGCGGAATGAATGTCGTAAATTGAATTCGAAGTGATTTACAAGTATGTAATTATTTGAATTTTATGGTAAATTTCTTAATAGGAAACCAAAAGAAGTGAATATTGCATTAAAATCATGATGTTTATTTTTTTCGAGTTTAAATTCCGAAAATAATTGAGAATTTACTAATTAGGTGTAATCAGATATTGTAGTTGGGTCTCGGACGTAACAGAAATTTCAGACACGGATCTCTTCTTTAAATGGACAACAAAGGCGAGCTGGTATTAGAAAAAGTTCTCGAGCAAGCCGATCCTCAAACTGTAATGACCGCCAGACGCGTTTCGCGATCGATCAAAGAAATGATTGATCGATATCGGCTTCAATATAAGTCTAAATTTATGCAGTAAATGCCAAAAAGAAGTGATTTGAATTTTAGGAGGTGCCCCCTTGTCAATGTTCGGTTTGTTATTCATTTCGAAGGATCTCTGGAAATCATTGCAACGGTAGGTATTAATAGTTTTTGGAGTTTTATTGATATTTCTGATTTTAGTTTTCGAAAATCTAGGCTTGCCAAAAATTTTTGTTTTTTGTCTTCAGAAAAATGAAGAGGAACAAGGAGATGAGGAATCGCCGACGCCAATCATTGAATTCAATCTTTTGCCGGAATATTTTGAGCATTGCGACCCGGAAGAATTCAATTTTATGACGCAACCTCACGAAGACGTGCCGATGCCGCCAATTGAATCATTATTGCCGAAAAGTTGGCGTACGATTGAGAAAGTCACTAGAAGTTTTAAGTGTTCTTCATAATCAATGTTAAAGTTAAGGTTGTTATCAAACTAAGCAGCCCGTTTGAAAGTATTAACAATCGGAGTTTGTTCACGTTTTTTGTGAATGCTAATTATATGGAGCTTCGCGGGCCGATTCCGTTCTGGACAATTTCTCAAATATTGGAGTTGATGCCGGCAGTTTCAAGGCTGAAAATGTGAAAAATAGAAAGTTTTTGAGATTTCATAATTGATTTTCAGTGATAATTGCTATAATGATTCGGCGGAGTCGCCGCAACTCGGATGGCTCACCTCGAATAATGCGGACCTTGCGAGTTTGACGCAGAAATCGAAGAAGCTCGCTTATCTGGAGCTCATTCAAGTGGAGAATTCTTACACAACCGATGCTTTCATTGCGTTCTTGATGGTATGTGCTAGAAATGAAATTTGGGTTGTTCTCCATTTTTTTTCACAAAAAATTAGATTAAATGTGCATTTTTTACGGCCTTACTTTGGAAAAATGTGAAAACGGCGTAATTTTTAAATGTTCTATTGTACGAATAGGTCTATTAGTCAAAATTACCTCGAATGTTTTCTTATCAATATGAAAAACAATAAAAAGTTTGGTGCTCTCGCAAACGGTTTCGTTTTAACAACTCGTGACTATGTTTGACCGCTTTTATGCGTCATATTATGTTATTTTGATGTGAGTGCGCAACGGGGCGAATCGATAAAGCAGTACTATTTTGGACTTGAGTCTATTGTGCAAATTGGCAGCTTCTTCGTTAATGGCTATGCAAAATATGCGCATTTGCACCAACGTTATTATAATTTTAATGCGGGGTGGGGGGAATTATTGAAAATGGGAATATTGAGGTGTATCGCGTGACGGAGCCTAGCAACGTTTAACGAGGTTTTGATAATTAGCTTCTTTAAACTCGCGCGTAGACTTTTGAAAGGTAATTATATAGGACTTGAGCTAATTGTGGAGAAAATGTGTGATTTTGCTGTTTTTAGAATGCGAATTTTGCCGCGAATGTTTGGATCACTCTTCAGTATTGGGTCGATGATGTTCGTCGACTATTCTCCTGGATAAAAATGGATTGCACAATTGTGTTGTTCACCTATCGGCCGTCGCCGAATATTGTGCATCCGTCGCAACTCGAAATCAAATTCCGCGAATCGACATTTTTCATTCGATTCTTGACCGAAGCCCTTGCCACTGATCCCAATTTTCTTGATTGAATTTTGCTGAATAAACTTGACATTTTTGAAATTGATTGTGTTTGGTGTGTTGATTTTGTTCGACTTGTCTGATTTTTTTCTATATTTATTTTGTTTATATGTTTTGTTGAAATTGAAATTATTGTTTTTCAGATCGAAAACCAGCGGCGAATCTGGCAAGGTAGGACTTTCTTGTTGAATTTCCCTTCATACAAATAATGGCGACATTTTTTTAAATTTTAACTGGCAACAAAATATATTTGGAGCGAAAAGTTGTTGAATAAATTCCCCTTTCTTTGGGGATATAAAAATTGTAGTTATACATTAATGGTAGCGGAATATTTTTCAACAAATTGTGATAAAAGTTTAGACTTCCCGAAATATCGCAATTTTCCCAATGTGTGTTCCTGCCGGGTGGGAATGTGTAAAGCCTTTTTTTGTACTAGTGCAGCAGCAGAGCTATCAGCTCATGGCGAGTTGCTAATCTCAACATTCCATTCCGGAAATGGACGTTATAAACCCAGACTCGCACATATTAATCGGCTAATCGAGGCCGTTGCGGTTATTTCAATTTTAATTCGAATTTGCTCTGCGCACTTTTTTTTGCCCCCCACAAGCTTTAATCCAATTGATTTTTTTCTAGTCGAAAAATTTTGCTCAATTTTCTTTTTTGACGCAAATTGTGGATTTTAATGAGATTTTCCATTTGTCGATTTCCATTAAAAGATTTTGCGAAAGTGGGCACTATAAAACCGGCGTCGAAATCCGAAATCTAAGGGATTTTCGAGATTACTAGAAAATGTTGTGGATATTTCGTGAAGATTTTGTCAATGTTTTATTTTTGAATTTATTAGTTTTGAAGCGCCCGAAACGCAACAAGAATTTCGAATTTTTTGATAATCTTAAGGTGATTTCTTGAGAATTTAAATTCTATGTCGTTTTTTTTTTCTATCGATAATTGTCTATGCAGAATTTGGAAAATTTTTAAATTTATTTTTTTTGTCTACTTTTGAAATATTTTGGGTTTTTGTTCCCAGCTTTTATTTATCTAAAATTTTCAAAATCGATTTTTTAAAGAATTTTTCAATGTTGATGATACTGTGCAGTTTTGTGTGTTTATTTTAAAAAATCTGGAATTTTCAGTAATAATTCAAACGAGAAAATCACTAATGTATACTTTGGAATGTTTCGAACACGCGGATTCCAGAATTTCTCACAAAAATTGATGGAAAGATTCTGAAATTTTTGATTCCATTTTAAAATTACAATTCTTTTGGGATGGTTTTCCAAAATAATATTCTACTCTTACCATTTTCTAGCGTTTTTTTTTTCAAAATTTGTAAGCTGAAGCACGCATTTTTCCAATTTAGAATGATTGAGGCTCAGGTGAATGAAAATCAATCAAATTCGACAAAAAATTAAATAAAAATTAAACTGATCCTATTGAGAAATGTTTCAATTCGATTTGAAAGAAAGAAGAAACTGATTGAAATTATTTTTTTCCAAAAAATTGCAATTTTTTTCAAAACTAGCGGATAAATTCTTGAAAATGAGGTGAACATTTTTTTTTCAAATTTTTCCCGTTGGAGTTCAAGCTGAAAATGAAAAATGTCTATTTTTGAATTCGACGAATCGGTTGATTTAGATAATTGTTGTGAATTTTTATTCAAACTTTTCAATTTATCGAATTTACAAGTTGCTGTTCGATTTTTTCGGTTTTTCCAAAAATTGATAAGAAAACATTGCTATTTTCGACGTTTCAGATGATTTTTCAAAATAATTTTGATGGAAATACTTATAAAATCTTCAAATTAATAATGATAATGATAGAATTGGATAAATTGTTGGGATTTTCTTTTAATTATTTTGCGCATTTTTTAATGCAATTTTTCCATAGATGAAATCTTTGCTCGTTTTTTATGGATGCCGCCGTCTTGTTTCAGAAAAAAGGTGATAATTGAAAAAAAAAACTGATAACCACCATCACTTCGTTTTAATTTCGACCACACCGGGCGCAATATTCGCACATTTGATTTTTGAAAAATTGTGAATGCAAGATCTCATTTTCGGTGTATATCTTCAATTAAGACCCAGGTTACTGTAGAAATTGAGAATCTATGCGTTGGGTGCCGCCTCGATTATTGATTCGTTTATGGCGGTGATGGTGGTGGTGAGCGATTGATTCCCGTGCCGGCGATTCGATAAGGAGCGTCACGATGGTACTGGTGCAAATTTTTTTCGTTGCAACATCGGCCATCACCCAAAGTCCCACAATCGTCTCTGATATAGGAAGATACGCGCACGAGATACGGTAACGCAGCGAGGAACTAAGGCGACGAGAGGAGACGCGAGGAACACGCGAGCAGTTAGACAGAGAAAGGAGGGTCGCATAGCGGGTAGTGTGAAACGCGAGGCGCCGCCCCGCCTCTCGGGCCACACTATTACAATCTTGAGGACTGCACGCCGGACGTCGTCGTGCGCTCCAGATGCACCGTTCACGGTTTTCATGGTTCGCGTTTGGGTGTCGCTTTTGGTTGCGCGTTGCGCGGCGGTTGCGCGTCATTCCGTACGCTGCGGTTAGCTACGGTAGCCGCTCGTTTCAACCCATTTCGCACTCGCCTCGAAGTGTATGGTTTTTTGTGCTCGAAACGCGCTCATTTTGCGATTTTTATTTTTTTCTCGATTTGCCGCCTCTTGAGCTTCACGTCAATCCTTGCCGATTCTCACAATTCCGCGTTGCGCCTTTGCAATTTTGCGATTAGTCCTCAACTTGATTTTTGCGATTTTCTCAACTTGTACTCGTTTTTGTGCCTCAATACCCCCTTTAAACGATTCCTCTCGAATTTTTATTCCATATATGTCGAAACTAGCGCGAAATTTTGCGATGCGGCCTGAGAATTGTCGATTTTTTGCATTTTTTCAACTCGAAAGTTTGACACGAGTTTTCTGCAACGCATGCGAATTTTCATCGGCAGTTTTGCCACGGAGAGTTGGTCTCGACGAGATCTATCGATTCATGTCTGTCGCGTGTGAAGGCGTTGGCGAAAATTTGAAAAAACTCGAAAAACTCGATGCACCCGAAACGCGGCGAGTTCCGTCGGGTGCGACGCGTCTCGCGTGCGTCTTTTCGGTTACCGTAGTTGCCGACATGCGGCCATCGTCGCAAGAGCCTCACGTTCAGACGCTGCCAGTCTCTCTGCCTCTCGCCGTCATGTGCTCACTCGGCGGTGTTCGCCGCACTTCATCTCTGACGCCTCTCATCAATCTCGCGCTATTTTTGCGCGAACACTTCTGCGTATCGCCAATCAATGCGCTCTATCGGCGAATCATGTGCAGAAATTTTTTGTCAACTTAATTGCAAATTATTAATTAGCATGAGCGATTGCGGTATTCTGCTGAAATTCGGTCCGGAATTGACTTTTTTTTGCAAGTGCCATCGAAAAATCGATAATCGATTAAACCAATGATTATGCGTGACACACGCGATTTTTCGGTTTAATGCGCAAAAAAAAAACTCGATGAAAATAACCTTGAACATCAGCTGATCCGATCGCATTTATTGATTGGTTTTAGACGTGAATTATTAAAACACCTCAACTGACGCGAAAATGCACACACCGTAATTTTCGCTTCAAAATTTTGTGCATCATTTACGCGTGCTCCTTATTTTTTCTCTGCTACTACAACCGTTCGACATTTAATTTTTTGCTTCCATTTTTTCGGAGAAAGTCATAAAAATGAAATAATTAAACTGATTTCAGGTATAAATTGACGCAACCAACCAAGTTGTCTGATGCAGATTTAGCTGATCAGTTCGTCAACGGCGGATTTTTGATATTATAACAAACACGCCTAGTATTCACTAATATTTATTTAATAATTGCGGTTCATTACTGTACATTTGTCTACAATTGCAAAGATTAATGGATGAGCCACCGCTTAAGAAAGCGCGAGCGGACAGCGGTACGATATAAAAAAATTGACGATACCAATTAATTATTTATTTTGTTTTTAGAATATGAAGCCGATGCTCTTGATGCCTTAAGCGAATTGGAGAAATTGGATCCGTTGCCGAGTACGGCTAGCGAATCTGAGGTAGTGAGTTTAATAATAGATTGATTGAAAAATAAAACAAACAATTTTCAGAATGGCGCCAGCACATCAGGAGTTGGAGGATCGGGCGGTCCATCAACTTCCATGAACTCACAGCCACCATCCAATTCGGGCTTTAACATGCAGCCCGGCCAATCAGCGGTCCAACCGCAAATGCAGCAACCACCGACGTCGACGGGTTCGAGCAATGGGGGCACAGGAACACAATCCGTTCTTCAAGAGCTTCTAATGAACCAGCCGCAAGGAAATAATAACTCACCGCGACCTAACACGAATCAAGGTTATCCGGGCCCGCCGCACCCGCAACAACAGCAGCAGCCGACGCCGCAGGGTCCCGGCTTTAACAGGAGCCCATTGATGCACAACGGCGCGACAATGATGTCGCCGCCAAATAATATGGCTGGAAGGGTACCTGGACCGTCGCCTGGCGGACCGCAACAACCTGGTGCAATGCCACCGCAAATGAGACGTAAGAAATCTGACAGCATTTTTATTGGAGTGGTTTATTAACAATTTAGAATTTTCAGCAGGACAGCCGGCAATGTATCCGCCGGGTGGCGAACCCACCATGATGATGAACGCACAAGGGCAGCAGTTCGCGCCGAACATGATGCACCGTTATGGGTATGGAGGACCACCGGGCGGACCTCCGGGCGCTGCTGGCTATCCGGGCCCCGCTGGGCGAGGGGCTCCGACACAAGCCGGCATGGGACGAGGCGCAATGATGAACGGGGCCATGGGACGTGGAGCCGCAATGGGAGCGCAAGGAAGAGGCGGTGGGATGCCTCCAGGACCGATGATGCCTCGCGGAATGATGGAAGGTCCTTACGGCCAGCCTTATGGTCAACGAGCTGATCCATATATGCACCAAGCTTATGGCAGAGGACATCATCCTTATCAGATGATGCATCCCCAACAACAGGTATTGAGATTTCGCGTTGAATTCTGAACCCATGGAATGATTCTAGATGATGATGGATGCATCTGGACAACCAATGCGAGGACCTGGCGGACAACCAATGGTACAATAATATTTGTATTGGGTTTGATTAATTTGATACATTCAGATGATGCCTATGAATGGACATCCCGGAATGCAGCCACCTGGTGCTCCAACTCCACAGCAGCAGCAGCAGCAGCAGCAGCAGGCGATGCAGCACGCGCAAGCTCGAGAGCACGCGGCGGCGGCGGCTGCAGCCGCTCAGGAAGCTCAACGAAACGGCGGTGGACGAGGAACACCCGGATCGGCGATTCCAAATCAACAAGATCCGGAGAAGCGAAAACTCATACAGCAGCAGTTGGTTCTTCTGTTGCACGCTCATCGATGCCAACAACGTGAAAGAGTAAGTCGTCAGGCGAATTGAATTAATTTTGATTGGTGTTTATTTGAAGGAAAACCAAGACTCACAGACGAATGGTGTCCCGCCGCCTCATCCGAACTGCCAATTGCCACATTGCTCGACAATGAAGCAGGTGCTACAACATATGACGACGTGCAATAATGGGAGAACGTGTAACTGTAAGTCGTTGCGCGTTCCATTTGATTTTATTTCATATTTTTTAGATCCGCATTGCGCGTCATCGAGACAGATAATTTCGCATTATAAGAGTTGCAATCGCGAGGACTGCCCAGTCTGTAAGCCATTGAAAAAGATACACGACAATCCGCAGACTTTAAATCGTACGTTTGATTTAAAACGATTTTCCCAATCAATCGATTTCTATAGAACTGTCAAGCTTTATCTCTGCCACAAACTGCTTTACCGGTCCAGATGGTGTGCAGAACCGAACCACGCCGAATCCGGGGTCCAGCAATCAAGAAGGAATGGGACAATTTGGTTCGCCGATTCCGAACGCGGCGATGAACGTCAGAAATTCGTTGTTCGAAGGATTCAATGGGTAAGAACGAGGGAATATATTCCATAAAGTTTGCCACAAACTTCAGAGATCCATTCAGAATGCCAAATGCGCCCAATAAGCAGCTCGCACCGTCAGCGGCTGGACAAGGGCACGCGTCGGCGCCGGACACGTACAATCTTCCGCCACCCGACATGCCTGAAACGAATCGAGAATGGCATTTGCAAGTCACGAAGGACCTTCGAAACCATTTGGTTGGAAAACTTGTCAAAGCGATATTCCCGTCGCCGGATCCGACAGCGATGGCTGATAATCGATTGAATGATCTTATTCGATATGCGCGAAAAGTTGAGAAGGAGATGTTCGAGTCGGCTAATGATCGCGAAGAATATTATCATTTGTTGGCGGAAAAGATATACAAAATCCAGAAGGAGCTTCAAGAGAAGAAGAAATCGCGAATTGGCCATGGGCAAGATGGTAAATATTTGGGGGAATTTTCATTGTCTATAAATTATTTTTTCAGTAAATATGGGAGCGGGTATGTATCAAGGAATGCAGCCATCGGAAATTGCCGAACTCATAGCTATCGATACACCGTCGACATCGGGACGACCGCCGGGTGCTGATGGACAAATGCAAATGCAGCAGATGCCACAAGCGCCATCTATGCCGAACTCGACACCGTCGGCCGGAGCCCCTTGGTCGCAGAATCAAGGGCAAAACACGAACGGGCAAATGTTCGGAGCCAGTGGAAGTAACACGCCGAGCCTTCCTTTTGTCAAACAAGAGCCGGATGATACTGTCGATTCGACGTCGCGTGCCCCATCAACACTTCCGTCTTGTGCCAATGGGCCGTCATCGTCAGCACCGACGCCGGGAACAGCGAATGGAAAGAAGGAAGAGAAATGTATGATGCTATTGAGCTTTAATGTTAATTATTTGTTTTTTTTTTCAGATTCTCCACCGTCTTCGGTACAAAACGACATTAAAAAGGAAGAGGTTTCGTCGACAACCGGACCGTCATCGGTGCAAGCGCCGCCGAATGCACCGCGCGAGCCAACTCCACCGCCCGGCGAAGACACGGTGTTCAGCGCCGAAGAGCTCAGAAGCTATTTGATGCCGGTGTGGACGAAACTCGACAAAAGCGAAGACGCGCATCCGTTTCATTATCCCGTCGATCCCGTCGAGCTCAACATTCCCGACTATCACGACATTGTGCGCAATCCGATGGACTTGAGCACGATACGCGAGAAATTGGAGCGAGGCGCCTATTTGCACGTGTGGCAATTTTGCGACGATGTTTGGCTGATGTTGGAGAACGCGTGGCTCTACAATCGAAAGAACAGCAAAGTGTACAAGTTTGGAACGAAGGTGCGTAGTTGATATTCGTAATATTGTGTAATATCGGAATAATTGCAGCTATCCGAATTGTTTGTTTCGGCGATGGAAGATGTTATGGTCAAAATGGGATACTGTTGCGCTCAGAAGCGCTCGTTCACACCACTCGCCCTTTTCTGCTATGGAGCTCCAATGTGCACAATTGCTCGCGATCAGCCGTACTGGGTGTACGAGACGAACTCGAATCAATTCAATGTTGTCGTCAATGAGCGATACACGTATTGTTTGAAGTGCTTCGAAGCGCTGCCACCCGAGGGAATATCGCTTTCGGATAATCCGAACGATCGTACTAACATGGCTCCAAAGGAGAAATTCCAACAAATGAAGAACAATGTGATTGATTGGGAGCCGTTCGAACGCTGCAAATATTGCTTCCGCAAATGGCATCGAATTTGTGCGCTCTACGACAAGAAGGTCTACGGCGAGGCGTTTATCTGTAAGACGTGCCGAGCGACGAAAAATTATCCGCCACCGGAGAACAAGTTCCTCGCGAGTCGATTGCCGCACAACAAGTTGTCGACGTTCCTCGAGGAGCGCGTTAATAATTACATAAAGAGCCAACTGCAAGCTGAGGCCAGCAAGTATCCAGTCGTCATTCGAACGCTGTGTGTTCAGGATAAGGAGGTTGAAGTTAAGGCGCAGATGAAGCAGAAGTATGAATTGGTCCCATTAATATTGAAATGGATTTTTGTCTATTTTTCAGATATGTTGCCACTGACCAATTCCCGGAGAAGTTCCCGTATCGTACCAAAGCGGTGTTCGCTTTCGAGATCATTGATGGTGTTGAAGTGTGCTTTTTCGGATTGCACGTTCAAGAATATGGAAGCAATTGCCCGCAGCCGAACTCGCGTCGCGTCTACATCGCCTACCTTGACTCGGTGTACTTCTTCCAGCCGAGAGAGCTTCGAACCGACGTCTACCACGAGATTCTTCTTGGCTATTTGGAGTACGCCAAACGTCTCGGCTACACGATGGCGCATATTTGGGCGTGTCCACCATCGGAAGGCGATGACTATATTTTCCATTGTCATCCACCCGATCAGAAAATTCCCAAGCCGAAGAGATTGCAGGATTGGTATAAGAAGATGCTCGAGAAAGGTGTTCTTGAGAACACCGTTGTTGAATTTAAGGATATTTATAAGCAGGTAACGGATTTCGATTTTTCCAAACTGTTGAATTTATTTTGTATTTTAAAGGCGCGTGATGATAACTTGATTTCGCCTACTCAATTGCCGTATTTCGAAGGAGATTTCTGGCCGAATGTGATTGAAGATTGTATTCGCGAAGCATCAAATGAAGAAGCACAACGACGAGCCAAAAATGACACTGAAGACCAAGACGAAGATGTCGACGACGCGACGAATCACTCAACGAACGCCGAGTCTGGAACGAAGCACAAGAAGGCGAACAAAAAGAATAATTTGAAGAAGAACTCGAAGATGAACAAGAAGAAAATGGGAAGCGTCACCGGAAATGAGGTGTGCGATAAGCTCTACTCGCAGTTTGAGAAGCACAAAGAGGTGTTCTTCACTATCCGACTCGTGACTCAACAATCGGAACTCACTGTGAACGCGACGCCGATTAGCGACCCGGATCCGTTGATGCCGTCGGAGATGATGGATGGAAGGGATACGTTCCTTACTCGAGCGAGAGATGAGCATTGGGAGTTCTCGTCATTGCGTAGAGCAAAGTATGTTTGCAGTCTAGACCAGTGTTTCATTGATAAGTCATTGCTAAATTTAGGTATTCAACACTTTGCTTATGCCACGCATTGCACGAGACCGATTCGTCCAAAGTTATGGAAACGTACACTTGCAACAAATGCAACAACCCGAACGCGAAGTGGCATTGCAACACTTGCGACGATTTCGATCTGTGCGAGAGCTGCAAACTCAGCACGCGCCACGAGCATCCGATGGAACAGATCAAGTCGCTGGTTGGCGAAACCGGAAACGATCCGAACGGCAACAACCGCTACGAGAGCATCCAGCGTTGCATTCAGTCGCTGGTTCACGCTTGTCAGTGCCGCGACGCGAACTGTCGCCGCATGTCGTGCCACAAGATGAAGCGCGTCGTGCAGCATACGAAGATGTGCAAGAAGAGGATAAACGGAACTTGTCCGGTGTGCAAGCAGCTCATCGCGTTGTGCTGCTATCACGCGAAACACTGCACCAGAGACACGTGCTCGGTGCCGTTCTGCATGAACATTCGGCAGAAGTTGGCCGAGCAGAAGCGCTCGATTGCTCGTCGCGCCGATATGATGATGAGACGTCGTATGGAGGGATTGCACGCCGGCGTCGGCAATTCGACACCGGCGCCGCCGACGTCGAACGGCGGACCGTCGAGTGTGCCGTCGAACGCGCCGACGCCGCCGACGCAACAACCGCCGAGTGTTGGACAATCGCACAACATGAAGGGCGGCGGAAGCGGCACGATGCAGAGCCCGATGTCGTCGGCTGGAAACGGCGGCGGTCTTGGACAACAGATGACGTCGCTCGGCGGAATGGGACAACAGCCGCCGGGTGGAATGACTTTGGCTCAGCAGCAGCAGAATATGCGCTACTATCGTGAGTGCTTTCGGCGACGTTTTGAATTGAATCGCTTTTTTTTGCAGAACAGCAACAGCAGATAGGTGGAAAAGGAGGAGGCGTCGGAACGATGAATCAGTCTGGTGGTCAGAACATGTTCGCCGCTGGGCCTGGAATGCAGAGGCCTGGAATGATGATGTCCCAACAGCAGCAGCAGCTAATGCAACAGCAGCAGCAGCAGCAGAGAATGCAGCAGCAGCACATGCAGCAGCAACAACAGCAGCAGGGCTACAGGCCGGGACAGCCTTCTAGCGGATTTGGAATGGTGGGTCCTGGTGGACAGATGGGCCCCGGCGGAATGCATCCTTCGGCTCAACCAGGCGGTTTGAGCGGACAGGCGAATCTCAACGACCCGTCGATTCAAACGCAACTCGTCAAAATCAATGCGCGACTTAAGGCCGCAAAATCAGCAACTGAACGCGAAGCGGTATTCACCGATCTTAAAAAGACTCCGCATCTGTTCAATGCATTCCTTCGGGTACGAGACCGGGTAAATTAAATATTATTAAGCGGTGTCGTTTTTGTAATGTCGATCCTCAATGTTTTTGTGTTCTTCTACTTCTTTTTTGTGTGTGTTTTTTTTGTTGAAAAAGAAGAACAATTCTATCCACAAGAACCATGACATTCTATTTACTCATTTTTTATAGCAGGCAGGAGCGGCAGGTTACAATGGTCCGATGGGAAATATGGGTGTGCAAGGATATCCAGGCGGTCCGGGAGTCGCGCGAGGACCTGGCGCGCAATATCAGCAGATGACGCCGCAGCAGCAGCAGCAAGCGTGGCAGCATCAGATGCGACAACAGCAGCAACAACAGCAGCAGCAGGGAGGACCTGGACAATTCAATCAGGTAGGAATCGAATATGATTCGGGGGTTGATTGAAATAATCATGGTTTAGTTCCAGAATCGAGCATTGATGATGCAGCAGCAGCAGCAGCAACAACAACAGCAGCAACAGCATCCGCCGAATGCCGGCCAATGATTGAATCGACATCATCAACGACGTGTACATTTCGCTCTGTAGGGCCCTAGACAGTTTTTGATTTATCGTTGTTATTCCATTTTGCATGCGATTCTCCCACACTCCATCAATATAATATCATATTTCTATTATTTATCAATTCGTCACCACCCACACCTGAAAATATTCGTTTTTGTTTATTTGTTTGGTTTTTTTCCTTCTCTTTATCCACAATCCTCTCTCTCTCTCTTCATCCCCCCCCCCGATTTCTGACTCAACCATATCGATACGTGTAGCCTTTCACACCTAAAACCCACAGCGCGCGAATGCTCGAGATTTGAGCGTTTAGGTCACAAGTTGTTGATTTAGGAAGGGAAAAAATTAACGGTTTATGGGTGTTGTTTTAAAAAATTGCCTAGGCATATATGTTATTTGTATATATGGTTTCTGGAGCTCGCGCCCACTCGACAATCAATCCGATGTGATAGAAAAAAGTGTTTCCCTCCGACCCTTTCCCCCTCATCACCTCGATTTCCTACCACGTCCCTTGAAATTAGAATAGTAGTGTCTCGTGTATTTATTGATTTCGTCCTTCGGATTCTAATTATTCTATTTGTTTTGTTATAATGTTATTATTGCTTATTATCAGCGCCAGTCGCTCAAGTCCTCTAAATATCGGTGGTCTCTGTATCTCTTTCTTCGTCTTCTTCCTCGTTTTTTTCTTCTCCTTCCTTCCTTTAATATATAGATTATATTGTATTAACCATATGGTAACATTTATTTGGCTGGTGTTCTCATTTTTTTTGGAGTTGTTCATTGAGGGATTCCGACCGCCCGCGGACCCTTTGTGAACGCCTAGGACCTTCTTTTTTGGATCTTCTTTCTTGTTCCTCTGCCTGCGTCGTTTCATTTTCTTTTTTTTTTCCTGAGATTTCTTATCTTTTTTTAATGATTGTTACTTTTTTTTAATCATATATATTTATAATATCATCGAAATATATATGTATTTATTAAGTTCTTCTTTTTCTTTTGGTTTTCTCCTTTTTCGGATATTGTGTCAGATCTAATACAATTTTTATTCTTGAAATATATCATTATGGAGAATCTGACTGAAAACTCGGGGATTAATAATTTGATTTTCTTTTAATTATATTTGTTTGAAGATTTTCTTCGGTAATACACGGTTTAAAATTGAGCCATGGATTTATCTGATTTCATTTTTTTCTTTACACATATGTGAAGGTTATCGCTAATTTTTTTATATTTGATATTTCAAATTACCAATTTTAGCTGATTCTTCGACTAGTCATTTAAAATATTCAGAAATTGTTTTATAAGATTCCAGAAGCATCGCTTCAAGACTTGCGTTTGAACATTTTCGGGTTTCTCTTTATTTTGGGGTAATTTTAAAGTTTTCCGTTTGTAATCATCCAGAATACTTGAATTTATTTTTTTTTAATTCTCATATTACATATTACAGTTAGAAAACGTAAATTTGTTAAAAGAAAGTTTCGGTGCGAGACCAATCGGATCGCAATTGGGCAAATTTTTCAAAAGGATGCGCAAAATTACGAATCGGATCCGACAGTTTTACAATTTTGCAAATTTCCGGGGGGGTCCCATTGACCCCTACGTTTTGAATAAGTTCACTTAGTCAATTAAAAATTACAATTGGCTGAAAAACGTCGAAAATTGAGATTTTTATCTAAAAATCCAGTGAACTCCCAAAAATGCCACTTAATGATGTGTGGCAATCGGAATTTTCGGCAAATTGCTGAAAAAAATTCATGTTAAATTCTAAATTAAAAAATCTAACAGTTTCCATAAATTTAATTACAACCGTTTCATTTTGAAGAATGTTTTATTCAACAGAAATTTGAGAATTAATTACCAATCGTAGAATTGACGGTTCTTATTTTTTGGTATAGTCGGCGTCCGGCGACTGCTGTACGCGGATAGATTTACGCGCATGCGCCTTGAAAAGGTCTCGCCACGCGTGAGTGCTTATTTTGCTGTTTTTACGTGAACTGCTTCATTTTTCTTGATGATTTTCGCATTTTCTTGAATTTCCAACCTCATTCGATTAAAAAATTATCGAACCGGTCCATAAAATTTGAAATAACCTGTTGGTCCTTGGGAGACCATTTCGAAAGACGCATTCCCGTAAATCTACCCGCGTATAGCAGTCGCCGGACGCCGACTGTAAGAAATTGCCAAAAAATTCATCGATCCGACAGCCCTAACATATCAAGAATTTTACTTCCGCAAGATGAACGCAATTTAAAAAAAGAATTAAAATTAAAAAATAACTGAAATTTGATTGAGAAAGTGCTTAAATTCGATTTGAACACTTGGTTTCGATTCAAAAATCTTTGAAATCAATTGATTCATTTTCAATTTTGAAATTGCATTCGATTGAAATTTTTGAATAATTCGAAACAAAATTGATTTATATTCGATTTCAATGGAAAATAAAATTATTTTCGAATCCGATTGATTTTAATTTATCTTGTTTTTTCAGAGCTTTCGTAGTTTCTTATATGTCTGCTGAATGTCGAAAGAAGAAAATGATTGAATTTGAGTATTTAAGGATAACAATTTATGGACCTATTTGAACCAAACTTGCATTGGAAAAATGTGTAATTTTTTAAAACATTTTTTTATTGCATTAATGGGACCATTAATTTCAAAATGTTTGTTTTAAATTTCAAGATTTGAAATATATTTTGATCTATCGAGTTTAAAAATGAAGCTGCCAATTTTGCGAAAACAAGACTACAATATAGCCGCCGATTTCAAATCTCATCTCAAATAATCAATACATTGTTTCTAGTTTGATCATCGTTTTTCTCTCTGCGTCTCTCAAAACACGCCATTCATTATTATCGTTGTCCTCCGCGTTGGTTTTTGCTCGTTTCGCGCCGTTTATTTTTTGTCGACATCGATTTTCGGGTTTTCAGGGCGAAGAAGATTCTGCGACGATGACGACAACTTCCATCGTCTTCGACGTCGTCTGAAAGCCGCCTGCGCGTCTACCCGGTAAGTCCCGATTTCGTTCTGCTGTGTTCCGCTTTTATTTCCGAATTCTGCGTTTCCCTGTGTGCTCCGAGATTCGCCATGGCTAGCGTGAAATATTCCTTATTAGGGCAACCCTAGGAATGAGAGAGTGCTGCGGACAAAACTGTTGATTCGAACAATCACACGGAATGGGCACACTTGAGATCGATGGCGGATTCTCTCGACAACGACATCTTCAACAAATGGATTTCAGCAACTTTGTGGTATTTATTAGAATTTTTTAATTAGTTTCTTAATTACTATTAAATTACTAGGTTTGAGCTATTGAGATTTCATTTAAATTTCGCTAGTATTTCTAGCTTTTATTACGAATTTTCTGATTATTATTCGAATTGTAACACATTTTAATATAGATTAACACTTTCAATAATTAATTAGTTAATTATTTAATTAGTCAAGGAATATTTCACGCGTGTCGACGGAATTGCCCAACTCTCCCAAATGCTGCTTCCTTTAGCGACCAATTTGCGAGTTTTCTTCTCATTTTTCGATTTTTTGTTGAAGGTTTGCAATAAATGTTCTCGATTTACTGGATTTATCGAAACTGACGTCGGATTTTCGAAGAATTCGCGATTTTTTTCATGTTTTTTATGCGAACTGTGCAGTTTTTCAATGAAATTTTGGCTTTCGATTATAAGAAAAAATAATCTTGAAGAATATTTCGAAAATAAAAAAAACTTTCGAATTTCAGAACGTTTCGGTGTTTTTGTGGTATAGATGAAGAATTTAAGCAATTTAACACTGATAATTGAGTTAATTAGGATAATAAAGCGTATTTTGGGTTAGGTTAATTACAAATTATGTAATTTAAGCTAAATTTGAGACTAATTCTGGTAGTTTCTAGTTTTAGCATAAAAAATAATTCGACCTCTAGAGTCTCGGTGTGTTTTGTTCACTAATTAATAAATAATTAGCAAATTAATTAATTCTTGATGGGATAGCTTGTAGAATGGTATACTTGAAGTGGCGAGATCAAATTGGATTACTGTAGATTTGTGCTAGTGGTGGGAAACTTCGCAAAATTGAAAAACTTGGACATGTTTCTGTACAAGACCTCTTGCGACATCCACAGTAATCCTATTTTTTGATCTCAAAGCTTTTTGTTGTAAAGTCGAAAATTTTGCCAAAAAATTTATACAGTTTCCAGGATGTCAGTGAATCAAAACTATTTATTGCAAAAAGTCAACAATAAATGAAGGCAAATTTGAGAAAACGGTCGTGAAAAGGAAGGGGCATCATAAGGGAGATCATTTTGGGTGTCATTGGCGATTTTTCTCTAAATTTTCTCTTATAATAATCTACGATAAATTTTCTATCGACTGGTGTTATCCGCTACAATTTTATGCGGGTTCGGCCCCTCCCAACTTCAATTTTTTGCTATCATTATTCATTCACTAAAGCTACATTTTAATCTTTTTTGCTGAAAATTAATCAATTAGTCAAAAAATTGATAATAATTTCAATTGCCAAAATTTCGAACTTTTGACTTTTGTGCATACTCTATTAGAACAATCGTAGTAAACAAAGAAACAAGAATTTATTTCATTTTCATCTGTAGGTCATTGTCTAGTTTCATTTCTACAAATGTGAATAGTAGGCTACTAAAATGGGGTAAAATGTATAGGCCAAACAATAACATGGAAATTGTAATTTTTTTAAATTTTTTAGTTTCACAATAAAAGTAAAAAAATAATGATCGCAAAAATTGAAGTTGAGAGGAGTCGAACCCGCATAAAAATGAAGCGGATAACACCAGTCGATAGAAAATATTTCGTAGATTATTATAAGAGAGAATTTAGAGAAAAATCGCTAAAGACACCTAAAATGACCTCCCTTATGAGGAGAGTTGGGCGAGTTCGTCGTCCAAGTCATGGAGAATCGGGGAGCACAATGGAAAACACAGAATTCGGAAATGAAAGGGGGGGGGGTTGGCAGGGCGGAGTTGGGGCTAAAGATGGGTAGAGGCCGCGCATTTGAAGAAAGAAACAAGGGGGATCTGATTACTTTTTTTTCGATATTTCGCGAAATGACCGTCTCTCCCACTTAGCGGCTCCTCGGATTTTTTCGTCGTCTCCTCCACCCCTCGTTTCCCGAGCCAAAATCGCAAAAAAACGTAATGCACAAAACAGCAGAAAAATCGCCCTATTTTTGACCATTTTTGCGCAATTTGAATTTTGTTCGATTTTGCCAAAAATGGAAATTCGTAGTTTTTATGACCTCTCAGCCAGGTGTCAATAAGAATTGCACAACAGTCGACGCAATTTTACGGACTGATCAGGAATACTGTAAGTGGGCCGTGATGGCCTTTACAGTAATCCGTCTCAAACCATTACGTCAACTGAAATACAAGCTTAAAAACCTTCGACCAAGAAATCAAACTACGAACTTCTCTTTGACCTTCGCTACGAGACCCGTTCTCTCAGATGAGCGTGCGACAGGCAACCACAAGTTTTGATCTACAATCTACCCAGCAACACTACAAATTAGAACTACCCGCTAAGCTTCAAACGACCTTATGGAACATCTCACTCGACGACAATTTGAAAAGAAACTGACTGAAATAGTGGAAAATTGATAAAATGCCGACAAATGAGATCCTCTGAACTAAATTTGACAATTATGAAGAATTATCGAAGCACGCCAATCATTGTGGGAATTTTTGGATTGAAAATAAATTGTTTGAGATTCGTATTGAGCGAAATTCTGAATTTTTAAAATGAAGATTAAAAAGAAAATGCATAAAATCGTTTAAAATTAAACAAAATTTGGCGGGGGTTCAAAAATTCCCTTTTTGGTCAATTTTACCAACAAAATATCATAAGCTGAATAATTTGTTTACGAATTTGATTGGCGGCTCTCTGTCACCGAAACCTAAACTCATTTACGGACCACTAAATTAATTACCTGTAAAACCCCCACCAACCCCCAAATCTCGATTCCCATCAAAATTCCTATTTTTTTAGGGCTATTGCGTCTTTTGTTTTAAATTTCAATAAGAATTAGATGGAAAGTCGATTATTTTTAATTAAAATTTAAGAGAATCTCCGATCGCAATAGCCCGAAAACCATCGAAATTCTAAATACCCGCTTTTCTCAAGACTCAAAAAAGCTCAAAACCTTAATTCTAAAAATATCCTAATATTAAACCGCAATTAAACACCTAAATCATCCAATCAATTGGAAAAATTAACCAGATTTATTAAAACGCGCAATTTGGTTGAAAAAGTATTTTTTTTTTTTACCATTGTAATGTCCTAAATGAATTATTTATAGTGATTTTTTGAATTGTAAAATTTGCTGATTAGAACTCTAGTAAAACAAAAAATACACCTTTAAAATTATTTTAAGAAAACTCCACTCTTATAATTACCCTAAATTATCAAGCAGCTTAAACGGTAATGCGTAGAAAATTAAAAAAGAAAAAATTGACAAAATTTCATTGCAGATCGAAAGAAAAAAGAATAAAAAATATTTTTTTATTTTACTGCCCCCTAAATTATTAATATAACCCCCGACACAAAATAAGAACCGGTAAGCTAGCACAACCCTGATGATAATCCTACCAATCATTTCCTCAGTCCTTATTGCTTTTTCTACTCTAAGAATGACCATTAGATCTCAATCGAAGAACCCAATTCTAATAAACCCTCGAACTATTTTTACCTGAGAAGCATTTAATTTTAAAATTTGCCAAAACCGAAAACCCTTTAAAATCCCACCATATATTTCCTAAATGTTATCCTTAATTACTTTAATTACTTAAAACTAGAATCATTCGAAATAAAACGATTCCCGTAGCGAATGTCATCGTTTGGCAAAATCGAACAATATTCAAAAAGAGCAAAAATGGTCAAAAATTACGGGGTCATTTTTTTCAGCTGTTTTGTGCATCACGTTTTTCTTGGATTTTGACTCGGGAAAAAGCAAAGAGATTCGGAGACGACCAGGGAAATCCGAGGAGCCAAATGATGTGCTACCGATCAAGCCGCTTCCTGCCGCTGCAAATAAAATTGAAATTGCCAGCTATTCAAAAAATGTTTAAATTTTTATTATCTCACCTTCTGAGTTTTTGCGTCTACAACCCATGACGAATTGGTTTCATATTGTTTCAAAAGTTCTAAAAAAATAAATTTATTGTCTACATTTTGAAATAATAACAAACCTTCGACACTCCACATGGGACCATCAGTGCCGTCGACACGGAAAATTCGTTGAGGCACTACCTGAAAAAAAAAGTATTGCAAAAAGAAAACGGCGTTAAACGCAATAAATAAAACGATTTAAGTCATTCATGAATGTTTCCTGAACGGAAAGTGAGCAAAAAAGAACGCGAAAACGAATCATCAAAATACACACTAATCGCCGATTACATCAAAACATCGATCGATAATGACAATTCGAGTTCAAAATACTGTAAGTGAGTCATGGGGACAACATCAAGTCGAATAGCGACAGGAAGGAGATACATATATATTTAATCAAACCGCCGACCGGAAGCAATCATCCAAGACCCTTATCAATGCCACCAGGGGAGGTAGGAAGCCGGGGGACACGCTATAAGTCCACACTATTTTTTCGGACCCCTCAATTCCCGCACTATACATACAAAAAATCAACGATTTCTAATCTGCGCAATGCATTTTGGTTGTGCGCGTGTTTGCGTACACGGCATTTTACCGTACGCGGATTTAATAATTAGCCACCGATTTTGCGAAATTGAATTTTCCGCCGACGATCGGCCATTTGAAAACGACAATAGATATTCAAGACTATCATCAATGAATAAGATAGGAAGCATAAATATCATGACTTTTAGAACTTGTCGCACATAGTAAAAAAAAACAAAATAACAATAAACACTGATTAATTTATACAAAATACCAATTGCAAAAACATATAACATAATAAAAGAATGTATCAAAAAGTGCAATCGATAACCGAGTAAAAGAGATCAGTAGGTTAGATACGATTCTTTTTAAAGAAAAAAATTATTGGGGTTATTCATTCGTCAGTCACGGCGTAGTCTGGATGCACACAAAGTGTCGGGTCATCGCCTTGTTCGACTTCGAGAAGAACACGCTCGTCATGAATCAGACGGCGAATGACTCTCTCGCAGACCGTCTTCTGCACGAGGTAATCTTCTTCCGAACCAAGGTCTTCTTCAATCGTGTTGAGATACCAATCGACCAGCTCGCTCTGCTTCACACCTCCATAATCCTCATCACCGAGTTTGTCTTCGTCGGCTCTCATATGAAGAATGAGCACATCCGACATTTTCTTGTAATCCTCATATTTTAATTTCAGTTTCGCTGGGTCGATCTAAATTCCACAATTGTGAATCTTTAACAAAATCAGTGATAACTGCCTTAGGCTTCAGATTCTCTGCATCCTCTCCATCATGCTCCATTCGTTCTTCCTCATTCTCTTTGTTCGCTTCCACAACGATAATATCTTTGTCGAAATCATCATCCTCAAGATCAACATCCGCTTTCTCCACTCTAAAATAAAAAATGATGTTCTCATTTTTATTCAAAATAAATATTTTAAAAACCAAACCTAACAATCGACTTGTTGAGCAGTTTCGCCGCCTGATTCACATGCTCAGCTTTCACCTCGCGACCGCAATGAAGCCTCGCAAGAGCCTCGGAGAGTCGCACAAGCGATTCAAGTTGTCGAACAGTGATTCTCCATGACGAAGTTGCCGCATTATTGCTGTCCGACATACGAAGCTTTTTATACTCGCGAACGAGTTCGGCAGCAGCCTCGTCCGAAATCTTAAAAAAAACTCAACTTTTGAATTTTATTGTAAAAAAAGAAAATCCGAACCTTTGGCTTGAAGCATCTCGCAAAAGCGATATACTTCTTGATATCGTCGATTTTGTAGGGCGTCGCCCGCGGCACGTGCTCATTGATCGCTCGATGATTATCAAGAATTCTCCGGGCGATCGCATAATCGGTAACCTCATTGCACTCATCGACAAGCACAAAGAACAAATCGAAACGCGACATAATCGGCGTCGACATTTGCACATTGTATTTGAGCGGCTTCGATCGATCGTACCTTCCACCGACCGGATTCGCAGCGGCAAGAATCGAGGCACGAGCGTTAAGCGTCGCTTTCACACCGGCCTGAATATCGCCCGAATGAAAAATTTCAGTGATTATTACTAGTCAAACCTTTGTGATCGAGATCGTTTGCTGCTCCATAGCCTCATGAATAGCCACCTGATCCTTCTGATCCATTTTGTCAAACTCGTCAATACAGCAAACTCCATTATCCGCAAGCATCAACGCTCCAGCTTCAATGACAAATTCAAAAGACTCTTCGTCTTTCACAACAGCGGCCGTCAATCCAGCAGCAGACGACGCCTTTCCGGATGTGTAAATCGCGCGGGGGCTGAATTCCTCGATGGTCCTTGAAAAAATCAATCAAATTGCGTTTTCGAAACCAAAATTTCTTCATCGTACTTCAAAACTTGCGATTTCGCTGTCGATGGGTCGCCAACCAAACACACATTAATATCACCACGAAGTGCGGTTCCCTCGTGTTTGCTCTTCTTCGGAACACCTCCAAGAAGCATCAAAAGAACACCGAGTTTGACCTCATAGTTTCCATAAATATTCGGGAATAGCGATTCGACAATATTCTCCTCAACTTTCGGATCATCGCTCATCTGTTTGAGTGTCGCCCTCTCTTCGGCGCTCATTTTTTGCCACAACTCGAAATAGTCGGTCTCCTCGATCGCGTTCGCCGCTTCACCGCCAATTAGACTGTCGTTGTGCTGAATGTGACACGCCAGAAACGCGAGCTTATAAGTCAAATCGCGCACACCCAACGCTTTGAGTCCCGTGATTCCAGAATCTTTGTCGAGAGCGCGACCTGCAAACATATAATTAATTTTTGTACATCCGGAATCTCATAACATTTCGTTTTATTGGATGCGAGATTTTGCGCGAACACGACAAAACACACACACGCACAAAATATGTCTCATTCCTCAATGGACCTTCTGGCACGCGTTCCACAATTCCTTCAGCATTTTTTCGTTGATTCACCGAATTTGGCCATCATCGTCTTCATCATTTCGTGTGTATTCAACAGCGCCTTCGCAATCTTCCTCGTCATCGCCGTTTACAATGAAAAGAGCAGTTCGTGCTAATTTTGGCACCGTGGTTTCAAAAAAAAATCATTCAAAATTCTCAGATACACTACCAACAACTTATATATACAACATGGCCTTATCCACAGTGTCTCTCTCAACCGTCAGCTATTTTCTCGTCCTCGTTCCCGTATTTCTGAGCGATGAGGAATACGCTGAATATCGTCGACTCGTCGGCGCCGAGCTCACAATGGCAATGACATTCTTCTACATTCATCCAATGTTCACATTGCTACTGATGACCATCAACAGAATCGGAGTGGTCCTAAGCATGCAAGCAGCACAATACTTCACCTACCGCAAAATTTGGATCTACACCTTTATGCACATGGTTATATCAATCCAGTACTCCTTAAAAAATCACCATTCCAGATATTCCATCTAATCTGTCTATTGATTCCATACTTCAGCGAATGCCGAATCACATTCAATCTTCGAATTCCCGCCTATCAATCCGGATGCGCTCCAAAACGCCATCCAATCACTCAAATGTTCAACAAATATTCAATATTTTTGCCATTCATCGCGTTCGCCCTCAATCTCATGATAATCATCAATTTCAAACTGCAACGCTCGACGTTCTACAAAAATTGCCTTCGACGAATTCGAGGCGAATCGAAAATCGTTGCGGCCTCGTCGATTCCGGACGACGTGAGACGAGCAAAAAAGAAGACCGAACGAATGCTGATGATCCAGTCCTTCGTCACCGCCTTCTATCTTTCAACGTTCGAATTGATCAACTTGGTCGCAAGAATTCATCCGGTATGAGCCCATCAAATTTCAATACTTTACAGTCAAATCTAGGAAATTTTCGCGGCACTTTCGCAAAAAGCCAACATTTCGATTTACTATTGGCGAGCTTCACAAGTTCCTTGGCACATATTTCTGGTATACTACATGTTCACCGTCCAAACAAGGAAAATATCGATCAAGTTCTTCAAAAAATGCATGCCTTGCATGAAAAATTCAGCCGATTATAACACGAAGACCTTTACAATGGTCAGCAAAGTTTCTACCTCCTAAACCATTTGTTTTTCTAATTTTTGTTGTATAATCAATAAATTGTATTTTATAAAAGCTACCTCGATTTTGGTTCGACGTTTCGGCGCGAAGACCAGGAGTGCTCATTTGCGAGATATCAGGAATCACAATAAGACTTCCAACGATGTCGCACTTGTCTCCTGGTTGAACACTTTCGACCATTTCTCCTCGAACGATGACATCAACGGTACGCGGAATCGAGCCGCGCGGCAATTCCGCCTGCGTTTCCTGAATCCGAATCTTCTGGAAGTCGACAAACGTCGATTCATTGACATCCAAGCTGAATCTCGTGCGATTCATGCATTGCGGATTAGAGCATTTGGTTGGCTGAAATTATGAACATCAACAAAACAACTATTTTAAAGTACAATTTCGAAACCTGCGTGTATCGGAATTGCTGGAGAACATCTCTCGTCGTAACTCCGCAATCTTCGCAAATGAACGTGGCCCTCGATAATTCCGGATGAACGGGATGAGTTCTCACTATTTGCCCGGAGATCTTCACAAGTCCTCCGACTTTGTCAGCCGACAATTCGCGCATTTTTGTTTTTGTGTTCAAATTGTAAAGCGACACGTAGAGTTGCTTCTTGAACATTTGCTGTCGCTCATTCTCATCGCATTCATCGACGGTCGCAATTTGAAGGGCCTCGCACAAAAACGGATAAATCCGATAGAATTGGAGCTCGATGGTGGTGGCAAGATTCGCGCTATGTGTGTATACATGCTGCATATCAATGAAAAGCGTATTTCGTTCGGGTTGCGTCATATCCTTCATCATCTTCTTGTAAATCAATTCTCCCTCGGCATTTTTAAACCTAGAAATAAAAAAATCATATAAGAACCAAATAAAACAACAAATACGTTTTAAGGAATCTCGAGAACTCCTGTTGAGCACGAACACCATCAGCATCCTCAACTTGTTGAATTTGCCCAGCAATCACGTTCTCCATCTGAAAAAATTAAATTTTAAAGAAAAAATTTTAACTCAAGCATAATATTCTATTTAAACGAATTGAAATTAGTGATTTATTATAATAAAACCAGAAATACGCGGAATATTCGAAGATACGATCGAAAACACAACGAAAAGTTGATGCGGTAAACGTTGGCGCGGCAAATCTGATTTGAATTCATCTTTTTCGCGCCCTGTCGTCATTGCGTAAACGCGGAACCTCGTTGTATACCGTTTATCATTTCTTTTTAAAATTTTTCTAACTAAAAGATTCAAAGTTTTCGATTTTTGGAAAAATAGACTCCAATTAAAATATAATATACTATTAAATTAATTCCGCATAATTTCCGACCATGACTGTTCGAAAAATGTTCTATGAAATTTGATTTAAATTTGAATTATGTTTATTTTTTCCTCATTCAAGGAAATTTCAAAATCATTAATTTCCAACAGATGCCTCACCAATTCCATTACGTCTTCTGGTGCATTGATGGAAAATCGCCTCGATGATTCACCGAATTTCGGGCATGTTTGCTTTTCGACATGCCCAAACAGCATGTCCACCTAACAAGTTGGTTCACCACACATTCCTATCATGCTGTTACGATACTATCAAACGATTCTCATCTTTAGCTTCTGGAAAAATGGTTTTTTATGTTTCAAATCTCCGTAAAAAATTCAATTTTTCAGTCATTTCCCAATCCTACAATGACGTGTTTTGTAGAAGAGTGTGGTATTTCAATACACCAAGACCAGCCCCAATGTGAGTTATAAAAAAAAGTAATTCCTCTAAATTAATGTAAAATATTGCATGTATTTGTTTACACGCAACGAAAATCGTAAAACCATTGTTATTTCAGTCGCTGCCCAACTCCTTCCTTCTTCACCTATTACGATTGTTGTGGGGATTTTCAATCGGAATGCTGTTGGCACATTCGCCCGGAGCCCATATACGTTCTAGTTGCAATGATAGTCGCAATTCTCTTCTGCTGCTGCTTCTGTGCACTATCCTGGCTCTTCATGATGTTCCGCCGAAGGAAAGAAGCGCCCGACGAGAAGCCCGTGAAGAAGGTCGAAGTCAGCACAGTGGACAGCGGAATCCAAGCCGACGTTCCTTCAGACAAACGACGATCTTATGTAGCGGCCAGAGATCGCGAATTCGATTATCAATATTTCACATAAAGCAATAAAATAAAAAGGTTCTCGTTCTTTTCAAGTGCATTAAAGTGGCTCATTCGTTATTCCCTGGTCATTGCAAAAAAAAAAGAACCAAAGAATTTGCTCATGAGCAATTGTGCCAAAATTGCTCACCTTTCATTTCTCTCGTCTGTTTAGTTGAAAACACACATTTTTGTTTTGTTTTGTTTTGTTTGTGGGTGCGCGAGCAAAAAATAGGGGCGGGGTCGGAAAAGAGACATGCGCGTCGCCTTCATTTCTCCAACTGGTGGCCCAAACTTTTTTTTATTTCTTCATTGAAAAAGAGAGTTTGAAAACGCAATTTTCAACGCACTTTCAATTTTCTTTTCATCAAAACCATTTTCCCTCAATATAAAGGGCCAAAAAATATCGATTAAATGCGCCATAAAGTCGAAATCTCGGCGGGTTTTCGAAAAAAAAAAACACCAAAACATTTTTTTCGCTACTTTTTTTTCTTCAACATCAATCGACTTGAGAGACCAACCATGTTTCCGTTCGTGTTCGACTTTTGCGACGAAACGAAAAGGGGGGGGGGAGGCACACAAAAAAGTGGCCGAATGGCATGAGTGGTTCCTATTCACGATAATCGCTTCTAATTTCCCCTCGAGACCTCGAGCATTTTTCCACTCCACCACACTTTTCTTCCAGACACCACACCTCGTCGTCCCGATTTATTTATTATTAATGATCGTTGTTACCACCTAAGAAGGAAAATAAAGCCCACAAGACTTGCAGAATGGCGTCGTCGGCAGGTCGAGACAAACTACGAGGAAGGCCGCCTCGCAATTTCGCGTTCGGCTCAAGCACCCCACGAGATCTCTCGCATTTGAATAAGGTTTCGACATTTCAAGTTTCCTATGTTTCATGTGAAAAACATGCCCCAATAATCGATTCTAACGTTATAAATTCCCCTCGGGACCCGCTATAAACTCGGGGTGTACTACTAATTGGACACGGGCGGCATCAATAAAAAACCAACTTTTTCAGGTTCCGCCACAATTCCGATACTACGACGCAAAAGCGGAGAAGCGCGCCGAGGGACCATCACTTCGCGATTATATTCTCAAAGCGAGAAGTTTATCGAGAGAGGGTAATGTTGTCGTTTTATGGTCCCCCACTTTTTTTCTGACCGAAAAGGAGATGCTTTTAAAACAAAAATGCAGCCAACTAGATTCATAAAAGGGTTTTAGGGAATGACAATCGAAAAAACTTTGTGTTCGGCTCGTCGACGCCGCGCCATTTGGCTCATCTTGACAAAATACCAACCCATCAGAGGGTTTACGACGCGAAACTTCCAAAAAAGAGCGCGACACATGAAGATTTCAAAGCATCACCGATTCGGTGCAGCACTGGTAAGCCTGACAAACAACGTTTCAATTTTTGCAGCGAAACTTTTTTATTGTGATTGATGTGCTACACAAAAAAAACATCAGTTTCTGGCATTGAGGTCCATTGGGGGCAGTGTTCGAAATTTTCCAAAAAAAATCGAAAAAAAAATTGCTAAAAGTAATAAATTTCAGTTCCGCCGCCGATTCGCAAACCGGAACGTAAAGAAGAAGAAGAAAAAATTCACGTCATCACTTCGAAAGACGATGAAATCGCCTCGGAGCCCGACATCGTACAAGATCGCGAAGAATTCATGAAGGAAATGCGCGAACATAAAAAATCATTAGAAAAGAAAATATCACCAATAGGTTTTAAACGAATTTTTAAAAACCCGTTACAACAATGGGCCCTCTAAAATCGCCTTCATTCTAGTTGAAAAGCCGGTGCACAATGAAATCAAGTTCGCACATGCACCAGAAATTGCGAGCAACACACAAAAAACGAGTCGCGCTCACTCCGAAACCCACGAAGCCGCTCCAATCGCTGTAGAAAACGTGTCAGCAAATAAAATGAACGACCAGGTAATACCGAAAAATTATAATTCCGCAATAGGTCGTAACATGGCCACAGAAAACCGTAAACTTTACGCGCAATTGCGTACAAGTATTGTACACCATACATTTTAATCGACGCCAATTTCTATTTTTTTTTTCAAATTCATTTTCCCTCAATTAAACGGATTGCTGCAATTCTGATGCAGCTTAGAAAAAATGGTCGACGATTTAAAAATTCTAAAATACAAGTGTGGCACAAAATCAAAAGCCAATATTTAAATTTTGAGTAACATTTACGATTTTATGTTATTTTCACGAAGTTTTCACTTTCAATTTTTTTGAAATAACATTTAGTTCGTAAACACAAGCAAAATATACGTATTCATTTACTTCAAGTATGTAATCCATTAAGTTTGACCGTGGCCGAACTCAAATTTAGGTTATTTTTTCTAGGCCACACCAGAGCTGCGTTGAGCCCTGAAAAAATCATCTGCGGGTTTTGCGTTTCGCCAAAACCAAGAAAATTCCCGTAGCGCCCACTGATATTGCCGAGTTCCTATTAAAATTCCAATATAAATTTTTTAGATCGAAGTCTCTCAACTAAACGAAGAGATAAGCAACGACGAGGCCAGTAGTCCCGCCGCATCGACAATCGTCGTTGATAATTTGCTGGCAAAAGTGCAGCAAATTGCCGGAGACGCGACAGACAAGGTGCGTTGATGAATTTCAAAATTCTTATCGCCAAAAATTTTTTTCTTTGATTTGCAGGCCGCTGATAAACTAAAGGAAAATGGGCAGGTAGCAATATAAATTAAATGCAAAATTAACGATTTAAACAAATTTTAGAAATTGGAAAAAGTCGTAGAATCCGGAATAAATGAGGTAAAAACTATTAATTTAAAGCATATAGAAACTCGGAGATAAAAATTCTTGCGGCTATGCTAAATCTTGAAGGTTTATCTCCGGTTTCTTAAATAATCTTATTTTTATGTCATTTTTCTAAATTTCAGGTGAAGGAGATCGTGACCAACGTAAACCGACATCAATTGGAGTCGTTTAATAGTTAAATTTTTACAGGGAGCCACCGAAATCATTGAAAACATTTGAAGAAGAAAAGCGATTCATTAATTATTTAAACGACCGACTAGTGGTAATGAAATAAATAAGTTTTTTTGGCCGATATGTGTCAAATGGAAACCCGCGACAAAAAAAAACATTCAATGTTTCAAATGCTGATTCGGCAGCATCGAGCTAACATTGTTAACCCATAAATTTGCGCAAGTGACGTCATAGCACTGTCCACCATAGTCGACAGGAGTGCTTACAGGCTGACAGCAAATGCCACATTTTCTGGAAATAGCACCCATGTCCGAATTTCCAACAATTTCGGGGCATTTCGAAAAACGCTCTCACCTCTCGTCTTTGGCTGCCTCATCGACGTCGTGAACCGTCAAAAACGGCGACAATCGCTGCCAGCATTTTCGGCACGCTTCCGCCTCATTCGTCGATTTCGCCGGTAGCAAAACACCGGCCGATTTGCACACGCGCTCGAGTGTGATAAACGCGCGGCGAAGACTTCTGAAACATTTTGAATTCAAGACGAGCCGAAAAACAACATCAAAAATGAAACCGCAAGTAATTTTCGCCTTTCTCGGTCGAAAAAATCTCGTCCAACACCGATTTTGGCGTTTTTCCAAGAATTCCGTTCGCCTCTTGAAACACAAGAAACACTGCGTGCACCGTTTCGCGCCAACAATGAATTGTCGACGATTCAGCGTTCTCGCCGTCTTCGCCGTTGGCCGACTCCACGAACAAATCCAATCCCATCAAATCTTTGGTGGCCGATTTTGTCGGAGACGCGCTCGACGCCGCCGCCGTCGGCTCTCCAATCAAATCGGCTTCTTTCTTTTTCCTCAGCGATTTTCTCGGCAGAAGCGAGGTTGGAATAAAAGCAGAAGTGGTTTGCTTAATTCTGAATCGCAGTTTTTTAATAATTTTCAAAAAAAAGCGAAGAAAGACCTGGCAAATGGAACAAACGACGACGACGACGCTGTTGTCGTCGCATTCGTTGACGCCGGAACCGCCTGAACCGGATTCAGGAATGGAATGGGAAGCGAATCCATCGCACAAAGAGCCGCCAATGATTCGCCTTTCTATCAAATGTCAACAATTTTTCGAATGCCTCCAAAAATCAAAAGATTACCTGCGCAAGAGCAATTAGGGCAATACACGAGAAGAATTCGGGTCTCGTGAGTTGTCCGGGCTTCGTTCGATTCACTGCCGACCAGATATACGACAACACGTCTTTCGGCAAATTCGAGCTGACCATCAAATTATAAACTAAAAATCGAAATGTTTTCGAAAATCCCGATCGATCCCACCAAGCGCCGTATTCGGCAGTGCGGACGACGTTGTTGCTCCGCAAGCGGCAATCGCGTCCAAATAAAATTTCGGAACCTTCGATTCATTCAAAAGCGCCGGCGGTAGGAGTCCTCCACCGCTACAAAGCATTCCTGAAGTTTGTTTTAAAACACACATTCTCGTCAACAATCTCGCCGTACCCGATCTTCCATGACAAGGAATGTTTCCACTGCGTATCACTTCTTCCAATATTTGACTATCCATCGAAAATGTCTTTTTAGGATCCATCTTTCAATTTCCATCATTATTCCATTTATTTAATATGGTTTTAAAAATAATGTTGCGATGGAATCTACCAACTAGTCTATACACCCTGTTTTCAACATTTTTTTTAAACTTGATTACAATTGAACACTTTTATTCGATGAGCTTTGCAATTAAAAACAAAAGCTGCGGAAAAAACGAGTGTTTTTGGACTCTAGTAATACACTATTGAACAATTCGTAGAATGTGGCGGGATCTAATCACTAACACAGACACAACGATTAGGATCTAGTCAACTGACTCTTGTTGACTATTTCTAGTGAAGTGGATGGAGATTTTGGAAAATACAAATTTCATACACGGGAGCGGGTAAAAAAGGAATGGATTATGTGGGGATAATACAAGAAAAAACCTTTAAAAAGTCGTGATTAAAAGATAGTGGCAAAATTTTGTCTTTTTTTTGGAAATTGATAAGTGAATTTTCTCTGGCATGAAGATAAATAAATTAGGAAGTTCCAAGAATAAGAGCGACAATCATACCGTAAAGTCCCAAAACCTAAAAAATTGAATTTTAAAATGTTTTAAATGGTTTTAATCATTACCTCTGAGAAAATGAGGATGAGGATCATTCCGACGAAAAGTCTTGGTTGTTGAGCAGTTCCGCGAACTCCAGCATCTCCAACAATTCCGATAGCGTATCCAGCTCCCAATCCGCAAAGTCCGCAGGTAAGACCGGCGGCCAAGTGAGCGAATCCTTTGTTCAAATCGTATCCGGCAGATGAAGCCGAAACCTTTCCTTTAAGGACCATAGCCACGACCAATCCGTAGATACCGATGATACCTATAGGGGTTGAATCAAGCATTATTTCCAAAATTTGTTGACTCACCAGCCATAATAACTGGAATGACGGACTTCATGATAAGTTCTGGTCGCATAACTCCCATCGAGCAGATGCCGACAGCAGATTTGGCGGTTCCATAGGCAGCACCCAAGACAGTGAAAATCTGCGCTGAAGCAGCTCCCATGTATCCGAAGAAGGGCGCATAGGCGGCTTTCTCTGCGGTATGAAGATCGTACGACATTCTGAAACAATAAAGGTAAACCAAAAACACCATAATATCGTAAAAATAAAGTAATAATGCGATAAAACGCGAAATAATAACGGACGAAAAAAAAAATAAAAGAACAAACTATTTATTTGTGTTGGAATGTTAGATCACTATTTTAAAAGAAAATGTACAAGCAAGCAAGTTCGAATAAAAACAATACGGGGAAATAACAAATTATGTGGCTCCGAGGATGAGTGCAACAATCATACCGTACAATCCCAAGACTTCAGCGAAAATAAGGATTAAAATCATTCCTACGAACATGCGCGGTTGTTGTGAGAGGGCCCTCACTCCCGCGTCTCCGGCAATTCCGATGGCATATCCGGCTCCAAGGCCGCAAATTCCGCAAACAAGGCCTCCCGCGAACTGCGAAAATCCCGAGTTAATCGTATATTGCTCGCCAGCCGGTTCAACTTTTCCCGAGACGATGACAGCGACGACGAGACCATAGATAGCAACGATACCAGCCATGACAACCGGAATAATGGCTTTCATGACAAGATCTGGTCGAGCAACGGCCATTGAGGCGATTCCGGTACCAGCTTTTGCTGTACCGTACGCAGATCCAGCGGCAGCAAATGCCATGGCCGAGGTGACTCCAAGACTTCCAAAAAATGGACCATAAAGCGCTCGCTCATTTTCGATGATTCCAGCCGTTATGTCTGGATTCTCTGCCATCCTGTAATGTCACATAGTACAGGATATTATAAGCCGAAGTCTCGAATTAATAAAAATGCATTGCGCAAGTTAATTGAGAACACGAAACAATTGCAAGTACAATGAAATTGGGATTGCAGCACGGTTATATGCAATGTGTAAAACGAAAAACCAGTGATGAATTTCTGCCAAAGACCGGGAACGCGAGAGACTACGGAGCGGGCACGTCTTTGATCGAAAACCGAAGAGCAGATACGGTGTTGCGACCGAAAATCGAGAATGGCTTGCGCGTGCGGCTCGACCGCAACGCGTCCCATGGAGCGAACTTGACGCACTCGTTTCGTTTTTTATTTGCAAATGTCTCGCCAGAGTTTGACACGGGGCATTTAATCGCAGAGAAATGTTTACAGGAAAATTGTTTACACAAAAAATCACATAATTCATTTTCAGGATCCCCTCAGGGAGCCATCAATGAAATTAAAATTCCGAATTTTTGCATGTTGCCTAGTTTTTATAATATTCTTTTGCGCATATATGGTATTTTTAATACTGAGTGATATCTATAACGACTATGAAGAAGATTTGTAAGTTTCAAAAATCAAATTTATGAAGAAAGCACTGCGAAAATTCTTCAGAGATCCATATATACCTCAAAAAATAGGTCATAAATTATGTTTAATTGTTCCATATCGCGATCGCTACGAAGAATTGTCCGAATTTGCTCCACACATGGAAAAGTGAAGAAAAAACAGAATAGAATAAATTTAAAAATAATCGAATTTTTGCAGATTTCTATCAGCTCAAAATATATCGCATCAAATACTTGTGATCAATCAAACCGATTCATATCGTTTCAATAGAGCAACTTTAATAAATGTAGGTGAATTCCAAAGTAATTTAGTTCAATTAGGGATTTTAGATAGGATGGAATGAAGGAGATCGAATGGGTTGCGATTACATGGTGATGAACGACGTCGACCTCCTTCCCGTCAACCCCGAAGTGCCTTATAATTTCCCAGGCGAAGGAACAATACGCCATATCACTTCACCCGAATACCATCCAAAATATCACTACGAGAAATTCATCGGTGGTATTTTAATGTTAACAATGGCCGATTACAAACATCTCAACGGAATGTCTAATAAATACTGGGGTTGGGGATTGGAGGATGACGAATTCTATTTAAGAATCTCGTAAGTTCACAAAAAACTGGACTAAAATAAAGTTAAAATTTTCAGAGACAGTAATCTTAATCTTACACGAGTGTCGGGTCTCAAAACGAACAGCTCAAACACATTTCGCCACATACACGGGCCAAAGCGAAAACGGGATTACGTTCGCAAAAAGGATGATAAAGCTCAATGGGAAATGAAAAGAAAACGGGATAGGGTGAATTCAAATTTCAAATTCGGTTTCAAAAAAAAAAGAACCTTCCAGATTTCCGGCCTCCACAATGCCAAATATAGTATAACCGAGCGAAAATTGATTAAATTTCAAGGAACACCGGTGACCGTAATAAACGTTCGGCTATTCTGCGATCTGAAATGGACGCCCTACTGTAAATAATAAGTATCACATTTATACCGCATTTCAGTTTAATGAGCACGGGTATTTTCGGGTATTTCGCTCAATACCAGTGATAAATAAATGTTTTTATTCAGTTTCTAAAACGTTTCTATTTACATTGGGTCCCGTAAGGAAAAGAAAAAAACAGAAACAAACTATTGGCAAATCAATGGTCAACTATCACACGTTGGTACTGAATGGAACGAATTTGAACATATTAATAATTTTTTGGAATTCTGCACTTCAATGAGTGCTTCCTAAATGGACGCATGAGTTGCATGATGATTCGGCCGAAGTGCATCATAATCTCGCGCCTGATAAAACAAAATATAAGCAGACTCCGAGTTTTTCTGCTGCTGCGATTGAGTAGGCGGCTGCTGAAGATTGCCGGAATCCGGCGACATTCCAGAAAATTCCTCCATCGACGAGATTTCCAATTTCTACAAAAAGAACTGTTTAAATAAATGAGTTTCCGGAAGCAAGAAAAAAAATTGGCAACCTCAACAATATCATCATCGAAAAGCAACCAGAACGAATTGCTCTTGACCAGAGTTATATAATGCCCTCTATTTGGTGTCGCGCCACAATGCACCACAGCAGCCACCAAATCATACAGTCGATCGCCATTCGTGGCGTCATCGCTCTGAAAGAAAAATATTGTTAATTTATCGAAAAAATTTGTTGGAATAATTACCACATTGAACAGCCGAAGTTCCAATGGGAACAACACTCGATAAGAGAGTTTCGTGTGCCGATTAAGTGAATCAACATATTTGAACCTAAAAGAATCATATTTTGAGAATCAAATATTCTGTAATAAATTATAAAATATGCGATATTACAAAGTTATTTGATACAACTTATGTTTTTTTAGTCTTATGAGATTTCATAACATTTATTGAGCAATTTTTAAATTATCCCAATACCTCCTAAAAACCTTTATAAAAAGATCATTGAGAAAAAAATTTAAATTATTATCGGGACACGCTAGTCTCTCAAGCAACCCAAAAATATTTTATTTGATTTCTCTGAGTAGTTACTATTTGTCTATTTTCGGTTAAAAAGTATATAATCGAAAATATTGAAAAATAACGAATAATGCTCTGAAAATAATTTAATTGTATTGAAATTTGAATTTTTCCGTTCGCAAATATCAAACGGTTGCTTTTCAGCGATCATAATGTTTTCAATTCAAAAATATTTTTTTATAAAAAAAAAATAGAAAAATTAAAAGAGATTTCTTTCTCAATAAGCTAATATTCCAACTCTATCTTTGTTAAACAAAAATCTCCAATTGAAACCTTTTCAAATGAAGCGCCAACAATTGCGGCGGCTTCTTGATCCTCATCCGCTTCTGCGCTTCCTGTTTCGACGAGCACGTCTCGCAAAAATATTTCTGATCGCCGCACAACGTCTCGGTTTCGCTGAACACGCGCAAACAATGCGTTATCGACGTGTTCTGCTCAACATCCACACTCAAATCCAGAAAATCTTCGTCTTTGCTCGAAACCTTGAAAAAAAAAACGATAATTTCCTAGAAAAATTATCAACAATTTTCTACCGTTTCGCAACAAAGACATCGCGTTTCATTAATCAAAGTGCCTTGGAAAATCTCATGAATCCACGTCGTCTCATTTTTCCGCCTGAAAAAAAATTAATTCATTCATCGCACAAAATTAATTAATATTCCAAAAAATTAAATATTCACCCGTCGTCGCATTTCTCATTATTTTGCGCGGCGCTCGACGGAGCCAAATTCACCGTAATTTGTCCTTTTTTTATCGTGCCATGCTTCTGTTGTCGATCTTTTTCCGCGTTCTTCTCCTCCATTAGCGTCTCGGAAATTGTGTTCAGCAAATAATTGAGAAATTCGTGGGCGTCTTGTTGCATATAATTATCGAAAAGCTCTGGAAAATTGTAATTTTGATGGCTCAAAAAACATTTTCCAACCATTCTCCTTTTTAAGCTTCGTTATGAATCGTTTCGGCGCAATTGTTCCAACTCTTCGCTTCTGTGTGGCAATATTGTGAAATAAATCGGCAAGACATGTCACCAAATTCTCCTTGTTCGCCCCTAAAGTGTCTGCAATCACGATGACGGCAAATTTGAGACGAATTGGGCAAAAAATACCGGATTTCTTTAGCTGTTGCTTGTATTGAAGAATTTTTTCGCGAAATGGACGACAAAAATACAACGCTTGAATGACCGAATTGCAGTAACATGTATTGCCGAACTGAAAATTCAAAAATGCATTATTTTTTTGTGCATTATCACATTTACCACTATAATTTTACGATCACGCGATTTTTGCTTTATTTTGTATAGTTTTACTTCCAGAACAAAGTTCACCTAATTGTACACCTCAAAAATGCCAACTCACATTAACTAATCCGTAATAATGCTCATTGCCGACGAGCGAATCGCCAGTGATCTCTTTTTCGAGTTGCGATGAGCCATTGGCACCCTGCAAATAATGCAATGAAAAATAATTTAATGGAAAAAAATGAATTTGTCGCGTTTTCAAACCATTAGCGGGTTCGTGGATACCCGTAGGCACGAAAACGTCGTTTTCAAGGTGTTGCTCGTGTCGCGCGACGGCCAATCTGCAAATCAATTCTTTTTTCGAAAATGTTTTACGTGTGCTGGGCGAACAACAACAACAACAATAAAAAATCATGAATAAACCCGACATGCCGGCAGTTTTCTCTGCTCTGCTCATCTCTCGCGCGTCTACTCTCGTCGTCTGCACCCTCGCAACTCTCTGTGCACTCTCTGCGTTCTTTAACATATGGAAACAACGCTTTTAAAAAGATGGTCCTATACGCAAATCGGGTCTTATATCGGCGTAATGATTCTGAAAAATGTATCAAATACAAGAATATCAGAATTGTGTTGTGCCGGAAAAATGTCGAAATTTTTTTTAAATAAAATAAACTTTTCCTTTTAATGAATTTCAATAAAAAATATTACCACGAGTCGTGCAAAAATGTGAAAATTTTTAGCGAAAGCTTTGCCACGAAACCAAAATTAAAATCTGACCGAACATTGGTTTGAATGAAAATGTTCCATTGAATTGAAATTAGCTTCACCTAAAAAATTGGCAGTAAATTTATTAAAATGTGGATCTACAAGAAAATAATTTTCTTAATTAAGAAAAGGAAAAAAAGTAAATGTTTCCTGTTCATAGTTTGATTTTTTTGCTCAGAAAATAATTTTAATTTCCACAAGTTATAGATAAAACAAAAAATCATCATCAATTTTTAAAAAATTAAAAAAAAATCGTTCATTTAATCGAGTTTTGTTTCGATAACGTCAGATTCTGTTTTTTAAAGGGAGGGTACTCGTGTGTAATTTGTTTAATGTAATTTTGTACATTTTGAAAAGATTACATTTCATGAATAGGTCGATTCTGAATTTACAATTGGTATTTTATATCAATTAATTAGTGTTTTCAATCGCGATTCGTTTGATTTTCTCGAGATTCTCGTTGGCGATGGCGATCTGCTCATTGTATATTTTCTTGTTTTCGTTGTACTGAAAATTGTTCCTTAAGAAAACTTTTTTTGTTAGATACTCTACCACTTGGACAAGTTTCTTGAATTGGTTGACGAGATCCTCGGCGGTCTGGAACGCTTCGTACTTTTTCTCGGAAGCTTGATTTCGGATTTTGGTGAGCTTCTCGCGTTTCGCACACGCTTTTGACGACGATACTGGAGTCTCGTTGCGGAATTTCTCGATTTCGCTGTAAATTACAGTAAAAATTTATTTGGTCAAGTCTGACGATTTGAGAATTTTAATAATAATATTTTTAAATGGAGAAAACTCGAAAATCTCAAAAATCTAGTTTTTGCGCAATTTTATAAAATGCTAATTTTTTTTTCAAAAAAGAACCAATTAAAAAATTTGACTACTCTATCAAGATTCAATTGAATGAATAAATGCCTCACATTTTAATTCTTTGAATATTTTCCGAAATCGTTTTTGTCCGTTCTTCGTGAACGGTTCTCAGCTGCCTATGAGCTTCGGCTTGCTCAGTTTCCTGTTTCTTGGCCGACTCGTTTTGTTTTACCGCAAAATCGAATTGCTGGCTGAGTTCTTCCAACGCGCGCTCAATCTCGTTCACAGTTTGAGATTGCAGAATAATTTGATTCTAAAATTGGCATTTTTTGAGGTACACTTCCTTTTTTCTTTCTCACCTTTTCGACGAGTAGTTCTCTCATTTTTGAGCTCAGCCATTCGATTCGGACTGCCGCATTTTCGCTGATTTGAAGATCGTGCCGTTTTTCCGTTACAGATAGTCTTTAAAATAAAAAAAAGAAATTTAGAAAACTTTTCCAACTTTCTTACTGCACGTTATTCAAATCTGACTTCATTGCTTGAATTTCCTCCTTTTTCGATTGAATCTCGTCGCGAATTGTGTCGGGCGAGCTAATAATTTCCTGAAATTTGCCCAAAGCTGCTTCATTCAATATCAAAAAAGAATTCGAGTACCGCCGATAAATGCTCTTTGAGTTTCTTCGCCGATTCGATTTCATTTTCCAAACTTTTCTGAAAAAATCGAGTTTTATTAAAAGAATCTTTCAATTTTGTCAACATTTTCCTCTTTGATCGTCTCAATTGCTTTTGTGGATTCTTTCAATTCAACATCAAGCGATTTGTATTCCTTTACTACTTGCATGAGACGCTCTTCTGTATTTTTCAATTCACAAAGAAGCTGAAGTTTCAATATTAAAGATTTTTGCCGAAAATTTTCGAAGTTACCTCATTTTCTCGTCTCTTCCTGGCCGTCGCTTCTGCCTGTAGTTTATTTCTCCTAGTTTCGGTATTTCGAACCTTTTCCTGAAGTTCTACTAGATTCTCCTTTTTTTCGTTGACTTCACTGAACACTTCCTCAATCATTGGCTTGATTTTCTAAAAATCAAACATCTCTTTAAAAACGTTTCAAATTTTATTTAAAATACTTCATTGACTATTAAATAGTCACAGAATATGCTGAGAATCGCCTTTAATCGGGGAATATCGGCGGCGGGTCGAATCAAATCGCAAATGTTGAGCACAATTTTGCCGGCTGTGATATCTCTGATGAATGCCGCCCTAAATTAATAATTAAGTTCGACATTTTATAATTGAATTACATAGAATTGTAAAGAATAATCAATGGAATGCTCCTTTGATGAAGTCCTTCTTCAAAATCGCGATTTACGTCCAATGGAAGCTGATTTAATGCATTTTCATTGATGCCGAGACCAAAATGAGCCATGTTATAGTAGATTACTTGAATTGTATCCGGCTGCAATACAATTTTTTAAGTATTTCGAAGGAATATTGAAAACACCAACATTCGCGTCCATAATATTCGCCGAAGTCAATGATAAATTCAACTTCGATGAGAGGATCTCGGCAATTTTGCGCGGATCGTAAATGTGTGTCCGATTCATTATTTTCTGTAATATTTTATCGTAGAAAAAGTTGGAATAAAAGCAGATATTCGAAAGAAAAACTGAATGTCGCGAAAAATAAATTCAAATTTTTTTGCGGCGCGCTGTGGACGATTGCGGACAATGCGCAATATTTGACGACATTAATGCCCAATTTCTAATCGTTTTCTTTTAAGTTCCAGCTTTATTAAAGCATATAAAATAAAACATCCAAATGTGAATAAACCGTTAGAAATTCTGGGAGACTATTATACATCAAGGGAAAAACACATCGTTTTCGGGTCGGATGAGCTCATTTCAGAGAATTGGGTAAAAATGCGAGCATTTCGGGGCAATGTTCGTCCGAGATCGCCGTTGGAATCAACTCGTTGCACTTTCTGCGTGTTCAACTGATATTTGTAGATGGGTCCCGCCTCGATTTCACTATAGTCGTCGTTTTGCTTCGCGCTTATGAGTGTGGTGATGCGTCGAATGTTGGCGATTTTTGGCGAGAACGCCACCGTTGTGGTGTTGTCATTGGTGAAGTTTGTGGTGTTGTTTGGGGTCCTCGGAATAACGTGAAGGACTTTTCTGCAAAAAGAAATAATTAGAAATGTATCTTTTAAAAAACGTTTCTCACGATTTTTTCAGGCAAATGTACTCCAACGAAATGAAAAACAGAATCAATGATAGCAAGCAGATAGAAGCAAGGAAGATATTGATGTAATAGATGTTGTATCCCTGGATAGCTTGTTCCACTTCGAAGAGGAATCCCTCGCGTCGCTGAAAAAAAATGCGTATATAAATTGGAAAAAGAAATGAAAATATCCTCGATATTACCTTGGCAACGGAAATTTGCTTTGGGCAGTGCGCGCATTTGTCGTCGATGCGGATGAGAAGCTTGGCGTTGAAGCATTGCGATCGTACATAAACCGCGCGTGTCATTACAGTTTTTCCCGATGGCTTAATGGCTTCCTCATCGGTTTTGTTGAAAACCATTGAAGTGAACGCGTGATCGCATTTCGGCGAGAGTCCGAATGGATTGAGCGCGTTTTCACCTTCGATTTGAGCCGAGATGAGAAGCGAATCGATTTCGTCGTTCCATTGGCTTGTGAAAAACTTTTTTTCATTCTAAAATTTTTGATCATCATGAATTTGAAAGAAAACGGATTGATTCTTACGTCGAGAAGATTTTTTGTGATCGGCCAGGCGACTGAGGTGAATCTTTGGACTCCCATGGTAGCATGAACCTAAAGCAATATATAGGAATTGAAAATAAATAATTAAAAATGAGACACTCACTCTTAATGAAGGATTAACGCAATTCTGATGGGAATTCCAGTACTCAGCACATTGCTCACGGAGCTCGAAATCCACTAGAACCACTGTGAGCCAGTTTGGGGTGGTGGCGGAGCAAGAAGCGACGATTGCAAGAATAATGGCGAAGGAGAACATCATCGAATGATAAGAGCAAAGGAGCTGTGTGATCTAAGTGGTCCACTAGGCCACCTTTTATACGGACCACTCGAACAGTACCGTGGGCGGAGCTTGATGGTTTCCCAGTGCACCCGGAAAGGACGGGCTTGGGAATGGGCGGGATGAAAGGTGCCGTCGGTGTGGGTGGGATGAGACGCGTGAAGCTCGAGCATGAGAATGAAAGCAGTGCGATAGGTGCGAAGCTGGGAGACGATGCGCTGCTAAAAGGTTGGACATGGTGCGAATTAGATGACGGAAATGAGGAAAACACATGAGTTTTTGGAATTTTAGACGAAATGTTACAGAATTTTCGAGGGAGTTTGGAATTTTCTTTGATTTTTCCAAGAAAGTAATATGTCAAGGCAGAAAAAAAAGAAAAAAAATGTTTTATGGGGTCGAAAATGGAAAAATATCATTTACCTGTTTTCTTTTTTGTTCTTATTTTTTCTTTGTATTTCCCTTTTCAGTTAGAAAAAATTCAAATTCTGCGTATCATAAAAATCTTTTTATATAGGAAAAAATAGTTTGATGATAATTATTGCCAATTATCAAATTTTCATAGTCCGTTTCCGAAATTTTTTTCAATCTCAATTTCTATATATTTATTTTGTTTTCGAGTTTTCTAAAAAAAAGTCCACAATAAGAATACGGAATAATACATTTATTTCCTTCTAATAATCTTGAACAGCACTTTCAGCCCAATTTTCTTCTCAACTTTCTTGCCAATTTCATGTGGGTCCAAGTATCCTGAGCAATATTGGGGTTTACAAAAATTCAGTAAAAAATCAATTTTCTTAAACATCGTTGTCATAAGTTAACAACATATTGGATTTCTTCAAAAAAATTAGGCTTAGGTTGAAATGGTTTATAAGTTTATTAAAATTTTTAAATTCTCACCTTGCTAATTGTAAATAAGGTACCGTAAAATTTGAAAGCACCGACTCGATTTTTGATTCAACTAATTGCACGGTCAATCTAGCACCATTATTTTTAAAGAAAAAACGAAATATGTGCAATCTGTTTGTTGAATTTTTTCTTTTTTCCCAAAATTCAATGAGTGTCCGAGTTTTTTGGAATACATTGTTCCAGATCGCTCTTTTTTGCGCAAAATTGATTATAGATTAATGTTCAGTTAATTTTCGCGATTATAAATTGCTTTTTTTTATTATAGGCTTGTCGCATTTGGTGTCAAAAAATATCAAAAAGCGTATATCAGCGCAACGCCAAAAATGTTTTACGAGCTGTGCAATTTCGCGGGCCGAAACACATTGTATATTCACCCAGCCAGCGATCAAATTTACAATGTGTTTTGACGAGAAGATATCCAAAAAAGACATTGAAGATGAAATATTGGGCGATTTTATGCAATGCACTTCCGTTTATTCACCCAATTCGAGGTTGGTCCCAATTTTCAGTGATAATTGCACTTTGGGGTTTAATGGTTCGCTGGCATTCTTATGAGGGCCCTTGGAGATGCGAAACAGACAGGTGCGAACGGATGTTGACGGAAGTCGAGTCGATTTTGTCTTTTTTGAAATTTTTCGTAAAAATATTTGCTGGACGGGAATAAACGAATCGTTAAGAGTCAATGAAGTGAAAATCAAAAAATAAATTAAAAAATAGAGAAAATACAATGACGAAAAAAGGAAAAAGGTGATTTTTTAATTTTACATTTTTAAAAATAATTCTCCCTATTAGAAAAAATGTGCAAATTTTCGAATTTTAAAACACGATAGTCCGCAATTGTTCAAAGTGCTCGTTTTTTGGCGCCAGTAAAGTTTTAATTAAGATTAAGTTTTAATCCAAAAGTTTTAATTAAAAAAAAACCCGTTCATCTTGTGGTGGTTAAACTTGAAAAAATCGCTCATAAGGATTGGCTATATGCAAAAATTGTAGGGAGATGTCTTGGGGAGCGGCGTGCGCCTTTGACCCATCCTTATACGTAGCCCGTAAATCTACACTTTTTGATTTTACGCAAAGCCGACGGTAATTGTTTTTTTCGGCATTTAGCAAATTTTTCGTATTCGCCAATATTTCTTTTTTTTTTCAAAAAAAAAACGAATCGTCAATAACTTTTCCGAGTAATTGTTGACAGAGTCCTCTACGCGCGCTCAAATGCTCTTTGATGCTCAAGTAGTAATTTTTTTTCAAACGAAAACCGATTCAATATTTTAATTATACGCATATGAAGGCAATATAGATATTAGTCAGAAGCTAATCATATTAAATATGTAAACGAATGAGTAATGCGTATAGGCTAAGTACGAACATTTGTTTTCGCCCCCAAAAACCCCGTGTGTGTTCGTATTCTTTTAAGCACAATAATCGTATAGTAATATTATTTGCATCCAAGCCATTTTATATGTAAATATCATGTGCCCAAAAAAAATAACTGGGCTCTTATTGCAAGAGATCATTTACAACTAATTGGGTTCGACTTCTTTTTTGGGAATTCGAGTAAGAGGAAAAAATCGAAAGAAAATGTCTGACCGCCATAAAGTGATGCAAAGTGAAATTAAAAAAAAAACAACTTTGTGGACATTTCAATAAAGGTCAAAATATCGTAGTGATATAAATTCGTGCTCGATCGAAAATGGTAAATTTGATAATATAGGTTTGTGAAATTCATCAAAATCCGTGTTTCTTAAAATGAGCCAAAAATCACGAGCCACTGATTATGGGTCGATAGAAAAAAAGCTTCCAGAATTTATCGCTGCGAGCATGAAACTGATTTTCCGAGCAAAGAACCTCCAGATAAAATTTCTAGAAGTCAACTGACTGTCAAAAAATAAAAACAAATTGAAAACTGGACCTAAAACTGTCAAAACCAGTGATTTTTACCGTCTTAAAAATTCGAATATATATATATTTTTGTTAATAGGAATTGAAGTCACACGTTTTGCGCTGAGACCATTTCTGACAGCCGGTTTTTCCATTTAAAACGTCACTACAATTATTTGATGGTGTTTTCAAAGAGCTCATGCGACAACTTCGGCAAATCGATCTAAGGGCTACCGTACTGACGAGGAAACTCAAAATCGCCTACTCTTATTCTTACCACCCCCTAATCCGATCAATTTCGTTCCGAAATCGTTCATCGCTTCGAACGTCGCATTCTCGCAAAACAACCAACTTCGCTTTTCATTTCTCTCTCTCTCTCTCTTTCAATTTCTTCCACAATAGGGTTTGGACCCTTCGCCTCATTTTATACACCCCCATTTCTATTTTTGTGGCTGTTTTCTTCATTATACACACATATCCGACGGCTACTAGTACTAGTAGGCGCCCACCAACAGACGCGTGTGTACGTGCTGGAAAACGAGAGCCAAAATCGATTCGAGACAGAGAGACGAGGCGGCGAACACACTCGGACGTCGTCGGCTCTCTCTTTCTCCTCATCATTCTCTTCTGAATACTCTACGCCGCCACGCCCGCCTCTTTTGCTCTGCGCCGGCTAGGACAGCCTCCAGCAAAACTCATTTTATCTCGCCGATCGCATGGAGTAGGCGCGGCGACTACGGTTGTGTTTCTTGAATGACCGCCACAGTACATCTCCGACTCCTTGTATTCCTATTCCTAGTGTCTACCAGCTATTCTCTTCTATTATACGGTAAGTTCCCTAATTTTTTTCCCACTATTTCAATGTTCTATTAATTATGTGAAAATATTGTTGGTTGACTATACTTTATACAACACTCCGCTATTCTATCATTTGTTCTTGCCATAAGAATTTCAACCCAGTGCTTCAGAAATCTTTTCAAAGGTATTAGTGATTCCCGTCTACTCGCTTTGCCCCTTCTTCCCACTTTTTTTTCAAAAATTTTTTTAAAACACCATTTACGTCATGCCGTCTGAAATTTGCTCAAGCACTGATTAAAAAATCCAGTTTCGCATATTTTTAAATGTCGCATTGCTCTCGCGACGGCTCCGCTTTTTTTCTGTTTTTTCCTCCTTTCGAGAGGAGCATCGAATTTCTGGATGAAGGCGCGTGGCGAGCATCGCGCACTTTCAATTATTGCTGAAAACTGAATTGACGGATATATGGTGTCGAGGAAGAATAGAGGATAATTGAAAAAAAATACAAAATTGGAATTCCAATTGGTTTTTGATGTGCATATTCGAGGACTCTAGAAAAGTGGCGTCGAATAGTAATTCAGAAATCAAACCAATAACTCATATTGTGAATATTGACCAAACGTGCAAATGGCACCATAAATCTCAAATTTCAAGAGCACATTCTTTTCGTTTTCAACGTCGACTCGTCGTCCGAAAATTCTGAAGACGTGCTAATTTGAGACGAGGCGACGCGATCGCAATTGGTTGCCAACAAAACTAATAATTGTTTTCGTATTCACATTTATCACGAACCCGTTTGACGACTCAGAAATACTATTATATATAACACTGGATTTATATTCAATATTGGCAAAATGCCACAAGCAAACAAAAAACCCCTGTGGAAGAGGGTTAGCTTAAAGGCGCACAGCGCTCTCCAAGACTTCTCCAACTTTTTGGCATTTTTCCAATTTTCCGATCACAGAAATAAGTCCAGCGGTTGTTTAAATGCGAATCCGGAAAATGGAACCACATAAATTTAATTTTAAAAAATTGTTTTCCAAATACGACGATACACTCTCGCTCATTCTATTTGTCATTACGTTTATTGAATTAAGCAAGAAGAGATTTTGTCCTAACGAGACAAAAGACGGCATTCAAACTAATAACTCACTAATATTTACCCCGCAAAAGAGTTCTCCAAAAAAGGTCCCGTTTGTTCAACGCATATTAGAACCACTTGTTGGATTTGGCAAGGGATTATTGTTTTTTTTTTCTGGACCCATTTGTCATACGTCAAAGAAAATGATTTAAAAAAAATAAATATTCGATTGCTCTCCAATCCGTGAAACATCATATTTAGCAGAACCTACCACCCACGTTCAGAATAATAAAAAATTAAATAAAAAAATATCGTGGGAACTTCTCTTTCCAACTCTCTCATTCAAAAAATCGAAAACCGAACACATCAATTTCGATTGGCTCCTCACACGAACCCTCCATGGCCATCAAACAACGATGTCTCTTCTCCCCATTCTACCAATTATCCAAAACCCATCGGAGGCACATAAAATTACAAAAATTGAGAGGCGCGCAAATGGATTCTAGGATGAGTGCTCTCATTTCAATCCGTTTTTGTTTGTCCCAACAACAACAAAAGGATTCGTAGTGACAATTAGAAAGGAGGAGATTGAGGAAGAGCTTCCTCGAAAAACGCTCAAACTGATCATATTGAATCATGACGTCATTATACATAATTTTATTAAACGCTCATCTGTTGACGTCATTATCTTCAATCAATCTTTCGCAAAACATTTATCGAAATGCGTGTTCCCATTTTTATACCTAAAGCTTGTTAGAAATAGCGTATTCCATATTTAGAATATTCCTCCTCAGAATGATGTCAGAATATTGTGTTTGTATGTGTATGTGTGTGCGTCTCTCTCTCGCCCCCTCTCAACTTTGTCAGCTGAGTGGCCACATCGTCATACTTTGAAATTTTCGCGTCTCGGTGGGGACAAACCAATTTTCGTGCGCAACCTGAATCAGGTGCAATTTTAACAGGACCAATAATTGAATAAATCATTCGTTCATAATTTTACAACAGCGCGAATAACAAATGAGATATACATATGAGAATAACGCATTTTGGGCAAAACAAAATCCAAATGATTGGATTCTTCTATTTCAATGAGAATGCATCTTTTTTTGCAGGATGCAATCTTAGCGACAATTTATGCGACGCCGATGAGTATTGTTTTCCCGATGGCGTATTCGGCCAATGTTATTCGGCCGCGAGTGGCATGCCAACTCCCACCGTGCTGAACAACCTCGACGACGACCAATTCAAACTTCTGGAACTCGAAATCACCAGACTCGCGAAACGCGACAAAGATTGGGAAGACGAAGAATCGCAATGTGTTCTCGCTTACTTCAAAATGTCAATGTTCTATGAGTTGCAATACGATCCCGATTTCTGTCAGGTCCGCAAACCGGCCAATGTCTGGGCGTTGATTCAACTCATCGACACCGGTCTCGGCGAGGAGCCTCAACTTCTCGATGATTCGGCCGATCAAGAAGTAGCGCAAATCATTGAACAACTCAAAACCCCAGTGCAGCCGTCCGAAGAAGAAATTCAAGGTAAGACTTTAATCAGCAATTGCTTCACTGCAAAACAATATAAATTTAGAAGCCCTCAATGCTAGCAATGATAATGTTAATGATGAGCTTCTTGATAACTATGTGTCCTCAATTGTCAACAACGAATCGCCGGACTTCTCAACGCTCTCCGATGAGCAACTCGAACAGCTCATTCAGCGTCTCGTCCTCCTTAAGAACAACATGGAAGCAGAGAGTCCGAACGGCGAACAGGAACTCGCACTGCCGTTGGACAATGCATTAGAGGAACGCGAGCAGGCAATTCTCAAGAAGGATATCGAAGAATTGGGAGAAGTCAATCAAGGACTCGAAAACACCGAACACAAAATTGTGAAGGGCCGAAAGGATCAAGTGACGCGAGTTGACGGGAATCGCGTTTATCTCAAAGTTCACATTAAAGATGAAGATCAATTGATGCCACTTATCGAATTCCTCCAGAACACCATCGCAATCCCTAACAATTTATTTTTCGATGATTTCAAGTAAAAGAACCCCCCCCCTTTAAATTTTATGAAAAAATGATTTGTAGTTTCGAGAACGGACAGCTTTCAATGAGAATATCGCGCTTCGAAGGTGCCAAGGCGAAAAATGAAAAACGAATTGATTCCGTCGAAGGTGTGGCGTCTGCCGTCTACAAACGAAGAAAAGACATTGCTCGCCTTTCCGGCGCGGACGTGCGCGAAACCGGAATTGGAAGTGGCGAGGTATATAGAAATTCATATACATATAAATTAATTTACTTTGCCTGTTAAATCCATGACAATGTTTTTTTAGGAAAGCCTTCCCGTCGAATCGTCAGAACGCGATTGGCTGATGATGCCGCTTCTGTTTGTTTGTGCGTTCACTATAACCACTCTGGGTCTCGTCGCAGGAGTACGAACAATTCAAAATAACAATTGTAGCAAAAATGATTCAATTTTTTAGATGCAATTCATGAAGAACCGACGTCATTACAAAGACAATATTCAACAAATCGCCGATCAACTCGACGGCAAAACGAGTTTCGCTTATCAGGATCTCTGCCGACAACGCGCCGACGGAGGAAGAGCTTCGAAATCGAGCTCGACATCATCATGGTGTGAGGAGGCATCGCCACCAACCATTGACATTTCGACAGGACACGTTGTTTTGGTAAACATACTTCAAATTGCATGCGACCAAACGGAGAATTTTTCCAGAATTTCTTGCAAGAGTATCTTAGCGAGCCGACCAAAATTGAAGCCCAATGGAACAGCATCAAAGATTACAAGAATGAGTCGCGAACCAAGACCAAGGCTGAGAAGTTCGCCAATCTAAATCGCAGCATTCTACCATGTAAAAATTAATTATCAATTTTTGATATCAATTATTTCGCTTTCAGTTGATGACAATATTGTCGAGATTGACGGAAAAAGCGAGAACAACGAAGACCACTACATGAACGGAAGCTTTATTTATGACGACGACCCACGGTAAGCGTGATGGGAGAACGAACCTCGACATAATATTCGAGATGTTTTCAGCCAAGCCGTTTACATTGCCGCACAGACGCCAACAAGCACCCAAATTGCCGCGTTCTGGCAGACCGTCTGGCAGCACGGCGTCTGCCTTATCGTCAACATCTCGACACAGGACGAATGCAAGCAAGAGAAGAACTATTGGCCGGACACTGGAAGTGAAGTTCACGGAGCTTTCGAAATTCACTTGGTTTCTGAACACATCTGGTCAGATGATTATGTCGTTCGCTCGTTCTACTTGAAGGTAATCGAGAATTCTGAAAGCTTAACAACCATCGTCATTTAGAACCTCCAAAACAGCCAAACTCGCACAATCACTCAATTCCATTATTTGTCATGGCAAAAGGACAGCACACCACCAAGTGCGAAGAGCCTTCTTGAGTTCCGAAGGTGGTCAAATATCATTCCGATTCGAAAACAACGGTCCGCATTTTTCAGAAAAGTTAACAAGTCCTACCGTGGACGTTCATCGGCCGTCCTCGTGCACTCATGGGACGGCTCAGGCCGTACCGGAGTCTATTGTGCGGTCGACGTTCTCTGCGCTCGCCTTCTACGCGGAATCCGCCAAATCGACGTCGTCGCCACCGTTGAGCATCTTCGCGATCAGCGCGACGGCATGGTCGCCACCGGCGATCAATTCAAACTCGTCTACGGCTGTGTCGCTCAAGAAGTCAACCATCTCCTCAAATCGATCTCGTCCCAGTAAAAAAATGAAAATCAAATAATGCGTTTCTGTCTGACTGATATCCCCCCATAATTATCAACATTAACATTATTTTCTCACACACAATCCAAACACTCGTTCCGTATTATTGATTGGTTGAATAAAAATTGTCGCAATGTTTGCAAACTCGTTCCGGATGTCTATAATTTTTAGGCAAATATACATAACAGGATATTAAGGATGAGTAGAGAGCCAAGCAGTATATAAACGGCATTAAACTTCCTATTTTGGCAACGTTTAAAACATCATAAAATGCAGATGGGGCCGGTTTTTTTTTTTGGGTTACCTAGCCTCTTCAGCTGCAATTCAAAATTATGGCCCAAAAATTTCAAATTTGTTGTTATTGTTGCAAAATTTTTGTTTGCCATCGCTTTTTGGGGTTTTGCTTCCTTCAAATGCCATCGCCATCATTTCCAGCAGTTACTATCGCCACGCGATCAGATAACGCGCTTCATCGTCTTCTCATTGTCAAATGCTACTGTCTCCCAGTTTCGCGCGCTTACTATGCCTATGGTAATGCGAAATGTCAAATTACGCAACTCGGCTTCGATGACGTATAATTTCGATTGGAATTTTAATTATTTGTACGCGCGAAAATCGTTTTCAGCTTGTTCTTTTTAATCAAACCAAACACTTCCTTGAATATTACAAAAAACTAATGCCCATCCTTGTTTTACCTCTTCAACATCATTAAATAATGCCAATACCCATATCGAGAGTCATCAATTCGCATATTACACATTCAATCACCATTGTCGCTTCCTTCCAACCTTGAAATACGCATAACTTATGCGTTGTCTCATTACCACTTTTATTATTCCTTATATAAGCCAAATAATATTTCATAAATTTCTCGTTGTATCGTACTTCTCTTTATTTTCAAACGATCGAAACTCAAGTGGTCAACTTGTTTTTCATTTTTGTGCTTAAAATTTTCATATTTAGAGTGTTTTTTAATTGCAGTTGACGAATAAAAACTCAAAAATGCAAATTAATTATTTTTTTAAAATTAAATTGCTAATGTGCAAATTATACCTCGAAATAAGGAAAGCTTCAATTATGAGTTTAATTAGGAAGCGCAATTATCAAAAAAAAAAACATCATCCACCAATAGCTTCTTCCTGCTTCGCCAAATACCTCATGCCTATGTGACTCTAGTCAACATCCAATTGACCTGGCCGTTATCTGACCGAGAAGTGTCAGCCAACTTGTTTCAAGATCTCTCTAATTTGATTGAATTTGATTCATCGCTCCTCCCTCCCCATGACAGAATGCCCTCGGCATTGGCATAATGACCCTCAGCATTCTCGAAACAAAGCGCTTTACCACCCCCCCCCTTCTCCGCGTTTTGACTCGTTTTATTGTCTTCGCTTCTTTTTTTTTGAGCGACCTCATCATCAACAAACATTTCGACTTGTGATATTATTTATGTGTCTCTTCTTCATTATCGAGTTCGTTGATAATATATCACCAAGGGTGTTCCTATCATCAGCCGCTCACATACTATGTAGTAGTGATAGATTAGCTTGATTGCCAAATCATATCGATATATAATATTATTTCTTCTTTTCAGATTTACAATGCGGCGTTACATCGCCACATTGTTAGTAGTCCTCTCGCATCTTCAATCCGTTGAATTGGTTAAAATAATCGACAATGGCCTAGCCCCGCCAGAAATTGTGCATACGCCAGTGTCCACCAAACGTAGGAGATATGACATATCCAATTATTGCATCCAGCTGGTATTTCAGCACGCTGCAAAGTTTTCGCACCACCTCTTGACCTCGTTTTCATTCTTGACTCGTCTGGCTCGTTGCGCGACAAATTCCAGGACGAAATCGACATCATCCGTCGAATCATCAAGCATGTCACGATTGGCAAAACAGCCACGAGGGTTATGCTTATCCAATTCAGGTTTTTTCTCTCGTGCCTACCAATTACGCATAATTAGACGCGTACTTATTTTTCAGCGGTACACAGCACTTGGAATTCAATTTCGAGAAGTTCACCGACCGCGAAGAGCTGCTAGCTGCGTTGGATGTACTTCGTCATGTGTCAGGAATTACACGAATCGGAGGCGCTTTCGAATTTGCGTTGAACGCACTGAAGAAACCAGAAAATGTAAGAAGTGATGATCAATTAAGATATTATTAATCCTTTTCATCTCAGGGACTTCGCGACGGAAGTGTTCCGAAAATTGTCTACCTTCTTTCAGACGGACGAACACACGACTATCCAAAAGACTGGCAAATGTCCGACACACTTCGCAAATCGATCCCGAATATTGATATTTGGGCGTACGGTACAGGCGATTACGTGGCAATGACCGCATTGGCCAACTACACGCTGTCCGAAGACAAAATTGTGACAAACAAAAATCTTGAGAAGCTTGAACCACAATTTCAAAAATTCCGCGGTTCCGAGATTTGTGAGCAACAACCAACATGCGTCAAAGGATCCGACAAACCATTGGATTTGGCCCTGGTCATCGACGCTTCCGAATCTCTTGATCACCTATTCACTGATCAAATCAAGTTTTTAACCGATCGCGTAATCGGAAATGTCAACGTTCATCCGGAAGCCGTGCGAGTCGCTTTGATTTCTTATTCCGGCAGCTCATTCGTTCATTTCAAATTCAATGATTATCGCTATGGAAATAACACATCGATTTTGGAATTCATCAAAAATCTTCGATCAATCAAAGGCACCACCAACACGAACATCGCATTGGAAGACGCGCTGGACCTTTTGACATCAAAAGACCCATCGACCGGTGTAAGAGAGGGCGTCCCCAAAATGGCTCTAGTGTTGACAGACGGCCACTCGCATAGATCGCCAAAAGATATCTCGGAAAAGATGAGAGCCTTGGGCATCATAATGATCGCTGTAAGCGTGACACCTCGACCACTAGTCGATGAAGCCGAGTTGCTATTAATTGCTGGCGATGCCAAACGAGCATTCAGTCCGCCAAACCTTTCCGAATTCGAATCCGAATTTATGAAGTATGTCGGATTCGGCTGCGACGGCATCGAGCTTCCACCCGACGCGAGTAAGAAAAGTTTACTAAGAAATTGTCCATATCCCTTTTTAGAGCCACAGGTACGCGGTGCCACCGATATTAAGTGCACGGAAAATTCCATGAGTATTGTGGTACGAACTCAAAGGCCATTGCAAGGTTTAATGTATGCACACCACTATCACGATGTACCCGAATGCATGATCGTACGAGGAAAAAAATGTAACAAAATACGTCAAGTGGCTATTTCAGAGAAAAACTGACAACAGCCGTGAAGTTCAAATCTCATTCACCGAGGGAACATGCGGCCTCACGAAAACACCTTCTGCTGTAACCAAAAGGCATGTTAACTAAAATCAGGCTACATTTTTTTTTTCAGAGCGGTGATGGTTACTTTTTGAACATCACAGTCATCCTACAATTCCACCCATTGATCATCACTCGAGCTGACCAGGGAATCGATATGTCGTGTTTCGTGCCGAGTGTGGTGCCACAAAACGAAATTGCAAATGGAGTATTCAAAAATGCAGCGGATACTGAATGCGTCTATCGATTACACAGGTTCGACAACTCAATGCAATTATTCTCAATTGAATAGTTCAAGGTACAATCCCGGCCAATGTGTTGCTCTCGATGCCAAGGTCGGCGAGACACTCTACCATCGATGGGAATGCGATTGCCGTAAAAAAAAAATAAAAATCAAATAAAAAAGAAGTTTCAAAAAAGCATCTTGCAGCACCCGAATACAACTATCTAGTTCACGACTGTTTCGTTCAATCAGAAAAAAATACACAACAAATTCTCGACTCAAATGGGTAAGCGGCATTTTTGAATAAATAAAAAATAATAAATTTTAGATGCGAGGTTGACCAACATTTTCTCGAGACACCCAACTATTCACGATTCCGAGATTTCCCGGAAATCGCGTATGTCTTTCAAGAAATGTCTGTATTTAAATTCCCCGGCGATGGCGATTTACTATTCCATTGCAAGATTTCCATTTGCAATATGAAGGATCCAAATGCACCATGCGCTCAAAATATCGTAAGAAATAATTGGCGAAAAAAATAAATAACAAAATTGTAATTATTTTAGCCACCAAACTGCCCAAAAAAACCAACAATTTTACCAGTTCGACAAAAGCGGGAGACCCACATCAGAGAGAAGCGACAATTCGAACGCAACCGCCCACGACGTCAAATTGTTGAAACGAAGCCTGGATATTATATGACACTACATGTCGAAACTAGAACCCTCAACGTTCTCCTTAGCGAGAGCATTCGCCCAAGAGATAGCGTTAAATACTGCGATATTTCGTAATGTTTTTTTTTTTTAATTTTCACCTTTGACGGGTTCCCTGAGTTGAAACTATATATGTACATAAATTGGTTTATTTCAATTTGCTCAACTTATGTGCATTTATGATATGCGCCGTATTAGCTCGACCCATCATCGCCCAAGCCTAGATGTTTCCATGAAACGCGTCATAAAATAGAACATACCTGACGGAGGAGACATGAGAAATTTCGACAATTGCTGACTTCGATATCGCTCAAATGGTGCGCACAAGATTGGCATTCGGCACAAATTTCACGAATATCTAAAATATTTAATGACCGAATCACATTTAATGGAAAATCTTGAACTTACATGATTTTGACTTGGTCTCTTTGCGCAATTGAACATAGGCTCCAATCAAAGCTTCTTCATTGTTTTGGCAATCGGTGCACCATGGACTTTGACCTAGACGGCTACATTTTGGCCTAAAATCTCGTTGTGAAAAAAAACGAACAATAATCAAACATACGTGAAACATCGGTTAGCCAATAATGGCAATAATACAATTTTAGTTGGAAGCAAATCGGTGACCCGCCGCAACGCAGCCAGAATATGAGAGTTCAAATAATAATAGACATTAATCTAAATAATGAATTGTTCATTAAAATCTCATAATTTTGTTGGGATACCTTTAAACTTTCAATTTTTGCAAAATCATCTATTGAACGTACGCATGAGTATACTGTAGACCCAGGCGGCCCATCAACTATAACGTATGGGACACGCTCTCCTCTCAATGTCACATAAAACGGGCATTCTTTGATGCGATCCCTAAAAAAATCAATATTGCAAAAGGCGGGCGAGTTTGATTTAAATTTTCACACATCGATTTTTGATCTTAGCGCCAAATTAACATATTTTTCGATGCACCTTTGATTTTTACCGTACTATTTCGCTTAAAAAAAAAACAAATTATAAAAATTACTCTGCAATTTTCTTCTGCGGTACCATGGCTCGCTTCGAGTAATCCCCGCGAAACTCTTTGCAAAACATAAACTTCTGAAAGTTTTGATTTGGAAGTTCGATCGCCATATTGTTCAAATATTTCGAAAACGCCTTCCACTGCTTCGAAAATATCAATTTCAATGATTTTTCCAATACTTCAGCCACAATCGGACAAGTGTCTCTTCGAACTGTCTCAATTCCTTTAGCATCGAGCTTCCCCTCGTCATTCTCATGCTCAAACATCCATCCGGCGTAACGTTTTTTCGTTTCAAGCACACATCCCATGTAAACTTTCTCCAGTTTCAAAACAACTGGATCGGGATTCGCATTTGTCACATCGGCGGCGATTTGTTTCCCAATATCGAAGGCTCTCTTCAAATCTGCGCCTCGAACCAGCACAAACATGCTATCCGTGTCACCATAAATCACTTCCGCACCGCCATAATTTCCGTTTTTCACCATGTCGATTGCGTGCTCCAAAGTCTCACGACCTTTTCCAAGAATCGCATCAGCTACTTAAAACAAAATAAGATTGAATAGGTAGAATTAAATCATAATTACATTCTGCGCATGGCATTCGCCCACTCCAATTCGCGGCCGTGTATCCATACGAAACATTTGCAACTAGTTTCAGAGCCAACTGCCTCGCTTCCAATATCCTTTTCAATTTCTGAATGCTAATAAACCTATTCACATATAAAATATGTTAATATTACATATGCTTTTTTGTAAAAATATATTTCGGAAAAAGTTCATGATAACAATAATTAAATTGCGAGGAGTACTGCGAGAGCCGCGAGACAATTTATTGTCCCGCGTTTTTTTTTTCTCAAAGCTGCGATAATATTTAATTTTCTATCTTATTCAATTAATTTTCTATTGCATTGTGAAATTTTTTTTAATAAGAAAATTCCAAAAATTTTCACACCAAATGCATAGAAAAAATTTGTCAAAACTGAATACCGTAACTGCGGAAAAAAAGACGCATGACAACAATTTTTTTCACGGCCCTCGCAATTTTCTTCGTAATTCAATTACTATTTATTACCAATGCAAAAACAATTTTAATTATTTTTAAATTTGGTTTAATTGAATGAGTATATAGGAAATTATAATTAAATAAATTTCCAAACCTTGCTTTTTACACGTTTCATAGCATTTTTGACTATTATTCGGGCGGATAGGATCTGAAAAATAATGTAACTTTAAAAAGAGATTAATATTGTTGAATTATTGGAAACATGCATTTTTTAAACTTTTATTGCACCAATAACACCATTAAGAAATCACCTCACGAAGCATTATTGGCAGAACTCCTTCCCTTGCAGTCTTCTTCACGAAAAGAGCCGCCAATGGAGACGCCCCAACTTCTTTATGAGCAATCAATCGAACAATGTCTTCTTTCTACGTTAATATTGTGATAATAAAAATCGAATTATATTAAATCGACAAAAATTACATTAGCAAGATATTTCAAAGCGCCGAGAACAATTTCCTCGCGATTCGTCCCTTCTTCCGACAGATTTTGAAGATTTGATAACTGACAGTCGAAGAAAAAAAAGCAAGATTAAAAATACTTAAATAATATGCGAACCTTTCCCAATATCGTGGAATAACAGTAGTTATGAGCAATTACCATTGATGGATATAGCGATTGAAAATCGAGAACAATTACAGGATCAAAATAAACCTTCGATTGAGGTTCGAGAATCAATTGAAGTTGCTCAGGTGCACTCATCCTATATATGATAGATAATTTTTGCATGAATTTAAGTTTGATCAAACTAAATACATGTTTCGTTGAGAATGGGTTACAGATGGCGCGACGAAGTTGAGTTTTCGCGCCAAACGCAAAATCATAGATTCGACGCGAAGTTGAGATCCCCTTGTCCATACCTAAATAATTTTTGACACGAAAATTAAAACACGAGTCGTTTTGAACCTCATAGAATTGAATTCCGTAAACTCTCGCCATTTCGGCATTCTTCAAGAACCAATTCATTTCGGTCAAAATTGAGATGTTGACTCGTGATAATTTCAAAAGATAAGTGACAATCTCCGAACTTGAAGTCATATTCATGAAAATCGTAAAATTTCTGTTCTTACTCTGATCTTTCATTGTTCAACATGTATTTTTTCACGAGTGTAGCATTGCTGAGAATTGGAATTTTCCGATGAAGTAAGTTTGTGACAACGGTGCCCAAGTCATAGCTTCTGTATATTAAAACAAATATAAAAACTTTTTAAAAATTTTAAAACCAAACCGTAAAGTTAAATCAGCTCTGACAGCTTTCCATACAGCAACGTACAACCGTCCCTTTGGCGCTTCCAATTTTTCCGGATCATTGGGAAAGTCTAAAAAAGATAATCCCGAATTAGGCACGTAATAAATTAGGCATCATCGATTACCAGGTTTGAATCGATTAAGTATAATTAATGTGTTCAATCCGAGATATTTAGCTCTCATCATGAAATAGCCCCACGACAATCTCGTAATATCAAATCCAATTAGAACATCAACGTCTGCCCTTAAAAACCCGAAAACCCTTGTTTCACCAAATATACTTTCTTTTTTACCTTATTAGTTCAGCAGTAATCCTTTCAATAACAAACTGCTCGCTTCCACAATATACGACTCTTGGGTCTTTGGATGGCTCCGAACTCAGAATTTTATGAAAATCCGGCGTCGATTTACGACAAACGTCCTCAAAAATGCATAAAGACGCAGATAAAATCGGATCAACCTGAAATTTGTGAAAATCATATGGGTGTTTATACTAGATTCATATGTTACCGAAACGTCAGGCATCGATTTGTTGGTTGCAATTAGTAGTTCAAGGCTAGCAACACATAATCCACAAATATCCGATTCTCCTTGAACTTCCGATTGTGAACCCTCATCTAATTTTTATGTTCAAGATATATTCAAAAAAATATAATTTTTTAAAACCTATAGACGTTTGAGACAACAATTGAGTTTTCCCAGCAAATTGTGAATTCGTGAGTGTATCTTCTTCTGTTAGAACTGAGCAAACTGTTTGTTCCCGAGAAAATGATCTTCGACTCATGGATAAAGTCGTTTTTTCATCTTTCACTAAGGAAATGAAATCAAGATTTTTCGAACTTTTTGCACTGATCCAATGCAATTTATCCCTAAAATGCAATTTTACAATTATCGAAAAGCATACTGCACAACCCAGATTTCTTTTCATCGTTATCGTTTGGCTGGTCGCTAATTGAATCCGGATTGCGAATAACCTGAGTCATCTCTAATTCATCGTCACTTTCCTTTTCATCGTCATCTTGAACTTCATCAATTTCTTGTTCATCTATAGGTTCATTTGTCGCTTCAAATACTCTATCCTGATTTTCAGGGGACTCCCAGATGGTTGCATCGAGAGAAGGCGATTGACTTTCAGCAATACGCGTTTCCATTAACGCTAGTTCCAATTTTAGTCAGAATCTACCAAATATGAATTACCATCCAATGTTTCGGACATGTTCCGTGCAACTCTCAACCTTCGCGCCAAATTTCTTGCCGTTTTCAACATTTCGCGCTCTTGAGCAAACATTTTGCATTTTCTGGGCTCATCTGTATATTAAAAATACAAAAAAAAACGACGTTCAGTGGGCATCAGAATATTACAAGAATTGAATACATCGACCAGCTCAATATTCTGAGCATCACATCTTTCTTTTTCTTCTCTCCAAATGTGCTCAAGTCCAGGATTCGAAGAATGAACTAAAAGATTCTCAGTTTCTGTTTAATTAACCTAACCATTACCATTGTTGGCATGAAGCTGTTTGTTTAATATGTCTTCCGCCATCACATCACATTCAATAAGACAATAAGAAGATCGACAGTACGGCGAGAATACCTCAATACTATAATTTCATTGAGTACACAAAAAATTTGAAAACAAACTTATTCTTGATATCTCCATTTTTTAATCCATTGTAAATTTCCAAGTCATCAGGAGATTCGAGAGCAATTCGAAATTTAACATTCTCAACATAAATGTTATCCATTCCGAAAATCGAATTGTCAATGTAAAACTAGAAATTGATATTATAATCGAAAATTATTGACAAAAACGAGTTTGCCTGCAAATAAAACGGTATATGGGCTTCATATGGTTGAAATATCGAGTTTTGGTGGATTTCTTTTCCCAAACCCGCCGTTGCTTTGCTCGAAATCCACGAGGATGTGAAGAAAACTTTAACAAAATCTTCTTCCTCCTCATGATAACCATAAATTGGTCTGAAAATAATTTTATTAATAAAATAAAAAAAGCGTATTGTCGAAGTCAAACGACTTGACAAAATTTAAAAAATCATTAGTTATGTGCCAATGCGTCTCGAGGCAGCGAGAAGTACGCGAGACTGCGTACATTGCATTATAGTGTACGCGCATTTAATATTCAGTCAACGATAAATTTAAATTTACACTAGTTTCACGAATTTTAAGGTCCCGCATTACTTCAGTCGTTTGACTCAGACAATAGAAAATTTTGAAAAGAAACCTGCTCGAGAACACCTCCAACTTGTAAACATAGTCGGCGACAAAAGTTGAAGACAATCCTTTCGCAGCGTCGATTTCTCGTTGCACAATTTTATTGATTTTGTTGCGCATTCCAATAAGAATCGCTATGAGATCAAGGATATTTTCAAATCCGCTAATCAATAGTTACCATTAGTGCATTTTCCTCCAACTCTCAATACGATGTATGGCAAAACTCCGTGAACGTGAAGGCACGCTCGTTTACCGGTATCAGTGACACCATAAATATGAAATACCGGAGATTTTGTATTTCGCCTTCCTTGAATTGGGGGATCCATAGGACCCGGCACCTCGTCCGTATGATCACATATAAAATTTCGTATGCAAAACTTCATTTCCCTTTAAAATTTGTTCAGTTTTTCGGCATAATTTAAACGAGATAGACAACTGAGAATTATTACCATAAAAAAATGAATAAACACAAAAAATTCTGAACATCATTTATTTCAAATCAGCCCATGATCTACCAAATTTCAAAGACACTCTCATCGGGACCCGCAAATATGCAGCAAGTGAGTTTTCCATGCAATATTTTACTATATTACCAACATTATTCGATATCTCTTCTTCACATTCTACAAGAACTTCGTCATGAATTGTAAGTATTAAGTGTGCATTTAAATCTGTAAAAAATTCTGAAATAGAAAGAAGAGCCACTTAAATTTAAACACCTCGTAGTTTTGAATCGATTTCTACGACAGCATTTTTAAATATTTCACTGGCAGTTCCTTGAATTACGAAATTCACCAGAATACGCTCTTCTCTGCATTTTTCTTCATCAACACATGATCGATTAGTCACCCGTTTTCTTCCTAAAGAATATTTCTCGAATGAAAAAATTAAAAATAAAAGTGGCATACCTAAAACCGTTTGCACATATCCTAATTTGAATGCTTCCTCTTTAGTTTGGTTGATAAAACTGCGGACCTCTAAAAATATCGCACTGACGACTTTCGACATACATGTATTGCAAAGTCTCACTTGGGAACATCGTGAAAAAGTTGTTATAGAGGATTTCGGCTTGTTCAACTTTAAGACGCGTCAATTCTGATAAACTTTTCACACCTAAAGGCTAATATTAAAAAAGGCTAAAATCAAGAAAAATAAACCCATTCCGTATATCAAACCATAACAAAGCTGCTTAACTGCGTCCCGTTGAAATTCCCATTTTTCCGCCAAGTGTTGAAAGACATCACGATCTGAGCCGATCAGTTAATTGTATAAAAAATTAAAATAAAATTATTACCGCTTGATATCATAGTTATAAGATTAGTATCATTACTCATATGGGCGAGAACTCGTAATTCCAATTGACAGTAGTCCGCGCCAATTAATATGCAACCCGATGATGCAGCGAATAAACTTCTAACCCGTAATCCATCAATAGATTCAGATTTAGGCACATTCTAAAAAAAATAATAATTAGCACACATTATTTTTGACTCGCCTGTAAATTTGGGGAGTCTGTAAGTATCCTTCCAGTTGCTGTACACAATTCAAAACTGCATCTGATACGAGTTCTTTCCATTGCATTGAAAATCGGAATCAAGCAACTCTGAATTTGATCATTGCATATTTGTTGACCATAGAGCATTACCGTAATTGTGTGATTAATATGACGGTACTTTAAAATTTTTTCTACAATCGGATGTTGATCGACAATTAGTTCAAGAACAGCTTTACTAGTTGATAAATGCTTTTTAACTTTTGAAACGCTCGAGTCGGGATAAATCAGACCCAATCTTCGGAAAAGAACATCAGCAATTTGTTGAGAGGATTCCAAACAGAATCGATGGTGCGCCAAGTTCCAGCATTCTTCTTCCAATTGCTCAGCGTGTTTTCGTAATTCGCAAAGAGCAGAAGTGCACGCTTCGGAGTCAAAGGGTACCCCGTTGTAATGCATCCTTAACACCATCTAAAACACTAAATACAAAGTATCGCTTTGGAACATTACCGCAGCCGAATTCAATTCAAGTTCAACATTTTCACGAGTGGAATTGGAAATTGCCAACTGATAAATTTCGTCGAAAACTCTGGAACCCCGTTATTCGCTATAAAAATTCTAGCAAAAATTACTTTCTAATGAGAAATGAAAACAAAACAGTATTGTGCGCCTCAATTTTAGCCAATTGTCGTATTTTTTTCATATCGTTTTTCCATAAACTGCCTTTGTCGATCAACATTTGAGCTGTATCTTCGCTTTTCATTGAGGCATCGAAGTGAGAGAGAACGTTTAATATAAGTGGGTTTCTTATCTAAAAATTCTAAAATTACTATCGTTGGGTCAAAATTTGTTTTACCTTAAATTTAAAACGTTTAAAAATAGCACATCCATCATTCAGATTCCAAATTATGATACTCTTTGTGTCCAACAGATATTTCACAGCATGCATCCTTTGCTCTGAACTAATCAAAGGCGCTCCAAAACTTTCAAAATATTCCGGTGCATCGGATAAAATTTCGGTTTCTTGTCCGAGAATAATGTACGAATTCTTTTTAGACGACGATATTCCAATTCCATTTTCATCAACTCGTATTCCAATTTTATCTTCGTTTTCGAATGATTTAATCCAATTTTTCCAAGATTCCTCGTCTTGTGCGACATTTTCCATAAAAAACACGTCTGATTCACATTTTCTGTGCTTGAGGACTGGACTCGACGCTAGAGTCGACAGAGGAGAGTTCACCTAATAGACGAATTCAACAATATTTGTATATTCGACTTGACAAACCATATGAGGAATTCGATGGTGCTTCAGAACAGCTACAGCTTTTTGCTCGTGTGATGGCGGTGTTGAAAATATATCGAAAGATCGATTATCAGTCGAATCATTCAGATTATCATTGAGCAATGTATCCCGCCGCTTATTTTTCTCGATCGGCTTCTATAATCTTCCATTAAATATACGCAACTGCGACAAATTGACAAAAAAAGACCGCGGATGGTCTCGATGCGAAGGGTTTCTTCGGTGTACTCTACGTGGACAATTCTTAACAATTCTGCGTAAATTTCCCCACTCGTAAATTGACATTTTGCGAGACCCGCCTCGATTCTCGAATAATCAACGTACCGAACCCGGAATTGGTAAATCGAACGAATCTTCAGCTTGTTGATCATTCAAATTTCTAGGAGAATTCACTGGCGTGAACATTGCCGAAAGACGCTTTTGCAACTTCAAACTATTACATGGTGCTGGAAGTTTCGAAAGTGTCGTTTCTAACTCTTCAAATATTAGATCCTCATCGTGACGTTCAGTATTCTCAACCAAGGAAAGCTAAATTTAATATTGAGAATTAAAAAAGTAATATTTTTTTCAACCTCATCCATGCTCTGAGTCAGGTCCATTTCACTCGATTTTTCATTATCTATTAAATCATCTGAATAATACAAGTAGTTCAATTTTTTCTTAAAAAAAACCTTGACAAGTTTCGCCGAATCCACTATCACAAGATTCCTGATTCTTTTTAATATCCACTAGCATTGGCTTGCGAATCTCTATGGAAACTCCCAAATCGCTGAAAGTTCCAATCAAAATTCAAAGTTGCCAATTCGAACGCACCGCAATTTTGAGAGCAGAATCCGATTCGCCCTCTCCTTCAAAATTTTTACAGCTTCTTCCAAATTCAATCGCGGCTCGCCCGACAACCATTCACCTTTCCCATCATTCGCATTCTCGCTGAATATCATTTTTGCACATTCATTAGTTGCGTAATCCGGAAACACAAGTCAAAATAGTTTGCGCAACAATACTACCGGACAGCTGATCCGCATAGCTCTAATTGGGTGTCGAAATTTATGTGGTCAGAAAAAACACACACGCTCAGTCATACTGTAATACGTTCCAAATTTGGCCTCTCTCTCTCCGCCTCCACTTCGATGCATGTTTAGAACAAAACGCCTTTATAATTGGCTCAATTTAAGTCATCGTCGTCGATTTTCGAGTGATTAACAACAACGCGATGGAGAAGAGGAGAGGGGGGGGGGGAAGGCCGAGGCATCAGTAGTATTGAAAAGACAATTGCGCGCGCATACAGCAATTAGACATGTATAGACACAATCAACATCATATTTAGAATTACCGTGAATACGGCACTGCCAATGTAAGATATTGTCCTAATTTGGCATCATCACACGTTGAAAGATGAGAAAGACATGTGATACCTTTTTCGTGAAGAATTCGAGCTCTAAAAACGCACATGACTTTGTGTAATTCATATTATTGCAGATCTCCCTGCTGTCGTAACTCTCCAATCACCTTTGCCCATCAATTCCATCAATAGACACCAACTCGGAAAGCTCCGATCGAACTCCGAACATCAGTCTCAATGCAAAACCGTCGAGCAATGATTTCAGATAGGTCCATCCGAGTCGAACGCAGAATGCCACTATCATCGCTGCAAATACCCTCAAATTAAGAGAAACCCCCAACAAATGGTGACGACGGCGACGACAACGGAGGAGGTCGCCAGCCAATTCTAGTCACTAACTGGGCCAATTTTCCATCTAAACTAAGCCAATCAGCAAAACCATTGCATACCAAAATAGGCCCATCTAGTGACTAACCACATGATAATTATTATACGGCACAAACATATGCATAGAAATACCGGCATATGTGGCGCTCTGCGATTGAAATGTTTGGAGGCATCCTCGCGAGATACGGTACTTCACGGAAACTTCATATATTGTGCTCTCATTGATAAGATCCAAAAGGGCCAGCGAGCAAAAGAATCGTTTGTGAATCTAAAAAACCGAAAAATACGAGAAATTTGCAAATTTTCCTAAAACACTTGTATCATCTTCTCAAAGTGGTTATCACGTGACCCATTGATTTGTTTGACGATAAACTTTTCGGAGACGCCAACGAGCTTCGCAACTCGCCGATGCTCAGCGGGAATTCGGTTGAATATTTCGAAAAGATGATGCCAGTCGCATTCTTGCCACACCGACACATTTATCGGAGTCACCTGAAACAAAATCGGTACCAACAAAATGCGGGCAAAAATTGTTACCAAATAAAGCATGTGCAATTCGGTGTCCAACGCAATTGATCTCGTTGCAGTATTCAAATCATCAAATATCGATAATGCCGCATCCGGAGGCAATGAAGAGACCATTGTAGCTTTTCCAAGTTGCGAGCATTTCAACACACCATCTTCGATGAAAACAAACGAGCTCTCAATAAGGTTTTGTATCGCCAAATCAATTTCTTCTTGATTTTTTGGTGAAAACAATAATAAAGAGCATAGCTGATAGATTTCCTTATTATTATGGCAAATCTTAGTGCACACTCCCTGAAATGAACTTCTAAATTTAAATCTAATTAGGCATTTAATTGGAACCTCAAGAATTAATTTTCTCAAATCCTGGGACTCTTGTCTGATATTCATTTCATTAAACGTGGTTTTTAACATTTTCATAGCTGAAGGGACGTCGGATTCACGTATCACCAGAAAGCTTTCACCTAAACAAATTTAAAAGTTTATTTAATTAGAATATTTATATTTTTAATAATATTATTCTTGTTTGCTTCAAACATTCGTCGTTGTCAATAAATTTCATCCAACGTCAATTAGTTAAACGATCGAGGGAGAAATACGAGCAGCCAAACAACACTCACACTGGCTGGCAGCGCGGCGCACCGATTACGGTAGGTAGGCGTGGCGTGTGGCGAGGCAAATTAGATCATTTTTGGAAGGATGACGAGGAGTCAAGAAAAACGCTCGCATCTCCTCACATTCATCATTTCCATTCGTCGATCATTCCATATTATTATTATTATTATTAGCAATTTCAGATGGCCGTCGAGGAAATGCAACTAGCCGCCTCGATGCAAATGAACTCGCATATGAGCAACCAGCAAAGGATGAGTTTCGCGATTCACGAGATTCTAGGAATTCAAGGAAATGCCTACCTATCAAACAACTATTGCCCACAAGGGACATTCTTCCCACAGCAGGTATCATTTTAATAATTATCATTATTTTAATAACACAATTTCTTTATACAGCCTTTTATGGATATTGGCGGATGTGGAGTCTCAAATTTCGATCGATCCCTTTGCACGTCTGATGGAATTTCCAATGGTTTTCTGACGATTGCACAAAAATTTATAAAATAATAAAATATTTATAGTCACCAACACGGGATTAATGTACAGCATGCCTTCTACCGCGCAAGCCGTCGACCCGCAACAAACAAGCTCGACAAGTACTTCAACCAGCGCCGTTTCCTGCTCAAGCAACCAGTCAAGCGGCGGAAACGTTGGCGGCGGCAAAACGTCTAAACGAAAGAAGCGACGCCATCGGTAAACGTCCAATTTGCTCTAATTAATAAGCCCCTCTCTTACAGAACCATTTTTACGCAATACCAAATTGATGAGCTTGAGAAAGCATTCCAGGAGGCGCACTATCCCGATGTCTACGCAAGAGAGCTATTATCCGGCAAAACTGAACTGCCGGAGGATCGCATCCAAGTAAGCGTTTAATCAAAAAATTTTTCGCGTCATTGGCGAGCTTTTGATAGCCGTTTTTATGCGACGCATTCTGCTCGCGAAACGTGTCGATTGAATTTCCGACGCTCGTGTTTCCCCCAATGATTAGAGTTTGAAGCGAGACATTGACGAATACTGAATTCACACCGCGGGTATGAAAACAATTATACGAGACAATTGTTCTCAAATTGGAGCTAATTTCTATTGGCACAAAAAAATGTGGTTAGAAGAAAAAAAATAATAATATTGCTGTTTTAGTATTATTTTTTTGGTTTTTCAAACAATTCCTAATAAACAAAGATTTTTACATTCTCCTAGCTAGTTCCCACCCATCTGCAACCCGATATCCAATTTTCGTCAAGAGATTAACCCGATTTATCGCTGTTTTCTCGACACGAAACTAAATATCCCGCGTCAACCATAGTAATTACTCAAACACAAATTTAAGGTCTGGTTCCAAAATCGTCGAGCCAAATGGAGGAAAACTGAGAAAACGTGGGGAAAAAGCACAATTATGGCAGGTATCAATCAACAATTTTCTTTGGGTACCTTATTTTTTTAACCGAAATTTTCAGAGTACGGCCTATATGGTGCAATGGTGAGACATTCACTTCCACTACCAGAGACGATTACAAAATCGGTGGAGTCTACAGACCCACAGCAAAGTGCCGCCCCGTGGCTTTTAGGTACGGTAGGACAGAAGAAAGAGAGAGAGGGGGGGAGTGCAGGGGAAATTGCGGGAAACCGGGTTGTGCTAGTTATACAAGTGTCAAGAGGGAGGGAGGACAGCGGGAAACAATTACCGCGTTAGGCGAGTCATCAATGTAATGGTCCGTTATAATATTGAACTTATTGATTCTGGACAAAGAAACACTATTCTATGTTTGATTGATCAAAGTTCTTTCAAATAAAACATTTAGGAATGCACAAAAAAAGTATCGAAGCCGCCGCTCATTTGGAAAGCGTCGAGAAGACCGGCGATATTTCGGAGAGCGACGACGACGATCGCAGCGGTTCGCTCACCACTTCCAACAACGATTACAAGGTGAATTTCGGTCGTTTTCCCTAATAACGATCGCTCAACAGACTCAAAGCAACAACATCGGTCTGACATTCGAAGAAGCTCCGATATTTCAATTTTCCGCATCAACCATAATTCCTAGTAATAATTCGCTCAAACAATACCACGGATACAGTTCTAATTTGTAATTTTTTCCCCCACACCTTTAATTAACTATCATATTGCCTATTTACCCTTTTCTGAAAATCCCATTCTTCCTGCACGCCCGACCATTTGCTTGTAGGTCATTTGATTCAAAGGTGACGGTCCTCGCAATTGAGCCTTTATAATAACACGCTCTACGGGAAGATTGACACCTGAAGATGAATTGATTATAACTTATTTTTCCTTATACGCAACCTTTGCTTTGCTCGTTTGTTAAAAATAAAGAAAAAATAATAAATTTTTCAATTACCTGAAGCTAGTGTACTTGTGGCCACCAATACTAATATAGTACCCTCTCGAAAGCCGCGTTCTATATAGTCGCGCTCCTCAAGCGTTAAACCTAAACTAAAATAGCTAATTTCAAAATATGCTAAAAAAAAACTTCGATACCAGCATGATGGAATGCAACAGACAAAGCCAACGCGGAAAACATTGCGCGATCTTTGCATCCAATTTTTTCCATGAGTCCTTTCAAAAATCGTAGTCTTTCTATTCGCAATTCCAAAACTCCTAATATTTCGTTTCTAGCCTTCCGCATTTTATCAAGAAGCATCGCAATTGAGATTGACGTCTTCTCCGCGTCTTTTTTCGATGAGCACATCACCAAAACTGGGTTAGATTTCAAAAAACATGGTACGACAAGACTGCAATAATAAGAAATGTTAGACGATTAGCTCGATATACGATTATTGGATGCCTGTTTATGGGATCCAAATCATTTTGCAATTGATATACAGGTGACTCGAATTCAAAATTGTTATATACATTTCTTCCAATCACAAAATGCTCGGATACCTCTATTGGTCGGAAATGCGAATGAAACACCTAGAAAATAATACATTAATTTTTTGAAACTATATAAAATCCTCCCTTGGCTTCCAACCAATTTCCAATCAAATCAATTTGAGGAATCGTTGCGCTCATTCCAATTATTCGAACCTTCTTTTCAGCATTCATTTTGTTCCAAAGAAGAATTTTGGCAAGCATATTTTCTAAATGCGATCCCCGCGATGAATCACAAACCATGTGAAGTTCATCAACAATAATCATTCCTAAATATTACATATTTCAATTAATTTGATCCAATTTTACCTATATCTTGTATCCATTCTTCGGAAAGCGCTCGATTTATCAAACTTGCAGACTTTTCAATGGTGCATATTGCTATCCGCATTTCTAACGGATTTATTGCTTGTGGTCCGATATATCCAGCAACTTGAATGTCGACACGACGAAAACATCTCTAAAATAGTATTTTCCAGCATTTTTATTAATTGAAAATCAAACTTGGAGTTGTGAGAGTTTTTCTCGGGCAATTGAAATATAAGGAAAAACAAATACAACCTTCTTTCCTGTTAGGCATAATTGTAATGCTGAAATGGAATTTTTAATATTTAATTTTCTATTAAAAATCCTGCCTAAAAGCTCAGCAACTAAACTTTTCCCTCCACTAGTAGGAGCTGAGAACACCAAATTTTCAGAAGATGTTGTCGCTTTACATAAAAAATCGTGTTGCCATTCAAATAAATGAGATATTCCCTAAAAAGTTAAATTGCTAAAATTAATTTTTTTCGAAGTACACCATAGAATTGTAAAAGTCGACAACTTCGTTCGCAACCCATTCAGGAAATCGAAACAAGTGTTCAGCTCGCATTTTTTTTCTGAAATAATAACATATTACGTGACTATTTAATTATACTCTTGATATATTCCGTCGGTATTTGAATAATTTGCAAAATAGAAATCAGTAATGGATTATCGGTGGGTAACTACTCGAAATTTTTTTAAATGTTGCAATTAACAGAAATGTCAACAGGCAGAATCATGGTAAATGTAATCTCCGCTTAGAACTCGTGCAATTTGATGATCAAGAACCGCAAAATTCTAAATCTACTGGCTCCGATGATGTTCGATCGCTATGCTCATCGGTTTCAAGAATTCAAAAAATGTTCCCCATAAAGGAAAATTGATTTAGATGTCCATGTTGCCGACAAGAACACTGGTCTTTACCAAAAGTATTCATACATCTGGAATTTCCCAAAAATCGGGAAAATCCAATCATCCATGTTTTAAAAAACGATACGAGGAACCTGCGTACCTACCCCTTCATCCGGCTCAATTTTCAACTATACGATTTGAAAGATACCAATCTGTTCAAGAAGTGCGATCTCAAAAAAAACCGAATTGTTGCACTTCAATGTTGACTTCAGATTGTCATTCTTGGCGAGAATGGAACATTCAAAAAACAATCGAATCGAGGTACTAACAATCCATGGCGCCGATATGGTGCTCTACGCAAACTTCATGAAATCGGCGGATTTGCGCCAGCCAATTATAATAAAAAAGAACGCAAAAATCGAGACGGCCTCATTTATATTGCGGTAGAGAATTTGGTCTGAGGATGTGCTTCAAATTTATTTTATAGAAAGAATCGAAACCACCTTCGCCGCCGACTAGTAACCAAATGACATTGAACAAAGTCAGAGAAAAAACGAAAAAGTATCTAAACACAATACTTATTTCGAAAAATTTGCATTTTTCAGCGTGTGCTCAAATCGACTAACCCTTCACGTGCCTAAGAATGCTACCGTAGAATTATGTGCTCAAAAATTGGCAGAGCAAGTCAAAAATTATGTTGAAGCAAACGAAAATCTTCTTCATACAACATCGGACGACGAAAAATAAACATTCATCAATTCGTCTCAATTTTCTTTCACGTTGAATTTCCGAAAAAAACTATGTTCATGATTCAATTCAAAAAATGTTTGATTTGTCATTTCTCGATATCATCTTTGTTCCGATTGCCCAAGTCGGGTAGCGCATTGACACGTGGCCGCCCGAAAAGGCGGCCACCATTCTATTCTAGTCCTTCGTGACCACAAATCGATTTATTCATTATGGACTTATTAGACCTCTACCACGCTCACGATTACGCACTATCTGAGCCCGACGAAGAAGTTATCGAAGAAATTAAAGAAATTCCGGATGTCAACCAGAAACCCAAACAGAGAAAGGCGAAATTTGTTCCATGGGAACCTTATAAAGCAGCAGTCAGTCACGAAATGTAGATATTTAGCCTAAATATTTTTGTCAAATTATATATTTCATTTTTTTTAGAAAAGGCACAAAATGTCCCGATCGGTTACCGGAATTGATAGCTTATTCGCTGCAGAAACGCGCCGAGCCCAACAATAATGAAATCGGCGAGCGCGTGCTAACCGATACGCGAAAATTGAAAAATCCGAGTGTGAAATTGACGCGAAACGAGGAAATTTTGAATGAGGAACTCAAAAAACTCACCGATGAATTGCGAATCGAACAAAAAATCAATGAAGAACTCAAACGATTGATGATTGCAACGCTTAATGAGGAGCTGCAGGTAACGGCAAATTTCGGCAAATTTTGAATTTATTTTTGAAGAATAACCCAATTAAAAACGAAAAAAAATAACGAGAAAGTTTTATAGATCATTCGCATTCATTCCAATTATTGGTTAGTTTTATATTTCGCGACATGATATTAATTGAATATAAAAACCATTAAAAAAGTCGCGTAGAAAACATTTAAAAAAATGATTTTGCATGAAAATTTCTTTCCTTTATAAGCTCTAAAATACATAAATAATTGTTTTAGGGTCAAGTAGAAGCCTTAACAGAAGACAAAATTCGGCTTGCACATCGTGTCGACGAGTATATGGGAAAAGTTGGTGAAATAGTACATATACCGCTGATATTTCAATTTCAGTTAGTCAACGAAGATGAACAGCTCGATCAGGTCCGAATAGACCGCGATATTTGGAAATGTAAATTTTTAGCGCAATCAATACGCTGCGATGAGCTAACCGCGAAAAATGAATTCATTTTGAAAATTTTGTTGAAAGCTCAAGAAATTGTTCGCCAAAAACAGTAAGTTCGAGGTCATAATAACTTTTGATCGCCAAATTATTACAGTCCAGACGATCCTGACGCGAAAGATTTGCTAAATCTCGACCTCAAACAATTCTTCGCAAGGTCTCCATGTGAAGAAATAGTGCGTCGGAATCCAGCAAGATACACAAATTTGACAATATCATGCTGCAAAAATTGTTCCGGGAAAGAAATTCAACTTCTATAATTCTAATCTAACATGCGTTTGAACGTTACCAGATGAACTCATCAAGCATTTAGTCAATATTCACTACTGCCATGGTTGTGTAACAGTTATTCACTTTGTCATCCTATTCGGGAAACCACTAGAATCAAATAAACTTGACCGCCCTAATCTTCAGTGTTCGTGAGCCTAAGTACGCAGTTCAAACAAGCATCTATTTGGGAAGAAAAACTCGAATACACACAAACACGCCTAATTCTCCCACAGTTGTTTGTTGTATGAATCGAGTACTTCCTTTTTTCTCGATCGTATTTCCGCGTATCACCATTATCATTTTTCCGTTATAACAGCGATGCGGCTCATATTTCTTGCTATCATTTTGATTAATATCGCAGGATTATCAACAGCCGAAACACCATGGTATTATCCCCTCATCGAAATTATACAGGCGAAGTTGGTGGATTTTACGTGCACGCAAGGTAGGGTGATATAGGACTATAATAGGTCGATTTAGACGTTCGAATAATTCAGAATGTTCCACAACACTTGATTGCGCGACAGGATTAAGCTGCTTTCAAGCAACTTCCACAGCCAAGGGTTGCTGCTTAATGGGTAGGCTCGATTATGAGAAATCAGAATCCGAACAGAAAATTTGCAGCCCTGAAACCTAATGAAACTGGATGTATCGTAGAAGATCAATGCAAGCAAGCATGCGAAAGTACTGTGTGTGATCAAACTCAATACCCTTCGAGATGTTTATGCGAAAAAGGGCATCATTTTCTTTTCAATAAATGCTGTAAGGAAGAAAATTTCAATTTTTGCTTAAATAAGAACAATTTTAGGGAAAAAATGCCCCGAATTTGCGCATCCCGAACCAATCGTCGATGAGCGAGGATTCAGTCGATGTGAATTGAAGACCGACCTCAAAACCGCGTTTCAATACATGCGTAGAAATAAGCGACAACTTCGAGGAAATTTTTGCTAAACAGCTGAACCGAAACAACGTGCTCAATTCTTACGAGTTACAATAATACATAATATTTTGCTTGATAAATACTCACCAATTTAGGTTTTTCATTACACACTGAATTAGAGTCCCTTTTCCACTAGGCCTATTAATCCACACTTCCATATGCATTTCAGAATTCAAAATTGGCAATTTCGCTCGCCTAATGCGAAACATTCATTGTTGATTCAAATCAAGCTTGTCGCCAACATCTTTGAATAATTCAATTCTGCCTTCACTCAGCTGTTTCTAATTACTGCCGTTGTCATATCGAGCGCACAACCTATTAAATTGAAAACGTCGTGTCGGCTGTGTGCTAGCGGTGTCCAAAACTGTTTCGGCTCCTCTCTTGTTTTCTCTCATTGACAAATGGCATTAACCAGATGCATTTGACCCATTCATCACACGAAATAGTGCGGCAACACAGGAGGACGTGTTGTGTTGCGTTGTGTGTGTGTGTTGGGCTTGTGCGCCCAAAAGATTCGGAATTTTGATAGCTGGAATCGGACGGGAAAAACGAAAGAGCAACAGCGATTAAGACGACGCGCCGCTTTTCTCGACTTTTCCAATTCGAAGATTTATCGAGCCAATCGAAACGATGGATATTGATCTCCGATTTCATACAACTTCTAGACACCTCAAAACTGCCTCAAAACAAGATAAACAAACGAAGATTAATGATAACTACAGAAAATATGATGCGAATACATATAATCGACGTTGAAAAAATGCCTACCCTAATTGCAAAAGAATATAAGATGTATATTAATTTCATTGCAAGTAAAGCCGAAGACAGAAAAAATTTGATCTCTGCAACTCGGAATCGTAATAATTTACGCTTTGACTGCATATCAAACATTCGCAAAACTACAGTATGCATCAAAGGCACACTGCAAAAATTGTTTTTTTTTTGCGGCAAGAAATCCGCTTGAATTTGCCCTAAATTACTTAAATTTCCGACACTAGAAATTTTCAGATCATCGTTAGTTAATAGCAATTTTTTTTGCTATTCCAAAATGTTTATACATGATTTCAACGAAATTCGACACCTTATCGAAACTGTAAACAGAAATAATGTTTAATTTTAGCATCATCTAACTTCTCTACGTCTCCACTGCCGATAGAAGAACACATTAACAGCGAGATATCGTTGCTCAATCAATTTTATTTGACCTCTGCAGCATTGTGATCGACATCAAAACATGTCAATTACATAGATAGTCGTTCATTCATGGAAATTAACACATCGAATATCAACGCTAGGCTCTAAAACGGAGTCAAGTGTTTTCTACAAAGGCCTTCTCATTGTCAGATCTTAGTTCGTGTAAAAATCGAAAAAAGAAACACTTTCGAGAATTACGATTTCCCAGTTCATATTCTTCTCGCCGCTACGATCAATGAACAAAATGCGGATATTTCATAACAGTGCCGTTTGTTCCGTCGAGCTCACCGAACGAGCTACAACATACCACTGGAGCTTTGTATCAAGTATCACGTGATATGTCTTGGGCACAGTTATCACCTCAACATGTGCTCCGACTGGATGAATCATGCTGATGACCAGAAGTTAGCGAAAAAAAAAACACCTGTCTGCTTCAACCCTTTAAAAAATTGAATGTTAGCAAAATCTAGAAACAATTAAAACAAATGTGCCCACTGCACAATTCCTCATAAAGTCACCAAGAGCTCAACTGCTCCCGAATACGAATTTCTGCGATTTAAACTCAAGTGATGCTTGCAGAATTTCATATTACTCCTCATAACATAATATTGCTGATTTTTGCAGCCTGAAATCCAAATCGCATCGAACCAAAAAATATATTGACCGATCAACTTTCCGCTGGCTTCAACATTCAGACTTTTCTCTCTTTCTTTCGCCGAGGTCATCAATCTCTCGCGATTCACACTCACACCATCCATTGACCCCGCCCCTAACCGTTGGGACCCGTCTGCTCGCCGTAAGCCCTCCTCGATTCTCTCAATCTTTCGATAGTTTATTCGTCCCTCCTTTGGCATATAAAAGCAGGGCTGACGGGAGAAAGGACCATAATTCGGCTTGGTTTTCACTCGAGCCTTCCACTCCTCCAATCCTCACAATCTACAACTGCAAAATTTCAGTAATGATCCGCGCCGCCGTTGTTCTTTTGGCTATCTCTGCCGCCGTCTTCTCAGCTCCAGTCCCAGAGCTTCCAGAAAAGCTCGAAGACATCCCAGCCGAGTACCGCAGCTTGATCCCATCCGAAGTTGCCGAACACCTCAAATCGTTGACCAAGGAAGACAAGGAAATTCTCAAGGAGGTTGCCAAGGGATACAAGGACTACAAGACCGAGGATGACGTAAGTTGTCGATTACTCTAACGATGAATATTCACAATTCATCTTCAGTTCTTGGCTGCCCTCAAATTGAAGTCGCCAGAACTCCACGAGAAGGCCACCAAGCTCCACAAGCTCATCAAGGACAAGGTTGACGGTTTGAACGATGAGGCCAAGAAGTTCGTCAAGGAAGCCATCGCTGAAGGACGCAAGATCCACGCTCAATACCTCGCCGGTGAGAAGCCATCCCTCGACACCCTCAAGGGAATCGCCAAGAAGCACATCGATGGATACAAGGCCCTCTCCCAGGAAGCCAAGGACTCAATCGCCGCTCAATTCCCAATCCTTACCGGATTCTTCAAGAGTAAGCCTCAAAGGGGGCGATATTTCAATACATAACATTATTTCAGACGAGAAGGTTCAAGCTTTGGCCGGACAATACATCAACTAAATTCATAATTTCTCATATAAATTTTTTTTAATGCAATAAATTTTTCATAAAAAACTTTTAAAAAAATTCAAAACAAAACAAGTTCTTCCACATATCGAACGGCTCTAAAAAAACCATCAATCATGAACAGCTCAAGTCTTCGCGAAAGTTTCAAATTTCGCCGTCTCTTATTCTGCAACAACTCGTGATCGCCGAAACAAATTGGCGCCGATGTAGCATCATTGAAAATCGCGATGACCCGACCAATGTGCAAAGTCCGTGTTCATTGGACACGAATAACAAGAAGTGTAAACCCGGCAGCAGAACGAATCGAACGATTATTTAATCAAACATTACTTTGCAAAAATCATTCTCTTCTACTAAGATTTTGCAATTATCTCGGATTGCCGTTGTCAGACAGCACCACCAAAAACGGCCATCACATAATTCTTAGACTTCTCCCCCTCGAGGGCAATTTTCATAAATTCTATTCAAAGGAATGAAAAATGGAAACAGCCGTAAGGAAAAACAAAGTAGGATGCTCACAATTTGGGATTGCATAATAATACTAAAGTGTCAAAAACTCACAAGTCTATCCCCATGACGAACAATTCAAAATAAAATTAAATACTTTAAACTCACATTTTCAGCAAGTCGAACATGCAATCAGATTTACTTATCTAAATTTTATTTATATATTAATAATAATAATAATAATAATAATAATAATAATAATAATAATAATAATAAATATGTTTCCGCCATGAGAACAGGGCATAACGAATTTTAGCAAATAATTATAGTGGACGACTTCATTTACAATCTTTAAAACATATTTAACAGATTGAAAAATCACATACGCGATTAATATTACAGGAATACTGTTGTGAGTATCGCTTATTATAACACATGTTTGCAAAAATAAAATGTAGTGCATTAGTTTTTGGTTCGTTTCAGCGTCTGTCCAGGCGACATGCCCCTTCTTTTACATCCGCCCGCTCTGCGGCCACTAGCTGAAGTCGAAAATCGGTGGATTTCCGTCGATTCCTTCGACGATACCGAAATGATTGCGTCGTTGAATTGTCGTCCGATGATGTGAGCATTGACACACTCGAAAACTTCCCGATCCGGCAGGAAAATTTTCGAATTCGGACCATTGTATTCTCCGACTTCAAGTATCTCGATAGAATCGTAGTGAATCACATACAGGAATGGAGAAATGTACACTGAAATTGACAAAACATTAATTTTGAAATTCGAGAGAATTCTCACTAAATTCCATTGGCATTTGCTCCCATTCAACTTGCGCAGTTCTTGTCAAGTTTCCTGACCGATCTACCATGATTCCGCAATCTTCAAATGGACTATATAATTAAAAAACCTTTAATAGCACTTACTTTGATATGAAAGCAACAATTCGCTTTCATTTATAATCGATATATTCATTGGATAATCGTTTTTCCTCGGAGCAACAACTTGTTTGGCCTCAGTATTCATTTGGGAGTCAACCGAAACAAAATAGAACGTGTCCGATGCATAGAAGAATCCATTGGAAGTTGCCTCAATGCAAGTCACTGGCTCTTTCAAAGCGATTTTCTACAATTATTAGAATTCGTTATTTTTTTAATCGACAAATTTACCGCAAAATGAACATAAATGTCTCTTGTTGAATTGTACTTCAGCACACTCAAGATTGTGGGTTCGGCGACAACCAAGAATCTACAAAACAAAAAAATTAATAAGAAAAATTGATTCGTTCTTTTGATTACTTTTGATTTCCAGCAACCAAATATTTGATGGCCGTGACATGATTGAATTCGGGTAGCTTATCTTCTGGAATCGACGGCTGAACACTGCACATAGCAAGAAGAAGGCTATCGAGTGGCGCCATTGCAAGTTGCCCACTGCTATTGGCGACCATACATAGGCAATTCGTTTCAGTCATTAGTTCCATAGATGTGACCGATTGAGGGCCACTGATTCGAATTGGATTTCTTGGTTGAGAAACGCTGGTGAAGCAAAGACCTATTTGAGTCGCAAACAGAATCCAATCCTCAATAATCTAAAAATTAACAATTTAGTAAACAAAAAACCGAAAGTCCTTTAATCTTACCACTGCCTTGAAAATTTTCAAGTTATTTGGAGAGTTCAAAACCAAAAGACATGAATATTCGGCAAACGCGGATGGTTTCGAGCTGAGCATCATTCTTTTACGTTGAGCGTATTGAAGACAGTCTGCCCATCTCCTAGCAGATTTCGGCGAAGGAGCAAGAAGGTATAATGCTCTTCCTGGCATTTTGAGCATCAGCACACTGCTGGTTCGCATCTCGTCGTCGCATTCCACCGGCATTTCCATTCCAGCGCGAAGAACCCATTGCTCCCGGTTCAAGTCAATCGTAAAGAATGGCTTGTCCAAATCGGCTCCATCATTCGTGTAGAACGAGATTCTTGACGGATCCATAATGGCCCACGAGGAAATCCACGAAGTTCCAGGCATGTCGTCGCGATAAATTCTTAGCCATCCATTCATTCTTCCTTCGGAAACAGCATCGACAGGCACAGTCGTGCAGTTCTCACGGTAGACATTTGCACATTCGGCGGGCATTCCGCAAGTATTGAAAACGCGAGAGGCACAATTCGCATGAACTTGAACACCGCAATGCGCACACTTTTTAGCTTTTCCGATCTAAAAATGATAATTGGCATTTATTTATTTATTTTTAAATTTAATACGACTAACCGTTGGAATGCCATCGAAACAAATTTCGCACTTTGCTGAATAAATTCTCCAGTTTGATACATTCCATCTGTAATTCAAAATTGAAATTGGACGGAATTTTGAATGAAATCTATTACTTGTGAGGAATGTCGTGTCTCATTATTCCCATTCCAGGCCTCATTGGTACGTCGCTGGCTGACTTGCTTTTCACTTTTGTCGGTGGAACAGAAATAGTTGACGTCGTCGTCGTATTCACAATTATTGTTGATTCCGCCGTTCTCTTCTCTTTAAGACGCTTCATATCTTCCAATCGACTTAGAAGCTCCATTTTTTCGGATTCAAGCTTCCGAATCTCATCCGCTTCTCGAAGCTTAATAAGTTTTCTTTAGGATTAAAAAATGATAAATGCTAGGTCATACGATCGTCGATGTATCCAAATTTGATTCAGATATTGTGCTCAAAAGTGTACTTCTTCGACTAAGTTTCGGCATCTTCGTGGATTTCACATTGATTTGACTGTGAAGATAATTGACGACTTGTTCCGATTCGGAAACCTGCTGCAATTTTTCATTCAGCTCTTCCTCAAGCTTAGCCTGGAAATTAAAAATTAATGTATTGATCATATAATCAAAATTTACTAATTTCTGATCCTTGTCACCAAGTTCTTCTGCCAAACGTTGAGTCATTTCGCGTGCACTTTCACTATCACGTTTGTAATTCTCGATCTTGTTTAACGCCTCCGAAAGACCTAAAAATGAATATCGAATTTTCCTTTCCATCAAATTTATGCAAAACCTCCTCTGAGTTTCACATTCTCATCAATTATCTGTGATTGTTGCTTCCGTAAATCAGCTAACTGCTCCGAAAGTTTTTGATTGTCAGCATTTAGCTCATCGACTCGTTTTTTACTTGTGCGCAATTCGCTTTCTTTCTGCGACAATTTCAATTTGAGCGCGTCAAGCATCGGATGATTGTCTTGCTCGTTTTCTTTTTCGGCTTCAATCCGCGAAAGCTCCTGTCGGTAATCGGCATGAATCTCGCGAATTTCTTCGTTCAAATATTCGATTTTCTTCTTCTGTCGTTCATTTTCCGCTCGAAGCATTTCAATTTCTTGCTCGACCTTCCGCTGTGTCTCAACTTTAACTTCTAGCGATCTGATCTTGGCGACCATATCATTGCACTGTTCAATTGCCCTTCTTCTCGATCCTTCGGCTCCTTCTTTAAGTCGATTTAACTTCGAGCATTGTTCATCCGCCATTTCCAAGTGTTTTCCCATCAGACAAAGTCTATTATTCTTTTTGCTAATTTCCGTTCTTAATGTCTCGTTTTCGATTTTGAATCCTTCAAGTTGTGACACTTTAGCCTCAGCTTCTTCAAGCTTATCAGTCAGCTCAGTCTTTAAGACGTCATGCATAGCTCTGAGCCTCACTAGTTCTTGCTCAACATGCTCTTTCTCTTGTCGCAATTGATCACGTTTACTAATAGCATCATCTCGCTCTTTTTCGATACTTTGCTAAAGAAAAACATGTAGAACGAAACCAATTTTTAAAGCTTACAATTCTGCCATCAACGCCTTCCAACTCGCGTCTAGCGTGCAATAGTTCGCAACGAATTTCGGCTTTTTGTAGGGTCAACTAAAAGTAGAAGCATAATATAAGCAAAAACTCCAATTAATCAAATTACCTTCGCATTTTCCTCCCTTAAAAACTTGTGAGACTGTTCTGAGTTTCCAGCGGCTTCATCCATTTCCCTTTTCAACCTTTCCAATTCTTCCTGCGTCGATGTCAACAGATTCGTTTTCTCCTCAATCTCTTTTGTAAGACGCGTGTTTCTCCTTTTCAGATCCGTTATATTTTCTTCGATAACGCGTGCGGACATTCGTAGGAATTGCTCTTTTTCATCATTAATTGGCCGTCGAAGTGGTGTCAAATCTTGGATTCTCGTTGAAAGTTGTTGGACTTCATTGAGAACTTTTTTAGTCGTTTCGGTTTGCTCGTCTTCAATGTGGACCTTATCAATGAGTCCCATTTCGTCGTATAAAGATTTTTGAGTTTTTAACTCGGTTTGTAATTTCTGAATAGTCTCTTGTGCATCTTGCAATTTCGCGTTGCACGCGTCGCGCTCTTCCTTTTCCGATTTCCACTTCGACGTCAGAGCCGTGACTTGTTGGTTAAGTTTGGCCAACGTCTCGTGAAATTTCGCTTGATTAGATCCCAACTCTTGCTGAGCATCCGTTAATTCGGCGTTTAGCTTTGCCATGGCGTCTTCTTTTGCAATCACCTTATTTTCTAATACATGCAATCGTTCACGAAGAAGTTTTTTGTCGTTCTCACAATCCTCGAGTTTACTTTGCAGATCGTTAATCTCGTCGAGCTGAATGTCGAGAATAAATTAGAACGAAATATAAATAAACTCACATATTTCTCTTTTTCTTTTTCCAATTCTGATATTCTATCGTTCAATTTTCTTACATTGGTCTTATTATTCAAAAGTTCTCCTTCTAACACATTGAGATCACGTTTGAATATTCTGGTCTCCTGTGTTGATATCCGATTACTAGTTTCTATTATTACGCTTTCATTCAATCCTGATTGATTTAATAGTTTCTCTTGAAGCCTCTGAAAAAAAATAAGGTTTTTGTGGCTACATAATTGATTACATCTCTTTCGCTCCTCAGATCTTCAACAAGTTTCTCGGATTCGAGAAGTCGACTTTTCACATTTTCTGGAGTCTGCGCTCCAAAATCAATGTTCTGGAACTCAAAAAATAACACAGAAGATTGTTTCGATATACCTGATATGGAGATGAATAGTTACTTTGACATTTGGATGGCGATAACGCACGTCGGCGTCCAGTTCGCGGAGTTTTTGATGTAACTGAAACTGGAGTCGAATAATTCGATTCCATCTGAAAAAAAATAATCAATTAAAAAAGAAGACACCAGAAATCGTTTAAAAATTGTCAAAAATGAATAGCCGTTTGAATATTTGCACTTGCCGCGGCGTTGTGTTCGAATGTTATGATGCAGTGTACGCAAACACAGACGACGCGCTCTGCAGAGTGTACCAATGGCGCTCATTTAAATATGCATTCACGGCGGCCTTACACCACTCAATTGCAAGGTCATTCTAGTCAAATGTGTTTATGCTGCGAATAGACCTGGTTTAAACATTGAAAGAAGAGTTCAGAATATGAAATTACAGAGTGCACCATAAGAAAACTATTTCTATTGAAAGGAATTTTCAGAATATTAAAATACTTAATATAAGAACAATTTTGGCTTTAATAAAAATCATGACTACTCCAGGGGCCGGCTCTTCAAGAATACCTCACATTCGCAGGTCAATTCAGAATCTCTTTTTTTTTTCATTTCGAAAAATTGTAACAGACAAATCACTGTAAACATGCAAAATATTTCATTGCACTCTGATACAGACAGCCACCCAAAAATAGCACTTCCCCCGCTGTGCCTTATCCAGTATGGTGGAAAACAGTATAATTCATTATTTAAAAGATAAAACGGGTGGTATGAAAACGCAGGACGTGTCGTAAACAGTCAATCTATTTTTCACATTCCCATTTTGCGGATATATTCATGAAAAAATGCAATGGCCCACATTTGTCTTTTTATTCGGTAATAGTTTTTTTTTTCAATATTTCCTAGTCTAACTATTAGCAGGAATTGCTCTTTTTAGTTTTGATAACTTTTGTTTTTTTTCAGTAATTGTAATAAATCCAACATCGTCCCGTGAACTTCTACTCAGAAATGCATGTAGATCCTACCCAAGTCTAGCTTACTGCAGACCAAGTAATATTCCGTTTTAGTCAAGGACATATTAATTCTAGAAAAATCGGACCGCAATCAAAATCAAAAAGGCGATGTTTTCCTTGAGTGGGCTCAAAGAGCCGCAAATGATTCGAAAGACATCGAAGACCTCGAAATCGACGAGATTGGATCGTCGCGACACCGGCCAAACAATATTGATCAATATTGTCGAAAATATCAGAAGAACTTCAAAAACTATTGCGTAAAGGAAAAACTTACCGAGTTGGAGAAGCTTTTGGGCCAATTTTGCGTCAGCTATCAAAAAAATTGTGGCGGGGGCGAGATTGGCGGGGCACCGCCAGCAATCGAGTGAGTTTGTTACGAAAAATGTTGAGATCGTTGGTGGAATCTGATGGATTTTTAGCAGTTTCCCAACTCCAGAGCCACTTGTTCCTGAAAAACCTGTCGCTGGCCAACCTCCGATTCCAGACAAAGGAACGAAAGGCGTCCAGAGCTCATCATACTGCGAGGATTATCGCAAAGAATACACGGACCAGTGTACCGAAACACGAGTCAACGATTTTTGCGACTCGTACTCGAAAAAATGTGTGGTTGATGGAGAAACAATGGCAGAAAAGAAGCTAGAAACTGTTGATTCCTCAACCGAAAATGAAGAAGGTTCAGTTGTAGATCAAGCGACGGAAAAGAATGGAAATGACGGCGAAAATGGTGACGACGACGATGATTTGTTGCGAAAATTGAACACGCTTATCTTAAATGCCTATGAATTTCAGGGAATCATTCGAAGAATTCGAGGAATCTGAATCGGCCAAGGAAAAGGATCATAATCAAGGAACATCGAATAGCGTCACAAGCGATGAGGTAGAATTTATTCAAAATTCCTTTTTTTTTTTAATAAAAGGTTTAGGTTGTTCATTATTGCAACAACTATACCGAGAACTACAACTATTTTTGCGTCGGCGACATGGCTCCAGAAAACGAAAAATTTTGCGATTCTTTTAAAAAGAATTGTCCTGACAAAGCCCCGTAAAATGAAATTTTTATTGGAATTTTAAGTTGAAATTAAAAATTTTGTTCGCAATGTTTATTCAACATTTTCTCACTCATATTTTTTTGAAAGTCATTTAGTTTAGTTTTTTCCAAATTTTAGCATTTCAGTTTAGCATGTTATTATTATTATTATTATCACTATTTTCGGTTTCATTTACGTTAAGGTTTTCAATGCTTGATAATTCCAGTGCAAATCATTTTGTTCCAGTTTCAAAGAATCCGGATCATTTCTGGGGAACAAGGAGTCCGGAAATGGCCGCGGAGACAAGTCTCTCTATCTATACAAAGGAAACAAAAAAGAGTATTGCGATAAATTCAGCGTAAATTATAATTATTATTGCACGTAGGTGTAATTTATAATCGAACAAATTTAATATTTTGTTTCTTAATAGAGGAACAATCGAAAACGTCGAGATTTTCACGAAATTCTGTCCTTCCTATAAAAACGCCTGCCTTTCCGGAGAGTAAGAACACATCGGATGCTTGAATACGTTTTGTTTAAGTAAACACAAGCTTCCTCCGCCAAACCCGTTTGACGCGGATAGCGGAACAAAAAAAGCGAGTTCAAAAGGTTCGACAGATTTTCCCGACTTTGAACACCCCGGAAAATCCGCGACAGGCAGTTCGCATCGCAAGAGAGAAAAGAAAAAGTTAGCGAGATATAATTAGTCTTGATATTGATAAAAAATTAAATTCAAGGCGTGCATGTACAGCGGACTGTGACCAAAAGATATTCCCGCATTGCACTCCGGTATTTCGATGATGTTGCGATAGATGATTTGAGATAATTTTTTTTGAGGAATGCAAATGTGATTATGCGTATCCATACGTTCAAAAGTTCTGCAACCCTCCACCACTTCCATTATTTCTGAATACGTGCAGGTTTCGAAATGTCGTTTTGAAAAACTTTAATTCGAGATTCGTGTTAAGATTGTGGTACCACGGATGCCCGAAATACGAGCAATATCATTATGCTTCTCAATTTGTCTACTCGAAAGCCGAAAAGGGAAAAGTGCTTGAAGGGCCGAAACAATCAACGACATTTCAATTGCTCACACCCACCGGACAAACATTGCCATATAAGCCAACAAGGGCCAAGTGATTTTAAGCAGCGCTGAGGTTTTAGCTTAATAAAAATTACAGAAGAAGCTCTGACATGGTGGTTTGGCCTTCCATTGACGATATCCCATTGGATAGTATGCCAGTTTTCGAAAAGATCACAAAATCAAATAATTCGAAATTGAAAAATGAGAGAGCGAATTTTAAGAAATTCGATTTGGTTCCTGCGCCTTCTATACCCAAACAACAAAAAGCAAAGTAATCTTTAATATTATTAGTTAATTAACGTAATAGATTATATAGGGACGATGTTCCTCAAGAGAATGACATTTCCTCTGCACCAACACTTCCAAGAGTTAAGAAGACCACGTAAGAGAAATCTGCTTTTCCAAATTTTATTCATACAATATTTGAGTGGCGGTGAAGCCGTGCCGGTTTTTTCCGATAGCGTCTTCTCGAATGCCCTTCAACAGTACAACACATTCACCGATTCTCGCGGAATTCTCCATCGACCGCGAAGTCGATCGCCATTCACGAAGCCGGGTCTTTGGGAACCAAATCCCGATGATCCTCATAATCGAGACCACGCCAACAAGTTCTACTATCATCCGGAATCGGTGGCTGTCGATTGGCTTCAGGGCCAATTGGCGTGGGGCGCGCATTGGGCGGTTCCTGCGGTTGGCACTGGCGGCACCGATGGTTTCAGCGCCGTTCATTTCCCATCGGTCGGCACATTCTTGAACATTCCCGACGATTACGACTGAGCATTATTTATTCGCATCGTGTGTAGTATTTCCTTGTGTACAATGAAACTGTATAATAGAAACCGGATCGAAATCCGTGGAAAAAAGAAAATAGAATTGCGCGGCATGTGAGCGTATAGTCGCGGGAACAGGTATTGGCTTCTGCTAAACGATTAGAATATATCACCGGCGCATTTCGTTGGCCAAAACGATTCTCTCAACCGCAATATGAAAACTTTGATATTTTTGACTGCGTTTATTGCATTGGCAGGTGAGAAATGTTGCTCTTTCTGACAACTTGCGGCTAGAATTTGAGCGAATTTCTTCAATCTTGTGCTTTTTTATGTGTGTACGCTCAGCAGAGAACGCAAATTGCTCATTTCTCTTTTCAAAGAGTTTTGAAAAAAAATGAATAGATGTCGAAATAATAGCGAATTGCAGAATGCCAAATCAGCGCAATGTTTGGCAATCCGATTCAAGCGTCCAACTGCGAGACCTGGTCGGAATGGGGTCCGTGTGTTTGGCTCAAAGGCAAAGAGAAACGCTGGCAGCGCACCTATTTCGAGCAGCTTCTGCCCGGTCGAAAGGGTTGCCGAAATCACGTGTTTTTCCGTTTGCTTAAAGACCGTTGGGGAGTGGTAAGATTTCAACACGTTTTTTTTAATTCGTTTGCTATCGTCCGTCACACGCATCCACACTTTTGGCGATAGCCATCAAAATCGTTCCAATTCCTTTTTTTCGGTGCGATTTGCGGTAAGATACGAGATTTTTTAAAAGATTAACACCCTTGCGGCGGAACGAATCCATTGTTTTGTAGGCTTTCAACAATTTCTACAACTATCTCCGAGAAACCACACAAACCGAAGAGCAATGCGGCGAGTGCTCATATCAGCAAAGTTGTGGAAGAAAGTGCCATAGAAGGTTAGGAAGACGGGCGGCGAGCCAACAACGACAACAGATTCCGATTTGATTAGCTCTCATTTTTTTTATTACAGGGGCGACATTGGCATTATCAACCCACTATTTGTCGCAGAGCGAAAATGCATGGGAGTCGATCAGAGCAACGTAGAGCTCGTCGAAAAATGAGAAAAAAGAAACGAAATTTTTTTAAGGCGTGCGTTTCAACGTTCACAAATGATTGCAAATTGTGGCCAAATCCAGCGATCGCTCTTCCAAACGTCACCGAATCAATGCATCAGATCATAGACAACTTGGATTACTTGCAGTGTGTCCCGGAACATAGGTCGGTCCATATTTTTTTCGCACTCCCTCCCAAAAATAAAGCAGCGAGAGGAAAATGAAGACGAAAGAAGGCAACTCATTTAATTTTCATCAAAATTAGTTTTTGCGTCGCCCTTCCTTTTCGTCTGCGCCTTTTTTTTGTTTCAACCACTTGCTTCTTCTTCTTCTTTTTCGTCTTTTTTTCCCAATTTTCTTCTCGGCTTTCTTCTTGTCATGTTTATATTGAATTTTCCAGGCCATCAGGATCAGTGTGTCGCTGCTGCTGTCATCCGTACACGCCGAACCCTCAGACATTCAAATGCGAGCTCAAACCGTACTTGAGCCAAGGATAAATTATAATTATATTAATTATTTATGCAATCACCTCTATACTGCTAATAAAATTCGAAGTGTACCATTCTTAATCAACTCTGATGAGAAAAGAAGATCGAAACACCAAATTTTGGTTTTCCATATAATATAGCAAAAAGAAATAGCCAATTGAACTAAATACAAAATATTCGAACAACGAGGACGCTTTCCAAGAAGTTATTTAGAACTTAAACTCCCAAGAGAGGAGTCCAATTGGGTCCTTAAATTGTACATGTGAAATTGTTCCCGTGAAAATTCGATCATTCGGGAAATCAAGTTTTTTCCAACATAATCGCCCCGCCGAAAAATTGGTTTCCTCGATTTTCACACTATGTAAACTGGAGCGATATACATCTGAGCATTTCCATTCTTCGCCAATGGCTCCGCCCATCGGTTTGCCCCGCCCTTGCGACGACCAACAATGAATGGGGCTCATTCACCATCGCCGCTAACAATCCGAATATGTCGTCGTCCGATGCCACTCCACCACCACCACCACCAGTTCATCAACCATTGACACCGCACGTAAGTCGTTCGTTGTACAGACGTGAAGTAAAAATTTCTTGAAACTCAATGGAGCATGAAAAAATTTCACCAAAAAGAGGCGAAATTGCACCCAATTGAGCACAATGCTTTGCCATAAACATTTGTCATGCGGTAGGAAAAAAAATGACTGGCATACTCAAGGGAGCGCTCAACTATTTTTCAAGTTTCGAGTCATTCCCGAAAAGAATGAAAGAAGCAAACTGCAGAAAACCATCGCGCAAATCGGAGCAAACGCAAAACTTTAATTAGATTCTCCTCCAGCAAATAAAACCGCAATTTTTAATGCGTTTCGTGCTTCGTCTTCTTTCACAATCGGATTGAATCTGACTCAGCGCCTAATTGAATCGGTTTCCTCCCGAAAAAAAGGAATTGGTGTGCTAAGCGCGTGATGAAAAAGAGAATAGGAGGGGGGGGGCTCTATTCATCATGGTCAACGGTTTCCGGAACGTTTTATGAGTCTGCCGGGAATTGATGTCTACACTTTTCGAGATTGGGTTCACCACAAAATGGCAACAACAAGGCATTCAAGGAGAATGAGGGGTTGCTAGTATGTAAATTCCAAATTTTCAAGTTGAATAGGTTAGCATTTTCAAACATTTTTAATTTTTTAAAATATTTTTATTCGATTCCACCATATTCTCTTCAGTTTAAATAAGAATTCCCCTCTAGTATCGGTGTCAAAAAAAAAAGAAGAGAATTTAACGAAATTTGATACGGGCCGACTATTCTCATTTGGCGTCAAGTGGTACCAAATAGTGTTTTCAGAAACATTGCAACACTCGTGATCGTCTTTTTGGAGATGCCGCTCCGGCGAAGGTCGCCACTCCAAAGCGGGTAATAAGCGAGTATTGAAACCAATGAGTCAACTCTCAGAGATATTTTATTTCAGGTAACTCCAACGTACAAATCTCAAATTTTTGACGAGGTGCCACCGTCGCCACAAAAGACGCCGAAGAGAACGATTCCAGTGATTTGTTCGTTCAATTCAATTCGACAATTTCAATTTGATTCGAATTTTCAGCTCGCAACCCAGTTACTGGCGAGGTCAAAACGGCTCCACAACCTCAACAGCAAATCACCGCCTAATAATGATTGCAACTTGAAATCAATATTTTAATAAATATTCTATTAATCGCAAAATCTGTTCTATGGTTGAAAAAATAAGCAACAAGGTCGTTGGGGTCATTCTTTGCTACACAAGAACAAGTTCTTCTGTGTGTGTGTGTGTAGGAGGACATTGATGGCTTGATTTTGAATTTACGTTCGTGGCAATTTATATTTCTATTCTACACACACCTCTTTATGACCGTAGCGTTATCACCGCCAACTATTTTCAGTATTTGCATTGCGCTGTGGTGCCAAACATGACCGTAAATTACCAGCTTGATGTGGCATCGGGAAGCCCAGCGCTGTTTCTTAAGCTATTAACAAGATGGCGCGGTGAGCTCAAATTTTCGAGCTTAAAATCAATAATTCTTAATTATACTGATACTTGAACTATGTTTAACAGGGTCCGTATGGAAATCAGTGATTGGAGAATTGATTATTTGGCTAGCCATGTTCTACGCCTTATATTTCAGCTATCGCTACGCATTCAGTGAAAATCTTCAAAGGTTGATCTTCTTTACATTCTCTAAAAAAAATTTGAAAATAATTGCCGTATTTTATTTGTTTTCCTTTTTAGAATATTTGAAGACCTTTCGGTTCATTTCGACGATCGTCTCAAATATATTCCTTTAACATTCATGCTTGGATTCTTCGTCACTACAGTTTTCGAACGATGGCGAAGTGCACTCAATGTTATGCCGTTTATAGAAAGGTATTTAATAAAAAATTGGAATTTTTTTCTTGCAAAATTTAAAACTTTGTCTTCGCGTAAATTCCCACACGAAAAAAAAAACGGATTCCAGAATTTTTCGCCGCAATGAATTATAGTTCAGACGCGTTTATAAAGAATTTCGAAAGCGCGAACCGCAACGCGTCTGGCGACCTAGAAAATTACAGTAACCGCTATTTTTTAGGTAACAGACTATAAATCGGTCAAGAGAGGGCCTCTTTTCAGTCGTTTAAATCCGATAACCAAAAAATGGCAACAAACCACGCGAATATTTACGCGACCTTTGAGACCAATTTTCATTGAAGACAATTCTTCTAATACGTGTAACATTGAAAATATTTAAAAATCCTAAACAAACAACCCCACAACAACAACTTTTTATCAATTTTGTTTTGAAAAACAAATTTCGAATATTTTGTGATTGGTCTGATCTTAATGATTAAATAAATTAACAGAGACTTCTCGAAAAAAGGTTTAATCAACCATTTGACCTTTTATGTCAATTGCGTTTAGTCGTTTCGCTAGGCGTTGATCGAAAACACGTCGTCTATTTCAAAATTTAGCGTCGCACTCTCCGTCGCCGTTCTGATATCCGGCATCGACGATGAAGCCCGAAAAATTCGGCGAACAATCATTCGCTACGTCGTTTTGCACCAAGTTCTCATATTTCGAGATATCTCGATGATGGTTAGACGACGATTTCCAACTCTTCAATACGTAGTTGACGCTGGTATCAACCAACATTAAACTCTACATATTATTCGATGTATAAATGTTTGAAAACAGGTTTCATGGAACCGGAAGAGCTTGACATTTTCGACTCAGTTAATATTAAACCTGGCCAAAAATATTTTGTTCCAATCAACTGGGCAAATTCGCTAGCGCTAGAAGCTCATCAGAACAAATTCATTGAACAACCAGTCGCGTTCAACAACGTTATTTTTGTAAGTTTGGACAAATCAACGAAACCCGAGTTTCAAATAATACAGGCCATCAAAGAATTTCGCGTAGCTATGGAAACTCTGACGAAATTCGATCAAATTCCGATACCCATCGGATATCCTCAAGTTGTTTTCTTAGCCACAAGAGCTTACTTTCTTATATGCATTGTCAGTCGACAATTTTTGATACAAGGGGGTTCCGAAACACAGGTTGGGGATGAATACGGTGAGCTAATAGTCAAACTCATAGATGGACTGGCCGATTCCGATTATGACCATATTCGAATTTGTATTCATTATGGGTTGGATGAAGGTTGGCAATTCAACCCCAAAGTATTCATTGATATACATTTATTTTCAAAGGTTGCGGAAGTTCTTCTCAATCCCTTAGGGGAAGATGACGACGATTTCGAAGTGAATTGGATAATTGATAAAAACATTGCGGTAATCATCGCGGCGAGAGTTCACAAATCATTGAATTGTGTTGCAGACGGGGATGGCGATAGTTGATGATACCCACGCGTTTCATCCAAATATGAAAGTTGACAAATTTGCCGACCCCAGTTTGTTATTTTTAAAGTTTCACCAACAGAGCAGTTAGCCGAAATTTCTTTATTCGCGAAAATGGCGATTTTAAATTTAAATCTTATCTAGAACACTAAAATTGGATTATTCACTATTTTTAATTGTGACGAACAATTTGAAGTTTTTTCTTCATCAACTTTTTTGAGCCAAATCAAATTTTTCTAAAAAAAAAGAACACTTTAGAGATGTCGAATTAATGTCATGAATAACTTATAACCCATGCCTACACTATCCAAGAAACAACATCAAAAATTTAGATTATCTTCCACAATATGCGCCAGAAAGTCAATTACCGAGAACATTAACTGGATCTGCAGCAAAAGTCGAGTAAGACAATTTTTGGGTCTCTTTGTATCAAATCAATATGTTCATAGACTGGCACCATCGAATGAAGCTGTCAAAATGGTGCGGGTAACGCCTGAGGATGCGATTCCTACGACAGAGCGCGCCGGGACACAACCTAGCAGAAAAGCCTACTCACTACGAAAAAGGTCCAAATCAATCGATATAGAAAGCCCTCCAAAATTGACATTATCGACACCATCTAATTCACGTAAACAATGTAAACAAACAAAAATGATGACAAGAGAAATATTATTCCCGTTCAGCAAAAGTACCTGACAGACCTACATTGGCTACACTGAGCGAAGAACGACGAAATTCGAATGGTTCTATCGCTTCAACTGACTCGAAAAACACAATTTAATTCTAATTTATGAATTATGAGAACATGAAAAATAGTCTAATGAATGCAGTCTCGGCTTTCTCCCACATATTTGCCAGCTAGTTGCACTTTTCCAATATTGAACACCTTGTAAGATTGTTTTGTGCTGGAGACATAATCACTTGGAACAAAAATTGTCAGGCGTCGTTGGCATGGCTAAAACGCAGAGTTAAACGATACAAATCGAAATATTACCAATATTTTATCATTGCAATCGTGGTAAATGTTGATCTTAGGATCAATTCCAGAGATCTAAAGAGAGAAACGAAATTCGAAAATAAAGCAATCAATGAATTTACCTCATCAACATGACCTTCAAGCTTGAAATGGCCGTTAGAATCGGTTTTGGCGGAGTCCATCAATTCATCAGGCGAAACTGAGAGACTATAAGCTACACAATCAATCATGTCTTACTTGTATCATGATCATAGAGTTTAACTAGTACTCCGGAAGCTGGAGCATCATCACAAAGTAAAATTCCTTCAACTGCTGTGGATTGAGTTCGTCCAATGGCAAATATGGACGGCGCAAATGAAAGCAATAGAACAATAGTAGTAGAAGACGACAGCATTTTGAATCAATAGACGAGTGGCAGAAGTGTGAAAATAGCGGTAGAAGAGTGATACTAGTTCCTTGATCACAACCTTTAGCGAACAATGAGAAAATGATAAGAGACCAGTTTGCGCTTCTCAGATCACTCCCAGATGATTCATCTTACAGGTGAATGCATTTCTTTATTATGAAACTATAAATTGACACATGTTTATCTTCCTAACAGAGAAGACAATTATTGAGGGCGAGAACTTCCATATGAAATGCAGTTGATATCGACGATGAACCAATCGTCGTCAGTAATAAATGGCGGAAATTCTGGATCGTATATGCAATCGGGATCAAAAGGTGGTAAATCAACACATTCGCATTCACAGTCATCGAATGGTGTGGTTGTTGAACCTAAATCTTGCTATTGCCAACGTGAAAAAAAAAGACATTATAGAAAATTGGCCAAGTTATCTCGAGACCAAATAAATGTCATCCCTTCAGTCAACTGACAACGAGAGTACATAACAGATTTTTAAAGATTTAACATTAACCTTGCGGATCGGCGGGTGTGGTTTCTGGTGTGAGAGCTGGTGTGGTTCCTGGAGTGACTGCTGGTGTGGTTCCTGGGGTTTCCTCTGGAGTAGTACCTGGTGTGCCAGCTGGTGTGGTTCCTGGAGTGACTGCTGGTGTGGTTCCTGGGGTTTCCTCTGGAGTAGTACCTGGTGTGCCAGCTGGTGTCGTTCCTGGTGTGCCAGCTGGTGTGGTTCCTGGTGTGCCAGCTGGTGTGGTTCCTGGGGTTTCCTCTGGAGTAGTACCTGGTGTGCCAGCTGGTGTTGTACCTGGAGTGACTGCTGGTGTGGTTCCTGGGGTTTCCTCTGGAGTAGTACCTGGTGTGCCAGCTGGTGTTGTACCTGGAGTGACTGCTGGTGTGGTTCCTGGGGTTTCCTCTGGAGTAGTACCTGGTGTGCCAGCTGGTGTCGTTCCTGGTGTGCCAGCTGGTGTTGTTCCTGGAGTGACTGCTGGTGTGGTTCCTGGGGTTTCTTCTGGAGTAGTACCTGGTGTGCCAGCTGGTGTCGTTCCTGGTGTGCCAGCTGGTGTTGTTCCTGGAGTGACTGCTGGTGTGGTTCCTGGGGTTTCCTCTGGAGTAGTACCTGGTGTGCCAGCTGGTGTCGTTCCTGGTGTGACTGCTGGTGTGGTTCCTGGGGTTTCCTCTGGAGTAGTACCTGGTGTGCCAGCTGGTGTTGTTCCTGGAGTGACTGCTGGTGTGGTTCCTGGGGTTTCGTCTGGAGTTGTTCCTGGGGTTTCCTCTGGAGTAGTACCTGGTGTGCCAGCTGGTGTCGTTCCTGGTGTGACTGCTGGTGTGGTTCCTGGGGTTTCGTCTGGAGTTGTTCCTGGTGTGCCAGCTGGAGTTGTACCTGGTGTGCCAGCTGGTGTCGTTCCTGGTGTGACTGCTGGTGTGGTTCCTGGGGTTTCGTCTGGAGTTGTTCCTGGTGTGCCAGCTGGAGTTGTACCTGGTGTGCCAGCTGGTGTCGTTCCTGGTGTGACTGCTGGTGTGGTTCCTGGGGTTTCGTCTGGAGTTGTTCCTGGTGTGCCAGCTGGAGTTGTACCTGGTGTGCCAGCTGGTGTCGTTCCTGGTGTGACTGCTGGTGTGGTTCCTGGGGTTTCGTCTGGAGTTGTTCCTGGTGTGCCAGCTGGTGTTGTACCTGGTGTGCCAGCTGGTGTTGTACCTGGTGTGCCAGCTGGTGTTGTTCCTGGAGTGACTGCTGGTGTGGTTCCTGGGGTTTACTCTGGAGTAGTACCTGGTGTGCCAGCTGGTGTCGTTCCTGGTGTGACTGCTGGTGTGGTTCCTGTGGTTTCGTCTGGAGTTGTTCCTGGTGTGCCAGCTGGAGTTGTACCTGGTGTGCCAGCTGTTGTCGTTCCTGGTGTGACTGCTGGTGTGGTTCCTGGGGTTTCTTCTGGAGTAGTACCTGGTGTGCCAGCTGGTGTCGTTCCTGGTGTGACTGCTGGTGTGGTTCCTGGGGTTTCCTCTGGAGTAGTACCTGGTGTGCCAGCTGGTGTCGTTCCTGGTGTGACTGCTGGTGTGGTTCCTGGGGTTTCCTCTGGAGTAGTACCTGGTGTGCCAGCTGGTGTCGTTCCTGGTGTGACTGCTGGTGTGGTTCCTGGGGTTTCGTCTGGAGTTGTTCCTGGTGTGCCAGCTGGAGTTGTACCTGGTGTGCCAGCTGGTGTCGTTCCTGGTGTGACTGCTGGTGTGGTTCCTGGGGTTTCTTCTGGAGTAGTACCTGGTGTGCCAGCTGGTGTCGTTCCTGGTGTGACTGCTGGTGTGGTTCCTGGGGTTTCGTCTGGAGTTGTTCCTGGTGTGCCAGCTGGAGTTGTACCTGGTGTGCCAGCTGTTGTCGTTCCTGGTGTGACTGCTGGTGTGGTTCCTGGGGTTTCTTCTGGAGTAGTACCTGGTGTGCCAGCTGGTGTCGTTCCTGGTGTGACTGCTGGTGTGGTTCCTGGGGTTTCCTCTGGAGTAGTACCTGGTGTGCCAGCTAGTGTTGTTCCTGGAGTGACTGCTGGTGTGGTTCCTGGGGTTTCCTCTGGAGTAGTACCTGGTGTGCCAGCTGGTGTCGTTCCTGGTGTGCCAGCTGGTGTTGTTCCTGGAGTGACTGCTGGTGTGGTTCCTGGGGTTTCTTCTGGAGTAGTACCTGGTGTGCCAGCTGGTGTCGTTCCTGGTGTGCCAGCTGGTGTTGTTCCTGGAGTGACTGCTGGTGTGGTTCCTGGGGTTTCCTCTGGAGTAGTACCTGGTGTGCCAGCTGGTGTCGTTCCTGGTGTGACTGCTGGTGTGGTTCCTGGGGTTTCCTCTGGAGTAGTACCTGGTGTGCCAGCTGGTGTCGTTCCTGGTGTGCCAGCTGGTGTTGTTCCTGGAGTGACTGCTGGTGTGGTTTCTGGGGTTTCCTCTGGAGTAGTACCTGGTGTGCCAGTTGGTGTCGTTCCTGGTGTGCCAGCTGGTGTTGTACCTGGAGTGACTGCTGGTGTGGTTCCTGGAGTGACTGCTGGTGTGGTTCCTGGGGTTTCCTCTGGAGTAGTACCTGGTGTGCCAGCTGGTGTCGTTCCTGGTGTGCCAGCAGGTGTTGTACCTGGTGTGCCAGCTGGTGTGGTTCCTGGAGTGACTGCTGGTGTGGTTCCTGGGGTTTCCTCTGGAGTAGTACCTGGTGTGCCAGCTGGTGTCGTTCCTGGTGTGCCAGCTGGTGTTGTTCCTGGAGTGACTGCTGGTGTGGTTTCTGGGGTTTCCTCTGGAGTAGTACCTGGTGTGCCAGCTGGTGTCGTTCCTGGTGTGCCAGCAGGTGTTGTACCTGGTGTGCCAGCTGGTGTGGTTCCTGGAGTGACTGCTGGTGTTGGGGTGACATCAGAAGTAGTGCATGGTGTTGTATCGGTCACTACAGGTGTGGATCCTGGCGCAGGAGTTGTTGATGGTCCCGCTGTTGTGGATGGTCCCGCTGTTGTGGATGGTCCGGCTGTCGTGGATGGTCCCGCTGTTGTGGATGGTCCGGCTGTCGTGGATGGTCCGGCTGTTGTTGATGGTCCTTCCGGTGTTGTTTCGGTGACTGATGTGGTCGAAGGTCCTTCAGAAGTAGTGCATGGTGTTGTATCGGTCACTACAGGTGTGGATCCTGGCGCAGGAGTTGTTGATGGTCCCGCTGTCGTGGATGGTCCCGCTGTTGTGGATGGTCCGGCTGTTGTTGATGGTCCTTCCGGTGTTGTTTCGGTGACTGGTGTGGTCGAAGGTCCTTCAGAAGTAGTGCATGGTGTTGTATCGGTCACTACAGGTGTGGATCCTGGCGCAGGAGTTGTTGATGGTCCCGCTGTTGTGGATGGTCCCGCTGTTGTGGATGGTCCCGCTGTCGTGGATGGTCCCGCTGTTGTGGATGGTCCGGCTGTCGTGGATGGTCCCGCTGTTGTTGATGGTCCTTCCGGTGTTGTTTCGGTGACTGGTGTGGTCGAAGGTCCTTCAGAAGTAGTGCATGGTGTTGTATCGGTCACTACAGGTGTGGATCCTGGCGCAGGAGTTGTTGATGGTCCCGCTGTTGTGGATGGTCCCGCTGTTGTGGATGGTCCCGCTGTTGTGGATGGTCCGGCTGTTGTTGATGGTCCTTCCGGTGTTGTTTCGGTGACTGGTGTGGTCGAAGGTCCTTCAGAAGTAGTGCATGGTGTTGTATCGGTCACTACAGGTGTGGATCCTAGCGCAGGAGTTGTTGATAGTCCCGCTGTTGTGGATGGTCCGGCTGTTGTGGATGGTCCGGCTGTCGTGGATGGTCCCGCTGTTGTGGATGGTCCGGCTGTCGTGGATGGTCCGGCTGTTGTTGATGGTCCTTCCGGTGTTGTTTCGGTGACTGATGTGGTCGAAGGTCCTTCAGAAGTAGTGCATGGTGTTGTATCGGTCACTACAGGTGTGGATCCTGGCGCAGGAGTTGTTGATAGTCCCGCTGTTGTGGATGGTCCCGCTGTTGTGGATGGTCCGGCTGTCGTGGATGGTCCCGCTGTTGTGGATGGTCCGGCTGTCGTGGATGGTCCCGCTGTTGTTGATGGTCCTTCCGGTGTTGTTTCGGTGACTGATGTGGTCGAAGGTCCTTCAGAAGTAGTGCATGGTGTTGTATCGGTCACTACAGGTGTGGATCCTGGCGCAGGAGTTGTTGATAGTCCCGCTGTTGTGGATGGTCCCGCTGTTGTGGATGGTCCGGCTGTCGTGGATGGTCCCGCTGTTGTGGATGGTCCCGCTGTTGTGGATGGTCCGGCTGTTGTTGTTGGTCCTTCCGGTGTTGTTTCGGTGACTGGTGTGGTCGAAGGTCCTTCAGAAGTAGTGCATGGTGTTGTATCGGTCACTACAGGTGTGGATCCTGGCGCAGGAGTTGTTGATAGTCCCGCTGTTGTGGATGGTCCGGCTGTTGTGGATGGTCCGGCTGTCGTGGATGGTCCCGCTGTTGTGGATGGTCCGGCTGTCGTGGATGGTCCCGCTGTTGTTGATGGTCCTTCCGGTGTTGTTTCGGTGACTGGTGTGGTCGAAGGTCCTTCAGAAGTAGTGCATGGTGTTGTATCGGTCACTACAGGTGTGGATCCTGGCGCAGGAGTTATTGATGGTCCCGCTGTCGTGGATGGTCCCGCTGTTGTGGATGGTCCTTCCGTTGTAGAACCAGTGAATGGAGTTGTGGATGGTCCCGCTGTTGTGGATGGTCCGGCTGTCGTTGGTCCGGTGAATGGAGTTGTTGATGGTCCCGCTGTCGTGGATGGTCCCGCTGTTGTGGATGGTCCCGCTGTTGTGGATGGTCCTTCCGTTGTAGAACCAGTGAATGGAGTTGTGGATGGTCCGGCTGTCGTGGATGGTCCCGCTGTTGTGGATGGTCCGGCTGTTGTTGGTCCGGTGAATGGAGTTGTTGATGGTCCCGCTGTTGTGGATGGTCCGGCTGTTGTTTCGGTTACTAGTGTGGTCGAAGGTCCTTCAGAAGTAGTGCATGGTGTTGTATCGGTCACTACAGGTGTGGATCCTGGCGCAGGAGTTGTGGATGGTCCCGCTGTTGTGGATGGTCCGGCTGTTGTTGATGGTCCTTCCGGTGTTGTTTCGGTGACTGGTGTGGTCGAAGGTCCTTCAGAAGTAGTGCATGGTGTTGTATCGGTCACTACAGGTGTGGATCCTGGCGCAGGAGTTGTTGATGGTCCCGCTGTCGTGGATGGTCCCGCTGTTGCGGATGGTCCCGCTGTTGTGGATGGTCCCGCTGTTGTGGATGGCCCGGCTGTTGTTGATGGTCCTTCCGGTGTTGTTTCGGTGACTGGTGTGGTCGAAGGTCCTTCAGAAGTAGTGCATGGTGTTGTATCGGTCACTACAGGTGTGGATCCTGGCGCAGGAGTTGTTGATAGTCCCGCTGTTGTGGATGGTCCGGCTGTTGTGGATGGTCCGGCTGTCGTGGATGGTCCCGCTGTTGTAGATGGTCCGGCTGTCGTGGATGGTCCGGCTGTTGTTGATGGTCCTTCCGGTGTTGTTTCGGTGACTGGTGTGGTCGAAGGTCCTTCAGAAGTAGTGCATGGTGTTGTATCGGTCACTACAGGTGTGGATCCTGGCGCAGGAGTTGTTGATGGTCCCGCTGTTGTGGATGGTCCCGCTGTTGTGGATGGTCCCGCTGTCGTGGATGGTCCCGCTGTTGTGGATGGTCCGGCTGTCGTGGATGGTCCCGCTGTTGTTGATGGTCCTTCCGGTGTTGTTTCGGTGACTGGTGTGGTCGAAGGTCCTTCAGAAGTAGTGCATGGTGTTGTATCGGTCACTACAGGTGTGGATCCTGGCGCAGGAGTTGTTGATGGTCCCGCTGTCGTGGATGGTCCCGCTGTTGTGGATGGTCCGGCTGTCGTGGATGGTCCCGCTGTTGTTGATGGTCCTTCCGGTGTTGTTTCGGTGACTGGTGTGGTCGAAGGTCCTTCAGAAGTAGTGCATGGTGTTGTATCGGTCACTACAGGTGTGGATCCTGGCGCAGGAGTTGTTGATGGTCCCGCTGTCGTGTATGGTCCCGCTGTTGTGGATGGTCCGGCTGTTGTTGATGGTCCTTCCGGTGTTGTTTCGGTGACTGGTGTGGTCGAAGGTCCTTCAGAAGTAGTGCATGGTGTTGTATCGGTCACTACAGGTGTGGATCCTGGCGCAGGAGTTGTTGATGGTCCCGCTGTTGTGGATGGTCCCGCTGTTGTGGATGGTCCCGCTGTCGTGGATGGTCCCGCTGTTGTGGATGGTCCGGCTGTCGTGGATGGTCCCGCTGTTGTTGATGGTCCTTCCGGTGTTGTTTCGGTGACTGGTGTGGTCGAAGGTCCTTCAGAAGTAGTGCATGGTGTTGTATCGGTCACTACAGGTGTGGATCCTGGCGCAGGAGTTGTTGATGGTCCCGCTGTCGTGGATGGTCCCGCTGTTGTGGATGGTCCGGCTGTTGTTGATGGTCCTTCCGGTGTTGTTTCGGTGACTGGTGTGGTCGAAGGTCCTTCAGAAGTAGTGCATGGTGTTGTATCGGTCACTACAGGTGTGGATCCTGGCGCAGGAGTTGTTGATGGTCCCGCTGTTGTGGATGGTCCCGCTGTTGTGGATGGTCCCGCTGTCGTGGATGGTCCCGCTGTTGTGGATGGTCCGGCTGTCGTGGATGGTCCCGCTGTTGTTGATGGTCCTTCCGGTGTTGTTTCGGTGACTGGTGTGGTCGAAGGTCCTTCAGAAGTAGTGCATGGTGTTGTATCGGTCACTACAGGTGTGGATCCTGGCGCAGGAGTTGTTGATGGTCCCGCTGTCGTGGATGGTCCCGCTGTTGTGGATGGTCCGGCTGTCGTGGATGGTCCTTCCGTTGTTGGTCCGGTGACTAGTGTGGTCGAAGCTCCTTCAGAAGTAGTGCATGGTGTTGTATCGGTCACTACAGGTGTGGATCCTGGCGGCGCAGGAGTGGAATCTGTTAAGGCTTGCAATTTTTCGTACTTTTTTTGTGGAATCACCTGTGGCTATTGGTTGTGCTGTTGTCGACGTGCCTTCAACTGTCGTTGCAGTTGTTGCTGTGGGGGGCTCAGTAGGAATCGGGGAAATAGTTGTAGCTGAAGTGTCGGAATAAGCGACGCGTAACTTGAGTCGTTTAATACTTATTGGAGTCTCGGTGGGACTTTCGGTTGTAGGTGAAGCTTCTGAAGTGTCACATGGTGGTTCTTCCGTACAGGGGGGTTCGGGTGTACATTCTTCAATCGGGGGATCAGTGCATTCTGGAGGAATAGGGTCACAGTCATCTGGTTCCTCTTCGCATTCTGGTAGTTCTTCGTCACAATCCGGTAGTTCTTCGTCGCAATCCGGTAGTTCTTCTTCGCAATCCGGTTCTGTTTGGTACTCATCACATTCTCGATCATAGTGTTGATAGCGTTTTCGATTCCATCGGCCATGTATCGGTCGATTTTCTGAATAATTCTCTGGAAATTTTTCGATTTTCAATCGACCTTATTCAGAATCGTTCCAGGTTTTTTCTCGATAACTTTGTTCCTTCTTTTTTTTCAATTTTCTTAATTTGAGCTATCAGTTACCTGGTCTTCCCATCGAAGATATACATTGAGAATAAACCAAGAGTAGGAGTACGGCAATGATGATCCGCATCCTATAAGTTTGTTCGATAAGAAAACGGAAGGCTTCAAGGAAACGGAAGTAAAATTGAATTCAAATGTATAAATGATACCGCCGTCGGTGCTTTTATGCAACATTATTCTGCCCACGATTTTATGGCAAAATTTGATGGTCTTTATTCTTTCAGAAATCATTCAATAAAAATAAGACATTTTTGATCTGGAAACAAAAAAAAAATTAAAAAAAAAAAAACAAAAAAAAAACATTTAAAAAATTAAAACATTTTTGCGCTTGATTAATAAAACCGCTATAAACCGCGAATCGACTCTCAATTGCCAGCAATGTGGATTGCGTTGTACATATTTTTCTACTATATTCAATCATTCATTACAATGCTGTAAAGTCCAAATTATTTTTTAACAAAACCAATTTTGTTTTTAAAATAGAATGCGGTTTCTATTTCTCGTCGCAATTCTCGCCTTCTTGCTATTCGGTGTACGGCAATCAGTTCAAACGCGTCACCCAATAAGGAAGTTGAAAAATCCCGATAGGCTTATGACAAGTAGCGAACATGGGTCATTTCCATTAAAAGGTAATCAACTCCAAATATCATTTTTCATTTTTTTTTTCAAATAATAAAATAAATTAATAACCCAAAGCTAACCATTATAACAACATCCCATATTTCAGACATAACAACGCCGGACAGATTTTTCATCGTCAGCGAAATTTAAGAATTCATTATTTTTCACCTTCAAGCAATAAGCAATAAATATTAATCGCAAATGATCATAAAAGAGTAATCAAAATGTAATAAATTGATTTTATGAACACCATCACCTCTATATAAAGTGTCAGACTGTCAGCCATCATGAATTTTGAGCAATGAAACTTTCGTTTCTGCTGATTCTTATATTTCTCACTATTTTAGCAACGACTGCTGAGTCAAAATGGTATCCTCAACAAAAGGAAAAATCATATATCTGGTCTGTTAACAATTTCAGCGTGAAGAAAAGCTCAATTAGCGGACGATCAGCGTCGAAGCCCCTAAATACAGTAATCAAAAGGAAATGCAGTATGTTGAAAATCAAATAATTTCGCGTTTTACTTCGAATATTATAGAGAAGCGTGTTAAAAATGCCAGTCAACAGCAACTAAGCAATGGTAGATCAAAAACATTTTTCTTTCACCGATTTATAAACAAATTTTCATTGAGCAGACGAAGGGGTTGGTTTGGCGACGAAAAATGCAGCAGTCAAGAATGTGGAAAAATCGAAAGCGAATGATAAATGTAAAACAAAAATCATTTAAAAAATGAATAGGCTTACATGGGGTTTTAGCTGCGGACCCGTCAAAAACCACCAGCAATTCGAAGAAGGCACACAAAAAAAAACATCAAACTTATATTACAGCGAGAAAGGAGGACTACGGAATGGAGACGTAAATCAATTTCCTAAAAAACCGGAAATATTTTCAGAAAAAAATGATGAGGATTCGAATTCGAAGCGATCGCAGAAACAGAAGCTCGGTTTGTTCGCCATATTTTGTTCTCATTTTAAAGGGAAACATTTAGGAAGCGCCCAAAGACATTCGTCTACACATGGTTGGTCTAGTAGATCATAATTGAAACATTTGAAATAATATAGGATCATCTTCAATAAATAGCCGATCATCGGGAAAAACAAGTTCGACAGTCGAAAATTGTGAGTGTCGATGTCGATTCGATAATCGAATTTGATTTATTTAATTTCAACTGTTTAGTCGGAAGATCGGGTAGTCGATCGAAATCGGGCATTGGCAGGAGTTCGACGGCGGGACAAAAACGTATTTGGCGCGAAAATTCACGACAGTTTTCGATTTCAGATGTAATTTAGAGCAAAACTCGAAAAGCGACACATCGCATTCGAAGAAGTCGGAAATAACGAAAAGCTCAACGATGAGCGAGACGAAAAAAACGGAGGCGGTCAGTAGTCGAACGAAGGTCTCACAAAAACACGAGACGGGTAGGAAACTCAACAAAATGGGAAACCGTTCTTATGAAACACGAAATGTTCAGCATCGAAAACCGAAAGCACGAAAAAGATTAAGAATGAGAAAAAACGAGCCGAGCAACGAGTTAAACAGGAGGAGGATGACGACGAACGTAAAATCGCTATCAAGCATGATTCCAATTCATCGAGCAGAAAACACGGCAAGTCACAAATTGCCCAATTAAATAGAAATATCAACTCAATTCAAGTTTCCCCACAAAAATCAAGAAATGGAAGACGTACCGGAAAATCTCCGAAGCATGAGTTGAGTCGAGGTTGGTGCTTGTAGGGAGTAGATCACATTAATTACGATTCCTGAAATTAAACGATTTTTTTTCGTATCTTTCGGGTAATCCATTAAATTTTTCAATTCCAATGGTACATTATTTGAATTGAAATAGTGTCGAAGTCACGCGAGTGCGGATGGCGCTGTCGACAGTAGAGATGGGTCTCGCCATATGAGTGTCGATTTACGCGCGGGGTTATTTTCGCGAGGAGCATTGCCCGTGTGAAGTACACAGCGCGCGTCTCTTCGTCTCGGGACCATTTCTGATATTTAGCCAGATTATCGCAGCAGTACGATATCGACAATGGGGAGGGCTCGTGTACACGAAATTCGAAAATTTCCGATTTCGCTTCTAAATATTCATAATCGTTTTTTGAGATGAGAACACCTCAGATGAAGACGAAATCGAGGAGACTAGTAAAAAATCACACGGAAAGAACCGAAATCGGTCTCGTTCGCGATTCCACGGCAAAAAGCGCTTTGACATGGAGCTATCATCGAGCGGTACGATTAATCGGCTGTCAAGGGGGAAATGCATATTCCAGACGACATCGATAGTGCGTCCGACGAACACGACGACGACAATCTGACATCCGCCAAACATCGCCATTCAATTCGCCGTGGCTTCAAGAAACACCAGGAAAAAACCGACAGGGACAATGACAGCTGGGAGGAAGGCAGTCGGCGGCGAACTGTGAAGAACGGCAAGAAGATCACTCGCAAAGAAAAGAGTCATGGTAGCGAAAAGCATAAGAAGAAACGAACGCGCGATGAGAAAAATGTCAGCGAATTCTATTTTGAATTAAAAAAAAAAGAAGTTTTATTCCAGTTCACCAGCGATACTGGCTCGCGTGAAAGCTACTACTCATCTCGGTCTTCAAAAGATTCAAAGAGCTCCTCATCATACTCCCAATTTGTTGAAGAGGAAGAGGATTATGATTGAAAATTTCAATTTTAATAAATATTTTCAATATTTCGGTCTTACAGGGAAAACGATATAATTATAATTATTTTGTTACAAAATCATTCTCATGAATCTCATTCTACAGTATTCTTCCTTCTGGAAATCAAATATGCTCAATAAAAGCGTCGGCAATAAAAATCGACAAAGTTATGGGCAATGAAACAATCGTAAACACAACGACAAGAAATACTTAAAAGCTTGCTTCCGGGCCAAAATTCCTTGTACGTGCCCTCTTCAAATATATATATTGTATTTTTGTCATTATTTTCAGGATGCCATCACTTGGCACCGCTCTACCATTGACGGTCCTCACAATTAGCGTCATAGCTTATCAGCCGTGTAAATTTGAAACAGCAATCAAATTTATTTTACTAATCGAATTGTGAAATTTAGTGAAAGATAATGGCCCCAATTCAAAGACAACCCATGTGAAGACGCTCGCCGGCGGTTTTTTCAATATGCCATCTTTTTTCAAAATGCCCGATTTGTCGAACGTTAAAAATTTCCATTCATCAACGGTGAAGAAATCGGAAAAGAAATCATCAGCCAATGAACAATCGTCAAAGAAGATCTCGAGGATTTCCGCCGACGGTCGTGTCGAGACGCACGAGGAGGCGAAAAATGTGAATGAGAAGGATTCGTTTGCCGAAGATTCCGAATCAGAGTATGAGCGAAAGGAAGACGCTAGTGGATCGGTGGTAAAAAAAATAGAAACCCCCGAAAAGCATTATATTGAATACAATTTGAAATTGTCAGATCGAATCCAATGCTGTCAAGAATGTTTCCAGTCGCGATCGCGAAGCTAGCTCGGATAGTCTCGATAGAAGATCAATTGTCAACGCTGATGGCACCTCCTACATGCTGGAGAACAAAACCAACGAATGCGAGGAATTGTAATCGACTTAAATGCATATTTTCAAGCGAAATTGCGTCGTTTTCAGACAAGACCGACTCGATCAACTCAATATTACCCAAACCGCCAAATTATCGGATGGAAGCTCGGCTGTTGTCAGCAGCGGTCACGATAACAGCGCTTCAAAGATAATGAAGGAGTCGTCGGCGAGCGAACTTCAATCGCAAGAGTATGCCGATGGATCAACGTATTCTGAAGCAAAGGTGACATAAACTATCAAAAATCGATAACAAATATTTTAGTCAAAAGAAGATAAAATGGCCGGACGGACGAGTAATCAACATTCGTTTGATATTCTTCTGCAGAATGATGCCAATGGAAATAGCAAGGAAATTCGAAAACATAATATTTCGGTAGGAATCGAAATTTGTACTATAAAAATTCGTTTGATTCTTAATAGAGCGATGTAAAAATGAAATCATCTGGAAACCAGATGAGCGAAAACAAGTTGAAAACAGCCGACGGTTTGGAGAAACGCAATCGCACGTCTTCCGAATACAACAGCCGTGTCAATTCGCAAAAGCGAAACAATTCCATCGTCGATAATGAAGTGTCAGGCCAGAATTTCTCAACGATATTGAAAACCGACAGCATGGAAAATACGAATATCGAAATGGGCGGTAAAAATGTATGTAATACTTGTGGCAAATTCAAAAAGAAATCAAATTTGAACGATTCAGGCAAGCCTTCAAACTACGAAACAAAACGGAGAGCTGGTGTTCAGCCAGAGAGATGAATTCGATACTTGTGTGTTGGATAACAAGGAGGAGGCTCGAAAAACTGAGAACATATTTGCTAATGATACCAGCGATTATATGAAAATACATAATTTGGAAGACCGAAGAACTAATCATGTGAGTATTCCAAAAATAATTTCAAGAATTCAATATTTGCTTACAGACTGGAGGTTCTTATGAGAACGAATTGCATGATCGATATGAGAACGATTTGAACGGAAACGTTCAAACCGACACGCATACCAAGGGAAAAACCAACGAATTTGCAAAGGCCGAATACCAAAAGAAGAGATATAGCGTAGATACGCGTCCAGAAAATTCCACCGCACGTGCCAACATTCATTGTTTTACAATTTGTTTTTTAAAAATATTTTTAGATTATCGAAGAGGATGTTAACAATATGGACAGTCAAACGTTTAAAGACGAGAATGAGAAACGCAAGAAGACGAAAAATCTCGCCGATGGATCGGAATCGGTTGACGTCGACGATAAAACGTTCCGCGAAAACGGAACGAATCAATTCAAGAATTATACGTGGAATAGAGTAATTTTAATTTTCAAACGACGATGACGATGGTTCTATTGATTTCAGTATGACGTTAATGGCAAAGATTACAAAACGACGATTGTAGAAACCTCGCGAATGAATAACAAGCTGGATCAGAACAATGATACCAACACATACAAGATGGATCGTGGCGACGATGGCTATGTAAGAAAATCATTCAAAAATTCAAAGGCTCACAAAAATTGGCCAAAATTTAGAGCGTATTGAATGGAAGCACATCGGTCCAGAATAAAGATGATTCCGATATTGATATCAGGGTTAGAGAAGTTTACAATGTAAGTAGCACCGGATGAAATGTGGTGTCGAAAATTCGCAATTTCACAGAAGGTCGATGGAGAACTAACAATCGACGCAAGCAATTCGGAAACGGCGAAAGTTAACAACGCGAGGACAAAAACTGATGATTTGATATCTGATGTTGAAGACGCTCAAGGAAACAAAAATTTCTCCGACGTTCATCTTCGCGAGCAAAATCGCACAGACTACGATCTTTTCCAGGCAAAAACGAATTTAACAAATGTTGGAATTGACGGAGACGTTCAAATGAGATCCGTGAGCTGATGCTTTGTTTCATGCTTCTTCTGAAAGTGGTGTTGCAGGTTTACTCGAATTGGACTAATAACCGAACAGGACATGACACCGATGAGCTTCGCAATGAAATGTTCAAGGGAAAAGATGGATTATTTGAGAATAAAAATCTTGAAAAATCGCGCAGAAATGATACAAAGTTAGTTTTTCTTTTTTTGGAAAACCATTGGATTGCAAAAAAAAACATAATTTCAGTATATATGCGTTCGAAGGAGCAAAACAGAACATGACGAAAAGCAGCGACGGAGATGTGGCGGTCGATTCGAGTGTCTCGTCGCGTCGCCTCAACAGTACCGCTGTAAATGACAAAGAGCATTTGTTATTGGAGGCTCTATTGAAAAACGGCTCGTCGATTAACCACGAGCACGAAAACACCGACGCACGGAATCACACGAATGGAAATTTCAAGATTGACTTGACAAATGGAATGCAGACGGCTGATGGAGACATGTCGGTTCGCCAAAGGCATCAAACATACGCCAATGCTAGTGATGTTAACAAAAATAGTGCCAGTCTCAAATTGAACAACCGTGTAGGTATTGATGCGGATGTGCACTCATTGCGTTCGATTTTAGGGAACGAATGGCCAATTCGAAATTGTCGACAACTTTGTTGAAAACGGCGACAATAACAACACGTTCGCAATCAATCAAACGACTTCTCAATTAGACAATATTGGCGGAGTGGTTAGTTGGTTTTTTTTTGAAACAAATCCCCCCCCCCCAAATATATTGCACAATTTATTTTCACTTCAATCTGGCAGGCAAAAATAAGTGGATGGAAGGTATATCAACATGTCGCCAAAGCTGATACCCTACGCGCCAGAGACATCAATGAGGAGAATCAAAACGGACGCGTTCAGGATAAGGCCAACAATACCTACACAGACTCCGATAGTGATGTGGAGCGTACAGATTTTAACGCATGATTGTGATAAAAATTTATTTATGGTGAATAATTGGAAAACATAATATCACAGTATTAAAATATTGGACACCTAACTACGACGATTCGTCTAATATTTGTGGAGATTGATTTTGATCTACACTCAAACACGTCGAAAGTCTCCCTTGAAGATTCTGGTGAGCGTTTTTTTGAACTGCTGATTCGCCATCGCATAGCAGAATGGGTTGAGCGGCGAGTTCATATAGCATAAATAGTAGGAGATGGTGTAGAGCATATTGAACCAAGGCGACACTTTGCACGATTCGCAGAAGCCATAGATGGTTGCGAGAACGTAGAATGGAGTCCATAAAATGATAAACGAACCCAGAATGAAGGTGATCGTACGCAACGCCTTGCGTGCTCGATTCTCCGACCGTGATTTGTACTCCTGAAATATTCGACTGTTAACAAATCACCGAATTACGAATCTAGAAGCCGATAAGCAGACGCAATGAACGGATATCTCATTTCATTAAAACCAAGTCGAATAGGTTGTCAGACAAGCCTTCATATCAACATAAGATCCCCAAAAAATTCACGATAGTGCATGATTTTAAGCCACGGAAGAATTAGACGACCACCATACATATATTGAGAAGCGAAAAAAAAGGATTGCGCAAGAGTAATAGCGAATTAATACCTTCTTACGCTGAAAAAAATTGAAGAAAGACAGAATGCTCTGGAAGGAATTGAGCGATAGTTATGAGAAAAAGAAAGTAGGTAATTCAAGAAGTCGTTAAGCTTTCACAAAAAAAGGCTTACCTTTTTATTTCGTTTTCGTTTGCTTCGGACACTACGGCTTCGCATTACAGTAAGAAGACGTCGCACTTTGCCAGTCGTCGTAGTCTTGAGACTTTCCACGCGCGACACGGCGATTAGCGGCACTTTGACCTCGTTGCAATCATTGCTTATCGCTTCAACAGTGTCCATTTCGAGGCGAGAAGTGGATGCCTGCTGCTCGTCTTCACCAATCGCTCTTTTCTGCTCCGGAACAGCGCCGTTCGTCGGCTCAGCCAGTTTTTGAGGAGCTTCACGCTTTCGCTTTTTCCTTGACGACATCGCGCGAAGCAAATCGTCATGTCCAACCATTGAGCTCACACTATCGGCATCAATGAAGGGCAAAGAAAATTGTGGTCTGAAATCGTGCCCGAATGCGTCGTTACGATTTACAAATCACATACTTGAAATGCGCATGCGCGTTCTCATCATTTTCAGCTGAAGCGTGCGACGACGGCTCAGGTGAGCAGCACGGCGCTGTACTTTCGCGTTCAATAACCGATGATGGTTCTTGATGATAGAAACCACTATTACTATTATTATTATTACTATTCACACCATCTTCTTCATCATTGTCCAAGGGAGTGTATGTTGGATTGCTTAAAAAATAATTGGAGTCGCTAATCGTCAATAAATATAGTCGGCGCCAGGCGACTGATGTACGCGGGGGGATTTACGCGTGCACATTTCGAAATGGTCTCGCCACGTGTGAACCCTTATTTTGCTGTTGGCATTTCCTTGAATTTCCATCGTCATTCGATTTAAACATTATCGAACTGACCCATAAAATGCAGAATAACCAGTTAGTCTGCGCGAGGACCAAAAGAAAGACGCATCGTCTACCCGCGTAGAGCAGACGCCGGACGTCGACGAAAAATGAAATTAATTACCTATATAGATTTACCATATTCCTAGTATGATCTATATTGTTGTTATGAATAGTCATGTGATTTCGAACAACTGGTGGCGGTGGAGACGAGCACCCCACCGATGTCTGAATCGTGGTTGTCGGCGGCGGCGGTGGGACGGCCTGTCTACAGCACCTGAAAATAACGAACCTCGCGTAAAGTTCAAATCCCTCTCTAACAAAAAAGTAACATCATCGACAACTAGCACGTCATCAATCCAATTTCGTCGCCCTTCTTTTCTTTTTGTTGCCTTCTCGTAAGCATATCGTAATTCGATTTTTGAGTGCCCCCTTTCATCCATCTTCAAAATTTCCCGCCATACTATTATTTCTACTATTACGACTTCTACGAAATAATGAAAATGGATGGGATGAACAAGATCTTTTTTTTTCTTCATATCGCCATCAACATCATCATCTTAATGTTCATTATCGTCGAGTTGGGCAGCTGTCGAAGCGGGAGGGGCAGTGAAATTTTTGGAATTTGACTGGAGTGTGGGGAGAGAGAGAGAGAGAACCTTCTCAAATTTCCGCGCACCCCCGCCACCACACAAATCCAATTGAATATTTTTGCATAACTTTTCAAAAGGGTAAATGTTTCGAGGACTTCAACTAAATTTTTTGCCTGTTCTTCGCTTCTCCTGCTTCTTCTTCTTCTTGCTATTGTGAATGGTGTACGACTAACACGGACCAAAATTGTTCAACGACTCATAAATTTTTGCATCAGCCGATTGGAAAACGCGATAGTGGTGGGGGGGGGGTTGTGGGCCGCCGCCGCGCCGGCGCCACCATCGACAAACTGCACGAACAAGAAATATCCAATTTGGTGTGATTGTGGTGATGGTTGGAGCAAACGCGAGCAGGCACGTCCCTCGAGAATTTGTGGGCAAAAAATTTTTCGCCACACGAGCGCATATAAAAAAAAACACTGGGCATACGGAGATTTATGCGCATTTCTTCACTTTTTCACTTCAACAGATTTCATGGCGGCCTTTTGGGACGTCGGCCTTGTCAGAAAATGATTAATTAGCGCTTACTTGCTGCTGTTCGAGGTATCGTTGGGAGAGTCCGTGCTGCTATTCGCTGCATCGCTTGTTCGCACACTGACTTCGGGTCGTCGCAATTCCGTGAGAAGCGCCAATCGCTTCGTCTTCTATAATAAAAATAAAAATAATTCAAACCACACACGCGAAAGATCATAACACTCAAAATAATTCCAAAAAAATGTACGAATGTAAATGAAATCATACCTGATCACTCTTCAGCGCCAACTTCTTTGCAGCACGATAAATTCCCCAATAGAGGTACAACATGACGAACAATGTCGTCCAATAATACGAGATGTACATTCCCATATTTAGGTATGGGTTTGTCATAAATTGCACATAGCATTCGGTCTCTTTCAAAATACGTCCCGTACCCGTGAATGTACCGTAGCCAAAAATTGAGACCGAGAATAGGATGCTCGGAACCTGAATACAAAAAAAAAATATATATATATATATATATATATATATATATATATATATATATATATATATATATATATATATATATATATATATATATATATATATTATATATCAAAAAAATGTTGTTTAGCTAACCAGCCAAATAATTATGATAATGAGAACCACTCGGCTGGGTGTCCGCCAATTTCGATATGTCGCCGGCTTTTTCACCGAATAATATCTGTCGACGGTAATTCCGAGGACGGTGTAAATCGACGCGAGACACACGATATAATCAATCGAGAGCCACAAATCGCAGAGAATATCGCCCCATATCCATTCATTGTTGTTCAAGTAGAACGCCGTATACACCGGTATTCCCTCGATTCCAATAATCTGAAATTTTGCAATCCCATTCATTTCGACTTTTTAGTTTTTGGCCTCGAAAACACGCATCAGGGCCCCTCGTCCCTTGTTAATTTCTAATTTCTCTCTTTTTTTCTGGCTTTCATCAAAATTCCCTGCTCGTTGTTTTCGTTTCCAACAATTTTACAACTTTCTAATTACATCCGACGACTAAAAAAAAACGTTTAACCATTGTGTTTTCTGCTCTCCACCGCTCATGGCCAATCATTTTGTGGGGATGCCTCTGACACATTTGAAACTCTTCAAACCTTTCGTTTTTGTTAGTGAAGTGCTCGCATATACACACACACGAAACCCCCCCCCCCTCTTTTTGTGTTCAATGATGATGTTTGAGTGTCGACGAGTTTCGAATTTTATTCGGAAACCGCCGTTTAGCACCATTCTTCATGCCCCAGCTTCGCCAATGTGTTTAATAATTGGAGGTCTGGTTTGTGGTCGCCAATTTCGTGAAAAAGTATTAAATACAAAATGATATAATAAATAATATTTCTTTTAAAGTACATCAATTGTCTCAAGTTTTATGCATCATCACACTTCTCGCCTTCAATAATAAAGCACTTGAGTTGCGCGACGCGCATGTAATTCTTTCAACGAAGCCTATTTTCGAAGTGAACCGCAAAATCACATCCACGTGGGGCGACCCCCATTCCATTCGAACTCATCGCGAGGCGCATCAAGTGACAAAAGTTGAGGGCTTTCGAGCCCTCGGGGAATATATGCGTATGCCTCAGGATTGGCTTCTTTCCTTCCTCGCTCATAACGACCTATTCAGGGCCTTTCGTCGCATACGTCAACAATAAGACGTTTTTTTTTGCTCTCCAAAGGATGAAAAAAAATGAATTTGGGTGATTTGGAATTCGTTTGCCATTAATTATGGTATACTTCTCTCGCCTGCTTCTCGCTGCTGTTTGGTGTCCAACAAGAATGCGAGAAAAACAAAACAATCACGGAACCAACCCGAAAACCCCCCAGCATCGTTTAAGGAAGTTTGAGCAAAAAGGGCAAAAATGTGTGTAGACTCGATGAAATTTGACCTCCGCAATCGAAAAATACTTTTATTGGCATTACGAAAAAAAAAACGCTTCAACTCTCGAACTCACGAGATCATCACATCAAAGTTACTGGAAACGGAATGACATAAATCATGTTATGATAAACTTTCATCAAACCTTCAATATATACCTAATTTGACGAACAACCACGCATACATGATGCCGACGAAACTTGTGACATCACAGCCGGAAAAAAGATAAGTTCACGCGGATTTCATGAGTTCGCTCAACTATGATAAATCATGACCCTTAAGTGGACTTTAGGATTACGATCTGGATCGAGAAAAAAACCATCTGATTGTTATAATATTTTTATTATTTTGCCTCGACGGCAACTTTCAAGTGCAATTGAACCTTTACGAATACACCATCAAACCTCATTCCCTTTTCTAATAATATCCTTATAAGGCGTGAAACGAAAAAGTTGTTCTGTTGCGCACGGGCGCGCATTCAATTTTTTATGCTCATGTATGTTTCCGCATGAAAGGTGTTTCGTTTAAATGTTCGAAGCGCGCGGGGCTCGCGAAGGAAAAAAAAAACGAAAGAATTGTATGTGCTCTGGGTGTATGCGTCGGGCGCGGGCGCAGTTCAAAAAAACTAGGAGAAATATGAAAAATTGGTTTTTCCACTTGACGCTTCCTGTGCTCTCGAGTAAGCCGCGCGCGCGCGCCAAAAAGTAGGAGGTTCTCAGGAGATTCAAGAACGCCGCCGTCGATGACTTGTGTGTGTATGTGTTTTCTCGCCAAAGTTTTGACCATAATCTGCGTGTCAGTCAAATTCGAAGAACGACGAAAGAGACGGCGATATTCGAAGGAATAGACGAAGGATGGGACGGGATGGGTAATTTGTCGACGACATATTTTTTTTTCTTTTTGCGTGTCGAGAAATTTTCCGCTGCTGCACACGATTCGGACTAACCTAATTTTTTCTTCCCATCCCACCTCTATCCTATTATTTTTAAGAGAGAGAGAGAGAGCCGCACACACAAACAAAAAATACAGCGCCCGACAAGAAAAATGAAGTTTTCAAAATGATTTGGAAATTCGCGCGATCAATTTGCTTCCATTCAAGATTCCGAACGAAAAATTCGCCCAAATTCTATTCAAGAAATCATCATAAACATTTCCTCTCGTTTATTGAGCTACTCGGATTGCGGAAATAGGCAATACGGTTAGGAAGACGAACACGAAAACCAAAATTCTAGGATGAAAAAAAAGGCCGTGGCACGCAAATCCCTGCTTTGTGTGTATCGTCACGATCAAACACCTTTAAATCCCGCATCGCGCAAAAATAGATTACCAAAAAAATTGCGCGGGGCAAGACCGAAACCCCCCTTGAGAGATTCCATGACCTCATGTCGATACCAAAAACTCACAGCGACTTCAAATAATTGCCAGAAGCCCCTTGAGATACTGAACATCTCAAACAAATGCATTACTCTAGTAGTTTGATGCTTTTGAAAATGTTCTCACCAAGAAAAACACACAAACTTATGCATTAATACATCAAAATCAGCTGGCCGAAAGCAAATTAATCATTTCTCGCAATTAGGAATTCTGAGACTTACCAAGTCTGATATCGCCAATGAAAAGATGAAATAGTTGGTTGGCTGGCGAATGTTTTTGTCGAGATAGTAGGAAAGAAGAACCGCGAGATTACCAACGACGGTCACTATGGAAAGCACGAGCATCACAAGTGCCAATAGCACACTGCCAACCGCCATCGCAGCTCGTCGCACATCAAGACACGCCGCCAACTCTCAGCATAATCTCAAGATCGCGACAATGGTGGTTCTGTAAATCGCGAATTGTACGAAACTTGCGAATTGGAAAGCCGTGAAAATTGAGCAGAAGAAGACGATGAAGGAGAAAAGTCGAAGTTGGCCTGAGTCACAAATTGTTGCGCGGCGGGCGGCACACATTTAATGGAGCCTATTAACACATCTTGTCAAAAAAAAAAACTTCAGGTGGCAAATAAAAATTGCACGCAAAAAAAAGAAACACTGAAATCATTCTACGCTTCACGTTTCATCTGCCGACGTGTGGAGAACTTTGATGTTAACGTAGTCGCTCAACAATGGAGCGAAAATGGCAAAAAAAAAACACACACACACCAAAGGGTGTTCAAACTCATTTTTTACGGAACCGGGGGATTAGGCAAACCGCCGTGCCAAAATCTTCCATTTCATCAAACGATGTGCTTTACATAACAATGCACCTGGAAAGCATAAATATCTCGCGAGACAAAGTTCGAGACATCGAGACTTCGGAAAAAATAAAAGACGAGAATGAGCAGAAGGAGAACCATTAGTAATAAGCGATTTTATCAAGATTCGAATTTCCGGAATGGAAAGCTTAATGCTAGTACACACTCATATAGGTGGAAAAAAATAACAAGAGCTGTGGCTTCAACAGATTGAATCAATTGATAAAAAAGGTGTTAAAACATGCAAATGGGAAGCTGGCGCGAGTCGGTCCCCGTCGCGAGTGTTTGAGTGCTTCAGTCGTCCCATAAGGCTCCGCCCACATTTTTTTCCTTCTCAGTCGCCTTCATTTTATAATAAGCCAACAACGTCCCTCGGTGTGCTGTGGCCAGCATTGAATATATGTGTGTTTTTTCTGCTCTTGCTCTTACTTCGCTCCCGACTGATCAGACTGGAAGCATGTTGAAACGACGAATAGATTTTGAAGAATAATAACACATTGAGAAGAATCGGAAGAATTGGCGGCCATTAGTGGATTAAATAGTTTCGCATACAATTGAGCGCAAATTGTATAGAGTTATCGAAGTATTTGCAACAAAAAAACGGGGTGAATTAAACGCAATATGATATTGTCAATGTACTACAGTGGATTCGATTCGATGTGAAAACATTAAAAGGAAAAATCTTCAAATCACAAGGATCAAATTACTTTTCCAACTCTTTAAGGCCATAAAACGACCCAATTGAAACCGAACTATCTAGTTTTCAAATACTAATGTATGCGATTGTGAGAATAAAGAAAACGGAGAAGTCGGCTAAATTTAAATAGCTTCATCTTACTAAACTTGCAATTTGAAAGCATAATGCAAAAAACTCACTGAGCCCAAATAAATCGAGTCCAAATGAGCTTTGAATACTTTGGCCTGCCATAATTACGTATGTCTAGGGCTATCTCAGCCTCGATTCGGTCAGCGAATCTATTCTGAAAAACCAATGGAATTAATTCGAAACCATTGAAAACGAGTTCTCCACTATGTAAAAAAAAATAAGAAAATTGTTTGTAAATCATCACGTCAATCAAACCGAGCCCGGCATAAATATTGTATTTTTTCTAATTTTTTTGATGTCGTGTTGATAATTGGCTTCTTCGAAAAGATGTACTTCTAAACGTATGCATTCAGAAAGATCTTGAATTATTTAAAACTTGATCACAGCGAAATCGGCAAGATATCGATTTTCAATAAGATAGATGTTCTACGTTGAATTTGTCTGTCCCATTGTAGTTCCATTATTGATATCTGAAAATATACATCGTTAAATGTTTTTTAGCACTAATTATTCTATTTCGAAAAAATTTCTGGTGAGGCCGAATTGATTCAAATCGAATGTAACTACAATAGGAATTAAAGGCGCATACAAAAGTGAATTTTTTAAAAAATTTTATGTTTGGAAAAATTTTTATGCGTGTTTGATCATTAAAAAAAAAGTTAATCACCATATAATGAGAGCAAATTCCATAGATGACATTCCATTAAATAAAATAAATTGTCACGAATATATTTACAATTTAGGGCATTCCGACGCAGCCTATCATCTTAATTTCGACATTTAAATTTTAAAAAAATGTTAAATCTCCGCTTAACTTTACCATAATTTTGCACAGAAACATAGCCGTATATATCAATGTAAGATTTTTCAAATAATAGAAATCAGAAATGCAAAGTCTATACATTGAAAGTTACTTTTTTAAAAGCTAAAAAATTTGTATTAAAGAAAATACAAAAATATTTACGTCAGGGCAGTTAGTCGAGAATTGATTGATCCATGTTTTTTCAATAAATTATGGATTTTTCAGAAAATAGTTCTCGAATTTATTTTATATAAATTTATGAAGAAATTCATTTTCATAGGGAATTTGTAGAAAGTTGTCAATTCCGTGCAATTTAACGTGGATGTATATGAAACTCATTGCTCGGCGCGATTTTCTGCATTATTTCTTAATCTGGCTTCAATGCCAAATTTTCCAAAAAAGGGCTAAACCTTTGATAGACATGCGCAATTCAAACTTTAAAAAATTTGAATTAAGTTGACGAACCAAAATTTTTAAATTAATAAAATACATCTGGACTCTTTCATTGTTCACATTCGTATCAGGGCTGTGCGGCAATCGGAAATTTCGGCAATCGGCAATTCCATTGCCGCACAGCCCTGATTCGTATATATCCACATAATAAATAGTAAATATATTTCAATAATCACTTATGATGTGCTCGTCTCATCCATGTGCATTTTTTGTTTTCTATTTCCTCGCCCTTATCTTTATTGTTTTTGCGACATATGATTATTTTCACTTTATCGGTGATATTGGTCATCAATAAGATCGATAGAATTTTTCCCATATTTTAATTATTTTATTTTCTCTGGACTACGTGAATTTTTCAATGTTAATTCGCAAAATACGAATATTTAATTTTTATTTAAAAATTCAACTAACTGTGAGAATGGTCAATAAAAATAAACATTACATTTTCAAAAAAAATTAGCGCCCCGTGCAGATATACGATGAATTAATTCGCAGGTTATCAAGAGCACGGTACCCAATTTTCCACTGTTTAAATTAAAATTTTAATTAGCGCCTCAAAAAAAAACGTGTGATGGTCCACAATAACGCAAGCCGCTCGTTTTTTTTGCGATGGTAATATTAATGAGCCTATTCATGCAATAAATTAACAACAAAATTTTCACTATGATTCCAATGGAGAAATGCGAAAATGCGCATTCAATGCAATTTTTACACTTTTCGTATTTATTTCATGAATAGGTCCAAAAGAAATAAAAATAAATCCTACATCCCGTCGAACACAATACGGTGCGCTGCGTAAAACCTGTCAGCTACGCGTGCGCTATACTTTACGACAATTTGCACACATTCTTCACTCGTTTTTTCGTTCCAATTTTCCATCTCTTGCAGGCGGCGGAAAAACTCGTCGCTTCGCGTTTTATCATCGTTTTGCTCTTCGTTTTTATATGCACGCTGAACAATGTCAGTGACTCAATGAAATGACTCTCCAATCGATGAAGTACACACCAAAGTGTATTTTAGCGTGATAACGCCTCACAATTCAATCAATAGTTTACCATCTCGTTATTCTCTTTTTAAAAATTTCGCATCATGTTTTTCAAACAAATTTTTTTAATCCGTCTATTCAAATAAAGTCAAAATCAATTCGGTGATCATAAAATTGGAATTATTCACAAATTCTCTCTATGTCAATATGATGATAAGCGTTTCACAATAAAAATATATATCGGAAAAACCCCGTGAAAACGTCATGGGCGGTATTTTTGAAATATTTTCAAATAATATTAATAAATTCAAAAAGTTTTGTTGTCGTTCATTTTCGATGAAAACATGCTTTCGAAATTTCTATTTTGTTACAAAATATTGCCGTTTCGCTAAACAAGATTAGGAAATCTCGTGCAAAATAATGAAAAACTATCAATCGGTGCCAAATAAAGGCGTCGGCGCGAAGAGGGTGCTACGCCACCTCTACTCCGCTTCTGCACTATTTACCTATTTGCTTATGAGGCGACGCGACGACAGCGCACAAAAATTTTGTCATTGAATCATCCATTCATCTTTTCTTTATATGGAATAACAGTTTTCAGGCGCGTCGGGATAGGATCAAATCGCATTAAAGTCAACGTTTGACGGCAAAAAAAATCGAGTGAGCGCATCTCATGAGCGTGTCATCGACTCACAAGCATTCTCGAAGTTTTCCAATATGGCGCCCATCACTCAGAAGCCAGGAGTAATAAAGGTTTTTGTCAATTCAAGATTTTCCACCATCTCTAATATAAATGTTTAGGATCCGGCAATTGCGGCCCTTTTCAGTAATAAAGATCCCGAAAATCGTTATCAAGACCTTCGCGAAATTGGGCATGGCAGTTTCGGCGCAGTGTTTTTCGCATACGACAAAGAAAATCAGGAAACCGTGGCGATTAAAAAAATGAATTTTAGCGGTAAGCAAGCCGTTGAGAAATGGAATGATATTTTGAAAGAGGTACCACAATTTTCGTTTTGCAAAATGTGACATCTGATTTATAGGTATCATTTCTTCACTCAATAAAACACCAACATATTGTGGAGTATAAAGCTTGTTACCTAAAAGATACAACTGCTTGGCTCGTCATGGAATACTGCATTGGATCTGCTGCCGATATTGTAGATGTTTTGCGCAAAGGGATGCGGGAAGTCGAGATCAGTGCCATAATAACGCAGACGCTAGAAGCACTATGTTATCTTCACTCAATGAAACGAATTCATCGGGACATTAAAGCGGGAAATATTTTGCTTTCCGATCAAGCAATTGTTAAATTAGGTATTTATTATGAACCACAGATTTTTTTTTCATATTACCAATTTTCAGCCGATTTCGGATCAGCCTCTCTCACTGATCCTGCGCAAACATTCATCGGAACACCATTCTTTATGGCTCCTGAGGTTATTTTGGCCATGGACGAAGGTCATTATACGGATCGCGCGGACATTTGGTCGCTTGGGATAACTTGCATTGAACTCGGTATTAAAAATCATAAAAACTGGTTTAATATTGATTTTCAGCGGAGCGGCGTCCACCGCTGTTTAGTATGAACGCAATGTCAGCGCTTTATCATATCGCTCAAAATGAGCCTCCAAAATTATCTGCAGTCGAGTCCGATCAGCCGGAATGGTAAGTTTTTATTGCGTCGTGCGTATTTTACCAATTTTCTCGTTCCAGGTCTCCAGAATTTGTTTCATTCATTGATAAGTGCCTTCGCAAGTTTCCAGAGGATCGTATTACGGCTGCTGAATGCTTGCGGCATCCATTCATTGCTCGCGAGAAACCGAATGATACTATTCAAGAGCTCATAACAAGAACGAAAAATATGGTACTCGAATTAGATAACTTCCAATATAAGAAAATGCGAAAACTGATGTATTTGGATGAAGCAGAAGGCAAAGATAGTGATGTAAACTGTAAGTTGTATCAGATTTTTGCCAATAATTAAACGAATCTCAGGTGGGAACTCGGATGATCTGGATTTCCACGGAAACGAGGGATTGTCCATAGGAAAAGCGGATTCAGCGAGCTCCCGAAGCGCATCGCTTGCCTCATTCCGCTCAATGCAGAGTAGCGGAGGATGCCCGAATCAACTGGTTTCGACGAGCACCAATGGTGCGAATGATTCGAGCATTCATGGCTCTCAGTACATCAACGGATCTTCTACAACATCAAGCCGTCGCCGTCCTCCGATTCCGATGAATATGATACAGTCCTCATCGTCGACCTCTGGAGTTGGATCGATGTCGAACACTTCTCAAGGTCTGACGACGATCGCAGTCGCCGACGCCGCAAATGATGGAGAGGACGACGAAACAACAGCAGTTTCTTCGATTACGGCCAATTCAATTCAAGGAGAAGGAGCTTCCAATGAGGGCTCAATCCGGATTCCAGTCAAGGATCTACATATGCAAAATCATGAAGTCAAGGAGCGAATTCAGACGCTGCAGAGTAGGCGGTTCGACACGCTACGACCTCAAAAGCTCATTAATCGCGAGCAGGAGGAATACAGCGGAGAGAATAATATGTACGAGCAGATGAGCGGCTACAAACGCCTTCGTCAGCAGCATCACAAAGAGCTGAGGCAGTTTGAGGAACGGTGTGCGATTGAACGGGAAAACCTCCGATTGAAGCTTGACAAGGAGTTGGAGCAACTCAACACAACGTACTCCAAAGAGAAACAACGAGTCCGTATGTCTCATACGTCGGAACTCGAAAAGAAGAAGAAAGAAATAGAAGAAGGAGAGAAGAAGCTTCGAAAACAGGCGGCTAATAATAAACAGCAACAGATGAAAGTCTACAGTGCAATGCAGCTCAAAGAATATAAACACAACAAGGAGCTCCAGAAAGCGGTATATTATTTTGAATTGAGACACTATTATTATCTGTTTGGGTTTTTCAGAGACTTAAATCGATGAGCTTAACCAGAAATGCTTATGAAGCCGCTGTGAAAGATGTGAAAGCGGATTTGAATCGAAAAAAGTTGGTACTCGAGAGGGACTACGAATCTCAACTTCAAGAGCAAAGCGATGAGGATATGATTCGCTTCCGACGACAGCAGTTGAGTCGTTTGCATTCACTAGAAGAGCGTTTGGATGATGAGGTTAGTTGATTTCTGAAAAATAAAATATATATATGTATATCGATTTGTACTCTTTTGTAGGACATTAACGTTCAAGAACGTCAAATGGAAAATCGACAAGCCCTTCTGATGAAGCAGCATGAAATGACACGGGATCTCGAATACGCTCATCTCAACGAACTGTTAGCAATGAAAAAGCGACATCAGGAAGCACAACATGAAGCGGAGTCAAATAACCAGAACGAGTATACCAATAGGCAGCAAGATGAGCTGAGGAAGAAGCATGCATTGAGATCTCGTCAGCAGCCGAGAGAGCTTAAAGTAATCTGTCTTTTTATTAATGACTTTTTTTAAACATTCACTTTTCAGCTCAAAGAAGCTCAAATACGGAAGATGTACCGGCACTCAGTTAAAACGCAAACTCGGCAGTTCAAAGCCCTGCTCGCGCAAATGCTACAGCACTCTCCAAAAGAGCAGCATAAAGATATTGAACGACGCCTTAAACAGGACCAAATGACAAAAATTGCGGCGTTGTCGTCACAGTATGAAAGTCAAATCAAAAATATGGTTCGAGATCAAACGGTGAGAATATACAAATTCCGAGGAATTCGAATCAACTGCCCGATTTTTTTTCAGTGCAAACTCGAGTGTTGGCAAGAAGATGAACAACGCGCATTGAGCCAAAAGCTTGAGAAAGAACTTGAAGAGCTCATCGCCTATCAGAAGAAGCAACGCGAGCAACTCGACGAACAAATTAAAAAGGTATACTCAAAAAAATCATATTTTTTTTCTAATCTTTCAATTTAAAGGAACGCGAAACCCTCGAAGAGCGAATAAGCGCTAGACGCGCACTTCTAGAGCAACGCATCCAAGAAGAACGCGAAGAGATGGCGAACTTACGTCGCCTCAAAAAAGAGCAGATTCGCGAGCGACACAGCGTCGAACGGCAACGGCTTGAGAGCAGTTTCGCTCGTTCGGCGGCTAGCTCGTCGCGTTCCCTTGGAGGCGCTGGATCATCCGTTCAACTTGCGCTTTAATAAGCCTCCTTGCCCTCGTCATCCATTCTATTACGGTTGAATTATCCCCTTTCATTTTCAAATATCCATGGCTTCAGTTTTAAAGGGACACACACACACACATATGCTATCTGTGATCGCTATTTCTATTTTAGCTATTTATATCGGTGCTCTATCTACCTATTTATATTTTTGTGGCTTCCCCCGTTGATTTGTACCGGTTTTTTTGCGCGAGAAACAAGCCTCCTACCTATTTGTTACAAACGTTAATTCTTGTCATCATCATTCCGTCGTTGAATATATCCATATATAGGTTATTTAACTAATTTTTTCTTTACTTTCTTTTGTATTTAGGTCTATAATAATAATCGATTTTGAAAAATCATGTCTTCCCCGGCTCATAAATAATATTTATAAAAATCGTTTGGGTAATACATATATGGGATACTATATGTGGTGGAGTACGTACAGTTTACAGGTACGGTGTATAGCAAGCTACATTAACTAAATTAAATGGAACGAAAGAACACTTTAATATTGAAACGGTATTATTATAAACGGAAATCGAACAGAAATAATCGGGGGGATTCGGGAAGGGCGGAATGAAAGAGTTGGCACTCTAACTCTCTAGATCGCCTATAATCTATTAAAAGAATTGTCTGAAGAACACATTTGCATAGAAAATCTCAAAATATCCTACGCGCGCACACACACACACAGAAAAATTTACACTGGCGACAAAAATGGAAAAAAATTAATCAATCGACTATTTATGTTTCGACGCCGGCGTTGAGCATGCTGTTGACGTGACAGGCGTCTGGAAAAGCTCTGGGCGCTGCTGGTGCTCCATGACTCCCGGTCCTCCAAGTGGCGGCTGCCAGACATCGAAACCGAGCTTTCGCAATTCGCTATCGATCATATCAAGAAGGGTTTGAGGAGTGTCTAAATGCGAAGGTTCAATTCTCAACCAGTTGAAAATCTGATTACCGGGCTTCAAGAACGCGAACACCGATCCACCGCCTCCGGCTCCAGTCATTTTCGGATGAATTCCATATCGCGCTAGTGTTGTGCAAATCTGATCAACTTTCGGATGGCCAACACCAAGAGCAATAAGTAATTGATTATTTATCCGACACAAATCCTATAAAATACGTTGTAATTCTAATTTTTGAAAAGATTGTAGAAAATTGAAGAAAAAAACACGGTGCTGCTAAAACACATAAAAGCCAACCAAAAAACGATTGGGGGGTAGTGGGAGGGACAATGGGAAACGCTTACATTGAGCTTGCTAAACGTGTCGACAAGTTCTCCTTTTTCGGATGTCGCCGAAATGACCGAAGCCGATGAGTTGCGTTTCCCGCCTCCGACATACGATGAAAGCGACGACGAGCGGACACTGGCGGTGCGCGTCGGCTGCAACACGGGTTACTCCACAAGGCAAATAAAAGAATAAAAAATAATAAAACTCGAATATATTTTAGCTTCTAACGAAAAATCGCAAATCATTAATCAACTAAGAAGCGTACTAAGCAATAAAGCCTCGAAACAGATTTATTTCAAAAACGTTACCTGTAACGAATGATGATCATGCTCAATCACATGTCCACCAAGAGTTCCATTTTCCTTAAAATCGGGATTTGAAAGATCAACAATTCACAAGAGAAATTTACCATCGGTGCATCGCCACCTCCATTCTCCTCAATCAATGGCCGGTGAAGAATTTTCGCAGCTTCCACCGAAATAGCATCAATTGACGCAAACATTGAATCGACAACATCAGGAAACTATAAAATGCCTTATAAACTACCATCTAAATTCCAAATGTGTACCTTCTTTAATCTCTCCTTAACCGTTTGAACCATTCTCGCCGTGTTGCGTTCAACTTTCGAGTTCACCAAAATCACACGAAGGTCGGGAAGGCTAAAAAGAAAAACCCGCGAATTATTTTTTAAGAAAAACCGTCTTGCATCCTACTTTTTCAAATGCTCAATTCGATGGCCCGGCTTGAAACTGGCAACACCTCCTGAAATTCATTATTAATATTATGGATATCTGGTAATTGGGCTTTATCATTCATTTATAGCAACCAGGCATGCACGACATCGAAAAAAAAATGAACAACACTTGTGTATCTTTGCTCCCGAAACTCTTCAATTTTATTTTGAAAATATTCATTTTTATGTTGGAAAAATACAAAAAGATGAAAAGCAAAGATTTCATGTCAAGACGCGCACAACACTCAACAGGCAGACAATTTCTAATGAAGGAATGAAATATTCCGTTCTAGTCAGCTAGCTGTTAGAAAATGCCACGGTTTTAGTATCTAATAAATAGTAAAGAATCTTGTGAAACGAAGAAAGATGAAAGAGAGAACAAGAACTCAAAAAACGATTGTGAAAAGAGAATTGAAGAAGAACATCGAACAAAAAAATTGATAGAAAAAAAAAAAACAAAAAATGAATATAAGTAGACAGCAGGTGCAATCGAGAGGTCTCCAAAAAATATTAGTGTGGATATTTCTAGAAATCCGAAACCGGTCGACAGCACAAATGCAGCATTAAAACAAATAAGGTTTAAAAAATTACCGAAACATCCTACGTGACCAAGGTGGGTAAAGCTTTGATAGCCATAGTCACAATAGTGGTTGCCTAAAATTTCACCAAAAAAAACTCGATGATCTGTGCGTAATGGCAATTGTGTCAGTGAGCCGTGTGTGTACCCGGGAGGTAGATGAATTGTTAGGCGAGATGGGACACTTTCTTTCCTTCTTTTTTGAAACATCTTCTTTCTCAAATGAGGTTTGAAGCTGTACATATATGTTTGTATAAGGAATAGAGAAAATAAACGTCATGCACCACATTAATTCAGAGTCGAGAGCAAAGACTACACCGAAAAAGAGAATCAAATCTACATTTCACTTTCGTCTTTTGGATTTTCGGTCTTCCCGGGCACCATTTAAATTGATTCATTTCAAATATGGGAAAAGCCACGATCAATTATAGAAATCAATTAAAATGAATGATAGATGATTGAAAAAGGAAAAGAATTACCATAAGTGCATACGGCGGCGTCGAGACCCGAAGCGCGGCCATGAATCAATGATTCAGCAGCCGTCGCCCATTTGCGAATCATATCGAGATGATCATCTTCCCAAGTCAAATTGCCCTGCTCGTCAGCCTAGAAGAGTCAACTTAAATTGTATATCGAAATTGAAGGATTTCTAACAGGAATCGATGGTGGTGGAATCAATCCAGCAGTTTGTAACAATGCTGTCGCAATGCAAACGCAATAGGCTCCTGAAAATGATCAATTTTCTTCGTTACACACAAATGGAACCCCTACCCGATGAGCCGAGACCCACACAACTAGGCAGTTTGAATCGAACCGTAGCTTTAACTGCGAGCAAATCTCTGAAAATAATCGATTCTTTGAAAACCGCGAGCGTGAACGACTAAATATTTTCGTTGTGTATTGCTGCATGCTTCACAATCAATTCACAACACACATCAAACATTTCACGATTAAAATGATTGTAAAAAAAAAGAAAGAAACACACTGTTGAACCGCCGGACTATCGGGTCGAACATTCCCGGGCAACATGTTCGTCGAAGGGAATTGCGGCGCCTGCGTTTGAATTCCGGGCGACGGGAGCGGCGTGAGCGGCGGTACCGGCAACGAGAGCGCGATCTCGGCTTCCGAACGATCGCCACCGTTTCCATCGTTGCCTACACATCCGCCACCGATAACCGATAGATTTGTGCGATGAAGGCCTTCCGGTAGTGGCGGCGGTGGAAGTCCGCGAGCCAATCGAGCGAGTCCGCTGCAAAAACCAAACACACGTTCACTAGATTTGGGTCACTAAAGCTATCGTGCGGGGAAACGGTAGTGGGTGAGTTTGACGAATTTAACTCTTGTTTATTAAAATGTTTGGTTAAATGGAGGTGTTATTCGATAATATGTTTATGTTACTTTATAAAATGTGAACCAATAAAGTGCAGTAATTAAATTAAATTAATTCAATTTAAAAAAATAATGTAAAATATATAATACTTTTAATTAAGCAAACTACACAAAATCCAAACTAAGCACCCACATTCACACAAGCCGAAAACTACTATCGTGGTAAAATGAAAATAAATAATTAAAGCAATTTCAAAAAAAATTAAAGTGTTAGAAATTATACAATGGTTAAAAATGCGTTGCAAAAAACGTAGATAATAATTGAAAAAAAAAAACAGTCAACGCAAACCTTTTCCGATGCGCTACACCAAGGAGCAAATACCAAAATGCGAGAATCGCGAGGTGTTGAACACCACATTGATCTTCACAAGAACCCGACAATTTTCTGCAACAATTTTAAATAATATGCACATTTCAAAAGAAATTTGATCAACGCACCTAGCAATAGGAACCAAAATCTCAAGCGATGGCGGCTGATCCTCTTCAATAGGATAATCAGCAGCAAGCCGATCAGCAGCTTTGAGCAAATCTTTCAACATCCATGTCTTCTCGACACCCAGATCGGGAAGACTCAGATAAATGCGGCCGTCCGCCGATGTGAACAGCGAAACATAGGTTCTCAAGTCGATTGATCCCGCAATAGCAGTCTAAAATGTAAATTTTTGGAATAGCTATTATAGTCGGCGTCCACCAACTTCTGTAAGCGGATAGATTTACGGGTGTTTTTCTATTTTCTCGTGAACTGATTAATTTGTTTTCGATAAGTTTTCTATTTTTTTTTGAGTTTTCAATGTTATTAGACAACAATTATCGAAACGACGTCTAAACTGCAAAATAACTAGTTACTTCCATAGCGAAAGACGCATTCCCGTAAATCTACCCAATCGCCGAACGCCGAATATACATATAAATCATTATCACGCTCTCTCAAGTATTTTTCCAACGTACCCTTCCGTAAACAACCGCATGCTCGCCAAACAAAATAATCTTGCCCGGTGCTGAGACGAACAAACCGCCGTGTTGCGACGTCGTGTTTCGATGCATCGGACTCGCAGTCGCCGACACCGATGAGCCGGCCCGTGAGGTGCTACCCGAAGGTGAGTCCAGTGCTGAAATCAGACAACTCATCATCATAGTCCGCATTGGCGTAAATAATGAATGAATTGCCGGAATGGCTCGGCGATAGATAGTAGAAGAAGCAAGACATTTTTTTTTTCGAAAAAAATACACACACATAATACATTTCTTCTAATAATATAGAATTATGTCATACATATATATATATTTCAAATATATTTTTTTTATATGGCTACAAAAACTGCGAATGATGCATGAGGAAAAAATATGGAGAAACAAATTATGTTGAAAATTCCAATTATCGAATATAATTGGGAAATTCTAAGGAAAAAACCCAAAAAATTAATATTTTTAAGAAACTATGAAAATTTCTGGTTAAACCTCACAATTGCATCGAATTCGTTTTGTTTATTATGTTCAGCAAAAAAAAATCGAAAATTAGATCGAAAATGCGAGTGTAAACATTTGCACAAACACACCAAGCCAAACTAAACGAAGACCGTAATGACGTCAAGAAAACGATCCAAGGCAATGTTCTTATCGGTGAGATAATCGCCTCCATCTTTTTTTTCAAATTCTTCTTTCTATCGCCGAAAATAGAACAAAATGAAGATGATATCGTTTCTATTATTCGTACAAAAAAACGCAAAGCAAATATTGTGAATGCAAATGTCATCGACCTCGTTTGAATTCAACGAGAATTGAAACGTTCATATAAAACACATATAATACATATAGAGAAACCTGTTTTTTTTTTTTTGAATGATCAAATCTAAATCTGCCAACAAACTGCTCAAAAAACGACCAATAACGCCATTCGATATTTCAGCAAACTTTGTGATAAATGCTAGTTCGAGATAACTTGCGGTTTCAAGCCTCCAAATTTTCGACAACATTTGAAGCCGGATTGATTAGTACTTGTGCCACAAAACAGCACCACTCACATTTCTCCAAATTCAACTGTTCGATGTCAATTTTGAGCGCGTCCGCCGTGGGTCGCTCGTTGCGACAAACCTCGATCGTCTTCTTCGTGACAATCTCGACGCCATCCGCGTCGCGCGTCGTGATTATTTCTTCAGTTACAGTAATCTCGCGCTCATCGGACGACATCTCAACGGCTGCAATGTAGAGTTCACACACTTGTTACTAAACCAAAAACCATGCAAAAAAATATCGAGAGTAAGTCGTGAAGAAAAAAAACCAATAAAACACATATACACACATACACACACACAGCGAAGTGCGGAAAAAATAATGGAAAATTGAAAGCGAGAAGATGGAGAAGATGGAGAAATTGGCCACCTTTGCGAAAGCTATAATTTCAGCTGGCATTTTGCGAACCACGAAAATCTCACTCGTTTGTGAAATATTGAAGATTCAACATTCTTTTTTTTTCTTCCTACATATCTTGAAGAAGAAGAAGGAGAATGAAAAAAGAAGAAGCAGGAACGCCTCATAAGTAATTTCAATTATTCGAGAAAAAAAAGTTTAAAAAGGTTCTCACTCTCTTTCTCTCTCACTTTTTGTTAAACCACATAATCTTCTTATAGATACGTATTATGACGAAAATGAATTCCCGTATTTATAAATTGAAACATTTCAAACAAATTGCATGGTAACATATTTCGCGTAGAGGAGGAACATGTGTGATATGATACATTGAATATTCGCATTTTTTAAAACGTTTTGAAAATTGCATGAACACGATAACCACGAATGACGTCGACGATAAGCGATGCGTCGGATTTTGATCGGGAACCAGAAAATCGGTCAAACATTTTACACGTTATCATCCGAATCCATGCCGAAATGACGCACATGGAAATTGTCGACCACGAAAGAAAGCGAAGCGAAGGAGGAAAAAAGTAACGAATGGAATGAGCTCGCTCTTCTTCCAGTTGTTACGAACAACTCTCCTCAAATTCCCCCCCCCCCCTCCGTCCCGTTTGGCAGTTCGAAATGGACACTGCACAAACTGCGGAGAACAACAACAAAAAACAATTTAAAATCCCGGCTTCTTCGATCAAAATGGTCCCGAGGGGCGGATGGCTTACGAAAACGAAAAAGATGGGCAGGATACTTCGAAAATTGGTAAAGATTTTCATTTGTAGGCAAGCTGAAGAAGGGAACTACTTGGTTAAGCATTTATTTTCAGAAGAAAGTGAAACCAAAATAAATTATTATATCACAATCACATTTTTTTTCATTTGTTGTTATCTTTTTTCCATCCCATCTATTCACCGGCAAAATTGTAAATTTTCCCATCAATTTTCCTCTCAACAAAAAACTTTGTTTAGAATGAAAGAAAAACGAAGATGAAAAAAGAACGAAGGCAGCAGCTGCTTCTACTCTCTATGACAAAATATGATTAAACGGCTTACCTTGATCGCCACCTATCACGACCATTGACTAATTCTGTAAAAGCGCTCGTCGGCTTCGATAAGGGTTCACAAATGGTCGATTGTCTTAGGTAATATTGCCCGCAATTCTCCCGCCAAGCCTTTGTATTCCAGCAGTCTGGAACAAAATCTAATTTTATTACATGGAAGAAAAAAATCGAAAACAATGTTTTATTGAATTGCAGTACGAGAAAGAAAGAGAGAGAGAGAGAGAGAGAGAGAGAGAGAGAGAGAGAAATGTTTAGAAAAAAAGAGAAAAATGCAAAGTGCGGACAGGATTCGAAAATGACTGTCAAATTCAATTTCGAATGCGCACACGAATGAAGGTACGAGTTTTCTGTGTATAAAAGCATATTTATGGAAGAAAACGTTAACACGGGGTTTTTTTTGACTATGTATATAAAAAAGGGAAGTTCTTTTGGGAGCCGAATTTTCTTCTACATGTATATAAAAGCTTAATAAATTTAGTCGCATGAATTAAACGTTCAATTTTCAGACATGTAAAATTTAAAAGAAACGAAATGAATTTAAGCTAAATACGATTATATATATATATAATATATTTTGCAAAAATCGATGACATTTCGGTCCTGCATTTCAGGAAAAATTGCCTTTTCCGGCCCTTCATTAGAGAAGTGGCACATCATTGGTAATTAGCAACTCGAAAATGCACAACAAAGTGTATAACAAAAGAAAAAGTTGTGATTTTTTCAAAGCAAGCTAGTTCAAAGAATCGTCGGATTTTTAAAAACAGAATTTTCATTGAAAATTCTGACACGACAAAAGCCATCTCTCTATTATATGCTAGGAGGAGGGGAGGAATGCGAAAATAATTCAATTTTTTGAAGAAAATTTCATACTAGAAGAAAAAACTACTTCAGCCTGAGAAAGAAAAGCTGAGAATTTCTGTCGAAAGCCGTGTGGAGGCAGCGGCAACAGGAGCCGTGCAGCTTGATGACGTCAGCAACGAGGAGAGGGTCCCCCCGAAACATCGTCTTCTTCTTTTTTTTCGCGAGTTTTTATCTTTTCTTCTTGTTCACACGCCTATTTCTCACCGTCTTCGCCAAATTTGTGTATTTCAAGGCTCATTTGTCAACTTTTACGCGGTTTCGGGATTTTTTTCATAGCCACCACCGCTGCCGCGGCTACTGCCAACAGAGTGCACTATTACGGAGAAAAAAAACCTACTTCTGCAGGCGGCAGCCATTTTTTCTTTCATCGTTGCGACGCCTCACACACATGCACAACGCACATACACACACACACACACACAACACACTCGTCGCCTTATTGTTTTTTAGCTAGAATTAATGAGGCGAAGGCGCTTTTTGCCACGGTTCACCTGTTCCATTAGGAATGAAAAGAAACGAGAAATCACGAAACACTGAAAAAATATCAAGGAAAAGAAATGATTTGAGAGCTCGCCCGAATTGAAATCAAAACTAGTCGGCCGAATAAGAGGAAAAACACATTTAGGCAAAAAAAAATGAAGTTAATCATGTAAGCATGTAGGTATCGTAGCCCCCTATAAGTAGCTTCTGTGAGGCACACGCAGCAAATATTTCTCGCGGCAGGAAAATGACTGAAACCAATCTCTTCGCTCAATTTACCTGAGAAGCTGCCGTGTTTTTCGTTCGAACAAAATCTTGAACGATTTCTTCTTTTTTCTCTTTGCCCACTTGTCAACAATATTTTCAGTCCGTAAAGTTGACAAGTTTACCCATAGAAAAAAAAAACGGCAAATCGTGGGAGCGGCATATCTAACAACCAAAAAGAAAGACACAAGAGATTTTCTGCACAAGAAAACTAACAAAAACCACACGAATGGAAGGGCTTAGTAAAAAAATACATAAGCCCAAAGAGATTAGATTCAGCACCGTTTGTCAAACAAGAAGAATGGAAACGAGGCACAAAATGAATCGATGTCGATTGAAAGGTTAAAGTTCGTCGACCTCGGCTGACTTGTGTAAATTCTCTCGTAAGCCCATGCCGAATAGCAAGTCTCAGGGGGGTGCATCCAGGCAGTCATCCAACCATCCGGGTCTGCACACACTTTTCTCGTTTCGCCTCCTCTATCGTCATTTTCTTCTTCGCTTTGCGCCAGTAAAACTACGATCTGCGTCTCGTTCTTGAATGAGGGTGTACCTGTTGGCAGACACGCCTGCTCCTTCCGCCCAAACAGCTTCTTCATCGTCATTGCCCCCCCCCCGTTTCCGATTTTCTAGGTGTAATTCCGACTGGAGATCGATCGCCTAATTATTCAATGATCGTGTGAAAACAAAAAAACCGCATTTCGCAAAACACGCATAAATTATGAACCAAAAGAAGCTTTAAAATAAATAAATTATTGAGCGGGCGAGAATGAAATTGACACTTTGGGCAGTCGAAAAATGTCCGTAAACACTTGACGCACAAACCACAGACCAGACCGCGAGAATCTTATCAAATATTCACCGGAGGTGTGGGCTTTACTATATATTTTTTTAAACGTATATATATGTATATATACATATAGATAGATAGATATGTCCACACATATGGGCGAGGGTGAACAAAAGATGGCGAGACGGAGAGCATAGCTACTCGTCGCGCTCGTAACGAGCCACAACCAACAATTGCCGAGTAGGAGGGTACATGTGGAAAATGTGACCAATGTGTGGTGGGTAAAACGGAATTCACCAACCACCCGGGTTGCAGCAGCAGAAAAATATAGTTTGTAAAAGAAAAGCTTTCTTCAGCTCCCTAGCAACCTAATGCAGGTGTTTTTAGGTCAAGAAAAGTCTAAACCACTGTTAGTTCCCAATTTAGAAAAATAAAAACCAAACGTAATTGAAGCGCAGCGATTTACTTGAATAACGTGGCAAGATCAAAAATAGAAAAGTTCACGTAAAAAAAGCAAATAATAAATAAAGCTTTCACATTTGGCTAAACAATCTTATATAGGTTTTGTGCAACTACGAAACGATAAATGATGAACGGGACTGAGAAACGTAACATTGAGAAAAATCGCAAACGAGAAAATTGACAACAAAGAAAAATTACGAAGAACGTCAGCGTCCTAATTTTTTTGGGCGCATACACCGTGGTCCCCCTGCGCGCGCGTCCTCTTCTACCAGAAACGCAATTTCTTGCCGCCCCGAGGCAATGAAAATCCGAGATGCATGTGTGTGGGCGCCGTGCCCGCGGATTATGGCGTGAGTAACGGGCGATTATCGACAACGGCAATGAACGAGCTAAAAAGAAGAAGAAGAAGAAGCCGATGAAAGTCGCAGAGCCACCGAAAAAAATAAACGATTTTCGCTGATTAGAATTAACCGACTGTTGGGCCTCGGCTGTTTTCTCTCCCGAAACAATAAATCAATTTTGATCGCATCAGCAAACCACTAAGTTTAAAGCTTCTTTGGATCTCAGATATATTACTTGAAGTAAAAAAAAACAGTTGACGTTTCAACCAGAAAAATGAAGGGGTTTCAAGAAAAAGAATTAAAAATAATGCACAAGACAATTTATAAAGAATTAAAATTTCAATTCATTATCCGAAACAAAACTCCCTGAAACAAAAAAAAATGCGCAGGATTGTACAACAAATTCCGGTTTGAAGCAGAAAAATTATGGTGGTGTCAGATTTCAAGCAAGCGATATGGCACAAAAATCGAAGTTTCTTATTCCTTTTTTCCGAAGGCAAAAATTGTTAAGAGAGAAACTCGACAAATATAGGCTTAAGCTTCATCTTTCCGTAGAAAATGAAAAGAGCTCGCCGAAAAAAAAGAAGCTCGCGCACGGCACAGAGGAGAAGGAGGAGGGGGAGGAGGAGTAGCTCCGAGGGAGTGAAGTAAAGCCTGGAAAAATAGCCGGAAAAAAACGATGAAGGAAGCCTTTGACGAGAGACTTATACGCTCACACATGAGCATTCGAAGCGCGAGTTTATCCTCGGCCAGCCAAAAAAGCTCCGTGCGGAAGCTGAGACTCACCGCCAGTGATGATGGCCAGACATTCAGAGTTTCTTAGACGTCTTCTAAAGATATTATGCGCACATTCACGGGAAATCTTCGGGTTCCAAATTGAAACATGATACCTCGCTTAATTTCAATTTCTCCCGTTTTTTTGGGCCAATTTTTCTGATCCGCAAACTGGTGAAACTTTAGCCGGCGTTTTACACACATTTTAAGCGAACTCGGCATACGGAATGAGAAAGACGAGAATAAAACACACAGAAACAAACGGCGGAAAACCTAGGTTCTCTCTATTACGAGGATGGCCGACAATTCTTTAAAAGTAGAAAAACTCAAGAATCAGTCAACACCAACAACAACAGAAAACGCAAAAAAAATGAGAGAGAAGGCTCAAAAAGGAGAAAAAACGAGCCGTCTAAGTATGTGCAGCGTTTGTGTTTGTAAAAGGGTCCCTTGGGATACATATTTGGCCGGGAGACGAGTTTCGAAGATACTTGTGTGCGTTTCTCAAGGAGTTTCGATGAATCGTTCATTCTGCCTATTTTTCGCAATAATCAAAATAAAAACATACATCCCTCTCATAATCTTCTATTTATCCATTTTTTCGAGCTATAGCCAAGTGAGAAATGTCAACAAAATTCGGTAATGAAATGCAATCCCTAAAATTTCCGCCGCTGCCTTTTTGATATTTGCAATAAATACACGAGCAAAAGGAGAAAATAACAATAATAATTGCAAAATAACGGTTCCAATTTCAAAGTCCACCATTCACTAGGAAGATTATTATCACAAATAAGTCTATCCAAAAATACACGAAAACTTATATTGTAATATCTTTCTTAATATTCATTTCAACCAAAAAATTTTTGCAAAATGGCTGATCATGATTATGATAATATGAATCCAAATTTACCTAATGGTGGACTTGATGGAGATCCACCTTTAGCGGTAAATCTTCACCAAATTTCAGTCTAATTACTGACAAGCTTGTTACAGCCAGGTTCGTCCTATATAAAGAGGCCAAACTCAAAAGAGAAAAAGAGTAAAGAACGCTCAAAATCAAATAAAGCATCGAAAGAAAAATCGAGGAAAAAATCTGACAAGAAACATTCTCGAACCCCGAAAAAATCGAAAATGGAAATTTCACAGGAGAAATTTTTCGATAAATCAATTGAAAAATCGAGGAATAAATCAAAGAATAGATCAAATCGCTCACGAAGAAATACGAAATCTCAAAAACCAAAAGTTTGAATTCTCTTTATTTTTATTCAATAACCAAAACATGCATTTTTCAGCGTAATTACGACAATTTGGTAATCCCGTCATTGGTGAGGCTTTTTCAAAGCGGACGCCCTCCCTCCGACCCCCAAAAATGTACATTCTTTAGACGTGCTATAAAGCGAGCCTCTCAGTCGCCATAATTGCTTTCTTCATAAGCATTGGCACATTTTCAATGGTTTGTCAAAGAAAGGCGAAAATAAAATGTAAAACAAAATTTGATTTAGACCGTTCTGGAAGTTTATCAAAATTTAGCGGGTGACAAATTGCTAAAGCAATTGCCGATATTCAAACCTAATTAATGCATATTGCCAAATAAAATCTACACAACTTTTATGGACTTTTTTGCAAACATCGCGCATGTACATTTTCCCGTGATTAGTCTTCTCATTTTTTGTTAATCGCGAAAAAACGACAGTATTATTCTGGATCACGATAAAGAGCCTAGCTATGAGGGAACATCCTAGTAGTCATGACGCTAATGGAAATTTAAGTCGTTTCTACAGAAAACCACTGCAGAGCACCATTAAATAAAATTTTATTTGATTGATGAAATAATTGGTATTTGCTAATGCACACGCGGTTGCCGTTTTTTAGTCATTTATACGAAATATTTTTTGAGAATCTTCTCGTTGCGAATCGCTTCTAATCTGTGACCAAATGTTTTTCGAAAATTAATAAAATATTTTATTCAGGGAAATGCCTGATAATAAAACGAGCGACACCACAAAGTCATCGGTGTTCAATGATGACGATTCGCCAGCTGCATTTTCAATATTGCTAGGGACCAGCACAGAGTCAACGGGAGGAGACCCAACGGGAATGATCTCAATTCTAGTGAATATTATCTAAATAAATGGAACAATTCACCATATTTTAGATACAAGACGATGAAAATCATTGCACGGATCGAATGCTTCTTCGATATTCTCATACTCATCCTTCGGCATTTTGTAAGGGACATGTAAATTTTTCGCCCAGTGAATTTCCATCATTTCAAATTTTAGACAGATTTATTCGTTATTTCGCAACAGCCAAGTCTGGGAAATCTGGACAGCATTGAAATATTCTTCAATGATCGCGAAAACCGTAAACCAAAACCATTTTTATGCAGGTTATGCTCGCTTAAATTTTTTACAGCCTTAGAAAACCCATGGAAATTGCGAAGTTGTGTGGTTTTCCATCACGAAAATGGAAAGATTTACAATTTCGAAATTGATGAATCGAAATCAAACAAGAACGTGAAGAAAATTGTTACAATTTCTCTCATTTTTCCAATTTAGACATTCATTCTGCGCGCTAAAGGAGACCCAGTCCAATTGATTCCGACAAAGCTTCCAAACCCGTTCAAATAAAACTAGCAGAAGAAAGAACAAGAAAAGATACAAGAAACAGAGCAGAGCTCATTCATATCCTACATAGCTCATCTTACCGGCAGAACTGCTCAAATACATACAACTATGCTTTGTTGTCGAATTCCAATGATAACGACTGACTTGTCAACAAACAAAACAACTTTTAAAAATGATGTCTCAAGAGACATTAGTCAACAAGAAAAACGCTAAAAATAAGTATGACAAAACAACCGGCTGAAAACCGGAACACACAGAATGTGAAACTAACATAAGAAAACATTTATATAATTCAACATGTAATTATTCTGTAAAAATATTTTTCTGTTTGTTTTAATTTCGGGATTTGGCTCGAGCCATCAAGGCAATAAATGCAAATAGTCGGAAAGCGAAAATCATCGCAATCATTATTACGATATCCATAAGAAAGTGAGATTCGGAGAAGCTCATTTTTTCCAAAACATCCGTTCCATTACGTGGACAATTTGCACTTAGACATCCTGCAAATTAACAATTTTTTTAATAATCAAAAATAATTTTACCTGAAATTTCCTCAACGCGTGTCCATTGGTTGATAGCGACAACTTCATAAGCATATCCAAAGTACGACAAATATTTCAAAGGGACAAAAAAGATTGGAAGAGAATCTTGATTGATGAAGAATCCTCCAAACGCCATCATTGGAACAACAAAAATTGGCATAACGGCGACAGCAAGATTGATTGTCCCGAACGCGCAGCTGAAGAAATAGCCTGCAATCATGTGTATTTTAATATAGATTAATAAATATGAAAGCTAACCAATGGATATCGCAATATTCTGAATAAGGAATCCGACGAGAACATATATCGCGAACGCGTCAAGAGCAGCTGCGAGTCCTGACATCCAATACAAGATCGAAGTGAAAATAATTGCCGACAATGCATATGAAGGCATCTCGGCAATGTTTTTGGCGATGAAGTAGGCGCTGACACGATAAAGGCCCGATCCAGATTCGCGGTAGAATGTGTTAATTTCGAGGCAAAAATGCTAAAAACTAAAATTTAAGAAGAACACCTGATATTCGTTACATGAACGACACTGAATTGGAACATAAAAGCCATGTTCGTCACCATTTGATAAAGCGCTCCGTTAATATTCATTATATTCTTTTGATCAACCGATTGATTGTTAGTGTAGATTAATCCAGTAAGTACGGCGATAATCTGAACGAACCAGGCAAACTTAGTTGTTAGAAAATACACTCACAATACTTTGAAACAATTGAACTTTTAATAGTGTCGGCTCTCGAATAACCGTCTTCGTTGCTCTCCATGTTAGAACAGAAATCTGCTGCAAGAAGGTCGCATTGAATTTATTCTCCTGAAATGTGTCGTAGCGCCGCCTCCAGTCTTCGCTGCTCGAATCGCTCTCGTCTTCAGCTAAAAATTGCTCTAAATCAATTAAAATTCAATTATAAAAACGGCTCACAATCTCTCATCGTGGCTTCTTTCATCAAATTTTTCCCTTGGTCGGATTTTTCAAACGCCGAACAAATCATCCGAATTTGATCCTTCTGTCTAATACTATCTTTACTATTGTCTTCATTGCTAGAAAGTGTCGCCAGGTAATGGTCGCAAGGGTTAAAGTTTAATGGAACAGGAAGACCCACTGATGCCCACATTTCTTCCGCTTCTGACGGCGGTCCACAAAAAGCAACACGGCCTTGGCACATAATGTAAACGCTGGAAAACATGTATTATATGTATTTATGGAAATTTTTCTGATAGAGCGAACCTGTCGAAAAGCTGAAAAACCTGAGACGATGGCTGATGAACGGTTAGTAAAATCGTCATTCCCTTGTTTCGTGCCAATTCTTTGAGAACACAAATCACTTGATACGCTAAATAGGCATCCAATCCAGATGTTGGCTCATCGCAAATCAGAATAGGCGGACTAGTAAGAATCTAAAAATTCCAGTGGTACGCCTCAAATTAATGTGCTAATACCTCACTAGCGAAAGCTAACCTCTTCTTCTCACCTCCCGAAAGACCTTTCCTAGTCCGCGTACCGATTATAGTATTTGCACTGTTCTTCAGTCCTAACTAAAAGCTAACTGTTGATTTTGACTTAAGAGTTCATTTTCAAACCAACATCATTCATAACTTCATTCACTCGTTTTTTCATATCCCTTTTCGAATATTTTCGCCCCATTCGTAGTTTCGCCTTGAAAAATTGCAATTAAAAAAATATATGGTGAGTAGTTCCAGCGCTCACCATGAACCATAAATGTTCCTCGACCGTCAAACTGCCAATAAAAAGATCGTCCTGCTGGACATATGCACATATCTTCTTCATGAAACTGCGTGAAACCCGTAGTCCATTGACCTTGAATCATTAATTGTGCACACAATTTCATTTGTTTTTCTCATATTGTTAGTACGCTGGCACCATAGTACAATTGAGTACGACGAAACATCGACCCCCGGTGTTGTCATGTGAAGTCGGCAACGTTTTTCGAAATTCAAAACCATCCGTTCCATTTGTCATCAAAAAAACTAGACTGGCTTATGCAATACCCCGTTGTTGGAAAGTCATATCATATCACCACCAAGACACACGTGATTTCCTAGGTAAACTGTACTCTATCGAATAAGACGGAGTGCAGAATTCCATTTTCCGCTTCATACCGATACTCAAAATTGACTTAATATTATAAAGCGAAGAAAAATCGACATCCGATGGGGGTCGAAAGTCAATATTGAACTAAATAGACACGAAATTCACATGTGAGACATTGATAAAAACGCAACGTCTTGTTCTCTCACTCTCTCCCTCTCGTGAGAAGGGAATTTCCCATTCTCATTTCCCATGATCTTTGCAAGTGTACAATAATCTTCAAATATCTCTGTGTCTTTCTTGATAAAAGTGAGGTGAAATGATGACAAACCAATTTTTTTTCTCAAAATTATCTGTTTGCTACCATCGAGTTACCGAAATACCCTCACTAGAAAACAGATGTTATCGCGAAAAGTCTTTGTTCGACCATTACAATTTGTCATTGTTCGAAATTCTGTTATAAATGCCGGGGCATATATAGTTTTCGTTCTACGTCGTTATTATATACGTTTTTGCATAAAAAACGTGAACGACTATTTTCTTCATCGATACCATGATCAATCAAGTTTCGTCTTTTTCTTCTTTCACTTTTATAATTCATTCGTAAATTATCACTCAGAGCACATGTGATAAACGTTCTGTGTAGTCTTGTCCGAAAGGTCGCTAGTTTTGATTTTGCACTCTGCGTCACTTTTTATTTTACAAGAACCGCCTCTTCTAATCATCCTCCTCCCATTAAAAGTGGCGATGGTGATAAAGACGAGTCTTTCCGCCTTCTAACGTTCACTGATTCGATTTTGTTGCAAATTTATTATCATCTGAAGACCAATTTTCAGATGTCTTCGGAACCGTCAACATCAGACTCTCCATCTGTCTTTCTCAACAATGTCCACAATGTCCGAAATCCATGGCTAGGACGTCGACGGATCGCAGACAACTATTATCCTAACGGGTAAGTTCCTTTATACAAGATTAAATTAAAACTTGGTTGTGATTTTTCAAGAAGCACAAGAACCGATGAGCTCATTCTTCACGACTATGGTCTAGAAGAAATTCCACTTCGCTATCAAGAAGTTAATCAGGAAGAGAATTATAACCCAGAGAACATCCGCAACCTAACATTGACCAAGAATTCATTTGTCAGTCTACGAGGGCTCTCAACATTCACAAATGTCGTACACATTGACATTTCCAACAACTCTCTCACTTCTATTCCCGAAGATATCGGAAATTTGTCCCACCTTACGTAAGCGCAAATTCCCTTTATTCTTTAGAATACAGAAACCTTGCAGAACTCTCGTTGCCCGAAACAATTTGCTGGAAACCCTTCCAAAGTCCATGTGCACATTGTCAAACATGGAAGCCGTATATCTTTCCGGAAACAGAATCGGTGAGTAATTGTTTCTATTTAGGACTGAATGTTCCAACTTTCAGATAGTTTTCCCGCTGTTGTTTTCAACATGCACAAGCTGAAAGTGCTCCACATGGGTGGAAATCAAATCGACTCGATTCCATTCGCCATCGGTAGCATGAGATCGTAAGCAAATCTCGTTTCATTCATTACAATCATATGGAATTCAGTCTTGAGATACTTTATCTCGGAGGAAATCGTATCACCGAGGTGCCAGCCACCACTGGCCTTCTCAGAAATCTCACCGCTCTATCGCTATCTGACAATCGTCTGGAGACAATTCCATCCACGTTGGGCGAGTTGCACCACTTGGAAAGTCTCACATTGCACAACAACAAGCTCACTGTACGCCTGCACAATGACATCAGAAAATAAATTGACAAATTCAGACACTTCCTACGGAAATCATCAAACTTCAAAACCTTCGCCAACTTTCTCTCCGTCATAATCCACTCGTCAACAATTTCGTGCACACAATGAGCTTCGATCCGCCATCTCTCAAGGAATTGGCCGGTAGAGTGGTCCGTCTTCGTATGCACAAACTTCCTCTTACTGAAGTTTTACCAGCGTAAGTAATTCTAATGCAATGCTGACATCAGCCGTTAATTCGCAAATCATGTTTCGCGATTAAACCGCTAATGAATTGTATTCGAGCGGCAACAGTGTCTCGGTCTCTTCAAGTACCATAGGAACAAAAAAATGATTTTTTATTTGAGAATTACTATGAGTAAAATATCGCAGATTCTTCATGACATAAAATTCGTTATAAAAAAAACCATAAAATCCGGTTTTGTAGCGACAATAATGTTTTTCACTGTCAATTTTAAATTCTATAAATTTTAGGGAACTCATTGATTACTTGCGATCCGCATGCCAATGTGTAAATCCACAATGTAAAGGAGTCTACTTCGAAGCTCGAGTTGAGCACATTAAATTCGTCGATTTTTGCGGTAAATATCGCGTCCCATTACTCCAATTTCTATGGTAAATTTTCTACTAAAACATCGAATTCTACTCAAAATGTTTCAGCTCGCCAGGATGCTCCTCGGGACTACCTAATGTTCAATACGAGAGTTCATCCGAATCCGAGGAAGAACTTTTCGAACCACGCCTTCGCAAAGTGCTTCTCGGCTAAATTTAAATTTTTCTACAAATGCTTTAATCCCAATTAATTACATTATACCGAAATAAAACATTAAATAAACAAAAAAGTTCTAAATAACAATTGGTGGAGCGGATTAAATACAGATTTGACGTGTAACCGTCCTGTGATGCCATCGTTAGGTTCATCAGTATAAACCTATTTTCAATCGATTACTACTATGAATAGTAAATTGCTAATCGTTTTACTTTGCTGTCTGACTTCCGTTTTATCGGTAACAAAAGCTCCAAATCGGATGTCAAGAAATACAAAGGTTCGTTGGAAATGTTATCTGAATTCGTTCGACCAATCGCATCACTACAGTAATCTACAGTATAGAAATGATGTTGTTATTGCTACTTGCAATTAAATCTCAAGGCCATATCCTTCATTTCATTAATAGATTCTCAAACTATTTGAACGTTTTGAACCTTTCTAGTATTTGTAAATAATTCAAGAACAATAAAGACTAGATCTCACAGCGTTAAAGCTGATACTGGTTTCAATGCGCTACTTCATAATAATGATATATAAAAATATTGTAATAGTCAGTCTGCGTACTCTAAATTTTAGTGTATGCACAATTAATATTTATGCCTTTCTTACAATTTTTGAGTTTCTCAGATCTACATTGATTTTGCGAAATAGAATTTACCACCACCGATAGGTTGTTAGACGTCAATAATATTTAGTCAGTATATTGACCACTTTCAGATATTAAATCTACCAAATATTAGATGCGTCTTAAAATTAGGTCTATAAATGTACTTAAACCCGCAATAATAGCCTCTAGTCACTAATTTAAACTTTTTTTAAGAAAGCTGTGAACCGACTCGTTGACTGCCTTGTCCCTGTTGACACCGTTTTAGCTGCGAAAACAGCCGAATGTAACGATAAAGTGTGTGTGGCAAGTGCGAAGAAATACGCGAAAAAGAAGTATCCTCAACAGTATGAAGCCACAATCATCCCATGCCTCTCGCCGACCACACCGACCATACCAACGCCGATATAAGTTGTCTGTTGAAATAAAAATTTACCTTAACGCTTCCGCTAATATCCAGATCAGCGCCATTTCGTTGAGTGAGAACATTGAGAAGCGACGTTTTACCAGCTCCGCTTGGGCCTACGATGGCTACGACTTCCCCGGGTCTCGCCACACCAAACACATTGTTCAGCACATAGTTCTTTCTAGGCGCTTCTTCCATTTTATTGTACGAAAATTCCGTTTTGTTGTGAGCAAAAAGATCGAAACTAGAAGATTTGTCATTCTTTGGCTAAAAATTGAAATTTGGCACGTAATTTTATAAATAAAATACCACAGCCTGCACGTTATACCAGGAAAGTAGCATTGAAGGAACCGTTGCAGGTATTGTCATCTGGAGAAATGATAAATTTAAAATTAAAGAATAATTTACCTCTCTACTCTCATCTTCGAAGATTGATGATCCATCCTTTATGATATCCATTGATTCTATGGATTCATGAATAGACTGACGTCGCATCGAAAATTATAAAAATTGTCGAAAAACAATGAGCTAATCAAATGAAATAGAAAAAGAGAAAAAAAATTATTAAAAAAAATAGGAAACTCAAATGTTCAAATTGAATTCAAAAAAGTTTCGAAATGTGAAGTCCGCAATTTTCCGATGCGGTGCAATGCACAAAACGTTAAAAATAATGAAGTGTAGGCCAAAATCGTTCTTTTTTAAATCAAATATCAGTGATCTCCAAAACATTGATCTCGCTGCAACCAACGATGGTAGCCGGTTTTGCAGAAAAAGGCTTCGAACTGATGTGCAATGCAACAATATTTGTTGATAACCAATACTCGCTCTACATTGATAAGGAACAATCGAATATTCGTTAACAGTTTTATTTGTTCAATTAGAAATAACCAATGTAATGTTGAAAAATGACGAACATTTAAGAGCATTGGTTTGTCTCTGAATATTTATTTCTCTTGGCTTGCTTATTGAGCGTAAGGAATCCGCCCGTCGGAGTTCCCCTCTCATTATCTTTCTTCAGTGGACCGCGTCAGAAACGTCGTCAATCAAAACGAGTTTCCTTGAAGTATTTATTTTTTTATATTTATTTATTTATTTATTTACCAGATGATTCATATTTTAAAATTGACTAATAATTTATAAAAATGTTATAATTACGATGTACATAAGAATTCCAGAAAGAGAGACAAGTACTAACCCATATAAAATAAATACAGTGAGGCCTTACATGCAATAAATATTAATAAAATTAGATATGTTTAGCAACAGTATCCTTCTTCTTCCAGTTTCGCGGCTTCACTTGCTTTCAGTATAAGTCGCTCTTGTTCCTGATAATTTATTTTTTCTTTGCTAATAAACACGAAGAAAAAACCTTCAATTGCCTCTCATCCTGAGATTGAACATGCATCGGTTTGCTTTGCTGCAATTTGTGAAGCAAAGTTAAGAATATTGATTCGACGTGGTCCGCTTCCGAAGCTGCTTTTGCTGATGTTTCAAAAAGCGCCATATTATTGCGATCCGCGAATATTTGAGCTTCATCGGTGCTAACGCGATTAGAACACTCCACGTCGCATTTATTTCCAATCAAAATACGCGGTGCTTCGGAATCCGATGTTAGACCATGCTTCTCACACTCGCGGATCCAGAGTGAAAGTGAATTGAATGAATCTCGACTGAAAATCGAAATATTTTAAAACCGTAATTTTCTCAAGATTCATACCATGTTACATCATATACAAATACTACAGCATTCACATTCCTGTAATAATGTGCGACAATCGATTGTCGATATCTCTCCTGACCAGCAGTATCCCACAATTGGACCTGAGTTAAATGTACCTTTATAAAAAAATTGTAAAAATAAAACATACCCTTAACAATTCATTCTCAATAACACAGCTTCGTTCGCGGAAATCGACGCCAATAGTGGCTTCCGTGTGTTCTGGAAACCGTCCACAACAAAATCGAAATGAGAGACAAGTTTTCCCTACTCCTGCATCGCCAACAATAATAACCTAATATTAAATTAAATAAGATGGAGAGTCAAAATAAAAAAAACTTTAAATGTGCGTTTTTGCTTGAAATGCTTATTCGGGGGCGGTGCCAAAGCCATTTTCTTATTAATAGGTTCTTGAGCTGGTGGTGGTGGTGAAGCTAAAGGAGTTTGAGTTGGCACGGAAGGTGCTGGTTGCGATGAAACAGGATAAGGAACCCGCATCTAAAATGTTAAAAAATTAACTGAAAATATTTCGAATTGTCTACAGAATTCATGTTTTTCTCTGCGTTTTCTTCGGGATGCGTTGCTGTTACTTGGGTGACAAACTGAGAGATGGGTCGAGGAGGATCAATAGCTGTTGCAAACGTCGAGAAATGAGACGGAGGAATTGTTGGGATTCCGTGTGATTGCTCAGACATTATGACTACCTTAAAACATTTAAAGCGGAAAATTAAGTTGAAACCAGGTACTGTGAGATTTGCAACTCAGAGATTAAAGCAAAAATCAAAACCTTGGATACCAGAGAAAAAACCATTTATGATAAATAAAACATATTATAAATTTTTGTTTCTCGGCCCGACTGGGTACAGCTTGCCCTCGTTAGCCAAGGTTGTGTACGCTTGACGGACGTGATGCGGTTTCAAGGGTTCATTGGCTTCGGCAGGAATTTCATCTTTAAGATCAAGCGCCGTCTCAATAATTTCTCCAACAAACACCTAAATTGTTTAATTTTAAGAAATACTACACATGATTATTACTTTAGCGAGACCCGCAACAGCGATAACAACATTTTGACCAATATTCAATCCTCCTGTGTATTGATGAATTAAACGCCGAATTGTGGATTTCGGAAAACTTGATCTGAAAATGAAATAATTTCTTTTTGTTTTTTTTTTTTTACCAAAAAATACCTTCTATATGCCTCGTAGCGATTGAGCTGTTCTTGTGAGAAATTAGAGATTAAAATCTGCATTTTCAGCCGAGCCAATTCACTTTCCTCGTCTAATTTACTCGTAATTGCTTCTTCCACTTCGTCTTTTGGTTCTTCTGATGTTGTTGCTTCGGATGTCGACGGTTTAGGCTCAGCAAGGAAAGGCTTTTTGAAAACGGCGTTGTCATTTTCATTTGATTTTTCCACTAAAGGCGAAGCGGTTGGTAAGTACTCATTGTCAATTTCTTCTTTCACTGGAACAATTATCTTCTCGGTTGTTGGAGCTGCTCCATCAACACTGTCAATTCCCGAATCCAAATCGTTTAATAAACTGAGTGCCTAAAGCGACCAATTTATGAATTATTTCTTTTATTGATTTGTTACCTCGTGAAAATTCGTTGAAGCACTTGGAGCCGGTTTGCTTCGTTTAATATCGCTTGGTTCCGGCGTTGGGCTTGGAATTTTTCTTTTCATATTCTTCTCCGCATTCGTTTGTATCATTCGGAGATGATCAATGTCCGGCATATCCAATGAATCTTCATCTCCCGAAATTGAGAAAACTACTCTGTTACGTTCAGTGATTGATACTTCTCTCGTACTGCTGTCATCGCTGTGAAATTAAAAATGTATTGTGTATATTTAAATATGATTTTAATAAATACCTTATAACAGTTTCATTCTTTTTTTCTTCATCTTCGCTATCGCTACTGCTTTCACTAAGACCACCAAACAAATCATTTGCGTCCATTTCTGTAGAAAAACGTAAATTTTACATAAAAGTAGGGAAGAAACGCCAAAAATTCCACATGACACTCCGTATGGAATACACAAACGCAATTAGTGCGGCCGCGGCCATCTAAATATTAGGCCATTTAATTTTTTTTCTTTGCTATCTTTACTTCTCAGCAAATGGTTCCGTAGAAGCGGTGATGAAAAAAGTTTGAGAGATTGTGTGTTTTTGAAAAATTTGTTCTTTTCAGTACCGTTCTTACGACACGATTTGCTGAGTTTTTGCAAATATTTCAATGATGAATTAATATTTTAGTAAAAATGAGCACCATTCCAGTAACGATTGACTTCTCAGGTGGATCTGAATTTCTTGTTAAGTCAAAAGAAGCGAAGGCTGACTTTCCAAAAGGTAATTAATATTTTCAAAAAAAGAAAACACATTTATAAATTTATATTTAAGGCTCAACGTTGCGTGATGTTATGAAATATGTAGAGACGAAGCTTGTTACTGATACAGACAGGATAAATATGCTTTTTAAGCCAAATGGAACAGAGGTCGCACATGGTATTAATAATTCCCAAATTGAAGATTTATTCAATTATTATCTCAGGAGTAATTGTCCTCATCAATGACACGGATATTGCTCTTCTTGATGAATACAACACAGTTATCGAAGCAAATGATAAGATAACATTTGTTTCAACCCTTCATGGCGGTTAAATAAATATTTATTGAGCAAAATCAACAACATCCCGTGAAATTAGACCTCCTCGCACCGATTCTCCGGTAATTCGCTTATAAATGGGAGGCGACCTGCTTTATAACAAAGAATTATCCAGAAGATCAGATTGAATAGGGAGAAAATTGCCGGGAAAAGGGCTCGACTGGCGATATCAATGTGACTGTGGCGAACACAATACCTAAAAATTCTAATTTCTGTTATGAACATTATTTTTTAAATACCGGTTTGGTTGTTTGACAACGGCGATGATTGAAGTCGGAGCAGTGTTGCATGTGCATTCCGCCAATCGTACATCATGCAAAATGTCAGGCGTGACCGGCGCCGGTTTGTGTTCCATTTTCTTTTCGCGTCGCCTCCGATCTTCATTCTTTTTTTTCGAATACGCCACGCATGCGTATTCAATGAGCGCCAGAATTACAAGCAAATAGCAAAATCCTAAGAAAACATCGACGGCTTTGATATACGACACTGGTGGCAATCTCCTATTCGTTCCTGTCATTAAATGTGTTTCAGTGAGTACCGTCATTGTCCCAATGAGTGTTCGCGAAGGGGCTGAGTCTCGATTAATCCAAAATGAAATCTAGAATGAATCCATATACAATTGAACGATAGTCACTGTTACCCATGAGAGCACCACGACAAGGCTCGCTGGGAAGAAAATTTGAAGAAAGTAAAAACTTGTTTCTCGGTCAAATACGAAAGTGACTTTCAGACGTGAATAAGTGCCTTAATTCATTTTTTGCGTTTCATTCCGTTAGCGATAAAATACCTGACGCCGTCGTGGCAAGTGTTCGATTCTGGCAGACTTTCGCGAATTTGTAACTTGACAGCTCTATATCATCTGCTTTTACCGCTGATGCACAATTTGGCTCTTTCGATGTGCACCAATCATAAGCAATTTCCGCTGTCGAGTAAGCATCTTAATTTTGTTTTATTTTATTAATTGCTCTTAATACAAATCATCAATGTTTCATAGTACCCAGATCAAGAAAAAACGAACACGAAAAATAATTCCTACGAAATTGTAAGAAAAATTATAGATGGAGGGAAACTTAAATATATACATAATCGTTAAAAATCACAATTGTACTGATTATGTGCATTTTGCGAGTGCTACATGTCACTGAGCAACTCATTCCGAAGCTAATTAGTATTACTGCTACCGTAACCCAATGGGCATGCGGTGACTGGACGAGGTATCTAGCGATTGATTCAACCGGATGGCGATGTGTACGTGTTTAGAACATAAAAATTCGTGTCGATTGCACCGAAAGGAATAACAACAAGCAAGCAGGGATTGTGACGGATTCGGGAAAGAAACGAGCAAATCAAAGTGAAATGTGCATGGTGATGTTATGGAAGAAGAAATTGAGGAAATTGAGAAACAAGAATTAACAAGACACAGAAATTATTATCGCTTAATCTCCTGCCATTTGCTGTTCTCCTGGATTTTGTCGCTGGAATTCAGACACAAGTAGTTCATGTAGATCCAGTAAATGACTGCAATCACATAAATTGAATAATTGAGAGTAAAAATTTAATCTTACTATTGAACAAACAAAAGACAATTGGAAAGCAATAACGACTGAGCTTGTCAATTTTTGCAGGCGTCCATCTTTGGCAGCACGTCTTCGTAGCTTTTTTGGGTCGAGCGAATGGCGCAGGCCATAATGTATGGGCGCCATCGGTTACCAGCCGAGGATGCTGCATCATTGGAATTGTGCGACAATCACAATTCTCCGGTATCTCCATTAAAGGATTCTGAAGAATTCGATTGTTTATCACAATTCAAATAATTCAATTTTACCATTGACGAGTTGTGGCCAGCGAAGTACAAATCAGCCTGTAATTAATCTCACTAATATAAGGAATTTCGACGAACGCCGAAAAATGTATTAAGATCACAACACTAAACGACATCGTTATACCTGCACATAGCTTTTCGCCGGTGTCGAATTTTGCGACATTACGGTCATTTCGTAAGACTGAACAAAAAAGTAAGTAAGTACAAAACCGAAAACTAAATGAAAGAGAAACTTAGAAGAACTTATTGAGCAAAAAATTTGAATCAATTATTCAATTTTCGATTCTTACATTATTGTTTGCCGCCTTCGGACTTGCATTGAACATCGGCACCTCATTTCGCTGCTGCTGTTCGGCCTGCTTCCTTCGTTTCTCTCTTCGCAACACCAATCGTTTCGTCATATAAGAGACTACTGCGTATTCTAGCAACGAGGCAAACACCATCACGAAACAGAAGTTTAGGAAAACGTCGAGTCCTTTAATGTATGACACTTTTGGCATTGAGTTATTCGTTGTCGTGATCAATGTGGTCATGGTAAGAACAGTGGTGACGCCGAGTCCGACTCGAGCGGGAGATGCTTCTCGGTTCAACCAGAATGATACCCATGAAATTGTGACAATCAAATTAGACGGTATCACAATGTTCATTGTGTAAAATCCCATGTTCCGCACAAGAATAACTTCAAGGGCGAGTCGAACATATTTTCCTGAATCGCATAAATTATAAATTATAATCCTGTTTCGGATTCTGAAGGCCAGAAATTAAAAAAAAAAAACACCCACCCCATAGAATAATTTCATTTCTCACCTGAAGATGTTTGAGAATTTGTCGTGTTCACAAAATACAGCGTCGGTTGAAATTGCGGCAATTGGAAGGTGTCAAAAGCGACCGCATAGATTTCCGGATCCGTCCTCTTCTTCCCCCAGTAATAATCAATATCCGTCGTCTGATAACCATCTGAAAATCGATTCAAAACCACATAAGCTAAATTTAAAAAGCTGGAAGGAGATAGGGAGGGAATTCTAGAGGAAAGCGTTTGGAAAGGGGGGAAGGCGGCCATTTTATCAATCAAATATTTACAATAAACGAGTGATTAAAAAGGGAATAAATTAAAACAATGCGTTGCGCTGCTGTTCCAGCTTGTGACTAGCTCGTATGAAGTAGGCCCAGTAGCTAATGTTGAACACAATAAATGCCTGAAAATAATTGACACCTGGAGATAAATTATGGAAACGATTACAGCTGGAAATATACTCCGCGAATATTTGTCAATATTGGATGGTCGAAGCCAGTGCCATTTTCCGTAATCCTCAATATTTGCGTCTAAATGCAAAAGAGAGATGATTTGATTCCAACTGCTCGGTGACTCACGCCCATAAAGCATAACTGATGCTTCAGAAGTTCTGCCTAATATGGGAGTAAGTTCGGACAGTGTGCATTTCTCAGTCTAGCAATGCGTATCAAATTAGTATGTTCAAAGAGTGTTGGGCTTTACCAAAAGTTGCGCAGTTCGTTGGGAATGGGGAATATATAAATTCGATGTTCTATCAGTTGACGAATAGAACGGCCGATAAGTCGTATTATTAAAGAAAGCAGGCATTGTGATAATTTTTCTAGTCGGTGGTGGTAATGGTGAAGCCCGACTACTTGCTCTAAACCCTTAATTCATCATTCAACCATCTTCGTCGACATACAGTATCGCGGCTTCTTCTTTCCGTTGTCTTACAAGCTTCATCCGTTTACTAAGATAACCAACAGCTGCGTATTCGAATAACGAGCAGAAAACCATCATAAAACTGACACCTAAAAATCATAACGATAATTGGAGGGTCGTTGGGTCATAAAATTATTGCTCAGCAAATTTCTTTCTGTGTAATTGTCGTTCTTCTTCTAGATCCTTCTTTAATATGTGTTTCTTGTTTTTCATTTCTTCGATTTGCAACATCCCTCGTATATCAATTAAACACTTGGTGATTGTCATTATCATCATCATCATCATCATATTGTTCTTCATCGAATACACAAAAACGATTTGTTTGACGCGGCAAATTGCCAGTGGGCCGATATACCCCAGAGCTCTCGGACAAATTGATGATACACTTGCTGCCATCCAGCCGCGTCATACACACTATTTCGTTCGCGAGTATATATGAATCTATGGGTATGTGTAATTCGTCGCTGTCTTTCGAAAATCAGCGGTGATAAAAACGAAGCGTCGGACAATGACAAATTGGTGCCGGAATCTATGATTCCCACGCAACAAATATATAATTGTTTTCGCCCCGCTACTACGTCATTGATCAGAGCGGTTCTTGGCCCCGAGAGGTCATCAATTCATTGGAACAAGCTTTATGTCAAAGAAGCTTCCAGTTCCCAAAGTACGAGAAACACTTACCCAGATAAATATCAATACTTTTCACGTAGGAAACTTTAGGCATCGAACTCTGAAATTTAATGTTTCAATTTTTTTCAAAAACGAAATTTTTTCTCACATTTGTTGTAGTCATAAGGGTAGTCATTGTGAGCACTGTAGTCACACCAAGAGCCACACGAGCTGGTGTAGCATCTCGGCTGAGCCAAAACGACACCTAAACTGGAGTTAATATTTAAGTATATCGAGAAGAGAGTTCTCACCCAAGATATAACCACCACAAGCATTGAAGGAAGATAAACTTGAATAAGGTAAAATCCAATATTGCGTTTGAACAGAAAATTCCAGCAAAGACGGGAATACACTCCTAAACTGTCGATTTGGGCAATTAATTTTCGCAGCGAGACACACCTGAGGTCAATTTCTGTGTCTGATTCATTATCTTGATCTTCTGCAACACAAATTGCGGCAGTTCGAACGACTCGGATGTGGCGGCATCTTTTGTCGCCGGTGCAACATACACAATGTCGAGGATACTGTAGCCGTCTGAAGACGACAAATCCGACACACACAAAACATGATTACAGTCGTGAAGAAAGAAAATTAAAGATAACATTCACCAAAAAACACCAAAGAACTTATCAAGCATTCGATTATTTTTTGAAGTTATGTCTTTAAAACATGCCAAAACAAAATTACGCATTCCACTTACCTCGGGGCCATTGACATCTGCACATTTTATTGAAATAACGCAATAATTACAAAATAGAGAGATAATTGAAGAAAGATGAATATAAACAAATGTGGCGATGAAAATATGAATGATACAATTGAATCAATTTTAATAGAGCGGTGCAATCGACTGATTTCTTTCAATGGCATCTCGCCATAAAAATGCAATAAAAAAAATGAAATAATTGAATATAAAACGGCACGCCTACCCGGTAGAACTAATCATTTGAGAGGGGAAATTCACACCTTATAAGCATATTCTTTGAATATGCCCAAATTTTTGTAAAATAATAACAGACTTACAGCTCTCGATTTCCAGTTTGCAATGCTGCGAGTCCATTGGGAACAATTGAAGGTCCATTGGGCATGTGGCGGTCACAGTGAGACTGAAATTGATAAAATCGAATTCCGCTTCTCATATTTCATTGCATGCGCCGACCCCTCATATTTTTCATATTGCAACAATACACCCGTCCAACGAATATATACATATACGTTTCCTCTTTGCACGAAAAAAAAACGGGCTCACAAATTCCAAGAACAATAAAAAAAACGTCAAGTAATCCGGGGTGATTTGGGCACTAGTGCTGATGCACCGCCACTACTATAAGCGGGCGACGGGCGCTTATCTGATGCACATGGCTTACCGCTGACTCGTGTACACGGTTCCATCAGAGTCGATGCGCAGAAACGAATTGTGCGTCGTCGCCAAATGGAAAAACGACTTTTTCTCATTGGGAAAAAACGTATCGGGTTTCCACAACTTTTCAAGATAGTCGACGCCAACGGTGAGCGATTTGATCTCTTCAGGAAGGCCGAGATCGAGCGAGCCGAACGCTAGCCTCGGATCCTGCCACGTTTGGCGCATGTAGAAATCTAATGTGAAATCCATGTCGACTTCAGAAACCGCTGATATTGATGATACGTGAATTGTAATACCAACATCGACGGGCTCGCCTCCATACCTGCAATTTCACAAATTTCATAATTGCCCTTGTTAATAATTAACGTACTTAGGCCTTAGCCGCTTATCATATGTGGTTTTATTGGTAAGTCTATCCAAAACCGTTGATATCAAGTTTGTATTAATCGTCGAGCCATCGTTATATATGCTGAAAACTCAATTCTGCATTCAATTTAATTCGATATCGAATGTTGGGACACATATTTATTATGTGCGCCTCGCCGGGACAAGGAAATTGAATTGTAGTCTGTAGCTGAGTGCATTTTTGATGATTTTGTCAAGAGTTATGTTCGTCAAGAAAAGAAAAATGTATATCTTCCGGGTTTGGTGAAGTTCGTCTGAATGAGTTTTTAAATCGAATAAAAATGTTTTTTCCAAAATTTCGAATACCGTAGTTCACGGATTATTTATTCCCGTTTTTTAGGATCTCTGAATGTTTTCAAAAATTGAACTTTTTTATCGTTTCTTGGAAAAATCAATTCAAACGAAAAAAACTCAAATTCAATTTGGAAGGGAAGTTACATCGAAAAACGCGAGGGTTCAGAGTTTCGCGATCTTCGATTTAATAAAAAAATTACTCACTCATCGGTCTCCTGACACATCACTCCACCACCGGTGTCCATCCGAAAATCTAGATTTAATGTCGTTATTAATAATAAGATAAGTAGAGGTGAAATGTGCATTGTCGAGTGGGGCATCATCGCAGATATGTTGCACAAAGGAGCTGATTCCAACGGTGTTTAGTGGTTGTTCTATTAGGTGAGAAATATGAAGACGAGGTAGGTCAAATTTAGGTCATCGCCCGATGCCACCAGCACTCGAAACTGAAATGGGCGGGGCTTGCGAGCAAGAAGGTCCGAGTCGCAACGATGATGATGATGATCCTAGGCGAATGTAAAACACACTGCTCCAGCTCCGGCTGCAACTGTTCCTCCCTCTCTTTTTCTCTTCCCTCGTTTCTTTCGTCAATTTTTGCGAGTTTTCGTGGCTCCCCAGGACGACACGAACTGCAAAGAAGACAATATACAGTGGTCAAGTGAAAAGGAACCTTTTGTGAGTGAAAGACAAGAAAAACTTATAAATAGCTCAAAAGAAAAAAAACTTAATAGATTAAAATGGATGAGGTTGTAATTTTTTTTAATTTGATATTGATAATAGACGGAAATGTTGACAGTGAAAAAAATGTTAGAAATTCGATATCCAAAGCCTAAGGCTAATTAGTTGGTGGCCTACTAAAATAAATACTTTCAAATAAAAATTTGAATATTTTAAGCATAGCTTTTCAAAACAAAATGCTCAATACAAAACATATTCAATATTCAGCAAGACTGGCAAATGTTCAAGGTGTCTAGCTAACTGTCAAGCTCAAATTTCAAAAATCCGACCGCGTTATTCGATACGCTTCTCTGGATATTGTTGAAACGCGAACCAATGATAATTTTTACGATTCGTAACTTGATTGTTTTCAGTGATGAGGCAAATTCGTCAATGCTCGTCATATTTGACGACCGCTAATTGTATGACAAAATCGTTGACAGTTGAGGTGGCTAAGTAAAACAATAATCTGTCAACCACTGACGAACAATTGCACATTGATTGACATTACTACGGTATGTACATCACTATTGACGAATAATTGCGTACTTGAAAAAAAAAAGCGGACAAGCGGAAAGAATGGCAAGCACGCTTTTATACTAACTCAAGAAGCTTTTTGTTAGGGTAGAAATTTTGTTAAGGAAAGAAATTGTATCAATTTTTAAGCATGACAACAACCAGGATATTGCTATTCTAGAATGGTTTTGCATAGAAAACCAATTTGTTTTTATTTACATTGTTTTTCAAGAAAATGAAGAAAGCGGTGATAATAAGAAATGAAAGCAGCTGCGAGCAAGTACATCCATTTAGATAATTTATAGATAGCACGGTGCACGAAATTTCTGTTTTATTTCAACTAATAAAAAATGTTTAAACTTTTAAACGAATTCTCAAAAATGGAGATAATAGAACTCTCTAGGATTCATCGCCAAGCCTATATGGAGAGAAACGCCCCGTCTCATCTCAAAATCGAATTTGATGTGGTGCGCGTTTCGGTTATTCAATTGAAACGACAACAATTTTATGAAATCAATCAATAAATTGTTCGAATAAAAAAAAGAGAGAGAAATGAAGAGAACTCTCGAAACGAATGAGCAATTAAACGATTTGGGCGGGACGGCGACGAGCGAAGAAAGATGAAGCTGGTGACAACGAACAGATATTTATTGTCAATGAAAAAAGAGCAAGAACATGAAAGGACCATCACATCCGCTGGTGATGAACAACAACATACTGCACATTATCACGTGTGAGCATGCGATGTTCCATCAATCAGCGCACAAGTTTCGCAAAAAACTCTACCAATATCCGTGATCGAATTGAGATAAAACCAGGGATTCCAAAGTGGTGATAAACTTAAAACACTTTCCCTCGAGAAACCCTACGCAATGTTCCTTTAATCGCAATACGGTATCAATTGTTGAGAGAGAATCGAAAATCCCAATAATTCTTCCATGTCTCAAAAGATCAAATTTGAAAACTCCAGTACTGATCTCCGGCAATTGATGCAGCTCATCAGATCCGCGAGCTGCATCACATCTGGGATTCGTTAACGAAAATCGCCCGGAAACTTGGAAAAAGTTGCCAATATGTCTTGAAGTGCGAAGAAAAAGATGCAGATGAAGAAGAAATGGGAAAAACCAAAAGGAAGAACACAATTTGGCCCTAATTTCCGGCGACTGGGAACATGAGGAGATGGAAACTCTCGAGATTTTTTTATTTAGCGCGCAATGAATAAATTCTGAAAAAAAAAAACACACACGCGCGCGTACATACATAAATTAATTGGATATTCTATATTGAAAAGAAACTTTTCAATCGATCAAACGCAAATTTTGCAAATTTGCTTAATTATGCGACACAGTGGTAATACGCGCGCACCCAATATTCTATTCGATGTGCGCAAAAAATAATAAATTATAATAATATTTAAAACCATAATCACAGAACACCACCGACAATTAAAAAAAAGAGAGCGAAACAAAACAGCGTCGTCCATTTATTAATCAATCCAATGCGCGACCAAGTCGAGTGAGCTGAAAAAATACGCGAATTAAGGCTGACACTAGAAAACATTATCCATATTGTACACCCCCCCCATAGAACAACAAATGACAATTAGGAGCGGCTCCACCAGAAAATCCGTCCGGGAAAAAAAGGAATCCAATTTGATCACCACTGTTTCCCTCAACAATTTTTTTCTCACGATGAACGCCGAAAAAGGCGACAAAATGAGATCAAGACGAGCGCCGCTCTCCAGTAATATTGTTAGTGTTTGCTTGTGCAGAACACGAAGATAAAAATTTGAAAATCCCTGAATTCACCTAATTACAGGCTGCCATTTACAGCGTAGAGATCAAATATATTAGTGAACATTGTTGCTGCATCACTTATTTTTTTTTATTTAATAGAAATATTGAGAATTTTGCGGCAAGCCTACCGTATTCTAGATATGCCGTAGTTTGTAATTTTTAACATTGAATCATCTACTACTACTACCAAATTTCATTATCTGGCTTGGAAATAAATGCACAATACGATCTACTATAAACAAAAAAGGCGAATCGTGATCTGTTTGGCTTCGACTCGTTTCCGAAAACAATTCACGTTCGGCGCAAAAAAATGAATAACGACAACTCGGATTCCGGCAAACGAAAACAAAGCGCAACGAGGCCGTCGAATCAGGCAAAATCGCGATTGACGTCAAAAAGAAAAAATACTTTTCACTACTTTTCACCCAAAAACGGTCGAGTCGCGCGAGAATCAAAAATTAGCACATTATGCTGCTAGCTGCAGCCAAAAAGAATGAAAAAAAAACGAGCACACAAGGTGGCACGATTTGCATATTCTTTGGCCCGGATCTTCGTCAATGCCGACGGAATTGCCGATGCGAATCAACGTCAAGTGTCTCGGTACAAACCGAAATAAATATTATCGAATCATTGCTGAAATGGCGCAAACATTTTCTGATTCCAAAAATAAAATAAGAAGTTGGAAACGAAAGGCCAATCCATAAGCGTGTGAAATTGACTCAAGTTGGTAGGCATTAATTCAAGTGTTTACGACGCTTTTTCATGCTTCGTGAAATTTGACGTAGAGTAGAACTTAAAGGTTTTCCGTCTTTTTCTGGCAACGACAGAACATACACTTTTTTCTAACGTCAAAAACAGAAGGAAACTAGTCTTAATGTACATAGTTGTTTCGAACTTTGTAAAGAAAACTATCCGAGTTTTATAGGAAGCGTTTCGGCTCGACCATCAAACACGGTTCCACAATATACATTGGTGGTCCCTTTCTTCTTCTTTCCCTCTCTCTCTCTCTCTCTTTCTCTCTCTCTCTTTCGAGTGGCTCACTTCAAAGAAAAAAGGTTATATTGAAAAGAATGACAAAAGTGGTTAGATAGAGAAGCAAGTACTTTCGCCTCATCCTAGTTTTTCGGCGACGTCTTCTTCTTCTTCTCCTTCTACTTCATGAACAAAAAAACGAGCTTTGTACAATAAGATGGCCCGAAAAATGCATTATTCGCTTTCTGATGATGATGTCATGGTTTGTTTTAACGAAGAAGAAAAACGTTACGGAAACGATGAGCCCCCGAAAGTTTTTTTTTTCTTCAAAACACTATTGCACGGCGCACCGATCGGTCAAAGAAAGATTGATGTCGAATATATTTTGCAATGAGTGTGTTCGCAACAGCCGCCGCTGCCGAACTACGGCTTAGCGTGACGACGAAGCCGACGACGTTGCAAATTTGCTCAGTGTGGAATCCCAAAAAGACGTTAATGGATGCTATATGAAAACCGTTTAAAGAATTGAAAAGAAAAATTACATTTAATTAATATTTGTTTCATTTTCACGAAAATAAAAAAGACATTGCCCAAAATTTGAACATGCTTTGGCTAAGCAGGCTTGTTCTAACGATAGAAACGAACATTGTCAAACCAATATCTCTCATAAAAACTTCAAATATAGCGCTATCATTCAAAATTTCACATTTTCGGAAATGCGGAAATTTGAATATAAAAAATTGCCCAAAAATATTTAAAAATGTGTGTGGACTAAAATCTGAAAACTTTGGTAGAAATCAAAACAGTAATCAAATACAATTTAGGTTTAGTTCTCTTTTCATACTGTGAAAATATTTCATATTCCGCAAAACCCAGAATTATGTTTTAGAATTCCCCTTGGCTTGAAATTCATAAGTCGGGTTCGAAAACCAACAGCTTCTGATCCTTCGCGCCAAAAAATTCTCACATAAATGCTAAATACAAGCAGTCGCTAATCCAAGGAACATTGAACAGACTACGAAATGAGCTCTATTCGAAAAAGAGAGAATGGGGGAGGTCCAATAAAAAAAACACACGACAAACTAAAATCTCATAAATATGCAACAAGAGCATCAGCAGAAGGACCAAATGAAGTGAGATGCGTAAAGCAAAGAAATAATAATATAAAATTATTCAGAAGATGCAAAAAAAGAAAAGATGGAAGAATCCACTCGAAAACGTGATTCATCACCTCAATTGAATATCAAATGAGTTGCATTGCTTGTTGCAACGCTTTTTGCATGATTACTCTCTTTTTTTCAGGCGCTAGCTCTTTCGGACACGTGTTTCTTTCACAATGGCATTTTTGAAATACGCGTTCGAATTGAATCAACGATGATATTCACATACACACACACACACACATAGAAAAACGCGGCTACTGATGCCACCGTAGTTCGCTACTATTCTTCAAGTAGCCTTCGCGCCTAGAAGGACACTTATAAGTGGAAGATTTGGAGAAAACGACGACGCGGAGCTCAACACGCGTTATGCGCTTCAAAAACATTATGGCATCTTCTGTATATGGGGACGCGCCGCTCCCATGGGGACCTTGTCAACACTTTCCAGGCGACGACGACAAACCGATGCCAGATGGACTGCTTTGATGCACTCTCCAATGATTTTTCATATCAGCACATATTGTCGTTGTCGCACAACTGCGGAAAATTAGCTAAATGCAAAAAATGGCGGCGGTCTTGGTGCAAAACTAAATGAGTATTCAGTGGCCATATCTAGGCACGAATCATAGCACACCAAGATCTAAACATTTAAAATGCTTTTCAGAGTCTACCATTTTTTAGCAACGTTCAGAAAAAGCTAAAATACAAACTTGGGGTAGTTAGAAAAAAAAATAATTTTCCAAAACTTCCAGAGCTCCAAAAATGTTTGCTGCAAGTTAAGGCAGCACCAGCAATCTCATTCAAATCCTCAATCAAGTTGACACTTTTTGCAGACTCATTCTCCAGCCGCTCGTCTGTGCGACGGAAGGGGAAAAAAAAATGCAAATATTTGACGAGTTTCGAATGAATAGCGGCGCCTCCGGCGTCAAACATAGTTTGATCCGAAACCAGAAGACGTTCGACGTCGACGGCCAACTTCCCGAGGGAGCATGCGCGTGTGTCTGTGTGTGGCCGGCCGCGCTTGTCCGAAGTTGTTCATTTCGGCACCGCTCATTTTTTGATAGATTGCGGCTACAGATTCTGCGCACAATTACCCACCAGTGGCTGGCTTTATCGAAAACATGGCATCTTCGTTTCTAGTTTGCTCTCAGATTTCAAAATATAAGAACAATCGAACGTTTCTGGAGGGCCGCAGACATAACGGAACACTGAATCAAGACAAACAAGGACAAATAGAATACCTGATCACAAAATTGAGTAGGGTTCACAAGCTCAGTGCAACCATATGTGATACGCTTGACATTCTTCCGCTTGCCTAAAAATATCAAATAAGTTCAATACCAACAATTGCTAGATATTTTACCGTAATCAATCAAATTCTGATATTCTACGTAATTTCCACCTCCTACTACGAAGAGAATGACATCCTGTGGTTGTTGTTGTCTTGTACGATTAATACTTCTAAAAAAAACAAAACAAATTCGAAATACATACATTTAAAAAAAAAACAATTACTCTTTTGTGGGCTGATGCATCAATTTCGGATCATAGAATGCAATCGTATCATCGACATCAACAGCAGACGATCCTCCTCCAATCATCTGATTGATTCCGACAGTTGATGATGATGGCGGTGTAATGAGCTGATCGACAAGTTTCGTCAACGGCAGATTATGCTCTTTTGGCACCAAATTCTTCACTCCTTCCATTACGAATTTCGAGCTGTGGCTCAACAATTTGCCGAACATATTTATGGTTTTCGTTCCGGCCCCTTGATGTTCCTCTGTGTGGGCAGAACTCGCCGCTTTGGATCCCAATTGAGAAATTGATCTGAAAATGTTACAGTTAATGCATAAGCTTCATTCTTTTGAAATACTTGAGTTTTTGAACAAATTTCAAGGCCGATTCCTCTATATTCCTTTCACGGAGAAGCTGAATCATCTCTTCGTAGCTCGTCTTGCTAACCGTCTCCTGACACAAGAACGCGATTATGAGAACCCTCAAGATATCCTCTTGATTACTAATTTGTCCAAGAAATTGGGTAACTGGCTGATCTATAAATCGATAATTAAATACAAAATTGTTTGATTTGAAACCTAGAGGAGAGTGCTGAAGAAGCTTTTGTTCGAGTTCAAACAGAACATCTAATTTACGTTCTTTTATAACTTCGAGAAGAGTTGTTGCAACATTGGTGTGAAGATCAATTAGTCTTAAATCTGTACGATAATTTCTTTTTTTTTCAAAACACGTATACCTTTTAGCTTCCAAAAGTTGCGGAAGACTTGTCACCGTCGATCCCAACTTCGCTGTCGTATCAGCGAGAAGTGTTGTCATCGCTTCATCAGCATCCTCATTTCCGCCATCCATTCCCTGTTAATTTTCAATTACTCATTAAAGAGTCAAACAAAAATTTGCCAACCATCGCCTTTTTCAATCTCTTGATTTCCTCTTCACTATTCCTATAGGCATCCAGATCTTCTTGAACGGCTTCAGCCACTGCCGGAAAAGCGCTACCCTTGTGGTTATTCCAGAGTTTGTCAGTTCCTCCAGTTCCCATATCGTATTCTTTCTTCTTTCCATTCGCTGAGTTTGTAATAGTGACCCGATTTTGATCTAGGTCCTAAATTATTTGATTTTTAACCATTTTATTCACCGTTTTATTTATTCCTACCAAAACATCATGCATCAAAGCTTGATATGTCCACGTATGATGAAGCATGGTTGCCAAATCCGCTCCACGATCCGCGATGACCAACACTGGTCTAGTGGCTTGCATGAATCCAACGCGAACGCCATCCATCGAGAAAATATTGTTTCGCGAATCTCTCAAATTCTCGCGAAGTTTCTGATCAAGACGTTTGGCAATCATTTCAGCAGCGTTTCCTTTGGGGCACCGAATGATTGGCACAATTCCCATTGTTGCACAAACGGCGAATAAGCCATCAGCAACAGCGTCGAGCATTTGCGTCATAACCATATCAGAAGTTGATGGATTATTCATTGCGAAATAAGAGAAATTGCTGGTTTCGATATAACGGCGAAGTACAAAAAGATCGTCTTCCAGTGAAATGAAGTTGAGATATTGATCAACCACTTTCTGAACTTGATTCACCGCACCGCCGTGAACTGCTGCTGAAGCAAGAGATTCTAAACGCGGACGGGAAATCGGAGAGATGAAGTTGCAGTAGAAAGCATCGTACATGGAGTTCTTCAAATCTTCGCTGATCAAATCAATATTCTCATCGGTAGGTGAAACAAAATAAACAGCAGGAACGTCGGTAAGAGGCTCGCGACGAGATCCGATCAATCTGAAACAGTTATAGTTATTGTTCCATGAGAAACAAAAATTTAACTGACAAGTGAAGTGTAACACCCAAATCTCGCAAATCCTTGACAGGTAGAAGCGGTGATATAATATCTTGGCCGGCTTTATCAAGTATCAGAATTTTCCATACCGGCTCTTTCACTCCAGAATTTACAACCTGTTCGTTCAGATTTATCATGGAACGTAGGGCCACTGAAAAACAAAATAATAAACCCAAAAATGTATACAGGAGTTACCAATTTGTCGTGTTCTGATGCTTTCAAATTCTGACGGCATTGTCCTTTGAACGAGTGCTGTAAAATAAAAGGATTATTGAAAAATATTATAATTAAAGTTTTGTTGGAGAAATTGGTGAAATCGTTGTAGATTTACGGCCACGTTTCTATATTTTTATAATGCGCAAAGCCGTGGAACACTGACGTGTTTTCGGTGCCTAATTGCCATCAGTTAAGATAATTGCCATCAGTTAAGATTTGAAGAAACGTTATGGCGTTCGTCTTTATCGTTTTTTATTTTAATTTGATGGGAAACCATGTTTCCCACAATTGATCAAATTAAAATGTTCAACGAAAATCATATATAAGGAAAAAAGTAACAAAATTGTATATTTTCGATGCGGTTTTCGACAATATTTTTTTTGTTAGTCGGGTTTTTGCTCCATGTTAACCCAAAAAAATGTAATACATCATTTTATTATTTTTTAAAATTTAATTTATTAAGTGCCGTCGTTAATTCAATCGCTCAAAAATCATCAAAACGATGGGAATCGACAAGTTTCGCCAATAGAACCAACTTTGGTTAAGTTCCCAAAACATGAACGATTCGATTATAAAAATACCGAGTTGAAGCCGCAGAAGAACGCCGGAATACCGATTCCTGAAAACGCTCCACTTTTTCTAGATATCCCAATAAAATCATAAATTGTTATAAATGTGTGTATTGTGTTTTTTAAATTTCACGTTGACTTTGCTTAAATTTAATAAGCTGTTATACCATCTTTTAAAATTCGATTTTAAATGTTCCTTGGAGGTTAAAACTGTTTGGTCAGCTGATAAATTTTAAGCAGAAGCAATCATCGAAGTTGACGCCCATTCTAAATTTTTGTTACGTCATTCGAGTGCAGGATGAAAATGAAACTTGACTAGACTGAATCATTAATTGTAATAATATAAGTCTAAATATATACATGGTCCGAAGAACTCGGGAAAGTTGCGCAGAGTTCGTCGATTTGCCGAGATTCTGAGCAAAATTTTTACATTTCAGCAATTTTCATTTTGTTCTAATATGTATAAGAATTTTGCCTCAGTTTTAATACTTCTTATCTAATTGCAAAAGATGCTCCTGTTTCGATGATAAGACATTTTGGAGGCATATAAATCATTTTCGCAACTGATAACAATCAGTAGATTCTCTACTGAATTGCAAAATGCGTATACTCATTGGATTACTGTAAGTTGCTGCTTCTCAAACTTTTAAAACTGATAACTACTTTAAGCTGTATTCTGCTCATTTGGGGTGGAAGTAGTTCATCTACTGAGTCAGAGGATCCGTCAACGAAGACATCTGGTAATTCTACGAATGGTACAACAACGCCATCTGACAAGCCTGTGTCAACAAATTCTACCGTTGAATCAACTGAACATAGCAGTACCGGTAGTGCAAATGGATCGTCGACGACTGGATCATCACAAATTTCGACAACAATTGAACAAGGGGAAACCACAGAAGCGACGACAGTTACCCCAGGACCTCCAACTCTACCAAACGTGAATGTCCAAAGATCAGGTAAAGGCAAAACGATAATTTATTTTGCGTTACGATAGTTTTCCAGATTTCAAACTTTTTAATTGTACCGCTGAATTGTGTACTTATCAATTCGATGCTCCTCAGAACAGCCAAAGTTTTTTGAAAACAGAGAATGCGGTCATCGGAACGGATAATACGAAATATAGCGAACTTCAAACTGTTTGAGAAATCCAAACTTAAGCATCACTGTATTAATTTTAGGAAGCTAATGAGAACGATAAAAATATCACCGATGCTTATAATGATGCAACTAGCAAGATTCTCGATCTTCAGTCAAAGCTGGGCAAAATTCAACAGTAAACTCAAACTGAAATTAATTACAAAAAAACCGGTGACGTTTTAACAGAGCTCTCAGCGGAATTCAATCCCAAATGCTTTTGATTCAACAGGTCCAACGAGACACTCTTGCAAATCTGATTCCTGTGAAAAAGTTTGTGTCCGACTTGACAAATGCACAGACCTGCCTTTATCAAAAATGTCTCATTCGTAAGTAACACATAAAATATGGATTTCTATAAAATAATTTTTTCAGCGACCACAACTCCGCCTCCAAGTAAGTTTTGAGCATTCGAATCAATTTTAAGAAAATTTAAAATCTGTATTATAATGTTTGTTTAGCTACGACCCCTACACCATCACCAACAACTTCACCCAGTCCGTGCATTGACTTCACGTGCCCTATTTCTGGTTCGAGCTGTGAATTGGACCAATCAAACAAGCCGTATTGTACCAATTGCGTTGGTAATCTTGACGGCTACAATCACTGCAATACCGGTAAAAACAAATCGAAATATCGAATCTGAAATTGTCAATTTTCAGTTGTTTGTGACAAATACGGTACTGCTATAAATAACGTTTCGGAATCATTTTTCATATATTCATATGGATATAACGCGCAATATAAAAACTACAGTGGACTTCCAGCTAATACAAATTGCAAGTGGCTTCTAACTTCAGAGAATGGATTCACTGTATGATTGAAATTATTGATGGCTTACATCTAAATATTGAGGTCGATAATCAAAATCTCTCCAACTTGAGTAGTTCAGCAACATTGCAGATTATATCAAGCGACGGCGTTATTTATGGGTGAGTGGGTGTCAATCAGAAAGGGAAAAAACCTTAATATTTTTGTTTAGTGTTACCAGTACAACGACAAGGAGACAACTGAACAGTGCATTCAAAAATCCAAACGTTAGCATTGTTCTGACATCGAAGGACGAAGTTCAGAAAAACGCTTTCTTCATTAAATTGAAAAAGAATCCACTGCCTACCCAGTCTTCTATTGTCGAGCCATCAAAAACCAATGGATTGTTCTCATGGCTCTTTGGATAAATGTGAAATAACTAATAAATGTTATATGCAAATTGTTCTCCATTTCAATAAATTCTCGATTTCCGAAAGCGATTCGGATGGATCGCGCAAGTGGGTCGGCATTTTGAGCGACACCTCGTCTCGGATTGCAAACGGTACACTGAGGAGCGGCAACAATTGCGGTTTCTAGCTGATCGCTCCCCGGATCCCTTCTTGTTGCATAACAATTGGTTTGTGCGTGCAACACGGACAGCTAGTATAGTTCAAGGACAACAAAAACCCGACACCATTCATTTTTGGCACCTCCGCTCGGTTACCTGGTTTCCAAAGCCAGTCTAGAAAGTATTGCGCATGCTGCCGACACTTCTTGCATTATTTCTTTGGGTGAGTATTATTCAAAATTATTATATCAAAGTTTGTTTTCATAAATGTGAAATCTATTAAAAATCAAAAATTATTAAAAATCCAATTTTCCAGATTTCTCTAGTTTCATATCTTAAATTTCAGTTGAGAATTTTTTTTTAATTTCAAAAAAAAGTTTTGTAAGTAGAATTATATAGGTTTTTTCAAGATTCATCTATCCTTATTCCGCAGTTGTTTTTTGGAATCTCATGATCCAACGGTGACCTTTTGACAACTTTCCATTTGAATTAATAATAACCTTGCGCATCTAAAATGCGGTCAAACTAATGGGATTCTTACAGAGTCATTATGTAAGCTCCTACGAGACTTCCAATCGGTTAGTAGGAAAACCGTATGTAAGTTGCCGGCCTGAAGGGGTATCGTTGGTAGCCCGAGTCGCCGAGCCGTTTCGCGGCCAAATCTTTGTAAAAGGAGCTCATTCGAATCCAAAATGCGCGAAAAAGTTCAACAATTCTACGACGCAAGTTGAATTGACGATCGATGCCGATTCTCTAAGTTCATGCGGATTTCAATTCTGGAAGAAGCCCGGCGAAACTGCGGTGTTGACATCAGGTCAATTCGTTGTCTCATTTCATTCGGAATTGGTCACAACATCTGATCAAGCATTTGCCGCTCATTGCACATTTGAAAATCATGCAGACGTCAGCAATATGCTCATAAACCAGTAGGATGAAAAACCCAAATTTTTAAAGTTCTACGAATTTTTATAGAAAATCATTGGTTAGTGATGCAAAAACGGTTTTTGGTGAATTTGAGACTCCAAAAATCAGAATGGACATTCTACCAGCTGGCGAGCTGATTATAGTAAAATAACATTATTATATGCTTATACGTATAATCAATTTTTCAGTTGTCTGATGATATCACTAATCATCAAAAATCGGTTTTCAGAGTGGGCGACCCGGTTTTGTTCAAGTGGAGTATGGTAAATAGATCAGGTTGATTAATTGGAAATTTACGTACAATAGAAAAGCTATTTCAGACTTATTTGGAATAAACATCGAATCTTGTGAAGTGACAACAAAGTATCGCAGCCCAGTTCAGATAATATCCAACGGATGCTCTCTCGACGATGAATTGATTTCGGATGTTAGGTATTCCTATTAAAATCATGCAATTATCAAATATAATGATTGGTTTAAAGTTATTCATCTGATCATTCCCAAGTCTTTGCAAATTCATTGGCGTTTAAATTTGTCGATGAAGATATCCTTAATGTCCGTTGTGCAATTCGATTTTGCGTCAAAAGGTACCCCAATTGAGATATTTGAAAAAAAAAAGTTTTTTGAAGACTGGATCATGTAAGAATTGCGGGATTCGAGGAGGATGTTTGCGCTTTCGAATCTCATTGCTCTATTCGAAATCGTCGTGAACTCGAAGCCAAACACCAACAAAATCGAATTTCGCGTGACATTGTTTACGTCGAAGGCAGGTTGCGAATAAAACAGGAAGCCTATTCCAGCTCAGGTAATTCATTACTGTCATCAAAAATCCTTCAAATAATAATTTAGAAGAAATATACTGCGTTTCCGAGCTTTTCTATTACATCGGCTTATCTTCAACCATCGTTTTATACGCGATCACATTTACGACGGCAATCCTTATAAGGAAATGAATCGCATGATCATTTTTTTTGTCTTCCTTTATCACAATGGTGCTTTCTTTTCGTGTATCTCATAGTTTATTCACAATTCTTCATTCGCTTTAAGCCTTCATAGCCAAACTCCTGATAATTCGACATCTCACAGCATTCCGCGTGATTTAATTTACATTACTTTCTTGTTACTCACTAACACTATTTTTAGAATATCAATGTTTGATATTTCATATAAAATTATGTTAATGGATTTTATGTGTGAGTTGGTCGCGTTACTGGGAAAAGAAACACCTCCACAATATCAACTTCATTATAAATATTATATTTCATTTTCTTAATGTAATTTCTCCTTCTTGTGTATTGGAATGATGATGAAAGACAAACAAACATTCATTCCTTGCTGATATACAAATCGCTTCTCACGAGTACCTTATCACTCAATATTACGCATATTTTCCGCTCTTCTCTGCTTCAATCATATACATACATATTTGTTGCGATTTTTATCGCCTACGGCATTGAAATGTACCTTCCGGGTGATTAAAATCAAGACATGCTTTGGTTTATAATCAGCGATAAATATGTGAATTGATAGCTACACATAAATCAGTATATCTTTGTATGACCTAGAATTCGTTAATCAAGGTCTCGAGTGTCGAGAAATGTGTTTACGGCAAACGGCGGCGAGCGTTGCTTCATTTGAAAACGAGCGCGAGTTTGCACCAAAAACAACAAGGCCATTCGAACACAGTACAATGTGGTACGGCTCGGCTAAGCGCGTGCCGCCACCGCCATGGCCACAGCCGCCACCAACGCGATGACGTAATTCATTTTTTTGCGATCGGTATCAAGACTCTTCTAGTCGAATGAGCTGCAGATTAACTAAATTAATCAAGCGGATGAGCAATTCTCCCCATGTAAGCCGCTTATATAGACCACTTATTCATTTTCTATGAAGCCGTAACATCGGTGATTCAGTGATTTTCAGGCAAGCAAACACACATATGCTTTTAATCCTTGAGACTATGCGTTGGTGTTTCGAACTCGCAATCATTTTTCATCACTTTTATGAAATATGTTCGCCATCTGTTTCGAAAACAATGCGACTGCGCTTGGCTTTCGACTAGCTACAACTTGCAAGGAATAGAATTATCGCGAATTCGATAATTTGTATCAAATGCTTGAAATTGCAATTCGAACTTTGTCCAAACGTTTCAAAATCATTGCCGAGTTGTAAACAGCAGATAACACTAACCCCTCAAACGGAGCATCGACATACTTTTTAATTTTTATCATCAGTTTCTCCGCTGCTGATGATGAATGATGGTAATTTCATGTCCGGCGGGTGAAAGTTCTTCCCGTTTTCCGGTTTTTCCCCAGAAAAAAAAATGAAATTGCCACTTCCAGGTTTATGATCATTGATAGATCAATATAAACCAGTTCTCGTTAAACGAATCCTGAAGCTGATGGGGTGGGGGGCTTCCTCGAAAATAAATTGACTTCCCCGTATTACTTTTCACTGATAACACTAATGCGACTTGAGAAGAATCACGAACATCACCGCAACGGTTCAATATATCAAACCCTCATCAACACTGATAAATTTTGCAAAATTTTTCTGTGATGCAAGACGCGATGGGCTGGTGCTTCACAACAACAGGCTCACGGTGCCTGCCAGTACTAGGTAAAACTGGCTCGATAATGTGCATCTTTTGCAATTAAAGGCTCATTCAACTTTATGACACTTCAGCTCATGGCTCCGTTTTTGAACGTGCTCCAGCTGGGCTGGCAAGCTGCAGCATCGATTTCGCCGCGTTTGCAATAGAAGCTGATTTCGATCGATATCATGTTGTTTACAAACTTCAAATGGCGGTTTACTTTCGCTTGTTTTGCACTTTTTTCATATTTGATGGTGCAATCTCGTGCTTCGTGCTCTTGCACTCTCTTTCTCTGCCTTTGCAGTTCTCTTCTGGTGTTTACATGTCTCGGCTGGCGCCCCTTTTTTTCACCCCTTCGCATTTTTTTCTATTCCTATTTTGTGTTTTTATATGTTTTTCTTCACTGTGCGCGCACTCACACTACGCGTTTTTTTTTTTTCATTGAACTGTTCGCAGTTCAACCTCTTCCAAAGCATACTCTCTCGGTTGTTGTTGTTCTCAGCGCGGCCGCCGGCCGTCCGTAGGATGCGAGGAAACATCTGCGTCTCGTCGCTCTGCGCACTGTCTTCCACCCATATGTTGTGGTCCTTGCGCGTCTGGGGTTCTCCACGCCAAATCCACTAACCCCCTCAAGCTTTGGCTTTCTCTGATTTCTGACACTGTTTCGTTGTGTTTTGTTTCTCGACTTCATTAACTTTTTTGACACTTGCTCATTTTTTTCTATTGGCTCTATTAGCGAAAGCATTCATAAATTATCGCGAACTCTTGCTCCAAAATTCCTAAAAAAAAGGTCCAAACATTGTGATCGCTGCAAATTTTCCATCTTCCGCTCTTCATTAGATAGCATCTTGACGAATTTCAAAAGCAAACATATGTCAGAATAGCAATTTTATTTGTCACATTTAATCAAAACATAACATAATCTGTCACAAAAATCTTCTGTGATATAAGCTTTTGAGCGCAAATACTTCATTTTTTCTTGTTTGCATCCCATAGGTCGCCATGTTCTTTTGAATGTTATCAAATAAGCATTTATGCGTTTAGAATGATCCTTGATTTCACAAAAAAAACCTTTATTCCATTCACAAATACATTCCAATTTCCCATCATAACAAATAATGTCTCCTTCAATATAATAAAATTGGAATTTGACACAGTTTTTTGCGTTGAAGTTTTGTGTCGAGAGAGAGAATAGCAAAACTTGAGGCGATTCGTGAATGGGTACTGGTTTCTATCATAATTCCAAAAAAACCCGACAGTTTTTCGCGGTGATCTCTTATTCACGTGATATTATTACAACTTTTATTATTTATGTGTTATTTTGTATTCGGTTCGGACACAGGAGAGTTGGTGAGAAAAAGACAACGGAAGGATACAAAATATCGAATTTTCGCCTTCTCTTCTACTTTTAATGGTTTTGTTTACGTCATTTTTTTTGCGCATTTTGATTTTTCTTTTCTTCTTATTTGATTTGATGAATTGAATATTTATGAGCTCAATGCAATTTATGCGATAAGAGTGTTTGCGTTCAAAAGATTATCATCGTTTTCGAATTTTTGACCAAATTAACAATGTTCTGGGGGAATTTTTTGAAATTGTCATATGATTTACTCCTCATAACGAAACATGAGATGGGAAAGGGGAGGAGCTAATACTTTTAAATAAAGACAAAAAGACCCAAGAGAAAAATTGGAAAAAAAATCAAGCAATAAAATTAAAAATTCTATCGTACCAGCTTAAAGACGCATGTGCAAATATTTCATGGTCTCGTAACGCTCCGTATTTTTTTTTCGCAGTATTCAGATTTTCATTTTTTTATTATCTAATTTCACTTTTTTTTTGAAACTACACGAATATTGGGCATAACACAGATTATTCGGATATATTTAATATCCGTTAATATGACGTTAGTCCTAATCCGACGAAAACAGCTTGCTCGAAATATATATTTTTCAAAATTTTAAAAATCTACATTTGATATATTGCAGATAAGCGGAATAACGTTTGTAACGTTGTCTTGAAAAGAGAACATCACAAATGTGTCGATAATGAAGAATAAGGAGTATCTCAAAAAAAGCCGTATTCTTAGCAAATGCGTAGCATGTGCTGAGCAGCAGCGTAATTTAAGATATTTTTTTCATTTAGATTATTTAAAAAATTTCAGCCTCGCGCAATATTCAATTTTCGTGTTTATATGAACCGAATTCCTCACGACATTGGTCAGCTGATGAGTGCCCTGATAACAATGAGACGGAAGAATTAAGTAATCCGATTGAAGAAGTTTCAATAATAGTACTGCACTAAATTTCATCATTCAGTTTCTCATTTTTTTTTCAGAAAAATTCACCGACAGTTCATGTATTTAATCGATATCGAATGAGCAATTCTGTGTGGATATTATTATTATTAATACTTCTCGGATTATGCGAGGTTTGTTTCCGGCGCCATTTCCATGACAAATAATCCTACGAAAATTGAATGAAAATTTTTTAGCCGTCCCAATCCATCGTGGAAATGCGTTGCGGCACAATCGATATTCGGAATAAGCCCAATGGGCTCTCGATAAGCAAAAATATTAATGGTGATAATGAATCGCTAAGCAAAGACGAGTATAAACAAACTTTGGCGAAAAGTGATGGAAATAATTAATTTAGCCGCTTAAATTGCACTGTCATCGAAGGCTCTTTCATAATGACGCTGATCTATTCAACAAATGTAACATTCAAACGAGAGGACTTTCTGGTTTTTGAGCATGTTCGAGAAATTACTGGATCCCTTCTTGTTTTTGAAGTCAGGTATGTCAACGATTTATCTCTCATCAACGCAAATGAGGCAATAAATAATTTTCGTTTAGTGGCCTCAAGTCATTATCGTGGATTCTTCCCAACCTACGCGTTATCGGCGGAAAAAGTTTGGTTCAACATTACTCTCTTGTGATCTACAGAAACAAGGATCTTGAAGATGTTTGCGGAAGCAATTCTAATTTATTCTAAGACTTTTCAATTTAGCTCGGTTTGAACAATTTAAAGGTGATCCGTAACGGCGGTGTGAGAATTTCCGACAACAAGCGTCTCTGTTTCGCGAGGTACTATTTTTGTTTTCGATTGATAACATTCGTATGATTCAGAAGCATCGACTGGAAAGGTATGATCATGTCGCATGTAAATGATGTTGTTGTCGACGATGCGGCCGATTTAAGTATCACGGAAACCGGAACAAGTAAGCGACTGATAATTTTAATTCGAATTCCACAAAAAATGAAATGTGTTCTTTGCTCGAGAAAACGGACACAATCGTTCCCGGAAATTACACTCGATTTTTGACCGGAGAACAGATAGATTTCTCAACATCAAAAAGACATGAATCATAAAATTCGTGAACCAAAATAATATAATGTAATTTTTTTCGATATTTTCAGTTTGTCCGATGGGCCAATGCGAAGTTGATATCGGACAATCGAAGTGTCAATACAAAGGCGATTCAAGTGGAAGTGTGCAATCGTGCTGGAATGCAACTTATTGTCACAAGCTTTGCGAATTCGATAAAATTGGCAATCAGATTGGGCCCGGATGTGATCCCGCTGGAAAAAAATGCGACGATGAGTGTTTGGGCGGATGCGATAAAGCCAATGATCCGCGCTCGTGTCACGCTTGCCGAAATTTCCACTATCAAGGACGATGTATTTCAAAGTGCGCTGACAATCTTTATGCGTTTCTCGATCGTCGTTGCATTACCAAGGAGAAATGTTTGAGCATGACGCCTTCTGGAAAGAACAATCGCGGAATCAAGGCGATCAATGGAGTTTGTTCGCAGAATTGCCCAGAAGGCTATGAAGAGGATCCGAACAACCCGAACGAATGTTTGAAGTGCAAAGCGGAGTGTCAAGTGATTTGTCCGGGAAACGTCACAGTCGACGATTTGACTAAGGCGTTGAAACTTAAAGGATGTCACATCATCGATGGCTCACTGACGATTGAAGTTCGAGGCGACTCCAATTCTGGAATGGCCAAAGAAATTGCCGAATCATTTAAAAAGATTCACACGATTCGCGGTTTCTTGAATATCTACCGCTCGGCGACATTCGTCAATTTGTACATGTTCAAGAATTTGAAGACGATTCAAGGAAATTTTCTCCATAAGGGAAAATACTCTCTGCTGATTTCGGAAAATGCGAATTTGAAGAAACTTTTTGATCCATCGGTGACTTTCACCGTTGAAAGGGGACACATTCAGTTTCATAATAATCGAATGTTATGCTTCCACCTTATTCGGCAGTTTATGGAGATGCTTGGGCGTGAAACAGAAATGCAGGATGTAGATCAAAGTGTGAGCAGTAATGGAGACAAGGCGATTTGTAAGTTGTCTTTTATTTTGCATAACAGTTCCCTAACAACACTCAACTATGTATAGGTGAGGACTCATCTTTCGAAGTCAAAGTTGTCGGGGTTGGCAACCATTACATTAATCTGGAATGGCCGGCGTTCAATACGACTGACATCGATCATCGCAAATTTCTCGGCTATGAAGTGTATTACAAGGAAGTCGATCGCGTCGACTACAATATGTCAATTGATGACAATCGCAGCGCCTGCTTTGATTCATGGCACAGCATTTTTGTCGAAGTTCGCGAAGACGCTGAAGCTGCCAAAGCAGAGACGGTGAATGCGACAATAAGCAATGAACACATCAAACCATTCACCATTTACGCGTTTTACGTGTCCACCCAAATGGTTCACCATATTGGTGCAAGAAACGCCATTTCGAAAATCGGGTTCACGACGACTTCATTCGCTGTCCCTGAAGCGCCAATGGTGACTGTTCGAAGAGTTACAACCGATGAGATTGAGTAAGTTGTTTTCTATGGAATTTGTCATAATTATTTTCTCGATCAGATTAAGCTGGGAACCTCCACACAAACCAAATGGAATTATCACCCATTATATTGTTAGCTGGAGAGAAATCGATTTGGAAATGCATTCTGCTTCGAAACATTTTTGCAACATTGGTAATACTATTATTAAAACATTTTCTCGATGTGCACTCTTTATTTAGACCCACAATTAAATACCAAACGACCTGGTGTGATTTCGAATGAAGATATTGATCAAAAAGTCACCTCAACGACGAAAGCACCATCGATAACCTCCTTTATAGGCAAAGAGTCTGAGAAAAACACTTGTTCGTCGATTGCTGGATGCTGTGAATGCCCGGTAATTAGTTTGAACAATCTTAAAGGTTAATTTCAAATTTTAATGACAGAAGTCCATTAATGTTGAGCAAACTGAAGAAGGCGCCGAATTTGAGAATAATCTTCATGATACTATATTTGTTCAAAGGTAGGCCAGCTTTTGATTCAATGTGTCCGTCCGTCACATTTGCTGTGCGATTTATGAGTTTTTCGCCGATCCTACCCCATGCCCCCTTTGTTGATTTTTTAGGGACGAGAAAACCTGATTCTGTTTTCTCTTGTCTCTGAAAAATAAATGCTAAAATTGCTTTCTCCCGCTTGACACTTTTTATACAGCTGCGATTTTGACTATTCGGCGGAACGATGTGTTGAATGGGTTCCCGAGAAAGAGGAGATCACCGAAGATGTAACAAAGCGTCGACGTCGGGACAATCGCCTCCGACGTGTCATGGATGCATGGGAAAAGAAAAGGCGCGAAATCTACAAGGCGAATCATACAATTCGCAACACGCTCAATGATTACGAGGCTTATACGGCGGTGCTCATGTATGTCCTGAAGCTGCGTGTGATGAATTACTCCTATCCTATCGATTTCACCTTCACGTGTTTACCCCTTTTCAATTGCTTACTGCATGCGTTTTCGTAATGTTTGCTGTCTCTTTTCATTTTCAATTATTCATCGAGAAAACAACCCATAATTCTTCAAATCCTATTTTTAGAAAATTGCGCCGTCGACGTTCTATTGAGTCACCGAAGACCGATGAAACTGATGATGATGGAAAGCCAAAGAACAGAATTATTGTTGGTAAAAAAGCAGAAAATGCATCGGAGGATTCGAAAATGGTTTTTTTTTATAAATCAATGTTTGTTCTAATTAGTGTTTTCAGCCTCTGGTGAACGCAGAATCTGAAAAGCTGATAGCTGATAGATTGATGACTCGAAAGGTTGAGGCCAGAGATGGCACTAACGCATTTACAATCATTAATCTAAGACATTATCATTTATACGCGGTATAATAGAGAAAAGGGCGTCATATTTGAATAGTGAATTTAAAGATATCTGTGATCGCGTGTCAAGATCCAAATGTGGAAGGAAGTCATTGCTCAAAGGCCGAAAAAGTTGCCGCTTTGAAGGTTCGAACGAACCCATTGCGTAAGTTGACCTATAGTTTTAGTCTTTTTTTTTATTATCATTCATAAATCAGGAAATTTGTTTTAAATTTTACGGAACAATTATTTAGCGGATGTCGATCTTGTTCCAAAAGAGAGCATTCAATTCGACTACATGAACACAACTTCTGCTGTTCGTGTGACCTGGATGGCTCCGAACAATTCGAACGGCGGAATTTTTGGATATTACATTAAAATGATTAACACTGCTGGCGCAGCGCCTCATCAAATTTGTCATCCTTCGGTTCTTGGTAATTGGACGCCCCATGATGATGGAATTATTTTCCGGAATCTCGCTGATGGATCTTACAAGTAAGTACACTGATATATCATCTATATATTGAGTTCTAATATAATATTTAGGGTTGAAATTATTACGGTATCGGAGCTGAAAGTGGTTGCTGAAGGAACAATCTCGGACAATGTTGTTAAAATATACACTCCAGGATTTTGGACATATGATGTTTGCCAATTAAAAAAAATGCAAAAATTAAATTATTGAATAATTTCAGCGCATCAGCTATGCTGTCGGATTGTTCCTCATTATACTCTTAATAATCGGTGCTATACTTTTCCGAGTAATCAAGAAGCACTATGGACAGAAAGTAAAAAGATTGGCGGATTTCATGTCTTCAAATCCAGAATATCTCATCGAACAAGTCTACAAAGAGGACGAATGGGAATTGGCAAGGGATAATCTTGAGATTCTCGAAGAAATTGGTAGCGGTTCATTTGGAAAGGTGTACCGAGGAATGGGTAAAGATGTCCAATCGGTGTCGGGCGTTGTGTTTGGCGAATGTGCCATCAAAACGGTGCAAGATGGCACCGATAATGCGCAACGCGTTCATTTCCTTCTTGGTATTATAAACCAAATCCTTAAAAAACAATTTTTTGATGTATTTCAGAAGCGAATGTGATGAAAACGTTCAACGCACCATTCATTGTCAAGCTTTATGGAGTCGTTTCCTCATCGCAGCCTACCCTTTGTGTTATGGAATTTATGGCATTGGTTTCGAATCGCGAGAGTTCAAAAATATAAAAAATGGTCAAATTATTGTAGGGTAATCTCAGAGATCATCTTCGGTCACGTCGTCCCGATGAGCCGGGAACCAGCACCAAATACCCAGAGCCGTCGCCGGAACAGTATTGCGAATGGGCGGCTCAAATTGCCGATGGAATGGCATATCTAGAGTCGATCAAATTCTGTCATAGAGATTTGGCAGCGAGAAATTGCATGGTACCGCAATAATTTCCGAAGTCCATTAACTAGTCAATTTCCATAGGTTCATGCTGATACTACTGTGAAAATCGGTGACTTTGGAATGGCGCGAGATCTCTACTACACCGATTATTATAAGCCGACTGGAAAACGTTTGATGCCAGTTCGCTGGATGGCCCCAGAATCGCTGAAAGACGGCAAATTCGACTCGAAATCTGACTGCTGGTCGTATGGAATTGTGTTGTACGAAATGTTGACGCTCGGTCAACAACCATACCAGGGTCTCGCCAACGATGAAGTCCTTAATTATATTGGCATGAACAAGAAGATTCTCGAACGACCACGAGAATGCCCATCGTACTGGTATCGTATGATGAAAATGTGCTGGAAGTACAAACCGATAGAAAGGCCGACATTTGCCGCGATTGTGCATATGCTGGCGCCGTTGACCAGCGAGACATTCCGACAGAAATCATTCGTCTTGAATAATAGCAATTACAAGGATGAGGCAGACGCACGCCTCGCGTTTGATGTTGAAGATTCGGGATCGGAAAGTCGCGGCCGGACTAATTCGTTCCAGATGCAGGAAATGTTTTCGATGGAGCGATGCAGCAGCAGTCAATCGGTGAAAAAAGATTCGCGCAAAAACTCGTTGAACGGAAATAGGTCCTTAAAGTGAAATTATTTAAAACATTTGTTTATTTTTTTCTAGATCGAATGATTCTCGGCATTATAGTTTTGATAGAGGAAGTGGATACCAGGCAGTACAGTCGAGTTCGGTGCCTGACACTGATAACGATGAAGGGGATTATGTGGAGAAAGAATGCAATTATGACGATGATTACATTCGGGTAAGACATGAGAGCAGATAAGAGCCGGAATAAACAAAAATCGTTATTTAAATTTGCAGGGCACATTTCCACATTCAATTTCTGGATTATCGGCGCGAAACATCGAGAACGATGAAACATATTGCATGTCAAATCGTAACGGCACCATGGACATCCCATCGTGGGGCGAAGGCGAACGTCTCAATCAGCGAAACGGAGGCCATGCGTACACAAAAACCGCGTAATATCGCTCCAAATCAACATCTACTGTACATTCGTTTTATTGTGAATATTCAATGTTACTGCATCTCGATACATTCTTGTTACTTCATCCCATATCATGTAGATTCTACGGAAACCAGAGCGTAGTGTTATGTTCTACTTCTTCTTCTTCAATTTTTTGCTTCCTTTTCCAAATGTTTCCAACCAAATTGTCAATTTTCAACTGATCAGTACTCAAATTTTGTATGGACGGGTGAATGTCGTAGTGTTTGTAAACTGAAATTGTATTATACTATGAAATTAATTTTTCAAAGTCCTTGATTCGAAATATTCCCATAGAACATAGTGCTTTCTTTCAACAACATTATCCGTTGAGTAGTGTCGGTGAAACGGGTTCCCTGCGTTATTTTTAATCAATTCGTTTTATTATATCCATTTGCCAGTTTTCTCCCCGAGAATCCCGAATATTTAAACTATTTAATAGTGAAACCAACATTATCACAATTATTATCCCTCGGGCATTCTGATATTATTGCGGATTATTGTCATGACAATTATCATGTTTATTTTTAAACACTATAATAATAATTATATATATATATCAATACAACTAATGAATATTAATATATAGGTGTCGTTAAAAGCGGCGGTAAAGCGTTGATTATATTGAGCGTGTTTGTATGGTTTTGCTTTGGAATTTTTTGCGATTTTTGATATACGAAAGAAACCGCGCAAGATGTGAAAGACTCCAACCGGAAGAATTTTTTCTGGGGGTGGATGGTGGGGTACGGTATTTATTGGGTTGGGGTTCACATCTTGAGAGTTTGCTAGCAGAAAATTATCGAGAACAGCAGATGCAGCGGACGACCGAGAGAATCACCGAGGCGATGACGATGACGCTAATCACAGCAATCACAACCCAAACCCAAGTCTGAAAATTTTGCAATTGAAACGCAATCGTATCTATGGGATAATTTTTGTGTTGAAATCAAGTATGATTACCTGAAGCTTGAAACAGCAATCCTTGTTGACATTTCCGCAGCATTCATAGTAGTGGAAAGGCGACGCAGTTCCACAATGGGTTCCAACCAACGGCACCGGGCAGTAAACGTCGCCATCCTGGAAAAATCGATTGAAAACCTAATTTAATAGAAACCCATACAAACCTTGGTGGTTGTAACCTCGTTCACCGCACTTTTTAAATCATCTTGAGCAGATGCGGCAAATGCGAGAGCAATGCAAGCGGCGAGTGAAAGGTATCCGAGCATTATTATTCGTAGGTTTCTGGAAGTCGAAAGTTTTCGCCAAAAAAGCGATGCTCAAAGAGCAAATGTGGATTAGATGGTCCCCGGAGAACCACTAAAGATGGCTATCACTGGTGTCGCACTTTGCGTTTTTTTTCTGGTCTTCTATTTTTTGTTGTTGCTGATCCTTTACTCAACCAACAAAATTGGGAATGCATGAAAATTTCGGGCCGAATGAAAAATGAATTGAACTAATTTAAGTGGCGTCTAGGGCACCAAATATAGATGGATTTTTCGGAGCACAAAAAAAAGAACAAGAGAAAGATGAAGTGTGGCGTTGAATTCCCAAAATGAGAAATGTGGTCACACATTTCCAATCGTGCAAATTGCTCAATAAATGAGAGTGGACGACTAATTCAACCAAGATGGCGCATTTCATCTGATGAGGCGCGATGAGTCGATCTTTTCGAGAATTCGCGCAATGAATAACGAAAACAAAACAAAAAGTTTTCGTTTTTAAAAATGAGTATTGTTAGTCGTTTATGCGCACACGACTGGAATGCGAAAATAGAGCCTAACGAAGCGAGAAGAAAGAAATACAATGTTTTGATGAGAGTGCAGCATTTTGACGGCCAAGTTATTATAAAGAAGAAAAATACATAAATACTTACATGAAGTATCTGTTGTATTAGGCAAGACATTTATGTAATTATCTTATGATTTATAAATAGCGAGTTTCGTAAAATTAAATTCCTTAATCGCACCTTATACGGTAGAAAGCGATGTGTGCAAAACACGCTGGTATGTAAATGCGGTATAAAAATAACGAACTTTCTCGACAAACTCATCGGGCGAAGCACAGGACTTTCTCCGTTTTGGCGAAATTCGCAGGCTAAACTATTTCGTCTTTTCGAGAAAAACATCAATTCTGTTCAATTTTTCGCCACAGTTTCGCCCGATAAATTTTTTTCGAGTTTTTTTTTTAATTTTTGGATTTTATCTTTATTTTGTTTAATTTCACCCCTATTAATAATAACATTGAATTGCGATACGTTTATTTTAACAGCAAATAGAGTTTGATCCCGTTTAAACGAATAATGCATATAACCTTTCAGAAAAGATGTTCGATCTTTTTTCTGAGGGAAAAAGAAAAAGTTTAAACGAACTAGTTGGAATTTCTCGAATAACAAAAATAGAAACGCAGTAGCTTCGACACGCAATCAGCTCGTTTTAGGACACAAATTTGGGCCGGGGCGCGTCTTGTACGCGAAAAGATATATGAGCTTGTGGGAATCCAGACCAATTTTCGATGTGGTTTTTTTCTTTTCGCTGCTTTCAAAGTTCGTCAATGAAAGAAAACGCCATACATACACACACACACACACACACACACGAGGGCAATTATTTCAGCGACGAACTATGAAAGTAGATAAAGCAATTAAATTTAATAAGAGAAATTGGAGAAGAGAGAGATGAAATAGCGAGCGTGGGGGTATATTATTGGCCAAAATTGCACAAAAAATCCTCAAGAATAAAATGAGATAAAGTGGAGATTACAACGAGGCGCTGAGGTCCCGTCTCTTTCCGCATCATTTTCACAGCGAGCCACTCCCCCACACGACGCGGGTAGTCAGATTTCGAAAAGATGAGTTTCAATCATTTTCGAGCCTTTGTGTCTTTGTCGGTGCGGCAGACAAGGCGAAAAAATATGGGGTGAGTGGGGGGATTCAAGGTTGGATGGAGGGCGGGTTTCTACCAACAACGCATAGGAATGCACGAAATTGGGAGGAAAATGAAACGCACAAATTTCGAAACGCGCGACGCAGAGAATTCGTGTGGCCCTCGAACTGGTTGCAAATAGTGACAAACACCGTCAATGAATCATTGAGGTCTCAAAAAAAGGAGAGGGAAATTGCGCATAATTTTGTTTGTACGACGGCGAAAGGGTTATTGGTCATGTATTATTGAAAGAAATCTCCGAGAATAAAAATAAATACTTACAAAAATCTGCGAACAATTTATGAATGCGAATTTTTTTTTAGCAAATTCTTGTTTACTAGTTTTTTTCCATGCGCGTTACGAAACGTGGTTTTAAAAAAGGAAATCGCCAATTTATTTTTTTATAGGTCACGTAACAAATACTATTTTAAACTTTTCATAAAAACAAATATTAATTTTTGTAAAAATCATTTAATTGATGTTGAGTGCTCGAATACTTCGTAGAATTCATCGGGTAGAGCCTGGTAGGGATCGCCTTGAACCCAACTGCACGGGAATCCGTCAAGCAATTTTAATTGCGGAAGACTTTTAGTGACCTTGGTTCGATATTCATTGTCATTGCTAAACGTTTAATAGCTCAAGGACTTTAGAATTTATTTCAACCTGTAAATTGGATTCATTTCCAGTGTCAGCGAAGTTAACTTTGATAAGTCGCGAAGATTTTCGATTTCTTTCCAGTCATTAATCTATTGAAATATGATTTTATAATTAATGAGAGTCGCGTTCGGCGACTGATGTACGCAGGAAGAGTTCTCTCGTGAGCTGTTTAATTTTTCTTGGTGAGTATATTGTTTTTCTTGAGTACATACAAAAGAGGCAATGTTGTTCGCCTAAAATGTTAGTTTTCGGATACAGATTCTTAGAAAAATTTCCAATCGATTAATGTACCTGTAGCGTTTGCATTTGCCTTTAAGACGGATAGCAAAATGACCTCCGTTGTTAATACTACTGAAATTAAAAATTAACGGAGTGAAATCCAAAACGCAACATAACCAGTTAGTCCGTGCGAGACCACAAGAAAGGCGCATGCACGTAAATATACCCGCGTACAACAGTCGCCAAACGCCGTCTTAATGGTTTATTCAATGATTTACCTTGTTTTTCCGAATCCACAGTGTTGTTAAATTATTCAATTGGGCTGTGTTTTCGATATTTTCGATAAGATTATCATTCAGGTCAACACTATTTAAATTGGTAAGATTTTCGAAGCCATCAATTTTCGAAATTCCATTTTGGGCGAGTCCAATCGATCGCAACTTTCGCAATTTTCCAAGATTTTGAATCTCGGTGATTGCATTACCCGGCAAACTTAATTCGAGCAAATTTTTCTGATATTCCAAACCCTCGATTTGTCGAATTTGATTTGCGCCGAGAAACAAATGCTCCAATTTCGTAAGTGTGTCAAGTCCAGAAATCGCGCGAATTCGATTGTCACCAAGTTCGAGATATTCAAGGTTTTCTAGCTAGATGTCAAATTTTAGAGAATTGAAAGCGATATTGTGAATACCGTTTCGAGACCCTCGATAACTATAATTTTATTGTGAACCAGGTGAAGCTCTTTGAGTTTAACGAGTGTTTCCAAGCCTAATTAATTAAAAAAATTAAGTTGATATGTAAATATTAAAACCTTCTATCTTCGAAATTCGATTATAAGACAAATCTAGATACTCTAAATTCACCAATGTTTCTAATTTTTCAATATTCTCAATTTGATTATCGTTTAAATTGAGATAGGTCAACTGTTCGAGACATTGGAAATGATCGATTTTCTTGTACAAATTCCACCGAAGAGTTAGTTTCCTGATTAAAATTGGTGATTTCAATAGAGCAGACTTGACTAACTTAAGTTTCGGAACATTTTCAAATTGTGTGACCTTGATAATTCGATGGCGAGTGAAGTTGAGTTCTTCACTATCTTCCGCAACATCATAACCTGAATAAAAATGAGTCGTTAACGAAATATAATTCAAACAAACTTATAATTTCTTTCTCAATTTTGCCATTTCCTTTATTTGAAATTACACGTTCGATTTTAAGCATCGTTTTAAAATAACGAATTTGTGTTGCTCGAATATTGCAATTTTTATTGGTAATAAATGTCACGTAAATTATATTATTTCAGATGAGTCGTCAAGATGAAAACGCACATATTTTCGAATTCAAGAAGGAAAATGCAAAGGAACTTGCACACATGATTAAAACATTGCTATTCCGAGAGGTTTTCCTACCAAAATATGTATTTTATTAGAGTTTTTTTTTACAGTTTGGTGTCATTTATCCTTATGACAAAGGTCTCAAAATCACAGTGGACGACGGGCATTGTCAGCAAGTGTTTCAAAAATCCCCCAACTATTCGAATTAATTTGAAATTTTTAGGCAAATGCCTATCTCGATTCGTCAATTTTCACCACATTCTTCTGCAAGGAGAATGATTTGAAGTTAAAGGTTCCGCTGAAAACGATAGCCGAATGTCTGAATATATGCGAGGGCACCGTAAACTCGGCGAAAATGTCGTACGCCGGATTCTACGACCCGATGCGTATTCTCGTCGAGGAGACCGACGGACCGGTGATTCGAGCAAAAATCCATGTGCTCGTACCCGAACAAGAGCTCGATTTTGAGTTTAGTGATGACAACGTGACAGCCACCTGCCTAATGAAAACCCAATTGTTGAAGGAGATATTCAAGGATTTTGATGCTTCTAGTCGAACCGTCGTCATCACTTTTGATCCAAACAAGCTAGAATTTTCAACAAATGGCGACGTTGGAGAGATGATTGTACTTGTGTTTACATTAAAAAAAATAAAATAAATTTTCAAAGGTCTCGATTCCGACCAGATCCCTTCAAATGGAGAAAATGGATTACAGTGGTCCAATTTCGCATAGATATCGGCTAACTTTGATACAGAGGATGATACCAGTAATTACATTGGGAACAAAAGTGAGTACAGGTGAACAGAAAATTTATATTAAATCGATTAAGGTAATTTTACGCATTGACGATCGCGGTGTACTATGTGCTCAATTCACAGTGGAACACGGTGATAACAAGAACAGTTATATAGAATTTCTAGTGAGTTGTTTTCAAAATGTATGTCGACACGAAAATTTTTCAGACAGTCCCTGACGACGAAAACTTTACAGATTGAACATTTTTTCTATTTATTTAAAAGAAAATTCCAGATACAGGCGAATAAATAAAAATAAAACGCATCACATTTCTAGGTACAGTCATAATAAGTTAGATGAAGTAAAAACTAACCCATTTCGAAGCATAAGGAATATTAAAGACACACAACGCGCAAAAAGCGGTTCGAGACTCAGTAAATTCTAGATTCCAACGACTAATCCGTTAATCACAATCAAATTTTGTTGTATTGACATCATGCAAATTACTGTTGATTTTGAGGCGGATGGTAAGGAATAGGAGTAAAATACGGTGATTCTTGCGGCGCACTTGACTGACCAGTCTGAATAATTCACATTTCATTTTATATTTTAAGTGATTCAGCGCTTACAGTTTGATTCGTGTATACTTGCGAGAATGCACTGTTCGCAGATGGCGCAACAATTGGATGTTGCACTTGAGGTTGAACTATTGGACCGGTTGGGAATGGTTGATTAGGAATTGGCAGCGGGTTTGATCGGAAGTACTGTAACAATGAAATTAATTAGGTGTGTCCAAATTTATTTACCTGTCCGTGGACGGTTGGAGTGGAAGATGATGGCTGTGCATATTGTGCAAATTGTTGTTGCGGTTGTGGACCTCCTAAACTTTAAAATTTAAATTGTTTCTCTAATCTCATTTGTACCATAGATCTCTGGAGCAGCGGCATAGTTTTGTTGCTGTTGTTGCTGGTACAGTTGCTGTTGATGTTCGTATTGTTGTTGGTAATATGCAGCGGCTTCGGGAGAATAAGCATATTGCTCTTGCTGCTGTTGTGGTTGATATTGTTGCTGCTGTTGCTGGTAGTGCTGGTAATATTCTTGATAAGCCTGCTGTTGAGCATAGTGTTGCTGATAGGCGAGATGTTGCGGGCTGGTTTCCGTCGGTGAAACAACTGGTGGTGATCCCACAGGTGACGTGGGGTCAGACTTCACAACAACTTCGGTCTAAATTACATCTTAACAAAATGTAAGAGATTAATTACATACAAGTGGTACCGGTGGTGGTCTCACTTCTGGTAATGGTTGACCAGCATGCTCTTGCGATAAAGGAGTTGAAGCTGAACCAATCAAAGTTTCTGGTTCACTTGTCGCTGTTTGCGTTGTGCTTGATGTAACATCGTCAGAAGGAACAGGCGCCGATATTTGAATTTTTCCGAATTGTTTAAGCACACTACTAAAACCAGAATTTTCTTTAAGAATTCGCATTCAAAATTACTCGTGAGAACTAGAAATTTCAGCTATTTTTGCAGGGGCTTGTGGTGGATTCGGAATAGTGTCTTTGATGATCTGTGGAAATACATCACGTAGTCGCTCGACCTATAATCTTGTCTTAGTAAAATAACAATTTAAACAAAAATTTACCGTCATATCATAGAGACCGGGAATGGTTTCGAACAGCTTATTATTATCCATTACTAGAAGCATATTTTTCAACGATTCTGGAATGGCTTCCTTCAAATTCTCATTGCTATCAACTTTCAGGTATTTCTCCATAAAATCGACTAGCTTAAGCCAAAGAGTTGAGAAAGAATGCAATGTGACCAATTCTTTAAGTTGACTGAGCAAGGTTCGAGCGACCAGTTGAATAGTTCTCACTCGTGTGTCTTCCATTCCAATTGGATCCATTTGAGAGAACGGTTCCAATAATTTTGTCAGCAGCGGAAACAGTACTTCTCCAAAGCATGACTCCCATTCAGTAGCTCCAAGCTTCGGCATCGAAGGAATCGCCTTTTGAAGATGAGTGAGAGCGGCGGCTCTCACGTTTCGACGACAATCGCAGCTCAAACGAGCCATTGCTTGAAGAAGCGGCTTCCAAATTTGCGCCCATACGAATGCAACAAATTCTCGCGACTGGGCTCCTTCTGGATTTGACCATTTCTCAAATATTTCGGGCGCCTTTGAATGCAATTGTAGGCACAAGTCCAACAGATGAAGCGACATTTGCTGGTAGTTCGCTGACAATTGTTGCTCTTCATTTTTGCTCTCCTCGGCATCGACAGAAACATCAGTCGACAATTCTTTCTTTCCAACTTTTCCGTGATGGTGATGATGGTGTCGTTTAATTCTTTCCTCCGTAGTAGTACTTCTCAAACGATTCTGAGCGTCTCCACTAAATGGACCAGCAGCATAACAACCTCCATCGAGACTTGCTTCGACCATAGTGCGAAGGCATTGAAGACTTGATTCAAAGTTGTCAGGAGTAACATGAATGGCGTCACGGAGAAGGAATGCAAGGCATTCGCAGACTCGCAAAAATGCCGCCGGCTCATGTCTACCCAATCCAGTTCTCAACACCAAACTTCCGCGATCAAACCCTTGAGTCCTTGTTGCTCCAAGCGCACGTAAGGCTTCTTCAGTGGCTTTGGCGGCGTCTTTGTGGTCTAAATGGATCCAATCAGCTTGACCAGTTGGATTTCGTGCCAACGAGAAGGAAGAATCCACTCTACTTCCCAAGTCGCTCGTAGAATCTAAAGAAAAATTTTTATAAATCGATGAATTAAGACAATATCAACAAACCGTAAATGTTTCTTTTTCTTTCTTCTCCTTCTGATGTATAAGCACGATCCTCCACGGCACATCTACTCGACTGCTCAACATCGGAGTAAGCATTCCGATCGACACTCATTTTATGCGTTGCAGAAGGAACGTAATCATCGGGAAACACAGCAGCTCCAGAAGTCTCAAGAAGCTCGAAGAGAACTGCCCAATGCTCTTTCTTGTGAATATTAGCAGCGTTCGTGCGAATGAGCTCATAGAGACCGTAAGCAATTTGACGACTGAAGATAAAAAGGGCCTTGGGCGAAAGTTTCTGAAAAAAATAAATTCAACACAATTTTCAATGACGCCATTTTACCAAGAGCATTGTAAGTGAGTTGAGAACTTCATCAGAAACCGTATTGTCGCGGAAAAGATTTCGATTGGCGATTCTCAATAGTCCAACAACTGCACGTTCCACAAGCACCGGGCATTTTCCAAATTTCGGAGAGAAGAGCCATTCAAGATGTTGTTTGACGCGGGGCCAAAGGTCCGGTAGTCGATCTTTGTTCTCCAATGCAATCGAAACCATGATCTCATGGTAGAACACTAGTGCATCTTCGTCTTCTCCGCTCAACGAGTTTTTTCGTTGCGCTTCTGCTTGATTCATAATCTCGACGCTATTCGCCGCAATCGCGTTGATCAACTCCGAGAGTGCCGTCGTTGTCAAATACTTGCTATCGGCAATAATCTGATGCGGCTTACATTCCGCAATAATTGAAGAAGCTAGCTGAAATGTTTACTTTTGAAATTTAAAATTGCAATTATCCATGAATAACCTGCATCGCTGTCAATTGCTCTTGAGTTGGCTTTCGCCTCTCCGCTTCACTGGCACCTCCGCCTAAACCAAACCACGACAGAAGGCCAGTCTCACTTCTTGTTGTCGAAAGTTCCCTGAAATATTACGCGTAATTGTTCAACATGTTCATTTTTTTGCTTTACTTTTGGTGGATTCTTTGAATTGATACCCATCCTTTTTCGTCAACATAGTCATCGACTTCAATCATATCGGCGGGAAGAAGACGAGCACGGAACAATTGCAACAAAACTTCGAACACGTTTCGCCAACCCTTCAAATTATTGCTAGCTACAAAATGGCGTAATTATGATCGAAATACCTCTCTCAAAATATTTCCATTCTCGTGAACCAGGTAAAACAACGTTTTGGTCGCCAGCTGCGCTTTGTGATTTTCGCCAAATGCCAATGAAACTGCTTCGGGACTTGAAGTGTTTCCATTATGGCCGCTATTTGAATCTTGAAGACTTCGTTGTCGCTGAAGTTCAAGATTCTCTTCGGCTCCTCCTTCGTGCATTGAAGTGAGAGTAGTGAATTTGCAGAGATGAATGCAGAGGTTGTCGAACACTTCTTTCATTCCATAATGAGCAGCAATCTTGGCGCATTTTCGGTATCCAGTGAGAGCTTTCTAGAAATGTTAATTTTAAATGTCAATACGTTTGTTGTTTCCATTCCTACCTGCAATATTTGCTCTAATTCGGACTTGTCAAACACATAGCTCAACGCTGCAACCGCGGGACCCCAGCAAACCGCGAAGAGATCGTGATCATTCCAACCGTTCGGAGCATGGTAAAACACTCCTTCTTCAGTCTCTCCTCGACGTAGTAACACTTTCCAATCATAGTTCTCCTTGACGATTCCTTTTTGCTCAGCTGGCATCACAATTTCTTCCGATTTGATGGAATTATAAATTTCAACCAGCATGTCTTGGTCGAAATCTTGTCCGCCGTTCGTTCCCGACACATTCCTCTTGAAACAATCCACAGTCATCGGTGGTTGAGCACGCTTCACTTGCGGATTGTGCTGGTCCATGTTGAGCATAATTATGGCGTAAGAAAGGGTGAATGGCGCATCGGCATCATTGAACGGCTCATGATTAGCACGATACCATTCATCGGAAAAGTGCTGCATCACCATGGCAATTTCGGCGGCTTCTCCAGGTAGACGGAAGGTTTCGAGGAACATTCGAAGAGCGACATCCAGACGAGTGCCTTCGAATGGAAATGACTTCACAAACGCAGCCAGAACATTTTCATGTTTTCGATTGCAAATATAATCGGCAATACTCTTCTTGTCCAAGTGCGGGTTCGTCCTCAACCAATGAACAACACTTTCAACATCATGCTGAAGAATTCCCTTCTCTTGGAGGAATTCGATGCCTTTCTTCGAATTTTGATTGAACAACTCGGTTCCTTCAGCGATGAGTCTCTTTCGTTGTTTCTTATCGAGAACATCTGGCATCGATGGCAAATTTGGCGACGGTGGGTGACGATTCTCGCGTAAATGAACTGCATTCTTCTGCGGCTTCTCATCTTTGGAATTCGCACGATCTTCACAATTTTGCTCAATGGTGTCAATGACAACAAGAAGAGCATCAAGCGAGAGCAAACTGGCGGTGTGCCCTCCCATCGTCGGAAAACTGTTTTCAACAAGAAGTTTCGTCAAATCCTCGAAAATATTCCTAGAAATTAATAATTTATGTGTAAAGTTGAATAAAATAGGTACTTACGAGCAATATAAATCACAATCATAGTTAAGATACATTTCAGTTACGAGACCAGGAATTCTCCAAAGATGTACAAGCGACTCTAAGGCCATTTCTTTCTGCTCTGACCCATTGCTGATTGGATTCTGAAAAACTACGGTTATCTATATCCGATTAATGATTTACCTTCTCAGAGAGGACAATCGACTGCAATTTTTTCAAGTATGCTTCAAGTTGGAACTTCAAATTCATCCTCATTGATTCAAATAGAAGGAAACAGCATCGGTTTGTCGCCGCCAATACTGGAAGCTTTTCGGTATCCAATAGTTGAAGAAGTGATCTGCAGAGATTGTCCTTGATGAGAGGCATGAGCAAATCATAGTTGGGCAAATGATCTGCGACAGCTTCCAATGAAACAACAAGCAAATTTAATCCAAGAACAACCATCGATTCGGTATTGTTTCGGTCCAAAGGGTTTATCATTGTTATCAAAAATCGCAAGAGTTCTCGGCAGCACGGTAATCCATACGGCATCTGCTCTTCCGATGTCATCGTGGCATGATTTGTTGGGTCCTCCTCATCGCTTTCAATATCTCGTTGGAGGCCTGCGTGCGTTCGAGAAATCGTGCGAGTTCCCTCGTCACCTTCACCTTCAGTATCTGCTTCATCTCCTTCAGAAACATCGTGTTTTTCGGAAATTGGCGGAACTGTTAAATCTGGATGGGTGACGGCATCGACGACAGGATCTGTGGTCAAGACCACATCGAATCCAAGTTTAGTAACGTCGGGCTCAGTGACGATCAGCTTCGTTTTCTCGTTGGAATCGTCTTCCTTCGGCTCTTCCAATTTTGGCGGCTGGTCAACGTGTACAGAAATCCTCTTTTTCTTTCTTTTCTGACGTTTTTCATTGGTATTTACCTTAAAATTAGAATAAAACCCAAACAATTCGCCACAACCGTCTTACCAGCTGCCGGATGTAAGGGTGCCTTGTGTCTTCAACAAACGTCGGCAATCTTGTGAAGATAAGTTGGGTCATATCGGATAAAGTTGATTCAGCAGCCTAATTATTTGTTTAGCTCGCATTAATTGATAAAATCACCTTTCTCAACAATAGCGATAAGTTCTGCTCAAAGACGATCCTGAAGCATGACTGCATCATGTCGCAAACCGCCTCATTGGAGAGCAAGATTCCAGGTGGAGAAAGCAAAAGTGAGCGAAGGACTTGCAAGATTTTGAACAGCACACATTCATCGCTTCCAGTGCTTTTGCCGCCGATGAATTTTGTATGGACAACTGCGTATGCAATGGACTCGACAGCATTTGCCGCTTTTATGCTAAATTAAAATTTTTTGTCAAATAATGAATGAATTGAGCAAAACCTGCTTGCGTCAATAAGTCCATAATTCAAAAATTTTGCTACTGCTGCCAGCGCGGCTTCTGTGATTGGACCATTTGTGTTTTGAGCTTTTATTACATCGAGAAATGGTGAAAGATAAGTTAGTGGGTTCATATCGGAGAGATCTGCCACCTAAAAACCATTTCAATTATTGTACGTAAAATCATCAAAACTTACTTCATTTAAAACTTCTTTTAAATCAGTAAAATTTCTCAATAATGGATCTGTGTCCTCCAGTGATGGTGCTTGGTGCGATAATTGGTATTGCCTGCTAATTTTTAATAATAAATTATTTCATAATAAGTTAAATACCTCCTTGCTTTATTTAAGAGTGCCACCACACAATTGGCTTCACCCATAACCGTGTAAACTCCGCTGGTCGCCATCTTGAAAATGTTATGATGATGACGACCAATCTGCAAATAAACTCGATAGATCGTTTTAAAAATCGATTGAAGTTTGCTGAACTACGCGAAAAAGAAAGAAATGCTTTGATGGCGAAATCGAGATAAAATCCGGAAAAATTCGCTGTTGCGACTAGGCACGAGACACGTCACGAAAAATGAAGAATTTTTGTGTAGGGTACGGTGTGGCTCGAAATACGCAAACATCGGCCTGAGCGTGTGCAGACAAATGCGGCATTATTTTCCCTAATTCAAAAAATAATTGCTTTCAGTATGAGTAAATTACGCAGAGCATTCTAAAAGACGATAATTGTTTAAAAACATATTTATACACGCAATTCAATTAAAATTTTGTCTATTACTTAATTTTGGGCGCATAAAAATATTTTTAGACATTTTTGTTAAAATTTAGGCTTCCGCCTAAGGATATGTAATGGTGTTTCGTTCAAAAACACCAGCGGGACAACGCAAACCAAAACTCACTGGATTTCCGCTCTTATGGCGCTATACTAAAGGAGCCGCGGCTTTTTATTGCGTAGCTCACGTAATTAGCCGATATGCTGGCGAGCTTGTAATTTGTAGCGGCCCTTCCATGTATCCAACCATCCACGATGGTGATTTAGTGATTGCAGAGAGATTTAGTAAGTTTTGGAACTGTTTTAGAATAAATCATATGATATGTTAAGGTATTTCGACTAGAAACGTTCGCAAAGGCGATATTGTTGGATGTTTGAGTCCGTCGAAGCCAACTGAATTGCTTTGTAAGAGAATAGCAGCCAAGGTATGTTTTAATATGTTCTGTAGCCCACTGTGTTCTGCATTTTAGGAAGGAGAAAGAGTTGAGTGTGAGCTGCTCCCAAACGGCCGTGTTCCTCGCGGCCACGTCTTCCTTCAGGGTGACAATACCAAACTCTCCACAGATTCGCGTCATTTTGGCCCTGTACCCGAAGGCCTTGTTCAGATTCGTCTTACATTGCGGATATGGCCTTTAACCAGATTCGGATGGCTTTCGAATAAATGGTTTTGGCAGAATGATGATTGAAACTTGCCTTTTGATTAATGCGGGTATTATAGGATGGAAGTGATTAATACAATAAATAGTTTTCGATGCTTTTGTAATTATAAGTTTTCGATTTGGTTTTTACCACATATCTATTTTCTACCTAAATTTTGATGAATTTTTCATTCATTCAATTGTGTTCAGGACCAAAATGTCAGATAGGTTAACACAGCTTCAAGACCTCGTGAATGATTTGGCCGCATGTATGACAAATGCGATTGGAGTTTTACAAGGAGAAGCTCCACCTTGTGAGTTCAATGAAATCAGCAAGGTACTCATTTTCCTAATATGTTTAATTTGATTCATAATTAAGGAGCTTGAAGAAGAGCCAAATTGCGAAAATTTTGCATCTCTAATCGCAAAAGCTGCCAAGGACATCGAGGTTAGTTTTTTTGATAGTTTAAAGTATTTCTGAAACTCACAGTTTTAAAATGTTCTTGACAATCAATTTTTAAATGCTCTTCAGCTGATGGTTGAATCATTCCCAATGGAAAATATGGAGTGTACAGATATCGAAGAGCAAATCAAAAAGAACGAAGAGAGGAAAAGAAAAGCAGTGAAGGAACTTGAAGAAGTAAATAAGCAAGGCGTTGAAATCATGAAGAGGCTGCAAGAGAAACTCACCGAAATCGCTACTGTTCAAATCAAATCTCGCCCTATCGCATAAATTTTGTAAATAAAAATTAATCTATTAAATTTTAATTATATCTTTGAGTATTCAGCTCTATTCGGATATATTATTAATTTTTATTTAAATTTTTGGACTGAATTTACGTTGTTCTAGAATGCAATCGAGCTCGAACACTTCGCTTAGTGAAGAAGACAAACGAGCCATTCTCAAGGAAAAATACCTACGATTTATAGCGGTACGTATAAATTGAAAGCTGTATTGCAAAAGAGAAATAATGCAAAAATATGTAATGTATGCTTTAGATCCATGGGGACTGGTGGTTCATTAAATCCAGGTTTTTTTAGGAATATATACATAATTTGAAAGGCTACCGCTTTTTTTGTTGAAAAAATGTGAATAACAATCCCCAGCTTTTAATATAAAAATTTACGCGTTGCAACATCTCAAAAATTCCGAAAATAATTGATATCAGAAACTTTCCGAGACACCGGCTAACATTGAAATGTGCGAATCGACAAATGTCAAAGTGCAATCAATCATTGTACAACCAAACTCGGAAAACTTCATTGTATGTAAGTAAATGTTGAACAATGCATGATTATATCAAAACCTGGGAAATTTCAGCACAATTAGAAACACCAATTGGTCTTCTTGATAATGCGGTGCTTCGTGGGTCGGATATCGTTAAAATCAAAATAGAGACTACTAAGCGCTAATTGATCATAATCATAAACTGATTGTCTCTCGGAAAATGATTTCTTCCCGATGAAGTCGCATTAGCTTCTTTCGTGTCTGCCGGTCCTTGTAACAATCTAGACTTTGAATAAAAATAAGGACTGCAAGAATTGCCAGAACCACAAAAATTGCTGCCGACACATTGCTGAAAAAGCAAATTGTAGAGATTTCAGCGAAAAAATAGTCGAATATTACAATGATTCATCAATAAGTTCGCGGGTTTTCTTGTCTGACATCATTCGGCCACTATCTAAACGGGAAATGGATCATTTTTCTCTCGAAGCGAGGAAAATCAATACGGTGACGCAGGCAGGTAGACGACGAAAGAACAAGGAATCTCAAGGTTCATTTTTAAGAATTCATCCATCATAGGAAAGGACGTAACAAATAATAAACACACAAAAATAGAATTTTTGTAAAGGCGCGTATAATGAAATCCTATTGAGGTGTTGTCTCAAAGACGATAGAAGAATCCTAGAAATGAAAAGGCACATTTATCGAGGGGTGGAAAGGTGTTCAAAAAGACACACAAAACACACACAGAAAAAAAATGAAAAACAAATCAATAAAATTTTTGAAGGGACGAACAAAAATATACCGTAAATTTCACCAAGAGAATGGCAGACAGATAATTCAAAAATATCGGCAATCTATTTTGAAACAAAAAATGATCGAACATTTCTTTTTGCCCTTATTTTTCGAACACTCTGTTTACGCCAGCCGTTCCAAACATCAAAACAATCCAGACATTAAAATACCTCCGCCGCATAAGCTGGCAGATCGTAATGTCTGGTGGAATCGGCTAATTAGGTATACACTATGAAATGAAAACAATGAAATATTACAATACAAAAAGAAAACAAAACTAGACATGAAGATAATTTGGATAATATCTATATTTAGCATAATTCGCAGGACTCGATTATAATATGTAATATATTCTCATGGATGTTTTGTGTGGAATTTGGATATTCTAGTAGTGGCTTGTTGCAAGAAGTGAGCAAGTTGATTGAATTTGAATAAGGAAGATTACCACTTGAAAATCTTCCTGAAACAATCATCGATTGTTACGCATTGGCTGGTGTCCCTTCGCTACCTTAATTTCTCGTTTCACAAGACAGCACGCTTATGATTTACTGGAGCGACTGGAGTGTCGTTGCCAATTCCGCTTTGGCTGGCTCTCGGTGTAGTGGTGGTATCCATGGCATCATCATCGTAGTTTCCGAAGCGCTCATTATTACTCTCTTAAAAACCGATTTTATTTTTAGACTGTATTCGATAACATACCAAATCCAGTTCCAAAATTGTTCACAGTAGTTCCACCGCCGCCAAACAATTGCGTTTGTCCATGTCCCAATGGAACATTTCCCTCCAAGTGATAATGTCTTCTTGGACTGCGCGCGAATTTCGCCTGCGATGACGAGGCGACCGCAATTCCGCGATTATTGGTGTTCTCCTGGTTCATAAGTTCAAGAACAGATGGTGCAACATAGGTGAATCCGAGAAACGGATTATCTCCAGTCAAGCTGAAGCTCGTCTCGCATGGGCTGTCAACCGGTGTCATCTTGGTGAAGCGCGTGTCAAATAGCGAAACGTCCTCCTCATTTTCTATTTCCGGCTTGAACGGTGGGTCGAGTTGTCTAGCATAGACATCCTCCCACTTATGACGGCTGAAGAAATGATGGTTCTTGATTTCTTCGGCATCCGTCGGTCCGGCTCCAAGGCGAGTATCAACGTGCCGTTTCAACAGCTTCTTGATTAAATCACGCGCTTCCGGCGACAAATATGCTGGCAATGTGAGTCTTCCCTTGAGAATCTTATCAATTGTCTTTCTCTTATTCTCCGCCGTGAATGGTGGTCCACCGGTGAGCATATCAAACATCAATGCTCCAAGACTCCACCAATCAACAGCTTTTCCATGACCGCAACGCATCAAAATCTCTGGCGCCATATATTCTACAATTTCGATTATTCGCATTAAAATGTTTTTCGCTAGAAAAATTACCAATTGTTCCACAGAATGTGTGTGTTTTCTGATCGCCCTCAATAGCTTCCTTACATAATCCAAAATCAGTCAATTTGACGTGTCCACGTCCATCGAGAAGAATATTTTCCGGTTTCAAATCACGATAGATAATGCCTAGAACAATCGGCGCTTGCGCTTATTCTCCAGAGCGCATAGTTTACCTTGCTTATGTAAATGCTCAAGGCTCACAACAATTTCAGAAAGATAGAATCGCGCGGTGTCCTCCATAAACATGCCTTCACGCTCCAAGTGCATGAAAAGCTCACCACCCGATAAATATTCGAGGATCAAGTACAATTTTCCTCCCGTTTGGAATGCGTACAAAAGATCACAGATGAATGGGCATTTGACCGCCTCGAGAATGTTGCGTTCCGCCTAAAAATTTGAAGTGAACAGTTGTTGTAAAAAATTTGCAGAAATCACTCTATTTTTTTTTTAAACGTACTTTTGTATGAGCTGTGTCCTTTTGATTTCGAACAATTGTCGCCTTCTGTAAGACTTTCATCGCGAAAATCTTTCCAGAATCCTTTCCCGTAGTTTTGCGAACTTGGAAAACTTTTCCGTAGCCGCCTTTGCCGAGCACTTTGAGGAGCTCGAAGTCCCCGGGTCCAACCTTGACGTTTGGCGGGTTCACCGTGCATTCGGAGAGATCGATCGTTTCAACCATTGGGTCTTCGCTGGAATATCTGTTGGTGAATATTCAAAGGTTAGAGTTCGGACGGACAGCAATAGGTTAAGAGTTTAAAGCGAAAAAAACAGAAAAGAAAACTTACATATATGAGGAACTTGGAGGAGGGGCACCGATCTGTCCCTGAAAAAAATAATCCTGCAAATAGAAAACGGTTTAGAATAGCGCAGATGCAATTCTAAGGCTAATTTACTAATCGATTTGCGTTTTGAGTAACTTACATCAGCGACATCGCTGTACATATGATCGTCTTCCATAATTTCTGATTGCTCTTGGTGGAATCTAGAAATTAAAGAAATGAACAATTATTAAAGTTTCTGGATCACTTACGATCCCCCAGCTGGAATAGTATCCTGTCCATCAAGCTCGAACTCAAAAACATCGGCCATTTTGATAGTTCGCTTCGCTAATTATTAATATTATACCATTAAAGCGACAAATGTTTGGCGGCTGAAAAGGTCATATTAAGAAAGTCGAAACAAATAGCAACGGTTTGGACGAATTAATTGAACGAGATATGGAATTCTTACACAAACTGAAAGCGAGAGTTTTGTTATCAGGCTCGAAATAATACCTCTGATAACCGTCCATCAATCAGGACGACATAAAAATCAATTTAGCAAGTTTGCGATCAGACAAAAACTGGAGGTCAAATTCGTTCAACAGCCAAAAATCTTCTAGCCGAATTTCGTAAAGATATTTTGAAATTCCGGGCACGCTGAGGAATGTAATCAAAATGGTTGATAGAAAGCGATTTCACGAAACTTCCATAATCAGGGTTTTAGCGATGTTTTTGGAAGATTAAGCGAAATGTCCAGAGAAGTTTCTCATCGCAAAAAAATTGTTATCAGTGATTTGGTTCGCCGAAAACCGTCACATGCAAGTTCGCGTGCTTCTTCACATGACACAGTAGATTTTAGTCATATTAAATGAGCAAAGAGTTTTTGCGAGGCCAGCGACTATAAACATTACGAAACATTGCATAACAATCGGATGATTGTATAGAATCAGCTGATGAATGTTCGTGTTTTAGTTTGATAACCTAGTAGAAATAAAGATGAACTAAAACATAAAGCTAGCAGCGATTCGGGCAAATTAATCGATAATATTGGGGTTGAAAACGAATGAAAAGGTGAGACACTAAAATAAGGGAAAGAGAGAGAGATCGGTGCGAGACGCAGAAAGGGGGAATGTCGACGACAACTTCGCACACAAAACGACTCATCGGCTGGCGGGCTGGCTTGGTTGCCTCCCCCAACATTCGTCTCTCCGCAGCCAACGCTCACACTCGCAATATATTCGCGCTCAATGTCTCTTTTTTCGTTGCCAACGCGAACAAAGAATGAGTGAATGAATTTGCATGATTGTCTACTTTTTCGGTTTAAATACGAATATTTGCGAAATTACACAAGACCAATGTGTCAAACTGTTAGGTGAATATATGTATATTTTTAAAAACGAAAAGAAACAATGAAATAAAACAAAATTCGCAAAAGATTTTGAATAAGTCCGCAAGTACCGTTGCAGATTTTCACTATCTACAGTACCCAACAATTGATTTTCGAACTGGAGATTTGCATAAAATTTTGCAAAGTTGCAGACAAAGCGTATGTATCTAACATAATTATGAGTAATTTTTGTGTTTTTTGAATAAAAATTAATTTTTTAAATCACTTACTTCACTTAGCTTGTGAATATTTCACACAACGTCTGAATTTATAATCGAAAAAAAAAACAAATCATTTTTTCATCTGTTTTCTTCATTTTTCATGCTTTACTGTAAAATTCGCGAACGCCTTTCTTGTCCAACAAAGTGAATAACATTTCGAGGAGATTTTTAATATGCAAAAAGTGCTATATGAAACAGAACTTACGCCAACAAGCAACTCGAATTGAACTGCCTATTTTAGGATAGCACAAAAAATGGTATTGAATAGCATAAACGTGATCCATATCGCGCTACAAATTTGTAACACCGCCTACTTTTATCGCATTTTAGGGTGCCTAATTATTAACGAGATAACAAAAACGCTAATAGAGAGACGAGAGATTAGCACCTGTTGTTGTCAACGCGGTGTGTTCTTGGGCTCCTCACAAACATGTTCAATATATGTATATATCTCTCTCAATATTGACATCAATGAGCAAGAGAAAACGAAAAACAAATATTTGGTATTGAACTGGTGCATAAATATACTTGGAAAACAAAAGCGGTTAATGAAACCGATTGTGAGAATATGAGCTTGTGCGAGGTGGTAAACAAATAAACAACAATTTTGCGATTTATTCTAGTTGAGATTTTCGAGACAATCATGGGATTATTATTTCTAAAAATAGATTTTAGTTAAATTGAAAGTCCGAATTGTATCTTATTCTTCAATATTTCATTATTTGTTTTTGTTTTACATTATTGGATTTAATAATTCCGCCATTTCAATATTGCATTTTTGTAAACAATGCGATGGTTGGTTTCCCACACCTTATTGCCTTAAACGAGAAACAGTAAAAAACAAAAAATGGAATCGGGTTATTGTAAAATATAAATGTGAATGGAATCGATTTATAATTTGTGGTGGGTTGTAAATCAGTATGAATCATTATCAACGACTATCTTGATGAATTTCGGACAGGGGAAGATCAGAGTACGAACAAATTTGCAGAAACCATTTTCGATTCGATGTTTATAAATAAAAAAACTGGTTGTTTACGTTTTCTAGTTCGCAAATGAATAATTAAATTCTTTGGTATTAAATAACAACATCCAAAATACACAAATTTATTAAACTGCAATGGAATGTGAAATTGATCTGTTCCATTTTTGATAGGAGAATGAACAATAAATAAATGATAATATGAACAAATAAAGCTTCGAAAAAATAGCAGCATTGTGGTTTTTTTTTTGTATTTTCACTAAATCCGATGTCTCGCTTTTTTCTATGTACATGTTAATAATAAATAGCAGCAATTCAGAATTGCACAACATTGTATAACCGGAGTGTTCTACGTGCATTTAACCGTGGTTATTTAGTATTTCCCAGTTGATTGATATATGGCCGCTTTTATAAGTTTTAGACAGGTTTGTAAAGAAGAGTCGTCACATATTTCTTGCGATATCTTTGAGTTGACGAGAGAACCATCACACTATCCTTGATTGAAAGTGCGTACATATGATTGAGCATCGTGTGGTTCGGTTCCGGCAGCACATTTGGATCGCAAGACTCTGGAGTCTCTTTGTTCAAAAGAACCTAAAAATTGCAAATTGGTTTTGTCTTAATTGCCACATTTTTGTTACCTGCATAAGCTGGGGTGGAATTACTGGCGGTCCAGCCGCTTTTTTGAGCAATTCCATAGACGGGATTTCCTGCGAAAAACTCCGAAGCTTCTCCAACTCTCTATCGTTTGGAGTGTCGTGACTAGCTTTGGTGTTATCCGAATCCCCACGAAGAACTTCACCCGCGTTCGATGATTGAAAATCTTGATCTAGAGCTTCGAAAACGGCAAAATCCGAGTCCTTTATATTTATGACATTGTTTTCGTTTCCCATCGGGTCCGGAGCCTTTCCTTGCATGTCATCAACAACCCATTGACCATCAACACAAAATTTGTATTGATAATTCCCTAGAAATCAAAAATCAAACGTTTACACCCGAGTAATAGCAAACCAGGAGGAAGGTCGATAATAGTGGTGAAGTCGGTGGTGGACTTCACCATGGGGATAGTTGTTTTCCAGTTGTCCCAGGACCCACATATATTCACATTCTTCGGAGAATGTGAAGAGCTGAAGCTCCAACGAAAAACCACAGGGCATTCTCCCGCCTTTGTCTCGTCATCGTCCTAAAAATTGAGTTTAGTATATTGTTTTCAACGGGAGTTTTACTTCAAACATGACTGGTGGCCCGTTTGGAGAAGGAAGAAGCTGGGAAGCAATTTTAGCGGTATCACTCATCATCCTATGACGTCTTGAGCCGGCCTCTCGTTGAGAATCAAATTTTCCACCTGGAGGGAAACCGGATTGATTATTTCCCATTTCCTAATAAAGAAGGAAAAATTAGAATAAACTGGCTGGCAGCAGTTGATTGCGAACGTCAGAAAAGAGTCGAAACACACAAAAGAATAAACGCCGTTCGCCGGTCTGAAAATTTGCACATGATTTTGACCGCGGCGCAATTATAGGGGCGGGGCAGCAACTCGACGGCACATAATTCAAAAATGTTTTTTGAGCTCAGATTTTTTATTTTCCTAGCTAAATCAATGTATTTTTTTTTCAGATAGTGGTGATTTATTCACTGAAAAAATGACATTAATTGATGAACCTCCGTGTAAGCTGCAAAAACTTGATGACAATCTTGCAGAATTTAAGTATAAATAAAGTTTTCCATAAGATAAAACGCATTATATAAGATTAAGGGTTTTACCATTACTGGATTCATCAATATTATCGCCTTATGTTCCTACCACATCCTTCTATGCGCTGGAATTGAATGATAAGAAATTGATTGGTATTGTGGGAACATATTCGCTAAATTTGAAATAATGTTGAAAATTTCAGGTAATAAAATTGGTTAATGAGCTCCCCGAGAGATTGAGGCATTTGAAGCGAGTAGGAAAAGAGGGAAAAATATTGATTGCGGAAACTATTGAAGAATCAGAAGTAGTCTACGAGAAGCTGAAGGAACTTGGAATTTCAAAAACCTGTTTAACTGTAAGAAATATATGTAAATATTAACATCGCAAAAAAGCTCTTTGAATAATTGTGGATCATCGCATTAGATTTTTCGAGCAGAAATTCAAATTTCAATTAAACAAATGTAAAATTAGGCACCATGGGCGCTGTTTTTTGCGATTGTAATACGAAATTGTAAAAACCATCAGCTTTTTTTTCAGGAAATTCAAGTTCCAGCCATCAAACCGGTCACTCGGAGACAATTTGAGTATGCCAAAAGCTTATGGTCAACTAGTTTCAACGCCGATAAAGAAGTTGAAAATCTTTTGAGTGGAGAATTTTTAACTCCTGAGCTCAAAAATTATATCTCGAAATATAGCGAAATGGCATCATCGATAGAATGCATAGCGGTTCAGGTTTGAGCTCAGCGTGGGAAAATAGCTATTTGTTATATTTCTAGAACAAGGAAATCCTTTGTACGGGCTCGTCAAATCCAGGTCCATTACGTCATCCTGTCATGGAAATGGTTAGAAATTTACCGAAACGAGAAGCAAACGCCGATAATTATTTGGGCACTGGATGCGATATTTTTCTGAAAAACGAGCCCTGCGCGATGTGTGCTATGGCATTGGTGCACTTTCGAGTAAAGCGGATATTCTTCAATTCGAAATCTTCGAACGGAGTCTTGTCCTCGGGTGAGTATTTGAATCATAATATTGGGTTTTGGATGAGTTTCAATGTTTTTATACATATTGTTGTTAGGGGTGTAAACAACTGTATAAAATATGTTGAATTTTTTTATGATTCTCGCGGTTTTGCTCGTAAAAACGGCATTTCAATAGAATATCATGTGATCTTTTATTTTCCATAAAAGAGAAAAGACAAAAGGATTACGACTGAAAATAAAATAGAAATAAAATTCATTTAAAACACTAAACTGCTATCAGCGCAATGGCCAGGAGCACAAAAATTGTTAAATTTAAATTCCTCGCAAATAATTTGGCCAAATAATTTCAGGAGGATGGCAACTTCACTTAGAGCCTGCCATAAATCATCACTATCAAGTCTTTCATGTGGTTTCGGATAAATCTGAAAATTTTTAAGTGTTTCATTGAACAATTGATAAAAACTCAAAGTTACTGCCGTCATAAAAAATAATTGGAGTTGGTCTTGGTTGACATATGCCATGCAGACCGGATGCGAATAGACAATTTTCTTTTTTTTATTACGATTTGGTTTTTTTTCGTGTTGTTTATGGTTAACATGATTTTCCGACAAACTCGTATCAAATTAAAGGATCAGTTTAGAGTGACCTCTTGTCTTACAAATTATGTTCAATTAGCGTAGAGACGCAGACAATACTAATGGCGCCGTAGCGGTACTGATTTTCGGTATATAAACGGCCCGTCGGCTCAGAGTTGCATCGGAGTTGGATCGTCATGATTTTCCGCGTCGTCGCTGTCTTCCTTCTTATCTCGTTCGTCTTAACTGCCCCGGTACCGGCGAATCAGAACGACGAATTCTTGGTAACATCAAAATGGTATAAAATGGTTCAACTCCAATTTGTAGGGTCTTGCGTGGGAAGCCGCTGCTACGAGCATTAATGTGGGAAATCCAGGAAAATTCTGGGTTCCTATCGAGGTTTTAGATTTCAAAGAAAAACTAGTTTCATTATGCATGACGTTTTTCAGATTGTTAGAGGATTCAAGTCAGGAGCTGTCACTACTCTCACAGTGATTCTTCAAGAATCATGGTGCAGTCCACAGGAAGGAAATGATCTCGATGATGTTTGCGAGTCGATGTGCCCGGTTTACTATGGAGGAGCTAAAGCGACTTACGAAGTTATTGCTACTGAGAATAACGGCGGAAGTGACTTCAGAACTAGAAGAATTGCATAATTTTTGAAACGTATTGTATATAATAAGCATAATAGATAATGTTTTTAATAATTATCGGACTCCTGCTCGTCTGTAATTGAATCAGCTCCAACTTCGTCGTAGTCTTTCTCTAACGCTGCCAAGTCTTCTCGAGCTTCTGAAAATTCTCCTTCTTCCATTCCTTCTCCAACATACCTGCAAAATGGTTATTTTTTGAGACTACAGTTCAATCACTTACCAATGTACAAACGCGCGCTTCGAATACATCAAATCGAATTTGTAGTTTAACCTTGACCATGCTTCGACAATTGCTGTGGTATTTGACAACATACAGACAGCTCTTGGCATTTTTCCAAAATCACCATTTGGTATTACGGTAGGCGGCTGAAAGTTGATTCCGACCTTGAATCCCGTAGGACACCAATCAACAAAATGAATCCCGCTCATTTGTTTAACCGAGGTGATCGCTTGATTAACGTCTTTCGGTACGACGTCGCCTCGATAAAGTAGGCATACCGCCATGTATTTTCCGTCATGCGGATTGCATTTGACCATTTGACTTGAAGGCTCGAAACACTTTTCGGTGATTTCTTTGACGCTGAAGCTCTCGTAGCTAGTATGCTTATTGGAGATTAGCGGATTGTAAGCGACTAATGGGAAATGAATGCGCGGGTATGGAACTAAATTAGTTTGAAATTCGTTCAAATCAACATTAAGGGCTCCATGGAATCTTAGTGATGCTGTTATGGAAGAGACCACCTTAAAATAATATTCTTTTTGCTCCTTCTTATTTTTCTACCTGTGATATTATTCTGTTCAGGTTTGTGTAGGATGGCCTAGGAACGTTCAAATTATTTTTGCAAAGATCGTAAATCGCTTCGTTGTCCACCATAAATGAGCAATCCGAGTGCTCGAGCGTCGTATGAGTTGTCAGAATCGAATTATACGGCTCCACAACACTTGTTGAAACCTGCGGCGCTGGATATATTGAGAATTCCAGTTTGCTCCGTTTCCCATACTCCGATGAGAGTTTCTCCATTAACATTGAAGTGAATCCACTTCCGGTTCCTCCACCGAATGAATGGAACACGAAGAAGCCTTGCAATCCGTCGCAGTTTTGAGTGATTCGCCTGATCCGATCCATCGTTGTGTCAATAATTTCCTTTCCAATCGTATAGTGTCCACGCGCATAATTGTTTGCAGCGTCTTCTTTGCCTGTAAGAAGTTGCTCCGGATGAAAAAGCCGTTTGTAAACTCCAGTTCGGATTTCGTCTGAAAGGTTATATTGAGAAGTTTCACTAGAACTCCATACCTATTACAGTAGGTTCTAAATCTACAAACAATGATCTTGGGACAAATCTTCCATAATCTGTTTCAGAGAAAAATGTGCCTAATGATCCATTATCCACGGAACTATCATCCAACAGTGTTCCATCCGGTAAAATGCCGTGCTCTAAACAGTATAATTCCCAACAAGCATTTCCTATTTGGGCACCAGCTTGACCCACGTGAATAGAGACAACTTCTCTCATCTGTAATTTTCCACATTTTCAAAAATTATTTATTTGAGAATTCATTTGCTACAATAGAAAAATCTTGACAAAATAAACAAAAATTCGGCCAGAAAAAAAAGCGAGACACTAAGTAACAAAAAGGGTTTTTGAATAATGTTGGAATTTATCAATAAACGATAGGGAAGAGGTTCTCGACAGTCATGCAAATGCAAACAATTCCTTCTTTCATCGCGTCCATAAAAGGAGTTACGGTGGATTTTTGTGAAGAAGGCGTAATCTGAAATGAGTCATTAAAAAGTTTCTTAATATTTCACCAATAATCCAGTTTCACATTCTCACCGTCAAGAAGAGAAAAAGAAAAAAAAAACGGCTTAGCAATTCAATTACCCGGAGCAATCAAGGTCTCACCTTGGTTTCTGCGCATATATTTGATAGTTGCCATAGATATGTAGGCGATTTTTCGGGAGGCGGGTGTATCTCTGCGTATTCCGTATCGAAATCTCCGTCATTTCTCCTTCTCCGAACATGTTTACCACCCTCAATTTTTATTGTCGTTGTTGTTTTTTTTTCGTGTGTTTTATTTATTTTGTCACACCATTCTCTCACGAATACTACAATTAGGTTCAAGACAAACTAACAATTTTTTAAGCTCTAGTCGACCTTTTAAGTCATCTTGGTCATGTTTTCGGAGCACAAGAAGAAAACCAATGATAAGGTAATTTTGATTCAATTTTCTTTTTTTTCAAATTTAAAATGTTGAAATAAATTATCTATAGAAAGAAAAAGGTGAGGGGAACCTCAAATTTGACGAGCTAGAAGCGAAAACGAAGAAGATGAAGATAGGAGAAGATGGAAAAAAGGAAAAAAGTTCGAATGCTCGCTTAAAACTAAAACGCTCATGGGATTTTTAGAATATCATTCCACCGACGAGCTTCCTTTAGAAAAGAAGCGCTCGATCAAAAAGTCGGACCAGAAGCCTTCGACGACTTCATTGAAAGGAGATGAGTCAAGTTCTAGTAAACCCATTGAAAAAATGGTAGCCTCAAAACAAAATTTCGGGATTTTTATTGGAAATTGTAGGGATTTGGCATTTTCGAGGCGGCTACAATGATGCGGAATATTGGTATTTTTATTCATTCCCTCAAATATTAAAAATTATTTGTTTTGAATATTTTCAGTTGACATAACAACTGATAGTACCACTACGAATCCACTCAATAGAACAAAACAACTTAAAAGCAAGAACAGCAAGAGTATGGTTCTTTGGTTCGTTTGTGATTATGTTCATATTCTAGCATCCCTTGGACCGCTGACTTCTGGACCATTTGCGCAGATGAAAGAGGCGCAGGAGATGAAGAAAAAGAAGCAAAGCTTTGATCAAGATGACGAGGACACCTCCGATTGAGATTTATAATTGTTGCGTGCGACTAGCTCGTAATACATTTATGTGTTTTTTTTTTCTGAATTTGGAACCGTTGTAAAAGAAACATAAAATTGAGGATTGCATGTTAAAAACACATTCGTTTACACATGACCAAAAAGATAAAAAGACGGGTAATTTGTTTTTTTTCTTAATTAAACAAGATAGCAGCTAATTTGACAAGATAGTAGCTAATGAATTCGAAATTGGTTTAATAATGATTTTCCCAAGCATAATTTGTAATTTATGTTCTACTCTCATTTTCTTGTGGTGAGAGCAACCCAAAATTGTGCCAGTCGCCGTTTTGCTACAACCTTAATTGGATTTTAAGAAATAGACTTTTTATGTAGAGGAAAATTGAGGATATTGGGATAAAATAGTGCATCCCATGCAAAATTGATATTTTGTAAAAAAAAAACCGAAATCCTAACGATAATTATTACTATCATAAGTTTGTAAGGGGGGGGGGTTCCGGGCGATCGGTCGCTCCCGCAGCTCTTCCGAACGCTTCACCGATTTGTTTCAAGCCCGTCCGACGCTTACTCAAAGGGGCAGGCTCTTTGCGAATCGCCCAGAACGACAATTTGCCGCTCACCGACGGGCAACCTGGCCCAAATGTCGCCGAGACGTAATAGAGAAGTAGGATCGTCTAGTGAACCTATTCGTCAGTTAAAATTGTATATTTTTAACGTCAAATTTGAGTAAAAATAAAAATCAGCAATTTTGGGAAAGCGAAATTTTGAATGTTCGAGTTCATCTTTTTATGACTAATTGGGTCCATGAAGGGTTTTGATGGGTTTTCACAATAAAACTGAAAAGTGGAATTCGAGACGATAAAAAATTATCGCCAAAAATTTTCAAGTTGAGAGCGGCGTGGAAACTTTCCTTTCACTCACCCTCAAAATGGATATAAGCTCGGGCAGTGGATAGGGAATTTTCCGAAAATTATACGAGTAAAATTTAAGAAAGATTGCCACCCTATAACACAAGTGCCATGTCCTTAACAAACTTTCAGCAGGTTTTTTGAGTCGTCTTTACATGGTACAAAAATTTGAAAGAATGACTTTTTAGAAAGAGGATTAGATATTTCTCAAGAGTTTATTCCGAATGCCTGATACACTGCTGAACTCCGATTTTCTCAATCCGGTAAATGACGGAATTGCATGTTCCGTTTTTCAAATTTCGCCAACAAGTTTCCTTCCTCTTTCGCTTACCATTTTCGAAATAAAAATTTCCACTCACTTCGGTCGACTCCGCTGTTCATAATTCATAAAGCGAATCACCAGATGTTCATTATTTTGGAATTGCCGAACTTTCTTATGTCTCCAAGAAATTTGTGTGCGTAAAACTTCACAAAGTTTACGTGATCCGGAAGAGATGTTAAGTAATTAAGTAATGGTAAGTGGTGAATATATTAAGCTTCAAACTATTCTATTAAGACTTTTGACCATTTACTAATGTCCCCAATTCAACTATCAGAATATAATATGTTAGCAGGGGTTCATTCTGTTCGTTTCTAATGGGAACGTGAACGCTGAAAAAATTTAAAATGTTGTTTACCGCATTTATTTAAGACAGTTGATTCTCAGAATGCGTGTTCTCCCGTTCTTCGCCACGGCCCAACACAAGTCTGGGAAAGCACAGATTGTTTGTGACATCACGTAGCACGCCAATTCTCCCACAAAAGGGAATATAGGTCAGTGTGTATTCTCAAGTTGAGAATTGAAACATTCTTCTTGGCGGAGTTGTACTCTATCGCGCCGGGTTTGTGCTATGATAGGGCAAATTGTTGAAACCTTTGTCTTCTATTTTTGCATATGTCTTCTGATTAAATGTTTTATATTTAACGTTACTCTCTTCTATACTATCTACAAGCAGCCAAAGAAAAGTGAGAATCACAATCGGGAATTATTGACATCGAATTTTTAAAGGCGCCCTTCCAACAGTTTACATTTATAATATGACAGTAATGACAATGATTGTCAGTATTCAAACTATATATCTCGTGTTTCTAACAAGAATAATTTCGGATGATGTTTACCGAGGCAAACTTCATTGGAAGAATCATATTAATAATAATTATTTTTTCAGCTTATCAGAGAATTATCGGCTATGAACATACGCTATTTACAACGTTTTCCTATTTTCACCCACATTTGACCGCTTTCACGATGACCTTGAATCGCATTTTTGCATTAGTCACTATTCGGGCTACAGTATGGTTTTCAAATTCAAGAATTTGGATTTACACGGGAATTCACATGGTTTGTATACATCAGGCATATCATCTCGATTCGGTCTCTTTAAGACGATCAATTTCGTTCTGCTTTTTATTCCATATTTGTCGAAATGTAGAGTGATGTTCGATGCGATAAAAATGGCCTACATACCGGATTGTGCTCCGGAACGACATCCAGTGAGACATTGAGATTATTCGCAAAACATGAATGACAAACATTTTAAGATCACAAAGTTCTGCAATACGTATGCTGCAGTCCTTCCGTTGACCACACTTTCGCTGAATATCATCATATTTATATATTTTAAACTTCAAAGAAGCGAATTTTACCAGCGAGTAGTATCATGGGGAAAAGGTAGTCGCACCTTGTACATTCCGGATAGTATTCTCAAATCGAAGAAGAGAACTGAAGCGATGCTCATCATTCAGTCGTTTGTCACCGCATTCTGCATGTCGATTTATGATTTCACAAGTATTTGGATTAGATTGAATGTGGTATTCAAATCTATTTTTTGGAAAATCCAGATATGTTCGATTTTTAGGAATATTATGAATCTTTGGAAGCCAGATTGAAATTGATTATTTATTATTTGCGCTATGCGATTATTCCCCTTCACGTCTTCGTGGTATATTTTGTGTTCTCTCCGACCACAAGAAGCCTTGTTCTGGAGCAGTTCCGCGCAAAAAAGAATCCGCGTAGCATCTCATTGAATATTGTTAGCAGTTAAGTCGACCATTACTCTTTTAGAATGCTAATCCGAAAATAAGAGTTGTCGTTTGTTTAAATATGAATAAAAAAGTTTTATTAAAAGGAAAACTAATGAAACCCCCGAATTTGGATCTTCGGTACCGAAAATGAACGCGACAAGAGTTAATGGAGAATGTTAATTCTTCAATGTTAATGGAGAGACTCTCATCGGCGTATGGAAAACGGAGCAAACTGAAATTCTCATTATATCCAGCGTCGCAGGTTTCAACAAATGTTGTGGAGCCGTATAATTCGATTCTGACAACTCATACGACGCTCGAGCACCCCTGCATGATCGCATGACTACATTACCTTGAGCTTTACTTTTCCATTAAAAGTTCAATAAAACTTCATTCACATTATTTTAGCGTTTTGATTTCAAAGGTTGTTACAAAATCGTTTATGATCGCGTGCATTATATTAATTTGTAACTCACACCATGTTCAGCATTGTTACTGAAAATTTGCATTTCCTTCTTGCTTTTGACAAAGTTGTGCGCAAATGAGTTAACAAGTCTTGGAGAAAATTTCATTCTATATTTCGATTCTTATAATGATAAAAACGATTATTTTCAATATTCTTCTATTTTATGCAACGTACAAGAACAGAAAAAAAGGTTTGGACGTACTAAAAAACAACCCTGACCTTTTCAACCTCATCCAAATATAATTTTCATTTATTTATTTCAATTTCGTTCTTAAAAATGGTTGTATCAAAGGCGACAAATTTAAATGATTAAACGCGTTAGCCATTTTTGATCTTAGCGTAATCAACAAATTTTCACATGCGCCTTTGATATCTACTGCGATTTTCAATGCATTTGATACTAGATCGAAAATGATTATAAGATCATGGCGTTAAAATTTGAATAATAAGAAATAAATTCGTCCTCGCCAATAAATGTTTTCCATATATGCTTATTTTCTTTTAAATTATGATCATAATTTCTTGTTAAACGTCGAAGTAAACCTTGCTTTTTTGCACGTCTAATCTAGAAAACTAAAATTTGAAGAAAACTGCATGAAGCCCTTAAGAGGGCCGTTGGGATTCGCAGTATTTTGAGGTGTCTCGAAATACTTCTCGCGACTTGCTAGGTCGTTGGAGAAGCCGCCCAGTTGAGGATGAATATCCTCGACTTGCGTGAGACGGTGTGCCGATTAGCCTGACTCGACATCCCCTGAAGGAGTGTCGAGTCAGTTGATCTCCTTCGCCACGTAGAGGCCTCGGCACTTGAAGGAGAGGCTCACCAGCATCAGAGAACCTGATGTGGGTCATCGCCGATCCCACCATGGGGATCACCCAAGGACATCCCACAACTATCATCCGAGGATAATAGAAGTAGAAGTGGTTGGGCAAGCCACGTCTGGCTGGGCCCCGGGTCTACTGGTGATATGGTAATGTGTTTTTTGTCTTCATAGCAAAGTAGCACGCTACTGAAGCACTGGTCCATTATGGCACCCCCGCGGGAGGCTGGACATATTGACATAGCTGGCCAATCCACGTCAATATAGGTCTGGGCCAGATGCCATCCTGACTAGTATGGAGGACACCCGGTGAAGCAAAGTTCTAAAGCATAACCATCCATAACGCCCAATAGCAGTTTCCAAGTACTCGAGAGTACTTGAAACGAGGGCGTTTGGGTAGGGTTCGATTCCCGGCTACGGAATCAGGGCTGAAGGGCTTGCCAGGCCAATCACCCGAATTTAGGATACAGCGGATAAGCCGCCATCCAGCCAACGCCTCGGCACTAAGGGGGGATCAGGAAGCTTTGGCGTTTGGGGGAATGGCCGACTACGGCCCTAAGTAGTAGACTGGAGAGGCATAGGGATTTATACTTAGTGTGTGGTGGGGAATACCTAGGTTTGGTGGTCAGTCGATTCAAAAGCAGGGCATCACAGCTAAGTAGCACGCTATGATGCCCAGGTTCGATGACCGGAAGTCATCCTACTAGCATGGATGACATCCGGATGATGCAAAAAATGAGGCATAGCCATCCATGAGGCCAGTAGCAGTTTCCAAGTAAACGTACTCGAAACGAATGTTGCAGTTTCCAAGTACGATTACCCGAAACGGGCATCTGGGTAGGCTTCGATTCCCGGCTACGGAATCAGGATGAATGGTTTGCTAGACCAATCATCCGACTTTAGGGATCGGCGGATAAGCCACCTCACCCAGCCAATCTGAGCATCACAGCTAAGTAGCACGCTATGATGCCCAGGTTCGATGACCGGAAGTCATCCTACTAGCATGGATGACATCCGGATGATGCAAAAAATGAGGCATAGCCATCCATGAGGCCAGTAGCAGTTTCCAAGTAAACGTACTCGAAACGAATGTTGCAGTTTCCAAGTACGATTACCCGAAACGGGCATCTGGGTAGGCTTCGATTCCCGGCTACGGAATCAGGATGAATGGTTTGCTAGACCAATCATCCGACTTTAGGGATCGGCAGATAAGCCACCTCACCCAGCCAATCTGAGCATCACAGCTAAGTAGCACGCTATGATGCCCAGGTTCGATGACCGGAAGTCATCCTACTAGCATGGATGACATCCGGATGATGCAAAAAATGAGGCATAGCCATCCATGAGGCCAGTAGCAGTTTCCAAGTAAACGTACTCGAAACGAATGTTGCAGTTTCCAAGTACGATTACCCGAAACGGGCATCTGGGTAGGCTTCGATTCCCGGCTACGGAATCAGGATGAATGGTTTGCTAGACCAATCATCCGACTTTAGGGATCGGCAGATAAGCCACCTCACCCAGCCAATCTGAGCATCACAGCTAAGTAGCACGCTATGATGCCCAGGTTCGATGACCGGAAGTCATCCTACTAGCATGGATGACATCCGGATGATGCAAAAAATGAGGCATAGCCATCCATGAGGCCAGTAGCAGTTTCCAAGTAAACGTACTCGAAACGAATGTTGCAGTTTCCAAGTACGATTACCCGAAACGGGCATCTGGGTAGGCTTCGATTCCCGGCTACGGAATCAGGATGAATGGTTTGCTAGACCAATCATCCGACTTTAGGGATCGGCAGATAAGCCACCTCACCCAGCCAATCTGAGCATCACAGCTAAGTAGCACGCTATGATGCCCAGGTTCGATGACCGGAAGTCATCCTACTAGCATGGATGACATCCGGATGATGCAAAAAATGAGGCATAGCCATCCATGAGGCCAGTAGCAGTTTCCAAGTAAACGTACTCGAAACGAATGTTGCAGTTTCCAAGTACGATTACCCGAAACGGGCATCTGGGTAGGCTTCGATTCCCGGCTACGGAATCAGGATGAATGGTTTGCTAGACCAATCATCCGACTTTAGGGATCGGCAGATAAGCCACCTCACCCAGCCAATTTGAGCATCACAGCTAAGTAGCACGCTATGATGCCCAGGTTCGATGACCGGAAGTCATCCTACTAGCATGGATGACATCCGGATGATGCAAAAAATGAGGCATAGCCATCCATGAGGCCAGTAGCAGTTTCCAAGTAAACGTACTCGAAACGAATATTGCAGTTTCCAAGTACGATTACCCGAAACGGGCATCTGGGTAGGCTTTGATTCCCGGCTACGGAATCAGGATGAATGGTTTGCTAGACCAATCATCCGACTTTAGGGATCGGCGGATAAGCCACCTCACCCAGCCAATCTGAGCATCACAGCTAAGTAGCACGCTATGATGCCCAGGTTCGATGACCGGAAGTCATCGTACTAGCATGGATGACATCCGGATGATGCAAAAAATGAGGCATAGCCATCCATGAGGCCAGTAGCAGTTTCCAAGTAAACGTACTCGAAACGAATGTTGCAGTTTCCAAGTACGATTACCCGAAACGGGCATCTGGGTAGGCTTTGATTCCCGGCTACGGAATCAGGATGAATGGTTTGCCAGACCAATCATCCGACTTTAGGGATCGGCGGATAAGCCACCTCACCCAGCCAACGCCTTCGCGCTAAGGGGTGGGGGAAGAAGTGGGGAAACGTGAAGCTTTGGCGTTTTTGGGAGGGATAGCTGACTAAAGCTGGCCGACTACGGCAGATTAAGAAGTTAAGGAATAGACACTTAGGTACTTGCTTAGTCGTGGTGAATACCTGTGTGGTGGTGCATCAATTCAACAGCGGGGTCCTTCCATCGGCGGCAGCGGCGATTCCTAAACATACACACGCACACACAAATTAATAATTAAAATTATTAAAATAAAAAAAAATTATTAAAAAAATATATAATATAAAAAGTCCCAAGTGGTGGGACTGGAAAAAACAAAAAATACAGCCGTAAGTGGTACGACTGGTGGAAGGGAGAAGCCGCAAGTGGTACGGCAGGGGGAATCAGTCGACTGATAGAGAGAGGGGACAGTCGTAAGTGGTACGACTGGTGGAAGGGAGAAGCCGCAAGTGGTACGGCAGGGGGAATCAGTCGACTGATAGAGAGAGGGGACAGTCGTAAGTGGTACGACTGGTGGAAGGGAGAAGCCGCAAGTGGTACGGCAGGGGGAATCAGTCGACTGATAGAGAGAGGGGACAGTCGTAAGTGGTACGACTGGTGGAAGGGAGAAGCCGCAAGTGGTACGGCAGGAAGAGGGATGGGGAAGCCGGCTTTCCCCAGAAAAAGAAGGGGTGGTCCCAAACGGTAGGACCAGGAGGAAGTACAGACGTAAGTGGTACGAATGTACGGAGAGAAGGGGGGAATCCCAAGTGGTGGGATAGAGAGGGGGAAGCCGTAAGTGGTACGGCTGGTGCAAGTGAGTAATAAAAAAAATAAAAATAAATAAGGCCCGGGCCAAAAACTACCATGATCCGCGGATCAAATACCTCTTGTTTGTGTCCTTCCTCGTCACTTCCTCCAGTTATCTTCTCTCGATCCACAAATCGAAAAACCTGCAATGATTCGAATTACTCTGATCGATTGCTGCTTCTTCGTTACCATTTAAATCCGCTTCCTCGCTCTGCTCGACGCCCCGGGCAGCATCGACC